TAAAAAAGCTAAGGCTAATTATATATAAAGTTGCCTTACTATTATAGTACGCTTACTAATATAACGTCTTTTACGTCTCTTACTTAAAACTATAAACTACTATAGTAAAGAAAAAGAAAGAACTTTTATTTTTAGAAAAAGTAAAAAACTAGAAGGAATATAAGCTTAAAGATATTATAACTTACTTTAGTAAAGGGTTATAAACTTATTTTTTAATAAAATAGAAAGGATAGCTAGCTAAGTATAATACCTAAGAACTAAAAGAGCACTTAACGTATACTAGCTATAAATTATAGTCTTACTAAAAAACTATAGAACATACTTATAAGAAATAAAAAGATTATAAAATAATAGTTAGCTATATATAAGCTAACTATTAAATAGTTACTCCTTTTATTTTATATAAGTATATACTATAAACTAACTATTTAACTTAAAAGGTGCCTTTTTAAGCTATAAACTTAAAACTTAAGATTAGCTAGCTAATACTTAGCTGCTAGCTACTTATTACTATTCTTTTTTATAAATAACCTCATTTCTTCTTTATTATTATTATCTTTATCCTTTACTAGCTAGTATATAAGCTTTGCTAAGCGTTAACTAGCTACTTACCTATACCTTTTTACTAGACGTAGCTATGCTACTACTACTAGCTACTACTACTACCTTACTATTACTAGCTATAACACTAAGAATGGTCTTAGCGCCTTACTAGCGCTTAGCTAAGGTTAAAAATTAGGCGTAAGCGTATTACTTACTAGGCGCTACTAAAAGTAAAAGTTAAGAAAAGAACACTACCTAGTTAGCCTAAGCTAGTATAGCTAAAGCCTTTATAGTCTATAAAGTACTTTATTTAAGCAAGTCTTTTACCCTTAGTATAAAATAAAGCATGCTAGCATAGCTAGCTTTGATAGCTATATTATATTATTTTATAAATAATATAATAAAATAAAATAAAATAAATATTAGCTTAAGTAATAAGTTAGCAATAACTTAGTAATAAAGCTAAAGAGACTTGCTATTACTTATAAAGTAGTAGTAACCTAAATTTATACTTAAGAAAGCGTGCTAGCGTTTAAAGACGTAAGTAGTAAAAGCTAGATATCTTTACTAACTATTAAGTAGCTATTAAAGTTAGCTTTAGCTTTTACTAAAACTAGTAAAGAATATTAAGCTATAGTATAGCCTACTACGCTATCTTAAAGCATTTATAGCAAGATTGCTAGTTAGTTGCTAGTAAATCTAGCTTCTTCTCTTATAAAGTATAGCTAGGCTTTTTAGTTATTACTATTAGTGCTAGTAACTACTATATTATTACTATATAATCTACTAGCGTTACTATAATGCTATTAACTATCTTACTTTAAAGAAAAATAAGCTTATTTATATTTATATAAAACTACTAAATATACTTAGCTAAGCTTTTAAGCTTTTTAAAAATTACTAGTTTGTAGTTGCTTACTAGTATATAAGAATTAATATACTTTAAAGAAGCTATAATATATTATTAGTTTTATAACTGAAGTAGCGCCTTCGGTTCTTTAAGATTACTATATAAACTTATAATAAATATTTAAGTATGTTTTTAATATATAGTTAAGGTATAGAGACTATTAATAAGTTAGCTATTACTTAGCAAATGCTATATAGTTAAGAACCTATACTATTAAAGGATAACGCGTATGCTTATGCTAAGTATTTTATAAGATTTACGTTTACTAGAAAGTTTATAAAGACTTAAAAAAGCAACTTTAGTTTACTATTATTTTATAAATAATTATTAGCTAGTTACTACTTTATTATATAAATAGTTATATTAACTTACTACTAAGTAAGATTAAAAAAAAGGCTAAAAAGTAAAAGTAGTTTTATAAAATTAAGTAAAGTTTATTTTAAATTATAAGAATTATTTAATCTTTTTATACTTTAAAGTAATAAAAAGACTATAAAACTAAACGTTTAAACGCGTCTTAAAAACGTATTAACTTTACTCTAATAGTAAGGTAAAAAAACGTTTAAAACTTAAATAAAAAAATCTTTTAGTAGTAAACTACCTTTATTAATTAGTTAATAATAGTTTTATAATTAATAAGCAATAAACAGCTATTACTACCTTTATTTTACTTTACTATTAGTTAAATACCTTAACTTTATATAGCTATTTTTAATTAGTATATACTACCTTATTTAAAAATAAGTAAAAATATATCTTAGTAGTAAACTACCTTTATTAACTAGTTAATAATAGTTCTATAATTAGTAGGCAATAAATAGCTATTACTACCTTTACTTACTTTACTATAAGTTAAATACTTTAGCCTTATTCTATTTATTTTAATTAAGCGCGTACTAGATTATTTAACTATTAAATAATAAAATATCTTAATAATAAACTACTTTTACTAACTAGTTAATAATAGTTTTATAATTAGTAAGTAATATTTAACTGTTACTACTTTTATTCTACCTTTACTATAAGTTACAAACCTTAACTATATACTACTAATTCTAGTTAGCATACTCTATATCTTTATATAGCTATTATTTAAGGCTACCCTTCTTATAACACCTTTATTAGCAGCAACTTAAGTATCTTATAATTAAAATCTTATTATTATACCTTTTAAAAAGCGCCTTTATAAGATAGACTTTATACTTAATTAAATTTAGCAATTACTTTTACTATATCCTAAGTAGTATATATACGCTTCTATAATATAAGAATGCAGTTATATAACAAGCAGTCTGCGACCGTTTAGCAACAGCTAATACCCTAGCATACTTAACTCTTTTTCTTAACTTACTAAAGAAGGTTTTTTAATAAGCAAGCAGTTGCTACGTATATACCTTTTACTATTAAAGGCGTTACTTTAAAAGAGAAGGGATAGTATAAAAGTATTCTACATACGTGCCCTACGCACTAGTTTGGCGACCTACCGCTTACTAAGCGTTAGACTTAACAAACTATCTTAATACGTAAACAGGGCAGAGTATAGCTACTTAGCTATGCTACACCTGCTTAGGGTTGCGCTATTGCGCACCCTCTATTTACGTATAAATTAGATAGCAGGCTCTTGCTTACTAGTCTTTTATAGTTTGTTAAGTTAAAGTCTTAATATAATAGTATAAGCATGTTTAAGCCTTTATAACTATATATTGCACACAAACCCTTATATTACTTTAACACTTAAATACTTACTATACTAGCTATTAATAAGGGTTTAAAGAGTATAGCTTATTGTAAAGGTTAAAGGAGGCTATACGTAGCGGTCATATAACGTGATGCACTGTGAGGAGCAGGAGGCTGAATAGGGTCTAGTGTGGGCGAAGAAGTGTTGTGTACTAAGGAAGAAATAGATACATCGCGACCCTTCTGGGGATCCGTATTAATACTAGTGTCAGGCCCCGCTTTTGTGCCTTCTGACCAATTACAGGCCCGTACGGCCAAGTGGGGCGGAAGGGCCACAGTGTGGCGGATTCCAATGCTTAACACTTATTAATATTAATACTATTATTACTACTACTATTAAGCTTAAAGATACTAAACATTTAGTTTATTCTTAGATTTAGGCTTACTTTTAGAATCTTTTAAAATAAAGTTAATAGTTTAGTTAAGCCTTTTACTATTAAAAGGCAAATTTAATGCTTTAAAAAGACGTCTAACAAGCGTTTAAGGTTTAAAATAAAATGTTTCTACTAAAGGATTATCAGTTAAGGCAATACTAGTCTCTTTAGTAGCTATTAATTAATTAAAGTTAAAAAGATTGCCTTTTACTAGCTAATTTAAATAAAGGTGCTTAATATACTAAGCAGTCTAATCTACTAAACCTTGCCTTACTTTAAGCTTTAAAAAAAATTCTAGCTTACTATTATAATTTAATAACTAGCTGCCTTTGATTTAAAGGTCTTAATAGAGGTTAATCGTAGTATAAAATTATAAGAATAAAAAATAATGCTAAATATTAGCACCTAAGGTGAATTTATAGCCTTATAAAGCCTAAATTAACTAAATATTAGTTAAGAAATAAATAAAACGCAGCGCAATGCTAACGCTCTTAGAAGTAATGCCTTAAGGCGAAAAATAAAGCTAGAAGGCAAAGAAAAGGTGCTATAAGGCGTAAATTATTGTAAGATAACGCAAATTACCGCAACAGACCCGGATATAGTATCTAAGCTTATAACCTGTTACAACTAATGCTAACAGCAAATGATACAAAGCACTGTATAAGTCTGCTTAGTATGGCTAATAAAGTGCGTAATATATCAACTAGAAAGGAGTACATAGCGCACCTTCTATAGTGCAGAGATTTTAATAGGGCTAATCCCTACTTTTACTTATTCTAACTAATAAGAGGCTGCTTTGCTAACATTAGTTAGAATGGTTATAGTGCGCTCTAGTCTAAAGCTTTACAGTTTTAAAGTACTAGTCTAGTATAAGTACTAGTTAGTACTAGACTAGTACTAGTACAGGCAAATATTAGTACTAGTATACTAGTTCCTTAACCTTACTTAGTATAAGTATATAACTTTAACTCTTAAGAGTATACTCTCTTTACGATTTTTTTTTATTAGCTTACTAGTGCTTTTTTTATTAAAGTACTTAGTTAAAGATTTTTATAATTACCTTACTACTAATAGTTAAAAGCCAAAAAAAATTAAAGTAAAGTCTTTTTAGCTATTATTATAATACTATTTAATAATAAGAACTTAGCTCCTATTCTACTTTAATTTTAATAAGGTTTAATGCGACCTTAGTGGGGTTAGAAGCAATGTACTATGGGATTCCGGCTTGAAAAAATGTACTTGTAAGAGTGCGTTGCTCTCCTGATTTCCTTTTTCAGAACGTGTTCACATCGCGTGCTTTGAAAACCGATCGTAAGAGGGTATCGGTCATGCTTTACCCCGCCCAAATTGCCACCCCTCCTTTTTGAGGGCAAAAGAAACCAGACATCTACACCGAATTCTCACTTCGTCTTATCTCGAAAGACCGACCTCAAAATATGGCTGACGACGTTCTTAACAATATATCCCACCGCCGCTACAATCCCTTGACTGGCGCATGGCTGCTCGTCTCTCCCCACAGGACCAAACGTCCTTGGCAGTCAGTGCTCCTCATCTGTGAAGTTTTCTACGACTTGACTAGCAAATTGACAATCCAAACTCTTCAAGAGGCCAGCAGGAGGTCGCCATGAAGAACACACTGCCAGAGTATGACTCAAAGTGCTACCTTTGCCCAGGGAATACCAGAGCACAGGGGAATCCCAACCCCAATTACGACAGCACTTTTGTCTTTGTAAATGACTACAGCGCGGTGAAGGAGGAACAAGAGGATTACAAGCCCAGACCTGAGAATAGTACGTATTACGCTCCGCTCTTCCTCCAGGACTGGTTGGCTGACAATAGATAAGATCTTGAGACGTTGTTGCTGCGCGCGGAACCGACGACAGGCAGATGCTACGTTCTCACTTTTTCCCCAAAGCATAATCTGACCCTTGCAGACATGCCCGCCGAAGCCATCGTGCCCATCGTTCTCTCTTGGTCTCAAATATATGCAAAGCATGTTTCACCTTCCAGTCCCATTTCCCAGGCAGCAGACAGCTTTTTAAAGGCCTCCCCATCGCTCGAGTATGCCGGCGTGTCCCCTCCACGCACACAGCTTCGATACATGCAGATCTTCGAAAATAAGGGCAGTGCTATGGGCTGCTCCAATCCGCACCCGCATTGCCAAGTGTGGGCAACGTCTAGTCTGCCCCAAGAACCGGAAAAAGAACTTGTCCAGATGCGCAAATACCGTGCTGCAAATGACGGTCGGCACCTGCTCAGCGATTACGTCCAGCTAGAGTTGGAGAAAGGTGAACGTGTTGTGTATACAAACGATGCTTTTCTCGTCGTCTGCCCTTGGTGGGCCATATGGCCATTCGAAGTCATGATCATTGCCACAAGGCACGTCCGAGCGATTGTCGATTTAACTACTGAGGAGCGTCTTTTGTTTGCAGATGCGATTCAGGAAGTTGCTAGACGTTACGACAATCTTTTCGAGACAAGCTTCCCTTATAGTAAGCTCGACCCAGTGATTGCGGGACTACGGAGTACCTTTAATAGGATGCTAGCTAAAAAAACATACCGATAGGCTCTGGCATCCACCAAGCCCCGCTTGAATGTTCTGACGAAGAGGCAGAGAATAGCTGGTTCCACATGCATTTCTATCCTCCACTTCTTCGATCCGCCACAGTTCGCAAATTCCTTGTCGGATATGAGTTGATGGCTGAGCCACAACGGGATATCACCCCGGAACAGGCTGCAGCGCGCTTGAGGGATAGTGGAGGACAGCTTTACCGCCAGGCTCTATGAGAACCCCTACATAATAGCCGTATATCACCTTTGAAACGTGCCATTTTTTTCGTTCTTACAATGCTTTCGCGGTTCGGTCAAACTAGTTAAAACACATAGTGGCTATATTGCATCGCCATCCAAATCGTACCACCGAAGCCAGCCATTAGGGGGAAAAACTGGGGGCCCGTCAATTTCAGCGTTTTGAAAACGAGCAGCTCACTGCCAAAGTGTATGGCCGCTACCACGTGTGTGATGAGGCTCAGCTCGTACAAAGCCCGATTGTGGACATCCCGCGCTGTGTATATGCGAATGATGCCGGCCAGTATCGTCCAGACCCCAAATATTCTCGCTGCAAGTGGCGTTACTTGATCCCGTGCTTTGTCGGCATTCTTCGTCTTGCTCAATGCGGGAATAATCTTGTTAATGCTGTCTGCGTAGTCGGTTTCGCTTGAACGTTGTGCCAGCGATGAATTCGGGACAAATTTGCCGTTGTATATTCTTCGAGTGTAGTGTAGTGTGACGAGATTTTGAATTGAGTTTCCAATCGAAACGACGCCAACCTGCCCAATCATTATGTATCAGACAAAGATACTGGTTTCATCATGCATAGAACGCGTAACGTACCAGAAAAAGGTAGCAGGGCAGAATGCCCTGATCGCCAAGAGGGAGATTGGAGAAAAGAGCATTCATTTTAAGGTAGCGCTTCAGTTGTTAGGAGATTTTTGTGTTTTTGAAGGTTTCAGATGAGAGGATTTTCAGTAATTACGGTATCTTACGGAGTAAGATACAAATCGGTACGGAGGTACGAGGACTTGCAGGGTTATTAGCTATTAGTAATACGAACTTGGCTATGTAATCGACCTTCATAATTCGAAAACTCCCCGCCTCACCATCCCAATTTTTACCAAAACTCTCACGTCCTCAGCCCAGCAATTACAACACCCTTGCATCTCTAAAACCGCACCGTGAAAATGGAGGGTTTTAAAGCGTCTATTGGCATGGTTCCCAAACCTGTGCAAGGCGCAATTGCATTTGTCGGTGTGGTTTTTTTAGGGAGCAAGCTCTTCTCGAGCTTGGCTTTCTTCTTCAACTTGTTCATCCTTCGTGGAACCGATGTGAGACGACCAGAAAACGACGCAGATTGATTGATTCTCGTGTATATCATCAAGTAGCTAACTAATGCGACACCTAGCTACGGAAATATGGAGGTAAGGGTACTTGGGCTGTTGTCACAGGTGCTTCGGATGGCCTCGGCAAGGAGTTTGCTACGCAGCTAGCTTCCAAGGGCTTCAATATTGTCCTCATATCCCGCACCCAATCCAAACTCGATACCCTCGCAGAGCAACTGCAGAAGAAGTATGCCTCGTCTGGTATACAGACGAAGGTTCTAGCCATGGATTTCTCCAAAAACGACGACGCAGACTACGATAAACTGGCCCGGCTTGTTAGCGGCCTCGACATTGCTATACTGGTCAACAATGTAGGACAAAGCCACAGCATTCCCGTCCCGTTCCTTGAAACTACCAAAGACGAACTCCAGGATATTGTGACGATCAATTGTTTGGGCACATTGAAAACAACAAGGGTCATCGCTCCGGGAATGGTACGGCGCAAGCGCGGGCTGATCCTAACCATGGGGTCGTTTGGAGGCTGGATGCCAACGCCCTATCTTGCCACGTACAGTGGCAGCAAAGCCTTTCTACAACATTGGAACTCGTCGCTGGCCGCGGAGCTCAAGCCGAGTGGTGTCGACGCATACCTCGTACTGAGCTACCTAGTCGTGTCAGCAATGAGCAAGGTCCGTCGTTCGAGTTTCCTGATTCCCAAGCCAGATGCGTTTGTGCGGTCCGCACTAAGGAAGATTGGCCGTGGGTCACAAGCATTTGCATTCACATACACGCCATTCTGGACGCATGCAATCATGCAATGGGCTGTAGAGAATACTATAGGTGTGGGAAATAGTGCTGGCATCTGGTATAACTCAAAGATGCACAAGGGCATCCGCAGCAGGGCTCTTCGGAAGGCGTCCCGCGAGGCGAAGAAGGCCTAGTGATTTGGAGTCCAAGTATTATTCCTTATGGGGGTAGGATACAGCTTACAAGACACCAAAAGTTCGGGGAAGTCCATTTTGGGCCGTGCCAAGATATATCGCTTTACCCGGTAGCATTGTCAAACGACATGCGCCGTACGGAGCATTTCATAGCATTAGGGAGTGCTCCGTATAGGTGTTGACATGAGAAACATGGTGAATGTTGGTAGTAATAAATAACAGAACAGTTCTAATAACAGGATGTGCTAGGTGCGTCCCCCCCTCCCCCCCCCCCGCCCCCAAGTCTAGGTGCGCCCCCCAACGGCCTACACGTGACTTTACTTAGCGGTTAGCCATAGTATCTTAAAATACCGAAATCGCAGAAGCGGCGATAGATTCAAAGCACAATAACAAAAACCGCGTATAAAAGCTAAAAAGGCTGGTATACAACGTATACCATTCAAAACCAGTTACAGCACTATATCCTTGTCTATTGCATTAAATCCCCTTCGCCTACTTGGCGCTACTGGTACTGGTGGTTGCAAGAAACAGTTACGATACGCCTACCTACCTTTAGTGTTAACTTTCTATATTTAAACACATATTGGCGTAGTGTAGCCTAAGCGTTTATTTACTATTAGATTACATTATAAGGGAAAGGCCGCCAATTCAAGCCATTTTATAGTGCGCAGCGCGCAAAGATGCGTTAACATTGCAAAGGTTACTTACTATCTATAACACCTATAGCACACGTGCTACGTGCAAGGTGCTTATCTAACTGCGTGCTTATCTAACTGTGCGTATTGTACTGTACGGGTCATACACTAGTACACGCGCAGAGATTGCGCGTACAGACTAGTGGTGCACGCACAAGGACGGGCAGCGGCGCGCCGTACGGGCAGGCCGGTGCCGATAACGCTTAGTAGGAGGGAGTTTTCTGATACAATGGATAAGGACACGGCGGCATAACTGGTCTTGTATGGTATTTACTAGTCTTTTCTGTTCTTATTTAGTGTTTTTGGTTATTTTACTTCGAATCTATTATGACTTACACAGAGACGATTTCAATATTCTGCCTGTGTTAACCGCCTAAATAAGTCACCTGGCCCTTGTTTGTAGAATTTTGACCTGTGTCTAGCACATCCCCTTGGGAACGCCCAGTTACGTAATCGGGTATCTTATGGGGTCTAGTGTGTTTGCGCGACAGCGTCGCGTTCGAGCTCAAAATGTCCAAACCTTCATGCTCCAAATTTTCGGAAGCAGCAGAACCAGACCACCACATGCCATTCTAGAAAAGAGTCGTAAGCTACGCCCGCTTCTCTTTGCATCGCAGGTCGCGCCCTTGAATCCTTCTTTTTTAGAAGAACTACGCATTCAGGGTGTCTAGCAACATTTCCTCTCGAGGCTCCCTGTCAACCGCCTGGGACAGACGGCTCGTTACTAATTGAAGGGAACAGCTGCTTGACGCGCCGCCTGATATATCTTCAAAGTACTGTATGTCAGAATGGCAGCAACTCCTGGGCGTCCGATTCCGGGTGCATTTTTCGCAACCCCCGCTAAAGCATCCAAACTTGACGCCGGACGCTCATTCTTCGACGCGATACCTACATCGGACATCAACGGCTCCATTGCGCACAACCAACCGCCTGACCAAGATCCAATAGACCCCGTCACAGCTCTCCCTGCTCTTCCATCGCTCTCTCCTATTCTGAAGGCTGCTGGGTCGGTGAACAAGGTTCTACAGCTCGACGAGAGCTACCCAGACCTTGATTCGTACTGTCGACGTAAGTCATTATCCTGCGTATGCCGCGCATTCACCCTTATATCTGCAGGTTTCATTCACAGGGAGGGGGCATAAGGCAAGGGAGCTAATAGGATTATATCAACATTAGCTGGCGCATCTTCAGAGTATGACATTCACGGCGCCGAATCGCCGCGGGCACCCTTCCACAAAGTGCAGACATTTCCTATCCCCGAACAGATCTTCGAACGATACAACGTTTCCCAGCTTGTCACAATCATGGGACTCTTCCCAGAATTAAACCATGCTTATGCCTGCATAGATAGCAGTCTTTTCTTGTGGGACTTTACGCTGCCCAATCCCGAGCTGATAGGCTTCGAGGACCAGCCACACGCCATTACAGCAGTCGGTCTTGTGCGTCCTAAACCAGGCGTTTTTGTCAATGACATCAGTCACATACTGGTAGTCGCCACAGAGGTTGATATCATTCTGCTTGGTGTTGAGGCTACCAATACACCTGCCGGCTCAAAGGCAGTCTCATTATATCAGACAAAGATGTCCATTCACCGTGGCGGTGCCAATGTGGCTTTCATTGTGGGCACTTCGTCTGGTCGCATCTTCCTTGGTGGTCGAAACGATACCGACGTGCACGAAATCTACTACCAACAGGAAGAAAAATGGTTCTCTAACCGCGTGGGAAGGTGCAACCACAGCCATCCGGGCTGGTCGTCGGTTGTCCCGGTCTTACCTGTCAACCTTGACTTTTGGTCACAAAGAAACTCGGAGTCTCTGGTACAAATGGTCGTTGATGACTCGCGAAATTTGTTGTACACGCTCTCAAATAAATCCACCATACGCACATATCACATTGAGGGTCCGGACAAGCTCACGAAGGTTATCGAGAAAGAAAAGAATCACTGTCTCCGAGACATCACACATATGATCAACTCGTCCCCGCTTTTGACAGACCGCGTTTCCATCATCGGCATCAGTCCCATTTCTGCACAAGAAGCTTCGAAGCTTCACTTGATGGCGCTGACAAGCACCGGTTGCCGCCTTTTTCTCAGTGCGACAAGCTCGGCATCTTACATCATGAATTCATCGAACACAGCACCTCAATCCATGCAAGTTCAGTTTGTCAAGTTTCCTCCTAGGGATCAGTCAGCTGCGGTTGGCGCAATGTCGCGTCTCGGTGGATCTACAGATGCTGTGGTGGACCTTCAATCTCGTGCCCTAGACCCTACAATAAAGGGTTGTCGGTTTGCACCAGGTTTTTTCTTTGACTTCGTCGGGGGGCAGGAGGTACGGCTATTCGTCTCGGCACCCGAAACTGGAAAGATACAGATGACTACCCCCGCCTCCGCATTGAAATATTACGAGCACGGTAATTGGATTTCGCTAGGAAGAGCGCAAGACGCTTTGGATGTTGGCCTTGTGACAAAGCCCTTTGCGGCAGCAAAGCAACCCTTGGGTTTTGGCAATGAGTTGGCTGTGCAGTTCGACTCTCCACCGAGCGAATTTGCTATCATGACGAACGATGGAATTCATATCATCCGAAGACGACGTCTTGTCGACATATTCGCTACTGTTATTCGAGCTTTTGGCAGTGACGACATGTTCGACAAAGAAATTCGAAAGTTCATCCAGTTATACGGGCGCGTCGAAACTATTTCTACTACCCTTGCAGTCGCATGCGGTCAGGGAAGCGATCTTCGAGCAGGTACAAGCCGCGCCGTTGACCAGGCTACAGAGGATCGAGCCAAGGCAGCCTTTGTTAACTACGGTGGCCAGCCAACCGTCTCCGAGACGGACAGCAGTACTATCACTATGGACTCAGTCAGGCTCTCCTCTCGCCATGATGCCCTTGTGCTATACCTCACACGATTGATTCGAACTTTGTGGGGCGCCAGAGTTATCACCAGAGACTTTTCCCCTACCGGTGTAGTTGTCAAATCCACGGTACCGACCGGCGAGCTCACAATTGTCCAAGAGAACCTTGAACGGCTGCGCACTTTTCTGAAGGTTAATGCGGGCTCTATACAGGGATTGTCAGGACCTGCAGACCTGCGCCGCACCACGAGACATGAAGAAATCGCCCTGCAGGCCGAGCATCAGGCGTTACATGCTTTGCAGAAGCTAATGGAGAGCATTTCTGAGGGTATTTCGTTCGTTCTAATGCTCTTCGACGAGCGTGTATCCGACATTTATGTTAGAATGGACGACTCCACCCGCCAGGAACTACGCTCATTAACGTACGAAAGTCTCTTCTCCAAGCCGGAGGGAAAGCAACTGGCCAAGTTGCTTGTGAAGGTCATTGTCAATCGAAATATTGAGAGCGGCTCCAACGTTGAAACAGTAGCTGACGCTCTGCGTCGCCGCTGTGGTAGCTTCTGCAGTCCTGACGACGTTGTGGTCTTCAAAGCCCAGGAGCAGTTGCAAAGAGCTCTAGAGCAGGCCAACTCACCCAGCGTCGCACGCAATCTCCTGAATGAGAGTCTCCACCTGTTTGAACGCGTCGCTGGGAGTTTGTCATTTCCGAATTTGCATGCCGCCGTCAAGCAATACGTGCAGCTGAAGTACTACGCAGGTGCAATCCAGTTATGTCTTGTTGTGGCAAGGGAGTCAGACCGAGGCAACACAGCCTCGGCATGGATTAGTGACGGAAAGTCAGAAAGCGATCCAAGAAAGTGTAAATGGGAGAGCCGAAAGGGTTGCTATGACCTCATCCATACTGTGCTTGGCCAGCTTGATATTGACTCAACTGCGGAACCCGAGCTCATCGATGGTCGGCTCACACTCGCCGCAACCAAACGAATGGAAGCGTACAGTGTTGTCAATGACTCCGACGATGAAGTCTTTCATTTCGACTTGTACGAGTGGTATATTGAGCAAGGTCTAACAGATCGTCTTCTTGCAATTGATTCGCCACACATTGTCACGTTCCTCGAGCGCCTTGCCTCAGTCGACGCCAGCCACGCAGATCTCTTGTGTCGTTTTTATACGCATCGCAGCAGATTTTTCGATGCCGCCAATGTTCAATACAACCTTGCTGCATCCAACTTTGACGTCAGCATCAAGGACCGCATCACGCTTCTCAGTCGAGCTAAAGCCAACGCCAGTGTATCCACAGCAGGCGTCAGTGGACAAAGTCAACAACAGCTCAACCATGAAGTGACAGAACTGCTCGATATCGCTCATGTCCAAGACGACCTGCTTGAGAGATTGCTCTCAGATAGCCGTATACCTGCTGCTCGGAAAACTGAAATTGAAAAGGATCTTGATGGGCCGGTGCTTGGCTTATCAGAGGTATGTTACAATTTTTGCCTACAGTTGTCAGGGTCAATTGTCAAACTAATATTGTCCAAGCTGTTCAACGGATATGCCGATCAGGCAGGCTACTACGATCTCTGCCTCTTGATATTCAATGCTGCGGATTACCATAATCCTCGTGTCATCGCGGACACCTGGAAGCAGCTCATTAATAGCACACATGAAGACGTCGAAGAGCGGCTTGCTGCGTACGAAGAGTTTTGTCGTGGGCATAGAGTGAGCGACAGCAGTATGAACGCGACTGGGCCACCGCCATTGCCATACGAAGCTGTTTCCATGCAAGTTCAGACGATTGCACACCGCACGTCGTTGGGCTCGCTCATTTTCCCAATCGACGTTTTGCTAACAATTGTGTGCGAATATGCGCTGACTAAACAGCAAGACGCTTCTATTGGTGCCAATCCTGCATGGCCTGTCTTGCTTTTTCTGCAGTTGCGGGTATCTCATGCCATGATTGTTCGGGTTTTGGAGCGAATCCTAGATACGCAGGAGGTGCCATTCACTGGACGCCGGAGAAAGGCGGTCGTGGAATGGATAAATACAGTCGTGGGCATCTGGTGCCACGAGCTCGAAGTTAGCGGTCTTGGGAGTGCAAAGGGGGATGCAAGCATAGCGCGTTGGGTTGTCGACCTGATGGGTCGTGCTGAGCGCACAGTCCTCGACATTTTGACCTCCGTGCGTGACGTCAGGCTGAAACAAGAACTAGAGGATGTTCTAAACGAGACCAGGATGCTTAGAGGCCAAGTGGACAGCAATGTCCGTCCGGGGCCCCAAGCCACCATGAGATTCAAGTAATTCGGGTGCTAGTTTTGGCCAACGCGAATGAATACTGTACTGCCTCGGGATCAAAAACGGGCAGGCCTTTGGATGTGAGAGTTGGCCGGCAGACATGACTGGCTTGCTACGGCGTCTGTGTACAACTCTGTACAACGGCACTCGGTCTTGCAAGCAGGATGCAAGGCGAGATAATTCGGAGAGGGGGTTGAAGGCGAAGATGTCGAATCAATATAGGAGTTACGATCTGATTTCTTCTTTCTGTGTTTATACATCGTTGTTTCGAATTGAGCAATCTGTTTCATCTGGAATAAATGGAGTTATGGACAAGGATATCCCCAGTACCATAGGATTTTGTAAAAGGCAAGAAGGCCTGTCCAAAATCATAGTTGAACTAGAAAGTAAACATTCCCTCGCTTTGAAAGGTAGGCCGGTAGGTTGCCAACAGTAAATCGAAAAGAGGCGCAGCAATAGTATCAGTCGGCATCCATCCAGCCTTCTTGTTCGCCATCGCCGTCGATTTCGAATGCCGTTCCGAGAGCTTCTTTGCCTTGGCGAATCATAGCTTGCAACCTCAAATTAAAGGTTTCCATCTTAGCGTCAGCATCCAATTCAGCAACAGCCCTACGGGCAGCCAACTGCCTTGCTTCTTCGTCTAAGCGTGGGCTTGCATCGATAGCGCCTTCCAACGCTTCGTGTCCGAAGCCTTTCCGAGAAAGAGACGCCACCGCCGTCATGCTGTGACCCCGTCGACGTAACTTTTGAGCACCGTTTGGCCGGCCTACGGAAAGTGTCGGTGACGTAGGTGCCGTCCCGTTTCGGCTCCTCGCTCTGTATCCAGACGCCGGTGATGCCGTGCGTGCAAAGGGATTGGTCGTGCGACCACCCATCGACGGAACTGGAATGCGGCTAGTGGATTGGCCATATGCGCTACGATCAAAGCCCGGCTGCGTCGACGAAGGAGAGCACCGTGGAGAGGTGAAACTTGCCGGCTCACGTGGCGACATCATCGGACTGCTAGTATGGGGGACACGTCCGTTCCATATTTTGGTTGACTGTACTGGAGTAGCAAGCCGCGATACAGGTGTGCTTATTTGGCGCAGTGCAGTGTCAGACGTATGCACCTTTGTCATGCTCATCCTTTGAGCTGGTATTCGGGCGTCGGTAGCCTCTGATGTGCCGACTGCACGTCGTTCGTTGTCACGTACTCGGTCGGTCTCCACAACGACCCAGTTGCGCCCGAGTTCTTCGCCTGCGACGCCAACTTGCCGCCTCTTCAAAGCACATCTGTGCTTTGAGTCTTGAGTCTCCTCCGTCCTTTGAACGTCTTTGCTGGGCTGAAAGCTCCAATCAGGCTGAAAAAAATCACTGGGAGCACGGCTCTGTTTGCTTTCGTCCGTTTCGGGCCACCCTGTAGCTGGTTGCAGACCGATGTGCGAGGTGTTATTCACGTGGGTAGCGCTCTGGTCCACCGGCTTTCCTGTGTCCCAGTCATAGCCAACACCGCCGCCAGCATGAAAGCCGCGGAATCCACTTCCTGTACAGAAATCCCAAACCCTACCAACGACACTTCCAAGAGCATGCAGAATGGACCAGTGTTCCAAAGCTGGGGGCTCGAAATTGGCATCTGTTCCGGACCGACCTGTCCCTTCGTTTGTCTCGTGCAGCCGCGTGGGGCCTAGAGCTCTTCGGTATTCGATATCTGAGTAGGTGCTACCCTCCAAGGCTCCAGATTCCGCTGTTTCACAAGTCTCTATCTGGCCTGCAAGCGTATACTGAATAGGCCCTCCGGTCTTTCTTTTGTACAACCTCTCGCCTAACTGTTCTTTAGTTTCTGAGGGTAGGGCTAGGTCGCTTGTTGTGTCCATGCTCATGTTTTGCCACTCAGCCAGTGGTGTTGATTCCCTGTAATCGTTCGCGGGTCGTTTTCGCTTTCTTTTGACAGATGTGGGGATATCCATGCCATTCATTATCGATATATCAGAGTAAAGGCTTGTAGTGGACTTGTCCAAGTTGAGTACAGAGTTCGACACAGATGGAGACGTGGGTGGAAGGTAGATATTTGCACCCAAGGCAGAAATTGGCCAGGGTGGATTATCGATTCGGTATGCGCCTGGCACGTGAAACTCGGATTTCGAAGAGGTCATGGGGGCGGTGGCAGAGGCGCATAAACAGGAACGCAGGAGTCTATGTTGTGGGAGATCAAGCGGCTGGCTTTGTTACAAGCCGCATCAAAGGAGAGGCTTGAGTCTCTGCTTGATAGACCCTTGACAAGGATAGGTCGCGCAAAATCATAAGATGAACGGGTTTGGTAAAGAAGCAGACGGCACTGAGCCTTCTGATGTGAAACCGTTAGCTTGCTAGCATTATTCATCAAGCAGAATGCAATGCGATGCTGTGTTATCTTACTTTAAGCGCCACACTATTGAAAAAAAGCACCGCCACGCTATTTGATTGAGTTCATACGCACTCTCTGCTTATCCAATCGACCAAGACACAGTCGCGGTTATCTGATCGTGTCAATTTCGTTCCAGTGTGCCATCGTCTGGGTATACATATACTCGGACGTGTCGTGTTTGTGGGGTATGTAACTTGCAAGTGTTTATCTGTACTCCGTAATAGGTGCCGTAAACAAACACCATACTCCGTACGAGTACTCCGTACTGTATTTTAAGTTCCGTTGCCTAGCAATAACGACCCGTTTCGGTTATGTAATCGTAAGCTCAGATAGCTATATTTACAGATGGATATACTTCGTACTCTGTAAAATCAATAATGTTATAGAACTGATTGTTACCAAACGACATGTTTGAACTACTTCGTACAGGTTCTGAAATCTCGAAAACACCGGTCGGGGGGGGGGGGGGGTGAAGAAATATTGATTAATTCTCCGCACTGTCGCCAGTGACTCCATCTATGGCCACCAGGAAATCTAGAACCCGGTTCGGTATCCCATCAATCATTATCGCTCCTGGCCTCGCCGTTCTGTGTGTAGTACGCGTTTCGCATTTCGTTGCGGTCTGTAGAGACACCACCATCAACACCTTGGTCATTCTGGACGTGTAGGCGGCTACCCCAAAACTCGTCGCGTTCTCGGAGAATTTGCTCTGCCCACTCGTTTGTTTCCGGAAGTGACAATTTGGTGGCCACATAGGCAAATTCGCTTAGGTCGATACGACCATCGCCACGCTTCTCATATTCGGCCATCTGTAAGAGAAGTTCGATTTTGTCGACATCGTGCACGAAAATGCTTTCTGGTGTCCTCGAATCTTCGTATTCTTGCCAAATGTGGCGCATTTCCCGGCCCGGGTTGCCACCACCGACGTTACCAAGTAACGTTTCGGTGATATAATCCATAGTGGAGGATTCTCTGCGGCTTTTCTCTGGCTTCGGTACGCCGTCAACTGGGGTGATATCGCCAACCAGTGATTCGGCCATGTCATGTATGAGACACATCTTCATACACCTGGTCATGTCAAGTCGCGAAGAGAGCGATGGGGGGGCTAGCATGGTAATAAGAGACATGCGGTACATGTGATCTGCAATGGATTCACCACTTAGAAGGGTCAGATCATAATCATCTTGAACAGAACAATTGTTTCATCGGCTCACTGGATAATTCCAAATCTCCGCCACCCCTCCCTCTTTGTTGTCTTCAGCCGCTCGAGAATGTGAAAATAAGGTACAGCGGATAGTGACCCCCCCTCGGGTTTTCCGGTTGGTATCATGTTCACAGCTTTGTCCACTGTCCATTCTCCAGCTACCACTGCTGTTGCAACAATGCCCAGGTCTTCATTATGAAAATATCGATCAGATTTGTGCATGAAGCTGCGTTTGACACATTTGAGAGAGACTCACCTGCAATCAACTTCTCCTGTGACGCATCTTGGGCCGGAGACGCACCATCATTGTCATATATCATGGCTGCTTTACGTTCTTTTTGTAAAAGTAAGATAATAACTATAATGGCGATAATAAAGAAAACAGGTGACGAGAACAGAACGATTAGTAGGACGAAAGACAGAAAAGGCTTGTAGCATTAGGCCTAGATTCAGTTGTGACTGGGCTAGTGAAAAGCCCAGTACACAGTGCTCGCACTCATGCGCTATACCTATTTTAGCCCGCTAAGACGGCTGTAAAATGAGGTATCCATTATGTGACTTCGCATACCTATCTGGCTTGTAAAAGCCTTCACAATTGAATAGCGCCGAGATACGGAGAAAGTGGGACCATGGGGATTTCGGCCACCCCCCCATTTGGGCCACCCAAAAATCGTGATAACTTGATAGCATCAAAAAAAAACCCCCCCCAATTATAGCAATTGAAATACCTAACAAAATCATGCAAATTATATATCATTTGAAAGCTCTCCTTCAGAGCCATCGCCCACTTTAATTACTTCTCTTCCTGCGGCGGCTTAACTACTTTGTATGTCCTTAATTATAGCGAATTTTAAATTTAGGCTTATAGCTATAGCCTTCTTTTTCTAAGGTTATAGGCTTTTAATTTTTACTTTCAATACTTTTAATTTTCGCTTAAATAGAGTGCTTTTAACTGCCTTTTTATTAAATGCTTTATAAAGCTTTCAAAATAAAAGCTGCCTTAAAATAACGTAGAATATAACTGTTAATATTTAGCTAGTTAGCTAGTTAAATTAGGGTTTTTTTTAAAAGTAGTTTATATAATTATAGTAGCTTAAAAACTAGTATTTTTTAATAGTAGCAAAAGAAAGTACCGCCGAGCCCTACTAAGGGCGCTAGGCCGCATTCGGCGAATAATGGCGAATAAGTAAAAGGGCGCTTAGTAAAGCTTGCCGAGTGCCCTTAAGTGTTCTGCTACGCTTAACCGCTATTGTAGCGTATATATATTTTTTAAGCGCTTACTAGTAATAAAATTAAATAGAGTAAGATAAAGTCTTACTTTTAAGCTTTTTATACCTTTTATCTTACTTTTTATTCTACTATAAATTATATACTACTAGTAATACTTATTATAATTCTTTATCTTTTAATACTCTTTAACTTTTATAGCTTATTATAATAGTAAAAGGAAAGAGAGTAGCAAGTATACCTTTTATCTTAAGCCTTTTATAAGTAAATTATTAACTAGCGCTGTAGCTATAAGCTTATAACTAAGTATAAAGCCATTAGTATAAATTCTAATAAAGCTTCTTATAATATATACGTAGTATAACCTTAGCCGTTAAGCAACCCTTAAATAACTTATATATTGATTTATTAACTTACTTTAGTAAGTAGCTTAGAAAACTAATATAAGTGCTATTCTTAATTATAAAAAAAGCTATAAAACTATTAGCCTTAACTATCTTAAATATAGCTTAATAAAAAGATAATACTTATATACTAACCTATATAGTATTACGCTTATTAAATGCAAAACTTCTTATAATAGCTACGTTTAAGCTATCTAACAACAAATCTAATAACGAATTTAATAACGGCTATACTAGCGCTATAGTAATAATAACAATGCTAAAACAAGTATGCAAGATATATAAGGCACTAGCAGCACCTATAGTAAGACGACACATTAACCTCTCTACCATTCTTAGCACTAATAAGGCCTTAAAAGTAATTACTCCTACTATGTAAAGCAGAATAAGAACTACAACCGTTATAAAGAAACTAGGAATAAAGAACTATATCTAAGTTGTCCTCTTACTATTAACGCGTAAGATATTAATAAAGCTACTACTACTGCTAAGAACACTACTATAAGTAAAGACATAAATATAAATATAAACGTAAGCAAACATATTACAACTACTAGCAACACTACTACTAATTAAGACTATAACGCTAGTAAGGTTAAGAAAAATACTAGTAGTATTACTAGTAGTACTTAAGCACTAGGGTACTATAGGAATAATTAATAAGTAAGTATTCTAAAAGCTTTTATAGTAATTAATTTAAAAGCTTCTATTATAATATAAGATATATAAATACTATCTTTTATCTTACTTTACTTTACGTTTTCTTTATTATTATTATAATAATAATGATAGCAACGGCAATAGCAACAGCAATAGTAATAGCAATAGTAATAGTAATAATATACTTTTAGTTTTATTATTACTCTTTTACTTACTAGTAAGTTATATAATATTTTTATCTTTTTTTTTACTTTACTTTATAATCTTTTACTTTATACATATTATACTACTTATAAGCTATAATATAGCTTATTCCTTAGTTTATTTTACTTAATATTATAATAGGTATTATATAAAGCACACAATTCACAGCAAAATAAATTACAAGATAAAAGGTATAAAAGGGTAGTAGTAAGACTTTATCTTACTCCTTTTAAATTCGTTACTAGTAAGCGTTTACAATATATATATATATATATGCTACAATAGCAGTATAGCGTAGCAGAACGCTTTAAGGCGCTCAGCAAAGCTCGCTAAGCGTTATTTCGCTTATTCGCCGTTGGTCGCCGAATCCGGCTTAGCGCCCTTAGCGGGGCTCGGCGATACTTTTTCCTACTACTAGGCAAGACTCGCCGGACGCCCTACTCCGGCCCTGCTAAGCCTTGCGCGGTCTGCATATACTTTATTCTGCGAGCCTGCCTGAATTATTACCAATTTGTGCTAGCATTCTATACTTTAGTTAATCTTTTTATAGATATATCTTAAGTAAAAATTTAAGCTTATATATATTAATAACGTAAACTAAAGGATAGGCTATAAGGCTTATTAAAATATAATCTATATAAGGAAAATAACTTAAGTAATTAAAGACTTATTAGTTAGTTAGTTAGTTATTCTTACTTACTTACTTACTATTTCTTTATATTACTATTACTTACTATGTTATTGCTTTCTTTGTTAACTTTATTATAGGCTAAAAGCTATTAATACTATTAGTAATACTAGTACACTAGTATTAGTACTAGTTAGTACCAGTATACTAGTTTCCTAACCCTAAACGCTAGTAACAACTCCCTCTTAAATAAACAAACAAACTAGAAGTAACGCTACGCTGATTCTTATACAAACTTAACTAGCTTAGTATAAAACTTAAAGCTTTTAAGATCTCTTAGCTATACATAGTAGCAACAATTACACTACTATATAGCGTATTAAACTAGATAGCTGCTTACCTTATTAATAGTATACTTTAAAGCTTTTTCTAAACAATTATTAACTAATATAGTAAACTAGCTATAATAGCACTAATACTACTACTACTAATATAAGCGCTTATTACTTATATACCTTTTGTCTTTTTTTAACCTTTTTTCGTTTCTTCTTAACCCTCTCTTCCTTTTATTCCTTTTTTTAGACAACTAGTCCTTTTATTATATATAAAAGTACTAGCTACTTACCTTTATAATAATAATAAGTAAACTTACCTTACTTTATAAACCTTTAACTTAAAAGATAAAAGTAAGCTTATTATTTATAAACCTTAAAGATAGTACTTAATAAACGTAAAAATTATTAATATAACTAATAAGGTATTAGCCTAGCTCAACTAGCCTTATATATAAGCTATTTAAATTACTTTAAATAAAGATATTATAATAGTCTTTTATATATATACTATACGCTAGTTTAAATAAAAATAGTATAGCTTAATAAGCTTAAACTTTAGCTAAAATCTACCTTTACTTACATAGTTATATATAACATTCTAGTAGTAGTTTTTTAGTTTATAAACCTTTAAAATTAAGTTAAATATAGCACTTAAATTATTAGCCTTTAGCTAATAATTAAAGCTAAAGCTTTAACTAGATGTTTTTATATTATAGTAGCTACTGCCTTTTTAATAGCTATAAGTAAAGTTTATATAATAATTAATACATATATGGTACATAATAATGTCTTATACTATAATAATAAACTACTTATATACTATAAATGCTAAATATAAAAATATATAGTACATTACTACTATAAACCTTAATAATACATATACTGTAGTGTAGATTATTAAAGCTAGTAATGTATAGCTATACTAGAATCAAAAAGTGCGTTCAAGCTATATTTAGCATACTACTCTTAGTGCTTAATAGTAAAGATAGTATAAGATAAAAGTATAAAGGTAACAGCTTAAACTATAGCAATAGTAGTAGCAAAGGCATTACTTAGTATAATTCCTTCTCTCTACCTTACTTTATATATATAGTGTTGTAAAATGTTTTTAAATATAAGCAATATATTGCTAAAATACTACATTAAATATAATATAATAGCACTAATATTCCTTCTTCTTTGAGAACTATAGTATAACTAGTTAACTTGAAACATTCTAAGTGCAGCAACTAGCTAGTTTATTAAGATTTAGCTAGATAATAGCTAGGTTATAGCCTACGTCATTTAGTATATACTAGCTAGCCTATAAACTTTTACTATTACTATAAACTATATCTTTCTCTTCTTCTTCTTAAGCCTTTAGCTACTTTATATATATAGCGTTTATAGTCTAAACTTATACTTATAAGCTTAAACCTTCCTCTTCTCTTAGCTAGCATAATCCCTTCTTTCCTTTAATACTAACATTATTATTATAAGCAACCTAAATATACATTACTTACTTTAAGACCTAGTACGCTACAAGTTAATATAAGTAGTAACCTTAACTAACTTTATAATAGACTAAACTTATCCTTTTAAACACTACCAAGCAAGCATACCTAGTATAACTATAGTGCTAGCAGTAAACAACTATCTATTATTAACTATATATGAGTAATAGCAAACACGTAAGCTATATACTTATCTTTTAACTTTACTAGATTTAACTACTAACTATAAGTGTATATAATTAATACCTCTTACTTGCCTCTTAACTGCTATAGCTTTAGCTAGTACTATACTAATAAAGAATATATCCTTAAGCTTACCTCTTTTCTCTTTAAGCTAGTTTCTAACACCCTAACCTTACTAAAAGAGATAAAAGAAATAATAAATAAGCTAGTTAGCTTACTTTATAACATAGCCTTTATAATAACCTTTACTAAAAAACTAGCTATTAGCTTTTAATATATAGGGTAAAACGCAAAATACAACTCTACTACTTATAACCTATAAGTAGTAAAAAGAAAAGAAAAAGCCTAATAAAAAAGTAAGAATATAGCTACCGCTATAAAAAATAGTATATAAAGACTAAGCATAGGCGCTTTAAGCCATAAGTATAGCTTATTAGTAAGGTATAATCTATACTATATTAAAAGTTAAAACCTTAGCTTAGCGCTTTAAGTAGTAGGTAAGACAATATAGCTATAGGCTTATAAAAGCTACGCACCTCTTTTTACTACGCAAAGTAAATAAAATAATAATACGTTTTTATAATACAAAGATAGAAAAACTATTAGCCTACTTTTTTTTAACTTTATAAGCAAAACCTTTTAACCTAAACTAGTAGGCTAAGCTTAGAATCTTTATATTTTAAATAATTACTAAAGCTAAGATTGCTAAAGCTATTTAAAGGCACCTTTTTATATAAAGTAATAAGTTTTAATAAAATATTTAACGCTTTTGTTTAAGTATACCTTTAATAGGCTAGTAGTTATATATAAAGAAAACAAAGGTTAGTTTAGTAGTTAAAGAGGTGCAAGAATTTAAAGCTATTACAGCGCTAAGCAAAAGAGAGGCTTAGTTATCTTAAAAGAAAGAAGTATAAATATATAAGAATACTTTTACTTTTTAGTTGGCTTTTTTTATAGCACTATTAGTTTAAAGGTAAAAGGCTATTAAGAGTTTATATATAATAAATAGCTTTTTATAAATCTTTTCTTATAGTATAAAGATAAACTAAGTTCTTTAGTTAAAAATAATTGAATTTAAAAAGCTATAGTAAGTAAAGATAGATTTGGCTAAAGCTTTTACTATATTAATAGTTTTGATTTTCCTTATTAGAGTTAGTATTATACACCTTAAAAGGTAGTCTATAATTATTAAGAGGTTTTTATATAGTATGCTTTTAGAAATAAAAGAAGGTAGTTTGATAATAACGTTAATAAATAATTTAGCCTAAGGCTAATTAAAAATAAGTAAAGGGTTTAATAAGCTTTACTTTACTTCTTTTTAAACCTTTACCTTACAATAAATATTATAGTTTTATACTAGCTTTTAAACATTTACTAACAAGCTAGGCTAAGTATATTCCTTAAAAACTAAATCTTTAGTCTTTGTTTTATTTAAATAGCTAAAAAGAAAAAAGGTATAATGTAAAAGTCTAGCCTAATAAGAGAAGTTGCTATTAGGTAGATTAAACTAGTTAAAAACTAAGCTAAAAAAGAAGAAAGTGTAACGCCGCCCTAGGAAGAGGACCGACGCAGGCTACGCGCAAGCCGTACGCAGTATGCGCACAGCGTATTAGATGCACATCGTGAACTAGAAGCGGTGCTTGTGGCGCAGGCTGCGTGGCGCAGTCTGCGCACAGGCCACAGCATGTGCTAGCGCACGGGCCAAGTAGAAACGGGGTCGCGCCTGTCTTGCGCACTTGGTGCGCCAGAGGTGCGCCTACGATAAAGAGCGCCTCCCGCACTCCCTTAGCCTTAGAGTGCAGAAGGCAAGAATTAGCTATTGAATATACGGCTGCTCCCCCCTGTTAAGAAGATACCTCCTTGCCTGCCTAACTTACCTAGCCTACCCAAGTATACCTTTAACACTACTACTTTATTATAATTATAAGTATATTTATAGGTAAGGTAATCTTAAATACTTTCTTATAAAACTAGCATATATCTTTAAAAATAACTCTAGGCTATTAATTTATAAATTTAAGCTAGGTACTAGGTACTAATAATATACTACGCAATATATAATTTTATTACGTTATATAAAGGCAGCACTATAAAAAGCAATTTTATAAATAGGTTTAAACTTTACTAAATATTTACTATTAATAAAAATACCTTTTTATTTAATAAATAATACTAACTTATACAGCTATGTTGCAAAGGTAATTGTTAGAATAAAGTAAGGGCGCAAGTAAAAGTTATAACAAAATAATATAATTAAGCTAGACTATAACCATCTTACTTGTTTATACTAAAAGAAGTTTTGTTCCTTAAGCTAAAGTAATACCTAACTCTAGTTTTTACACAACTTATTATCTTACGTATTATTCTACCTTAAGGTCTTTGTTAAATTCTCTTAAATATAGCTAACAAGCATTTAACTAAGTAACTATAGTTAGGTTAGCCTATTTAAGTTTATATAATAACTTTATTACTTCTAGTATATAAGGTAGGCTCTTAATATATATATCAACTATATTTCTTTAATATTATCGCTAGCAACATTGTTATAACAGCTTAAAAAAATCGATTAGTCGCTAAAATAAACGCCACTTTTATAAAGAGACTTTGCCTAGTCTTTTTTTATAGTACTCTACATACAAAGCCATTGCTAGCTTAGGTTTATTCAAGGATTATTTAAAGGTTACAAGCGTATTAGACTTAATGCATCCTGCTAGAGTATCCTAATTTAAGCGTATGGCATTAAAGGAGTGTAACTATCCAGCCGTGATCAAAGATGACAAGTCTATAGTCGACGGCTAATTTGCCAACCTTAAGACTCGCCTAACGAAGACATATAGATGATTTTGAAGGCAACGAATATAAGCCTTTGGCCGTCTACGTCAAAGTTCTTGACGACGAAAGCTTGCTAGGATTAAAGGCAGTAGAGGCCGATTCATATTTGGTGTGGAAGTATAGACGATCTGACCTCTGATTCTTAGGACTTCAAGACATTCCTTGAAGAGCGGCAGGGGAAAGGGCAGAACTCTTCGGTTTAGAACTTTTGTAAGATAAATCATGGTAAACCTATAAAAATTGCTTGTATTCCTGTTTAACAAAAGTAAGATACCTTATTATAACAAAAGCTGGCCCTAACACACTATTCTATCTATCAATTGCACGTCAGTTGTCGGAGACTGAATATCATTACAGTCAGCAAGGCGTATGAGGAAGACCACAACTATACACAATCGCTTACTAAGCATACATAAAACGACAATATTCTCTGATTTATAACCCCAACGTGGACATCATAAGGTAGAATTTCTTGAGTGTCCACCGCTTCCCATTACCCAATATAGACGGTCTGGCGGGCCACAATGTCTCGCGACGAGAAGCCGACTAGAAACTCGTACACGCCCGGCACCAGCGCCCAGTCCTCGGCAACGTCGTCCCAGATCTGCAAGTCGCTTTTCGCGACATCTATGGCGACGGCCTTGGCGGTGCCGGCGGCTAGCTCGACCTTGGCAAAGCCCCTGAGCAGCTTAGGTGGCTCGCGGGCGTGCGGCGGATAGGCAACATAGAGCTGGACGACCTGCTTGGCGGTTGCGTTACCGATGTTGGCGAGGGTGGCGTGGCAGTGGAAGGTGGTGTTGGTAGTGGCGGCTTCGCTGACGGAGAAGTCGTGGAGCGCAAATTGGGAGTAGGTGAGGCCGAAGCCGAAGGGGAACAGCGGCTCGACGCGGTGCTGGTCGAACCACTTGTAGCCGACCAGGAGGCTCTCGCTGAAGTTGGCGGTCAGGTCGGCTTGGATTTGGGGGAGAGAGACAGCGTTTCTGTTCTTGATGCTAACATCGTCATCAATGCCGGGAAAAGTCACGGGTAGCTTGCCGCTGGGGCTGACATCACCGTACAGCAGGCGTTCGAGAGCGGCGCCGACCTGCTGCCCCGGATACCAGGTCTCGAGCAGGCCATCGACGGCATGCAGCCAGGGCATGTGGACGGCCGAGTTGGAGCCCAGCAGCACGAGAGTCTTGGCGGAGGCACGCGCGACCTGGGCCACGAGATCGTCCTGGCCAGCCGGCAGAGTCAGGTCTAGGTTGTTGTTAGCGCCCTCGGACTAGGCGTCGTTGACGACGACGATGCTGAGATCGGCCCAACGAGAGGCAGAGTCGATCTCGTTCTCACGTGTGGCATTGGCCATGTCGACGCCCAGTGTCACGCCGTAATTTCCGGTCGATAGCGAGTAGCCCATGGAGAAGTCGAGGCGTAGATCAACAGGCCGGCCGGCCGTCAGACGCACACTGCCCAGAACAGGGTTGCCAAAGTTCTGCTTCGTCATGGCGACGATGGGCTGGCCGTCCAGCGTCAGATTGGCGTCGCCCTGACCGTAGAGCGAGAAGCGGTAGAGGCCGGTGGTGTTGGGCAGGAACAGGCCGCGGTACTGCTCCGAGAAGACGTCGGGCCACGCAGTCCAGAGGGCGGCCGGATACGATGCGATGGTGATGTTGTCGATGGCCACCGTCTGGTTGGCAGGGCCGGAGAAGTCCGTCGTGGTCCAGTACGTGGCGTTGAGCTCGCGGAACATGCTGGACGGTGCCGTCTCATAGGCATCCGTTCCCGGAAAGGCCTCGGCATAGCGGAAGTCAATGCCCTCGGCGGCGCCGTGACGTGCCAGATAGTCGTAAGGGGGCTCGGTGACGCGGGTCGAGTCGATGACAAAGCCGCCGTGTAGTTCGGTCACGTGACTGTCGACGGTCCCCGGCCGAAGACGGCGATGCGGCCATACTTGCGGGCGGACAGCGGCAGCAGGCTGTCGCGGTTCTTGAGCAGCACCATGCCCTCCTCGGCGATCTGCTGGGCAATCTGAAGGTGCGCAGACGTGCGGGCAACGGCGGTGGCGTTGCCCGTGACGGGATGGTCGACAGCGCCGACGGCAAACATGGGTCGCCAGATGCGGGCAGCCATATCACGGACGCGCGACCAGGCGACAGAGCCATTGCGCACGGCATCGACGAGAAGGTCGCCGTAGTAGGCCGGGAAGCCGTAAGAGTCCTCGAGCGAGCCGCCCGGCATGCTGAGGTCGAGCCCGTTGTTGGCCGCAGCAACAGTTGAGCGATGGGCAAAATACCAATCGGCGACGACGAAGCCGGCAAAGCCCCAGTCGTTCTTGAGCGTGGAGTTGAGCAGTCACTCGTTCTCGCACGTGTACGCTCCGTTGAGCCGGTTGTAGCTGCACATGACGGCCGCCGCAGCCGCCTCCTGCACGGTCGCCTTGAAGGCCGGCAGATACAGTTCGTGAAGAGCACGACGGTCAACGACGGCATCGACGGCCGTCCAGCCAGGATCCAGGCCAAACCGGTTTGTCTCCTGATTGTATGCGGCCAGGTGCTTCGGACAGGCGAGCGCATGCTGGCTCTGGATGCCCTGCACCTGTGCTACGGCCATGCGTGCCGTCAGCCAGGCGTCCTCCGAGAAGGACTCGGCTGCTCGTCCCCACGACGGCGACCGCACAATGTTGATCGTCGGCGACAGAACCACGTTGCGGCCCTTGGCCAGGTGCTCCTGCGCCAGCGCCTGTCCGTACGCATACTGCAGCGTCGTGTTCCGTGCTGCCGCTGCTGTCACCGGTGCCGGAAACGTCGTCACGTTGTTCATGCTGTTGCCCACACCAGCAGGACCGTCTCCCATGCAGATTGCCGGCATTCCCAATGTCTCGTTGCCTGAGATGTGCCCGATGCAGGCGTTGACACCCGTCCCGTTGTCGTCGAGCTGCTCGTCAGCGCCATCGTCCAGATCCACAGCACCGGCACATGTCCACTTCACTTACCACTGTGTCACCCTGCACCATGGCGAAGATCTGCGTCTCGTTGAGCTGGCCCAGAAACATTTGCAGCCGCAGCTCCGTGTCTAGTGATTCGTCCAGCCATGGCTGCGTCGCCGCTGCTGCCACTACGAACCGTCCGAGAAAAAGAAGCCTTCCTGTCCGCATTTTTGCTCTTGTCTGCTCTCTTGTCGAGCTGGGGCTCTCGCGTGGACTACATTGTCAGAATGTCTGGACGTTGGTTGCTATTTGCTTTAAGCTCCGATCCACACCAGCTTTCTTGTTGGTCTTATCAATGTTACCTGTTTCCGACGGAAGATGGATGGTCCATTAAAGCCGGCCTCACCGGCCTTTCCGAAATTGGTTGCCGTGCTTGGCTGAGAAGTGCACGGTCCGCTACTTAATCACAACGACTGCAATGTAAAACACAGCTTGTGGATGACCCTCTACGTGATGTCATACAGCTGGAGAAGTCGTCTGTCATAGTTCACAGTGTACTTCTCACAAGGACACTCAAGCAGTAACAGAGCTCCAAAGCCTCGGCCTCAAGCATCCAACAATACGCCTTCCTTATCTATGCCTCGTAATTCGTGCCCTTTTACCACCGGCGTCTAACCAGCTCCCCGGCATCTAAAGCCTAGGCGCTTGTCTCCACCCCTCAATGTAGCCTATCTCTGCCCTCTCGATCCACCTCTATCTTTGAACTCTGGCAGCTTATCACCAACATCATGGCCTCGACTCTTTCATATTCTCGTACAGACAGGCCACACCGGCCATGTCTCAACTAGAAAAGGGAAACGGTCACGGATGAGCGAGGTTGGCCTGTGGGGGGAAAGAGATACTTTCTACGAAAACAAGAAATAATCAAACAACTGCGACTTCCCACTACTTTAGATTACCTAGACATTTCACAAAATAGAGAGGTCTGTGTTCAAGTTGAAAGACAAGACATCATATATTTTCTCGGTGTTTTACTATCTTCCGTCACCGTGAATTGTCGAGCCCACACTTTGCCCCCTAGGGCGAAACTGCCGATCGGCATCCAAATATGAACGCCGGCGGAGAATTGGTCAGCTTTTCCTTCGCTTGCATTACGCAGCAAGGCAAGCTGAGCGACGCCAGGGACCGTTTCGCCACTTGATACGAGCCCTTTCTAGTCTCGAAACATCGAATACAGAGCAAAGGAGGTGGTGACAATGATTATCGATGCGAAATCTCGAGCGATATAAAAGAGGAAGGGGGAGAGAGAGTTTATGCAGACTCACCTTAAAATCCCGTATAGGGCAACGGAGTAAGCCGGCCTAGCGAATATATAGATAGATATACATCTTTGTATGCTACATGTCTGTGTAAGTGATGTGAGAAGGAATCCGAAAAGTAGGTAGTGTCACGTGAAGCATTAATACGCTGCGCGAGCATCATGCCTTGTCTTCCCGCGCAGAGAATTGAAGTGCTCTTTATTGTTTGTACGCTTTACGCATCTCTTAGTACTCTGGAGTAACAGCCTTACGGCTTGTAACGATAATTTGACTTGCACTTGTACAGTGTATACACAAACTTGCATATTTCGCACTCTGACGGTGCACATTTTACCTTTTGAAACTGTGGTTATAATGGTGCACTTCGTAGTAGAAGCCACACGGGACAGTCTTGGAACAGCTAACACAGCATACTGTCAAACTGTCACTGTGCTTATTGCATTGATATAGTAACTACACAATACAACCATTTTGATTGTTGTACCGGTGGCAGGGCAGTATACCTTAACAACGTCCTAGCTGTTCAATTTGCTTGAGTAAATTAATGGGATGGGCCTAGATTTTCGTAGCAACAGAACCGGTTCATTCGTGTCGGAGGCCCGTATTCTAGTAAACGTGAAATGCTCTGCTTTAAAGGCCGAGACATCCACAATAGTAACTAACTGCCGTTGACAAGAACCTCATCACGTATGGCATATATCCGTCACAATGCCACTGTCATCCACTGTGGCCTATATAGACTCCTATATCTTCCAATTTGTGTCCCATTCTTCATGCTATTTTTCCAACTCTGCTTTTAATCCGACCGCAGCAAAGTTGTGTGACTTCCGTCCACTTATTCTCCGTTCACCCTTGAAGCTCAAACGCTTAGTCGATTCATCTACCGCTGCCTACTCCACCAAATGGATACGTAAGCTTACGTCCGAGGCTGTCTGTACCACTCCTAAGTGACGCAGATAAATGGTAATTTCCCAAACTCCCGAAACCGCCAAATCCACCGAGCCCATTATAGGCGTTGCGCACGGTAGTCCCGTTGTTAATGATATTGGCCGCGATGGACGTCGCAGCAGAAGGTGCTGTCGATATCATGCTGCTGACAGGCGTCATACTGGGCTGAAAGGCCTGCGCAAGATCATTTGACGGTGCCGTCAGCGCGCCCGGTTGTGGCAAGGAGTAGTCGGTAATACCGTGCCTAATACTGCTGCCGGCCATACTGTTGGGACTACTCCCGATGCCGCTGGTTATCCTTGGCGACAAGCCAAAATCGATGGATGCCATCAGAGATGCTGATGAGGGAAACCCGGTTGTATAGCTGGCGGGAGAGGGAACAGTGCCAATGTCACTGAGTCCACTAAGCCCAGACAGGCCGCCGAGACCTCCAAATTGCTGCGATGGCGTCATCAGTGCAGATGTAGAATTCACCCTCAGAGACGATAGATTGGAACTAGTCTCTCTAGCATTTCGAAATTGCGCGTCACGGGTAGGAGACATCGGACGGTCAGCAGCAGAGGTCCGAAAATAAAAACTTGAAGGAAGCGAAGTTGAAGCATTACGTAGTCGTGTAGGGGCACGGCCCTCTGAACCAGCTTGCGGCTGCAGACTCGGAGAAGGAAAATTCGAGTGGTAAACCATGTGTGTCGGAGTATGAACGGCGAAGCCTGTCTACATCGTTAGTCATATGGGCTAGCAGGGTCACATGGGCGGCCAAGTCCTGACCACGAGAAGACATACCTGAGTACGCATTCGAATCGTATCCGAGTGTCGATGTAGTGACGGCACCTTCAGACTGGTAGTGCTGCTGTCGCTGCTGTTGCTGTTGCTGAGAACAAAGGCCGCCACTCTGTTTTGGACTGTAAATATTGGGTCTGTGATAGTTCGAGTAGTCGAACGAGCTGCCCGTCCACGATATGCCAGATCTCAGCGGTGACTGGATGCTGTCGGAGCGCGAGCGGGAAACAGTTTCGCGCAGCTGCAGTGGCTGGAGTGGCTGCAGCGGTCTTATCTGATGATGCGAGTATACGTGATGTGAGACGTGGGGGCTATGTTCGCTTTCCGTGCTTTCGCTTCCCGGCTCCGTCACAGGAACACAATTACTGTCTAGGCTGCTGTGCCGTGTTGTCGCATAGGGGTTAGATGTTCCTGGCCCACCTAAACCCATATTCACAGGGACCATGGCTTCTGATTCTGAGGAAGAGGTCGGCGTGGCCATGGTCTCCGAAATAGTGTGATGGCTGGGGTAGCTGTTATGGCGTTGGTGATGAGCACTGATCGAAGTAGGTGAGAGTGGTAACAGGATGCCAGCGCCGTTCATGCTCGGGGCTGCTGCTGACGAATTGAGGCCAAGGGTTCCAATTTCTGGACTCAACCCTGTTGGTGAGAGACTGAAATCGCCCTCCGGTTGCCGCACATCAACAATTAACGGGCGCATCATCCGGTTCGCATAAGGAGCGGTGCTGAAGTCCACCGCCGGTGCCATGGTCATCCCCACGTTGTTCATAGCACCATACGGCGAGTGCAACGCCTGCACAGTGTCAAAGCCATCTGGAACTGCGCGCATTCTGAGCATGCGCTCGCGGTCATCAGTGGCCATTCGCTTGATTTTGGCTCGTCTTCAACTATCAGCACCCCTTTCTCAAATTTATTCCCCCTCGATCATCGGGACCTGTACGCACCGGTTTTGAAACCAGACTTGCACCTGGCGGGGACTGAGACCGGGAATCTCCCGAGACAAGCACTCCCTGTGTGCAGCATCAGGGTGTGGCTTCTTTGAGAACTCGCTCATAAGGAAGCGCGTTTGTTGGTGTGTCAGCCTAACTTGTCAGTTTGATAAATAGTTAATGGAAGGCGTATTTATAACAGCCAGCGAGCTCACCGAAAGCGCTTCAACTTTCTTCTCTGAGCTTTTCGCTCAGCCACAGTCTGGGCTGGCCTTTCAGTCGCATCGGTCTCGCCTCCGTCTCCCATGTCTTCGTCATCAATAAGGTCCTCATCATCCTCTTCTTTGATAACAGAGCGAACCCCGCCAGTCCATTTCGTAGAAGCTTCACTTCCCATGGGCTCTTCCACCAGGTCGGTAATCTGCAGGATCGATGAGACCGGGTTGTCCTCGTGGCTCCTCGCTGCCAAATCGCACGGCTTTCGTCCGTGAACTTCAGTGTCGTGCGGAAGTCCGTTGTCGGTCCGCCTTGAGGTCGTAGATTGGCTCGCATCTGCAATCGTGATGGACAACCTTGTGTTAAACGGCGTATGTGTCTGTGCATGCTGCACTCCCATGTGCTCCAGGCTTCGCCGACTGCTTAGCCCAAATGGCGAATTTGCTTCCACCTTCAGGCTCGGGCAGTCGGTTCCGCTTCCATCACTACCAGAGCTCTTGCCTGGTCCTAATTGGTAGAGCTGCTGCTGACTGGGGCTTGTTTTGCTGCTATTGGACGTACTGCTTGGGCCGCTGTTGTGATGCGCAGAACTGCCCATGTGGGCATAAGCCTGCGTTGCAAATACCGACTCCTCGGGTGGCAGAAACGAATACTGGCCTTGCCAGTCCGTGGCTGTTGACAGCGGCGTCTCAAAATCGGTAGTCGGCATGCGTGAGCTGGGAAATGACGATTGTGAAGCATCTGGCTTCTGGTCGTATTCACTGGTGTGGTAATGAGACTGCGTATCGCTACTTCTGGCAGTGATCATTGAAATTGGTGTGGCTGTGACGTGAGTACTCGCGCCTATCTGCCGTTGTCTATTCGCCGGAGATGACAAGAGACAGGTCGTTTTGGTCAGACGAGGACGGGTGAATAAAAGAGGGGCGACAAGAGAGTACATTAATGGAGAAAGATGTGCTGTGTCTCATAGGTAGGGAGTGAAAGCAGAGACCTTGGGTGTACCGCAAGCAGAAGGAGTCCTGAGGTGAGAAAGGAAGGAAATGTGCAACGTGGAGGATCAAGTGAGTAGAGAGAATTGGCTACATCGATGAGGAGACTACAAATCGACAGGACAGGACGAGGATTGTGAGGAAGACAGACTCAAGACCTTGGTGTGTCAGAAACAGCCGAGCACAACGTCGAGGAGGGGCGACCTGTGTTATCTGCCGGTTGCTGCAAGTGGTTGGTGTGCTTAGTGCCGACGTTATATTTCCTACCTTGTTGGTGTGTGCTTCTTTGATATTTCTGTCCGTTCTCCTGTTCAAGCAACTTCATTCCCCTCGCAAGTCATTGGAGCTAACCGGGGGTATGTAGGTATTGTGAAGGGGTACGAAGAAAATACTAGTCGTATGATTCCAATGTATGTAGCTGGAGACCTGACTTGTCGCTCTGGTCATGCTGCTTTTGAATTATGCGTCGACACCTCTGACCAGAGATCAAATGCAGGCCAGAACAGTCTAACGGTCAGATCCGTAACTGCGACGGTATGGGACGATAAAACGGAGCCGAATAGATATGCTTCGATATGTTGCCGCAGTTAGTAGATGTTTAGTGGAAGCAGCAAAGTAGTAGCAGTGTCGTAACTTATGTGCCGAGTATGGCAGAGGTAAAACAAAATTCAAAAGACAACGGAGAGACAATGTTTCCGGTGTGCTTTGTGCTGCAACCCTTGAGCTAAAAAAACAATCTAGCAACGCAACGCAAAAACTCGGGCGAGGTGTTTTAGCCCCGACCAGGATGTCAAGTCTGACAATGATTATTCCAACACTTCCTTGATGGACAGGATAGATTGAAGCCGAGGAACAATGAAAATCGCTATGTGTATGGGATTGCGGGGGATGATACTATGGAAAGTAGGAGTTGAACTTAGTTCTAGTGAGGGAGGACAAACGACAGAAAAAAGAAGGGGGGGGGAGAAGAAGTAGAGGGGGGAACGGTCAAGGGTGGACGATCAGTTGTCGGGGATTTCCAGGAAACGTCACATAGTAATGTACAACTGTGAAGATGTCAGCGATTAGGGGAGACTGATAAGACAAAGGCAGCCGAATTGCGCCTCTTGGGACAAATGGGAAGGAGGCAAGACGACGTAGGGCCGTGCCTTCCGCACCGGGACTGAATTCCCAGGTATTGGCTGCAGTCGCAATTTCCGTTAGGGCCTTTTTCTAATACTGATCTTCTTGTTGGCCTCCCTCCATCAACTCTGGACGACGTGCAGCGGAGCGCAGGCGGCGAGCAGCAATACCGAGGCGCTGTGCGGAGAATTTGTGTCGAGCAGGATTTGGTTGCAGCACAGGGCGTGTGTGTGGACGCCAACGCAAGTGCATTACACACACATGTGTACACATGTGCACTATTATGTAAAGTATGCAGGCAGAGTGTAGAGGACACGAGCCGGGATCCAGACTCAGAACACACAGCCAGACGACCGTTTCCAAGAAAGCCCCTATGCAAAACAAAGTGCTACAGAGGGGTGTGGGATGCCAAGAAGCAGGCGCTGTGTTTGTTTTTCCCACCTTTCCTTGGGCACATGTTGTTGTTTTCTGGATTATGTTTCCATTTTTACTTTCTTTCCTCCAATTCATGTCTGTTGTCATTGGCTGGAGAATTTCTCTTGGCCAGACATCTCAGGCGGATGTAGGCCTTCTTCAGCTGCAGACGAGAAACGGACTCCGTACGAATGGAAGAGCTGCAGAAACGGCCTGGTCGCGACAGCCATAAACAAAAGAGCAGGGGCAAGACGAGACTGGCCAAGACGGTCATCGCTTACACGGCCTGCAGCTCCCGTATAGAATATGTTCTCCACCCTGTCGTGCACCGTGACAAAACATGACGAGGTGACCGAAAGGTGAGGGCAGCATCATCTACAGCCGGAAATCAGATGCAGTGCAGCGGAGCGAAGGATGCCTTCCATAGCTACTACGACGCGAGATGAAGAAGGAAGATGGGCAGCTACGTGCCCGGATTTGGAGAGGTGTGACGGCAGGAAAGAGCAGTAAAAAGAGGAAGAGAAACAATTTGGACGGTAAATGGAAGGCCGAAAGGGGGCCTGGTTCCTGTCTCGGCTAGAACTTGGTGGAGGTACTGATTGGTCTGTTGAGGTGGCCAGCACCCGTGAAAAAGGTCCTGCACGAAAACATGACCTTCTCCGTACAGCAAGCCTTTCTTCGCCGACCAATGGGACGCAAGAAGAAAGCTTGGACGATGCGGCTATGACCTGGGAGAGTACTCCGTATCCGTACGTTGAGGACGTGGGCTGTGGAGTCAGGTTTTTCTTGCAGGGGGGCAGGGGCTTACAGGAGGGGGTAGAGACTGAAAATGCCGTGGGGGTGGGTGAAGTAAGAAGAGGGCTGACAGTCACTTGCATCTCAGATTCGTACATAGTACGGAGTAGGGGTATTAGATTGCTGACTGCAAGCGTGGCCACGAAGGGAAACCGGGTGGCCACAAAAGCGAATAAGGCGCCAGAATTGTGTGAAGCAAGGCTAGGTTCTCTTTGCTCATACTTGAAAGACGGTAGGAGGGAGTCCGTGAACGATCGGAGCCGATGCGCTCGACACAAGATGATTTGCACAAGGGCCGAGGAGGTAGACCAAGAAAAAAGAAGAAAAGAAAGTGAGAGGGGGGGTGTAGAAGAGGGTCTCGATGCGGACCATATCTGCAACGCTCCGGCGATCCTGGATTGGTCGGTGTTTGGAGAGATCTGATCGACATGATCAGGGTCACAGTAGCCTGTATGCGTACGTGCGTATGCACATTGCCAAGGAGGGAAATCCGAGTGATCCCTTCCACTCATTACGAGTGCCCGTTGACATTGTCATAGTAACACAGCAATACAGCAGAGAGCAGTGGCGGCGACAGCGGCGTTTCAGGACTGTGGGCTTTGTTCTCTCGTTTTTTTTTAGCTCCTTCTTGCCCTCTCCCGCTCTCGCTCTCGCTTGTGCCTGCAGCCTGTCCAGGACTGGCGGCCGTTGGTCCCGCAACATACGGACTAGACAGCAGGATGAGCAAGCAGGATGGATGGTTTATATGTATGAGAAAAGGGGGGCAACCGATTGACAGGTCCTTCCGGCACTTTTGGCTAAGAAGGATCGTCTAAGGGGGGTGGATCTCTCGTCCCATATCATTCCAGCACAGGTGCCATACTGTGCCATACCGGACAGCAGGACGGCAGGACAGCAGGAAGAAGACAGGTCCACAACAAAGTAAAATAGAACGCAAACATTGTACATAGTAGGGGAAGAGTGGGGACGAGGAGGACCAAGACGAGTACGACAGATGGCGACAAAGACAAGAAAACAGCACGGACAGCCCGTCGTGCAACCGATGCAGGCTAGCTTGGAGCCATTGATTGCACGTCATTCTGTCGATCTAGGCAGGGGGGGGTTGATTATGGGTGGGTGGAGAGTGGAACGGGAGTTGCAGCTGAAAAGAGCAGGGCAAAATGCAAATTGAGCATACGACGTATCCTACATACCCTCTCTCACTCTCTCTAAGGCAAATCAAGATAGAGGTCGACGGCGGCATGTCTTAAGCCAAGCCAGTCCAACAGCCTGACGAGTGAGCAACTAAGTATGTTTGTATCAACACAAGAGAAGAAAAGACACTACGGCAAAGGACCGGTATCCAGACCTCGTCCGTCAAAAAGGAACAGGGGGGACACGCACAGAGGCTCGTACGAATCGGACAAAGGCTCCCATCTTGTTCTCGTATCTGCGGACACGTTTCGTGATGCAGGCAAATGCAGGGCGAAAAGTGGGTAGGGCCTGAGAGACAGGTCTGCAAGAGAGGCGATGAAAGTACTGCCGCTCGCTCGCCGCCATGACCTCAAGGCTGCACAGCGCTCTTCGGCCGTGTTTCATCCAACACGTTTCTAGCCTCGCTGCTGGTTGGGGGGGCTGTGGCTTTGTGGCTCTGTGGCTTTGTGGCTGTTCTTTTTTTTTTCTCTTTTCTTTTTCCTTTTTCTTTTTCCGGTTTGTTTTCCACCTGCCTCTGCATCTACTACATTCAGGACAGTGCATGCATAGTAGTGCTTCCTACTGCAAAAATCCGAGTAATAGCGCGAGCTTCCGAGTGGCCAACCAGCTGGCTCCATCAAGGGAGCAGCCGGTGCCTGGAGCCGGCCGACTTGTCTGCATATGACCATCTGCCCAGCAGCCTGGCCCAACGCGTTAACGGCGCGCTCTGTCAGCCGCACTTTATACCTGCACCGGACTTTGGCACCCTTGTCTGCCCTCTTTTCTCTCTTCTTCTCTCCTCTTCTCTCTTCCTGCCCCTACCGCTCGCTCACTTCTCTTTACGTATATGCAAACACGTACCTGTCCGTGCACAGCCATGCAGCATGCGTCGCCATAAATGAGCCCATCATGAAAGTCCGAAGTCGCGAGACGGGCCTTACTAGACGCCACCGTTGTCCCCGACTTGGTCGTTGCTTCTTCCCGCCCCTGGTCCAGAAGAAAAGCCAATTGAAGCCTGAAGAAAACGAACACGAGTGCCGTTGGAGATTGACAAGACAAAATAGATAAAAATAGGCGTGTGGGCCTGAAAGCCGATATCTTTTGAGACCTGCCCTGTTTGGCTCTGGCTCAAAAGCTGGCAAGACTGGCTTGCATCCAGCTCTCTGTCGCTCTCCCACCTTTACTTCGGCTACCTTTGCCTGTCCTTTTCCTGTGTGCGCCGCCGTGTCACTCGGCTTCGAAAGCGGACCGGCATGACGGAAAGAGACAGGATGTCCGGTCTTGTTTGAGATCAAGCCTTGGAACACTCTCCTCCCTTGCAATGTCCGCCTTCCATGGCTTTTTCGCCAGCATCCCAGCTCTCTAGACTCCACTGGACGTGGCTGCCAGGTCATTCTATTTCGCAAAGCCTAATGCGCCGAAATTAAAGGTCTCAGTCGAACGTTACTATGGACTAGAAGAAACACTGATATCTAGTTCTTGTCATGTAGTCTTCGGTCTGGTTTTCCCTCCAGCCCTTGCCTGCATTCGTCAGAGCCTCTTCTGACGCGTGAAAGGACGGCAGTGTATCCCAATAGAAAACGGCCGCCGTTCTCTGTCAACAACAGCCATGAAGCCCTGAGCCCTGAGCCCTGAGCCCATAGAAAGTACAAAACATCGCATATAAATAGAGGTGCCAGACGCCCGCCTCCATTCTGACATGTGACCATGCTGAAACTGAATAAACAGCAGGACAGAAAGAGGAGATTCAGGCCGATAGCCATGTTGCCAGAGTGAACAATCCAGGCGAGTAAATGTGTGAAAAAGACAACCTGGCCGTAACGGTTGCCAATCGCCGTCTTCGCGTCCTTCCGTGTCTGTCTTGCATCTCGCCTTGAGTCAGATATCAAACAGTGGCAGGATCCTCACTCATACATCTGCACAACTCTTCTTGACGGCCTCCAACGGATCTTTCTCTCCGACCAGTTTCAACTCTAATTCCAAGCCCGCATTCTACTCATAGTACCGATACATGTCTTAAAGATCAAGAGGCCTGTAGCATGACTGGAAGAACATCACTCCCACCTCTCCCTGTATGCTAGTTTCACCAGCAAAGAAGCAGGCAGTCTAGCTGTGTGTTGCGTGTTGCATGTTTGTCCATTTTTCTCCTTTCCTCGGTCCATTACGGAGTAAATGCAACCTTTTCTCCGGTCTTCCCCATCTCAGGACCTGTACAAGCTCGTCGACTGTTTCTTTACCTGCACGAGTGTTTCGTCCGTAGAACACGCCCTCTGCATCGCCGACACCGTTTTCGTCTCCATTGCAGACCGTTTCTATCATACAACCGGCCCTTCTGCTGTCCGATCCGATGGCCTCTCCTGCGCTCACTGCGGCCATATTTGGGCTGTGCCAGGGCAGCCGGTACAATGACAACATGCATGCAGGGCAGATGGTGTAGCCGCTCGGATATTCTTGTATGCACACAGGCTTTGTGTGGCAGTTAGTCGATACACACGAGAGAGAGAGGTTCTTGCAGGCAGAAGCCAGCCAGCACGTGCGCAAGCACGCGCTCTCTCGAAGTGCTGCCCGTATGTGCGACAAGCTTGGCGTCGTACCAGCGCGCATGCCCCGAGAGCAAAGGAAGGGAAAATGTTACAGGTCACCTTGCGACGCTGCTGTGGCGATCCTGTGAGGCGATGGTCTGGCCAACCGGAACGGTCGTGGGCGACGACAGGCCGATCAGATACTCTCCATCTCGGTCCTCTGCATGGTCGCTCTCTTAGCCCTTCGCTCCGTCCGCCAGTCCTCACCGCCGCTCACATATCATTTTTACCTCTAGCAGGGTCCGGTTCAACAACGGCTTGGCCGTGCCTCCTGTGGTTTTACTCGCTCTGTTGCCCGTCATGTTTCCCAGTTCCCTCTCGCTTCGCCGTCTCCTGTTCCAGCACCGCTGCGGCTTTCCGTGCGATACGAGGAGTCCGGACTACCACTGGAATAAACGAGATTGGCAGTCTGTTCCGTTGTCTGCTTTTTCTCCTTTTCCTCTTTCCAGATGTGGGGGCTTCCGTTTTATTGAACGAAGTCGGAAAGGCCATGGCCCTCCGTAAAGCCTCGGCTGTTGGGTGCTTCGGAGGTAGGCTACCGTAGGACGGAACAGGCTCTATGATGTGGTAGTACAGCATGCTGCAGCGATGTCGTATGTCGGAGGACGGGGAGTTCCAGAGTCAGAGGCGGTAACTATCTGGATGAAACAGACAGCCACAAATGTTCAAGAATGGTGGTCGCTCCTTCCTGGCAGAAATTTGTCCTTTCAATTTTACTTGTTTTTCTCGCCACATTTGAACGTGAGTAAGTGCTTATTTGACATCGGGCTGGCATCGGTCTTCTTTTTGCAAATTGTCAAAGACTCGCTACAAATTGACCATCTTGAAAATTGAATTTGTTCGCTCTCTGCCTCGTCGCCTGCTTTGTTCATTTTCATACCACTCCCATACTATGTCCAACCCCTCTCAACTGACTGGATAGAAGCACAGCTAACCTGGAGAGAACAGTACATTTCCACGCTCACATTCCTCTACCCTCCTCTCGGCCGACTGTCCATGACCGTCAGCTTCCTAGCCCAACAGATTTCTCGACCTTCCTCACACTCGAACAGACGACCACCTCGAGCCAAGCCGCCGTCGCCCCTGTGTTCAGCCCAAGAATCTATACGAACAAAGACCCACATGAACCGTATACCGGCAATTCTTGCACAGTCCTTTCTGGGGTCTCAGGCCGGAAGTGGGCATTGGCGCCTGTATCCCGCTTTCTGACCAATCATGTCCCAGCCTCTGAGCCAGACGACCCCCAGACTCTTCCCAGAATACGGGCGTCTCTCCCGTCTTTCCTCAGCTAATATGCCCCGTCACCGGGGACTCAGGCTGGCATTACCCGCCACCCATGGGTCTGGCCCCCGATCTTCGGCTCCTGGTCATCCTACGGTTACCTCCATCTGACTCAGGCGACATGTCTGATGTCTTTGCTGCCGTGCCACAAAGGCGACGCCGTGTCACATCGCATAGACCCAGCCCCTGGCCGTAGGGATCCTGTTCCCGGAGAACCAGACGACACGACTCTCTGCATCTTTTGAACTTTTTTGTTTGTTGATTGCCATGTCGCATGTACAGGCTCTCACATATTTACATTGTCTGTCCGAGAAAAGGCACGGAACAGTCAGCACCATGTGCCGTGTCCATCGCAGCACCTCCACATCTGCTGCCCTCGGCTGAGTTGAGTGCTTTCTTTGTCCGGAGCGCATCCAGACAGGCCCTCTGGCTGTTTTCAGGTCTTCATCTTCATCTTTTTCTTCTTCCCTTGTCTCCTGTATAGTTATGGCATACATGCGCAGATACGAAAATCAAAAAGTGACTAGGACAACCATAAGAACGGACGCCGGCCCCGAGCACCTGTAGAAGACGGGAGTGGAGTTGGGACGCCATGGCCGCGAGCGGCGAGGAGGCGAGTTGTGTGCCACGAAAGAGCAGGCGGCCAGGCCATGCTATGCTACCGGCGGCGGAAGAGAGCAGTAGCCGGGCCCTGGGGCCCGTCAGGTGCGGGCGTGCGGACGTCCTCGTCAGTGTTTTCGGTCGGCAGCGGCGGAGTGGTGCCGTGATGGCCGCCGTCGTTGTTGAAGTAGCGGGTGAACTCGTCCTGGTCGGGGAAGGGGCGCTGGCCGAGCAGGCGGACGAGGTCGTCGCGGGTGAGGACTTCCTTGCGCAGCAGCTCCTCGGCCACGAGGCCGATCTCAGTCTTGCGTGCTGTCAGCAGGGCACGGCACTGCTTGTAGGCGTCGTCGACGATGCGGCGGACCTCAGCGTCGATCAGCTGGGCGGTCGACTCGGCAAACGGCTTCTGGAACTGGTTCTGCTCGTCGCTCGGCCGGAAGTGCAGCAGCCCGAGCTTCTCGGACATGCCCCATTCCGTCACCATGGTCGTGGCCATGCGCGTGACCTTTTTGAAGTCGTCGCTGGCACCCGTCGTGACCGTGTCAAAGTGCAGCTCCTCGGAAACACGGCCGCCCAGCGTCATGGCCATGCGGTCCATCAGCTGCCGCACGTTCATCAGGTATGCGTCGCCTACCGGCAGGTACTGCGCGTAGCCCAGCGCGCCCTGGCCGCGCGGAATGATCGACACCTTGAGCAGCGGGTCGGCGTACTGGAAATACCAGCCGCAGATCGCGTGGCCTGCTTCGTGGTATGCCACCGTCTTCTTCTCCTGTGGGTTGAGCACCAGCGACCGGCGCTCCAGCCCGCCGACCACCCGCTCGATGGCCTGTTCGAAGTGGAGCATCTCGACGGTGAGAGCGTTTGCGCGGGCGGCTGTCATGGTTAGTCACGTGACGATGAGATCGCAACACACACCTCACTCACCAACTAATGCTGCCTCGTTCACCGCGTTGGCAATGTCCGCGCCCGCAAAGCCTGGCGTCAGCGCCGCCAGACGGCCCACCAGATAGTCAATGTCCTCCTTGGTGACGATCTTGTTCAGATACACGCGGAAAATCTCCTGGCGACCCTTCATCGTCGGCCGATCAATGGTGATGTGGCGATCGAAGCGACCGGGCCGCATCAGGGCCTTGTCCAAGATGTCGGGCCGGTTGGTGCCGGCCAGCACGACGACTTGCTCGGACGTGTTGAAGCCATCCATCTCAGTGAGGATCTGGTTGAGCGTGGCCTCACGCTCCTCGTTACCGCCCGATCCGAGACGACCATCGCCACGCGACCGTCCGATGGCATCGATCTCGTCGATGAACACAATGCACGGCGCATTCTTGCGGGCCGTCGCAAACAGGTCGCGCACCCGCGACGCACCCACGCCCACAAACATCTCCACAAACTCAGACCCGCTGACGCTGAAGAACGGCACGCCCGACTCGCCCGCCGTTGCCTTGGCCAGCAGCGTCTTGCCCGTGCCGGGAGGCCCGGCCAAAATGGCACCGCGCGGAATCTTGGCCCCCAGCCGCTGAAACCGCTCCGGCTGCTTCAAGAAGCTGACAAACTCCATGATCTCCAGCTTGGCCTCGTCCATGCCCGCCACGTCTGCAAACTTGACCTTGACCGCCGATTCGTGGTTGAACCGCTTCGCTTTGCTCTTGCCGTACCCAAAGATCCCGCTCGATCCGCCCATACCGCCGCCACCACTTCGCCGCGTCATCCAGTACAGCAGCCCGACCAGGAGTACGGGTGGCCCAAATGCTACCAGCAGGTTGCCCATCATGCCCTCGGTCGCGTAGCTGACCGGAATCCGCTCCGATGGCGGGATCTGCAGCTCGTCCTGCGACTCCTCTAGCCGCCGCTCAAATGCATCCACCGATCCGATTGAGAAGTAGTATTGCTGCAGCGGGCTCGCCGCCGTCGAGTCTGGGTATGCCGCTGCTGTTGCCTCTCGGTTCAGTTCTACCCGCACTCGGTTGCCCGCTACCACCAGCTTGTCCACCAGGCCCTTGTCCAAGAAGTTGCGCCGCAGCTCCTGCCATGTGATCTCTGTCGTTGATCCGCCCGGGAACAGCATCGAGTAGATCGGGTAGAAGATCGCTGCACCCAGCACCCAGCCCAACCAGTCGTTGCCCTCGAAGAATGGTCCTGGTGGCTTCTGTCCGTTGCCGCCCTTCTTGCCGTCGCCGCTCTCGCCTTCTTTGCCATCCTTCGTCTCTTTGCCCTCCTTGCCCTCCTTGGCCTCTTTGTCGCCGCCGGCAGCCCTCTCGCCCTCGCCCTCGCCTTCCTTTTTGCTGTTGACCCGGAAGTTGCCAAAGTCTGTCGGCGCTTCGTTCGGGCTGAACATGTTCTTGTCCAGGCTGTTCTTGCCGGCCTTCGGTGTCTGTCCCTCCTGCTTGGCCGCGTCGCGCGCCTCACCGTCGGAGATCTGCTTTGCCAGGTTGAAGGCCACCTTGACCACCTTCATGCCGTCCGCCAGGCTGATACCGCCCTCCTTCTGCTTCGAGATGAGCTCGCGCATCTCCTTGGGCGCGCCGTATCGCCGCACACCGTCAATCACCTCCATCATGCTCTGCCGCCGCGTCGGCGGCGAGATCGCCAGGATGCGCGACAGCATCTCCAGCTCCTCTTCGTTCAGCCGCACCCAGCCCTCTGGTAGTGGTTCTTGCTCGGCGGCCGATTGGCCCTGTTGTGGTGGTGGCGTCGGCGGGGGCGTCGGCTCAGTCGAAAAGAGCCGCAGCGTTCGTGGGGCTAATGACAGCGCCGGCACAGACACCAGCAGCGGAGTCGAGCATCGTGACGCCAGGCTCGACGACAGAAACGGCGCGGCCGCTGCTGCTGTCGCTGTCGAGGGCCGTCCCCATCGCGAGGACGGTCGCAGAGAGCGGCACGAGGCCGAAGTGGAGAACTGAGAGGAGGCGTGCATCCGGTAGAGCGCATGGCGCGGCAGCCGCAGTGGTGCTGCCGACATGAGGCGCACGTGGGCCAGCGTCGACATGGCTGTCCGTTATCGAGTGGAAGAAAGCAAACGAGAGGACGAGAGGCTGCAGTCGGATGGGGCGGATTCGAAATCTGCAGGCAGCCGGGACAAGACAACGTCCAGAGCCTCGTTGTGGTCGCAGCAGACGAGTTCAAGGTCGAAGCTCGAAAATGAAGCGTCAGATCTCGTGATCTGAGCAAACGGAAGAAAAAGTGGCAGAGCTCGAGCTCCTGCGGGGACTAGCAGCCGAAGAATGCTTTCTTCGTCTCGTTCCCTCGTGTCGTCGCGCCTGGTCGCAATAGGGGCCCTGCTTGGTCCGTCCGGTTGATTCGCCCGGCTCGCTGGTCGTTGGAGGGGTGAAGGAGAGAGGAAGACGTCGAGATGGTCTTCTGCCGGCGTCTGTGGCTTTACGGAAAAAATGGATGCTTAGCAATCGGGACTTGGCCCGCCACACTACACTACTCGTGCTCCACATATTCTCAGTGCACGTGATGCGCGTCGGAGTTGTGTTGATCGATGCCGTATATATATGGATGGAAAGAAACGAAGAAAGGTGATAAAATGCAAAGGGTACAAGACAAGATGGAGAAAATAAAAGGGGAATTCCGTTTTGCGACCAAACTCCGTGGCTTCGTTGTCTCCCAAAGAAAGATTAATACAGAGAGAATCTCGACATCCAAACGTAATCCATCCACATCATCACAAATACGGCTCATTATTTTCACGCCATCAAATCAAAATTGCCGTTCTCCACACTGGGGTATGCGCCGCCGCTCATCTCGGCCCAGTCCCAGTCGAGCGTCATGGGCAGGTTGAAGATGTCCTGAGGCAGGAAGGGCTGGCTCGGCATCAGGTCCGCGACGGGAGGCGACTGCATGTTGCCGAGACCGTCGGGCAAGCCGCTGCCGGGAACCGTCTCGAAGCCCGGGATGTCGGTAAATGACATGAAGTTGGCCGCATCGCCGCTGAGCGTCGGCCCCGCGCCGGCTTGTTGCTGCTGATGTTGCTGGTGGTCCTCCAAGCCGCCGGCAAAGACGGAATCCCAGTCGGCCGACGCCATGTTTGGAGACGGTGCCGTTGTGACGGCAGAAGAGCCTCCCCCATTCCCGATTGGCAACGAGACAGCGGGATTGACTCTGCTGCCGTGACTCTTCTGGCTGCCCATCCGGTGGCTGTTGACAATCTCGGCCGCAGTTAAGGCCGCAGCCGCAGCCTCTGCAGGCGTGGCACTCGGTGTGTTGTGGTAGGCTGTCGTCGTCGTGCTGCAAGAGCTGGCCGGCCGAGGAGTTGGGGTCGGCTGTGGCTGTGGTGCCAGCGACTGTGCCCGCGACGTTGGCTGAGAAGCGGAAGCGGCTGCAGCTGCAGAAGAAGCAGCTGCGACGGCTCCTTGCGTCTTGGCCGCCTTGGTTATGCTAGGAGCAGGCCGATGTGCCGTTTCGACCTCGTGGGGGTCCTGGTTCTTCCGCTTTCGCCGGCTCGCCTGCTCCTTCTCGGCCTTGTCGATGACAATGTTGGCAATGCGCTCAAACTCGGAGCACACGCCTAACATCCGGTGGACGCCGCCGCTCTCGGCCTCCTGGCCCAACATGGACAGGAAGGTGACGACTAGGTTCATCAGACGCGTGTCGGACCGGGCTCGCGGGTCGAGCGGGTTCTGCAGCGTGTTGCCAAACAGCGTGACGAGAGAGGATACGGGAAAGTAGAGGATCAGCCTGTGGGGTTAGCCGGGGTGGGAGAAGGAGACAAAATGGAGAATAAAAAGGGGACAAATAGGAGACAACTCACCACACACACGAAAAGTCGCCCTGGGGAATGTACTTGAGCAGCGAGATGGAGGCTCGGGCCGACGAGACGCACAGGGTGGCCGACGAGTAGATGCGCGGGTTGAGCGGCTTGGCATTGAGCCCCTGGATGGCGTAGTCGGACAGGCGACTGGTCCAGTAGCCGTGGTGGACGCACATGCGATGGATCGTCGTCAGGCAGTTGTAGTAGGTAAAATGCAGCATGACGACGTGCAGGATCAGCGGCGTGTGCGAGGCCTTGATCTCGTGCTCGGGCCGGAAGTCGATGGGAATGCGGTCCTTCCAGTCCTCAAGCTGCTGGTCCAGCTCGCCGATCGTGTTGAGCAGCTCGCCAATGGTCTGCTTGGTGGCCTTGGTCGCGTACAGCCGCTTGTAGACCCGGCTCTCGATCGTGGCAAACTCGCACATGACCCGGAAGAGATTCATCTTGCCCTTGCCGTCAGCCAACGGGATATTGCCAATATTGTCGGCCGGATCGGCGTCGGGCAGCTCCACGTTCATGTCGTCGTCGTCCTGGGCTGGCGGCCGTCCCGATCGCAGACACAGGTCCTTGTCCAGCATGTAGCCGATCCAGAAGACCCGCTTGCGCTGCTCGATCTCGATCGGGTTCAGGTTGAAGCCCGTGCCCTTCTTGTGCAGCCCGATGCTGTGCGAGAGCCTGATTGCAGCTGCGATCAGCAGAAACGTCGGCTGCGGGTTCGGCGTGCCCTGCATGAAGAGTGCCATCCCCAGCAGCGCCTGCACGCTCAGCAGATCCGTGTTTCGCATTGCCAGCTCCGAGAACACCGCCATCGCGTTCTTCAGGTACGCCCACGCCTTGTCATCCTCCTCTTGGGGTACCAGGTTGCTCATCACCCGCAGTCGGTGCGCAATCGCCAGCGCCACGTTCAGACTCGCCCACCAGCCCGAGCCCTGGTACGGATCTTTGGAGTATTGCCGCTCCACCAGGTGCATGAACGTCGGGTGGTGGAAGAGCGGAAACATGCAGTTGAAGTTCTCGAAAAAGTCCTTGAGCAGTGACAACGCCTCGGCTTTGGGCGGCAGTGGTCGAAATACCGGCCGGCTGAACAGGTCTGCAAAGATCTCCGGCTTCCAGTTGGTCCACTTGTTGTCGTCCAGCGAGACGTTGGAAATCATCTGCTGGAACGAGTTGTCGCCCGTCTTCTCGTTTACCCACTGCATTCCCTTGGGCGAGAAGATGGAGAATCCCGACGAAGATCCTATCCTGTCAGTCATCTCATGTCGCCTGCCGCTGTGTCCCGCCTCTTCTGCACTCACCTATATACCGCGTCTCGCCGTAGTTGTTCGTCACCAGCGAACACATCATCTCCGACAACGCCTCCACCTCCTCTTCCTTCTTGGCCCCCTTCTTGTCCGGCGTGGCTGTCGACCTGTTCTCGCCACCGCCGCTGCCGCTTCGACTTCCGCTTCCCGTCTCGCCGTCCTTTCCGTCCTTGCCGTCCTTTCCCGGTTCCGGCGACGTCAGCGAGCTGCGTGGCGTGTACTCATCACCATCGTTTGCCGACGTCGCCTGTGATGGCGAGGACGCGTTCGATGCCGCTGCCAGCGATCCCCTACCCGATTCGCGCAGCTTTTCAGCCAGCTTCCGTTCCAGAGTGCCCAGATCCGTCGCTCCGTCGTCCTCACCCAGCAGGCCGGACAGTCGCAGGAGGCTCTCCATCCGGCCCAGACGGTTCTCGAGGCCCTCAATGTACTTTGCGCTGTAAATGGTGTCTTCACGTCAGCCTGCCTGTCGCCTGTTGCCTGTCCGTCTCTCGCTCCTCGCCCAACATACGCACCCCTTTGGCGGGTTCCGCTTCTTCTCTACCTGCGTGAAGACGCATTTGGTCTTGTAATTCACGCAATGTGTGCACGACGGCATCTTGCCGTCACACTTGATCTTCTTCTTGCGGCACATGTCACAGGCCTATAGAGCATCGAGTCAGTTCAGCCTCTGCCCGCGCGCGAAGAAGGCCTGTCTTACCCTTGCTATCCTCCGCCTCTTGGCCTCGTTGGCATCGTCCATGTAGGCGTTCGGGTCGCTGCCAAACATGTGGGCAGCCGCCATGTCGGCCGGCAAGTGGATCGGTGGCAGCCGGTCAAACGTGTTACCAAAGAGCTGCTGCGGCGGACGACTCATCATGGGCGGGGCGCCAATGGGAGGCAATGGGAAGCCCGCGTCAGGACGCGGACGGTTCATGGCGAGCACTTTGGCAGCCGGGCCTGGTGGTTGCGAGAAGGCAAAGGGTGCGCGTGCGAGGTCTTCTCCAGCGAAAAATCACACCGGAAAGTCGTCCCACTTAGAGGCAGAAAAGCCGAAACGTCCTCGGCGGCAGCCAGGAGAGCTCAAATACGGTGAACCAGCAGCCGTCAGATGTCGAGCAGTGGTCAGTCACTTTTTCCCGAGGTCGATGGATGCGGCAGAAACCCGTCGTCGTCGTCGTCGTCCGGCGTGAAAATGCAGGGTGCAGATGGGAGAGAGTCGCGAGTTGGAATACGATTATACAGTAGCAATAGTGCGGGAAGGCGCTACAGGCATGCGCTACGAAAGGGTTTAAGGCCGGCTCCCCGGAGTTTAGCCATCCTTTCCCAAAGCCGTTACAGCTTTTTAGCGGCCCATCCACGCCCTTAAAACGGCTAGTCGAGGGGGCCATGGCGACCCTGCACAGCTCTTCTGTGGTGGTGTGTTTGAGGACGATTGTGGCTGAGCAGCACCTCCTTGACGATGCGATTTCTCTCAATAAAGATACACATTGTATCTTAGGGTGCCTAGAAAAAGCTACTCGCGCCAGCGCCTCGTTCGGCGAGCTTGCTCGTCGTACCACCCTCGGACACGTCATGTAAGATACCGTGTACAAAGTACCAAAACCCTAAATCGCTGCAGCCTAGCGCTTCTAGAGCGGTCAGCCAGAGAAGGCATGAAAGATACTCGCACAGACAGCCAAACAACGCTGTCGTCAGCATGCTCCCACATAGTCCCCGTACGATATTTACGGCCAGGCGGCAGCGGAAGGCACCGCCAGTGTATTTGTAATTGTACGCCGGGATAGAACCAGATCGAAGCAGTCGGGACGAAGCTTGGCATCATGCTTCACGTCCAATGTCCAGCGACGATCTTGTAATCTCGTAGCCGATCATCTGCACCAGGTGGTTTTTATACAACCTAAATTTCCATTCTGCCGAGGGGGCAGCGCTATTTTTCTGTTTCAGCCTGTTGCGCTCGATCGGTCACATTTGTCATGAACTTAGGGCCCAAGCGCTTCGCGTGCCGAGTCGCTAATCGTCTTTATGCTTCTGCCTCTTCGCCTCGATCCCACCGTCTGCCAGACTGCTATGCGTGTTTCACGAACGTCTCGGCCCTGTCGGCGGTGCCATCCGGTGGCTTGCCGTCATCGGCCAGAAGAACGCTACCCTGTGATGACGAGCCCTGACTGAAACGCAAGATCTGCCCTCGCATTCCTGCACGGATACTCCATGTAACATGGCTCCGGACTTTTTTTTTTACAGCCGCCAGTCTTGTGCTAAGTTGCCATCCGATACGGAGGCAACCAACCAGCCGAGTAGACAGCACCTTACGCCTACCGCCTCTTCGACTTGATTGGCCCACTCGCTGCACTGAACATCAACACGGGAACACGCTCAAAGCACCAGCAGGCCGATGTCATTCACTATTCGCTTCTGCCACAAGCAAGCATCTTCACTAGCCAGCTATCTAGAAAAAAATAACTCTTTCCAATATGCACAAAGAAGAAGAAGAAAAAGCCTGCGGTCCATACCGAGGCGAGACGTACAACAACAGAAGCTACAAGAGGGGATATAGCAAAAGCCATGAAGAAAGCCAAAAAGAAGAAAGGAACAACAAATATAAAGGCTGCGGCAACAAGGTGCGCAAGAAAGAAAGAGTTCCTGGCTGTTATACCAATGACCCACAGAAGATATCTCAAAAAGGAAAAAGTTTCAAACGCCAGACCATGCTTTGCTCTTTTGTCATTGTCCCGCCCAGAAAACAGACAGACCCGTGGGACAGGCGTTGCAAACATTATATCAAAGCGCTCAAGTCTGAGCGCAGATGTACATATGAGAGACAGAAAGAGCGTGTGTGTGTTGGGAGAGGACGTGATTGTGTGTGAATTTGTTGCCGAAGACAGATCAGAATATTTCCTCCGTGAATCGGGAGCCAGATGCCCGGGAGCCGTCCTGTGACGACAGAGACCGCCCGATGGGGTCATATGCAGATGGCGGCACGAGCTCGTTCGGGCTGACCGGCTCGTTGTTGTCGTACACAGTAGAACCGTGTCGTGACAACGGAACCCGCATGGCCATGGCTGTCTTTCCGGGACCTGTATGGAACACAGGCACGCCGCTCACCGGCCGCATTGGCGAGCCCACTGCATACTGCGATGTCGGCATCGTGGACGGACCACCCTCGCCGCCAAAGAAGCCCTGCGAGTCCCGGAAGACCACGGATGAGCCGCTCTGCACGCTGTCACGCGGATCGCGATATCCATCGCCGCCGTACATCAGAACCGACGGCAGTTTCTTGCCAGACACGCGGTAGAACCCCGACTCGCCATCGCTGTCCGCACCACCTGTCCCCCTCGACATTCGCTTGGCAGCATGCGAAGAAAACGGCATCAGGAACGTTGTCCGCCGCTCGGTCATGGCGTCGCCCGTAGCTGCGGCGACAGGACTGCCGCCAGGACTACCACCATCACCAATGCCGCTGCCGCCACCTGTACCACCACCACCAACAACAACGGCGGGGATAGTCACGGCGCCAGGGCCCGCAACTTCGCCCGCCTCGATCAGTGTCCTGGTCATGCCTGGTTTTGCATCTTTGCTGCCTTCGCCCAGCAGCTTGTGTCCGTGCTGCTGCATCCGACGTTTCCAACGCAAAAACATAAGAGCGGCAAGCAGCACCAGCGCCAGCCCAGCTACACCGCCGACCACGCCTCCAACGATCGTGCCTGTTGGTGTCCCGGTCGTTGTGTCAGAGTTCGTGTCCGTAGAAGACGCAGCGGGTGCGATCGCAGCAGTAGTGGCTGCGGCAGTGGTGCCGGCAACTGCAGAGCCCAATCCGCTGGACGCGACTTGTACCACTACACCGTCGGCAGACGAGGAAGCGATCGCGGCAGAAGAAGAGCTCGATGAAATCCAAGAGCTGGAAAACGTTGTGGAAGAGCTGTACGGAACCGAGGAGGACGAGTATGCGGATGAAGAGTGGGACAAGCTGCCAAAGAACGTGCGATGAGCAGTGCTGTTGCTGGGATAAGGCACGGCCGGAACAACTATTCCATTAGCTACGAAGACAGGCGGGGTGAAGAGTTTCGGAGGGGTGTAAGCATACCTGAGTTGGTGAAATTGCCTATGTTTGGCAGCAGTGTGCCGGATGAAGATCCCGTGGTCAGAGGCGGGGAAATAGTGGCGGGAGATGATCCGCTTGTGCCGCTGATCGTCGAGTTGGAAAAGGCTGTCGTTGTTACTGCTGCCGACAAAGCAGAGGACGGCGAATTTGACGCAGACACAGACGAAGACGCACACGGAGATGAGGACGAAAGCAGCGATGAGGACAGTGAAGAGGACAGTGAGGAAGATAGCGAGGAAGACGGCGATGAGGACGGCGACAACGACGACGACGACGACGACGACGACGATGGCAGCAACGACGACAGTGACAGGGCCGATGCCGGAGATGCGGCGGTCGCAGACGAGACACCAGAAACACCGGCCACATCAGGAGTGGACGCGGTGGCCGAGTCGGAAGCCAGTGTGGTCACCGGCAAAGAGGGTGCAGTGCTCACTTCGAGCACAGAACCGTCGCTGCCAATGACCTGGACCACGGAAACGGTCTGGACGACTTCGGTAACACGGCGACGAAGGTCGTTCTGGCTGTTCTCGTCATGGTCGGCGTCTTCGTCGATGATATCCTGTGAAAACAGGTGCTTTTTGGGCTCGTCCATGTTGCCGCCTGTAGCATCTTGGCCGTGTCTGTAAAGATCGTGCATGCGGCGATGGGTGTGGCGGTGCTCGTATTCGTGATGTTGGTGGCGATGTTGAAGAGGGGCGGCGGAGGGTTCTGCAGAAGTTGGGGCCATGCCGGCCTGAAGGAGTGAAGGCTTGTGGACGTAGCTGGTCATAATGTGGCGAAGCAAGGGAGACTCAGCCGGCCTGGACGATGTTGAAAAAATGACAAAGGAATGTGATTGTAAGATATATAAGATCAAGGAACGTATGCGAAGCGAACGGTTGCAAGAAACGAGCGTGATTTGTTTTTTTATCGAGTGCGGGATAGAGTTTCCCTTGGCTTGGGTACGTGGACGAACAAGTCGTCAAAGGTGCATTTATCGGACTAGAGGCTGTCGTCTTCTATCCGTCCGAATGCCCTCCAGAGGGTGATGAGCGAGGGAGGGTCGGCGTGTCGAGTCCGAAGAGAGGCAGCTCTACCTGGTGGTCACAACGGAAGAAATGATGGCTTGGCTGGCGCAATCCATGCTCGTCGTGATGGTGATTCTCGTCGGCGTCGTCAACTCCTTCATCTCGGAGATGAAGGCGGATGGTAGAGAGCGTGAGGGAGTGCACGCAGTGCCTCAAGTGGTCGTGATGTCAAGCTGGGAGCGGGCGTGCGCGTGTATCAATGTCGATCCCTTTTGCACCGGTCGCAGTCCTTTTGACTTTTTGCTTTGTCGTCTTCGACCTTTACCAGCTCCTCGTCAACAGAGGAGTCGCCAGGCGATGCTGGGGTGGGACCTATGGAGCTCGATGGGAAAGGGCGAGCCACCGCGAGTACTCGTGGTAGGCAAGAGCAAAAGTAAAAAGGAAAACGGGCATTCGCAACACGCGAAAGGGCAGCAAAGACGATAGCCAGGCGATGTACGCGCAAGGTCCCGTCCGTCTCTCCTGCCGGTGTTGTTTTGCGCGCTAGGTCCTGCCGTAATAAAAATACACTCTGGACCTGTTTCTGTGGCCCACTCGGGGGGCAGAGAAGAAGGAAAAGGAAATTTGATATTCAGCGCGGGCCATGCTGCGACGTTGTAGCCAGGCACGGAAAGGGGCCTAGTGCTGTGGGTACATGCTACCTAGCACGGGACGATTTGGCCCTGACGGCCAATTACACGCATACGCGCAGCTCCTAGCTGGTGAACCAATGGTCCAATTTCGCTTGACTGGAATGGAAGTAAATACCGACTTCTCTTCTTTAGGGGCTTGCCAGCCAATAAGACCTGCAAATCTACCGAGTACGTGGGACCCCACCAGAATTACTATGCATGTATCTTACTCCGTACATACACTGAAAGCGCACAGTCCAGAAGCTGCAGAATTGCCGCCACGTAAGATATCGTGCAACAGGGCGACAAATGAGTAGCGACTCCGCCGACAGAACATCGGACGAGTCTTTCAAGGCGACACCACAAACAATGTCGCATGGCAGGAAGCCGATTCCTGCAGGCGCACGAGCAGGATCGACAATTCCCACACCTAGGGCGCAGAAATGCCATTTGACTCAGACGCCCCGAAATGGCATGCGCCTGTATGTTATTTCTCTCTCTTCCGTCGTCTCGCCTCTCGCCTTGTCCGCGGCCCATGCTGGGCTGAACAGTTCATACAAGACACCCGCTGCGGTGCTCAGCACACTCACTCAAGCCTGCAGCAAATAATACCCAAATACTCCGTACGTACTATGTAATGAGGGGGCCGCGACGCGCGTCAGCCACTTGGCAAACCCTTTTTATGCCGTCCCAAGCAAAGCCAGATTATTTTCGTACGAACCGCTGGTCGGTCATTCCCCATTCGAGATCCCGGAAGGCCAAGCCCTGCCAAAACGCTGAGAAATTGTCATAATTGAATGCTGCGTGTTGCACAAAAGAAATGATCTTGCATTCCAGCAACCAACTCTGGCTCCCTGCACCTTGACTGTTTAGATGCATAATAACATATGCCCAAAACAATCTCTGCTCATGCGGACGACTTCTGCAGCTAAAGGATTTTGTAATCAAAGACCTATCTTACGAGTCCGGAGTACTCCGTACGTGACAAAGGAAAGCGTTGTAAAAGGAGATTTGCTATCATAGGTGTTTCAAGTCCAAAGCAGTTGCCATTTTGGCAGATAAACCCCCGTCCTAAAAATACGGTTTCGTATACGGAGAGTAAGTCGGCGTCTAATAAGCACTGACCTCTTGCAAAGAAAAGCAGGCTTATCTACGGAGTACGAAGTACATAATTGAATGAGTATACGGAACACGAAGCATATGCTTGGTAAGTTATATTGTTATCTGCAAATCTATCCAAACATCCAAAAGGTCGGCATACAGCTTTACGAACCAAGGTTTTTTTTCTGTGTGTAGTAAGCGTTCTACGTCAGTGTTTGCTTTGTACTCCATATGAAGTGTGGCTCTCTATGCCGGCTCTACTCAGTATACGCAGCTGTACTAGTCGGGCCCTCATCGATACTGGGTGGGTGCAGTCAGTAAAGTAGGTCGTGTGGGAGTGCGGACTACTTTACGGAACAGGCCGAAACAAATATGTAAGTTCATTAATGTGACCGACACAGCCACAAGCACAAGATAATTGCATGTATCTTACGTAGTACTCCGTACGGGAGGTCGGAAGTTTATGGCACATTAAACTGTATTACCAGAGCATTATCTCACACGTAAGATGCGTGCCGAGTCGAACTCGAAACGTCTATTGTCTGCACCAACAAAGCATGAAAAACTTGTTTAATGTGTTGGCTTATGACAAAAATAACATAATCAAGAGTTCATAAAATCAGCAAACTCAGACAGACAAGCCTCGACGCACTCCGTCTACAGTAACCTTTCTGACATCATCCCGACCTCCCGAGCCCGCTGCCGAAACTTCAAGTATTCCACCCTTCGTGCTTCGAAGCTCCCCATATAAAGGCTCTCGCTCCCACCAGCCAGCTTTCCAGCTCTTTTTGACTTCAGCTGTGTTTGTTTGTGTGTCTGCTCGTTGTCTTTCCCCCTCGCTTCTCGGCTGGCCTTACCTTACTGCTTTTTAAAAGCTTATGTGTATTGGTATTTGTTATCGTGCTCTCTCGAATCCCACTGCTTTTGCTTTTTTTTTCTTGTGCGTTTGGGCTTTTGAAACCCTCTCACTCTTCCGTCTTCTCCTATCTCCCAGCCGACCCCTTCATGACCATCATGACTGGTTTTAAAATAAGGGTAATAAAAATAACAAACAAAGCTGAAAAAGGACAGGGAAGACAACCATTGTGCCCCAACGCCATGCTAGAAATCCATAAAAGGAATGAATACTGCCAACGGCAGCATCGACAAAACTCTCCAAATTATATGCAAATGCAAAACATGGGCATCATCCGCAGCCTCTGTGTCCAACCTTGAACAGAGTGGGGAAAAACGTGCTGCTTGAAGGCCGCGCCCTATTCGGCCCTCTTCGTCATCTTGGGTATTATACCCGTTTCCTCAACAGTGCTTGGGTGATATCCTGCTGCTGCAGAGCAACAAAAAGCAACATCTTTTCTGGCCAGGCCTTTCAAATGGGTCCTGTTTTCTTCTGAAGGGCAGCTAACCGCTTCACTCCAGCACGGGTACGTACATTCTACGCACCAACCATGCCAGGACCATAACTTTGTTGGCGGACAGGGGCAGGTGGGTATTGTGATGTAGACGTAGCGGCCTGCAGGAAAAGAGGGTTAGCAAAAGGCTCTTCGCGGCAAGAAGCGCCGATAAGCACCTTTTTCCGTCGTTTGTGGCTTGGGCCGTCGCCGTCGCCAGTCGAGTATCCATCTACAAGATCGTCATCAGGAAATCCCTCGCCATAACCCTCAAAGCTATTATCGCCATAGCTCCGCTTCTTGCTAACCCGACGAGGTCGCGAAGCATCTGGGCCTCCCGGGCCCATTTGCTGAAATGATGGCTGCTGGGTCTTAGACCGCGCAACGGCTGGGTGGAGGGGCGTGCTCGGGGTTGTGCCCCGGACAGATGACGGTCTCGTGCCAATGGATGCAAGTTTATCTGGAGCCAGATCGCCCAAAACGGAACTGTCCCAAATTGCTTTCGGCATGGGACCTTTGTTCATAGTGAAAGCCAGCCGCAAATCCGCTGTGACATCGTCGGCAAAGCCGTATTGGATCTCCTTCGTCTTGACCTGGCGGGCTTGCCATGAGTCTTCAGCTTCGCTGAGCATTCGCAAGAAGTCGCTCTCGTCACCGTCTTCCCTCTTCACCGGCTCGAAGTGGCCCGACACGCCTAGCTTCTTCATATAACCCTTGTACGTTTTCCGCATCGCGTTCTTTTCGCCATTCGGTAAAGTCCTAGCTACTTCTGCAGCGATCCCTGACAAGCCGAACATCGAAAATAGATCCTCCGATAATGGTGGAAAAGATGGTGTATGAGCTGTGACGAGTAGCAAGAAAAAAAGAAGAGCTGGGTGTTAACACAAGTCGTTCTTACATAGCATAGACAGGGCAACACGTATGCAGAGGAGGAGTGAAGTAGCGAGGTGAAGGTAGGGAAACACAGGTTGCTATAATGTATGCAAGTAGAGGCGTGGTAGCACCATGACGGGGAATGGTGGACGAGTCTTACCCTTTTTGCCCACGAGATACTTCTCGCCCACATCTTGATGCAAGGCTTCAAAGTCTAGCCTCTGCTGACCCTCCATGTGGACTTTCTTCGGGTGTTGGCTCCCAGAATCAGCGAACGCGCGCTTCCGTTTTTGCGGAGAATCATCTGTAGACATGTCGTGTGCGACGTCGACCGCACCGAAGTTGCAACCGTTTACGCTATGAGCAGGAGTCGGTAAAGTTGATGCCGTGGCAGTGGAGGCGAAAGAGGCCCCGTTGGTATTGATCGTATTGGCGACCGATGAGGATGATGCAGACTGAGGGTCGGTCATCATCGGGGAAAACTGAGAGGGACTCTGTGGAGTCTGAGGATGGAAGGACATGGCTGGTCTTGAAAGCCGTATCGTGAGAGACGAATTACGTCAGATTGTCGACCAGGATGCAGGCGAAGAGAGCTGCGAGCAAAAAAAAAAAGGAGAGGATGGCAGCGGCGTGCTCTGATGTCGAAAATCGGTAGAGCAGTCGACAGAAAAAGAGAGCGAATAATAACGCAAGCAACGGAGGACGACGATCAAAAGAGGATGCCTAGCGATCGCACGATCGCCGCGCCTCTCCGGCGAGCGGCTGACAGAGGATATTGCGCCAAGGAGGACTAAACAGAGATGTTTCGGCCGCTGGATTGCGCAGAAATTGACGGGTATCGAAAATTCTTCCGTGAAGAGCCTGGAATAGAGGGCGGCTGTTCAGTGGGTCGATTTCGTCGCACGTTCGCACGTCCCTTTTGGTTATTGCTGTTTTAAAAGAAGGAGCGGTGTTCGGGGAGAGGCCGCGAGACTCTTTTGTCGATGAACTTCATCGACCGACCGAATATTTTGGGGGCGATTCTGGACGACTGGAACGGCGACTGCCAAGTGTGAGAAGTATGAAAAAAAAGAGTCGTCGGAATCGGCCGGGGTAGAATATGAGCGAAATTGAGAGAAAGTCCGGCGCCGAGTGTCGTGGTTGCCGATTGATGGCAGGGTGAGTAGTTTTGACGGGAATATGAGAGGGAGAAAGAGCGGCGGAAACAGGTAGGGGAGATGAGGTCCGATGATTAAGTCTCGCCCTTCGGGTGAGAATGACGGGAAACAACTGGGCGGGACTGAGCGCGAGACAGGTAAGAGAAAGAGGGAAGGGGGCGTGGGGAGTTAGGCCCAAGAACTGGGAGTGAACAGAATGTACTGTATGGAATCCCGTGCCGCATTGGAGGGAGACGACTTCTAGTTTCACATACTCTGCAGGCAATTACAAGTACTCTTACAGTAAGTACTGTGCAAGAGATACTGTACTTTTTCTCACCTCGGCTTAACCCAATCGGAAAGGACATATATGGGTCTCGTCTTTTTTATGGGTCTTTTTTGCAGAAGCTGAGTGATTGAGGCATAACAGCTGCTTTGATTCTTAATCTCTATCATTTACAACCTAGGTTTTTAATGCATATGTGTAGTTAGCTGACAACGACGATTCACCTCACAAGCCTCCCAAAAGTTCATGGGGAAAAGGCGAGACGTATGGCTCTCTCGGTTTCTTTGTTTCTCTGGCGCCAAGCCTGTTGATAGTACGTCGTATATTGCCATCGCTGTAAAATGCACACTAAGAACCTAAAACGCATCAAAATAGGAGACCACATTCATGATGTGATAAATCGGCACAGCGTCAAGCAGAGCGGGAATGACAGCAAGATACATTTCCCCATTCTGTGCCCTATAACCTATATCGTAGCTTCACGCGTCACTCACGTCAATCTGCCAACAATCTGCCGTTTCTAAACCTAGTAGCCATAGACAAAGCAAAGGAAATATACAAACTGGAACCAGCTCAAACTTCAGGTGGCCAACAAGCTGGGATAAGTAGAATAAAACTCTCTTCAAACCGCCGACAGCTTCTGCAACGGAATAGCCGTACATAGCAGATACCGAAAAGGAAGCTGGAAAAACATACGGTCCCCTTGATTGAAGGGATACACCGACATTTGACATATAGAGCCCATTGCTTGTTGTTAATTATCATGCTCGATATCGTCTTGCTAAAAGCGCGATAAATACGGAGTGACAGCAGCTTGTGACGGCAAACGACAGCCCAGTCGTCAATCCCCAGATTTGCTTCTATTCCCTTCTTCACCTCGCGCCGTAGAACGATGGTAATGAAAAGATTCAGAGTGTTTTTGCCAAAAATTCCCTACCGAGCCAGTGGCCCAATAGGAGTGGTCAAGGAATAGTTTTCAACCAGCAAAAACACACTCTCGGACGAATCCTCACTGAATGCGTACTGCCCTTGCACTAGGATAGGGAAGAAAGGAGAAAAAAAAGGGGAGCCAAGGGCTGATGGTTTCGGGAGGTGGCCAGTTCTTAAATAGGCGTGGGAGGAGTTTCCTTGTTGGTCCGTGCGAGCATGCTGCCTCCAAACATTTTTGTGGCAGGCACCAATTGGTTGCCACTGCCTGCCATGAGTTACGCTGAAGTTGCTTATCAAAGGTGACTGCGCGATTATCAGCCACTATGTATCAATCCTGCTTGCAGTTGCTGCTTTGCTCGTGGAATGGATTGTGCCTACAGAGGTACGGAGTAACTCGTGATACATATTTCTTACGGAAAATACGAGACTATAGCAAGTCTTTTGCCTACCGGTTCGCCAATGAGCGCCCCGCATCTAGTTAAGATAATATTTCTGTACGGATACTCCGTACTCTGCACCCTTTCTAACTATCGAATTATATTCTGTACGGCATTTGGTGATGCACCAAGTTTAATTCAATGTGTGAGATCCGACTCATACATTAAAGCAACAGCAAATGTTTTCTTCTTCACGTCCCGGGACTAGCTCAGGAGCGCAATGAAAAAAAGAGGAAAAAAAGGCCGGTCAGACGTCCATCAACACCCACCCCAGCAGAGTTCTCACTAGGAGAAACCCAAATCTGGGGTATAGCTCATCACCACCCTCTAATACAGTCCTGGAAAATTCCTGAACCGCCACCTTTTCAGGCAGTGCGAGGGTCAAAAGCAAAGCTTTGTTCGTTTCACAAACGTGGGCAAGTTGAGGATATAAGTCATCAACCCGGGTGGGTACTGCTTCTGTTTTAGAGAACAGTGAAGAGGACAAAAACTATAGAAATGATTCTCTGAAGTATTGTCGTCATGAAGAAAAAAAAGAGAAAAGAAATCCTAGAATGGACGGGGGCGAGCCAGCCTTTTTATAGATGCAGACCCAGAAAATTTCGCAGGCGGTGTGCGCTGGTCCGTGCGAGAATGACTGGAGCAAAGGAAAATCTCGACCGCCCAAGCTAAGTGTGTGTTTCTGCCATGCTTTTTTTCTTCTTCTCGACCGCGCTCTAATGTATCTTCTCTCCGATAGACAACAGTCTTTGCAGCATTCGTCGCCAGGTGTACGTTGGACACAGGAAAATATCCTACATTATTTAATAATGCATTTATGTCTTTCCTCCCCAGAGTGCTATGTTAGCCCGCCGAATCCTCCATGGACGCCTCTGCTATGCTGGATATATGTATAGAAACATGCCTGTTGCTTATGAATACGCGAAATAATTACTGCTCTTCTGCTTTCGCAAAATCAAGACCGAAACGTACAGCTGTCAGGGATAACCTGCCCTCATAATATGCCTATCCTTCAAGGCTGGCATGAACAAACGCTGCCGGCGCCTCCGCCAGCTTTGCTTCCGGCAGGTCGTAGTTGATACTTTTCGTCTCCCTTTCCTCAGCGATATAGCCGGCAACCTGGTGTGGTGCAATATCACAGGTGTCGTCTCCTGCGTTTTCTTTCTCCCCGTCAGTTGACAAGATCGGCGCCCTGTCAATGTCGGCGTCGGCCACTGAAAAGTCTTCACTGCTTCGGGTAGAATGTGCAGCGGATGACGTAAAATTAGAGCGATTGTCAATTCTGTCATAGAAAAGCATGAAGACCCCACCCTGAGACAAGACTGTGGTTTCGTCAGAGAGGGTCACGTTTTGATCGCTGAGGCGCCACCATTGAGATTCGCTAGTATTGTGATCATCTTCAAGGGGTTCGAGCTTCTCCGTAGTACTTGGCTCATCAGTCGCTTCATCAGAAGTCCCGTCTACGACGGCATCCGCCTCAGACGCAAATCCCGGCGTCTTCCTGTCCCGTCCCTTCTCAGGTTCTACTTCCTCGTCGGAAGGGCGGTGGGGAGCAGGATGCTTTCGGTAGCAAACATAATGTCCGTTTTCGTGCTGGCCATAGTGCGTGATGACAGCTCGAAGTTCGTAGAGCGGGCCAGTGATTTTGGACGGGTACTGTGTTCCAGAAACCATGGGCAACTGGGGAGGTAATTGCCACTGTTCTTCATCCTCTAAGGTCGAGGAATTGTCGGTCATCAACGAAGGTACAGATGAGAATGAAGGCGAATATTGCTCTTGATCCGACCGCTGCTGGTGGATCCGGTTGTCCTTCTTGTCGACATCTGGTTCTTTGAGACCGGATTCATGCTCTACACTGATTTCATAGGAACGTGAGGCCGCACTACCTAAACACCACGGACCAAGATCTAGTTGTGAAGGAAACTGAATTGCAGCAGGATTTTTGAACGTATAGCCGGTCGACTCGTCGAACCTGGAGCGGTTGATGTGGAAGGCAATGCTTGGCGGTGCTCGGGCGATACCCACTTCCGGGGATTTCGTAGACTCCACACGTTGTTTGTTGGGGATTTTGCAAGTATCTGAAAGCGTTTTCTCTTCAAAGTCTTCCTCTTCCAATGCCGCCTCGATAGCCTCTAATCTCTCGTAAATGAGAGGCTGATTGCTCTTTGCACAATACGAGGAGCTGCTTTCGGCCTCTAAGCGACCGATGATAACCCGTATCCTTTTGCGAAACGTCAAGAGAGTGCAGCTGGCGCATTGGACACCTTCGATGTTCTCGACAGCGCTAAAGCTGTCCAGGGTCTCCTCCAAGCGGTATTCGGAGTTTCCGTAGCCGAGAGACAGGGTCAGACAGTAAAAATGGGTTCATGGTCAGCCCCGATGAATAACCACAGGCCCGGCATACTATTCGATGGGCCATAAGGCCTTGGCGTGGGATGCGGAAACAAGGAAGCTGCAGCGGCGGCCTGTTTCGAGGTGGACGATGCGCTTAAGTAGCCACTGTCCTCGCTGCTCGGGACTGCTGCTCCTAGGTTCCCCGTATGGCGGCGCCCAAGTCAGTTTCGAAGCCTGGGTGAGTCTGAACATCCTTCAGTGCCTTCTCAACTTCTTCCTGCACTTAGTTCAATAGCTTGCAAAAAATATTCCTGTGCGTCCTGTTGCTGAAAAGTGCTCATCCTCTTAAGAACCGGTGGTGTCCAAAGCGTCTCTCCATTCACAGCATGTCCAAAAGAGATCGCGCACTAAACAGTGCGAGGGTATGGGCTGTTTGAACGTGCGGCAGGCCTCCGGTCTCTTCCTCCTCAGCTATCCATGACAGATAATCGCGAAGGGGGGCAAGCGCGCTCAGGGCCTGAAGGATGCTGTTCTGGTAGCAGGAGTTGCTGATGTTCCCGAGGCCTGCCGGCCGGTCGACTCCACCCTTTGGCATGAGTCGCGAGAGGCCGCTTCTGCCAGCGTAAGACACGGATGCGATAATGCTACCGGCCTTGTCTTTCCTCAGCAAGCGACCCAAGGCACTGCTTTTGGCCTCTTTCAGAGCGGCTTTAGAGGCACGATCGACAGGCGGTCGGAGAGTCGGAAAAGGATTCAGCCAGTCGTCGACAGCAAAGAGAACAGAAGAGGGCGTGGCTGAGACGAGCAGGTCCCAAAGTCGCTCGCCAGTCGCGGATGGCAGAAGATAGCGGACGGGCTCAATTATGTTGGTGGTAAAAGCAATAGTGACCAGAAGGACAATGAATGGAACAATAAAGCTGTGTTCAGCCAGTCGATCCCAGTAGGTAGTTTCATAAAAGGTCCGCAGTTTTGGCTTGCCGGTCATGATCTGCCAAGCATCGTGGGAGCTCATCCTGGGCCGATGGAAAGTCGGCCGAGAATAAGCAACAGCGACAGGTTGGTTGCTAGAGGAGCCGTTGGATGCTCGACGTAAAAGTACCCGTACAAGAAGGAACGGAGTAAATACGTTGTTTGGGCTAGGGTAGTCGAGGATTGTCGGCAACGCTAATAGCCGTGATCGATCGAGGTTGGAAGGAGAGGAAGGTCGTGCTTTCTAGCAATTGCGAGATGCAACTGCCTATGCAACGCCCGGCGCTGCCAGATCGAATGGGTGGCGCGTAAGCAAGCGAAACGTTTCGTAAGATGGATGGAGGGAGGAATGGAGGCGAAACAGATCACATGTGACGTAGAAATGATAGATAGGCAGTGGTGGCTGCGCAGACAGTCACATTTCTCAATGCCGCTCTATTTAGAAAGCGGTATACGAGGGCAGAATGTTCCCCGCCAAAAAAAGTTCAAAGTCAATAACCACAATTTGGTAGACGTCACGAAACAAACAATTCATCACAGGTTCAAAATGGCAAAGAAAGGTGCGTTATCTTACCTTTTTGTTCTTCTCATGGAAGCATTTAATTCGGTAGGAAAATGAGCCGAGAAAGCTAACACCTTCCAGGACCCTCAAAGCATTCGCGTGCTGCCCGCCGGGCAACTTCGCCGGGCATCGACACCGACAAGTCGCTGAAAGATATCAAGCCGCCTGAGTCTACGGCTGACCACCGGCCGTCTGTGCTGGGGATCCACCAGTCGGCGGGTGTCTCAAAGAAGACCAAGCAGGGCCGCAAGTCGGTGCCTAGCACGCGAGCGCGGCGACGCCAAGAGAAGGGACTGGATCGAGCAGCGGCCGTGGGGGAGCGGACCGCGCAGAAGGTGCAGCGCAGCAAGACACAGGCACGGTCAATTGACTACCGGCGCAAGGCCTGGGACGAGATCAACAGCAAGATCGAGGCGGACGTGAGCGCAGATGCGGCGAGCAAGAAAGCTGCCTGGGCATTGATGGTTGCGGATGGCGCCGATGGCAGCGACGAGGACGAAGATGTCGACAGTGGCGACGAGGCGGTGCGCAAGTTTTACGACGATCTGGACGAGAACATGGGAGAAGCCGATGCGGCGGCGCCCGTGGTGGCCTTTGAGACAGCCGTCCCGCTGGCTGTTCTTGCTGGCGGGGACGAGATAATGTGATCTCGCCCTGCAAGGTCGCTTTCTGCTTACGACTATATTATATATCATGTGATGTGGGTGGGCAGGGGGCAAAGCCGCTGCTTATACCCTTGGCAACAAGCTATGACGGAGCATACTTGGCGTTACAGGCTTCTTTTATCTAAAAATGGTTACTTGGGCTTGAATTGTTGATTATAGAATTGGGTACGAGGAAAAGATAGCTTCGGTCATCTGAACGGTTTAGCTATACATGCACGTCCCTTAATGTAGCTTATTCGTCTCAGATTTGTCTACAAGATCTCGCTGTAAATATGGCTGAACGCTCTCAAGCCCGGTATTACTTTGTGTTCTGCATTGATGGTAGATAGCAGTAGGTTGCACAATCTTATCACACAATCTCATGCATCTGATGGATATTACCCGCTCATTCATGAGCCGAAATGATAAGAAGAAACCATGACTTTACGGAGTAGTCGCTACTACCACCACAGACATGCTTCCGGTCAGGAGATGACGGCTGCGTGAGACCCCCACAAGAACCAGGTTTTTGGCTTAGGGCTCGGGTAAACCGACGACGACCTGAGGGACCACCAAAAGTCGTATCGTTTTGTTTGAGTACGACGTAATATGTAAGCCCTTGACTTTGAGCGTCGTAGTTGCGGCTAAGATTAGTAGTCCATATGCCTGCCGTCAGCGAATGGGTACCCCACTGCCATTTAGATGGAGTACAGGATATCACGGCAGCAGGTCTTGGCTCGACGCATCGCTGCCCAACACCCCACGCAATCTGTTGGGCACGTAAGGCTTAGACTCGGACTAGAGGGCGGGTAGACGGGCCCACCACCCTCGCTACTTGTATCATGGTATTCAATACAGCACAAGATCGTCAAGATCTAAGCATATATTTGTGAGATTGAAGAGGTCCCAACCACAAGGTTGTACTGCAGGGCGACCCTGACGCATTAGCGGCAACAGTGAAGGTGGAAGGAGATTAGGTCCCGATGGGAAGCTAAAAGAAGAGGAATCAAAATGTACCTCTGGACTTTAGATTGCTGCCGTGCCCTGATCAATCCTTTGCATGGCATCTCCGACTATCGAGTCCCCAGTGGTGTTCAGCCACGAAACTCGGACCGTGAATTTGGGAAGACTGATTCTTCGTGGGCTCATGTCTGAGGGTCGAACATCAGTTTGCGGGTGGAGCCTACGGGCCCTTTCTATCTTAACTCCACACCGAAGGCAGTACGAAGTAACGCGATCGGGTGCGGCTCTCGATCTTGCAGAGGTTGTTCGACTAATATCAATCTCAGAAGATGAGCCTAAGTTCAATAAAGCATTCGTGTATTTCAGGGGCTATCGCTTGGCGAATTCCACAAAACCCCAGCAGCTATTTATCTTAGATTGTGAAAAGGGAATACTCTTGTAAACCCCCCCGATTTCTATCGTCAACGAGCTCTGAGTTTTGTAAATGCCAGTTGGTCTGACTAATGAACAAGGGTCTGCAAACAAGGGTCTGCAATCGTAGTTATATAGCCGATTTCAGAGTCAATGCCTGAATACGCAGGGTCTGATAAAACCAAACTTGCATTTGCGCTGGCAGGGTTCCAATGTATTCGTTCGTGAACCCCTACGCACACACAAATGCATCTAAATGTACCAGGCATTACTGATCCATTGGCAAGCAGTCGCATCTACTCAAAAATATGTCAGCTTTGGATCCCCGCCTAGTCAAACCAGTTTATGGACTTTTGGATAGTCGACAAGGACCACACCTAATCTGAAGAACCTCGTTGTGCAACTCAATCAAATTTCAGCACCTGTCAACATCTACGTCGTAATGCAGCTCACTAGCTGTCGTTTCTCTTACACGGCTTGTGGCACGCATATCGCCACTGCGGCTGAAATTAAGGGATGCGTCACGTGCTGTGCATGGGCGCGAATGTTGGGCCGGCGCTATGATCTCTCATTGGTCAGTACCTGAATGGGCTTTTTGGTGCCTGAAAGTCATTGTCGCTATTGCAGCTTTGACACAATAATAGCAGGCCTATGATTTGAGTGGAGGCCCGAGTCCTATTCTTTGTACCCTGCAAGGGCTATTTCAGAATGGAGAAGGACCGCACGGGCTGTCCAATTCCGGGGCCTCAGGGGTCGTAATCGACATCCAACTTGTTTCATGCGCAGCTCTGGTGCAACACGGCCTCGCGGGCCTGTATGCTGTGTCGTTTCTTCCTTTCTCCCTTCCGTTTTCGGTATTCGTTTCTTTCTCTTCTTCTCCAAGCCTGGATTCACGGTCATACTTTGGCCTTTCTTGCTTCGTTCCGTTCTCCATTCCTTTTTTCTGCTTCTCTTCGTCACCCTGGCGGATCTGGCTGTGCCAGCTGGACTTTCACTTGCTTCCTTTTATCAGTTGCGTCTCATTTTCGATTCATACTTTGCCAAATCCTGGAGATTCGGCGGATCCATTCATTTAATTCCACCTTGTTTGATATATTGTGATACTCTTTTCTCGCCATGAAGCTATCTATACAGACTGCAGGCATCGCCTGGCTACTGGCACAGGGAGCCAATGCCATTGTGATCAATGCTACTGACTCCAGTACGTCCTGTGGTAGGGTCTAGTCTGAGGCGGTAGCCAATGCTAACTTCTGGGGGTGCAGCATCTGTCAAGGCAGCCGCAAGTACGGTGGCATATGGCCTGCTAAAGTACTACACGGGCAATAACACGGGCGATGTGGCGGGCAACCTGCCTGACCCGTACTTCTGTAAGTCGGCCGCCGAGAAAGGATTCAAAGACGAGCAGACAGGCAGGCACTGACACAAGAGGCAGGGTGGGAGGCCGGAGCCATGTTCGGCACGCTCGTGGACTACTGGTTCATGACGGGCGATGACACGTACAACAACGAGACGCTGCAGGCATTGGTACACCAGGCAGGCAACAACAACGACTTCATGCCGGCGAATCAGACGAGCACAGAGGGCAACGACGACCAGGGCTTCTGGGCGATGGCGGCCATGTCGGCGGCTGAGAACAATTTTCCGAACCCGGCAGACGGCGAGCCGCAATGGTTGGCTTTGGCGCAGGCGGTGTTCAACGAGTATACGACGCGCTGGGACACGGCCTCGTGCAACGGCGGGATGCGCTGGCAGATCTTCACGTTCAACAACGGGTACAACTACAAGAACTCCATCTCCAACGGCTGCTTCTTCAACCTGGCGACGCGGTTGTGGCGTTTCACGGGAAACCAGACGTATGCCGACTGGGCTACTAAGGTGTGGGACTGGGAGACAGGCGTCGGCTTCATCACGTCCGACTACAAGGTGTACGACGGCGCGTCGGTCTCGGGCACCGACAACTGCAGCACCAAGGACACGATCCAGTGGTCGTACAACGCTGGCATCTTTCTGCACGGTGCCGCCGTCATGTACAACGGCACCAACGGCACGGAGCTGTGGAAGACACGCGTGGACGGGCTTTGGAACGAGACCCGCGACACCTTTTTCAACAACAGCATCATGGTTGAGCAGGCTTGCGAGACGGTCAACCTGTGTGACAATGACGAGCAGAGCTTCAAGGGCTACCTGGCCCGCTGGATGGCCGGCACCGCCCAGATGGCTCCCTACACGTCCACCGAGATCGTGCCGCTGCTGCAGGCCAATGCGGCGGCTGCGGCTGCTGCCTGCTCCGGCTCGCCGGCCACCGGCTTCAAGGGACTTGCTGGCACCGCCTGCGGCTTCAAATGGTACACCGGCAGTTTTGATGGCACCGTCGGCGTCGGCGAGCAGATGAATGCCCTGTCTGCCATCATGTACTCGCTCGTCCAGGAAGAGGTCGCCGCACCGGTCACCGCCTCGACCGGCGGCACGTCCAAGGGCAATCCCAGCGCCGGTACCCAGACGTCCCCGGCTGCCACTGATGTGCTGGCGCCTATCACCACCGCTAGCCGTGTCGCGGCTGGCTTTCTGACCACGGCTGTTGCCTTTTCTCTCCTCGGTGGTGGCGTCTTCTTGGTCAAATGAGTTGCAGACGGCTTAGGACGGCATACAGGAGGAGCAGTAGACAAAATAGGGAATGAAAACATGGCATCATTACAGGGCGCAGCGGGTGTTGGGCATCTTCTTCGACACGGAGATCTACTTATGCTTTTTGGGTTTTAAGTTATAGGAATTATAATTAATATTATTCACGAAATTAAGCAGCTCTTCAACCAACATTTGCATAAACAGGTGAGAGCAATATTATTCGGAGCAATGTATTCTGCTGCTCAAAAAATGCCTGAGAAACAATACAAGGAACCGCCAACAAGATAACGAAGAACGAAAAGCCAGCTTCCAACCAGACGCAGACACACCACGGCCGCCGTCCATTAACCCTTCTTCTCGATTCGCTCCAGTCTGTATCTGTTGGCGCGGACGCCGTCGTCCACATTGTCGCTCTGGAGGCGTTAGTGTGAGGGGAGGAAAGGAAAAGAGAGGGCGAAAAGAAAGAAGAGAGAAGAAAGACAAACGCACCTTTGCCATGATCCGGTCGAGATGCACCAGGTCCTCTTCCACGCCCTTGCCCATGGCCACGGCGGCCTCGTTGAGCGTGCCGACAGCACCGGACAGGAGGCCGAGCTTGTTGTCGATGCGCTGCTCCATGGCAATGTCTTCCTCGTCGTCGTCCTCGAGCGTGAACTTGCTGGAGACGCCCTTGCGGTTCTGGCCCAGGCGGCGCGACGAGTCGATGGTCTTGTCCAGCTGCGAGAACTCGTCGTCGGCGTTGCGGTTGCTCAGATAGGCCGCGCGGCGCGTCTCCTCGCGAATCTGCCGCTCCGTCCGGTGTTCGTCCAGCGCTGCCTGCGCCCGCTCGGCCGCCCGCTGCTTCGACATGAACGGGTTGCTGACCTTGACGGCAAACATGCTGCGGTTGTAGTGCTTCAGCTCGGCTGTGCGGTGCTCGGCAATCTTGTTGTGGTTCGCCGCCTGGTCCAGGTTCTGCTCCACGTTGTAGAGCCGGTCTCGCTGGTTGTGCATCCGCGCCATCGTCGACCGTGCCGTCTCGATCGTCTGGTTGGCAATCATCAGCGACCGGTCCAGGCTCTGGTCCGTCTCGTTCCGCAGGTACCGCGTCTCCTCGTTCATCCGCTTGACGTCTGCGTCCTCCTGCTCCTCCTCCGTCAGTTCCTGTGCCTCGCCGTAGCCGCCGCCGCCACCACCGCCTGCCGCTGGCGCCGCCCCATAGCCACCACCAGCTCCGCCCGCCGCCGCTGGCCCTCCTGGTGCTGCCTGCTGCTGCGCAAACTTCTCCGGCGCCGCTCCGAACAGCGCCTGCCGGTTCGGATCGTTGGCCTCCTCGCGACCGCCACCCATGCCGCCGTATCCGCCACGCCGTGCGCTCAGCCGCGTGTTGCTGTCGTAGGACCCGCCACCACCGTTCCCTGCTACACTGTCAGCCGTGCTTCTATAGGAGGGTGGCCGACCAGGACCCATACCGCTGCTGTTGCTGTCGTAGCGATTGCTGCCGTAGCCGCCTGCTGCTCCGTAGCCACCAGCACTGTAGCCCCCGTTCGCTGGGCCGCCAGCCGGTGCCTGGCTCCCGTATGCCGGCGGAGGCTCGTTGGCACTCGCACGTGAAGGAGGAACGGAAGCAGGAGCCGGGCCCCGAGGACCAGGCCCGCTGGGCAGACCGGCACGTCCTCCTCGCGACGCCATGTACGGGTCCTGTTGGCCCTGCTGCGCGTAGGGGTTGGCATCTTGACGGCTGTCCTTCTTGCGGCTGAAGAGACTGCTCTTGCTGCTGCTGCCATCGTCGTCGTCTTTGAGGAAGCCGAATCGAGGCATTGCTGTTGACGGAAAATGAGGCGAGAGAGATTGATCGGACGTTCAATGGACACTGGAGATGGAGAGTCGCGAATTGAGAGTCGAAAAATGCCTGGTGACGAGTGTGTTTGCGAGCGTGTTCGCTTTGTCGTCGTGGCGGAAAGAAATGAAAGTGGTGATATATTCAGGGGAAGAGAGAAGGAAAAGGAGAATCGGACCTGTCAGACCTGCGTTTCGCCACGACAGTTGGGTTTCGAGACTGCCTACGGAGTGGTGCTGAGGCGGGGCTCAAAGCTCAGCCCCGCTGTGTTACGGGGCTTAAAAGCTCACTGTTTACTGTCTTGCACGCTACAAGTGTCTGCCTACAATCCTCCAGCAGCCACGCTAAAACCAGGTCGTGCATTGGGCTATTTTTATCTACGAAGTATGTACGGAGTACGGAGTACGAGCACTTCTTTACCGCCTCCCATTCTAATTAAGCTTTTGCTTCGTCAATTCCCTCGTCGAAATGGCCGTTTTCTGGTGAGAGGTCCGTGCAGTCAAGTCGTCTCTCTACTATGCAAGATACGACGTACCTTACATAGTATAAGCACCCTCTGGGTCTTCTGCCTTGCCTCTTTCCGCTTCTGGCAGTCATCGTCAAAGAGTCACCGGCTCGTACAGACCCACTTTAATCGGTAGTCAATACGGAGTAAACGACCCACGGCTCTGCGTAATCTCGTACACCTAAGATAGTTGCCGTCTTTTCTCGATCCCTGACAATGCCTGTTCTCCGTCCAGATGATATGGTGATCTAATAACATCTCGACCCTGTGATTGCGCCTGCCGAAAACACCAGTTCCGATCTTCTAGTAGTCCGGACAACCGTTGATCGAACCAAAATGCTGACTCGAATGTCTCGACTGTCTTTACTGCTGGCATCTTCACATCGTCCAATGTTACCAACAGCTGGCTGGTCCTTACAAGTAGCTGTGTGAATCCGATCTGCTTCCTTGTGAGCGGCCCACAGACACGTTCCCATGTCCGTCTTCACATTCGACCCAAATCCACCCCGGGTGTCTTCTCTCTGGCTGCTGCCGGCAAAGTTGGAAGACCAGGGCCTTCAGCCCAATGGCACTGTTGCACACAGCTTGCTGTCGGACTATGGGGTGACCAGGCTCCCTCCTGAGCCCGAGGACGGTCCGGTGGAATATAAGCTCCACCTCCTCCTGCGCCCACGACGGGCATACAAGCCACTCTCCTACTTCTCAGCCTCGCTGCAGGCCAAGATTGCTACGGATCCGAAATATCTGCAAAAGACCCGTGTTGTAGGCTCTTCGACCGCCGGCCAGACACGACAAGACCGGTGCCAGCATCTCACCACCCAGCTGCTCTGGAGACTGCGCCAGTCCTCTCCATACCATGCGTCGGTGGCCAGCCAGGACATCGACGTGCCAGTGCTGCCGGATGGCGTCGAGCTTTCCTCGCTCCCTGTTGCGCTGGGGAGACTTGCGCCCGGCTTGGAGGAGTCGCGAGGTGCTCTGTACGAGATTGGCGTCGCCGACGACGGCACCCTCATCGGCATAGCCAAGGACGAGATGGACCAGAGCGTGGCAACACTGCGTTGGATGGCAGCAAGCTTGGGCTGCACGGCAGAAGTCCAGCGCATGGTGGCTGTCGGGGAGTGCGAGTGGACGGCGGATGAGGCGCCATCTATAGGCCCTGAGACTGCTCCTCCGAAAGGCCGAGAGAACCTCTGGGTCGCAGAGGTGTTTGTCCGACCACACATGAAGTCTTACGGCTCATCCGGCTCCAACCACAAGCAAACACTGACTACTCTTGGCTCGGCCACAACCGATCAGCTTCGGGTCACTCTGACTGGGCCAACGGGCTCGGGAAAGTCGACCCTGCTAGGAACCCTCTCGACCGGCACGCTGGATGACGGACATGGGAAGAGCCGTCTCAACTCGCTCAAGCACCTGCACGAATTGGCCTCTGGGCTGACAAGCACCGTGACGCAGGAGCTCTTGGGCTACTCAGAGGACCGTATAGTCAATTATGCAAATCAGAATATCGAGTCCTGGATCGGCATCCATGACTACACCAAGGATGGCCGTCTCGTCTTTGTGTCGGATTCTGCCGGCCATCCGCGCTTCCGCCGCACTACACTTCGAGGCCTCATCGGATGGGCTCCTCATTGGACCATTCTGTGCCTTGCTGCTGCTTCCGACACGGCCGCAGGCAGTGCGGCTCTTGCAAAGGCACATCTCGACCTCTGTCTCAAGCTGAACCTGCCTCTCGCTATCATCATCACCAAGTCAGACCTGCTGAATAAGGAGTCGCTCAAGCGGACTCTCGTCCCGATCTGGACGGCCGTGAAGAATGCTGGCAGAACACCGCAGCTCCTGCAGTCGAAGCAAAAGTCTTCCGAGAACATCCGACAAATCCCAGCTACAGATGCCCTGGCAATCGAGTCGGCCCTCTCACATGCCCAAGCAACAAGCAACTTCCGCGCTGTCGTCCCCGTAATCCTGTCCAGCACAGTGAGCGGCGACGGCATCGGCATGGTGCATGCCCTGCTCCGCTCACTACCCCTTCCGCCTGAGCCGACTGCCCAAGACTATGTCGGCATGGCGCTGAATCCGGAAGAACCCGAGTCGCTCTTCCACATTGAGGGTCAGTACAACCGCCCAGCATCATACACCTCCAGCAATCTCGGCGAGCTGGCAGATCCTGGCTATGTGGTGTCGGGTTACCTGCGATTCGGCAGCATCTCTGTGGGAGACCTTGTGGTGGTTGGTCCGTTTCAGTCGGAGGGTGAAGTTGGTGGTCTTTCTCTGGAAGACGAGCGGACGGCGTCGCCCAGCAGTCACACTGTCCTATCGTCGTCTCACCCGTCCAACTCTGAGCTCTCGCGAATTGCCGCCAGGAAGGCCATCTCTGCATCTGCTCTGAACGGAAAGTGGCACAATGCACGAGTCATCAGCATTCGCAATCTACGCCTGCCAGTAGAAACGCTCGCCACTGACCAAGTCGGCACGATCGGACTCATCGCCCTGCCGCCTGAAACTGCAGGCGATGACGTGTTTGAGCCGGCAGCACCCCCTGACCTCAAACCCCGCAGAGGTATGGTGCTTGCCATTCCCAGCAAGCACATGGTGGACAGTGGGCTGCAGCTGCAGGCAGCCAGCGGACTGACGGCATTCTTCGCGGACGCGACGATCGAATCGCTCGCCACTGGCACGGCCGTCACGTTTTATGTGGCCAGCGTGCGGGCACAGGCAAGGATTGCCAAGATCTGGAGCGGATCTCTCGGAGACTCGTTCGGCATCAGTGCGGAGGCTGACGGGGCGCCAGAAGATGGACTACTTCCCGGTAGCGTCTTCAGGCTGCACGATACTGCCGAGGCCGACAGCAGGCAGGACGGGGCGGCGACCACGGCCGTGCACGGCTACAATGTCCGGCTGGAGCTTCTCAACCGGCGGGAGTGGATCGAGCTGGGGTCACAGATTGTGATTCTAGAGGGCGCCAGCAAAGAAGCTTTTCTGTTGGACGGGTTTATCGGCAAGGTTGTCGAGATTGCCGACTGAGAAGAAGGAAAGAACTGGTGCGTAGAAATTGGGTATATGATGTAGATTCGAGGTGATGGGGTCAGCTACAGGGAGGAGCCGGACTCTCGGAATAGACAAGCTTCCGTCATAAATATGCCGTTCCCAAACAATGCGCCCCAAAACCGTGCAAGGTGCCCCATGCGCTCTATCCATCCTCGGAGGTTTCCGCCATCTTTCTTTTCTATTTTTTCGTTGCCCTCGTGTTCTCAGACATTCTGCCGTTTCATGCCCTGACGAGGCCGTAGAAGAGAGTCCAGGTCAGGATGTAGCCGGCCAGGCCGTTGGAGAGGCCACCGGTCCAGAACTCCCACGGGCTGCGGAAGTAGGCGCTGGTGTCGAGCAGGGCGACGGGCTTGCCGGCGCTGCGCAGGGCGAGGGAGGCGGTGACGACGCGGAAGGCAAAGAAGAGCCCGGTCGTCAGCAGGGAGAAGGCGACATAGAAGAGAAAGCCGCTGTAGGACTCGAGGCCCAGAATGCCGGCGCCGATGCCGAAGAGGGAGGCCATGAGGGTCTGTAGGTTGGACAGGGTCTGCGTGTGTGTGTGCGCGTGCGCGAACGGGTCAGCATGCGTGACAGGTCACCTCCACTGCTTCAGCCTCCTTCGTCTCATAAATCTCCCGTTCACCCGCTCGGAGCAGTCTTCTTACCCGGGAGTTGTGCATGATGGACTCCTGCACGAGCGGCGCGATCTGGAGCTCCCGTTCGGTCGACATGGTGCGTGTGTGTGCGTTTGCGGCGTGCCAGCGGAAGCGGAGCGGTCGTTGTCTGTTGCAGCTGCTGCCGGATGCGTCGACGTTGAAGATAGCTTCGATGCAAATCTGCAGAAGTCTAGAAACGTGTATCTTACCACGGGCGTGTGAGGGTGCATGAGGCGCTAGCGTGTGATTGGTCGGATCTCATCCCAAATCCGGAGGGCGCGACCCACCGACCGCTTTAGCGACGAGATTTGTGTCTCACCTAAGCGGCGCTGTAAGGGAGGCCTTGGCCATGACGTTAATCTTCGGTGGGCGCAGGCGCATCCCTGAACCCCCTGCAACCCTGCTCGCTGTCACCATGTATCTTAATTACCTTTTTTTTTTACCCTTTCCCTGTGGCTTGTTCATTGCTCATTTCCAGCAACGCAACGTCGGTAAATAATCAACACCAGGGACCCACGACGCTCTCCTTCAGCAGACGACGGCACAGCTTGCTTCTTTCCACGATCCATCTACACCGAAGGAAAGAGGAAGCAAAAGCACGGAAGAGCAGGACAGCACAGGACAGCAAAGGATAGGAAAAGCAGCAGGTCAATCTGTCTTTCCCACCGCCAGCTGGCCATTGAACCAGAGACATCACATGGCATCGCCGGCAGTCTAGACACATTCCCCTTGCCGCTCTCGGCCTCTGCATTCCTTACCTTGTTCGCCACTTCTGACGTGCATCCGTTCTTTCTTCTTTCCTGCTTCGTTCTCTGCACCCCTCTCACCGCCTACGGCTCTTCAGCATTGTCCCGAACCTCCCCTACCGCCTTCTGTCGTCTTGTTGACGTCTGTCGCTCTCCTGACAGCTTCTCGCGACGCTGGTCTCCTCGATGGATGTAGTGTCCTCGCTTCTGAACCTATGGAAACAGTAATTTTTGACGAGACTCCTCTCGCTGCCTATCTCAGAGGTACACCACATTCCTCTCCTAGCCTCACTTTCAGCGCCATGTTTCCCCGAGGCGCACGTCCTAACCGAGTCGCTCCCACTCTAGACGAAGGCGAGGAGGAGCAAGATGACTGGGTTTCGGCCGAGGCGCCCCCTACTTTCGGCTCGCCTGTCACGCCAGATCTACAGCAACAGAAGAGGCCGAAGCTGCGACCCGAAAATGGAGTAGACACGCCACCGCCGAGTCCGCCGTCGCCCTCGTTCGCACCCATGGGCCGGCCGCTGGTGAGGAAACGTTTTCGGAACAAGATCCCGAATCCGCTCCGAGTCGGAGGCCGGCGCACATCGCTCTCAAACAACCGATATTCGGTAAATGACTGCTCGCCCCCTATGCAGCTTCCGGTGATGAGAAAGAGGCTGACCAGTTCCAGAGAGCAGTAGTGTCGACCATCAGCGGTGCCGACAACACGCAGTTTCTCGAGCAGTTTCGCTACACCGTCATCACCTCCCACCTCCTCGGGCCCTCTGCCGTGGGCCAGCGCCACATGCCACAGCCCGGCAACGGATCGCCACAGAATATCAATGCCGATGCGGAGCTTCCGAGCGTTCCGGGCGTCGTCGTTGCCGTGGCCAGTGCCTTTGTCGTCGCATGGACGGTCCAGTGGGTGTGCTCCGGCGGCTTTGTTCACCTCTCGAAGAGGCGGGTCGCTGTTGGGCTGGTCCTGCTGACGGTGACGGCTGTCTTTGGCCATGCCTTCTTCCGGCAACAGTGGCTGCGCCACGTCCGGCAATCGGCACTAACGGAAGCCCGGACCTTTGTGACGCGGTCACACGACTTTGACAGCGCGGCGAGCGCGGCCATCTCCTTTATCAAAGAGGTCGAGCTCGTCTCGCGCGGCTACAGATTGTACGTTGTGTTGGTGTAACAGCTTGTGTACTCTTGTGCTCGTGTACTAACTCACCATAGAAGCGCGCCTCTGCCTCCGATCAGCCGCATGGACGACCGCAGCCAGACGAGACGGTGTATGCGGCTGCGCAAAGCCGTCCGCGGGTGTTTCTCCGATGCTCTGCCGGCCTATAAGCAGGCCACAACGGTGGTGCAGTGCCTTTCGGAACAGGTCGACCTGGAGATGTACTACCACGTCTACGATATCACCGACTTTGACGTGTCCGATGCAATGCAGGGCTTGGAATCCGAGTTTGCCGACGCCGACTCGCTGCGAACGCTGACCGTTGTGGCTGCCCGCTTTCACACTGTCCGCCGGATGTTTCTGTGTGCACTACTGGCGCTGGAAGCCAACGATGACGAGTCCGACTTTCTGCGCTGGTCAACGGCAGCTGAAGGCTTGCGCACCCTCAACGAGTCGACCAATACCTGCTACGGCCGCCTGCAAACGATCCTCGGCGAGGTCGAGATGTTCTCACAAGACGCGCCGTTGAAGGCTCCCCTGTCGCCAGGGCGTGAGAGGTGGCGGTCACAGCTGGGCAAGCTCAACTCGCTGTCGACCGGCATCCGCGGCCTGCAGGCGAAACTGGCGCTGCTGCGCGAGGAGTCGGACCGGACGCTGAATGAGGCCAAGGACATCTCGCATCTGGGCCCCAACTTGATGGCCCAGTACGACTCGATCGGACAGGACCTCAAGCTGCTGATCCAGGCGTGGGAAGAGGGCAAGTCAGCGCTGGCGTCGGGTATCAACCGCAATGAGAAGCGACTGTCGTCGATCGGCATGCTGATGTCACCGACTTTTTCGCTCAGCGGCCTGACCGCCGTCGGAGACAGCAGCCCGAGCCGTGGAGGCACGGCCGAAGACGCCCTGCACGCGCTGAACGGCGGCTCACCGCTCGGCGGCAGCACTGTCGGCGACCCAGAGGAGGAGGTGGTCTTTGAGGCCGTCTCGCTGCCACCGATGCGGTCCAGGTCGCTCCTGTCGCGGGGAGAGCGTCTCAGCAGGATGAAGGAGGACCGCGAGCGGCGAGCCGAAGCCCGTGAGCAGGCCGATGCCAGTCGGGGCATGCTGCGGGAGCTGGAGATGGTCATCAACCTGCGGCCCAAGCTTGGCCGTGTCGATGCGCCTGCCATCGATGAGCCTGCCGCCGATGAGCTCGCGGGCGAGCCGTCCAGACTGTCGATCAACGTGCCCATCAACATAATCGCCCACGAACCTGTTGTCGAGCTCTTCGACGACCGCTCTGCCTCGGCATAATCTGGCCTTTCAGACACATTCTCGCACTGTTGTGGGAGTGATCGTCCACGACAGCAACGATCTCATTAATTCGAGCCTTTCTGTTTTTACCTGCTTTTCTGCCTTTTCTGTTTTTCTGCTTTCATCTGCTTTTCTGCTTGCTTTTTGCATATCCTTGCCATTTTTGCTTTCTTTTGTCCTATCTGCTTTCTTCTTCTGTGCGCGGAGTCGCATCGGCGACACTACTTGGCGTTCCACGACAGTCCATGGTTTATCATATGTTCATCTATAGACAGAGCAGGGAACAGCTTTCCCATTGCGAAGCGCTTGCACGCAAGAAACCGACCGAGAGGTCCTTTTTTTTTTGTCCCTTTTCTGTTTCGTTTCCTGCCGTGCTCATCTTCGCGCTCCTTGATTCCAACTAGTTTCACTTTGTCCCTGCATCTGTATTTGTATCTATAATGAAAACTGTACAATGTTATGACCAAATTTGTATAATACCAGTTGCCCATACGTAGTCTTGTGCTTAAAGTGGATCGCCAATGCTGCCTGGCGTTCATGTGGAAATGCCCCGCGCGTCTGGTTCAATTAAAAGCCGGTCTCCGTCGACGCGTCTCGCCAACGCGAAAATAAAGCGTGTCGTGTGCTGGACTTTAGCCCTTTCTTCTCGTTCTTCTCATCTTCTTGCCCAATCTCGTTCTGCCTCCACGCACGAATATCGACGCCGACGGCCTCTGCCACACCGCAATTGCCTGTTTTTCATCACCTTCTTTCGAGCCTCCATTTCAGACTCTTCTGTCCTCCTCTACCCCCTCGCCCAACCCCACAAGCAGATCAAGATGTTGGAGGCACGGTTGGAACAAGCGTCGGTGTTGAAGAAGGTGACTATGCTCTCGCTCCCTCGTGCCCGCACAGACAGCTGACCTCGCGCAAAGGTGGTGGAAGCCATCAAGGACCTGGTGCAGGACTGCAACTTTGACTGCAACGACTCGGGCATCGCGCTGCAGGCCATGGACAACAGCCACGTGGCGCTGGTGTCAATGCTGCTCAAGGCGGACGCCTTTGAGCCGTTCCGCTGTGACCGCAACGTGGCGCTGGGCGTGAACCTGACGTCGCTGACCAAGGTGCTGCGCGCGGCGCAGAACGAGGACATACTGACGCTCAAGGCCGAGGACGCGCCCGACTCGCTCAACATGATGTTTGAGAGCCGCGACAGCGACCGGGTCAGCGAGTACGACCTCAAGCTCATGGACATTGACCAAGAGCACCTCGGCATCCCCGAGACCGAGTATGCGGCCACCATCTCCATGCCGAGCTCCGAGTTCCGCCGCATCTGCACCGACCTCATGGCCATGTCCGAGTCCGTCACCATCGAGGCCACCAAGGACGGCATCCGCTTTGCCAGCAATGGCGACATTGGCAGCGGCTCCGTCACCCTGCGCAGCCACACCAATGTCGAGAAGCCGAACGAGAACATTGACATTGAGCTGAGCGAGACCGTCGCCCTGACCTTCTCGCTCAAGTACCTCGTCAACTTCTGCAAGGCCTCCAGCCTGTCCACGTCCGTCAAGATCTGCCTGTCCAACGAAGTGCCCCTGCTGGTCGAGTACATCGTCTCGGGCAGCAGCTATCTGCGCTTCTACCTGGCGCCCAAGGTGAGACCCTTTGGCTTATTTCTCCCCATCTTCGTCTTCTTGCTAACCTGTGGCAGATTGGTGACGATGAGTAATACGGGCGCAACGGGATCTTTCGAAGCGACAATCGACCTGCTTTTTTCTTCATACTGGTTAGGGGCGGTAGATACGATTCACGGGCGGCTGAGACAGGCTGGGAAAATAAAATCCAAGCGTGCCACGTCAGAAAAACGAGAGGCTGTGCCAATGCATGTATGAATTGAGTCAAGAGTCAAGAGTTATTGGTAATTGAGCATTTGCGATGTTTGCACGACGAGAAGCTATCCCCCATTGAGGCTACGTTTGACGGGCGGCTGCACAGGTCGAGTTACAGCTGTCTGTACCGTACAAGCACAAAGGGAACAAAATCATTGAGACAAAGTTGATCTTAAGAAGATTTTAATTGCCGTCATGGTTAAAAAAGCGCGGGGTAAACACCTCGTCGCTGGCCAAAAAAGGAACTAGAAAATCGAGGGGCAGTCAAGTCCCGATGGGGAAGTTGGCTGGCTGCAACTACCATCTCGATTCACTGCTCGACAGAAATAGAGCGACGACCTACTGAGGCTTACATGCGGCAATAGGCGGCTTTTCTGCCTCTGCTGGACGATTCGCTTGTTTCCCTTTTGAGTCATAGAATATTACGGGCGAGACTTTCCCTTTTCATAGTGCTATCGGCGTTAATTCACTCTTACTTCTCGCTTGGCCATACAGCTCTTTTCCTATCTGCCCGGCATCTCGGCTACATCGGCGACATTTTCTCACCAACGAAAGCACCGTCGGCTGCGGCCCACAGCCTTCCTTGCTCACACTCGCTGCAAATACATGCATCTTCGCCCTATAAGCATCGTCCAGCCTCACATTGATCCGCCTCATACTGATTCTCGCCCCATTCTATCGGCTACTTTTTGCATATCGGCTCAGCCCCACATATTAATCAACTTGTTCGTACTGCTGATATATGACAGCCATTCTTTAACCGCTCAGCTTTCTCCGTCCATTCTGGCCATTTTTGCTTGAAAAGGGGGGGAAAGTGAGCATAGCTCATAACAATCGATTGCATCAAGGCCTTGCTTGTAGCTTTGCTCCAGGCCATAGACAATGCCCACTGAACATCCTGTCCCGGAAACACGGGTGCTGGCTATAGCTAGCCATGTACGTATATACATTGTCTGTGCCAGATCAGTCGTATAGTGTCAATGCTAATCGCAGCTCTAGGTCGTGTCCGGGTAAGCCTTCAAAGACCAGGTTGCGATCATCTTATTTGCAGCCAGCTAGCAAGGCAACGACACTCGATCAGGTTGCTAACCGTTCCTTAGCCATGTGGGAAACAAGATTGCCGTGTTTGCCATGCAGTCACTTGGATGTGACGTAGCAGCACTGAATACGGTGCAATTCAGTTCGTTCCCCTTGTTATACAACCTGACTGTGTGCCCGGCCACACCTATCTGACAAGTGCTCGCGCCTCTGAAACAGGCAACCACACAGGATACAGACAATGGAAAGGCACGCGCATAACTGGTGATGAGCTGTGGGAGCTCTACGAAGGATTAAGACAGTCGTACCTCAACGAGTTTGACATGATGCTGTCTGGATACCTGCCTGGGGCCGCGGCCGTGGAGTCGGTAGGACGCATTGCCGAGGAGCTGCGACATAAAGCGGCCGGAAACCCTGGCAGCTTTTTCTGGGTGCTGGACCCGGTGATGGGTGACAACGGCAGGCTCTATGTAGCACCAGACGTCCTGCCTGCCTATAAGAAGCAGCTCAGCCATGCCGATTTGATTCTACCCAATCAATTTGAAGCAGAGTATGCAGATCTTACATCCTTGTGCCGTGGAAGCCACTAATCAGATGCAGACTCCTGTCCGACGTCAAGATTGAAAGCATGAACTCTTTGCAGGCGGCCATCCAGGCGATGCATGAGCGCTACAAGGTCCCACACATCATAATCACGTCGGTCTCTCTAGAGCATCCCGACCACCCGATGTCGTCGCTATCGGTCGTCGGCTCGTCGATGACGTCGACAGGCCAGGCACGGCTGTTCAAGATCGTGTTTCCGGCCATCGACTGCTACTTCAGCGGCACAGGCGACATGTTTGGCGCGCTGATGGTGGTGCGCATGCGTGAGGCCATTACGAGATCAGCACCAGACCTGCTCCACCGAGACTCGTGGCTCAGTGACGACTCTGTAGCCGCCGTGGACCTGCCGCTGGCGCGAGCTGCCGAGAAGGTTCTGGCGAGCATGCACGAGGTGCTGGCCAAAACGTGTGAGGGCCTGGACGCAGAGATGAAGCAGGCAGGTGAGAAGCTGGACCGCATGGGGATCACCGGAGATGAGGAGCGAGCAAAAGCATTCCATCTGCTCCGGTCTGGGTCTGCTGAGCTGCGGTTGCCCCGAAACGTGAACTCCCTCAAATATCCCAAAATTGAGTTCCGAGCGGTGCCTTTTTAATCAAAACAACAGACGGGACACGAGACAGCTGTCAATTGCTTATAGATGAAAACGGGAAACAGGATCATGGCCAAGTTTGTCCGCATATAGATCCGATAGAATTCAGGACACCAGGCGAAAAGTCGGGCACAGAGTGCTACAAGCCTACGGAGTAGTGTGTAGATTTGTACATGGTATCATCATATTGTATTCGCAGACAGTATTTATGTAAGCAAATATTGCCGTTCCACCGTGCTCTCGGTGCCGTTATTCTATGGTGTCTCGAAAGCTGATGTTCAGGGCGGTATCTATATATGCGGCTAATTGCAATCTGCTTTTGAGTTTATGTATCGGGACTTGGTGTTGGGAGAGCTGGTCGCTCCCTAGCTGGTGCCTCGATGGATGCTGCGTCGGACGAAGAGATGGCAGAAGCTCCTGATGAACTGGAAAGCACTTCCGTTGGACGCTAGCCACCGGCTCTGAAGCAGTAAACCACGGTGTAAAAGATCTCGCGGGTGTAGGATCGCAATTCCTCTACTGAGTGCGGGATACCAGGAGCAGCCGTCTAAGCAGATGCCTGGGGAGCGGTGGCACCGCTGCCAAAGCCGCCGGTGCTGCCGAAGCCACCGGCACCGCGCACGCTGGCGTCCAGTTGGGCGACCTCGACGATGTCGGGGGTGACAATGCGTTCCAGCACGAGCTGGGCGACACGGTCGCCAGCAGCGATGGCAAAGTCGTTGACGGGGTCATGGTTGAAGAGCAGCACACGCACGTGACCGCGGTAATCGGCATCGATGACGCCGGCGCCGGTGTCGATAAAGTGTTTAGCAGCGAGTCCGGAGCGCGGAGCGATGCGGCCATACGTCCCAGGAGGGACGGCAATGGCCAGATCTGTGTCGACGAGGGCTTTGCCTAGATGCGGAATCGTGATCGCCCGGGCGGCGTACAGGTCGTAGCCGGCGGCAAATGCGGAGCCGCGTGTCGGCAGGCGAGCCTCGGGCGACAGCTTCTGGATCTGCAGCGAGATGTCGGGCGAGGGAGCGGCTGGGACATATGGCGGAGCATCAAGAGAATCCGCAATCAACGCGATCGTTGCTGCATTCGGCTCGGCAGACATGGTCTTAACACGCTTGGCCGGCGGCGAGGTGGGCGGTGAGGCGACGACGGGCACAATGGGAGTTGAAGCGGCGGGTGCAGCAGTGTCCTCTACTGTCATTTTCGAGGCTGGAAGAGATGGGCTGAGATGCTGAATTGACAATGTAGATGTGGAGGATTCCAACAGTCGTGACCGCTTTCTGTTCTGTTTTAATAGCGGCGCGCAAGAAGGGGAAAGAGCAGAGAAGCGCGTTGTCGTCGCGTAGACGCGTAGAGTGCATATAATTGGCGGTGGTATTCGCACTGTCTTTGTTTGCATCGGTCTTCAATAGTTCGGCAGACACTAACAGTGCACTCCTCCCATCTGTACAGATACTTGCTATTAGCACTTGTCCAGCCACCAACCCATCGTCATGAATATCCTGCCACACCTGGTAAAGGCCAATGCTGCCACCAACACAGCTCATTCGGCCAAAGTTCGTCCGCCTTTTAAGCACGCCCAATCAGAGAAGCCTGAAGTCAGATAGCTCACCGGCATGCCTCGTGCAGCCACACGGAAGCAGGTGCCAATAAAACAAAGACGCAGTGCCTTCTCGCCTACGCTAACTTCTCGATCCCTCTTTGGCTCGTCGATACACAGAATTGTGGGGCACCCTCCATCGCATCACATCCAGTTCGTCATGGGTTTATGATCGACGAAAGACCTGTCGAGAACTCGTAGCATTCGCCCCTCTTCGACTAGAGACATGTCGTACTTCTTGTTACGTCGTGCTTTTTTATTACTGACCTGCTTACACCGGGTGATAACGTGATTCGTAGACCCTACGCTTGCTTGTAAAAGACCTGTATATGGCTTTAGGTAGGTATGGTCACATTACAATAAAAGCCGTAACCCCTCTCCTCGTCTTCTAGCTTATTCTTTTCTGACATTATTCGATTCTCTGTCTTGTCCATCTAAACAAGAATACACATCACTCTCCTGATTCCACCCTATACGCCCGCTATCATGAGTTCCTCGGCAACTCCAACCCCACGTGAGCAGAGGTCCGATTCGACCACTTCGGCGACATCTGCTGCCTCATCCACCGGTAGAAGGGTAAGATTGTGCCTCCTACCTCACTTTATTAGTCCCAGAGCTGACAATGTTTGATCCTGTTTCCAGCCCTCGACGGGCATGTTCTCCTCTCTACAGCAGCTGAAAGATGATCCGACCAACCTGGCTCGCCGCAAGAGTATGCATGACCAACGCCCGGTGCCGGGTATGATTGGACGGTGGTGGAACAAGTGAGTAGATGTCTACTTTTGTCAGTGCTCCCGTGGAGTTTTGCCTCGTCTTGTACTAATTTCGTCACAGCTATGTATACGGCATCAATTCTCCCAACAATCCGCCCAACAAGTAAACCGGGCTTTGTTCTGCTGTGTACGAGTACTTAGATTGTTCAATTGGGAGGGCATCACAATAAATTGCATTCGATACTGGGAAGTGGAAATGAACAGTTGCAATGTCAAAGCAGACGCTCGAAGACAAAGCATTCTTCTGACTGTGTACTTCATCTACGCCCGTAGCATTCCCACGCAGTCGAACAAGACAAAATGGGTTTGTGTGAGACCACAGAGTATGCCACAGAATACTGAATAGAGTGTTCGATGCCAGGTCTATATACTTTTGTCTGTCCTGAAACACGAGATTACACTATCGTACATAACACCTTACCAGATGCCCAAATCGCCGTGCTTGACTGGCGGGTCTGAGACTGTGCTGGCCAGCTGATCCAGAGCGTCGCCGGTGTGGTCGACAATGTTGTCCTCGCTCACCGACTTCACCTTGCTCGCATTCCCGCCGCGCAGAAAGGCGGCGCAGAGCAGGCCAGCAGCGACGCTGACGTTGAGGCTGTCGACCACGTCGGATCCGGACCGATTGGCGATGGCGACCTCGACGTCAGCAGCGCGTCTTACAGTCCGCGGCAGGCCCTCGCCTTCGCTGCCGACGACGAGGAGACAGGCCTGTCGGCCGAGCGGGTCGTCGGTCTCGACGTCTTCGAGATCGGCCGTGCGGCTTCCCGGGATGACGGCCGCATAGACACGCCAGCCGGCATCACGCGACCGCGTCACAAATGATGCTGCGTCCTCAACCGAGAGCAGGGCCATGGCCTCGGCCGCGCCAGCCGATGCCTTCAGAGCCACAGACGTCAGGCCGGCCGAACTGCGCTGCGACACAGCCACGGCGCTGACGCCCAAAAAGCTGGCCGTCCGCAGGATCGCCCCGAGATTGCCGGGGTCGAGCACCTGGTCCAGCAGGAGGACGAGAGGGTGGCGGCCAGCCGTTGTGTTTGAGCCTGGTCTGGCAATCTGCACAAACGTGTCGGTCCCGTTGACGGCTGCATCTTCGCGCGACTGGTGGCCCAGCTCGACGTCAAAGCCGTGCTCGCGCCATCGTCCCAGCGCCACGACCGGCGGCTGTCGCAGCGGTGACGCCTCCAGCACGTAGCCGTTGTGCGGCCGGCCTTTGCTCATCTTGTCCATCAGTCGCTGTCCGCGCGCGTCGACGTGTTGGATGGACAGCCCACGTGCTACAGCCAGCCGCTCGATCCCGTCGTCCTGCTGTCGGCCACGGCTGTGTCGGCCGTACTCGGCTGCCGCTCGGTGTACATACAGTCGGTATAGCTGTCGTCGGTCGCTGCGCAGAGCTGCCTCCACGACCGACCGGCCGTACAGAAACTGTGATGCTGCTGTGGTGTAGGGGATTGAGAGAAGGGTCGGAGTGTCATCTTGTCTGTCTTGTCTGTCGAATCTCGGCCTGTCTGGTCTTTCTGATCTCTCTGATCTCTCTGATCTCTCAAATCGTCTGTCTCGGTCTGGTCTGTCTGGCCTGTCGGATCTCGGCCTCTCGGATCTCTCAAACCTGTCCTGTCTTGAAGGACGGTCGTCTTCAGACCTGTCGAGTTCAAGTTTCTCTGTCGTGTCCTCGAACCCGTCGTCTCTTTCAGGCCGGACATACCCAGATCTGTCACGATCAGATCTGTCGAACCTTTCGGGCCGGTCTTCACGTCCTTCGGATCTGTTGAATCGCTGGGACTGGCTTTCACGCCGTTCCGTGTCGAAACGCTGGGGCCGGCCTTCACGCCGTTCAGATCTACCGAATCGTTGGGGCCCTTCATGTCGTTCGAATCTGTCGAACCTTCTGGGCCGACCTTCACGCCTTTCCGATCCGAATCCCCCAGATCTGTCTCTCCTTTCATTTCCCCGGTCGAACCGCCCTCTCTCGTTCTCCGACCTCCCCCCACCCCTTTCTGGCCAGCGTCTGCGGTCGTCATTCCAGCCGTTGCTTTCCTGGTCGTCCCCTCTTTCCATGTCGTCCTTTTTCGCCAGCGCCTGCACCTCCGCCTCCAGCTCGCCCGTCTTGAGCCGGTACACCAGGCTCTTCTTGCCAAACGAGTCCTCCGGGTCGAAGAAGCGCGCCCGCCTCGACTTGGCCTCCGGCACCGGATCGGCCGTCACGTCCTTCTTACCGCGCAGAATCTTGAACGTCGGCCGCGGCGCTGCTTCGCGCTCCCGCCGCCGCTCGCTCACCCGCGATGCCACCTGACTGTCGTAGCCCGGTGGCCGCTGCCGCCCTGTCCGGCCACTGCCGCTGCCACCGCCTCCAGGCTCACGAAACGTCCGTCGCACGCCTCGCACAATGGCCGACATCGATGACGGCCGGCCAAAAATGGTGCTGCCGGCTGCCGGTGACCGGAGCACGTGACCCATGGCACCAAGGCCAGTACCACGGTTGCTGCTGCTGCCCAGTAGCCGGGCCAGCGCAAGCGTCCGCAATGGCAGCGTGGTGAGCGCCTGTGGCGCTCCGCTGGCGGTCATAAAGGGCCGCATTGCATTGTCGTTGTGTTGGTGAGGTGCAGTTGTTTGCGTCTTAGTCTGGAAGAAAAAATGCATGCGGTCTCACAGTGCAATTCTTCCCACACTGTACATAGATCGTTCCGATCTGCACGTGATTGCCAGGCTTCACGCGAATTCGCTACCGAAGAGTGGGGCAGCCCTATTGTTCAACCACTATATCGCGGTCGCGTAAGAAACAACGGTACATATGCATTTGGACAGCAGGTGCCAGCCAACCAGCCAGCAGCAAACCCCAGCTTTGCGCCTTCCCGCCTCCGACATCGTCTGTGCTTCCCGGCTCTGTTTCTCTGGCATAGAGCTTAAGCACCAGCCAGACGAGCAGTGAATGGGATGCCATTGTCTTCTGGTGAGCTATTCGCTCTTCGCTCTTCGCTATTTGCTGATTGCCGGCCCGCTCCTCTCTGCCTCGCCAGATCTGCACTTTCGCGGCCCAACCATAAAACAGACGAGAGGCAAAGGAACAGCCGATCCTGACCTCTTCTCTCTTTTAAAGGCCGCGTGGCCGGCAACAGCGCGTTTGCGATGATTTACGACGACCCACTCTTCGGCATCATGGCCGACGACGACGATCCAACCAATAACGAGCAGGTGGCATTCTATGACGAGGCAGAAGCAGAAGCGACAGACGAAGCGGCCGCTGCAGGGTGCGACTGGATGGACGAAGTCGATTTTGGCAGTCCGCGAAGCATCACAGATGCGCCACAGCTATCAGACGAGGCAGGGCATGAATGGGAGTTGGCACTGGAGCTGCAGATGCAGCTCGAACAGCTGACAGACCCACCGTCTCAGGTACAGACAGAGCCACAGCTGGAACCACAGACAGAACTGGAGCAAGAAGTGCAGCCAGAAATGGAGCCAGAATTGGAGCCAGAACTGGATCAAGAGCCAATACTGCAACCTCACGTTCCTCTGGCCGAAGACGAAGCGAGCCAGCACGCAGATGCACTCATGGAGGATATGGTCCTCGAACTTCACCAAGAGACTCCCGAAAAGCCATCCCCTCAGCTTTCTGTCGAACCCTGCGAACTCCCCCAGGCTGAGACCATCCTCGACGTGCCAGATCGCTCGCCCGCCGTTCGCTCGGACGACCACCAGCCATCGCATGGCGACACTACCGTCCAGATGCAGGTCATCATCAGCCCGCTGCCTGCCTCCCGCCGCGCCGAGTACAAGACGCTTCCGGCTAGCAACTACGTCGCCACCGTCGTGCGGAGAGTCCGGGGCAAGGACCGGTTCGAAATTGAGTTTGACGACGGAGAAAGGCGACAGGTAAGACCGATCTGACCTGTGCTTCTCACTTCGCCCTGACTTTTTGTTCACATGTTCTGCCTACTTCCATGTCACTTATGCCAGCTTCGCGTCTCATCTTCTGCTTGACTGCTGCCATCTCCTTCTTTCCCTCCCCCTCTCTCTTCATACTCTCTGCTTTTTTCTACCTTCTCCCCTTTCATCCATCGGCAACGTGCAGACGTTCAATATACCTTTTGTCTACCACCTGTCAAGTGCTGCAAGCAAGCCCGTCATACACTTTGGCAACGAGGCCCTCAGCAACAGACGTATAGATCCCGGATCGCAGGGTGAATGCTCCGCGGTATGCAGCTGTCTGTTGGCTCTCCAACCTGCCCTTTTGTCTGCTTCGTTCGGCTCCTACCATCGCACTTTCATTGGACTACCTCTCACTTGCTCCCGAACAGTTCCAAGCTGATTTTGCAGGTTCACATTGGCTCGCTCTTCACTCTTCCCAACGGCCAGAAATCTCTGCAGAGATTCAGACAGACAGAAGAAGGCCGAGTCAGTCTCTCCGCACCCAACGGCGGATCCTCCAAACGGCGCAAGATACACCACTACCGCGACGAGTTCTCCGAGCAAGACGACGAAGACGACATCTTGCCATCCGACATGGACATGGACACCGGCACGGATACGGATGACCACCGGGACAACAGCCGGCTGGATGATTCGAACGCCTCCGACACCGGCCTCAGAAACGAGCTGACGGGCTCAAAGAGCACCAACAGACAGGACCGAGGCGACGATCCACGTCTGCGCCGCCGCCACCTGCGGTCGCTGACCGAACTGGTGCAGTCGGGCACGCGCCACAGCTCGCGACTCACATCCACGGCCACGGCCACGGCCACGGGCACAGAAGACGACGAAGCCACGATCGGCACGTCCGGCCGTCAGCTGCGGTCGCGCAGGTCTCTGCCACCGCAGCGGTCGGCCAAGAACGACGACGACGACATGGACGAGCTTGCAGGCGACGGCGATTTTGTTGTGCTCTCAGACATCCGGCCGAACCAGCGGCCACGACGGGGCTGGAACAAGAGACCGCGCGGAGGAGGAAGCCGCCGCTATATGCGCGAAGACTCGATCGAGATGGAGGTGAGACAGCGGCCGAGCAGAGCGGCCAAGAATATGCGCAGCATGGTCGACAGCTTCAACGAAGACGACGACGACATGCTGTACGCCGATGACGGCGATCGGTCTGCCGCTGTGACGACGCCCAAAATCATCAACGTCAAGGAGGTCTTCCAGCCGCTGACCGACGATGGCGCCTTTGCCGACGTGCACTCGCCTCTCTGCGACAGCTGTGGCGGCGGTGCGCGGGCAGCCAACAAGGGCCTCCTGCTGCACTGCCAGGGCTGCTCGTTGTCGTACCACCGCAACTGCATCGGCTATCGCAGCGCGCGCGACCACATGGCCACCAAGGTCGGCCCCGACAGCTTCGTGCTGCAGTGTCGCTTCTGCGTCGGCGTCGTGGCGGCGCGTGATGCCAACAGTCCCAATCTCAGCTGCTGCTGTGTCTGTCGGCAGTCTGGCGTCGCCTGTGCCGCCTTCTCGCACAAGAAGACGGCCAAACAGGAGGAGAAGCTGCGTCAGGAAAACGACGGCATCGACCCCATCACCCCGGTCGACCCAGGCCTGCTCAACCGGCCGGAGAACGTGCTGTTTCGCTGCTCCAACTGCCGTCTGGCCTTTCACTTCCAGCACCTGCCGCCGCCGTCTGCCGATGTCGTGTCCGATCCGTCTGCCATCGACCGGCTGCATGCCGACCGTCTTGCCGAGTACTCCATCGACTGGAAGTGCCGCGAGTGTCTGGACATGCCCGCCAGGATCGATGCGCTCGTCGCCTGGCGTCCGATGGCCGGCGAGAAGGCAGCTGGCCAGACGATGGACCAATGTCCTGAGGACGAGCGCGAGTACTTGGTCAAGTGGCATGGCATGTCGTATGCCCACTGTGTCTGGAAGCCGGGCGCCTGGATCTGGGGAGCGGTACATTCGGCCATGCGCAGTGCTTTTGCCAAGCGCGGCGGCGAGCTCGGTCCACCGCCTGTGTTCGATAGCAAGGAGGCCGTTCCGGAGGAGTATCTGCTGGCCGACGTGATCCTCGCGGTACGGTACAAGCAGCAGCGCCCGCGCAATGAGGACATTGACAATATCGACGCCGCCTGGATCAAGGTCCAGGGTCTCGGCTATGATGCCACCGAGTGGGACGGGCCTCCGCCACGCGATTCTGGCCGCCGGTGGGATGCGTTTGCGGCTGCCTATGACGAGTATCTCGGCGGCCGCAACTTTCATGTCGAATCGAGCACGGTCATCGCCAATCGCATCCGAGAGTTCCGCAAGCGTCGGCGCTTCGAGGTCGCTCGCTCCCAGCCGGCCGGCCTAACCAACGGCAGCCTGATGCCCTATCAGATGGAGGGTCTCAACTGGCTCCTGCTCAACTTCTACAAGAGCAAAAGCGTCGTGCTAGCCGACGAGATGGGCCTAGGCAAGACCGTCCAGGTAGTTGCGCTGCTGGCGGCCGTCGTGCTTGGCGAGCCGCGCTGCTGGCCCTTTCTCGTCGTCGTGCCCAATGCCACGTGCGGAAACTGGCGTCGCGAGATCAAGACCTGGGCTCCCGGTCTGCGTGTCGTCACGTACCACGGCGGCCGCGAGGCTCAGCGACTCGCGTACGAATATGAGCTGTTTCCTGACAAGTCACGTGACATGCGCGCGCACGTCGTCATCATGTCCTACGACTCGGCGCAGGACGAGACGACACGCTCGCGCTTCAAAGGTGTCAGCTGGGCCGGCCTGGTTGTTGACGAGGGCCAGCGGCTGAAGAACGATCAAAATTTGCTGTATCTGGCCCTGCGGGCAATGCGTATCGGCTTCCGGCTGCTGCTGACCGGCACGCCGCTGCAGAACAACAAGCGCGAGCTGTTCAACCTGCTGCAATTTGTCGACAGTAACAACGACGCGGCCGAGCTGGACGAGCGCTACAGCGATATCACGGCCGAGAACCTGCCCGAGCTGCACAAGCTGATCCGGCCGTACTTTCTCCGCCGCACAAAGGCCGAGGTGCTCAAGTTCCTGCCGCCCATGGCCCAGATCATCGTGCCTGTCAGCATGACGGTGCTGCAGGAGAAGCTGTGCAAGTCCATCATGGCCAAGAACCCGGATCTGATCCGTGCCATCTTCTCCAAGACCCGGCTGCGTGTAGCCGAGCGCAGCAGCCTGAACAATATCCTCATGCAGCTGCGCAAATGTCTGTGTCACCCCTTCATCTACAACGATGCCATCGAGGAGAAGACTGTCGACCAGGCCACCATGGTGCAGAATCTGGTTGAAGCCTCGTCTAAACTCGTGCTGCTGCGCATCATGCTGCCCAAGCTCAAGGCCCGGGGCCGTCGTGTGCTGCTCTTCAGCCAGTTCCTGCACCAGCTGGACATTGTCGAGGACTTCCTCACCATCCTCGGCCTGCCGTACGGCCGTCTCGACGGCAGCATGTCCAGTATGGAGAAGCAGAAGCGCATCGACGCCTTCAATGCCCCCGATTCGCCGCTGTTTGCCTTTTTGCTGTCCACGCGTGCCGGTGGTGTTGGCATCAACCTGGCCACGGCCGACACCGTCATCGTCATGGACCCCGACTTCAACCCGCACCAGGACATGCAGGCCTTCTCGCGGGCCCATCGTATCGGGCAGAAGAACCACGTGCTCTGCTTCCAGCTCGTGACCAAGGACAGTGTCGAAGAGAAGATCATGCAGGTCGGCCGCAAGAAGATGGCGCTCGATCACGCCCTCATTGAGTCGATGGACGCCGAGGACGACGCTGGCAACGACCTTGAGTCCATTCTGAAGCATGGTGCCGAGTCGCTGTTCAGTGAGCACAGCGAGCTGAACCGCATCGTCTACGACTCCGCTGCCGTGGACCAGCTGCTGGACCGCGCTGCGCAGATGGACGATGAGAAGAAGACAGATCAGGCGGAAGGCACCGAGTCGCAGTTCTCGTTTGCGCGCGTCTGGGCCTATGAAACCGGTTCCCTGGCCGATGCTGACATTGAAATGGGCGAACGAGCCGGCCACAGCGAAGATGACCATGCGAACGGCAACGACGCAGCGATGGCGGGAGTCTGGGACAACATCATCCGAGAACGGGAGGCCGAGGCGGCACGCATTGCAGCCGCCAATAAAGAGGTGCTCGGCCGCGGTGGCCGCCGGCGAACAAAGGTGATGTATGCAGCGCCTCGCTATGATGACGGCGTCGATGCAGAAGCGCGAGGACCGCAGAGCGACGAGGACGCGGACGGAAAAGACCACGATGACGGCGATGCCGAGTTCGAGGCCGAACGAGATGTAGCGTCGTCGAGCGACGAGGACGACGCGGCCGACAGAGGCACCGGATCCGATGTTGGCGGGCTGTCTGGTGATGGAGGCGTGGACAGCGCGACAGGCCGCAAGAAGCGCGGAAAACAGCCAAAAGGTACGGCCATTAGCACTCCCCGGAAGAAGGCAACACCCAAGAAGGCCACCCCCAAGTCCAGCCCGAAGAAGATGAAGACGAGGACGCCCCAGAAGGCCACACCCAAGCGGGCAGTGGCAGAAAGGTCCAGCAGTGCTCGCAAGGCGAAGATGTTGGGAGAAGTGCAGAAGCAGAAGAAGCAGACGCCCGTCAAGACGACGACGCCGAAGACGAAGGGGCCAGCCAAGGTGGTGACGAGCCGAGGCAGAAAGACAAAGGCGACTAGTTCGGCGCCGGGAGAGTCTCCCCAGAAAAAGGCGAGGGTGGAAGACGATGGAGAGAGCATGTCGATGCTGTCGACGCGGTCGTCGCTGCGGTCGTCGCCGGCACCATCTCTGACGACGCTGTCAATGACGTCCGTCCAAACTCTTTCTTCTGATACTGACACGACGATTTCCCAGCAGACGGTGCGTCCCCGGCAGAAGAAGTCGGCAGCAGCACATCCGCCGGCCAACTCGCTGCAGCGTCTGGTGAAGCGCACGCACGACGCTCACGTCGGCGTAAGGAGCGAAAAGCAACGGATGTCGGAAGCGGTAACGAGAGTGGCGGCCGCGTCGCGCGAGCAAGCCTCCCAGCAGCAGGGTGGCCGCATGATGCGCAAGCCCGCCTGCAAGGTGGTAACGATCAAAGCGGACAATTGGGACCACGAGGACGTGGTCTCGAAGATGGAAGGTTTGAGCAAATAGCCGGCGACCTTGCTGCGCGGCCGTGGCCATTGGTAGAGTCGCCAGGGCTACCCTTTGCCCTTCGTCCACCACGGGATCCCGGACCGCCCCAAAGTCCTGTTGTTTTCGATGTGACTGGGTCTCACCATCTTGGTCCTCGTGTGGGCAACGGAAGTGCGGCGGACATCAAGCTGCAAAACGAGGTGGACGTGCGGCTGGCACTGGATGTGCTGCGACCATCGCAGCCGCACGAGGCGCTGCCACTGCGGGAGGCGTTGTTTGAGAGGCTGCGGCACTTTGCGCATAAAAAGCAGTGATCATCTTGGGGAGGCTTTCTAGCCTGCAGTTCTAAAGGAAGAACTGAGCGAGGCGGCAACGGTATAGAACAGTAGAACGAGGAAGGAGCTACGGACAAGGCCGCAACGGTCGCACAGCTATGCGTGGGCAAGGAAGGAGGGAAGCAGCCGCTTACTTAACGTCATCCATACCGTGAATAGTAAATACAGTGCATCCCATCGATCTGCCTGTCCCCTAAGCGAAAGATCACTACCTGAACTTTTTGCCTTAACCATGTCTCGAAAATGGCCAGAGCGGAGTGCTTTGGTGCTTTGGTGGACAGTCTTCTTCATCTTTGTTTAGCGTGTAAGACACCCAGCTTCCACTCCGATAATACAACAGCTAATATATTCCACGATTCTGCTAGATCTTAAAGTCGACTACTCTGTCAAAAATACTACACGAGGTGCTGAGTGGCAATCGAGCAATGCTCTTCTTTCAATAAGACGCCCGCATCATCGATCAACAGAATTGCTCCCCATGTTGTCACTTCTCAGAACGGTCTGCATATCCGACTTGATAGAATCTACGCTCGATCCTAGGTCGCCATCTATCAACCCAATAGCGGGTGCTTTATTGACACTCAAAAGACTCGCAGAAGCTCAATCACAGGTGGTGGGTTTAGTACAGCGATGTTAGACCGCTTTCATGCGCCAAAACTTCTTTTGACAAAGTGGGAAATCACAGATATTGCATTTCCTTTCAGCTTGCCCATAGTTTCCACAGTTTGTATGTGGTCTCGCGCAACAAATCGGCCATATCGTCTGGCCAGTCAAGGGATGATAGCTTCTCTTTTCATGGACAGCCGGCGAGATTCCTCCATGTTCTTGAACTCCATAAGGGGGGCAACAATATTTCTGGTCTCCTGCACCCGCCAGCGCTTGTTAGCCAGGACCCAGAGGGCATAGACGACAAAGGTAAGGGTAGTCAGCGCAATAGTGATGGCCCAGAAAATCCCGAAGCGGGTGCCAACGATGCCCTGAGCGTCGTGGCTAGACCAGTCGAGGACGGGCATAGAGAAGACGGAGGCAACGAAGCTGCCAGGGAGGAAGAGCATGGTGACAATGGCAATGGTCTTCATGGAGGAGGCATCGTTCTGGGAAGAGACGGAGATGAGCTTGCTGTCGCGGGCAATGCCTATAGAGAAGATGCTGTCGTTCTGGGCGATGATGTTTAAGAGCTGCAGGTCAGCAAGAAGGAACACGCGCGTGGGACTGAAGCTTCTGGGGGGCTTACAGCATTGGCCTGCGTCTGGACGCGCTGCTGGACATAGGTTGTATCGATCTGCTGCATCTCTGTGCGGTGCTGCAGTACGACCATATGGTTCCAAAGGATAGCATGCTGGTCTATGTCCCTGGTCTGACTGGCCTGCTTCATCTGCTGCAGCATAAAGGCGCAGAGGGTGTCGATCATGCGCATCTTGCGAACGAGCGCCGCGAGCTTGCTGGTCCAGCCGTTCATCTTTGCTGACAGCGCGCCCAGCTCCTGTACGGCCGGCGCCTCGCTGCGGTTAGCAAACTGGTGATGGCCGGTGCGGACTTCGGTCTCGCGCACAGCCTTCTTGACGCGCTGGTGGGTCGTGTCGACGCCGCAGCTCAGCAGCAGAGCGCACAGAAACGGCAGCAGCATGGGGTGGCCGTCGAGATGCCAGCGACGCTCGAGCAGGTTCCTGAGGGTGTCCATCTCGTCAGAGTAGGCGAAGCACACGGCAACGGTTCTCGGAAGGGACTTTCGGTTAGAGCCCCAGATAACGGCCAGCTTCGGGTGGTAACTAAGGGAGAAGAGAGAGCGGACAGCAGACGATGTCTCTAACTTGGAGGCAACCACGCGTGAGACGCCGTTGAAGCAGCTAGGAAAAAAGTCAAAGGCAGCCCGAAGCTGTAGAGCATCCAGAACCCGACTCAGGACGTCAGCACTCGACAGTGGAGACGCCGAGGCCGACTCTGACTCCGGCAGTGCTACCGATACGCCGTCTGGAGCATCTAGACGCACGTACACGAGTCGCAGGACGCAGTAGGAATCGTCGTCCGACTGGTAGTCGCACAGCCTGTTCCTGAACGCCTCGCCAGCCACCGGCACTTGGCGGTGCCTCGTAACAGACTCGGTGCATTGGCGATTGACCCAGATCTCGGTCAAGGGAACGCTGGTGCTAAAGGTTGGCGAGATGGTCAGGTCCCAGAGCCGTTGCGACTGACCGAGATAGCGGTAAATTTCATCCATCGCAAAGGATGCTGTGTCTATGTGCAGAGTACTACGTAGAGAGGCAGCCTTGCAAGATACGGTAAAATAAGCAAAGCCACGGAATAATGTCCCGCCTGGCCTATGCGCAATGTGAAGGGGGGCTGGCAAGGCAGGATTCACAACGTCTTTCGAGTGATTAGCAAGACTAAACCCTATAGGTCGCGGGAACTAGGTGACAGAAGTGGGTCTTTCCGCTTACAGGAGGTGTCGAAAGGTTGACATGTTGTTTAGCCTGGCTGGGAAGTTGTGGTAGAAACGCCGGGAAGACAAAAAATACGCTTCAGAGTAGGTGCGTCGTTCTCAGGTTTTGAAGCTTTGGCTTGTAGGTATTTGGTAAGAAGTTGTGATTATTCAACGTTCTGTATGCCATTCTACATCTAGAAACGAGTTACGACATTGCAGCGGCCTTTGTGCCTTCACCGAAGAACGTTCAAGGCCGTTCCAGAGTGGCGTGCAGGGTGTGCTGCTTCATGAGCGAGACACAGACGAGGCCGACGAGGGCGAGGACGAGGCCGGTGAGCCAGACACCGCGGAAGGCATCCATGAAACTCTGGATGACGGGATCGTGCCAGCCGGGAGGAAGACGATGCAACTCAGCGAGGTCGTCGCAGATGCGGGCGATTTCGTCGGCGGCATCGGGCAGATGGCCAAGCCGCAGCCAAAGACGGGCGCGCAAGATGTTCTGGTAGACGGCAGAGGCGACAGTGAGACCGAGAGTAGCACCAACAGAGCGGAAAGCGTAGGTGGCAGAAGTGATGACAGCCTGACGCGACTGGGAGACGGCAGCGATGCAGGCGAGCAGCGTGATGGTGAGCATGGCGCCGTAGCTGCCGCCAATCAGGAAGAGGGCGACAAAGGCGGGCCAGGCGGGCGAGTCGGCGGCAGCGAGACCACCAAAAGCGGCGATCACGAAGCCGACGACAAAAAGACTGAGAGATGTGATGCCGAGCCCGACATAACGGCCGGTGCGCTTCATGATGAGGCCACTGCCGACGGACGAGACGGCCACGCCGAGCGACGAGAAGAGCAGACGCACGCCGGCATCGGCAGCCGTGAAGCCACGCACCTGCAGGTACAGCGGCACGTAGAAGATGGCCATCATCATGGCGGCCGTGCAGACGAGGTTGGCGAGACAGGCGGAGAGCACAGTGCGCCGAACGACTAATCGCACTGGAATGATCGGGTGGCGGGCGTACTGGGCCTCCCAGACGACGAAGCCGGCAAAGGCAGCGAGGGCGAGCGGCAGGGCGACGAGAACGAGCAGATGGGTCCAGGGAACGACGTTTCCGCCGGCATTGAGGCCGAGCAGCAGCAGGACGAGAAAGGTGACGAGCAGGCCGGCGCCAGGAAAGTCGATTCGGCGCAGCGCGGCAGTGGATGACTCATCCGCTGACTCAGCACTTTCGGTGATTGATTTGTGCGGCGGAACGCGGACGAGCACGGCGACAAGCACGGCCGAGACGAGCGAGACGGGCACCTGAGCGTAAAAGGCGAGTCGCCAGCCACCATAGGATCGATCGGTCCAGACCTGTTCGGAGAGGCCGCCGAGCACACCGCCGAGCATGGCGCCGGCCGAGTAGGCAATGTTGCCGATGCCCTGAACGACGCCGCGACGGCGCAGCGGCACGAGGTCCGAGGCGAGAAAGGTGGAGATGGACATGAGCCCACCACCGCCGATGCCAGCGACAGCACGGCCAACCAGCAGTGTGCCGGCATCACCGGCGAGGCCACACATGAGATTGCCGGCTGCAAAGAGCAGATTGCTGAAGACGAGACCAGGGCCGCGGCCGATGACGTCGGTCACACGTCCCGACACCGGCTGGCAGGCCGCGTTGGCCACCAGGTAGGCGGCTGCGACCCACGACAGCAGGCTCAGCGACTGGAAGGCACTCGCAATCGGCGCCGACAGCGTCGCGATCACGCTCGCATCGGCCGCTCCCACAAACACGCCCACGTACGCGGTGCCGAGGATCAGCACGATCCGCCCCGTCGATGTCGCCGTTGCTGCGGCCACCTCGTCCTGCTCGTCGTCGGCCGCCTCGTCTGCATCCTCGAGCGTGTCCGGCGACAATGCGTGACCGTATGCCACTTCTCCTGCTGTCGATCCAATGCCGACCACAGTGCTCGATCCCGACGACAGGCCGCTGCCGTCAGCGTCTGTGCCAGCCGCTTTGGCCAGCAGCGGCGTCCTCTCGTCCGTCGGCCGTGCACGCCCCTCGTCTGCCATTGTAGGTGGTGTCGAAACTGGGTGTGGGAGTGAATCGACCGGGACAAGAAGCCAATGAAGAAAGGAGAATATCTACAAAGACGCTGAGGAAGCCGCGATTGAAGTGCTCGTCCAATCAACTGACGATTAGTAAGCATTTGATGGGCTCGGCAACAAACGCTACTTCCATCACGCCCTCTCGGGTTCTGCCTTGTCCGCCTGTGGCTGAGGCTGGTGGGGCAAACCGTTGCAAGCGATCACTGTAGCGACTGACCTGCTGCCAGCGGCTTGCCTGCACAGCCCGCCTTGGCGGAGTTGCTCGGTGCCCTTCAGTCCTGGACGAAATAAGACGAAGAAAAACACGAGAAACGAGTCCGCCGCGCGTACCCTGACTCTTCCGACAGTCTCATGCTCCTCACGAGTACGATCGCCCCTTTCGTTTTTTCTGCTCGTCCTCTCCCACTTCCAGTCTTCCTCCCATCGTCCGGACCATTCGGTCAGTCTTCCTGATTGGGTAAGAAATCTTTTGGCTCCTCTCTGCGCAAACGGCCACAGTGTACGGAATCTTGCGCTCTTGCCTCTGCCTCGGAACGGCCTCTACACAGTCAGTACCACGCCCGTGGCCTGCATCGACGTCTGAGCGACTGCGATCGACTGCTCTGTCGCCTCTTTCCAAACGCCTCCGGCTTCCCTTTTGCTGCTCGTCTGAGCTCGTTTCCGCAGCAACCGACGACCATGTTTGAGTTTGAGATCAATGCCGAACACATCCCTCTGTACAAGCTGGTCCTGCACATCCTCCAGCTGGTCCTCTCGTTTGTCTGCTGGTGTCTCGAGATTGCCGTCTTCCGGTCCAAGAATGCCACCGTGAACGGCCAGTGCGGTTGGGCTTTCGGCGTGGTACGTTTTACCGGAGCAGAGCAGAGCTGCCGGCTGCCGCTGCTAACCTGGCGAACAGTGCTTCCTGTCCGCACCAGCATGGCTCTACCTGATCGGGGCGCCGCGCTTCCCGCGCACCCGCCGCTTTGCCGAGCCCCACGTCATGGTGGCCGTCGACGCCATCTTCTGCATCATCTGGCTGTCGGCTTTTGCCGCTCAGGCGGCCTACAACACGGCCGACAAGTGTGGTGAGGGCTGTCGTTTGAGCAAGGCCATTGTTGCTCTCGGTGTGATCAACACGTATGTCTCCTTTTCCTTTGTCTTGCTTTCTTCCCTCCTCTGCTCACCTCCTGCCAGCCTACTCTTCGGCATCACGACGTTTGTCAGCCTCTACACGCTCAAGTACTACCAGTTGAACGGCCAGCTGCCCGGCTACGACCGCCTGGGCGGCCCCAAGAATGTCCAGAACATCGACCCGGACATGGCGGCCTTCTCGGCCGCCCCCATGGGCGAGGAGCCGTATGCCCGGCTCAACGATATGGACAACGACCACGACCACGACAACGACAACGAGGAGTACCGCAGCGATCTGGGCGGCGGCTACGGCGGCGCCAGTAGCCAGCTGGACACCAGCTACGGCGGCGCCAGCAGCCAGCTGGGCACCAGCTATGGCAACCCCGACAACACATATGGCAGCTACCTGGACCCGATCCAGCGGCCGTATGCTGGCGGCAGCTCCATCAGCGGTGTCAGTACCGGCGACCCCTTTGACGATGGCCGCACCATGGCGACGAGCGCCCTGCGACCAGCGGCCAGTGCTGCCTCGCTCAGTTCTGTCGGCGCCCCGTCTAGCTACATGTCGCCCACGGTACACGACGCCTACGACGATGACCACGGCCGGCCGGTCCGCTTTCCCGAGGCCGACTACGACCGCAACTGAGTGCTGGCGGCTTTGTTGGCTGTGTTGGGAGGTGCGTTTTACCTCCTTCGGGTCGTACCGCCCATTTTGCTGGGACAGGGCAAGGCGTTGTTGTGGCAGGGCTACAGAAAGGGACAAGACGTGCCTGTTCTATTTCTCAGAGCACATGTTGACTGTTTCGTGGCACATTCTGGCTTATTTATCATTGGTAGTTTCCCACGTGTGTATGTATGTACGGCTTTTGCATCTTGCTGGGGGCGGGCTTGTTTTTGCTTGCATAAGAATGAAGTTGAAGATTGGTAACGAACGGGCAGTCCGGCGGCTTCTTTACGTCTCTCTTGAAAAGCCAGCAGAAAGTGATATAATCGGTGTCGGCCTCTGTATCCCGTTGGAGGCCTTCCCAAACGCCATTTCGCCATGAAGTGTACATGCAGATGTGTGCCTCCTGCCTCTTTGTCTCTTGTCTCCGCGCTCACGCTGTCACGCTCCCGCCATTGGCCCGGAAGTTGGCCAGCCGCCGGCCCAGATCTGCGGCCGTGCGCTGCATCGGATTGCGTCGCCGGTCGCGCGCCATGGCGGCCAGCGTGTTGTCGTCGGGCTCGGCAGTGCCGTAATGGTCGGCAAGCGTCTGCAGCCAGGACCGCTCGCCCTGGCTCTGGTGGCGGACATGATGCGGTCCGACCGGCTGGCGAGCCATGGCTTCGAGAGCCGCCACGACGGGCGTAGTGGCAGACGACGTGACGACAGCGGTCTCGTCCCCGAACCCGGCCCACTCCTCCTGGTTCTCCATCACGCTGAGCAGGTCGTCGATAGGCCGCAGCACAGCCGATCCCGTCTTCATCTCGGCCTCGTCTCGCACAATTCGCACAATCTTGCCGTCGGCATCGCGCTCGACGCGCACCTCGCGCACACCGCCGGCCGCTGCCGCCTTGGACGTGGCCGATCGTGCGGCTGCCACCGCCGCTGCACCACCCTGCAGCAGGCCCGCCTGGCCGTTGATGCGCAGCAGGTCGACCGTCTGCTGGGCCGCCGCCAGCGCGGCCGCCTGCTTCCGCGCTGCTTCCACGTCCGTGCCCAGCCGCTCCACGCCGCCCGCCGGGTTGTGCAGCCGGTTCATCAGGCCCAGACGGCGGTAGTTCTGGCTCAACGTCTGCTTCTTGTCCCTGTGTCCCATTGTCAGAGCTGGGCCGAAGAGCATCAGCACATCAGGGCTTTGTCTAACTCACCAGTTCTGGGCCACGATCGCGTTGCCTGTCGGGTTCAGCGGCCGCTTGCGCGAGTTGGACTGCCGCACCACCGCCCGCGATGAGCGGGCTTTGCGCTTCTGCCGAATGTTGCTGCCCATCTTGCCAGAGGTCGTCGTGGATGTTGTGCAAGCTGCTGTTCGTCTGCACCAGGGAAGGAAAGAAAAAAAAGCGAGAAAACACTACTAATTTTTTTGGTATCGCTTATCTTATCGGCACGTGCTTTCGATCAGTCGGACGTCATTTGTCACCTTACGAACTACACAGCTGCCATATTCATCTCGCTGTCGCTGTCGTGTCTCGTGTGTCGCCGTAATAAGGTATGCTTTGCCTTCCGAAAACGCCAATCATCCCATGCAGCAGCCCGGGTAATTCTAGACGAAAAGGTGGCTATTATCGCTCATCCCCCGGATGGCCATTCCAGCTGCTGCCACTGCCACTGCCACCGCCTCCTCTACCTCTGCTGCCACTCGCCGGTGTCGTCGCTGTAGCTCCGAGCTGCTGCTGTTGCTGCTGCATCTGACGCTGCAGCTGCGTCATGTAAGGGTTGCGCACCGTTCGTCGCAGCCGGTGTCGCGCCACACTGTCGTCCTCAAACGGATCGTCATTAGTCGCCAGTGCTGCTTCCCCAACCTCGAGCTCAGCCTCGTCTTCCTCGTCGTTATCGTCTCTTGCAGAACTCCGCATCTTTCCCTTTCCCCTTCCCTTGCTCTTGCTCCGGGAAGACGTCTGCATCCTCCGCGATCGGGTTGACGAGCCGCCGTTCTGCAGTGCTGCAGCCAGTCGCTGCTGTGCCTCGTCGCGTCGCTGCAGCAGTTCCTGCTCGAAGCCGGCCATGGTCTCTGCGTCCACCCCGTCGTCTTCGTCGTCTTCGTCGTCCTCAGTGGCGTCTTCGTTGTCCATCTCATCACCGTCGCCCACCTCCCCCATCGCATGGTCACCACGGCTCTTCGCATTGCCACCCGGCAGCTGCAACACGTGTCGGCTGGCCGTCATCTCGGCCAAGGCCGTGCTCAGCAGCTCGGTCGCGATGGGGTCTTGGGGACGAACGGCGAGGGCTTCGTGCAGCACCACGGTCGCCTCGTCCGGACGGCCACGCTCCAGGTGGATCAGGCCCTTGGCGCAGAAGACGGCCGGATTCTTGCCGCCCAGCCGCAGGACTTCGTCGAACTGGTCGAGCGCTTCGCGAAAGAGCCGCATCCGGCGGTATGCGTGACCCAGATTGGTGCGGGCGCTCAGCCACGCCTGCGGATCGCAGTCCATGTCGTCGGCCACCTCGAGAGCCTTGCGGAAGAGCGTGGCCGCATCGCGCGGCCTGTCCTGGTGGTAGCACACCACGCCCATCTCGTTGAGCAGCAGCGGATCCTCGCGGCAGAGCCCGTAGGCCGTCTTGAGAAACTCCTCCGCCACTGCCATGTTGTTCATTGCGTGGTGCTGCATCCCAAGAAAAACCTGCGGCAGGTGTGTGCCCGTGAAGAGCCGCGCTGCCGTCGAGTACGCCGAGATGGCCTGGTCGTGCTCGCCTTCGGCCGCAAACGTGTGCGCGAACCCGATCCAGGCCGGCCCATAGTGTGCGTCCATCATGCTGGCCTTGCTGAAGTAGCGCCGCGCCTCGGCAATCCGGTCCGTCGCAAAATAGTACACGCCCACTGCCAGCCATGAGCACGGCTCCTCTGGGTGCTGGTCGGCCAGGTCGTGGGCCACCAGGAAGAGCACGTTCTTCATCCGCAGCTCAAACAGACAGGCTAGATGCAGCGGGTACGCCCCAAAGTTGTACCGGTCCTCCTCCAGTACCGAGCTCGTCAGGGCCAGCGCGTCCTCGTACCGGCACTGCGTATACGCCAGGTCTGCACGTGCCAGCAGCAGGTCCGCGTTGCCGCCCAGCCGGTAGTGCGATGTCAGACACTCTACCGCCGTCGCAAAGCCCTCCGGGTTCCGGTACTTGGACAGCCGCGTGCTGTACAGCATCCGCGTGAAGTCCGCAGCCTCCTGCGCCGCGTCCATATCGCTGTTGCCGTCCGCCTCGCTGCCCGAGCCCGTGCTCACGGCGATGCTGTCAAAGTTGAGCGACTGCAGAAACTCCCACTCCTCGTCCGGTGCCATCAGAGCGTTCTTGGTCAGCTGCTGAAACGCCTCGAAACACTGCACGTCGATGCGCACCGCGTCCTTGTAGCACTCCTTGGCCCGGTCGAATACGTTCTGCTTCGCATAGCAGATTCCCCGGAGGTAGCACATCCCGGCTTCGTATCGTCGGTTCGATGCCTCTGCTGCTGCTGCCTCGGCCTCTGCATTGCTGACGCTTGCTTCTGCTGCCGCTGCTGCTGCTGCTGCTGCCGCCGCTGCTGATGTTGTTGCTCCGCTCGCCTTCCTCCCGCCCTGGCTGCTGCCTTTTGTAGATGCTGTAGCGAACGCTGACGTGGTCGCGGTCACTTTGCTGCCGGCAAGCCCCGTCTTTCGGCCGTTCAGGACGCTGCCACTCCGCCCGCCCATGCTGACTGCAACTCCACCGGCTGGTCCACTTCCCGTCGCCTTGCGCTTGTTGGCCGAGGAAGGGATCAGATGGGTCGGGTTGCGCTCGCCCAGCACAGCTAGGGCATCGTCGAAACGGGACTGCTTGATCAGGCAGTGGGCTGCCAGATACCGGCACGACGCGTTGCGCGCAATCAGATTGGACTTGGACAGCAGGGCCTGGGCACGTGTGTAGTTGCCCATGGCAAAGTGCACCTGTGCGAGCCAGAAGGCATCCTTGTCGTCACCTGCTCGGTCAGTACAGAACAGAGAAGCAAGGCAGACGAGGAAAGGCGCTTCTCACCTGTGAGCGCCAGCAGCTTGTCCCCAACAAAGATGGCCGACTCGTACTGCGCCTTGTTGAGGGCGTCCTGGCGCCAGTCGTGCAGGTAGCTCTCCATCGTGGGCAAGTGGTAGGAGACGGAAGCCAGACGCCGTCACGATGTCCTCGATTTGCCGTATTTGCAGTAGACGCGTCCCCACAGTGTCTCCACTTTGCAGTCACCATACGCTAGAAATGGTTTGCTTAGTCATCGCACAGCTACTCCGTACAAAGTCATCAATTCGTCTAATTGCACTACACCAAACGCCCCTCTACACCAACTTCCAGACACCACCGTCCGACTCGATCCGCACTTCCCGCTTCTCGTCAATGCTCCGTCGGCCGGCCTCGAGGATGGCCGTGGTGGCAATAGTGTTGGCCAGCGTGGGCAGGCCCTTGGCGTCGAGATCGGCCGGCTTGACGGTGCCGTCGTTGACGGCGCGGCATCCGTCGACAAACTTCTCAAAGGAGATGTAGCCGTAGCCGGTCTGGCCGGCAAAGTTGCCGTCCTCGTCGGGCGCATAGCGCATGTAAAATGGGTTGTACCAGACCAGCTGGCCAGCGCTGTCTTCGGCCACGTCGTAGCCACGCTTGGCCTGGTCGACGTGCACCTCGCCATCGCGCGCGAGGTAGTGGAAGTACTGGTTGGAGTGCACGCCGGCACGCTGTGGCGCCGTCCACGAGGCCGTGTACACGGCCGTGCCCTGCTTGGTCGCATCGTCGCGGTGCTGCCAGCGGACCAGCAGCGTGATGGTGTCCTCGGTCTGCGGTGCACAGCCGAGCTGCGTGGCCACGCCAGTCGAAGCGGCACCGGTCACGACCACGGGCACGTAGCCCAGCGGTGTTACCATGGAGTCGCAGACGTCGATGTGGTGGCTGTTGAGATAGTAGGAGATGTCCGAGTCGACGCCGGCCCAGGCCTTGAACGTCTCGAGCTGGAACTTGGGCTGCGACATATAGCTGTAGAAATAGTTGAACTCGCCCAGCTTCTGCGCGCGAAATCGGGCGTCGGCGTACGCCGGGTCGTATCGCTTGTGGTGCTCAATGTACACGTACACGCCGTGCTTCCGTGCCGCCTCGATCAGCGCCGTGTGGTGTGCCAGCGTCATCACGGCCGGCTTGGTGATCAGCACATGGATGCGCCGCTCGATGGCGTACAGCGCAATCGGGAAGTGCGTCGGGTCGGGCGTGAAGACCGTGATGGCGTCGCCAGGCTTCAGCGCGTCAATGGCCGTCTTGTAGGCCTCAGTGTCTCTCACGCCGTCCGCCGGATACGACGTAAAGGACGTGTCGAGGCCGTTGTACACTTGGCCGATGTTCTTGTGCAGATGTTCCCCTAGCATCAGCCGCTGTCAGCAACAGAGTATCTGAGCAGGCTGCCACGCTTCCGCTACTTACGGATGGCCGGGAACTTGGATCCGCTTGCGCCCACCATCGACAGGTTGCCGACCTTTCCTCGCCGTCGCAGATCAAACAGGCTCAGACCAACGACGCCCACCTTCTTGTCCGACCCGGAAGCACCGCCGGCCACAAAGCCGGTGGTATACTCGCCGGTGCCGACCTGAGCAGAGAAAGACGTCAGCAACTGCAACTTACGACCATGGGGATCTGACACCTACCATCAGCATATTCAAGGGTGCCATCTTGGCGAGAGTAATAAGAAGAGGAAGAGTCGGTAAGCGAGAAAGAGGCCAGTGGTATCGTGGCTCATTCAGACAGGTTTGAAGTTTGAAATCAATGGGACGTATCCGACAAAACCAGGCCTACATCGCGTTGTCTTGACAGAGCTATCGGAGCAAGAAGCTAGAGAGCACTCTGTAGTGTCCGGAAAAATACAGCGCTGCGGTGGAGACAGCGGGGTAGCAGGTGACTCTCGGATTAAAGAGGTCCGTCAATGGCTGGCAGCTGCTATTGTTGTGTGAGATGTGCCTTTTTGTGGATTGTCAGGCCAGACAGAATGTCATCTAGCTCGTTGCGAGGATATCACGATCTATTACAAACCAAATACAGTGGCCGCCTGTTCCTTCCCTATTCCTGGACGGTGGGGAATGGCGCCCCAGAACAGAAAGAGCCCCACCCCCACGCATTGGCGTCATATATGCCATATACCGTTTGTACTCCGTACTCTCCCAGGTCCAGCCAGCAGGGCTCCCCGCCATTCGAGCAGAACCGGGCATGGCTTACGCGAAGCGACACAACCAAGCGAAGCAGAGACAGCGTCCAACATGGCCAAATCGGCCTGTTGCGAGTACGAGTACTCCGTATGCACTACTCATTAGCGGAACGTGGGGTGCTGATGAGGTGCTGTTCCGGGCTGGCGTCTTGATTGGAGGAAAATTGGCCGGCTTAAATTCTCCGTCACTAGCGGTAGTGGTGTTGTTGGTGGGCAGCGATGTTGGAGGGCATTTCCTAACGACAGTCGACAATCATTGGCATCACACACCTGAAGAACAGAAGAAACACCTGCAGATCGACGGGCCCACTCCACCTACCCGCAGCCACGGTTCTGAAGGAACAAAGACAGCAGGTGTCTCCGGGCTCGGCCGCCGAACAGGCGCCGGTGCTCCGGCAAGGAAAACATGCATGCCTCACAAGACAGACGTCAGCAGAAGGCATGAGTGCTCGTGTTCGCTCCAACATATGGCGGCCCACCGGGTAAGGGGCTTAATATTCAGCCTGAGTGTTGAGTCTCGGGTACATAAAGTGAGTGGTAGCTGTTCTAGCCTCAACAGTGATTTCACATTGTGCCTTCCTTCCTTCTCTCTTGTTTTCTGTCTATTCTCTCCTCATCTCTTCTCGTTTCTTCTCTTATCCCCTATTCTTCTCTCTCTCTTCTCTCTTCTCTCTCTCCTCTCTTCTCTCTCTCCTCCTCTCTTATATTCCCTCCCTCTCCTACATTCTCCTCTTCTTCCACAATGCCATCTAACGGGACCTCTCGGCCAGCACCACGGACGCCGTTGCCGTGCGGCATCTATGCCCCCACCATGACCTTCTTCCACGCCGACACCGAGGAGCTCGATATCCCGACCATCAAGAAGCACGCCGAGCGTCTGGCGCGCGCTGGTCTGGCCGGGCTGGTGGCCATGGGCTCCAACGGCGAGGCGGTACATTGCTCGCGCGAGGAGAAGCTGGCGGTGACGCGCGCAACACGCGAGGCACTGGATGCGGCCGGCTTCACGAGCACGCCGGTAGTCGTGGGTGCGACCGAGGGCAGCGTCCGCGGCACGCTCGAGCTGATCGGGCTAGCACGCGAGGCCGGTGCCGACTACACGCTCCTGCTGCCGCCGTCATACTATCGTGCGCAGATGGTCGAGAGCGCGATCGAGGCGTACTTTGTCGAGGTGGCCGAGCGATCACCGCTGCCCGTCATCATCTACAACTATCCCGGCGCCGTGTCCGGCATCGACCTCGACTCAGACGCGCTCATCCGGCTGGCCCGCCACCCCAACATCGTCGGCACCAAGTTCACATGCGGCAACACCGGCAAGCTGACTCGCGTCGCCCTCGCCACCGAGGCCAAGACGCCCGCTGCCACCGGTTCCGGCTACATGGCCTTTGGCGGCATGTGCGACTTCACCGTCCAGACACTCGTCAGCGGCGGCAGCGGCATCATCGCCGGCGGCGCCAACGTCATGCCCAAGGTCTGCGTCCGTGTCTGGAACCTCTTTGTCGAGGGCAAGACCGACGAGGCCGTCGCCCTGCAGAAAACGCTCGCGCGCGGCGACTGGTTCCTTACAAAGGCCGCCATTGCCGGCACCAAGCAGGCCATCCAAACCTACTACGGCTACGGCGGTTTCCCGCGTCGCCCGCTTCCCCGTCTGCCTGCTGCCAACGTGGCCGCCATTGCCGACGGCATCGCCGAGGTCATGGCCATTGAGCTGGCGCTGTAGCAGCCGCGAAAAAGCAAGCGGTTAACGCCCCTCTATTTGCATTTACATGTCGGGTTCTATTATCTCTCTATCAGATAGAGGGAGGGTGGGTCCAGGGTGGCTCTCTGCCCTGTGCTCTTCCTCCCCGTTTAGGCCGTCTTAGACGATGGGGTCATTTGGGCCCCAGACTGCGACGAATAGATCCGTATACATCAGACCTTGAACTTGCGGGGATCCAGCCGGTCGATGTTGGCGCTCGAGGCGCGGCCGTCCAGCAGCAGCTCGGCCATCAGGCAGCCCGTGGCCGGTCCGTTCTGGATGCCCCAGCAGGTGTGGCCCGAGGCCACCCAGAGACCGGGCGTGCGCGTACGGCCAATGAGTGGGCCATGTTCGTCGCCAAAGCGGATGTGGCGCGGGAGGTAGCAGGCCTGGCGAACGGTGACGGGTGCCGCAGCAAGGACCGAGCTGGCGGTGCCAGCATAGGCGACGAGATCAGCACACTGGATAGCGTCGACAGCGACGAGATCAGCCGTAGCCGGCAGCGAAACGGCCACGTCAGGTTCACCACAGGCATAGACCTCGCCAAAGGGCCGGGCGTAGATCTCGGGGTCGACCCGGCCGGTGTGGCGTCGTCGTCGCTGGCCGGCCTGCACCCGATGTTCCGGCACGTAGTCGGCCGGCAGTGCCACGTCCGTGAAGATGGCATACGGCGCCACGTCGGCCTGCCAGACGACACTGTGTGCCCGCAGGCCCGTGACCTTTGTGCGTGGCAACACGACGCCGGTCCAGGGCCCAGCTGCCACGATGACGTCGGTCACGTGATCCAGCCGTACCTCGGTCTGGGTGTTGCGATCGAGGTACTCGACAGTCTCGACGCCGGCCTCTCGCTCGACGATGCGCAGTACCTGCGCCCCCAGCCGTACGTTCACGCCACGCTCTTCGGCCAACGAAACCAGGGTCGTCGTGAAGTGCAGCGGATGCACCTGAGCCGTCTCGGCCGTCTCGGGCTGGCCCATCTGCTGGTAGTGCTCGACCACGGCCGCATCGATATAGTCGAGGTCGGGCGGCAGCTGCGCCGACGGTTCCGACAGCAGCCCGGCCGCGTGCTCGTCCTGCTTCGGCAGCTTCTCCCACGGCTTCTGCGGCGGATCGTGTGGCCGTGGCGCGCTGTCGGGTGCTTGTCTGTCTGTCTGCCCGTCCTGCCGTATCGCCTCGACCTCGGCAGCACGCCGCTTCAGGTCGGCATGGGACACGGTCGCCCGCACGGATCCGCATCCCACACGGCGGTAGCCCCAGCGTCGGGCGCCATCGTGTTCCTCAGCCAGCTCGCGGTGCAGTCGATACGAGAGGCCAACCAGCTCGTCCGGATACGCCCAGAGCGCCAGCAGCCCGCCCGCCTTGCCGGAGGCGCCCGCCGCGATCGTGCTCGCTTCCAGGAGCGTGACGCGATGTCGCCTGCGGTCGTACCTGGGATGTCGGGTCAGGAAGTAGGCCGTCGTGGCCCCGATGACGCCGCCGCCTATGTGATGATGGCCCCGGTCGTCAGCGCAGAAGGACAAGGGGATCGGTCGTGTTGCGCCACAGCTGCTCTCACCAACGATGACGATATGGCGGTCCTGGCCCACAGCGTCTGCAGCCATTGAGAAAACAACGGGTTTCGGGAAGCCGGGCTTTCGGCGCTGTCTGCCGGCGATTGAAAGACAGCAAACAGCGACAAAGGCCTCTGAAGTGGGGTGACGAAGTCGCCTAGTGCTTGTACTCCGGTACACAGATTCTGGCGGGGAAGCCGCGGGCGGGACAGCTGTAAAGAAGATTCCAAATATTATCTGCTGGGGGGGCTGAAGTCTCCACTGCGCTCGCCGTGTCTTTGTGCTCTAATCTTTTTCCATTTGCCCCGTGCGGCGTCCGGAGCAACTTGGCTACCATTAGCCGCGCGCGCCTTCGAGCTGCTTCTGGGCTGTTAGCCCGCACTCGGCAAGCAAAAGCCGTGGCGTGGAAAGAAGCATGGTTTCCTGCATTGTCGGATGGATCACGTCACCAACCCGTGCCTTCCGCGGGTCTTTGTATGTATTATGTAATCGATTGCCCTCGCTGTAGCTCGACCTCGCTGCTATTCCGGGAAGCTGCCTGGTACGAGGGGTCCCACATTTCCCACGCCTTGGCATCCCCGATCGTCAACGAGTTCGGCCGCCTTACTATTCCTGCAAAGCACGCATTTTGATGATTCCATGCTAGTCCCGCCTGTCTGCTATGTCATGACCACGGCCTACTGCACAATGGTATCTTACGAGTGTTCAGACAGCCGTTAGTGTCCGCCCAAAGCTCAGGTCTGTCCTTGCCTTGAATAAAAGGTCCGGCTGTCGCCCGTTTCAAAACGTCGCAATTTTCTCATCCCCTCCTTCAACAACATTTATCCCCCACCCAGTGTCAGCAGTTTGTCCAGACGACTGTCAACCAAAGCACAATGTCGGCCAAGACCTTTTACGACTTTACTCCCCTCGACAGTATGTGCTGCAATCGTTACCATATCAATACCCCTCAATCCTCCAATCCCCATCCCATATCAATGTTTTTCCCCTCCAGACCCCAATAATGCTAACAACACCCCAGAGAAGGGCAATGAGTTCCCCCTTTCCCAGTTCAAGGGCAAGGTAGTCCTCGTCGTCAACACTGCATCCAAGTGCGGCTTCACGCCCCAGTACGCCGGCCTCGAGAAGATCTACAAGGACCTGCGCGAAAAGTACGGCGAGGACTTTGAGATCCTCGGCTTCCCCTCCAACCAGTTCGGCTCTCAGGAGCCCGGCTCCAACGATGACATCCAGGAGTTCTGCCAGATCAACTACGGCGTCTCCTTCCCCATTCTCAGCAAGGTCGACGTCAACGGTGACCAGGCCACTCCCGTCTACGAGTGGCTCAAGGAGCAGAAGCCTGGTCTGCTCGGCCTCAAGCGCATCAAGTGGAACTTTGAGAAGTTCCTGATCGGCCGCGACGGTCTTATCGTCGAGCGTTGGGCCAGCACCACCAAGCCCGAGTCGCTCGAGAAGACCATTGTCGAGACCCTCGAGAAGAAGGCCCCGGCTTCATGACTATCCTCCGCCCCCGATGAGGATGCGGATGGAATTGAGAAGGGGAGGTTGTGAGGTTAATTAGATTGTTTTTTTATTCCCCCATTTTTCGGTAGCAATTGAAAATATGAAACCATAACTTCACCTTCTGGCTGCTTGGGGCGAAATGAGATTCGAATAGTTGCGTCTGCTTCGCCCATCAACAAAGGTGCATGTCACTGCTTCTCCCCGTGATAATTGTCGTATGTACGACTACATCTATAACGTCACTTAGCCTTATGTGAGTCCGTCTGAACCTACCAAGAGATATCACCGCTGACATGGTGTCCAGTCAGACCGCATTGAAAAGCGTTAGCTCCCGTAGAAGCGGATGCATATGACGGTTGTTTCCTAATTGTTCTCTTTCCCAGGAATTCACCTCACTCTGCATGTTAGTCACTTGCCTCCATTTTTCGCATCTTTTTGCACATTTGTTCCTAAACAGCTTAGACCGGTTTTTATACTGTGCTTTGCTTTACCATGCTACCTCTGCATGGATATCTCGTCCCAATGAGTTCAATATCTTTGTTAGTTTCGGCATACAGGATTTCTACTGCAGTGAGAATCTCGGTCCCATTTTAACATGGCAGAAGGCTCGTGATATGGGCCTCGATCTCCACTAGACTGCGTGTGACTGCAGTCTGTATTGCAACCACACACACCCAAACTACGCCCTCCAAAATAGAAAAACGGAAGGCATCTGCTCTGATGGAAACCCATGCTCGTGGCACGATGCCACCACCTCTATTTGCACCTCTGCAACAAGAAATAGTAGTTGATACAGAGTTTCCTCAGCCGTGACAAATCTTAGGCGCTGGGCATATAGAAAGGGATGCCAAATCTGGTTCAGAGCCACGTAGACAAAAGTTGTCTCCCTCTTGTACTCGTACACTCGTCTTTGAAGTCTTTGAATGGTATGGAATATGCGACCACGATCGCACCACACCATGGCATTTTTCTGGTATTGAGGCTTGGGAGGCAAGTGACGGTGCGGCTGACTTGACGGAGACCACTTCAAGTACATTTGTTGGGGTGTTTGATAGATAACTTACAACCTGCCGTTACACTATGGCCAAAGGATGAAGTCCTGTTCAGATCGTGGATCACTTGATACTTTCCAAAATCCATTCAAAGCAACTATAGGAGGACGTCTACACTGCCTTGGGATTTCCCTGTGGCGATGACCCAACTTCAAGATCTGAAAGACATGAGTGATGTTACACATATGCTAAGGGGGTTTCGTCATTTCATCCGCTCGTTCTAGGGGTCTTTTGACGGGTCATGAGAAAGAGACCAAAAGACACGCACCCTTTGAGAACAATTAGCGATGAGCGAGGTAATCTTGGGAATGCTTGGCCCAAAATACACTTTATAGAATTCTCTGAGATGGCGGTCAGACCCTAACCGGATATACAGGATACGTTCGCTTCGAACACAGCTTCCTTTTTGGCCATGATGTTTCAGGGACAGGGTCGATGATGGATTGGATATCCATAAAAAAGCCCCCATTAAACAGGCTACGAATGCCCATCGTAGAGCATCCCAAATAGGATGTATGCTGGGTCAATATCAAATCCGCCTTCCTCATCTGTATGCTGTCCTAGAGATCGTATCCCAAAGCAGCAAACCGCCTCGCTGAGGCGATCCAAGCATCCATTAGCCAGGCCTCCACTATTAAGGTTGAAAAGATCTTTGGAAAGAACCGACAAGATGCGGCTATGCAAAGGGTTTCTGGAGACTGCTACTCTACGGGAGGTGCCTACGACCATGCAGCTGAAGGTGGACTAGAAAAAGGAACAATCATGTAACGTGGTGTGCTTGTTACATGTCCACGGAGACAGGATGGGGAAATACTGTTTTCAGTACTTTCTGGCCCAGCTAGCATTGCGACCGCGAAAGCTGCGCACGAGGCGTCACGCATCATCCAAAGCAGTCTTGGATCATCACGACAGTAGAGAAAGTAGCTGGGCTGATCACATGAGAGTGCACGATGGAATCGATGACTAGGAAGTAGAAAGGGGCTGAGATCGACATGTCTAGACGATCGCAGACATCGGAGAGCCTCATCAGAACCAAGCCATAATTTCTACGCTCAACCAATGTATCTGACCAGGGACTAGAGGATGAGCAGCTCGCTAAGTCAACAGCGGTAAGAGAACGTAGATACGAGCGAGCGAGCCAGCTCAGAGACAGAGGCAGAGAAGAAGGGAGGAAGAGCTGTCCCGTTGCCTCGTGTCCTGTTCTGCTCGGTTATTCGGCCAGATCTCTGGTCGTCTCGTGTCCACCGGCTCTCTCCAACGTCTCGATAAGCTTCCCTCTCGCCTGCCAAAACCGGCTAGCATCGCTTCTAAACAGTAAGCGGAAGTCGAAGCTATGCTATCTACCATGCACTCCATAGGGTCACAGTGGCATCGTAGGGCTCGTTTTACTTTTCTGCCGGCCCCTACGGAGTAAGATACATACATAGTACAGCTTAGCACACCCCCCTTGGCCGTGAAAATGGCCCCCCCCATTCTGTCATGCCTTCCCGGTCCAGGGTGCTTGAAGGCGCGGGGCGTAAGGTATGCGCGCCATGCTGGTAGGGCGTCATCTGTTCGGCGTGGCGAGCACAAAACCAGACAGTGCGCAACGGTGGAACGGCGGCTCATGATTCCATGCGCCGACATCTGTAAACAATGCTGATGGATACAGAATGACATATCTTACAAAGAGTGCGAGCCGGCCGCTGTCGTGTGGGCAGACGTGCCACCCCGGCTTCCAAGAACTACAAACTATGACGGACGAGGAGGGACGTTTGGCCCGAGCAATACGACGGCAGGGAGGACAAGTGGGCGCAGGATAGGAAACGAAGGAGCCAATGGCTGGCAGCCAGGGACATTGCAGCGGCAGGAAAGACGGGGCCTATATTCATTCCGCCGTTGCAGCGAGCGCTTGGCGAGGGAAGACAGCGACAGGGGAAGGATTTGGACTGGGGCGACGCTTAGCTGATTAACCCGTACGGAGTACGTCGTAGACAAGCTCTCGCTCGCGGGAGAGGCGCACGGGATAGGAGCAGAGGTCGGAACCAAGAGCGGACTTCTCCCGACAGTCGACTTTTTGGATGGTGGGCCACCCAAGACTAAGTGTAATAAAAAGCAGTGAGTGGTGGAGCCTGTTGTAACGTTTCATGCAATGTACTCCGTACAACAATGTCGAACGGTTGGTCTGGCAGCGAGCTATGTATCGACCGATTAATAAATCACATAATCTGCTGCGTCCGATAACGAGCAATAGGCAGTTGTACTGTCATCATATGTATGTGATACGTGCTGCGCACACGCATGGCCGATAAGCCGGTGGCTACGCATTTGTATTCGTACTATGTAAGGGGGCCCTGGACAGAACAGCAGGAACAGGCCATCTGGCGCGTAGGCGAGAGAGTGGCATCCTGGGCTTGCTGCCATCCGAAGGCGACAGACCCATCGGTTGCAGCAGGTGATACGGCAGGCGATACGACTCCGTATATCGAGATACGATGTGATGGCTTGGGCTGACTGCGAAGAATGGAGCCTCACTCACCACGGTCTGTCCGAGAAGAGCGAAGCGGCCGTGTTGACCGATATGGGAGAGCTGGCAGACATGGCAAAGGCAAACATGGGATTGCCAACGGGCAGAAAGGCCCTGGTCGGCGAACAGACAGAGAGACCTCGGGTGAAATACAACTTTCCCGGTCTGCACAGCCGGATATCGTCTTCTTCCGCATTATGCCGATCAATGGCCCGGCAAACGAGACAGTCCCTGCGCGAAAGACGTGGGGACAGAGGGCGGAGATTGTGCCGGACTGCGTATCTCAAAGATGCTCTCGCGTATGGTTCCGCAGCTGAGAAGGCAATACCCGCGATGCTATTCGTACGACCAGATGGCCATCGACGGTGAGAACCATAAAGCAGGCGAAAGGGCCCACCAGAATGATGCCGTACGGAGTACGGAGTACTCGTTCCTCGTAGCGTACTTTATTCGCTGGTTGAGAATACGAGACAAGGGGGGCTTTGTCACTTTGTCTACGGAGCTGCATCGCTGTCGATCCCCTCCGCTCACGACCTTCCTCCAATGACTTGCGTCCGAGGCTTGTTTTGGACGTCGTATTCCACCTCTTCTAGACCCTTGCCAAGTGGAGCCCGTACATACTATGTAGTAGGAAAAGGGGAGCAGAAGAGGGGGAGGGGTATCCGTAACGGTGGAGAAAAGGGGGGGGGGGGGGAGAAGAAAATAAAACTGGAATTTGTATAGCCAATGAGAAGAGAAGCGCATCCTCAGAACAGGCGGCAGACCCTCCACTTGCCGACGGTCACATGAAATACAGGAGAGGGCGGCAAGTTCGATGAGGCCGAGCTTAGGAGGGGAGATCACCGAGGGAGAGCGAAGTGAAACGGAGAGGTGAGGAAAGGGACGAGGCAAAAACAAAAGCGAAAGACATGCATGCGGCTTAGGCAAAGGAGATTTCCGGTGGCGGAAAGCAGAGGATAACAGCGGGCAAAGAGCTTCTATGCAGGCTTCTGCAGGTCTTCTAGCGCGCAGCAGAAGGACCTGAGCCGTTAGCGCTGTAGCTAATAGGCTCTTTTTCGGCCGACAAAGATAGCGCAGGCGGCCAGTAGTCGTACAAGCTATGTATGTAGGAATACGTAGTCGGTACTTGTACCTTAAGGTACCCACGCGCTTCTTGCGTCAACCGTCGTCACAACACGCACTGGCGCAGCATCAGCCGAAAACAATAAGGCGCGCAATATAAGGGAGTGAGGAGGGCGCCCGGACCATTCTCCGTACATACTCTGCAGTAGGCTAGCAGGGTCCTGTACGCTTTTTCGGGGTCGTTTGATTCCCTGCTTCTTCTCCGCTCTTTCTACACATTTGAGAGCAGATGGGAAAGAAGGACGGCAAGGCCAGCAGGCAGACCAGCAGGTCAGACAGCTCAGGTAACACCCCAGACTGATTGGAGCTGAGGCGAGGTCGGGAGATCCTTCGGCAAGACAGGATCGGCACTGATCAACAGTACTTGCAAACGGGCTCGGCCCATTGGAGGACAGGCAGCCGAATGGCCTCTGGCGTGTATGACGATACCTCGGCCAAGTTCCACATTCGACGACCTGCTTGTTTAAGTTTGAGCCACGAGCTAGCAGCCGCCGCTTCACGACTGCAATTTAAATGATCCCAGGCTGTTCCGCTGGCAAGTTGGCATCCAATACTGTAGTTGTTGCATGATCGTCCGGGTTTAACTCCTCCGTGGAGGTGGGGAAGGGAAAATCCCCAAAGCTTATTTGCATGCCACCACATCCGGCGTGTGAGCACGAGTACTTCTACTTTGCCTCTTCGGTGTACGGGGGCCCTCGTAGATAAGAAACAGCTAATAACTGCAGCTGCGATCGAAGCCGGACAGAACACGAGGTCGACGTGGGTGCCCATGATAAGATAAGGAGGCCGCCAAGAACGAAGACGAGGACGAGGACAGACGACGGGACAACAAAAGAGGGATAGCACGGCCCGAAGAGGCAGGAAACTCCACTCTGTAGAAGCAGATTCGAAGCAGGACAGAACACCGTTGGCTGGCGCACCAACCGCGCTCTAGCTGCTGTAGCTCGCCCGTCACCGCCTGTGCAGAAGACAGAAAGGAAGGAGAGAGGGAGATAGGTCCTTGGGTGTAGTGTGTCGCAGTGCAGTAGTCTGTACATAGTTTGGACGTAGTTTAGTTTGTGAGCTATACGTGCTAGCAAGGGCCCAATGGTTTTTTCCCCTTTCTCTTATTTTTTTTTGTGTGTTCTTTTCTTCTGCGCCCTTGTCTATTTTACCCGCACCCTCTATAGCTGGGGTCCGGAGCTAATTGCGTGCGTCCCAAGAATGAAAGAGGAAACAGACGAGAAGGATGATAGAAGTCATTACTACAGACCGGCTGCTCGCTAACACCCAAACAGCCTAGCATCCCTTCTTCACGGTAGAGAAAAGAAGAAAAAAAGAAAAGAGGAAGGACAGGAGAAGGAGAGGCGCGGTTGAAGGGCGGCAGAAGTACCCCATAGTACGTTTTCATGATTACAGGTAACACACAAACCAAGGGGGAGCCTGTAGGTGGGGCGCCGTCTGCAGAAAGAGGAAGGAAAGTCCAGAGGAAGAGGGGCAGAGCAGTCGACTGTGGTGCACGAAGAGGTCGGTGCTCTACAAGACACAAGTTGACTACTCGTAATATTAGAAGGCGGCTAGCATTTGCATGTGAAAACGCGGAATATTGCAATGCATCGCGATTATTGCGATTATTGCGATTATTGCGATTATTGCAATTATTGCGAAAATTGCAATCATTGCGAAAATTGCAGACGCTGCAACAGGACGGACAGATCTCCGAGAGTCGCCGCGCACCCGAGAGCCTTCGATTTCTCTGACACAATTATCATTCCCAACGTACGATGAGCCGTGCGATTTTGAGCGAAGAGCTCCGAGGACAACCCGAAAGAGTACGGGCCCGCGCTCGACGCCTAGAACGCGCCCCGACTCTCTGTTCACGCAAGGAAAAGAAACCAGGCCTCCCCGCTAGGACTCTCTCGCTTCAGTGGCTCTGGCACTACTCTGAGTCCCTAGCCTTTTGCAACTGGAAAAACAAAGGCCACCGGACTCTTTCCACAATGCCTCGGGCTCTCACCACATCTGTATTATTCCTCTTCTCTCGCTTCCTCCTCTTTCTCCTCTTTCTATTATTTATTACTTGTTGTTTTTTCCCTCTTACTCCTCTTGTCCTCTTCCCCGGGTCTGCCGGGGGCCGTGCACAGACAGACGGTATTATTATCTTACGAGGTGCAATACGAGCAGCGCCCGGCTGCCTCGAATTGCATCCTCATGCGTGTCAATTGGCGTCCAGGCGGCCCTGAGTGATTAAAGCGATTGATCCGCTGCTGTTCCTTCTCGACAGACAGCGCCTCCTCTGTCCCCTCTGTTTCATCCCCCCCTCATGTTCGTCTGCACAGATGCGCTGCTACGTATGTTCGCCAACAGCAACGTATCTTACCTGTACACACATCTTTCAGCACCGCGTCTCACCACTCGGAGTTGGCCGATAGGAACAAGATTGGGCATCGGCGGGGAGCTTAGCCCAAAGCAGGCATAGTGATGCATTGGTGGCCGGCTTCGAATCACAGACGTGGGGGGGTCGAAACTTGGCCCTTAGCGGCCAGAGATGGGCCCAGATGGCTGCAGATGGCTGCAGATAACTGCAGATGGGCTGCTGGCTATATTCAACAGCTTCTTTCTAGTGGCGTCTAATCACAGCAATGGAAGACCGATGGAAGCCTGCGTGGAAGTCGCCGAGAAGGGAAGAGAGAGACAGGCACAGCCACCGTAAGCCGATGCGTATGTAGTAAAATTTCCAAAAGGGCGATCCTGCTGCAAAGCCGTCGCTAGACCGATGCCCGCTTCTGCCGCTGCTCTTGCAGACGGCCATCTGCGACATGGTCTGAATATTAAGCTCGTAACGAACACTAGCCAGCTTTGCGTGCCCCGCCATGCATCGCGGTGAGGGAGGAGAAGCAGGCAAGTTGAAAGTACAAAGCACGGATAGCGAGGAGCGAGGACGCCAGCTGTACCCCCACCTCTCGATTACTTTCGTAGTTACGAGAGTATCGTACAGAATACTCCGTACTCAGGGGCAATGCCAGCAGCGCTCAGGCGCGAGCGTCAGCTTTGCTCGTGTTGAGGGAGAAACTGCATCGACAGGCTTCCGGCCTTGCCTTGGGGCCGTCTTTTGCCCTAGACACGGAGTCGGCCGCCACCGTGCAGGAGGAGGCGATTTTTGCTCGGTGAATACTTAAGCTTCTGTGCTTTCTTTTTTTCCGGGACTCGACACAGCCGCGGTGGCATTCTTGGTAGCATCATGACATGACGGCATGTCCGTCGAGCTGAGAAGGCCAGGGCCGGCGAGACGGGTGTTTGTCTAAATTTAAGAGTGAGCAGCAAAATGGAAAAAAGAGAGAAAGCAGGAAAAAAGAACGACTGCGGGCCTCCCCTGCTGCCGGGTGGCCGTTACATAGCAGGCTTCCCGCGGCAGACCTCTCTTGTGCCAATAGAGGCGCGGAGACGATGAGACGAAGGGAGAAATACGAAGAGACAAGGGGCGGGAGATGCTGCTCGTATGTGGTGCCTGCTCCTCTCTCCACGCATCGTATCGTGTCCGTTGTCCGTGTCGGTCGGTCGCAGCCAGGCCCCAATGACGCTAATCCCTCCTTCCCTGCTCCTTCGCCCCATCGCGCTTTCCCTCTCTGGCCGCCTGGCCTGCCCTCTCTGAGCTGCAGCCGCCGCCCCTCCTTCCTCGACTCTCTACTCCCCTCTGCCGATCACCGAGGAGAGCCCAGCCACAACCGGGTGCCCTTGTAAGATACAACGGCCTCGGCGCCGGTGGGATGCTCCTGCTTCCCTCTCCAGAGGCTATTGCCAGACGGCCTGTCTAGCTGCGTCTGCTCTTGCTCGCAAGCTACCATGTACGAGCATTCGTACACCGCCTGCGTTGCTCCTGCCCTCTGGTCCCTTCTTGTCCTCTCGCTCGATCCTTCTCGTTTTGGGGGATGTCCTGCTTTGTCGCATTCGGTCGCGCTGCCTGACCACAACATGGCAGGAGCGATGCACGGAGCATGAAAAAGAAAGAAAAACAGAGCCGACAGGAGCAAAGGGCCCCGTCACGTTGTCCCCATCCACCACAGCAGCAATAACGACACCATCACCATGCCCACACCTAAATCGTCCGCTCAGACTCTCTCCACTCAACCCTTCTATCTCCCCTTTCATATCACACCCCCCCTCCGCCCTCTACACCCCCCCTTTCCCCTCTAAGCCCCCCCACCTTTTCCCGTCCACTGCGCCTTGTACCCTTTTGTACCCTCTGGTGGTTGTGCTAATGTAGAGACGATGCGTTAGAGGCAGTGGCCATAACAGGATCGTCTGGCAGGCGCTGAGCTCACACGGGGGTGCCTTCTTCTTTTAACCAGACCTGTTTCTCTTTATTCAGGCCGCAGACCCCATATCTCAAGACTGCTCAGCTGGTCTTCTCGTCTTCTTTCCAAGATCTCATCTCTTCCTTCTTCACCTCGAGCTCTCGTCTTCCCACATCCACATCCCAACTTCCAAGCAGGGCGTGTCACGGCTATCCTTGTTGCCATATCAATACGTGCTTGCCCCCCCATCCATACTATCATATCGCTAAAAGACAGACCACTAGCACCAGCCATTTGTCTCTTTGCCTCCCTCCACCTTCCCAAGGGCCACCCCCGTTTTTACCAACCTGTCGTGTGATCCAGACTTGGCTTTTTTCCACCTGCTCACCTGTCATATATATGTTCTTCTTACTGCGATTCGGCCGTCTTCCGCCTCCCGCTACTGCAAATCCTTTTTCGCCTCGCAACAACGCAGACAGAGGTAACAGAAGAAGCACTCGCCACGCAGAAGGTGAAAATCCGACCTAGACGATCCATCCTTCCATGACACGGCAGTCAATGACACAATGACTGTCCCTTTGAACGTCCAACCGCCCAAGGCTGCCGATGTTGCCGTGGCCGCCTCGGCTGCTGCTGTGCGCAAGCGCAGACGTCGTGCTCCTACTGGCGGGGCTGCAGACGACTGCTTCACCTGCTCCAAACGCAACATCAAGTGCGACCGCAGACGGCCGTACTGCTCGCAATGCCTCGAGGTCGGCAATGAGTGCTCCGGCTACAAGACCCAGCTGACCTGGGGTGTCGGCGTGGCCAGCCGTGGCAAGCTTCGCGGCCTCTCACTGCCCATTGCCAAGGCACCGCCCGTCAACCCTGGCATCGGGTCCGGCGTGTCCAAAAAGTCCATCACCTCGACGCCTGCCCGCCAGAGAGCTGAATCTGTCGCCTCGGCCGTCAGCTCATGGAACGACTCGGACGTCTTGGCTGTCGTCAATTCCGCCAACATGTCGGCACGTGGCGCTTCTTCCATCGCTACCACGCCTCGGGCTCTCCGAGACGACGTCGAGCTGGCTTTTGACACCTCTTCCTCCATGTCGACTCCCTCCTTTAACTCGTACGAGCTCGCCCATATGTCGCCCGGCCACGTGGCTGCTACATCCGCTCATATGTCTGTTTCCGTGTCCGTCCCGGCAAGCCTTGCCCACCAGAACTGGACCCCCTCTCCTGTTTCCGCGAATCTCCCTCCATTTTCTTCCAGCTTGCCGGCAGACTCTGGTCCCTACAGCCAGCAGCACCAGCACCAGCACCAGCAACGGCACCCGCACCAGCGCCAGCTCCCTCACCCGCATCCGCATCACCAACAACACCAACAACGGCAACAACGGCAACGTCAGAATCCCGGCCCGGAGCTTCACCTCTCTGCCTCCATTGACTCGCTGAGCGATGTGGACTACATGTCGCCCATCAGCCACTCCTTCCCTCCCGACGAAATAAACTTTATGAACAGTCCTGCAGGCATGGTCTACGACAGCTTCACTGGCCAAAACTCCCCTGTGCCCCAGAGTCCCACTAGCAGTCTTATGATCGAGCACCGCCGACCGGCCCCGACGTCCTGCCCGAGTCTGATATACGCCACGTCTGAACAGAGCTCCAGCCTACCCTCGTCGCACCCGGAAAACTACGATTCAAACCTTAGCGCAAGGCTACTCCAGGACTGCGACTCGATGGGTGAGTTTGTCATTCCATCCGCTCCATCCACGGTTCCCTCGGGAGGTTACCGACCAGCGTTCCTGACTCCACCATCTAGGCACCCCCTCGGACATTGACGCCTACAGCACCAGTGCCCAGTCTGCTGGTCAGTACTGGGGCCCTTATGGTGACGAGGATGCGTCTCCCCCGATGCGCTCGGATGCCGCCCCTGCGGCGTGGCCCGCCATGATGGATGGGCAAAATACCTCCATCAACTTGGATCTCATTGCCAAAATGCCTTTTTTTATCGACTACTACGAAAACACAATGTGCCCCTCCATGGTCTTCATTGACGGGCCCACAAACCCTTTCCGCTATCATATCATGCAGCTTGCACGGTCAAGCCGGAGCTTGCAGCACGCCATCTGCGCCTTGGCCGCGTGCAACCTGCGGATGAAGCGCAAGCTGAGCCGGGGCCAGCACAGACGTGACGTCTCGGACGCTGTCGATGACTCGGCCGGCCAGGGGGATCAGTCGGTCTCGGAGGAGTACCAGCACCGCAATATGGCTGTGCACCTGCTGAACGAGCAGCTCAATGACCCGGTCAAGTCCCGTCATGACTCGGTGCTGGCTACCATTCTCCTGTTGTGCCACTATCGCATGGCCGAGTCGGGCATTGCTCGTTTCCATACGCATTTTGCCGGTGTAAAGAAGATCCTGGCCATGCGACGGGCATCACCATTCCCGCCGTCGCGCGACTACGCCTGGATGGAGGCCCTATTTACCTACTTTGACGCCATATCTGCCAGCATCAATGACCGCGAGAGCCAGCTGGATAACTCTGTGCACGGTGCCAGTTCTGATGCCCAGATCCTTCCGCCAGGTTCCGAGAACCTGGTTGGTTGTGACCGTGAGCTATTCCGGACCATAATCAAGCTTGGCCGACTCAACCTCCTGTCGCAGAGCCGGCAAGTGAAGGGCCCGGCGAGCAGGGGCAGCAGCAGTGGCAGCAGTGGCAGCAGCAACAATGGCGGAAACAACAGTGCGATTGCGCGGGCGCTTTCGTCGCGCTCGCAGTCTCCCCTCGGCTCCGCTCTGGGCCAACTCTACAGCCCGACCAGCAGCCATCCGCGCCAGCACCATCCACGCCACATCAACACGGACGTGTACAATAACCGGTATGGCTCGTCGTTGGATGACGAAGACATGTTGCTGTCGCCGACTGCGTACGAAGACCAGCGGCTAGCATTTTGGACGGAGTGGAAGGAGGCGCGACTTGCGCTGCAATCGTGGGAGTTCGACTCTCAGCAGATTGTCAACGGGCTGCACGGTGTGGGAACACCGACGCCGGCACAGCTGCGGGATCTCTGCTCGCTGTCGGAGGCATTTCGATATGCAGCGCTTCTGTATACAGAGCGACTGGCCAACCCCAATGCGCCTTCGACGGACAGCAGCTTCCGCAACTTTGTGAGTCAGGTGGTGTACTATGCGACGAGCCTGGAGACAGGGTCGTCGGCTGAGAAGTTTCTGTTGTGGCCTCTGTTTGTTGCTGGCAGCGAATGTGTCAATGAGCTGCAGCAGACGATTGTGCGATCAAAGTGCCGCGAGATCATGTCGCGGTCGGGCTACATGAACAACCTGGCAGCCTTGGACGTGCTGGAACACCTCTGGGCCAACAACGGCCAGGAAGAGGGCGGGGTCAAGGGCGATATGGCCTGTCGGGCGCCGTTTAGCTGGAACCGGTGCATTGGGGGGCCGGGAATCGAGGTGGAGTGGATCATGTTCTGAGCATCTCGGGCTTTCTTCCGATCTCGTCAATCTTTCTTACGTTGATACGAATGCCGTGCGGATGCAAAGGCATATTATGCTGATACCCAATCGTGGAATAGGGGCTACGGGACGATGACATACATGTATAGTACTATCATATTTGGGGGTTTTTTGGTTGTGCGTTTCGGTTGGTTTTATATGGATTCTGATTTGTTGTGGGTGGATCGTCTGATGTATATGAGAGTGTTAAGATAGCTGAATGTGCGGAAACAATAAGGGTTTACAAGTTGATTGCAGAGTAGAGGACTGCAAGAGATGTGGACGAATGCTATATTGATCAACATCACGTGCTTACACAAGTGACTTCACACTGGAAAACGACGGCCAGGTGGTGGTCGTTCTCGTTAGTCCGGGGAAGCGACGGGCGGTGCTCCTTCTCCTTCTTGGCTGGGATTGGGACTACTTCACATCCGCGTGATCACGAGACAATTCCATTACTATCCGAGTATCGTGTACGGAGTACTCTAAACCACCATTCCAGTCTATCGTAAGACGTCGCATTCCATGACCATTCCATCTCCAGATCTTTCTCAGATCTCTGCACCAAGATGCTCTCTTCTCAGGCATCCAGCCCTACAAAAACGCCATCCACAGCACGTCGCACATAGCGAGGTTGGCCGGGTTGGCGGCCTTGGCGATCAGGTCGATGGCGGTCTGATGGGCCGGCAGGTTGCCGACGGGCGTCTGGGCCAGACTGGCGGCCCGCTTGGTCACCAGATCGATGTTGGCCTGGACGGCGCGGCGCAGCTTGTCCTCGGTCATCTGCTGAGCGTGCCTATTGCTCGTGAACCAAAAGACCATCTCGTCCCGGACAAAGAGGGTGAGGGCATAGGCCAGCTCCTGTTCTGGCTCGGCCAGGCTGCGGGCAATGGCCATGATGGAGCTGCCGTAGATGCCCTCGACCGCCAGCGGGCCCATCAGCGCCTGCAGGTTCGGCGTCAGTCGGAACGGCACCGTCTCCGGGTTCTTAAAGTACGGCTGGTTCATCGGCATAAACGGCATCACCTCGGCACTCCACACGCTGCCGGAGCCGCGCCCAATGTTGATCTTGTGTGGGTACCGCTTGTCCGCGCAGAGGATGTAGGTCATAAAGGTCGTCGCTGCGTACTGGTAGGCAAACCGGCGGCGGAAGAGCCAGAAGTCGGCAAAGTCGCCAAACGTCCGCTGGAAATACTCCAGCAGCACCGTGTTCGGCACCTTGGTCGCCTGGATGGCCTCCAGCACCTCCAGCCGTGTCGACATGGCCTGCTGGCTCGGCGGCCCGCCGTGGCTGTTGCTGCTGCCGCTGCCGTTGCTGCCATTGCCGTTGCTGCCGCCCTTTTGCGCATCGCTCAACGCGGCCAGTTTCTCCATCGTGAAGATGGCTGCGTCATCCTTGCTGAAGCCGTTCTCGCGGCAGTGCTCCTCGTAGATCGTCTGCATCGACACGTACGTCGGGTCGTCCTGCACCAGGCGGATGTGTTGGGCCACCGGCACCACCAGTGGCAGCGTGAACTGCAGGTCGCGTCGCCGGCTCTCTTTCTTGTGGTGCAGCCGCTGGTTGAGCTGCCGGAACAGCTGCAGCGCCCGCTCTTCGCGCCGGCAGTTGCGTGCTGTCGGCTGCTGTACCGCAAACGGATGGACGCTGCCATCGTGGCCACGGATCCGAATCCGTCGGTGTGACACCCCAACTGTTCGTACCAGTTCTACCTGCGGCATAAACCGCTCGATCCGGATAAAGTCCGAGTTCTTATCCTTGAGCTGCAGGTACTGCCCCGGAATCTCAATGTCGTCCAGCTTGAGGTATCGGAATTCGCACAGGTGTGGCGACAGCTGTTCCAGCGGCACCCGTCCTGCCCGTCGGTCCAGCTTGTCCTCAAACTTGTTGCGCCACCGCCGCAGGTTCTGGATGTACTCGTACATGGTCGGCTTGACCACCACAAACTCCTCCTCAAACATGGGCCGGATGTGTGTCGGCAACACCGTCTCGGCAAACCGCGTGATGTTGGACTCGGTCGCTGCCGGAAGCTTGACGTCTCGGCTGTACGACGCCGGTGACCGGCTGATATACGACATGGCGTCGTTGAGCAGAGCCACGATCAGCCGGTATGCGTCCTCGTCTGGCGGGCACTTGAGGTGCTTCTGGATCTGGTCGATAATCGTCTCCATCGACAGTGCCAGCAGCGGGAACGACGACTTGACTGCCACCAGCACGTCTTCCATAAAGTCCCACGGGTGTCGTTTGGTCGGATGGAGTGGTGGAGGTGGTGGCGGAGGTGCTAGAATGGGCGCTGTCGTTGTCGATGCTGCATTTGCCGTCCCATTCGCCCCATCCGAGGTCTCGCTCTTTGCCGTCCCAGACGCACCTCCCACACCGTTGGCCGTGCTCGGCCGTGACGACGACCCGCCGTCTCCTTCAATCTTGATCAACGGCTGCTGAGCCTGCTGAGCCTGCTGTGCTTGCTGAGCTGCTGCTGCTTGCTGCTGTTGCTGCAACAGCTGCTTGGCTGCCTGCTGCTGGGCCACCTTCAGCTCGCGTGCTTCCTGGTTCTTCTTGACGGCCAGCATGTCGTCGCGGCTCGTGCGCAGGACAAAGTACAGCGCCTGCGGATACGTCTTGGCAATCTGCAGCAGGATCGCGTGAGTCCGCACGGCCTCCTTGTAGGTCAGACCCGACAGCAGCTGCGGGATAAAGGTGATCCAGTACCACGTGGCAATGTCGCCCTTGAAATCGTCGAAGCCACCGGCGATGGTGCCGGCCGCATCGTCCAGGCTGAGCAGCCAGAGAATCCGCGCAATCAGCTTGCGCGCCTTGGCGTTCTTGTAGCTCGACGCCGCCTGCAGGTAGCACGTCAGGGCCTGGCGCGCCGCCGTGTAGTTGGTCGGCTCGGCCTGGAAGATCCGGTCGTTGAAGAAGCCCCATTCGGCCCACGCTTTGGCTGTCGTGATGTCGTAAAAGAGCGCGGTACCAAAGGCCGTGTTGGCCTCGTCCTTCTGGCTGAGCCGCTCGAGGAACATGCCCTTGAGCGTGTAGAACTCGGCCTTTTGCGGCGGGCTGAAGTAGTTGAGGTTCGTGTTGTTGATCACGTCCAGCCCGTTGGTCAGCTCGTCTGCGTTCTGGAAGTGGCACTTGGCCTGCTCGCGCAGCTTCAAAAACGCCTCCTGGATCTCGATGTTGGGCAGCGTGTAGATCCGTCCGAGCTGCGTGATGCACACGTCCGGCAGGTCGTGCTTGCGTGCCACGTGCGCGAACCGGTTGATGATCCACGCCGTCTCGTGGTACCCGCGGTACGCAAACGACGATCCGCCCGCGGCTGCTGCTGCTGCTGCGGCTGCTGCTGCCGTCGCGGCTGCTGTCGATCCCGTCGCCTGTCCGGCCTGGCCGTTCTGTCCGGCTGCCGCTCCGGCCTGTCCGTTCGCTCCGGCCGCCCCCCCTTGCGGCGGTGGCTGCAGCAGGTTGAGGTAGGTGCTGTTGATGAGGTTAAAGATGTGCTGGCGCCACGTGACCAAGTCTTGCCACGCCAGAATGTCGTCCCACATGTTCGGCAGCCGGTCACGCCATGAGCCCAGGAGCAGCTTAAGCTCGGCCGACTTGGCGTCCAGGTTCATCAGCGTCGTCGACGCCAGGCTGTTGCAGATGATGCTTGCGTCGTGGACCTCGACCATGAGCTGGAAGTTCTGCATCAGGGGCACGTGCGCATTAGTCAGCCGTCGTGGCAGCTGGTGCCACTTGCGAATCGACAGCTGGATTGCCTCGTCCGTCACGCGCCCAAACTCCTGGATCGTGTCTTGCTTGTGGTGGAAGCGAAGCAGGCCCATAAAGGCCTGGAAAAAGGCACGGCGCGGTGTCGGTGCGTCCATGACGCCCTTGATCAGGCCGTCCAGCTGGTCCCGGCTCGTCTGCTCCTGCCACATGTCAAAGTTGCGCCACGCGCACTCGAGCAGCAGATCCTGGAAGTTCTCGTGCTTGGCGTAGTCCTGCAGGATTTCCCACTGTTGCAGCTTCTGCGCACAGATGACCCAGTGGTCCTCCCAGAGCATGTACTCGCTCTGCGAAAACGGAATCACGCTGGTGCGCGCCTTGATCTGAGCGGCTTCGTGCATTCGTTTCGCCTTGTCCCATATGCCGTTCTGCTCGTACGACAGGGCCGAGTTGGTCTCGAGAAAGTGGCAGCGTCGCCTCCAGGCTCCGTAGAATAGGTCCTCCTCCTTCAGGTCGGCATACAGCTCCACCAGCGCGTCCAGATTGCTCTCGCGCACGTGGACCGACGCCACTTCTGGCCGGATGGCCGCGCGCTCCAGCTGCGTCAGGGCCACGTACCAGGCGTCAAACGTGCGTGCTAGGTGCTTGAGAACATGCGGTGGAACCTTACAGTCAGGCCAGGCGCGCGCAGCTCCGGCCAGCAGGGCCTGCACCACGTTCGGCCGCTTGTCCATCTGCCGGTTGTGGTACTCCTTGGCCAGCAGGCCGACGAGGCCGCGCTCCAGCTCGGCACGGTCTTCGCGCAGCGTCGCACCCCAGAAGAGCGGGAAGAGCGTCTCCCACACCGCTCCGGCCGTCGCCGCGTCTGTGTGCTGCAGGTGCGTCAGCGGCTCGAGCAGGTCGCGCACACGGACATCGGCCAGACTGGTCACGTGACGTCGCAACGTCCCCACCAAAGCCTCGTAGCGATCGTCGACCATCAGCGCCGGCTCGCGGCCATCGGTGCCGTAGATGCTGCACAGCTGCGACAGCGGCTGCACGCGCACGTCGTCGGCGTGCAGCTGTGCGGCCCCGCCCATCTCGACGGCGCCGAGCAGCAGGTGCGACGCCTGGGCCAGCCAGAACGACTCCGACAGCGTGTCCCAATTCTGCTCCGCGATCACGAAGCCGAGACGACTGCTGGCCGACTTGGCGAGACTGCGATCGAAGACGGCCAGGAAGCGGTTGCGCGTGTCGACGTCTTGTGCCCGTGTGCCGATCAAGAAGGCGTGCTCCAGCCGCACCGTGATCTCCGTACGCGCAATCTTGGGGTCCTCGTAGATGCGCAGCACCAGGTCGAGAAAACGCTGCAACATCGTCAGATCGGTACGGTGCTCAAACACGAGCATCTTATGCAGAACCGCCGTCTTCTCCTTAAGCGTCGGCCACGTGCCCTCCGACTTGAAGACCCAGCCCTCGACCAGGTCAAGAATGGTGCTGCACAGCCGCACGTCCTGCGACTTTTCCACCAGGTTGGCCAGCACGCTGAGAAAGGGTCGCCGGTTGTCGCCCAGCGTCTCGATCCGTTTTGCCAGCACGTCAATGGCCCGAACGATCAGCCCCGACTGCACCATCAGGTTGAACGGCGTCATCTCTGCGCCGGCTAGTCCTGGGTCCTGCTGCTGGGCTGCATGGGAGGCTCGGCCGTGTGGATTGGCTGCCTGTGCTGCTGCTGCTGTGTAATGGGCCAAGTGTTCGCGGCCCAGCTTGGACTGCAGCGTCTTGAGCAGCGCCTGGATGTGTGGGTCTACCGCGCTTGGCCGTCGGCTCGACAGCGACCACAGGATGTTGATGCCCGCTATGTAGTTGTTGGCTCCCAGCGTCTCTGTTGCCACGTTGGACAAGAACGTCACAAATTCGGATGGCTGCGCCTCCACCTCGCCCTCGCCGTCGACATCCTCCATGTGCACGTCTTCCGGCACCGTCTCGAGGATCCGTCCGATGATCGACTTGAGCTGCCGGCCGTCGTCGTACTCGGTCGTCACCGTGTGCAGACAGTCCTGCACCTCCGCGTTGTCCGACCGCAGACACTTGTCCAACAGTCGCTGAATCGCCTCCATGTTCGTCACAATGTACTCGTCCGGCTGGAAGTTGAGAATCACCCGCACCACCTGCAGCATGTTGACAATCGTGCCGATGAACTTATCGTCCGCTGGGTCCCGGTCGCCCTGCTCGGTCGCCAGTGCCTGTGTCGCCTTATCGCCCGTCAGCACGAGCTCGGTTGCGTGAGAGAGCAGCTCCACGTCTGCCACGCCCCAGAATCGTGGTTGCAGCAGGTTGAACAGCAGTGCCATCGATCGCGTGCACAGATCGCTCCACGGAAACGACGGCTGCGTCGCCGGGTCCTTGGGCTTCGACGTCGGCAGCTCGTATCGCTCGTTCAGCTGCGCGATGAACTCGATCAGAAACCGCAGCATCTTCTGTCGGCCCATCGCCGGCACCTGATACTCCTGTTTGGCTGATGTCAACACCATCGGCGAGCCTGGACCCTCTCGCTTCTCCTCGGCCGTCTCGAGCTTGCGCTTCCGCGAAAGTGGCGACTCTGATGTCGATCGTGGCGATCCTAACGCCTTGGCTGCACTCCCACTTCGTCCTCGCCGGCTCTCGTCGATCAGCGTGCCCTCAACCCGTCGATGCTCCCACTGCCAGATCAGCCACATCAGGTTCAGGGCTAGCCGCTTGCTCTCGCTCGACGCGTTGCCCGGACTCGCCACCCGTCGCAGTGACATGATAATCAGCATCGTGAACTTGTCGCGCGATTCGTAAAACAGGTTCGGCCGTCGCACCAGGAACTGGAAGATGCTGCTCGTCTGCTGCGCGTTGTGGCTCTCCTCTGCCAGGATCCGTCGCGGTGCCGCTGCCCAGGCCGCGTTCCGGTCGCTCGACCCAAACCGCGTCGGCAGCACTGGCGCAATGATCTCCAACGCCTGGTTCACCAGCGCCCGGCCTTCGCTCTGGTTCGCCTTCAGCAGCGAGTAGTACACCTGCGACACGATCTTGACCGGCGTGTCGTAGTGCTGGATAAAGTACCCGATCACCACGTAGGCCGCATGCTTGTTCATCGCGTCGTCGTTCCGGATGTACGTCCAGCCAAATTTGATAATGTCCTTGCGCACATCCTGCAGGATCGCGTGGTGGTATTTGACCAACATTGCCGTCAGCTGCATCACCTCCATCCGCGTGTAGTCCACGCCACCCGACCGCGTCGACACCTCATCCTGGTGGTCCACCATGTTCGTCTTCCAGATCTTCTCCGTGATCGACTCGATGATCTGCTTGTCCGCCAGCAGCGGCGCTCCCTTCTCCCGCTCTTCCTCGCCCAGAACGTCCCAGTTGCGCATGATCGACATCGCCACCGTCGGGTTGACCATGTAGTGCAGCAGAAACGACTTGGTCTTGTGCGTCGCCGTCTTGCCTGCGTACACCTCCAGACAGCGCAGCACGAGTACCTTGCTGAACTCCACCCGCTCGTTGCTGACAATGTTCCGGTAGATGTGCGCAAAGAACACCGGCGTTGCCCGCAGGTCCTCCGACGTCACCGTCTCCACCAGCCCCAGCAGCATTTCCGTGTCCTCCACGTGAAGCTCTAGGCTGCGCGTCAGGATCGTCATCAGCTGCTCAGCCGCCTGGTTGCCCGCGAGCCGCAGATGTGGCGCCAGCGAGTTGGCCTTGAGTCGCTCCTCCAGCGTCCGGCCCACCGTCTTCAGCCACACCAGATGCTCCTTCTTCTCCAGCCAGGCCGCCGAGTTGCTGCTGCTGCTGCTGCTGCTGCTGCCATCCGCCACGGCTTCCGCATTGTCAGTGCTGCGGATGCACAGCGCATACAGGATGTGGATCGTGTTGATCACCGCAATCGACTCCGTCTCTTTCTGCTCCAGCACAATCGTGTTGCACCTGCTGATGAGATCGTCCACGTGGGCGTTGCAGTAGTCACGCAGCGACCGGCTCTCGCCGTCCAGCAGCGCCTGCGACAGGAACCGCCCATACTTGAGCTCCTCAATCCGACCCATCAGATACTGCCCCACGTCGTCTGCATACCGGCCCATGTACTTGTACACCGGCGCCCGCAACGCGCTATAGTGCGTCCGGCGCAGCTTGTCTTCCAGGTCCAGCACCGCCTCGATGATCCGCTCCTTGTACATGCGCGCCGCATCCGGCAGCAGATGGAACACGCCGAACACGCCCACGATGATCTTCATCAGCGGGCTCTGCTCAAACAGCACAAACGAGATCTGCTGCACCGCTGCTGGCTCCGCCAGCTTGTTGACATGGTCTAGCAGTCGCGTCCCAATCTCGACCTTAAAGTAGTTTGTCAGGAGACGCAGCAGCAGCGACAAGTTCTCGAGCCCGTGAGGCGTCAGCCGCTTGGCTTCCTGCAGGCTGGCCAACACCGGCCGGAGCCCCGACTGCAGTAGGTCCTTGGGCAGCTTGTTCGTGTACATCAGCACCCGCTTCATCGCCTCGTTGGCCGCCTCGATCGTCGGCTTCGATTCCGCGTACAGGCACTTGAAGAAGACCGACACTATCTTGGACCGCGCTGCGTTGCCCTGGCCCTTCTGGTATTCGTCAAAGCCCATCGCTGTACTGAGGATCCGGATGCAGGCCACCCGCAGGTCCACGATGAAGTTGTGCGTCCGGAACTCTGCCGACTTGCCGGCCAGAGACTCGTCGCTCGCATCGGCCAGCGCCAACGACTCCGTCAGCAGCCGCTCCACGTTCTCGTCAATCACCACAAAGTCCGACTTGAGCGTCATAAAGTATGTCAGCGCGTCCACGTAGCCGATCTGGATCGAGAATGGCAGCGCCCGCAGCGGCTTCTGGAACAGCGGCGACAACAAACGCTCCTTGTACGGCTCAATCACCTCCCAGACCTCCATGTTGACCGCCTTGGCGATCTGCTCCAGTGACCGCTTCGCCGTGTTGCGCACGTGTCTGTTCATGTGTGAGAGCTCCGTCGCCAGGAGCAGACACGTCTGCGGAAGCCGCCGCGGTCCTAGTCTCCGCTTGCTCTGCTCGTTCGGCGTCTCGCTGTCCCGCTGCTCCTTGTCGTCCGTCGACGGGATCACGTCCTCTTTCGTCAGGCCCTTGGTCACCCGCTCCAGCAAGATCTCCAGCGTCGACTGCGCCAGGCTGCGCGTCGTTTCCGGCAGGTCGGGGGGCATGTCCTTCACCACGAACAGTAGCGACCGGATAAACTCCATCTGCATCGATCCCACCCATGCATCGCCCAGATCGACCATCGTCAGGAGCGTCTGGATGCCCAGGCAGGCACCCGTCTTGAGAAACCATTCCTCCACGTAACAGCCGTGCGTGAACGTGGCAGCCAGGTGGTTAAAGAACTCTAGTACATGCACCCCGTCTTCCGTGCCAAAGATCACTGCCGCCGTCTTGAACATCACCTCGATCGCCCGCTGTGCCGCCTTCCGCACGTCCTCCTGCATGGACGAGAGCGACTCGAGGATGGCGTCGGCCAGGAGATGCGAGTCGAGCACCAGCGGCCCCTCGCCCGTCGTCGCGTTAAAGGCCGTGATGGCCCGCTTGGAGCTAATGAGCGTGCGCCCAATGTCGAGAAAGATAAAGTGCCGGCAAATGTTCATCAGGAAGCCGTCAGCCTCATCCCGCAGGTCCTCAATTGACTCTGCGTAAAAGAGCGCCTTGATCAGCCGCGTCAGCATGTCCTCCATCTCGTGTTTCTTCGCAACCGACCGCTCGCGGTGGCTCTCCTCAAACACGGCTAGGTCCACGTCCAGCTTCTTGGCTAGCAGGTCCTGTGCCTGCAACCGCACCAGCCGCGGTAGGTCATCGGGCAGGTTGTCGTAGCCAATGCGCATCTTGACGTGGGCCTTGATCATATGCAGGGCCTGCTTCTTGTAAAACGCGTCGGACTGCTTCGAAATCGGGTTTCGTGACGGCTTGCCCGGCATCTCCATGATCTTCTGCAGGGCCAGTTCGAGGCCCAGGTCTGCGTTGAACGGCCGGTCTTTCTTTGAGCCGACAAGCCGGACATCAAAGCTCGGCGAGTCGTCAATGTACTGCTTGAACGACAGCGGGAGATGGTCCGTCATCGTCTTCCGGTTACGGCCACCCAGCTTGCCCAGAATGCGCATGGCAGTGTGGGCGTGAAAGTGGCTGTACGGATGCGGCCTAAGCTGGTCGTACAGTGCAGGCATCAGCTCGTCCAGCACGGGCGCCATCAGCGGGTCCAGATACTCTGCCGTGAGGTTATCGACGCAAAGCTCCAGTGTTCGCAACCCCTGGCCGACCATATCTGAGCCAGCGCGCAGCGCAGCCACCAACGGCCTCATAAGAAAGTTGAGGTGGGGCAACAGGTTGCTCAGTCGAGCCGGCACCGTGAGGCACAGCTCGACGTACAGGTCCCGCTCGATGGGCCTGCGGGCAGCCAGGAGCAGGTTGTTCAGCACGTCCAGAAGCATTTCGAGCAGCGGCAGGATCTGCTTGTAGAGATGTTCGAACTTGCCGCCGCCGATGCTCCGGAAGAGAGAGCGCAGGAGGAGAAAGTAGTTCATTGGCTCCTGGGCACGGGTCGACAGCTCGACCGATTTGCTGATGATGTCGACGACATACGGCAGGAGGATCTGCTCGTTCTGCGCCGCAAACAAGGTGACTGCCATAAATGCCAGCTTAAACATGCGCAGCAGCACCGATGCCTTCTTGACATCGGCAAGCCCGACGTCCTCGATGCGCTCCATCAGAAACCGTAAGAGCATGCCGCAAAAGGTTGGCGATGTGACCTCGCTGGCCAAAAAGTACTGTGGAATGTGCAGGAGAGCGGTGTGTTCAAAAGTCATCTCGAAGAGATGGGGCACCTCCTGCTCGAATATCTCGTTGAACGTGGCCGGATCGATGACGTGGAAGAGCGTGGCAAACGACTCCAGCAAATCCTTCTCCTCCTTGGAGCTGGACACCATATAAAAGTTGGCCATGTACTCCACGATGGACGCGAACGGCGGCTCAGCCGTGACCTTTTCAGCACTATCATAGTAGCGGAACACGCGGGCGCCCTCGCGGAAAAGCTTGATAATCACCTTGACCTCCTCGGCATTGAAGCCGCTAGCCACATCAGACCATCCCGGAGGCGCGATGGCCGGGTCAATCGTCGGATTTTGGGCACAGTTGCGCAGTTGAAAGACGGTGTTACGCAAGCCTTGCATCAATGTCTTGAAGAGAAACTTGTTGTCACCCACGGGGTCATGGCCACGCTCACGCGCGTTTGTCAGCTTGATGGGCGGCGCCGCCGTGAAGAGGTCGATCTCGTCCCACTGTGGCCGCACTTTCGGATCGGCAAGGAAGGTCTCGGAGAAGGCGGCCATGCCCAGAGCGGTGGGCGACTTGCTGGCCCGCTCTTTTTGCAGATCCAGCAGGTCGCTGTACTCCTTGGACAGCTTCTGGGCGTTGTCATACTGGCGGTTCATGGCGGCGAACTTGTCGGCAATAGCGTTGAGAATGGTCACCAGATGGTGGCGTGCCTCTACCTTGTCTTCCATCTTGGCGATGCATTCAGCCATGTTGAGCAGCAGCTTCGCGCTCATGGTTTGAAAACTGGTGCCCGGAAAATCGTCGAGCAGGTTCTTCGTGTAGATCGCCACAGTCTTGCGGATGATCGCCGGCTGGAGGTGGTCCCTGACATGATGGATGAGGTCTGCAAGCATACTGTAGGCCAAAGGACGCATCGTCTCATGGACGGTCAGGCCGTCACCCAACAGCGTTCTCTCGTCGAGGAACTCGTCGATCACGGTCACAAAGATGCGCCGGTAGTTGAAGTTGATAATGTGGCGGATAGCCACAATCAGCTCCTTGCGAGCGGCGGCCTTCTCGCGCGGACAGTCGCGCAGGAGTCGGATGATCGTTTTCGGCAGATGAACGAGAAAGTCGGACATTTGCTGCGAGTACTGCCTAAGCGCATATGCCAGGAAGCTCATCATCTTGACCTGCAAAGTGATGTAGTCGCCGTAGCTTGTCTTGTTCTTGATGTTGGGGCTCATGCCGAAGAAATATGTGCCGGTTTTGGCGGCTTCACTGTGTGCCTGTTCCTGTGCCTTGGGATGGACGGAGAGCACAAACTTGATGTGTGGCACAAACGTCTTAATGCTCTGCGGGATGTTCGCGCGGTACATCTGGAAGATCGACACGACGATGATGGGGCATTCCGAGATCACCTTGAACGAGTGCATGCCCTTGAGCAGCTGCCGATCGACCTCCAGTCCGCCAGTCACGCCCGGCGAGCCGGGCTGGTGTTGCGCGAAGCCGACCTGTGAGCTGCCCGGCGTCGATGGTGCAGCACCTGCAGCGCCAGCGGCCACGGAGCCGGTCGTACCACCGTCGGCCGGCTCGTTGTCGAGCTGCTCCTTGACGATGCGCTCGGTCTGCGAGAACAGCTCTTCGATGAGCTTGAGGAACAACTGCGCCTTGGCGGCGCAGACCTTGTGCTGGTGGCGCAGAATGTCGCCAGCGGTCTTAATGCACAGGCATGCATTGTCTTCGTTGTCGGTCTGGATCAGTTTGGAAAGAAGGTCGATCGTCTCCTCGGCGTAGGGCTCAAACGGCTCGACAGGAGTGGGAATGGAGGGGAATCGGTGGATGATCTCGAGCATGCAGTTGCGCAGTTTCTGAGCGTGTCAGCGGGACAAGACGGTACACACACAAGACATAGGGCAGGGGGGCGAGACCGTACCTGCTCGGGCGATTCGCTCTGGAAGCTGGGAGGTCCATTGAGAATGTTGAAGATGATGGGCATCACCTTCTTGAGGAATTGGGCGTAGATCGGTCCTGAGGTGTAGTGGTCCAGGTAGTCGCGCAGGGTCACGGCGGCATCGAGCTTTGCCTTGGCGTCTGCGTCCGGTTAGAAGTGGCCCGCAGGCAAGAGAGCAGGAGAGCAGAGAAAGAAGACGGCAAACGCACCCAAATCTGCCGTGGCGAGCTGCCGCAGGATGCTGTCGATTATGCTTACGGACGCCATGCTGGCGACGGTCGCTCGTCAGGAGGAAGGCGAGTGCGTACCGCCCCGAGCCCCATAGGAGGGCGACCGAACTCTTTGGCACCAACAAGGATCGTGGCTTCTCAGTGGTCGCGCAAAATATGCAGAAATCGGCCAGTCCTCGTGAGAGCCGCTTAGATCGGGCGTCGCCTGAAAACCTTGTAAAAAGAATAGCTAATATTAAACAATACGGTCGTTTGTCTCTGATGTAAAAAATGTCGTCCCAGAGAATGGATAGAAAAGAAGACGGTCCGGGCATAAGATGGTGCTGCACCCTTGGTTTGGTGGTGCTCGACGCGATGGGCAGAAAGCATAGAAGCAGAAAAAGTCGCGACAGCTCTATTTTTTTGCCAGACCTCGCTGCAAAGAGTTGGGAGAGCTGGGCGGACAGTCTGCCAAAACCTTTTGCGCTAGGGGCTGCAAGAACGATTCTCCGGCTCAGCCAGGCTGCTTAGCGGCCACTTTCCCGCCAATCACAGCTCTAGCCACCTGGCATATCCCTGTGGAAAGGGCTCGTCAACCAATCAGCAGATATGCAGCGCATTTCCCAATCAGGACACAACGCAGCCTTTCTATTGCCTGGATCTGCGAGGTTCAGGGGAGATGCACTAATACTTCTCAGCTTTGCGGGTTACGACGTACGCACTTCACTCGTCTTGTAAGCATGTTATTTGATGGGCAGTAGCCGAACTTTTATTGTGCTTCCTTGCTATCACAACTCCGTCAGCCAAGCCTGAAAGGACCGACTGAAAAGCCTTGGTATCTAATGTGTTTTGAATATACAACGAATGTGTTGAAGTGAAATGAAGGTGAGAACGAAATGAGAGAAATCCTGAAGATGAACACATAACCCGTGTGAGAAGAAAAAAAGGACAGAAGAATGAAAGCGTCAACGTGGTGGAAAGGTCATGCCAATAATGATACAATGCAGAACAGAAAAGAGTCGTCGTCAGCTGCTCGCCTAAGCACGGAAGCGCATGGCGAACCGCTTCTTCTTGCCGTCAATGGCAGCCAGGCTCAGTGTGGCGGCCTTGCCGACCGTGCACTCGGTGCCATCAGCCAGTGCCATGACCACCGACCAGGTGCCACTGGCGCACTGCTGGTACGAAGAGCCCATGCAGTTCCAGGTGCCCTCGGGAGAGCAGGCAGAGCCGGCAGTCTGCTCGGTGCCGGAAGTGGCAGACGAGGAGCTGGCGGTGGCAGCGGCGGTGGCAGCGGCGGTGGCAGCGGCGGTGGCAAAGGTCGTAGCAGCGACAGACTTGGTCGTACCTGCAGCAACTGACTTGGTTGTCTCTACAGCAGCTGTTGTCTCTGCAGCAGCTGACTTGGTGCCTGCAGCAGTGGTTGACAGAGACGCAGCCACCACCGGGGTGGAGGTCGTCTTTGCAGCGACGGGGGTACTGGTGGCACCAGCGGCACCATCTGTGGCCACGGTGATGAAGACGGCACCAGTGATGCCGGTATCAGCAGCAGCAGCCGCAGTGGTTGACTTGGTGGCAGCAGCACCACCAGCGATAGTGACACCGAGAGAGAGAGAGAGAGCGGCAGTTGTGGCGGCACCGCCAGTAGACTTGGCAGCAGCGGGACTTGCACCGGCGACCTGGCAGCCAGTGCCGGTGGGCTTGGAGAAGGCCGAGGTGGCGCCGTTGAGCTGGACGACATCGCTGCCCGGGTTGGGGAAGAGCAGATCGGTGCTGTCGACGGTGCCGCAGTCGTCGCCAATGTTGGCAACAAACATGTCCGGCAGGCTGTCGTAGGCGGCCTGGGTGCCCGAAGTGCCGGTCAGGGTGACAGGGGCGCAGTTCATGTACATCTCGCGGTTGCCAATCTTGTTGAACCAGGTCCAGGCGAGCGTGACGCTGCCGGTCGGAATGTCGGTGGGAACGGTAAAGTTGTACGTGTAGGGATCGGCAGCCGAGGCGTCGGCGCCCATGTTGCCGCTCTGGCCCTCGGCCGGGCAGCCACCCTCAATAGACCGGATGACCTTCCAGGTGCTGCTCGCACTCGGGGCGGTGTCGTACGTAAGAGAAATCTGGCAGGAACCGCCGCCGTGAACAGCCTCGCCGGTGAACTTGAGGGCCTGCTCTGAGCCCAGGGCAAACGTGTTGGACGCGCTGCCGGCCATGAGTGAGGTGCCGCTCGTCAGCTGGCAGGGAAAGTCGGACCCGTCCGCCTGGAGAGGGCCGTTGTGCAGAGCCGGTGAGCTGTATGGTGCCGGTGTGTTCATGAGCATGTGTCCGTTAGCCACGGCGGCCAGGACGGTGGCGATGATCGTCTTGGAAAACATTGTTGCTGTGTTGGTTTGTTTTTGCTTGTGGGTTGTGTATGTCGTTCAAAGGATTGTATGTGAGAATGGGGGGATTCGTTCCAGACGAAAAATTGTTTCCTTGTGGGAGTAGTGGTTGTGTTTCTGTTTGTGTATGCAAAAGATTGTGCTGGAGATGCTGAGGCGAGAGTGAACTATTTATCAGGATCCGTGTCAGTAAATCCAGCACAAGCAGCGAACAGGCCTCTTTGCGCAGCTTACGTTGAACAATGATCTTGACCGTGAACAGGGGCAAGAACAAGTCGATTGTCGGTTTGAGTGAACAAAGTTCTCAAAGGAAGGATAACAATGCCCCAGGCAAAAGTTGGATGCGTTTGAAAAGAAGAACAAAAGGGCCAAGCCTGAAGGAGAGTGTCGACGCAAGGTCGGGAGTGCAAAGATAGCAGGAAAGTTGGAGGAAACGAAACACAAGAGGATGGAGAGAAGGGAAGAACAAAATGCTTGGCAAGGAGAGGTTCGACGAGGGCATCTTATACCTCAGACGTCTTACATGAGACGAGGGGGATCCATCGTGCGGGAGCCAAACCAAGGATTGCGATCTACTGCTGCCAGAAAGGGCAGAATCAAGGTCCAGGATCCAGGCGCCTTTGCAAGACAAGGGGGGGCGGATATCCCGAGCCAGGGGACAGACACGACCGAAGAGGGGCAGTGCGCGAGTGACGATATTAGGGCAAACGATTGGCTACTGTCTCGCCAGGGGGTGAGGATGCTGTAGCGTTGTGCACTGCCGGCCAGTCATGCATCTGCATCGCGAACTTTTCCATCGCACTTTGAGGCAGGCCACAGTGGATCTGGCAGGCGAAGGCCCGTAGCTTAGCACTGCGGCTGGACAGGGGCACTTCTGTGGGGAAAACGACAGTCGGCGCTCTGATAGGCTCAGCGTCTGACTCCCTTTCTCATTGGCGTGTTTCAAAAGCGAACAAGACCGCTTCCCTGTCCCGGGCCCTCTCTGCTCTCAAAAGCCTGCCCGGATATCTTCGCCGAGGCCCACAGATCCAGTGGATAAAGGCAGAGACAAGAAAAAACTGCTGGAGGGCGCCCAACCACACGCATGCAGGTACCAGGCCGGACGTTTGATCGTTGGCGTTTTGGTCGGTCCATCCTAGAGCCGAAGCGGTAGGTCGTGGTGGAGTGAAAGGTAAAACGGCCTCTTTATGCTCATGACCTGTAACGTTAGCACGTGCTTTGTAAGCCAACAAGCTCGAATGCTTGACTGTTGGTCATTGCCACTGCACTTTGAGCTGTACAAGTAATATTAAGATGCTATGTAAGATACGGAGTATGTACGGAGTACGGAGTACGGATTCAATCTTGCCTCTCCAGTTTTCTTTACGAGGAGCTCCATACTTCACGCGCACGCAGACGCATGAAAGTCGGCCTTGTGGCGGACGCGCTAGGAAAAGAATTGATGCCATAGCCCCCCTGAATCGGAGGCAGCCGCTCAGGGGTGGGACGTACGAGTAGGCCACCGGCAGCCGCTTGCAGCGCTTGTGCCCTGTAGAGGCGGCGTTTGCCACTAAGCACCAGCCCCTGTCGGCGCTGACGATTGGCTGAACTGCCTGCCTGTCTCGGACAAGCAGCTTCTGCCGTTCCATGTCTCCCAATGCTCTTCCCCATCGATCGACGGCAATCGGGACGACAGACGGCGTAGGATGTTCACTTTGCATGCCCGAATCGGTTGGCCGGCGCCTGTTCACCGTCTAACTGCCGCTTTCACTGGTTCCCTCTTTCTGCTTGTCGGCGGTGAATGGCCGTGGCCGCTGCACGGCGAGGGCGCTTTATTACTTGCTGGCAATGGCAGACACAAACAAGTCTTGCGAGCCAATACCGCTCACAGGGGTGGCCGCGGCCGTCGCTCAATTTCTCGTGGTGGCGCTGGAGGAATGCGATCTCCCTTGCGAACACGACAATACGAGCCTCGCATTCCGTTGATGCGATTCCAAAGGGCAGGCCTACGGAGTAGAGGGATGATCTTATCTTGCAAACGCGCGGCATCTGCGTCAGAAGCCAGGGGGACCTGAGCAGCCAACACGTAGGATAGGATATGGTGTAGAAAAGGGGCGAGGGAAGAAAGAATCTGGCGGCCGGCCGTTTCGCAATCAATCGTCGTGCTTGTCCGTTTGCGGGCATTCGGTCTGCTTCCTGGCGATCTCCTTTCTTCTCGCTCAATATATGTCCCCTTTTGGCATGGGCTCGGGGTAATCCTCAGCTGTAAAAATGGGAGTGGCCAGTAACGAGACAGAAGCACCGCTTGCCGTAGACCAACCCCTTTCAGGGGCATGTGATAAGTCACGTGCTTGGTCTCGATCAAGATCCGATTGGCTGTGGGAAAAGCCACTTGAGAGAAATTGCTGACAAGCGGCATTGCTTTGATCGCACAGCATCAGGTGCAACCAGGGACGAGAAGTCATCTCCGATGTGAATCTGCAAAGGCCAGGACGGAGCTGAGGGTACGTTGTACGGAGTACTGGCTCTATATGTCAGTTGAAGTTTGACTTGGGTAATTAAACACTCATTACGGAGTACTTTAACCGGCCAATTACGTAGCAATGTTTACCTATGTTGTTTTACTTTTTCGAGGTCTACACAGCCGTCCCGCTGTATACCTTTACTTCAGCTTTTATATGGAATAGGACTTGGTACTCTGGTTAGTGCAACACTAGAGAGATTATCTTGGCTGACGTGTGACTATACTGCTGTCTCATCTGCTGTATTTACTTTGTAGACGATTGATTTAAATCTGAAGTCTCCTATACGAATGCGTCAGTTCTCTGCTTGTGAGATTTCCACCAGAAATTTATGCATATAGAGCTGTCACAGCTTTTTTGGCGCTTGGCGAATCCGTCTGATACAGTTTTTACTTCCTTCCAATCGTAATTAAGTAGTATTGTCCTTGTAAGTCGCCTGGCTTATTTCTTCTGTTACAGCTCGGCCCATTGCCTCCTTCAGACTTGGACTTTATGTTGGTAAGCCAAGCCCTCCTCGTCCTCTCTCTGCAGCAGGCATAGGTCTGAAAGCACTTTTAGGTGGCTGCAAACAGCCATTGATGTATTATGCACCCTGCTTTTCCCCCACATTTTCTTTCACATCTCTGCCCTTGCTTTGAAGCTGCAGGCGTCCACGTTCTCATGCATTTTCTCATGCAGTTCACACTGATAATGACTGTTGGCCAATCCAAGGAGGTCATCAGCTGCAGCTCCACAAATGGCTACGCTCTCGATGCTATCTACGACGTAAATCCCGAACATTCGCCCCCAAACGGAGAATCCTTACGATCTTGAAACACAAGCGCAGAGATAACGTGGGCCCACCAATTGTTTCATGCCCGGGCTGCATATGCGAATGCAAGTACGGAGCAGTCTGCTCATTCGTCCTATCTTACGTCCTTCCAGTCCTATTGGTAGAGGCCAAAAAACTGGTCTCACGCTACGTCGTAGAAACGTCTGGTCTGCCGTTTACCCTGTTGCTGTCGTCACCAGTCCATATTGTTTCGAGCATGGAGTTTATTTGATATTAATATAGAAAAATATGCTGATTAAGTAAAAAACATTAGGATTCTTTATCGAAGCCCCCTCTACTCCGTGAAATACAAGAAACAGATTGGAAAACCCTGGGTAGGTTGTCGGTCCAATTTTCACTCAACTTTTCTCTCTCGGCTAACCGTCACTGCTTTTTCTGCTTTTTCTTCTTCCGACACAGCGACAGTTCCAGCATGCTCCACCGCCGCACCTGCAAGATGTAATACGGCGAGATGGCCACAACGACGTTAAATGCCACGTAGCCCCAGACGCTGCCAAAGTTGCGCCACCGCTCGCCCCAGCGGATGCCGGCCGACGAGAGATTCTCGTCCGCGGTCAACACCTAATGGCAGCGACACGCGGCCGTGAGCAAAGGTATGGCTACTCGACCACGATACTGGCCATCATAAAGGCTACCAACGAGAACATTTTTCCAGGGCACTCGCGCACCTCGTAGAGGGCCCGTTGCGTGTCGAAGAACGGCTAAATCTACTGGACGAGACTGGTAAAAATGGTAAAGATGGTGACAATCTAGAGCATGCATTCGGCCGGGTTCTCGACGCCGTCACAGCGCCGCACGCCCATGGCGGCAAATTAGACGGTGCTGTGGCTCTGGGCCAGGAAGAATGGGCGGTCGAACAGCTCGTAGATCGACTTGCTCGCCTGGCAGACGGCCATGGCGTGCATGCTGCCCGCCAGGTCGGCCGCCAGCCTCACTCGTTTTCGCTCACCGCCCGCTCAGCAGTTTCTGTGTGCTTACAGTGAAGCCCATAGCTCGTCACGCTCCTGCTCTGCAATGGTCGTGTAGCAAGGCAAGCTTGCTCAAAAGCATATACATGTCCACGATGCTCTGGCAATGCCGATGGAGCCCGAAGTCGCGCTTTGTCTGACAGCTGACGGCCAAACCTTCAAGGCGTCGTGTACATAAAGTCCAAATTTTGGTCCCAGTTGAAGAGCGGTGCAAATGAAAAGGCGCTGTCGAGGCTCATCCCGGCCGGGTCGAGCTGAGCCATCATGCCGTCGACGTGGGCCTGCAGCTGGGCCTCGGCAGCGTCCTGGTCCCGGTCAAGCGTCGGATCCACTGCTTGTTGGCTGTTGATGTTCGCCGTGGCGCCGACGTCGTTGCTACCTTCGCCCTCCCCACCTCGACCCTCCATGGCGGCCTGCTTCAGCAGCACGTTTTCGTTCACCTTGAGCAGCAGCGTCATCGACTTGCGGGCCGACACGCTAAAGTATGCCAGCTGCTGCAGCACCGACTGACATCGGCCCCACAGCTCTGCGATTTCGTCCCGGTCCAGCATCTGCCACAAGTCCGGACACAGGCGCAGCACAATCAGAACCAGCCCGGCCGTGCACGTGTACAAGACATTCCACCACCACGCGTCCGTCTGGTCCGTTAGGTACGTGCGGTGCACCAGCAGGATCAACCGCTTCGCCGCCTCCACGCACGCCTTGGCACACTCCAGCGCAAACGCGTAGTGCAGCCCGTCACGTGACAGCGGCGTGTAGCCTGCCGCCGCTCTGTGCTCATGTCGGCTCTCGCTGCTGCCGTGCTGTGCCGTGCCCTCGGGCGCCACTAGCTGCGTCAGGATGGGGCGGTGCATGATGAGCTGCATGTAGACGAACCTAGGCCGTCAAAAAGACAATCAGCACAACTCTTTTCGGCAGCACGCGTCCGCATACTCGTACACGGGACCTAACCTGGCGTGTAGCACGTTTTTCTGCATCTCCAACACGTGCAGGTCTTCTGCTGAAACATTGTCGGGCGTTTCTGGTGTGACCCATGACAAATACGGGGCGACCGACTGCTCGAAGCCGGTCAGCTGGTCCTGCAGCTCGACGATCGTGTCCAGACTGTGGTGGATGTGCAGCTGTCCAGTGGTCGAGGATCCGCTGGCATTGTTGTCGTGTGTCATCCACGGCTCGTAGATCTTTTGCAGGATGCCCTCGAGGATGACGCTGAGCCGCACGCTCTCCCGGAAGAAGAGGAAGCGCAACTGCTCCGACCTGGTCTCGAGCGCCGGGGACCCGACGCTTGGGTACATACTGAACGTGCTGTGCGGGATCGATAGGCTGGAAGACAAGGTTGGCCGGCCAAACGTCATGCCCACAAGACTGCTTAGTCAGCACGCAAACACAACCGTCAGTAGAAGGATCACCTACACATCCATGATAACGCAGCCGTGCCACGTCCGGAGTCGCATCTCCTTTTCTCGCGCACTGCGTGGTCGTCGACCAGCCTCACTGTGCAGTCCCAGGCCCTGGGCCACGCGGCAGGCCATGCCGACAGCATTCCAGCAGCGGTTGGGAAAGGGGGTGCCTTGCAGGACCAGGGCGATGATTAGGAGCGACTGCACCACGCCCACGTTGTTCTCGTCGATAAAGTCGAGGCCGACAAAGGCCTTGGACCGGTTAAAGAGCACCTCGCACGACGCCGTCTTCTCGGCCTCGGGCAGGTCTGAAAAACAGCAGCCCAGCGTGAAGATGGCGTTGAGTGCACAGTGGAACGGGATCGAGCTGGCGCCGGCGTCGCTGTCTCCCAGTCCACAGCCGTCAAACTTGAGCGGCTTCGAGGCGCTGGCGTTGGTGGAAGCAGTGGTAGCACCGGTAGCCGCGGTGGCATGCCCAGAAGCACTGCCACTACCACTGCTACTGCTGCCGTGGCCATCCTCGCCCGGTGCGCTCCATAGGCTGCGATATGTGTGCTCAAAGGCGACACGGTCAAAGAAAGGGTACAGATAGAAGATGCGCTCGAAGTACCGCTGCACAAAGTGGTCGGCTAGCGCCCGTGGCGGCAGGGCGAACTTGTCGACGGGGGCGAAGCGCAGCAAGGACGACGAAGAGGCGGTGCCAAGCAGCGGAGGAGCAGGTGGGGGGAGCGTCTGGTTTTGCTGATACTGCTGGTACGGCTGTGTAAAGTCGTCGAGGTTGTGCGGAGGACTGTCGAGCTGCTTGCGGCGACGCATGGAGTTGGCGGCCTCCTTGAGGAAGGAGGCCGCGGAGGAGAGACCGTAAAAGTCGTCACCAGGACGCGCAGAACCGTCGAGGTCGTCCTCCTCGAGCACCGTTCCCATGCCCGAGACACCCCGAGGGGGATCGGTAGATTCGGGATCAGGCGTGGATTTAGATGTGGCCGATGCAGCAGTCGTCTGGTGTTCTGGAGGACGGTCCGCGAGGCCGAGGATGGGCTCGGTCGGACTGCGGACCAGCGAGGCGGATGGCGGTGCCGGCTGAAAGGCGCTCGGATCTGATCCGTGACCTTCGATGGCCGAGATGTCGACTCCATTGGCAGCACAAGCTTGCTCGAGTCTGCGGATGCGCTCGTGAAGAGCCCTCATGTAACTGTGGGGGGGGGGGAACGGTAAGCCGGGGCATGTTTCATCCTTCTTCCTCCGTCTTTGCACATCGCTCGCACTAACTCACTCTTCACTGCAAGCCGTGCGTGCATTTCCGACCTTGTAGATGCACTGCTCCAGTCCCAGCGAGCGGTGTTCGCAGGTGGAGCAGATGGGCTTGCGACCGTCGCAGCGGGCTTTGCGCTCGCGACAGGGCTCGCAGGCGAGCGTGATCTTGCGGCGTCGCTGCCGCTCACGAGCCGGTTCCGAGGGAGCCATTGTACGGACGGTCGAGGAGCAGACTTGGTTGCGCTGGATGTTTGTCCAAACGACGACAAATCAACAAACGAGGCAGGAGGTCGTCCTGTAGTAGTATTTCTGGGTCAGACTTGGTTGGTCAGCCGTTAAATCACGTCGCACCCCCGCATTTCTGACCGCGCTAATTATTTCGAGGCAGAGTGACGTCGACCGAGGGCGACCAACTCAGGAACGGCACGGTAAATATTAGTAATGTTTTTTGACAGGCCATCAATAGGCTAGCTAGGAATACGGGATGGTACAGGATTGGTCAGTCCATCATGCCCACGGACATACTCAGATACACTGAGAGACACAAACACCCAAAACAGTCGCGGTTCTTTCACTCTCCGGTAAAGGTGTAGTCAGCCCGGGTCCAAGAGTGCATCTTTTCGCGACGGAACTCGTCAAAGTCCCATTCGCGCCGCTCGAGGCGGGCAGCGTTCTTGAAGACGTAGACCTGGGCGGTTACGGGTGCATCCTGGCCGTCGACCTGAACCTGCACGGACACGCGGTCGTACTCGCTGCCCTCAAAAACGTCGAGATGGTGGATGTTGGCCGCAGTGAGCCCGGCTACCAGCATACCACGCACTGAGCTGCTGCTGTCGGCCACGATGGCGGGGTAGTCCTGGTTGAGGACACGGTGACGGCAGAAGCCTCGGAGCACGGCCGGCTGGAAGGTGTGCTCACGGATGAGTGCAGCCGGTGGTGGATTGGATCGATAGCAGACAATGAAGAAGACCTCAGGGGCCATCTGAGATGTGGTGAGCGTGGTGGCCTGGTGGCAACGGCCACAGCTCAGGCTGTCACCGAGGGACAGGTACTCACCAGTGTACCTGCATATGCGTTAGCCAAGAAGGACGAGAAGACACAAAATATGAGCATTGGCTCATCCCTACCATAAAAGAAGCCATACGAGGTGGCGGCGTCCTCGACGGGCGCAACTGCTGACGATGCGGCGGCCATGATCGAAGGAGAGACGATCGGTGCGAAGCTGTCTATGGGGACGGCTTGATGGACAGAGACCGCATTGAACACAGCTGCGGACCGCAGAGAGAAAACCAGCCGTTGTCGGCGACGACAACAATAGCAATGAGAGTCATAACGCGATAAGCGTTGATAAGCAGTCTAGCCAATGGACGAGCATGGATTTTTGCTATTAAATCATGAATAATAAAAATATAATCCTTAGGTCAGTCCCTTTTTCCTCTTTTTCGCATCGCTTGTTTTGCCCGTTTTTGGCATTTTTGGGCGATGAAGGACCCGCCACGCTCGCGCACCCCGACGCAGCAGCAGCGTTTTCGTCGAGAAGACCGACTGTGATGGCACCCTCGGAGGATCTGGTCGACGAGGTCGAGGCCATTAACTCCATCTATGGAGAGGGCACGCTCGTGCTGGACGACGATGATGTGGCCGTGTTGGCGCTGCCGTCGTCGGCGGCCGACGTTGCGGATGCAGACGACGCGGGGGCTGCCAGCCGGCGGCTAAGCCTGCGACTCCGCTTCCCACCGGGATACCCGGTCAGCACAGATCCGCCGTCGGTGCTGGGCGTGCAGAGTGTCGGGGAAGACGGCCACCGGCAGCGGCCGGGAGCAGCAGCACGAGACGCTGACCTGTTCCGGGCAGCCATGGATGCTACTTTTCAGCAAGGCCAGGTCTGTCTTTTTGACGCGGTCGAAGAGTTCATGCGGTGGAAGGCCGAGGAGGCCGAGGCCGAGGCCGAAGCCGTGGCCAAGAACGAGAGGTTGGCCGGCTTCGACTACGGAGACGACGACGACGACAATGACTGCGAGGGCCGTCCACGACAGAGGCCACCGACGCCAGAGCTGCCGCCCGAGATGCTGGACCCGCCCCCGCCCTGGATCGTGTCGGAACGCATGGAGGAGCTCAAGTCCGTCTTCGTGGCGCGTTGTGCCCCCGTGTCGTCGCCCGCTCAGGCTGCCGCCTATCTACAGCACTTGCTGGCCACCGATCGGCGCGTCCGCACAGCTGCCCACAATATGACCGCCTGGCGCATTCGTGGGATCCCATCGAGCACCAACACCACTGCTGCTGCCATCACCTTCCAGGACTGCGATGATGACGGCGAGACCGCCGCCGGTGGCCGTCTGCTGCACCTGATGCAGCTCATGGACATCTGGAACGTCATGGTCGTCGTCACGCGCTGGTGGGGCGGCCACAAGTTGGGCCCGCACCGCTTCGCCCTCATCAACCAGGCTGCTCGCGACGCCTTTGTGCGCGCTGGACTGGTGCCCGAACCGACGTCCAAGAAGAAGGGCCACGGGAAGTGAAGGGCGGAATGCGAGCTGAAGAGTTGACGAGCTTGTAGAGCACGAACACAAACACGGGGGTCAGTTACACGTGGACATGCCTTGATTCATTCCAGGGATTCTTGTCTGTGTCACGTGTGCACAGCTTTTGGGTTTCGTTCCGTCGATATCCCATGCTTTCAGGGCGCATACGGGCTTCCAATCGTCTCTGCTCTTTTTTCCATTAGCCGACACCAGGAAACAGTGAAGAGATACGGTGTACTACCCTGCCTTTCAATGGCTCAGATACTTTCAGCCCAACCATATCACACTCTCTTGCATTAGAGAGAGTCTTACCGGATGCACTGCATGGCGTACATAAAACGGTGTTTCATATCAAAGCACATTTAGTACAGCCGGAAAAATAGACGTCAAGTGCTCGTGCATTGTCTGTGTGCTTGTACGGAGTACCAGCGTGGAAAACAATTCTGCGTAATGCAAGCCATGCCTCCAAATGGAGAAATGTGCCACGCTGTTTTAACTCGGCTCCTTCGTCGGCTCTTCTTCATTCACTACACCCCGGTCTTCAGTCTGCTTTTTGCAAACGCCCTTCATCAACTCTCCTTCGCTCTATTATTCCTTTAAAACAATCGCGCCGTCGAAAATACTGGTCTTTCTTCAATACCCATCACCAGCCAGCTTGCACCTCAGTCTCAACCCAAAGTGAGAAACAAAGTCAGAAATCAGAGAACATAGAAACCGATCTAATAAAAAGATATCAGAAAAGAAAGAAAAACGCTATGGGGTCCATGTACTGGACAGCGGAGGAGTCCCGTTACCTCAAGGCTATCTTTAAGTGGCAGGACCGTCTTCAGGGAAAATTGACTGACAGAGGCTGCGAAAAGACTGCGGCTGCTGCCCACAAGGCCATCACCGGTGAATTCCGCGTGCTTCTCATAGGCCCCAAGGGTGTCGGCAAGACAGCGCTGGTGACACGGGTGCGTACCCTGATGCTTTTCAGCGGATAATCACACGAAAGAGTGTGTCTGTACTAACCTGCTAGTTTTGTGACGACTCCTTCCGTGGCGAGGCTGCCCCTCCAGACTCTCGGTTCGAGCATGGAGGCCGACGGACTCTCGAAATCGACGGCAAGACCTACACCATGGGCATTCTAGAGATGCCCTCGCAGCATTTAGTGCTGGAAGCCGCGGACAGAAAAAACAGAACAAGACTGAAGAAAAAGGAGGGAGCAAATTTGGCGCCGGCTGCCGCCTCCTCTGCGAACTTGATGCTTGAGCAGGCGCTCGCCATCACCGAGGCTGCCGTTGTGGTGTACGATGTGGGCGACGCCGCCTCGTTTCTCAAGGCCTGGAGCCTGTATGAGCTGCTGCAGTGGCAGACCGGCGAAGCATCACAGCCGCAACCGCAGACATCACGGAAAAAGACGCGACATCGAGGGCGGAAGACCGAAGCAGCACATACTGCTTCAGGACTTGTCCTCCAGTCTCTACACTCGCAGCGGCGCCGTCCATTCTCCTTATTGCTGGTGGGCAGTAAGAGTGATGCCGACGACGGCGAGCGGTGTGTGGCCTGGGATGGCCGCTTTCTTGAGGCCAGCGCTAAGACTGGCGATAATGTCTCGGAACTGTTTGTGCGCACTGGCCGTGAGATTTTGCGGCAAAGACAGCTGTTTAGACAAGATGCAGGCAATTCGACGTCAGCAGCCGCAAAACCGCCGTTATCAGAACACAAAGAATCTACCGCCCTGCTTCGTATACAGAGCCAGGCCTCATCGAAAAAACCCGGCTATTTTCTTGCCGTCTTCCGAGCACTTGGGTTTTCTTTTACGCGCCGGTCACTGTCGGCAGATAGACCATACGTCACTTGACGGACCCTCACCCGTGGCTTGCATATCTGTGTTTTGTATTTACTCCACCACAACGTCATTTCCAAATCGCAGGGTCTTTTATTTCTCATTTTTCTCATTGAATAGATAGTTGTGACTAATATGCTTTGCCATAATCGATACTACATAAAAAATTGAACGGTCATAATGACCACCAGCCCCAAGGCTGCCGGAGACAAGGCTACGGAATGGATAGCACCCGACGTTCTTGCTTTCCTACAACACGTCGTATTGTATGTGACACGGTTCATTCTGGCGGCCACCTGAAAGACAGACCCAGGCGGATGACCGTGGTTGTAGTAGTCCACATTGAGCACTGTTGGTGGCCGCGTCCACTCTTCGCGACATTTCTCGGCCGTCTCGCCCAGGCTGTTTCTCCCAGTGGCAGCATTGGTTTGGTTGGCAATGGAAACAGCCGGGATCAGAACAGACTGCCCCGCTAATGAGACTTCGATGTTGATGTTGTGATTCAAGAGGTATAGCATGTTGCTGGCTTGCTCATCGGACAGGTTGGGCGGTCGTTGTGTAGAGCACGGTATGCCCGAGTTGATAAGCGGGTCAAAGGGCGTCTCCCACATGTAGCTGAACTCATCCAGCAGCCAGGGATAGACAGTCTCGTCGGCTTTGTAGTCCAGCATCATTACCACACGTTGTCTGCTGTCAATCATCTTTCCCAGAGTCGGCCAGTCTTGCAGATTCACTGGCGGGTTTGACGGGGCGTATGCGAAATCAACCAGCCCAGTGGACTCAATGTACGGTGCATACATTTCGGGCCTCGCGTAGTTTCCGTTTCCTAACAGGATCGTGACCACGTCACGAGGATGGCGCTCCACCCAGTCCTTGACCTGGCCAAGCCAGTCTGTGATGGGGCCAGCATCGAGAAGATCACAGGACGTATGGCAGAAATGCGGCTCCAAGTCGTTTCGCGCCCAGTGCATCTGAGCCTGCAGGAAACGGACTCCGTCATCAAGCTGGTCGTGCACAGAAAGCTCCTGGTTGGCAGCCAGACTGTTGCGCTGTACAAAAGCTGAATTGTGTGTGCCCACCATGGTGACGTCGCCGTATCGGCGCGTGCAGAGCTCGGCATAGCCGTTGCAGACTGGCAGATCCTCGGTCTCATCATCGCTTTCATCCTCTGTTGAAAGTGTTTTCATGGCCTCAAGTTCATCGATATCGATCGAGCGTTTTATCTTTACTCTTCGAGCGCTTCCACCATGTCCACGGATAGGGTTCTTAACAGATGGTGTAGCTACAACGTCGGAGGCTGATTGCCAGGCTTCGGATAGTGTAGCATGGCTCCAAGTCAATTTTCCAAGGCATAAGGTGGCCGTGTAGGCAGAAACGAAGAGTAATTGAGGAAGGTAAGTTAAGATATACATTTTATTGAGGACATGTGCCGTAAGAATACTGAGTTTTGGAACTGATTTCCTTTATGAACTTTTCAAGAAGAGGACTTGAGATATGAATGTTTAAAGTTGTGTCTGAGAATACCTTCGACCCATTTACTCTACTTTCCTTAGTGGAAGGTGCCTCAGCAACTAGGATTTCAGCAGTAGGAAGGAACCAAGCATGGGAAGGAGCGAAGGAAGCCAGCCAGTACAGATTTCCCCTCGATTTATGGTGGAGTTTTAGGCCACCTACACCGCTCAACGTAAGCCTACTGTCGCTCAAGACTTATTCAAGACAGATCGAAATTGGGTCGAGAAACTTGCGCCAGGAAACTCGAGATGAGCCTGTACGAAGATGTCAACAATGGCATCAGTTCCCCAGACCCACAAAAACATTTCGCAATACCGCCGCTTTAACTCTTTGAACAAAAAGAAATAGTAATGTTCAGCCAGGAGAGAAGGCGCCAAACGTATTCAGCATGCAGGAGCGAGTGTGTGAGAAATGAAACGATGACTAATTTTGAAGCGACACTGTCAACGGTTTCACTCTGCAGGAACCATCGGCAGTCGTTCCTGTCCAGGTTGCCCGTTTTAACGTCAACAAACTGCTGAGCAGTACACGATGTTTCCTGGCAGCGTCACTATCTATCGCGTATCTTGCCAACATTTCTTGTCACTAGAAGTCATCCCTCGAGCACAGCATGGCCGCGTCTCCCTGGATCCGATGTCTCTTCTACCGAGTATAATTAACCTCAGTGAAAATTACGCATATTAGCAGGAATTACCTATAGCGCTCTGCAACTATGCCCTTTGGCATGGACATTGAAAGTTTGCCTAATAAGGATCGTCAAATAACACAAATCACGAGATACACGCCCGCTTCTGATATTGGTAGCCATGATCAAGCAGGAGACACAGAGTCTGACACTACCGACCGCGTTTTCGAGTATGGCTACTCGAGAAGCAGACAGCCTTCTATCTTACAGACCGAACTGGGAAGTGTCTACAGTCAGAGCACTGTCAGCGTGCATACGCAGTCAGAAATCGGGCTTGCTGATCAATTGAACAATGGGCAAAATGCCGAAGCAACGGAAACGGTGCCTACAAGGGCTGATATATTGCGTTCAACGAGGCTGCGCCACAGCATTGTTGCCGCAACTTGTTTGCTGTATCTGCTGTCTACGGCCTTAAATATCACGGTACGTCTGCGGATCCTGAGCAGCAGATGATGGCAATTGACTGTGTTTAGGTCCAGTTGGGAAGCACAAGAAGGGCGCCGGCCTTCAGCAATATCTATTTATTTCAGCTCGACTTATCCTCCCTCATACCGTCAACAAAGGACAAGACGAGCCTCATTAACTCCACTGCTCGCAGCATTGGCCTACACGATTTTTACCGAGTGGGGCTTTGGAGCTTTTGCAAAGGCTATTTTGACACCGGCGTCGCCAGCTGTGCCCGTCCACGGATCTTCTTCTGGTTTAACCCCCAGCAAGTGTTTCTGGATGAGCTTCTCCAGAGCTCCAAAATCATTCTTCCGTCAACGGCAGTAGCAATGCTAAAGGCTCTTCGTATCACGTCCAAAGTCATGTTCGGCACCCTCTTTGTCGGAGCCATCCTCGACTGCATATTGCTTCTTGCAACGCCCATCGTACTCTTTTCTCGATGGTGGAGTCTGCCCGTGTCCATCATCGCGGCCATGTCAACGTTGTCAAACTTCATGGGTGCGTCCATCGCCACAGGAATTTCCGTCGCAATCAAGGTCGGCCTTTCCTTTCAGAAAGAGGTCAATATTGGGAATCGGATCGGCGTGACTGCGATTGTGTTCATGTGGGTGTCGGCCGGGATAAGCCTTGCCGCACTCCTGTTGCAGAGTTTCATGGGCTATCGAGTTGCTTCTTCCATCCGAGATGTCAAAATCGGCCGCGCGCCACTGATCCACGAAAAGACGCCGGATGACAGGGACAGTGACACAAAATTTCGGGCCACTCGCCGATGGATGGGACTTCTGTGTTGTCGTGAAGAAGGTAGTACGACGGAGAAAAGCACCCTGGGAAACACTTTGGGCACTGCCCTGAGTACAACGTGGAAGTGCATAAATGATGCCTTGCACAGATTATGTCATATATTTCAATAGCAATTGAAAGTACCAGTCAAACCCTTTTGAGCATTTACTCCTCGTCTTACGTACGCATGTCCACCTACCGACCGATAACTTTGTACTCGGCCCAGCGCGCAGGTACGTATACGACAAAGGAGAAAGCCAAAGCAAGCTGATTTCCAATATCGCCGCCGTCGTCGCCAATTAGACGTGCAAGTACGCCGACGTACCACGACTCGCTCATACCGACAACGCAACCAGCGATTCCAGCAGCAAAAGCGAGACCTCCAGCATAGCCAACGGGCATAAGACTGGGACTGTTCCAGGCCTCGAGGTTGTACTCGTCAAAGCCGCGGGTGAAGCCATGTCGGAAGAAGTAGTGCTCGACGAAAAGGATGACAAAGAAGGAGGTGTTCCAATAGCCAAGCAGAGACAAAAAGTTCTGCAAAAAGGTGAGCAGCTTGTTGCGGCCAACCAGAGAAAGCAGAATGACAGCGGCAAACATGATGGTGGTCCAGACGAAGCGGGGAACGGCACCCAAGGGGCGGGCAAACTGCTGGACAGACAGGCCGGCGCTGTAGAGGGCGACGGCGTTCATGGCGATGCCAGAGAGAGCCAGCAGGACGAGCAGGAACTTGGCGAAGCCGACGGGGTGAATCATGGTGGCGATAAGGAAGCCGACGCTGTGATCGTAGGCATCCGACCAGTCCTGGTGGTGGGCAAGGGCAGAGCCGACAGTGGCACCGAGGCACATGCCGAAACAGGTCGGCAGACCTTGGAGGGTTAGTTTCTGTTTTAAGAGGTCGTTGATGTGCTGGAAAGAGGACAAGAGATTTAGAAAATAAGAAAGGCTTACAAATGCCGGCAGTGGTCATAAGGAAGACCTTGAGCTTGGAAGTATTGACCGGGTACTCGACATAGTAGTCGGCCACGATGGAGCACCAAGAGGCAGAGGAGCCGTAAATGGCGGCGAAGAGGCTGAGGGCGTTGCCAGAAAGGGTGGCTCCGGTGAGCAGGGTGGGAGTGACGGAGTCGCCAGAGCCGCCGACCTCGCCGTACATGACGATGAAGACGATGAAGAGGACGATGCCGGCAAACTTCTCGTAGGTGAAGACGGCACGCAGGCCGACAAAGGAGATTGCGAAGCCGATGACAGCAGCAATGACGACGCCGAGGGACGAGCTGACATGGCCGTCGGACACGGCAGAGAGGGCGACACCACCGGTGATGCAGCCGACGGAGGACCAACCGACCTGCTCGACGACGTTGAGGGCAGCAACGACCTTGGAGGGCCACCAGCCGAGCGAGTAGCGTGAGATGGAGACTTGACGCAGGCCCATGCCGGGACCCATGGTGGCGCACCAGCCGGTGATGGCGCTGCCGATGAGGGTGGCGAAGATGATGATAGTGACGGAACGGCCGAGGTCGAGGCCAAGCTCCCAGCCGAGGAAGCCAGAGGTGAAGCAGCTGAGGTTCATCGTGGTGCTCATCCAGAGCATGAACATGACGATCTGGTTGGACCAGCGGGCGTACTTGGGGTCGCGATCCTCAGGCCGGCGACGTGCAATGCCCTCGGCCTCGACACCGAGCAGGCGGTCGAGCCATGCCTCATAGGAGCGCAAGCGGGCGAGAAAGAGGGTGAAGCAATTTCTCGGTGCGGAAGCCTCGCCGTAGACATCGTTATCGGCCGAGCTCCGGTGGCTGGTGCCAGCAAGGTCTGCGGCGACGATGGCGTCAAAGCCGATCTTCTTCTCTTCCTCAACCGAGTCGCTCATCGTGGCTGGCGGGCTGGTGGATGAGGGGGAGATGTGGCTGAGGAGTGGGAAGAGAAAACAGATACTTGGAGGGACAGAAGAGGCGAAAGAAGGAGTGGACGGGGCCGGTGACAGGGTAAAAGACAGAGAGCAGAGCAGGAAAAAAAAGGCCGGACCGGTAGCTTAGTCGGTGGGACGGCGGCGAGCTTTAAGCGGTTAGAAAGGGCGCGGGAGCCAGCCAGAAGAGGCAAAAAGACATACGACAGCAGCAAGGGAAAACTGGCGAGTAACGTGTGGTCCCCCGATAAAGCAGCTCCTGTTCGAAAGACCGTGCGAGGCTGGTGTTAGGACGCTATGCAGACGGACGTATCGTAGTCAGCGATCCCAGCCACCACGACTGGAACTTGTCTGGAACAGGAGATAGACACGAGGTCGATCGGCGCTGTCAAGAAGGACTGCTTAATTATTACGTTTCTGATGCTGCCTTTTTCCTCACTTCCCCCCCACTCGAGATGGCGAGAAAATGGGGCAGGCGCAAAAGTGTGTGAAGGATTTTTGCTCCACGAGCTGCCCAAAGAGGAAGTTGCTTGAGAAGACCCATTAAAAAGCTTATCTACTTGGCGGCGATCGAGCCTGACCTTTCCAACGTTGCTTGGCTTTGTCAGACAGCCGTGGTAAAGGCTGACGACTATTAATAGCGGACATCGATGTCGATACGCAGCTATCTCATGGATGGAGGAGGGAAGATAGGCAAAGCGACGTCATTATCGATTATAGCTTGTTGCTGGGGAGCTGTGGGCGGAGGCGGCCGACCGGAGCGTCGATCTTGCATCAAAGCGGTCTTTCCCTGACAAATGGCAAATGCACGTGCGGTGACACAACCCAGATCGCAGTTTCCACGACGAAAGATCGAGATAAACTGCATCTACAGAGTAGACAAGATGGCCTCACATGCAGCAGAAGGTTACTCGACGGGTGGCGAGGCGGTCAGATACGGAACCTGAACGTCCCTTGATGCCGCCGAACAATTTGCTATCACATAACCAAAACCTGTTACCAAGTCTCTCTGCGCAGTATACCAGTCTGTATGTCAGTCCCTGCACCAGTCTATGCCAGCGTGAACGCGGGGTGAAAGTATTAGTCAGAAACAGCCCGCTTCTAAAGGTCAAGATCGCAAATTCTCGATTGCTGCGACTGGCTTACGTGACTTGAATTGGCGGTGTTGATCGGCAGAATCTCGATGTCGTGTAAAAGTGGTACAGGCAGTACTGGCACAGGATACGCAGGCCATGTAAGAGGCAGCGCCAGAGGCTTAGATATACTCACTAGTCGCAGCGCACGCAGAGGTGGCTAGTCCTTTCTGTTCGTATTTAGTGTTTTGTGTTTTTAACTTTGAATTTATCACGACTTGCACGACGATTTTGAAATTCTGCCGCTGTCTGACCGCCGAATAAGTCACGTGGGTCCGCCGCTTTAGCAATTCCCACGATACGAACATGAGACCACGCAACCCAGGCTCACCCGCACCTGTATCGAAATAAACTCTCACCCGACAAATGCAGTCTGATAAACGTCTTCACCATGCCGGACAACGCCTATCCACCGATCGTGTTTTACCACTATTCCTACTCGCCCTATGCGAGGCGGATTGAGTGGTATTTGCTCCTCCGGGGGCTATCGTACAGTGAATGCGTGAGTTGTCTTTTTTTGCTATTGATGCTACAGACCTGACGATCTCTCCAAGCTCCAACCTCTCATCATGCCGCGGCCCGACCTTGGCCGCCTGGGTGTCCACTACCGCCGCATCCCAGTGCTGGCCATCGGACGAGACATATACGTGGACACGCCCCTGATGTTGCGCAAGCTGGAGCAGTTGTACCCGTCGGCGCCCCGGCTGGGGATGTCATCGTCGGATAATCCTGAGGCGCGGGCTATCGAGCAGCTGCTGGAACTGCTGACCCTTGACAGCGGCGTGCTCCTGAAAGCATCCAAGCTGATCCCGGAAGAGACTTCGCCGCTGCGTGACCCGGCCTTCCTGCGGGATCGGATGGACTTCATCGGGAATTCGCCGATGATATTTTCTGGTGGGGGTGATAGACAGGCCGGAGGACAGAGTGCCGAGGCTGCTGCTGCTGCCACGGCGCTGCGCCGTGCAGAGGCCCTCGTCCAGCTCCGCCATGGGGCTGCCATACTTGAGTCTACCCTGCTGGCCGATGGCCGTGACTGGATCCTCGGCACGCCGAAGCCGTCGCTCGCTGACATCGATGCGGTCTGGCCGTTACACTGGCTGGCCAACATACCGGGTGCGTTTCTGCATGGCGGTGGAGACGGCGAGGAAACGCCCGCCCTGTCGCCGGTGCAGTTCCCTCGTCTCTTTGCCTGGATCGAACGCTTCAGCAACACGATGCTTGCAGCCCGCAACGCCCTGCCGCAGAAGCCGCAGGTTCTTGACGGCCGGCAGGCGGCAGCAGCTGTGCTGGCAGCTCCGTTTGCAGAAGACATTGCGGTGGCTACGTCGGTTGATGCTGGCGATCCCGTAGCACAGGCAGCTGGCCTGAGAGAAGGCGTGCGCGTCGTGATACAACCCACAGACACGGGAATGTCTGGGCAGGACGTGGGTCGGCTGCTGAAGCTTACGGCAGACGAGGTGGTGCTTGAGTTGGACCCGGTGGAGTCGGCCTCCAACGGCCAAACGGTCCGCCTGCACGCTCCGCGACACAATTTTGTCGTGCGTCCGTGGAAAGAAGAAGACAACGGTGGTGCACACCTGTGAAACGGGTCACTTCTGTGACCGTGGGCTCGGCCTTTATGAACCAAAAAATGCAGAAGCTCGTGCAATATCGCTCGTCCATGTCATGTGCAGTCCATCGTTTCAGCCTAGCAATGCCTACCTCCCTTGACACGTGGGCTCGTGCCAGCCGACAGTCCAGCGCAGAGGGCCGACGATAACGACAAGCAGGCCGAGACCAGTGGAAACGGTGGTGGCGCCGTAGACATAGGCGTGGCGCCGACGCAGGCCGTTCAGTTCGGCCATCCAGGTGCTGACGGTGGTGAGACAGCCACAGAAGCCGTCGAGGACGCCTTGGAGCAGCTGACAGGCGGTGATGCTGGTGGCGATTCCAGTGGACGGCTGGGCGTGCTGCAGGTCCCAGGCCATGGCGAGGATGGCGGTGCCGATGGCGTTGGCGGCAAAGGTGCCGAGGGGGAAGGCAGCGAAGATGCCGTTGAGCCGCAGGCCAAGGCCGAAGCGCAGTAGGGTTCCAAGCGGGGCGAAGACGAGGGCGAAGACGGCGTCACCACGCCAGCTGCCGAAGCCGGTGCCATAAGGAGGGAAGATGGCCATGAGGACAGCGCCCAGCCAACAGCCGAAGCCGAGAAAGACGGCGGAGGCATTGAGGCCGAGCCGGAAGTGGCGCGACCAGGCCGAGGACGAGTGTGGCGATGGAGGAGGCGGCAAGGGCCACCAGCGGGCGACAAAAACGGCTAGATGCGCACCCATCTTGAGGGCCGAGGCACACATGGCGATGGTCAGCAGTAGGACGGCGAGCAGAGCCATTATGTCGTCGCCGACGCCCCGAGAGACGGGCGAGGACGAGCCGCCCTCATTTTGGTGGTAGCGTGGTGCCTTCAGCGAATTGGCCATGGCCTCGAAGGCGTCTAGCATAAAGGTCGAAAAGGACGTGAAGGAACCGCAAAAGCCGGTGGCTAGGCCGATATACAGCGGCACTGGAGGGAGTTTCCGTGGTGGCGATGGCGATGGCGATGGCGATGGCGATGGCGATGGTGTTGGTGATGAAGCCGAAGGAGACGACAATGCAGCTGCAGCGACATTGCGACTGTCGGGAGTACTTTCCACAGCCAAGTGCCGATTGATGGCGGGCGCCAGCTCAGCCAAGAAGCCCATCACGGCAGTGCCGGCAAAGTTGGACCAGAGCACGCCAAAGGTGACTGGTGCACCAGCATAATTGGTCAGCGCGTCGAGGCCAAGACGGGCCAGCGTGCCGAGCAGCGAGAAGAAGACGAGGTGGCCGACAGTGTACAGCTCGGTGCGAGGAGCGTGGACTCTGGCGTGCTTTGACTCTGGCTTCCGACACCGGCGCCGCTCGTCCTCAACGTCCTCTTCGATGCTGCGGTGCCGGTATGTGGCCGCCTCGTCCGGGTTCTCGACCGGAGGCGGGCTGCGGACCTCATTGAGATCTTCAAAGCGGTCGGGTGTGTAGCCCTCATAATGGGGCCCAGAATGGCGGCTTGACCCATCGCGGGCAGCTTGCTGGAGCTCCATCTCAGCATGTCCGCCCTGTGGCCAAAGAAGAGAGAGCGGCCTGCAATCACAAATATGCTATGACGGGAGCCATCCCTGTTTTCATCATCCTGTAGCAGAGGACATAAATTTCGGGCCCAGTTAGAAGTACTTGGATGTGGCCGGTTTTGCCGCCTAGCGTACAAGCTGTCGGATAATACGGAATTTGCGGTGAATGAATGGAAAAGGTGCTATCCGCACTACTCGTACTTCGTATTACTCCGTACGGAGTACTTCCACCGCCTTGTACCCCGCTATAATCAAACCAACCACGCATGATTTCAGGAAACAAGCTACCGTGCGGTTTTTAAGGAGCTTTATTCTTAACCTACAGACTGTCCATGAAAGATACCCAACGATGGGAATTTATAGCCTAAGAGCTCCTTAGGCCCCTTTGACAGAGAGATTTCGAAGACGTATAGTTGTGCTAGAAAGCATAGTAAAGTTGTCAATAAGAGGTTAAAGAAGTACTTCCGTAAGATGGCTGTTAATGGGCAGAATACGGGCGGTATGCTAATAAAAGAGTAACGTGAGACACGAAATGCGCCCCGCTATTGTGGTAAATAGGAGATCAATTGGGTATTACACTGGAAAAAGAGCAAACAACGCAACGCTAAAGCTAATCCCGGGGCAACCCCCCTAAACTCTCACCTCCGCTACGGAAGGGCTAGACCAATTTGACGGGGCCCCCATCCCAACTTGTAGGTCGACAGTGCTGTACGGGTCTTGATTTGGGACGCTTGTCGTCTGGGTGCAGTACTCTGGCGGCGGATCGGACACGACGACATCGATTGATGAATGGATATACTATTGACTGTCAGTTTTCTGCGAGAGAACAGGGCCAGTGAAGCGAGTTGTGGCTTACCCGTATGTCTGTCGAGTTCGGGGAGGCCGACACGCTGACCTCAACCTCGATGGTGTATGACTGCGAGAGATAGCACGAGCGGAAGCTAGGACGAGCAGCCGCCGGCACACAGCACTGCGTTGCCCAGACACCGCCACAGACTGCCGTAATGTCGACGCGTTCCCGACCCATAGGCACGGCGCCCTCAACAGACCACAGCGGCCAGCTGACGGGTGCTGCGCGGGCCACCAAGCTGCCGATGCGCGCAGCCGTCTCGCGGCGCAGCTGCACGCGGACGCCGCGGAGAATAGCGCCCGAGCTGCCGGGTGGCAACAGGTCGGCCGGCGTGCGCAAAAAGACGCCCAGCGCGACGCCTCCGCTACCAGGTGAAATGACGGCCGGCTGCGGCATCACGAGCTCCAGTGCCTGCGCCATGGACGACGTGTAGGGGGGTGGCAGGGTGTGCGGTATTGACTCATCATCGTCGTCGTTGCCGTTGCCGAGAAAGGTCGTCTTGGGAATGTGCATGCGCGACAGCGCTATGGCGTCGGCACTAACGGCATGGTCGACCTCTCCGGCAGCTGGCTGGGCCGAGGACACGGTGACCGGCAGGTCTGGTGCAAAGGTCAGCACCTGCTGCGCGTGCAGCGGGCGGCGCCACGACTGCGGCAGCAGCTGCAGGCCGCTCTGCTTCAGGCGCCGGGCCGAGGCCGTGACGCTGTAGACGACGTTGGCGTGGACCTTGGCCGTGTTGAGGTCGATCGAGGGTGGCAGTGCGCAGGATGAGCCGCTGTCGCAGCAGGTGCTGCTTGTAGGGAAGCGGAAGGTGAAGGGTGCCGTGTAGACGATCCGGCCGTCGGTCGCGATGCTCGGCTTGGGCGTGGCTGTGACGGAGTGCGAGAAGAGCTGGAGACGGTTGTCAGTACACGGCTATCCTGTTTTACCGTTGCTGCCAGCTGGCAGCAGCTGGCAACAGCTGGCAACAGCTGGCAACAGCTGGCTGCCTTTCGCAAGTTGCACTAACCGTGTAAGTATGTGTTCGTTGGCTGGCTGCGTTGGGCACCTGGGCTACGGCATCCAGGCTCGTCTGCGGGACGATGGACAGGCGAACGGTGCCCTGGAAGACGACGGAGACGTCTGGCACACGTCGGCCAGCAGCGGCTGCGTCCATGTCGGCCGGCACCTCTACCCGTCCCCGAACCTCGTCACCAGGACCAAAGGCTCGGCCGTTCAGATGCTCCTCGACTTGGACGAAAAACTTCATAGCTGCAGTGTTGGGGTGTATGTAGATGGTGGAAATGACAAGTGACAGGCGATGAACCAGATTGGCGGATTAGTCGACTGCATCCGAACGCAACCTCGTCCTGGCCTCCATCTTTTTATGTTTTCGCCCAAACACCCTGTCGGTCTTTGGGCCCACTTTTCGGGTTTCGGTTTCTGCTACCGTGATCTTATTCCAATCTCACGCCTGGCCTCTCCTGTTTGGAAGAGTCTGGGAGATTGGGTCCACTGTGACGTCCGGGCGGGCCGATCGGCGGACTCACCTGGCCCAACGGCAAAGACGGGGCAAACAGGGCTGCAGCGGACCTGGGCAGCAATTGGGCAGCAATCGAGCTGGCACCCTTTTTCCAGACGTCTAGTCTCCAGCCCTGCTGGCCTAGTGCCTGAAAAATGCCAAAGCGCGACAGAGCTGAGACGGCTGCCCAATACCCGCAGCCTGACGGACCCTGGCCAAGCTGTGAGACTGTGGCATGACGTCGCGTACGGAGTACGAATCTGATCCCTGTCTTGGCTGACTTCCTTGATTTGGACCAATCTTGGCCAGAACGAGTCGCGCTCGAACCACGGTAAGATTGCCGGCGACGCGGTGTCGATCACGACCTCTTGCGGTTTCTGCAATTTTTTCACAAACTGCCTCAGGTCCAGGCTTCTTCCTTTGCTCCGCGATGTGCGGCTTCTTTTCGGCGTCTGTGCTGAGTTAAATGAGACAGATTTAGCTGCTGGCGGCGGTGACTGGTTCATTCGCCGCGATTAGTCAATTATTCAGGGTTTTGCCGCTCACCTTTTTTCTACTTTAAACAAAAGTACTCCGTATTAGTTCGTCTCTAACAACTTACAAATGCCTCGTTGCAGGTGCACACAAAATGCGCAAACCAAAACATAAATCAGAGTTTTATCTATGCATCTAGCATCCAGCTGTCGTTTCCTCCAAAATGTCATATCCGGAACGTAAACTACAAAATGCAGCCATAAGATTAAGTCAGGCTGCGTATATAGACGACCGGTGGCTTATGTGGTCCAGGGCTACGGACTTCAGTCTCGAACCCTTTCGTAGCAACGACAAGATGAATCAGCTTGTCATAACCAAAATTGCGAGAATCAAAGTCCGGCTTCTGTCTAGTAACGAAAGAGCCGACTTTGGCCAAGTTCGCCCATCCATTATCGTCTGAAGTTGCCCGAACGGCATCTCCTAGAGTATTCAACAACATCTTGTTTCTAGAAACTTCAGGAGGATCCGGGTCCGAGTCGTCTACCATTTTTTCACTTTCCTCGTACCTGCCTCTCGGGCGTTTCGAGGTCGCAGTCGGGCTGTGTACTACTTCATCCTTGTTCAAGATCTCAAAGTATATAAACTTGTCGCACGCAGAGACAAACGGCTGTGGCGTTTTCTTCTCACCGAAGCCGAACACGGTCAGGCCAGACTCCCGGATACGGGAGGCCAGACGGGTGAAGTCGCTGTCACTAGAAACAATGCAGAAGCCGTCCAAGCGGTTGGTGTAGAGAAGATCCATGGCATCAATGATCATGGCAGAATCAGTCGCGTTCTTGCCTTGGGTGTAGGCAAACTGCTGGATGGGCTGAATGGAGTGACGAAGCAAATTGTCCTTCCACTTGGTCAAGCCCTGGCCCGTCCAATCGCCGTACGCCCGTTTGACGTGAGCGGTGCCATACTTGGAAACTTCGGCAAGTAACAGATCGACCTTGGTCGGGGGCGCGTTGTCTGCGTCGATCAGGACCGCTAGCTTAGTCGCGTTGGCCATCTTTGCTCCGATGTGCTATTGTGGAGATGCGAAGACGTAAATATGTTACCGGGTAGACAGCACCCCTGAGCACGGCAATGTGACCGGATCTTGAGAGGCTAAATTCCATTGATCCAGTCGGAGCTATTGGGAAATTATGTCAGCAATTCTGAAGAGGGGTACTCCGTACATACTCCGTGATGCCCCTCTTGCTCATACAGGACTAGCCTTGTCAGAACAGCTTCTTAGCCTTAGTTCCCTGTCAATAACGGTTAAACGAGTACGAGTAGCCCGTATTGTCTGCATATGTAATTTCACAGTGTTTGGCACTACGTGTGTAGCTAACGCGGTGATTTGCCAGCTGGGAGCCCCAAGTGACGACGAGCTGTGGGTCAGACATGTGATCACATGACATCAGGGATCAGGTGGCCTACGTGCTGTAAATATAGTGTCGACAAGAGGAGAAGAACGTGCGATTAGCGCGTGGTCCGCTTATGAATTCTGGCGTAAACCTGGAAAGAGCGGCTAAATCGGCATATTTTGTTTTCATTCCTTTCGGCTTCGTCCAGCCGCTGAATGATGTTTGATCAGCGTCATCATGGCCGGACTACTGGAAACTCCAGGGTCTCGCCGAAAGCGCGTTTTCCGTGCCTGTGACCCATGCCGCTCGATGAAGTCCAAGGTGGGTGACGTTGGCCCTGACGATGCAGACCCTCTTCTCAAGCGTCATCATTGCTAAGCTTCAGTGCGATGGGATCCACCCGGCCTGTGGGCGCTGTACCGGCTACGGCTACCGATGCGTCTATTCCGTGTCGGAGAAGCGGCGGTCCAAGCTCGAGCATGTGCATGAGGAGCATCATGAAGTGCCGACATGCAGCCGTTTGGCCGAGGCTCTGCGTCAGGTCCTTGATGACTATGAACGTCTGGCTGTGGACACCCTGGCCAGCCTTTCGCTGTCTGATCAGGCAGCTGCTTCAGACCGGCTGGCAGGCCTGCGACTGCGCGTCAGCGAGCTTTTCCGAGCCGAAGGCGAACCGGTCGACCCGTCATCGCCACACCAGCAGCAACAGCAGCAACAACAAATGCCGGTTGTGCCAGCACCAGTCTCTTTCGCCCGTCCGACAGCCGTGGCCGAGCGCTATCTCGGCGAGGTCTCGGATGTGCGCTTCTTCAATCTCATCGACCGGGCGCTGCAGGAGAAGAACGAGGGCGGGTCGAGCTGCTCGGCCGAGGAGCCCGGCAGCGGGGCAGCCCTCGACAGCTACGAGCAGGACGAGCCGTCGAGTGGTGCGGCAACGGTAGCCGCCGTCCAACTGGAGCGCCTGGCCGTTGCTCTGCCACCGGCCGACGCAGCCGAGCGCTACCTCGACGTCTACTTCTCCACCATCCATATGGCATATCCTTTCATCCCCCGTGCGCTCTTTGTCAGGACCTACCACCGCTATCGTGCGACCGGACGCACCGCTGACGCCAACATTGACAGCACTTGGCTGGCCACATTGTGTGAGTTGTGCTGATCAAGCCATTTGTGCTCTCTGCCGTCCTAACCAAGTCAGACGTCCTCTTCGCCATCGGCGCATACTATATTTCCATCTCGGGCGACACGGGTGACAAGTCTCACGAGCAGTACTACCGCCACGCCCTGATGCTGTCCGATGCCGACACTCCTGAGCGCTCTCTCGGCCGCGTGTCTTTGCTGCTGGCCCAGTGCTTCTACCTGCTGGCGGCCTGTCGGACCGACAAGTGCTGGACCACCCTAGGCTTGGCCGTTCGTGTTGGCCAGAGCATCGGCCTGCATGTGGACGTGGACGTGGACGTGGACGTGGACGTGGACACCGGCACAGAGACGGCTCCGCTGTTGCTCCGGGCCGAGTCTCGTCGTCGAGTGTGGTATTCGATCTACGTGCTCGACCGCCTGCTGGCCCTGCAGCTTGGCCGGCCGCCGGCCATCCACGACGACGACTGCCACCTACGGCTGCCCTCGCGTCTGGGCGACGCCAACATCGACTGGGACGGTGCTGGTGAGGACGGCCGCTGGAGTCCGGCTGCCCAAGAAAGGTCGTCGGCGGCCAGTCTGGGCGACTACTTTGTGTGTATGATCTCGCTGTCACGGATTATTGGTCACGTGATGCGCGACCTCTACAGTCCGCCCCGAACACGCGACAGCATCGCCGGCTGGCTGCCGAGCACGCAGGCCCTGGACGGCCAGCTGGTTGAGTGGAGGCGTTCACTTCCGCGGGCGCTGCGCTTCGACCTCGGCCATACGTTTGAGACGAGTCAGGCGTTCCGCCGCCAGCGCAACATGCTGGCCATCAAGTTCCACCACCTGCGGGCGCTCATCTACCGGCCTTACCTCTGCCTGCCGCTGCTGCGCGGCCGCAAGGACAAGATGCCGGACGGGCATAGCCGGCGGCTACTCGACCGCCACGAACGCACGTGCATCGCCGAGGCCCAGGACACGGCCCACCTGCTGCACAACGTGGCCGACAAGGAGAGCCTCGTGCACGACTTTCCCTGGTGGCAGATGATCTCGTGTCTGATCTGCGCGAGCTCTATCCTCGTGGTGGCGAGCGTCTTTGCGAGGCGCGACGAGACCGACAGCGGCGCCGAGGACGAGCAGGAGCTCACTGGCCGCGTCGACGTGGCTGCCCTGGAAGACGACGCTGAGACCTGTCTCAAGGTGTTTGAGGCGCTCGGGGCCAACTCGGACGGCGCCCGTATCGCTCGCGACATGATGCGCCGCCTTAGGACACGCGGCCGGCGCTGGCGAGAGTCCCATGGCCAAGTGCAACAACAGAAGCAGCAGCAGCAGCAGCAAGACACAATTTACACTCTTCCGGCGATGGACAATGTCAGTAGTGGCCTGCCAAGCGATCCTGGTCCGAGCTTGGACCCAATGCCTATGGAGACCGACATCTCGCTGCCAGGCCTGCCTCTCCTGGGCCAGAACGGTGAGCATCCGTTATATGGTGAATGGCCATCTGAGATACTGGACTCGATGGCCTGGTCTGCCCAGTTCTTCTCGGCTGTGGATGGATCCGCGCCTCAGTTTTTGTAAGATAGTGTGTATCTAATGGAATATAGTTGTAAGCGGAAATAGTAATAGAGGACCATGTGAACATTAGCAGTCGTCGATGACTTTAGGCAACAGCTCGTAAATGCACAGGCCATGCTAAAGCCAATGGCCTTGAGTTGTACTCTCTAGAGACTGGCCAATCACTGGTAGCGATAGAGGGGTTCAATAATGCAGCCCAACAGTTGCCTGCTTTCCAGACTTGGTCATCGAAACAGCAACGATACAGAACAAAATGGCTGACAGCCGTTCCAATGCGCCTTGCCGCTTTTTTGCGTGGGGAAAGTGCCGCAGCGGTCTGTCCTGCCCCTTTTCCCACGACGGACCCCTTGTCCAGTCCTCCCCGACAGAAAGCTGGCAGAGACGGCAGCAAGAGAAGTCCGATGTGGGGAAAAAGGCGGACACCGACATGACCAAAGACGGGGATGACAAGGAGGATAAAGACGACTTCAAGCGCGCCATGGCCGGGGCCTCTGTCCGGTTCGAGGACGGTGGCCGTGTGGCCAAGGTGAGTCTGCCGGAGGACTTCTCAGCCGTACAGCTGAGCAGCCTGCCATCGGAGGGGGTCTCTGCCGAGAGCGTGAGAGCGTTCCTTGGCGGGCTCGGCTTCTCCGTAGCGGTTACGGATGTCCGGCTGCTGCCACATGGGGATGCAGCGGTGGTACGGGCAGAGGATGCGACCTTTTCGCAGCGGGTCTGCGCCCACATGGCAGCCGGCAGTCGCTGGGGGTCGTCTGTGGTGCGGGCAGTGCGCGTTGCAGCGCCGGTGCCCAAGGACCACACAGCAGGCCGGGTGGATTGTCGCAAGGTGCACATCTCGTGGCATAAACCGGTGCGGACGGCGTGGCTGCGTTTCGGCAACGAGCGGACGGCGCAGCGAGTCAGCCGGGCCTTTTCGGCGGGAGTATACCGGGTCCTGGACCAGAAAGTCGTAGCCGGGGAGCCCGAGCGGACAGTCAGCACACGTGGTGGCTACCGGACTGTTGCGGCCGAATGGACCGTCCGGCTGAGCGACCTGCCGGCGGCTGCCGACACCAGAGATGTGATCAGCCGAGCCATCGGGAAGCCGGCAGACCGGCCACTGAGCATCGAAGTCAGCCAGCCGACATACCAGGCTGCACCGGGCAGCCGAATCAGTAGCACGGGCGACCAGGACGAGGACTACTGCGCTGCCATTGTGCGGTCGCTCCTCGGGCAGTCAGGCACGGTCGAGTACTGGGAGACGACGCTGGAGTCGACAGCCAAGCGTGTCAAGGCCACGGCGCGCTTCCTAGACGAGGCAGACGCGCGTGCAGCAGCTACCCAGCTCAACGGGTCCCGGCTGCCCTTTCACGCCAACGGCCGGCTGACGGTCCAGCTGGTCTGCTCGGTCCGGTTCAAAGTCGGTAGCAGCGTCTACGATGCGCTGGCACCGCGCATCTCGGCGCTCGCTGGCAGTGCCTGGAAGACGGCCCACGTGCGCTTCTTTGCGTATCCGAGTCCACGTCTACAGCCGGCATACCGGATCCTCAAGCTCGAGGGTGAGTCTGACCGCGCCGTCGCCGTCGCCAAGGGCGAGCTCGACCGCATCTTGGCCGGCACCGTCGCTCGCGATCGCCAGGAAAAGCCGCTTTGGGATGAGGCGATCAGCAGCAGCAACAGCCTCTGGCTTGAGATCCAGCGGCAGGCCAGAAGCGACTCTCCTGACAGCCTCATCGTCGTCCGCAGCAAGACCAGGTCCCAGATGCTCCTGTTCGGGTCGCAGGCGGCCTGCGACCACGCCCAGACTCGGCTGCGGGCGCTTCTGCTCGACAACGAGAAGACCTCCCACACCATCCCGCTGCAGCCGAACCAATTTCTCTGGGCCTGTCGCGAGGGTCTCGCCTCGATCGCCGACCGGATCGGCCCTGGTAAGGCCTCGCTCGACGTCGTGTCCACGCCGAAACAGATCTGCATCCAGGGCTCTCTGCACGACCTCTGCCAGGCCAGGGATCTGGTCTGCAGCCAGAACACCAGCCAGATGACCAGCTCAACGCTCGCCAAGGCCGCCGACTGCTGCGTCTGCTGGACCGAGGATGCTGCGCCTGTCCGGACCGCCTGCGGCCACGTCTACTGCCACGAGTGCTTTGACAACGGCTGTGCCGCTCCGGCGCCCGGTGAAGCCGAATTCACCCTGCTCTGCCACAGCCTTGCTTGTGGACGACGACTGCCACTTCGGGACTTGCAGGAGCACCTCTCGTCGGCCGCCTTTGAGGGCCTGCTCGCCCACTCCTTTGCCACCTTTGTCCAGCGTCATCCAGACCAGTTGCGCTTCTGTCCGACGCCCGACTGCGGTCACATCTATCGGTTGCTGCCATCGTCGTCATCGTCGTCATCTGAGTCCTCCCGCTCACACACCTGCGCTAACTGCTTGCAGGTCACGTGTGCTGCCTGTGCCGAACCGCATGACGGCGCCATGACCTGCGGGGACTATCGAGACCTGCGCTCCGGCGGCCACGCTGCCTTCCAGCGCCTCAAGAAGGAACTCGGCGTCAAGGACTGCCCGAAGTGTGGCATAGCCATCGAGAAAGTCACCGGCTGCAACCATATGATCTGCATCGCCTGTCGCACCCACATCTGCTGGGTCTGTCTCAGCACCTTTTCCAGCGGCGACCTCGTATACACGCACATGCAGCGCATACATGGCGGCCATATCGATCTTCCTTGAAACCTTGTCTCCTGCTACATTGCACCATGTCATCTCACGTAAGCAGACTCGGACTTTGATGTCAATCAATATAAACATAGATGGCGCAAATAGCACCGGAACTTATGTACGAATGCAAAGTATATACAAAGTATCGTTAGATAACCATTCATTCCCAATCATACGGCCAATGCATCGTCGTCAGTGCATCCGCCAGTCCTCCTCTTGATAGCGAGCATGTGGTGGTTTGAGGCGGACATGCTCCTTCCGTTGCCTTAGTCAGTCGCTTAGACGTACGAGCACGTGACAGTGCTGGCGCCGAACGAGCACGAGGTCAGGACCTTGCCGCTCTGCTTGATGTCGTTGACGGTGGAGCCGGTGACGCCCAGGGACTTGCCCGAGGAGGTGACGCTGCAGTCGGTGAAGGTGACCTTGCCGAAGTCGGCAAACGGCACCAGGCTGGAGCCCTCCTCAAAGTCCTCGACGATCCACTCGGCGTTGGTCTCGCAGAGGGCGGCAGACTCGCCGCTGAACGAGTGAGTCACGCTCTTGCCGGTCGACAGGTTGTCGACGATGACCTTGCCACCGGTGGTGGACGAAGCGGTGGCGGTCAGCTTGATAGAGTCGCCAGCGCTGATGCCGAAGCCGTCAAAGTTGTAGGAGTAGTCGGGGTACCACTCGTACCAGGCGTCGAAGCTGACCTCGCCGCCCTGGATGTTGACGTCGATACCGGTCTGCAGGATGGTCGTGTCGCACGAGGAGCCGTCCAGGCCGACCCAGATGGCCGCCGAGTACTCCTTGCTGGACGAGCCGCCCGACGGCTCCGACGGCGTCGGCACCACAAACGTGCCCGTCACCGAGGTGAAGTCCGATCCGTCCAGGACGGCGCCGGCCCAGTTGCTCGAGTAGGCCACGTTCGACACGTTGGACGCGTCGGGGCCGTTGATGACCTGGTTGGGCCGCGACGACCGCGCAACGCCGCTGCGCTTGGACGAACGCGATGCACGCGGCACCAGCGTCACCGGGCCGGCATAGACGGCCTCGGCAGCCAGCAGGGCGGAGAAAGCGGTGGTAGTGAACTTCATGTTGAAAGACGGGGAGTGCTGAACAAGAGCTTGGTCGAAGAGAGGCAGGAAGACGAATGTGCTATCAAGAGGAACCGGGAACTGGATGATGGTGCAGGATAGACAAGACCGACTTGGAGAGCAGACCTCAGGTCCATTATATACTTTTCTCTCAGATTGCTCTCACCATCTTCTCGGCCTGTTGCTTCAGTATACTCGATGTCGAAGCCCCCAAAAGGGATACGACGAAGACACACTGGGTCAGGTCATCCACCTTCCCTATTCTCTACTAGGTGGCGAAGCTCACGATATGCGCTGAATGTGGGCCCTCCAGCGCCAAGTGGACCTCTGGCAGAGGAGGACGGCAATGCTTCAGAAAGAGGGAGGTGGCGACGGCAGCATGTCGCGGTTGCGTGTGCTGACGTGACATGGGCTATGAACGGAAGGCGGTTGTGCAGAGAGATGGGATGGCAGGAGGTGCAGCATCTGGCCGTCTGTGTCGGCCGAAGATCCTGTCCGAATGAGGGAGCTAGATGCCCATGCAATGAAACATCGGACGGCAAACAGGGGTGCAATGGTGATTAGTCGAGGCACCAGGGGTTGCACGGACGAGAAGCCGTTCCCGTCTTGGCCCTTATCTCTGCAACGAGAGCAACGGCGCTAGACGGCAGCAAGAGAGGCATCTGCCGACCAGACAACCATTGCGTGCTGTGAGTGGGTAACTTGGGGGCCGTCGAGTGGACATGACGGCAAGGTAGGGCTGCCCGAAGTGCTGAACAGTGGCGACTGAAAAGAGGTCTTTTGTCCTGTCTGTCCATGTCCTCTGTTCATTTCCCTTATAGCAAAGCTGGGTACGGGGCTGCTGTCCGGCCATCGGCCAGCCGCGGCCTCGTGACGCTTCGGCCTTCTTCTTTCGGCATGGAGCCCCGGGCGGGACTTTCTGGCAGATGCGGAAGAGAGTCAAGCTTTGAGCCGGCAGACTTGCATGGCTCGATCTTGGAGCACAACAGCGCACGGCGACCCGCATGCTACCGCGATAGGAAGGAGCATGCAGGGAGCGCAGCGGCCACCGTGCAGAAACTGGGGCTTCTCGACCCTGGTAATACGAGTATGCATAATCGTGATCGGCAGCACGACAGCGATAGCATAGATGACCGGCGAGCGCGTCGGTCTGTCCGGTCTGTCACCCAGCTAACCAAACGGATCTAGCTCTTCGAACCGTTGCAATCAAGGCCGACGTACAGCGACTGCATAACGACATCATTACGTTTGCCATCAATGTCAATGGTCAGTTATCACACCTGAGAGACGGCGGACCGCCGGCAATTCACGGCGCGTTGGCCGCGATGCCCGCAAAGGCCACCTGCCTATACGGCACAAGTCGTATGTTCAGTCGTTTGCAATTATGGCATATGCTATCTGGTCTGTCTGCCCACGGGAAATACAATGCTCTTTTCGCCCAAGTCACCGCGTTCCTATTCTTGTTTTCTCATTCTTTTGTTTTTTCTTTGCTTGTCTGCTCTCTGGCTATAACTTTGAGCAGCAGCTACCGCCAGTGGCGCCGTCAGCAAAGGCCAGCTTGCTCAGCTTGTCGGCGGCATCGTACACGCCCTTGCCCGCGGCCACCTGGCTGGGCGTGCTGTTGAACGACGGCGCCACGTTCATGACCGGGTTGCTGGTGAAGAAGTTGCGTGGCCGCAGCAGCAGCGTGATCGGCTCGGCCGGCATGACTGGGAAGTCTTCGGGCGAGGGAAAGTGCGTCAGGCCAAAGGTGTGCCAGACGACAATGTCGGTGTTGGCCACGCTCGCCTTGCCGTCGCCAAGCCATTGCGGCAGGCCGGCCGACGGCTCGCCGCTGGTCTGAGGCACGTGACGGCCGGCCGGCCAGAGCTGGTCCTCCTCGTAGGGAGTCACGTGCACCGTATGACGCGCAAACCCGGCGCGCTTCCACACGAGCGAGCCCTCCTTGGGCAGCAGACGGGGAACCTCGCGGCTGACAATCTTATACGAGGCCGGCTTGCCGCTGTGTGGGTTGATGCTGCTCTCGTTGCAGATGTCCCACGAGCGGCTGGTCATGTGGTCGTAGTCGGTGATGGCCTGGCCGACGGTCTCGAGGCGCGTGCGCTTCGCATAAAATGCGTTGCCGTACTTGTTCTCGGGGCTGCCGACTGGGGCCTCGCCCGACATGGCGTCGGACGTGTAGACCGTGTTCGGGCCGCCGTCAACGTTGGGGTTGATGCGCAGGCAGAAGAGGTGCTGGTGGTTGTGGGCATTGACGCCGCGATGCACCTGCACACCCCAGCCGTGCGTGTCCTCGTCGGGCGTCATGGCGTATGTGTTGAGGATGCCGGACAGCTTGACCTCGGGCTGGATGGTGCCGTCTTGGTGGAAGATCCACTGGCAGATGTACTCGTAGTTGGCCGCGGTGAAGATCTGCTGCACCACAAACTTGCGGGCCCGCGTGACGATGACGGAATCGTCGCGGAAGTCGGTGTGCTTGAACAGGATCCCGGCGTCCTCCTCGTGCAGGCAGATGGCGTTTTTGACCGTGCGCACGTCGCCGCTGCGCGTCGGGAAGTCGGCGTCGAGGTAGTGAATCGCGCCCTTGCAGTCGCAGCCGAGCGTCAGGCTGTTGGTCAGATAGCCGGCGCCATATTCGCCCAGGTCAAAGGCGTGCTTGCGGTGGTGCGGGCTCTCGGGGCAGCCGTACGGCACGACCATCTCGGCCAGCGACATGCGGTAGAACACCGGCCGCACCTTGCCGTGGTCGTTGTACGTGATGTTGCTCAGCACGATGCCTTCCCGGTAGTTGAAGCCGATGTGGAACTTCCAGCTCTGCCACGTCAGCTCGCGTCCGTCCAGCGAGAACGACACGCCCTCCGGCTGCGAGATGTTGAGTGGCTTCAGGTCCTTGCGGAAGCCACCCTGTGCTTCCACCCCGGGCACGTGGTAGTTGAGCGCCGGCTCCTTGCTGAGCGGCCGCCGCACCTTGGGCACGTCGATCGCGATGATCTCCTGCTTGATGCTGTCGAAGATCGGGCAGAAGTCCAGCGGAAACTGGTATTGGTTGTCGTCCACGTTGGGCCGGTAGTACATCAGCGCCTGCTGCAGCCGCACGTTGTTGCCGAACCGCTCGTCGTACCCGATCGTCCACGGATCGCAGTACACCTTGTGCATCTCGTCCTTGGGCACCCCGTTGATCACACACTGCTCAATCACCTTGGGATCTGTGCGGCACATGTGCTCCACCACTTGCAGTTCCTCGACCGTGATCTGGGGCCGTTAGTCGTCATTGACCAGCCGTTGGCCATCATACAGGAGCAGGCCACACTCACAATCGGCTGAACGCCCGAAAGGCCCTCCCACTTGATGATCTTGCCCGAAGACAGGTCCACGAGCCCGTCAATCACCTTGCAGCCCGGCGCAATCACCACCACGTCAGCCACGCGGACCGGCCGCGGCGCCACTCCCGGGTTGGCCATCCAGGCCGTCATCTCCACCTTGCGTGGCTCGTGCAGCGAGACCACATTGAACAGCAGCTCGTCACCGTGCGCCTTCTTGACAATGGCCACCGCTGCCTTGATCTCCTCCGCGCTGAGGGGGTCCAGCGGGTATGGAACTGCAGCACCCATCTTGATGTCGGGGGGTTCTGTCGTATGTGGTTGGGGGGGGCTGATACAAGAATGACTTTCAGGCTGAGAAGCTTCTAGTCTTGATCTTGATCGGATGCTTTGATGAAGGCAGGCCACCGAGACAAGGGAAGCCAACGACTTAAGTACGCATCGTCGTCTGTTTTGCCGTTTCTCGCGAAGCCGCTTATCGTTCCGTACCTGGAGTGCCAGACTCGGCTCCACTTGCGCCCTCTTACTCGGCCGTACTGTAGGTTCTGGGCGCCTGGCTAATGGTCGAATGAAATTGCCTAATCGGGACATATTCGATAAAGAATCACGTAAATCGGCCCTCATTGGCGCCTCTCGAGATAAGCACACACGCGCCAGCTTGGCTTTCCCCGCCTGGCGTCCGTCTTGGCCAATCAGCTGGCCGTCTCGGTATCAATGGTGTTGGCTTTCCGCATCCGATCCCGGCACGTCTTGCTTAGCAGAGTAATTCATTTCGCTTCCCCGGATTCTTGGCCGGCAAGCCCACATTCTGCAGGCCTCGTGTTCCGTCTTTCCGCACACATTCCGAGACTCGGTCTTCGCTTTGCAGATACGGACTACAGCTGCGCCGCACCGCGGGTAGATCCTGCGTCCCGGCCTTTCTGGGACCTTTTGACTGCCTCTTGATTGTCTAGTTTCTATGCACACCCCTGCCACATGATTGTTTCTTCCATATTGGGAAACCTTCGCCTGCCAGCCGAAGCACACCCGTATCACAGCGTCTTATTATGCGTCATCCGCGATATGTCATCGTGCCATATCTCGGTGTAGCAGCGATGTCGGCTCTCGACTTGCCTGCGATCGCGGTCACGTGGATGCACACATGTAGATAAGCCGGATCTGGCCGGAGAAAGTATTTACAAAGCTAATCGTAGTTACTTTCACACTCGCCACCAGATCTTGCCGGTCTCCTCGAGCGTGAGCCCGCGCATTTCCTCCCAGTACCACAGCCCGCCTAAAAGCCTGACTATTATGGTGTTGACGCTGATACTGTGCGCTTTACGAGCGCATAGGGAAGGTCCATGGTGAAGAGCAGGCTAGACATTTTAGACGTGAGAGTGTACGGGGCAACGCCAGCTCTGTTGACGTTTTCAAGCATTTTAGATGACGGTACGCGGCTGGAGCGGCACGATGAACAATACGAACAGACAATAGATTATCAAGATCAAGTTATAGATGCTCGGCTTGCTATCAGACGTATCTTATAGGGCTGTGAAGCCGACAAGGGGGTACAATATGACTATAGCATATAAGGTCAGGGTCATGTTGATCTCCAGCTGTTTGGTAGGGTCTCTGCCGCATACATGTCTTGTAAGGACAGTTCCTCGCGGTGGCGACGGTGGACGCCCGGCTTCTCATATGACAGCACCAGTCCACTTACCGACTGCCAACCGATTGCAGCAGAACAAGAGGAGGCTAGCAGGGCTTCCATCGGCGCGGTGATCGCCGCGTAGCACCGGCCCGATGAAGATCTGCAAGATAGGACAAGTTTTTAATACCCGCCAGGAAGAAAAATTAGAATGTGACCTTCAGACTGACAGGTACGGATATCGAGAGCTAGAGCTGCAGCAACAAAGACGTAGTTACTACAGGCTCTTGCAGATGCATAACTTCGACGCAGTATTTTCGGCCAGAAATGTAAATTGAAGGACAGCTTTGAAAGTTTTGCTGACACTTTACGTCCGGCGTCGCAGGCATTACACCAATCCTAGACGACTATTAGACACGTAGCTGTAGATGTGCAGATGTAAGAGTTGTACAAGCAAATTACTTGACTACGGCAAGTGGATAGGGGAAGCTTTCTCTACATGGGACTAAAAAGAAGATGAAGCGGAAACATTACAGCCCGTAGGACAGGATGCAATTTGCAGATCCGCCAAACAAGCATGTTGCACGCACAACTGCAACTTATAGCACGCTGAATGCAGCCTACAAGCGCGGTGCTTTGAATTTCTGCAAACTTCCCTGGGATGGATATTGTTGTTCCGGTCCGGGCGTCTTACGCCTCCTTATCCTGGAGAACTTACTTCTATAAATAACGCTGAAAGATCTCCAGATTACAGTTGCTGTTTCGTCGTTGATAAGATACCTCAACACTGTCTTAGTCGACAGAAATAGCCTGGTGACAACACAGCCTAGTGAACCAGTCCTAGGTGTCTGAATATGGAAGAAAACGGACAGCGGACGTCGTCAAGTCAGAACGCATGGCCCGAGCCAAAGAGGCAGCAGATAACAGCATAGCTCTCAGTTCTGACCATCAATTTTCAAACTGAAAGTTCAGATGATATGATTTTTCATCTCGCAAGCCAAGCAATCTTTCTACCGCTTGTATTAGTCTACAAGTTTGAACTATAGACCCAAGAAGCGACAGTGAGAAGGTCGTCTGCTACGTCTACGTAGGGGAAGCGTACCCGTGGAACCGTCCGTCCCATCGGTGTCATGCGGGTCCTTTGTTTCCAATCCAATGTGTCTATCTCATGAATGGGAGGGAAACTAAAGGAAAGAAACAAGTCCAACTTCTGCCTTGAGATGCTCTGTGTCGACCCTGCTTAGTAAGGCTTCCTACTCGCGTTGAATAGGGGTGGATACAGTCACGTGATGTTGGTTAGCCGCAGCAAACCGGTATCAGGATAGCCTGCTTGAAACGGCACGAGGGCGTTTTTGTGGATCGAATCCCTTAAAACAAGCGATGCCGGCGACGAAAATTCGGCTTGTCGAGGAGCCGGCTTAGCCGCTGCAGGAGCAGCACGGGCATCGTGCTTACGACGTAGTGGCGTCACAATGCGAGGTTCGTAATTCGGCATGCATTCTTTCAGCAGTTCGCGTTAACTCCGCCGCAGCGAGGCAGTGGCGCTAAGCTGTTTTCGGACTGCTGTGGCATGTGTGGCTGTCCCTGAAGCTTGGACGCCATTTGCCCAAACCTCGCAAGTCTGAAATTGCCATTGCCATCCGTCTCTTCACCCTCCTCCGAGCCAACGCGATACGAGCAGCCGAACCGCGCCATCGCCCATCGCGCCGCTGCCGAACCAATTCTTGCGGGAAATTTTGATCCTGCCGCGACGGATTTTGCTTTCTCTCGACGCGCCGACCTCTCTCGCCGACCGGCTCGGCACCAAAGATGCTGCCGTCCCGGCTGCGTGTTCAGAGTTCGTGAGAGCAAGCATCGAGCCTGACGCATCCCGGGAGGCCGAGCCGCAGACAGCGAACAAACAGACGGCCGTCCGGTCCTGCTCCCCTTGTTTCCTCCTCTCTGTCGTCCGGGCTGCTGGCTATGGCCATGCCCGGTGCTCGCGAGATGGGCCGGGCAGAGCGGTTTGAAGACGAGAAGCGGCGCATCATCGAGAGCTGTTTCAGCAAGCGGGACGACGATGGCTCTGGTAAGACTGGCGAGCGAGGCTGGGCTGAGCTTGCCCAGCTGGCCGAGCTGACTGAGCTGGGCTGAGGTCGTATTGGCGTCGGGATGCTGACAGGGTGTCGCCCAGTGCTAGAAACGTACATCACCCACATACGAATCCTCGAGTTTTCGTCACATCCGGCGAGCCCGCCGCCGCCGCAGACACGGTCGCCACACTCGGAGAAGCACCGTATCATCATCGTGGCGGTGCGCAAGTCTGGCCGGGTGCGGGTGCACAAATCCAAGGAAAACTCCAATGGGACGTTTTCGATCGGCAAGACGTGGGACCTCAACGACCTGTCGGCCATCGAGTCGTACACGGCGGCGAGCACCAACTACGAATACCGCCAGTGGGCCGGCAATGTCGGCTTCCTCATCACGCTAGGCAAGCCGTACTACTGGCAAGCCCAGACGGACAAGGAGAAGAAGTTTTTCATCTCCAGCCTGCTCAAGATCTACGGCAAGTATTCAGGCGGCAAGGTGCCGGTACTCACCGGTTTCGACCCAGCCGAACTAGACCAGATCCAGGGCGGTGCTCAGCGCCGCGTGCCTCCGCCGATCAATCCGGGGCAGCCGTCACCGTCTCAGCACTCGGCGCACTCGGCGCACTCGGCACCACCTCCTCCTTCCGCCCGTCTGCCCGTGCCAACGCCACTGCTACCGCCACAGGTCCTGACACCGTCCCAGCCGTTGTCCAGCAGTGTTGGCCGGCCGCCGTCGTCCGACAGCCACAAGCGGCCACCCTCGTCGCGCAGCTATGCCCCCCAGCCGTCGCCGGCCTTCAGCCAGGCCGAGTTCCGCGGCAGCCCGGGCCCAGGCGGCCCAGGCGGTCTGCAGCGCAGCGCCATAATGGCCAACGGCAAGTCGTCACCGGCGACCAGCATCGATTCGTCCCGGTCGGCCAACCCGAACATCCAGACGGCCACGCGACGGCTGGCTGCCGGCAGCAACAAGAGCCAGGAGTCGGTGGCCGCCTCGACGACGCAGCGAAGCGACGACGGCTCCGTCAGCCTGCCACCACGCTCACGCAACGGTCCCATCCACCCTTCCGAGAGTCCCAGTCCGGGTCCTAGTCCAGGTCCCAGTCCGGGTCCAGGCCCTGCTGCCCCGGCGCCAACAAGCGATAAGCCACCTCCGGAACGAAAGCGGCCGCCGATGGATCCGTCACGGCCGCAAGGCCTCCTCGACGACGGCCTCGTGCCGGCGCCCCTGATGAGCTCGGTACGACCGCGGGATATCGTGGCACCACCGCCCCGAAGCTCCAACCGCGGGGCGCCCCTCCAAGATGCCAGTCCCGGGCGGCCTGACCGTGACCGTATCCCGCTGTCTCTACGAACACCGCAAAGCGGGCCTTTCCCGGCAGCCGTGGCTGCCTCGTCGGCTGCTGTGCTCATGACACCCATATCATCCACACCTCCGGCACCTCAGACACCAGCCCAAACGCCGTCCAGGCTAGCCGAGTCGACGCCCATGTCGACGCCGGTCTCCATTTCGACAGCGTCGACGCCGAACCAAGCAGTGACAACAGAGCCTCAGTCATCACCACCGCCAATGCCAGAGAACGGGGCGGGCTCGCCGGCACCATCCGAGTCGGAAGACAATCGACCCGGGCTAGGCCCGATGATCATGAAGAAGGGCAAGACAGAGAAGGGCAAGACAGAAGTTGCAGGCGCGTTCTGGCGGGCAGCTGCGGCGGCCAACGCGTTCAAGCCGCGGCCTGGAGGTGCTGGAGAGCGTCTCCGCCAGGCGCAGTACAAGAGCAACGAGGGCCCCGACGGTATAACGAGCGTGGTCCCGGCGCCACCGCGGCCGTCATCGGCCGAGAAGGCTCAGCCGGTGGCAACAGGGGAAGAGCAGCAAAGCGGTCCACCGCACCGTGGCTCGATCCCAGAAGTCAAGGTCACGGTGCCGGGATCGAACCGGCCGTCCAGCCTGCACCCGCCGATCAGGGAGGTGACGGTAGCAGCGTTTTCGACCACGACAGGAGCGTCAAAGACCGGCAAGATCGTCGAGGAAACGGAAGCAGAGGCCGAGGAAGCCGGACGCAAGTCGATGACCACAGGCAACGATGCCAAGTACTTGACGTCGCTGGGAGTCGACCCGACGCTCCTGGACAAGCGGGCCATTGAGTTTGCGCACTGGCTGGACTACTTTGGCTGGGTGCCAGGCGAACGGATGCGAACGATCAACATGGAGGATCTCAAGGTGGACATTGACCGTGAGCTCAATCGGGCGCAGGCGGGCGACTACCTCTCCCGGTTCCAGGAGGACGACGAACGGGTGGAGTCGATCAAGTCAGGAATCGACGTGGCGGTGGCAGAGTGCGAAGAGCTGGACAACCTGCTGACGCTGTACAGCGTGGAGCTGTCGACGCTGTCGGACGACATTGCGTACATTGAGGCGCAGGGCCAGGGGTTGCAGGTGCAGGCGGCGAACCAGAAGCTGCTGATGAAGGAGCTGGAGAGTCTGCTGGACACGTGCGCGATCACGTCGAGCGACCTGGAGGCGTTGCGCACGGCGCCGCTGGAGAGCGCGCGAGGGATCGAGGACATTGAGACGGCGCTGGTGACGCTGTTCAAGGCGATGTCGAAGATCGACCCAGGCAGCAGCAGCAGCAGCGGCAAGACAGCGGTGGCAGGCGTGACGAGCAGCAGTGGTGACAGCAGCGGCAGCAGTGGTGGCAGCGGAGTGCTGAGCAGCGATTTTGGGCAGATGCGGATCGTGCGAGAGAAGAGGGAGATGTACATGATGGAGAGCGACGCGTTCATGCGGCGGCTGGTCATCTTTATGGGCGGCGAATTCGGACTGGCGTGCGGCGAGACGCGGCGGGCGATGGAGGGAGCGCTGTCGAAGAGAGCAGACGCACGCAACTACGATGCTGGTCGAGAAGTGCTGTGGAAGTACAGCCCGCTGATGCTGTACGCACGCGAGACGGACCTGTCGAACTGGGACCGGATGATGCAGATGTACCAGGAGCAGAACCAGGCGCTGTACCGCAGCGAGTTCCGGGACGTGCTGACAGCGTGGAAGAAGTCTGCGCGACGGCCGATAGCGGGTGAGGATGCCGAGATCCTGTTTACGGCGCTGCAGGAGAAGAAGGACGAGGGCATCGCGACGACGGCGCGCAAGCTGACGGTGAAGCGGAGCCAGACGCTGGCGCGGACGCTGCGGTCGCCGTTGGGTGACGGTGGCGACAAGGGCGACCGGGGCGACAAGGCGGACAAGCACGAGAAGCATGAGAAGTACGACAAGATGGACAAGGCCGAGCGAGCGGCCAACGAGAGCCGGAGCCACCCGTACGAGGTGTTTGCGAGCGTGCTGGACGACGTGCTGCCGCTGGTGCAGATGGAGCAGCATTTTGTCATCGACTTCTTCCACGCGACGACGCTGCAGCAGCACGACTTTGCTGACGTGGTGGCGGTATCGAGGCCGCGCGACCGACGTGGCGTCGACCTGCGACGACACCGGCCGATGGAACCGGATCGGGAGCTGGCCCGCCGTGTGACCCGGGCGATGGAGGCCATCTTTGCGTCACTGGAGCAGGATCTGCAGAGCCTGGTGAACTGGGTGTTGTCTTTGGAAGCATTGTGAGTTTGTGTTCTTTCGTCTTTTTCTTTTTTTCTTCTTTTTTTTTTCTTCTTTTTCTTTTTTTTTCTCTTTCTTTCTTTCTTTTTGCTTTCCCCACTAACCCCCCTAGACAAGGAATCGGTGTGTTGGCAACGCTCGAACACAAGCTCGTCGACATCAGCCATTCCAACCAGGATTTCCTCAACAATGTGCTGCAAAAACTGCACGCAGCCCTGCAGGGCCGGTTCACCAAGTTTGTCGACGAGCAGATCCGTGCCATCGAAGAGACCAAGGTCAAGATCAAGAAACGCAAGGGTGTCATCGGCTTCATGCGCATCTTCCCACACTTCAGCGCAGCTGTCGAGAACATGCTGGACGGTGCCGACCCGAACCTGGGCGTGTGCCGCATGGTGGACCACGAATACGACCGAATCCTGCGATCCATGTTCGACTCGCTCAAGGTGATTGCACGCGAGAACCCGACGATCACGGCTGCCGGTGGGCTCGTTCCGGGCGTCGTTGGCGGTGGTGGCAGCCTGAGCATCGCAGCAGCTGTGGCCGGCAATGGAGGCGGTGGAAACGGCGGCAACAACGGCGGCAATGCCTCGGCGACCGATCCCGAAGACAAGGAGGCGCTCAACTTCCACATTCTGCTGATCGAGAACATGAACCACTACCTCGAGGACGTGGAGAACCCACGGGGGACCCGGGTGCTGGACGACTGGAAGGAAGCGGCCGCGGCCGAGATCCAGGAGCACCTGGGGCTCTACCTCAATGCCGTCATGCGCCGGCCTCTCGGTCGTCTTCTGGAGCATCTCGAGAACGTCGAGGCACAGCTGGCCGCCGGAAAGGCGCCGGCTGCCGTGGCCGCCCAGCCGAGCAACACCAAGGCCATCTTCAACAAGGTGCTCGGCAGCTATGACGGCCGCGAGGTGCGCAAGGGCATCGAGACCCTGCGCAAGCGCGTCGAGAAGCACTTTAGCACCAGTGGCGAGAACAGCAACCCCGATGATCCCGTCGTCAGCAAGGCGCTCATCAGCCGTGTCCTGCGCGAGTGCGAGGCCTTTTACGGCGAGGTCGAGCTGCGCATTGGTAACATCACGACCAACGTCTACGGCGGCGATGTCATGTATGAGTGGCCGCGGGCAGACGTGAAGCTAGCATTTCGATGAGGAGGGAGGATAGAAGGGATTCGAGAGAGGGGAGAAGTGAAGGGAACGAAGTAAAGGAGAGAAGGGATAAGATTAGGAGAACGGCGAAGAGGAAGATCTGGACTGGCATTTGTTTCTTGTTTCACTAGCGTCGGACGAACTTCCGGGAAGAATCAATGTGATCCAAGCATATGCAAGTGACAACTTTGATTCGTTAAGTGTTTGTTCTAGAACAACTGCCACAATATTGTTCCGCACATGGTTTATCACGTGATTGATTTTGGCGGCGAGGCAGTCAGAAGCGAACTCTGATGGAAGTGCATGTATTACTCGGATGCATGCACTGCAGCAGTAAAAAGTCTGCAAACTCACCTACATAGTTACGCGCAACAGAGCCTCTTACTGCCGCGGTGCAAAGACTGCGAAGAGTACATAATGCCTTGGGAGGTCTTTTCTGTGTCCAGTAGAACTTGCCGCGTGATGGAGAGACGGCGATTCCGTCTGGCAATGCTTGCTTTAAGAGTATTGTCTTGAGGTTTTCACCGTTGGTGTCAATTTGAAGAATCTCTCCTGATGTTGTGCTTGGTTCAGCAGCACCTAGACCGACATCGAGAACGAGCAGAGTCGAGCTGGGTGACGTAGTGCAATCTTGATCCTCCGTCTTGGCTTTAGGCGGGTACAAGCCTCCATTGGGGGACATGGAACCTAATTTGCCGTGATCGAGATAGGTGCTTTTGAGATAGTCAACAGTGGCCTTCGAGCTCAAACCACGTTCTGAAATGTAATGGCTTTCAATAGATGCCACAGTATCGAGGCCAACATCTGCACCACTCATTATCAGCACTTGAAATATGCAATGTCAACAGTAGGAGACCATAGCTTACCATCCATTAGTTTGCACGGCAACGTTTTTCCATTGAACAGCTTGCTCCAGATGCTATCGATCTCCTCGGGAACGGATACGCCCTCAGACAAGATCGTTAATATCTCACGCTTGATGGCCGCCCAGAGTCTGTTGAAGATGAAGCCTGTGCTGTCCTTTCTAGCAGTGTATGGGAAAGCCGCAGTCTCCTTGAGTCTGTCTGACAAGAAGGGGAAAATGGCTTCGTTGGTAAATCCATCTGTCATAAGTTCCACAGCCATGCAAGCTGGAGGCATGTAGTAGTGCGCGTTAAGGATACGATTCTTCATCGGCTCCGAGACCTTGGAGAACATCTCAGATGACTTGTATGAGGAGGAGTTGGTGCAAAGAATACAATCTTGCGGCGCGATGGCGTCCAGTGCAGCGAACGTGGCGATCTTAAGCTCGATCTTCTCTGGTACAGCTTCTATAACAAGCCAGGCGTCCTCGAATACATGAACGGTACCCTTGTTTCCGGATGTCTGCTGCAGGTATGTGTCCAAGTTGTGGTCGACATATTGCAAACATTGAGAACGCTGCTCGAGACTCGGGCCTCGGACTTTAACATCATACCCGGCAGATGCCCAAGCGCATGCTGTAAGGACTGGTTAGACCTTTTTGAGACTAATAGACTTTAGAGAATACCAATGCGGCGTCCAAGAACTCCCGCTCCCAGTATGGTGATTGGACGAGTTGCAAAGTCCTTTGGTGGTAGCCACGACATGTTGTGATAATGCTGGAACTGAAGTATGAATCGGTGATGGTTGTAATACATTTATTAGCTTGATTTTACAAGTGACTATGACTTCTGTTGGAGGAATCTATACCAGACGCCAGGTCTGTTTATATACTGCGCTTGATTAATAATGTCATTGCGGTTCTAATCCACAGTCATTGAAAATAGTCAGCTTGCTCGAACATGCCACAGCCCACGTAAACTAGACTTACACCAATACAATTCTGCGATAACATACAACATCTGTCGTGTCACTACCGCAGTAGCTTGCCGCAGATTCCCATAAGCTACCGCGGTAGGGTGGGACCAAAGGGCTAAGTGCAATCAGAGGGCACTGAGTACCGGGGGAGGGAGGCGAGAGTGAGGCTTTTCGGGAGCATTGGAGATATTCAGGTTCGGGATGCCAACGTTTTAATCCCAAAGGTCAGCTGGAGAGCCCACTTTTATTTCAACAAAATCCCTTACTAAATAAGTACCTCAGCACTACTTTGTATATTACGCTATATTCCGAAAGTCCTTACTTCTAGCTTATTATAGCCTAGTCTACTCGACATCTTTACAATGTAGTATCCAGGTGTTGAGTATAGGAATCTGCTACGGAGTACGGAGTACCCCGTACAACACATATATTTGCTTACACTACACCTGATTTTGTCAAATTATGGGTGCCCCATGAGCTTGTGTGTACTGTTATGGCTGGCTCATGCCGACGTGCATCCAAACACGTACTAAATAGCCCCATGCGCCACACAGTACATGTATTCTTCCATCACACGGCATAATCGTGCACGCCCCTCCCATGTGGGCTTGGTCCGTTCGACGGCTTAAGGATCACAGGGTCTAAGTCGGCGACAACATACCCGAAGAGTCGTTCTGGTATCCCGGTACCTCGGCACGACGCTTGTGTAAAGTAGAAGTAGAGGTACTGCGAAACTCGGTTATGAACTCGAATTCCCGGCCGTGCAGACAAAGAGAGCCTGCGCTGTCCTCCCGCCCACGCTGGCGTTGACAATGTGGGCTACTACAAGTTGGCCGGGGTCAAGTACTCATGAGCAATAGGACACCAGAGAAGATTCCAGTTTGGAGCTGGGTGCTGAGACCCATAGGCCCTGACGAGATCGGAGCGGGACTTCTCCGGCTGCGACGTGCGCCTTTCCTTAAATTCGTGTTTGAATACGTGTTGTGCATCCGTTAAAAAAAAAAAGGTCGATATACACTTTTCCTAATTATCCCATACAAATATCATCGATATCACACTCGATCAGGTCAACAAAGCCATCGCGTGGCCAGAAAAGCGTTCCATCCTCAGTCATAGAACAAAGACTAAGGCTCCTGTTATAGACCCAATCTCGTGGAATGAAGTAGAGCCGCTGGACCAATGTCTCGGTATTGACAATGCCAAACGGGTCATCGAGCTGAAATGAGCATATCCACAGGTCGTTATCAATGAACACAGTTCGACCACTCGGAAGTACTCCCAGAGGCACCTTGATTAGGGCCACAACTTCTCTTTGAACTCGAGAATGCCAGACGTACGACAAAGAAGAAGACAAGTACGAGGCCTGTCTGACAAGCTCCGGCCCGGGAAAAATGAACAACTCCAAAGTAGTATCAGAGTCGTCAACATCGCCAACTCGGGACTGGAAATAAAGAGCGTGCTTTTTGTCCTGAGACATCATGACCTTCTCCACCCGAAAACACTTGTTGGAAAAATTCTCTGTCAGAGAATTTCGCAACTCGCCCATCCCAAATACCGTCTCTGGGTCGGTTTCACGATTCGCCATAAGCTCTATGGGCTGCAGATCGTCGTCGAAGGAAAGAAGGCTGCAAGACACAAGCGTATCCCAAGTGTAGTACTCGACTCCAAACTCCCCAAAGCTCAGAATTACCTCTTGATTGGAGTAACACAACCACTTTCGAGGCTGCTCATGCTCTAGGCTAGCCTGCGCGACGAGGGTGCCGTTTTCAATAGAGCAAACAAAGGCATTTTTCTTCGAAGCCACAAAGAGCCGCTTGCAATCAGAGCTAAAAAGCAGCTCCTCGATGCTGTAGGTGTCAAGATCGATCTGTGGGTTTGGAAGCGGCACAATTTCGAGTTCTTCTGTCGGGGATGGAATAATTGCCTTGACCTGAATTTCACCCGCGAGGTCTGCTACTGCCACAAAGCGACCGTCCCTGCTCCATACTGCATGCGTAATGTCAAGGTGATTGTAGAATCGTGCCAGGATGGTACCCTGCCATCTCCCTCTTTCGAAAAGCAAACAGCGCCCGTCCTCGTAGCCGACGCAGTACGTCCGACCATCTGGAGCGGGTGACAAGGTAGTGACAAGCTCGGTGTTTGCAGCCTCCGATATTTCTGTCACTTCATCGCCTGCCAGAGAGCTCGTCAGGCAGCTGGGCTCCCATGCAGTGACCCATCCGCCACGCACATCATAGATTCGACGGCTGTCTGGACTGAATGTGAGTGCTGTGACAAGGTCTTCCAAAGAGAGCTTACAGATGACTTTGAAGCGTGCAAAGTCCCATATCAGTACAGAGCCGTTGCTGCTGCTCGTTACAAACAAGAGCCCGTTCGGGCTTGCGGCAATCTCGTCAGCTGCTTGCTGTTCCTCCACATTTTCGTTCGTGATGGGGTGCCACTTGAAGACGCACCCATCAGCATAAATGCCAAGAAGGTGGCCTGTTACTGGATTCCACGTGAAACGTTTAACGGAAGCCCAGCTGGCCGAAGCCTGAGGCATACCACCCGGCTGGAAAGTCTTTGCCCGTTTGCATATTTTCACATGCTTTCCATCTTCAAGCCTCCACACAGAGAGCGGTGATCCTCTGTAGGATGCTCCCATATATCGTCTGTCACCATCAAACGCCACACACGTCGGTGAGCTAGTAATAGCACCCACGATACGATGATTATCTCGAAGCATTTGTGGATGAGGTACCTGCCACCCCTGGCCAAGAAACTCGAGCTGTGTATGCCTCACGACATTGTCGTCGCCACTAACCCAAAGCGTCCCGTCATTATCTCCGAATGCCAGTGAGACTGCTTTGATATTTGCCGGATTTTGAGTGGAGGAGAGCAGCTTTCCCGCAGGGATGGCCCATAGCTTGGTGGTGGCAAGGCCGTATGTTGCCAGCTTTTGGCCATTGTCACTCAGTGCGGTAGCCGTTACAGGTTCCCCGTGTGTGATCATACCGACTTCACTGAAGTCAATAGCATTCCAGAGGGTGATCACACCATTGGGTCCCAGAACGGTGATCAGTGTCCCCGCGCACGTTATGTTCCAAGCTTCAGCATCATTTGGAAGACCAAACCGCCCAATCCTGTCGTTCCAACCGGTTTTGTTTGCCCCATGAACCCTGATCTTTGACGACTGTGGGCCGTAGAATTGTTTGTGTACAATCGAGTTTGCGGGACAGAAGGCCGGAACGATGTCGTACATCACCATGGGGTCTTTTCCGATGTTGTGACCAAACTTTCCGACAATGTTCAGAAGATCATTGGCGCAACTGTCGACGTAGTCGAGATCCTCGCAGCTATGTATCTGAGGCGTCCTTCCTGTGAAAGACGACAATGCCTTCGACGTTTTTGCAAGCATTTCGAGTCGTCCAACCAGAGCCAGAGTGTGAATCCAGCTTAGCAGAGCAGAGCTTCTAAAAAAGCCTACGAGGAGTTGGAGAACCTCGATGTGGGAAGTGGCTGTACAGCAATGCTCGAGGTGGTAGGACCAGTTGATGGCGGCGTAAAATACAAAGGGCTCTTTCGTCCTGAGGACATGCTGGGATTGTTTCAGTTTTAGTGGAAGAGCCGGTGCCTCGAGCACTTGTAACATTCTACTTAGAAGTTTTTTGTGCGTCAGGCGAGGGTCGATAAAGAATCGACTACCTCGCATGCCTGTGAAATACTCGCGAGCTGTGTGGTGAACCATTGCAACCGTGTCCTCGTTATCCACCAAGATAAATTGGCCGCAGATATCCGTGATGGTCCGCTTGAGATCCAGAAGCCCAGGAAGTTCTTCTTTCAATGCCTGTGAGAGCTCAGCCACACTGAGCGACCGTTGGGCGCACGTAGTCCACTCTAAAATAGCTCTGATAGACGCCACAAGAGACGGGCTGGATTTCTTCTTCGATAACACAAGATTATGCTCCATGCGCTTGTAAAGAAGCATCATGTCGTCGGGGACCTCGGCAAGAACATCCTTGACGCTGTCTTCTGTGTGGCAGTCCAGAATTTCGTCCAGAACGAGCTTTGTCCAAAGAAAGTTCCCTTCGCTGCGACTCACAATTTTGAGAAGGAGATCATCTTTGAAGGTCTGACTGCCACGTATATACTCTAATTCGTTTTGCACAAGAAGCCGTATGTCTTGTTCCGTGTTTACCATCCCATTCTCTTCGATCGATGAGAGAGAAACACTGTGGGATAGCCGCTTAACAAGGCTCGAAATTTCATACGTATTGCGACTCATGATCATGACCTTGATAGGCAGTTTGGATTCCGCGAGGTTTTGTAGGCAGTATAGCAGAGCCTTTGGTGAGTCACATTCGTCCAGGCCGTCAATGACCCAGTAGACAGGATCGACCTGTTTTATCTGAAACAGGCGCCGCTCAAAAATATCTTGCCATAGAAGCAAGGGTTCTGGGGAACCAGAGCCCAGGCTATGGGGCGATGCTGTATGCAGTGAATTTTTGAACGCAGGCAAATCCCTCGCAAGCTGGCAAGCGAGCGAGCGAAGGCAGTTGGCAACGGAGCGTTTGGCTGCATCAGAGGATTTAAATAGAAAAAATTGGCAGGCGCTTCCAGAAGCCGTCAGGTGTTTGATCAAAAATGACGCACGCATCGATTTCCCACTGCCTGGGCTGGAGTGATACCAAGCCACATGCGGTTCTTGTGATGGCCGAATCCAGGATTTTATGGCAGGCTGTCGAACAAACCATTCACAGGTACCAGGAACTAGCTTCTGCTGAAGAGTGTTGTAGTCTCCGTCAGAAGAGGGACAGTCGGAGAAAAGCTCTTGGATATCCTCTGTCTCCAGGTCACTCTTACTCTCTTCCCGGTCTGTCCTGCGATAAAGCAATACATGAGATCGTATGGCATTTCGGACGTTAATGTAATTGTTGTCAGAGGGGCTGGAGTATTTGCAGACATCGTGGTGGTCTGCGTTCAGAGGTTTAGAAATCTCGGTGGGATATCCAAGTACAGACGAATCCTTTTCAAGAACCATCATCTTCTTAGGACCGATGGTAGTTGCGAGGGTCTCGTAAAAGGACCATATGGAGAATCTCGTCGCAAAATGCCGAAATTGTTCGTTCAGATCTGAGATGACTGGAGAGCATTTTTCGAGGTCAGAGACAAAGTTCTTGGGCGATTGGAAAGAGGCAGCCAGCAATCGGTTCAGTGTTTCGGCCAGGTGGGTGCCACGATGTGGGGTGGACAAGAATATGATTGCGGATACGGATGCAATGAGGTCTTTGTAAGTCTCGTCGTGGATGCCGAGAAGAACGAGCTTCTTTACGACTAGTCCACCCATGCTGTGTGCAACAAAGAGAAGGGGGTGGGATCCAATGCCAAGGCTTTTGCCAGAGCCGTCTTGGGCAAAGCGCATTTCATAAAGCAGTGCTTTGGCGAAATCCTCAATTCTAGCAGCAGTGTTAGAAGAGTCGTGCCAGTTTGCATTGTAGCCAAACGTGAGGATGCGTGCCGTTCCCATTTCTGGCTCAAACGGCAGCCAAAGCTGGGGCCAAAAGAGTTTTGGGTCATGTTTTTTTGACCACGTCTTGCTACTGTGCCCGCCGAGGCCGTGGACAAAGATGACATCGACAGAGGGAGCCTCGGGATTGTGGAGGACACGAAGCCCGAGGCCTGGGTCTTCGTCCCCAGTCGAGGTCGAGGAGCTTCGGTGAAAGAGAGTGCCAAAAGTTAGCGTTGGTGCCAGCTGAGTCCCACCTGCTGTGGCTGGGAGGCCACATGATGTTGTTGACGAAGAAAGATCGCTGTTTGTAGGTGGTTGCGCGTTGGATTCATCCCTTGCTTGCCGTCTCGAACGAATGCGACTAAACTTGGTGAAGTCAGCCAGAGTACTCCGTACGACGTAGAGCCACAGCACGGGGAATCTGATCCCCGCAGCAAACACACCATCTTCGCTGGGATGGTGGCGGACCACTAGCGACGAACACCGTTTGTAACGGTTCTAGCGCTATGTTTCGAGTGCGGTCATTAGGCCACAAATGTCCGTATGATGTGTGATCAAGAGTTGCGCCTTTCCAGATCTTATTCCTCTGGTTTCCGACACTTCAGCCGTCTCTACCGCTTCCGCATAATCACGTGACCCATAAGCTGCCAGAATACTACACTGTGTATACTCTGTTCGTGCTGTCATATTAACACTGTTGCCATTTGAAGGATCCAACTACACATCAAGACCCCTTGCATGTTGTACATCAATAATCTAAGCCCTTTTTCCGTGACGTTGCATTTGCACCAATCGCTTTGCAAAGTACCTTAGTTACGATCCGGATCCGGCGATCCATTCTTGTCGACAAGTAGAGAACAGAAAGCGTAGGCATCTTATTGGCGTGTTTGATGCTACCTTATATAATCTCGATAGTCAAAGGCTGATGGCGAAAGAAGATGGCCGTAATTGTTCACTACGGTCAAAATCTATCTTGTTACAATACCGCACCAACATCAGTCTGGAGTCTTAGCAAGGTCGGGATGAGCCGTGCCCTCCAACTCTTGATCAACAGCTCAAACGGAGTTGGGCTCCCTTACGAGGGTAGATTTCGTGTCGATGACAGTGTTTTGGAACAGTTTCCGGAAGGCACAATAGTCATATCAGCAAGTCGATTTCGCTCGTCAGGATGGACCAATACTGCCCTGCTGCATCTTCGCCTATCTGACGGCTCTGAGGAGCGATACTTCCTCAAGTCAGCCCCTGGATATCATGGCCGCGTCATGATGGAAGGCGAATACAGTGCTATGACAGAACTGTTCAAATGGGCTCCCGAACTGGTCCCAAAGCCACATTCTTGGGGCGAATATTCTCTCTCAAGTCCCGAGGCTTACTTCTTTATCATACAATATATTGAGAACACAGGAGATATGCCAGATGCAAATCAGCTTTGCTCCAAACTGGCGGTACTCCACTTCAAGAGCCAGTCTCCTAACGGTCAATTTGGTTTCGATGTCACCACTTGTCAGGGCTGGGTGCCACAAGCAGTAGCATGGCAGAGAAGCTGGACAGCATTCTTTACTCAGCTCCTCAAGCACGTGACTAATATGAACGCCGATGTAAATGGATACTGGGAAGACCTCGATGTACTGGAAAAGAGGCTGGTCGCAAACGTAATTCCCCGACTGCTCGACGCGCTGGAGCGAAACGGACGCACTGTCAAGCCCTGCTCGATTCACTCCGATCTCTGGGAGGGAAATACGGCCACGTCTCTTCAGGATGGTAAAGTCTTCATTTTCGACTCAGCCGCATTCTATGCCCACAACGAGATGGAGATCGGCAGCTGGCGCTGCTACTACAACAGGATTAGTGACGAAGACTACACGAGTGCGTACTTGCGCCATGTTGAGCCTAGCGAACCCCGGGAGGAGTGGGACGACAGAAATCAGCTCTACAGCATCTACTACAATGTCATATATTCTGTGAATCACCTCGACCATGGAATAGCCGTCCGTCAGAGGTGAGTATCCTCTAATCTTACCCAAACTCCACCCAGGCGGCTAGCGTTTCTATAGGGCTTACTTGGACATGTATGCTCTCATTGATAAGTTTGCGCCCTTTCCACCTGGTGAAGGTCCACCTAGACTGGCTAAGTCGAGTATGGTGTCCTTGTCTGAGGAGCGGGATCATACCAAGTTTTGAACATTCGGTTTCAGGACTCAGTTAGACATCCAGGTTGGATCTAGGATAGTGGTTGGGTAGTATTCTTTGGGGAAATATTGAAAACTTCAAACGTCATTCAGAATGTCTCTCATTCGGCACATTTACAAGCCCCTACAGAACACTCGATTTCTCTTCTGGATGTAGTCAAAACAGAGCTTCTACTGTTAAAGTAAAATTTCCAACTCGGCTATGCCGTTTGCGAAACAAAACCAGCACTGACAGATGGGCAGCTTATTGCATCCGCTCCGATTGCGAAGGGTACGATACTCCCAAACGGATATATCTCAATCCTAAATTACAAGCCCCGAAGTGACAAAAACTAGGCCAACTGTTTCCGCAGTGCTATCCAGCCTTATCTGGAGGTGTAAGCATCTATCCAATTGTCTTAGTTGAGAAAAGAACCAAAGAATGTAATCGTTCTTGACATGCTTTTTTAGGGGGGCATTATGGATATCCCGGCTTCTGCGACTGCTATAATGAGAATGCAACCTGTGAGGCCACCTAAAAAAGAAAAGCGGGCAATATATATAGACTAGTCTTGGATGAGCTATAGGGCTGCTATATACTGGGTCTCCGTGTATACTGATATTTATGACGAGCTATAATCTTACGAGCGATATGCTTAGAGCAAGGCTGCCAGCCGTGGTTTTTGTTATGCACACAGATCACATAACGTGATAGTGCACGCGGGTATCAACAGTGGAACAGTACTCCGCGCCAACGGATGCCTATTCAAGTGCCTCGCTGTCAAGCATATCATGTTTTTACAAGCAACAGTCTTAGACAGGAGAGCTTCCTCCTATACCTAGAGAAGTCGTACTCAAAAAGTCTGCGACTGCGCAGGGCGTTCCTCCCATCTTTGTCTTTTCCTCGTCCTCATGCTGCTTTCTGAGCAGGATGTTCAGCAACGCGCTCCATTTTACCATGTTAGCATCCATGTAAGGAGGCAAGCCCACAAACGGGTTCCCGGGTATCTCCTTCTCTAAGATCGCCATCGGTTTCAAAAACCAGGGGTTTTCCCAGCTCTTCTGGTCCAGCCAGTGGTATACGCCGTAAACGACACTCTCGAGCGCGCCGACAACCCAGGCATGTGGGGACTCGTGGCCTCACCGACATTGACGACGTTTCCGGTCCGGCGAATCATTTTCTCCCACAGGGTGCTAAACTTCTGCGGCCGGAAGAGGGCAAAGGCACCGGCCGTCGTCGGGTCTGCGCCCCAGTCGTAGGCGTGGTGGTCGACGTAGTTGTCGCTCATGAGCCGGTAAAGCGCTTTGTCGTCCATACCATCGTTATGTGCAGGTAGACGAGCTCGCGGATGAGCACTTCCTTGAGCTCGGCCTCAGCGTGGACCTTTTCCGCGTGGTCCTTGCTGCTGGAGACAAGCGCCGCCAGGCGCTGTGCATCCTGTTGCCAGCTGTAGGAGCAGAGTAGCACGGCCGTCTTAATTTTGTCGTCACAGATGTTGTAGGACGGGTACACGCACGTGCGCATGTTCATATCGGAGTAGCTAAACCCGCCAAACTTGATGCTGTACTTACCCAGATCGTGGATCCACCAGGCACGCTTAAATTTGATGGCCACCTTGGTAGCAGAGCCGTAGCCAAGCGAGCGGATGGCTAGCTTGGTGTCGTATCAGTGACCGCCTGGATCCGGCGATCCAATTTTCGAAAAGTAGAGAAAAGAAACTGTAGGCGTCTTATTGGCGTGCTTTGTAGCCTCGGCCGGCAACGGCCGCGTGATCTGCATCTGGGACGCCATCACGGGCGAGTGCATCGGCACCATGAAGGCACACGAGAACCTGGGGCGCAGCCTGCACATCGCCACCAGCTAAGCAGCCACCAGCCAAGCAGATAAGTGGGGGTTGTTTCCAATATTTGACAGGGGGATGATTTTGAGTTATGGGTGCCCAGAGAAAGCGTGTGTTGTTATGTGTAGCTGCTTCCGACTTGTGCCGACATGCTCCACTCGACGCACCAGAAAGGTGACCACGTATGCTGTCTCTGTCTCCAGCGACCCGCCAGCCTCGTCGTCTGCATCACTGTCATCTGGCGCCGTCAACTTGACGCAAGATACTGCCATTGGTTGTCCTAGTATCATCTCAAAGACATGTCTGTCTAAGGATACTCAGATCAGTACTGCTCCGTTGGTGGAACAGCCGAGGTAGCTGTACCCGGTCACCGATTTTGTGCCCAATGATGCCAGGGCCGTCGCAGAATATTGGCCGTAGTATTCGGGGTGCGTCATAGTTCGCGAGATCTATGCTAGACACTTCCTGACAATACTACTCTGTATAATAAATCTAATTATTATGCTAGAACCAATATAGGTAAATCTTGCTTTCCAGAGAATTGTGGCTCAACATGAAAGTGCCGGCTTGGCTATGCTCGACAACAGATAGTGCAAAGAAAGGCCATGCGTATTACATAAAGCTGTGCTGCCTGTTCTCGTCCGGATCGTTATTCCAGTGGGTAAAACCCTCACGTATAGACGCACAAACTTCTCTCACAAACTCAGGCTCAGATACCTCGGGTACTCCCAAAGAACCGGGCGTCTAGCCAACCGAGAATATCAAGCTTCCTCCCCTGACGCTCACCACACTCAAGACCAAAGGCTCGGCGATAGGACTAGTGCAGTGAGAGAATACCATCTTCGTCAACGCACAGCGCCGGACTGATGGTCTCTGGGAGCCGCTCTGTACGTCCGAGAACGCGCCCAAATTGCTGACGTCGTAGGAGCCATCACGCGGCTGTCCGATCAATCCTGCCGTCCACTTCCGCATGTTGGGCACATGGCACAGAAGCCCTATGGGCTGGTTTTCCGTGATGGTTGCGCCCAGAGCCAACTTTTCCGTAAGTAGGCGAGCGGTAGCTTAGTCGGCTTCAGACAGCGGTGACGACTCGTTCACGCGTGGGTGCGACTGGAAGCAGCCGGTGACAAAGAGGCCCATCTCATCATCTGAAGCTCCCAATTTCAGGCCGCATATTAACGGCCGTGTGCGACAGCCAGTTGGTGACCTTGAGTCTGGCACCACCTTGTCGAGAGCCTGGATGATCAGCTGGTGCATGACGGCCGCGAGCTTGGCGCCGTACTTTCGAGCAACGCGGAGTACCTTCTCTACATCCGCGCTGCCGATCTCGAGCAGCTGGATCCGGGTGGCAGCAGGGTCGCTGGGATCGATAGACATCGGAGGACCAGTCCATGTGCCCGCGTCGTTCCTGGCCACACCCGCCTTGAGACTACACAGTGTACCGAGCCATTTTGGAAGAATGGCGCCTAGAAGCGGTGCTATGAGGTAGCCCCACGATATGGAAAATCGTTCTGATGTGTCAAACGGGAGGTCCAGCTCCCGGTCTGGTGCGATGCGCAACGTGGACTTTGTCTGCTCGGCTTCGACGGGCTTGTGCAACGCTTCGAGCAGCGTGCGAGAAGACAAACGTAATGAGACAATGGCTCTGACCAGAGCATCCCGCAGACAACGGCAATACCACCACTCTCCAGGGCGGATAAGCATAAGTCCATGGGAGTTCGAGGGCAGACAGGTAGTGCTGCTCAATCTTCGACAATTTATCCACGGCCTCGTCCTCGCCTAGGACAATCTGAATGTGGCTGGTCAGGTCCATCGTGGGCGCCCGCTTGTAGAATGCTTTTTCCGTGTGCCTGTCTTTGACAACGACTGCCAAGGCAGCATGTCTGTCGATGCAGTATCTCAGCGGCCAAACAAAGAGCAAAGATCTGATGAAGCCATATGTCGCATCCTCGAACTCGTAAATACCACCGACGAGAACAGAATGATAGAAGCCTAGATCCTCGCGGACGATCGTCCGCACTTCATCGGGGCCTGTTTGAAGAGCATTGTGAGCAAGTCATATTTCGCTTTCGATGGGACTGATATACCTACTAGCAAATCTCATTATGGGCTGTTATTGGTGTCAACCGAATACAATATAAACAACACAATGAGTTTCTCTGCTGACTCGAGAACACGGCCCCAACGAGGACTTATATCCTCCGTGGCTGTGATTGATGCTAGTCCCGAAATGGGAAAAAGTCTCCGGTTAAGTGGATCACATTATCAGAAGGCTGGAATCAGATACTCCGGAGGCATCAAACCACGCCAGCTTTTGCACAGAGATGAAGACCTGTCAATCCATAAGTTCGTGTGCAGCCTGCTATCGGAGCAAGGAGAAGTGTCAATGGGACTGCAGCCAACAGGCCTGCTCGAGATGCTCTCGCTTAGGCAAAGCCTGTCATCCAAGGACCAGGAAGCGAATTGGCCAGCCCCCTCTGATCAAAACTTTTGGTCACGGGGCCTCTGGACTGTTCAGCCTTTCTACCTGCAACAGTATAGAATCAGGTCAGCAACCAGCCAATAGATATTCTTCCAAAGGCAGGACCGGTGGGTCACAGCTAGATCCAACGCCGGCTCTGCATCTCAAGATGGTGTATGGGATCAGTGGCACCTCCTACAAACAGCTTCAGCACATTCTCACGACAGACGATGGATTTCTCCGTCTACATCGCCACAGGTTGATTGCCAGGAGTCTGTCGTCGCACTACCAGCCAGCACACCGTCCGGCGGCTTTTCGGCCACTCGCCTCTCGTCCTTGCCAATGCCTACCAGTGCGTTTTCGACATGCTCAGTGCTCAAAGCCCAGAGTTCAACAGGTACAGTTCCGCTTTCATCGACCTGGCTATGGGTGCAATCTGTCTCCGAGAGCTTGTCCGGTCTCCAGAAACCTTGGGGAGCGTCGAAGACGCCGCCCTCGTCTTGATGCTTGGCCAGGTCCTGTTCGTCTACAACGTCCTGATCTCATAGCCTTGCAGGCACATCATCGTGCGCAGCGCGCTTCCAACAGCCAGAGAATAGTATCCGGTGTTGCTGAAGACCACTGAATGGGACCCAACCACTTTGACACCCGTATTCGTTGACACAGTCCAGTGCCTCGTTCGTCGTGAGACTCCCGTTCTACGGCTACACCTTGCCGGTCATCTAGTGGTTGACCGGTTCCTGGGTATATCAACGTCGCAGTTTCCACTACTTTACGATCTATGCGCTGCTAGCTACCGCGTCCATGCCCCTGCGCCGATACCGACAACCTCAACTGACAAGCAGGGACGAGACGACGACGCCTATTCTTCTTTCGAACGCCAGATTCGCTCCTGAGAACCAGACTTTCCATCAGATTGCAAGTACACTCCTGTTGAGACCTCTGCCCTGCTGGCACAAGGCCGAATGTACAAGACTGCCGGCCTCCTTCTCGTCTACCGCCTGCGATATCCGCTTGGAGTTTCCGACGAGATCGGAAAGCGATACGCTCAAATCACGAAGGCTGCTGAGAGAAGAGCCCATGCCCCTTACGCTTCTTCATAGTGCACATAGTCCTTCCACGCTAACCGTACAGCCCCATCCGAGTAGCTTTGAAGACTCGGACCGTCCTGAGTTATCTCCTTTCATAGCCTTCTAAGCCAGGTCGGAAGGACTCTGTACTGAAATGGCACGATATGTTGGCAGCTTGAAATCCATCCAGTTTGGGGAAAACGAAGTCCAGAAACTGATCAGTGCTGCAGTTTCTGCACGATTCATTTTTCTGGTGAGGCTGAACCTGGCGAGGTGGAATAGTGTGCGGCCGTCTGTAATATATGGCGTTTATTTTTTAGAAAAAGGCCAGATAAAATCAAGGTATTTTTTGGAGCTGCTGTTATGAGCGCAAAACGAAACGGGATCATCTTTGAGAAATGTTTTCAAAGGTTCAAATCTTCCTTCTCCCCAAAGGCTATCATCAACGTGGACTTTTGAGAGAGCTGGCCTTTTATTATTTTGTGGCAGGTTTTTGCAAAATCCGTAGTCCCGTTGGCGACTGAGATTTTTGGATGTGCTTCGTGTCCAGATTTTGCAACGGAATACCGTATTCTGGGCCCCATTGATTGCCGGTTAATGGCCAGATGGGCCAGGTGATATGGCAGTGTTGCACGCCATTCTGTTTGAACTGTATCCCGCAGCGTGCACGCCGGAATAAGACCTTCAGATTGACCGAAGGGTGATTGTGTGGAGTTTAGTTGATTGCGCCACTCTTGGCTCCATTTATGAAGCCTGCCACATCTGTGGCAATAGAGCAGATTCGAAGGCGCCCGTTCGAAGCAAAGTAGAAAATTATGTACATGTTTGCGAGGAATCTCCTCTTTTGGGGGGAGGCAAAGGGAAAAAATGGACACGCAGGCCAGGCTGAACGAAAGTCTTTCATAAGTTTCAAGGAGGCCGTTGATTCTGGATATCAGCTCGATGGGCACAGACAAATTCTGAGGAGGCCGTTGAACTACCGGCAACTGGCGTTGTTGGATGACGGTCAAATCGACGGGACAGCCAGAAGCGACATTGTCGAATCGAGAAACAAACATGACGATATACCTGCTTTGCTATGTCGGTAAGGGAAGGGGGGTTCGTAAATTTACCACAGTATCGACGAGGACGACCCAAAGACACCGTATTCTTTGTGTCGGGGCTGCGACCAAAGCTCGCGATCCTTCGCCATTCAGTTTTATGCGTAAAGACATCAATGGTAGAGCATGCGTACCTCGAGTCGAAAAGAGGTAGAATAGTGTTTGTCAAGTATACCTAAGCGCAAGTAATATAAGTCTCTGCATCCTGAGGCAATAAAGGAACACTGCATGGCTAACCCGCCTGGCAGAAAGAGGAGGTAAAAAAAAAAAAAAAAAAAAAAAGAGTGAGACTGAGTCAGGCGGAGTTCAGCCTTAAAAGGCACAGCATCACGGACAAGAGAGGGAATTCAAGATATTGAGTTTGAGGCACAGTTTTTGCCGTGTCGTGGTGTCCTGGCTGCAAGCTGTGTCTAGGGGAGTCCAGAAGTGGTCATCGACATCGGCATATGAGCGTGATACTTGCAGATAGAGCTCTGAAGCAGCCATAGTTACAGCCAGCACAAACAACACTGTCTAGATGGTTGACACAGCGGCTGTTCTGGATATCGGCCTCATATTTCTGTCTGCTCTCAAAGATCTGGCTAGCCTGCTGGGCAAGAATCGCCAGCGGTCAGCCGACGAATGATAAAGACAGATAGTCCAGCCTGGTCTCGCTGCGGGCTCAAGCGGTTGCACGTCTTGGCCGTACTGCCATGGACATATTGAGATCACTGTGTGCTACTACGAGGCGTCTCTGATGTATTGGCCCAAGTCATCGTGGGTTTCGTGGCTGTCCCAGGTCTACCAGTTGCTCGTGTGGCCTCTAGTTGAATTTCTGGGAACCTGCCACCCGACTTAGGACGATTATTCCCCAAGCTGTCACTCGTCACTAGCCAAGTCTAAGCGAGATCTGTCCGTCACCATCCGATATGTTTCCGCAGGCGTCTGCCTCGCCTCGTCTCGAGCAATCCAGATAGGCCGACGCGTAAAAGGCGTCGTCGTCTACCTGTCCCCGCCAGTTGCTCTATGCAGCCGCCGTTATGGCCATGTGCTCGCCCGCCCAAGAGGCGACACGCAAGCACTTGCCTTCATCGTCACCTGTCAACCGCCTGGCGGCCGCATCTAGTGTAGCGCAAGATGCGTTGATTGGGGGCTGGGGCAGCTCAGATCTAGCCCGGATCACAGCCGGCAGTTTCAGTGCCACGGTTGACGATGGGCTTGGCAGTGCTGCATTCCAACGATAGCACAAAAAGGTACTCCTTACAGAGTAGAAACGGTCGCCTCCTAACCAGATATGACAGTGCACTGGCCCACAGTGGGTCACTGACACTGTTCGCCTGCCCCTCCTTCCCTCCCTACAGCGGCAGGTACGACGGCTGTCACTTTGTCCCATTGATTGGCTCCCTTGTACGCCCGATTCAAACGCCCCTTCCTCGTACTCGCCTGTTTCCACTGTTGCGCTGTCTCAACCTATTGTCCTGCTGAACATCAATATCTTCTTGCTATTCAGCTTCTTCACGAAACAAATACAAAGAACTTGCTCTCTCGTCCATGCCCAGTCATTGTTCGCCTCCCAACTGTTTCTAAAGAAGCCCCACTTTCTCCAACTGGAATGCATCCAAATAAGTCAGTGTGCCTGAATATCACTTCGCGTTGCAGAATGGCTGGACTCTGCCTCGTCTCCCGTGAGCTTTGGAACGCAGACTATTATCCAGATCTCGCAATCAGAGGCTATGGCTGGAATGCAGCGTAAGCCAGCCTGCGTGCACAACCGCCTCCGTGGACAGGTCGTCCCACATTTGGCTTCTTCTTTAAGAAAAACCTTCGGCGCTTATGACACCGGCATCCAGCCGCCCTTAACCTTGCAAGGCCTCCATTATGGCTCCTGGGCCTCAACTGGCTATTCACTTCCACGGCTCCTCTCTGGCCTCTCTACTCGGGCGACGTCTCACAGACCGAGCATCCTCAGCGAGCGATGGCAATAGATGTTCTGCTAGCGTGGTCGCTGTGGAGGTGGAGAAACTCTGCGTCTACTATTTGAACCCTTCACCATTCCAGTGGCCGGCGGGATTTCTCCTCTCTTTTCATATAAAGCGTTTTGTGCTGCACATATACGCTAGAACCCACCTCTGGCATGCTTCCGTCTCACCTACCGTGCTAAGCTTCCTAACTTGTCGCCATTCCTCTCTTCCTTACGGCCTCCGCTGTGTCCGCTTTGGGCTTAATTCTCACTTTCTTCCTTCCCCAGCCTCTCGTGCCTGTGGAAGGCGAGGCTATCAGGACTCTGGGACAGTGGTCTTTCTTTCTCACCCCTACTAGCCGGCGTTGACTGTGGCTGGGCCAGTTCTAGCTTTGCTCATCCTCAGTTTCAGTAACGAAGAACAGGAGAGATTTGTCACACCGTCAGGAACGTTGATGGCTTTTCTTGCCTCTCGATTTTCGCTTCATACCTTGGCTTGCGTAGGACTGGTTCCTTATAAGCTTTTATCTCACTTGTATAAAGACAACACCCCTTTTACTGCCTTTGTCCATTCACGGACGGCACTGAACAGTCAAGTCACCACCCGAACAGCAACCTCGACAACAGCGACCTCGTGCACGAACAAAGGGCGAAGTCGTCCTTTCCAACGGTAACTGCACGCGACTACATAACAGCAGCAACTCTCCAATTCCACCCTCCACTTGAACCTTTTTTCTCTCGTACCATTTCAAACAGACCGCTTTTTCGGCACGTCATATCTGCCATCAACAACATGCATTCTAGATCTATCGCCCTGATCTTATCCCTGCTGGCTGCCTCAGCCCAGGCTACAACCTATTCTCTCGTCGACACATTCGACTCCACCAACTTCTTCTCCACATTCGACTTCTTTTCCAGCTCGGACCCCACCAATGGCTTCGTCACATATACCACAGCCTCCGAAGCCAGCGGCAGCGGCCTTGCCGGCTATGTCAACGACATGGTCTACCTCGGCGTTGACCACACCACCGTTGACCCCACCAGCGGTCGGGAGTCTACCCGGGTAACTAGCCAGAGCTCCTACACCAAGGGCCTCTTCGTAGCCGACATTGTCCACATGCCCGTCGGCTGCGGCGTCTGGCCCGCCTTGTGGACGTTGGGCCCCAATTGGCCCAGCGGCGGTGAGATCGACATCATCGAGGGAGTCAACAGCCAGACCACCGACGAGATCACGCTGCACACAGCCTCGGGCTGCACCATGAGCAACACAGGCTCATCATCCGCCACCAAATTCACCACTGGTACTGAAACTGTCGATTGTGGCTCCGATGACGGCTATGATGGCTGTGCACAATCCACCACGGACACCAACAACTACGGTACCGGCTTCAATGACAATGGCGGCGGTGTGTATGCCATGGAGTGGACGTCCGACTTCATTTCCGTGTGGTTCTTTTCCCGCTCCAGCTCCATAGCATCGACCCTTACCAGCGGCTCCGCTTCCCCCGATAGCTCCACATTTGGCACTCCGACCGCCCGCTTCTCTGGCTGCGACATCGACTCGTTCTTCTCTGATCACCAGATTGTCATCAACACAGATCTCTGTGGCGACTGGGCCGGAAACGTGTGGAGCGAGGATGCAACCTGCTCGGCAAAGGCGAGCACCTGTACCACATACGTCCAGCAGAACCCCGAAGCCTTCACGGAAGCCTACTGGTTGATCAACAGCATCAAGGTCTACCAGCAGTCGTCCAGTTCCAAGCGTGAGGCAGCGCTGCAGACGCCAGTGAAGCCAGTTCCCTTTATGGCATAATAACCCTCTTCCTTTTCCTCCTGCTATATCCTCGAGCTCCTCAACAAATTCCCTTCATGAAGCAACGCCTGCCCTCAGATCCCCACGTCTCTCATTCGCATGTCTCTTTCTCTTCCTCATGACCTAATACCCCCATTTTCCTACGTTGATATAATCTCAGCCTATGCCAATACCCAATCCAATGCCCACTCCACCAAAACGCACCTCTTTAATGCCTCACTTCACATCCTCCACCATTACACTACCGCTGCACGGCATAGTTTCTATCAAATCTCACTGGTTTCATCATTTCTCCGGCGTTTAGAAAAAATGTTCGTGGCGGCAATTTGTGACATACGCTGCAACTTCCCCTTGCATATAGACACTGTCAACCTTCACTTCTCTTGTACAGATTTATGCAGTTTAAATTTGATGCTTAATGCTTTCTTCTTGAAGCCACTAGACCTGTTGATATGTCCCAAACATTGAAGTGTGAACAGACAAGACAAAAAGAGGTGTATTTAAAAGCAAGAACAACAAGGTAAGCGAGGTGAACGAAACGCCGCTAGTGACAAAGCTGAAGAGTTAGTTGTAACGATGCTGTACGCCAGGATCGAAGAGATGCTGGACAGCGTGGCTAGGTTAAAATGGACCACATGCTTATCTAATGGTGTGATTCTCACTTCGAAACGAAGCCAGGGTAGCGACATATCGTGGTCACGTCTATTTGTGCCATGTTGCCTCGTTGTAGGTTTCCAGTCAGCTTGTCGCATAACCCGCTTCCTTACAATCGCAGCTAAAGGCTGCAAATTTTTTGACTGCCCTGATCTGTACTCTTTATCAGATAAATAACCTTTCAGACCTACAAAATCCGGAGGAGAATAGGAGAAATTGTTTCCATTTTGAAACAAGTCCTCAAGCTTATATATGCTGTATATATCCACTAATGTAGTTTCCGATAAAGCTGGTAAAGGTTACTTAACGGCCTTCGTGAAGTGGCAGTAGGAATTGGAATCAAGGCAGGTTTGTTTGACCGATAGCGTCGTGTGATGTCTTGCTCGGTAGAAGATGATCAAAGGAAAATAAGGATCAGTGATATCACAGAAGCACAAGCGACCTTAAGCTGGACAAAATACGAACTAAGCTATTCAACACCTGGCTAAGAATTTACACAGCCTCTGAAAATCAAACACAACAGCGGACTTCAATACTTTTTCTGCAACAAATGATATTATGCCACTGGGAGCAGGGCAACGCATGTTGTGTTGTGTGTGTTTTAGGAAACGACATACGTATGTCTTCTAAAAATTCAAAATACTACGCGTATACTCCCGCTGCACAGTATATCTAATATCTTATCTGCCTGCCCATTTTTGGTCTCCCAGATTATTTGTTTCTTGCCCCCTTTTTTGCCAGGCCATCTTTGATGTAATCGTATGCGCCCCCACTGATGGACGCGTGTCTCCTTTCCCCTTACGATGTTCGACAACTTGATGTATACGGAGTATAGCCGTGCATATGACGCTTGCTTACGGAGTACTCTTGCCTGACTGTGGACGGCAGAGCCCAACAACGATGTGGGAGGCAGGGCTTTGAATGTTGCAGCCTGGTCAGAAAGCATCATTGCGACTTGTGCGGTGGGCCAATGAACCCGAGAATAAGGATGATTACAAGGATGATTACAAGGATGAAGGACAAGTTCTAAATGTCGGGTTAGAATCGTGTAGTGGCTGCTCTGAACCGTCGTCCTGGCGCCCACCAAATAATGTTTTACGTTGTATACGGCCGATCAATCTGTTCAGCAACGTTGTCATCTCGTTGTTCGAGTGCCATGAGAGCACAGAATGTTCGTCTTCTCTATTGTATATTGTTCCTACCCATACTCCTTTGTGCATTTACACCCCAAATCAGGCTGGCCGCACACAAACCATCCAGACCAGAAGAAAGTAAAAAGACGGAAGAGTCAAAAAAATATATATAACATTTGAAAGGAATAGTGAGAAAAAATGGAATCGTTCGAGAACAGCACCCCACATGCTGCTTCTACCACCTGGAGTCCCGTTCTCCCTTCCCAAAAATGGGAAGGACGAAAGCCAAACGAGTCGGAACAGTTTGAAAATAAACAAAACAGGAGGTTAAACGGGGAAATGAATAGAAACCCGGTATGGTATCTTGCATTGACTTTTCAAGTCTACGCCAACACCTTGACCCCTCCCAGCCCGAGGTGCTTCCATAAGGAATCCTCAACCTCGTGTCGTAAAGAAACGAAGGCGTGTTATACACAGAAGATGCCTCTGAACGAAAACTGACAATAAAGGGATGCACAGGCGACCTCCAAATGCAACGCCACTTCCTCGTGAAATGAAATATACTCTCAGATCAGAAGATGGATAGAATACCCAGAGTATGAGTTTGATACTAGAACGTCGTCAGGGTCGTATGAGCGCTAAGCTCAAGCGTGCGTCGTCAAAGAAAGGTCTTAGGATGTCTCTCTCCGATCAGAGCTTGACTTTTCGACCAGTGAGCTTGAACCAAACGATGCAGAGGAAATCCTCCTTAAATCGTTCCCACCACGACCGGTTGAGGTAGTAGCTCAACTCGCGGTAGTTGTACATCTCGCCCCAGCAGTCGCGGCCCCACTCACAACCAGCCATGTTGACCAGAAAATCGCGGTCCTTCTGGTCATAGTGATAACGCGTGTTGTTGCCGTTCTCAGAGCAAGCGCCCTGGGGAAAACTGTTGATCATCCGCTGCGGCAAAAATCCAGTGTGCTGGCGAATCCACGGCTGGGCGATATAGAGCTGCTCCAGAGCGTCCTGCTCCTTGTGCTCCCAGTCCATATGCTTCTGCTCATAAGCCACGGGATCCCACCATACATCCAGGAGCCGATCGGTCCACTCGCTCTTGCGAATAAAGAAAGAACCGAGATTGAAGCCAGAGCAGTCCTGCGATAAGACGAGATTGACCGAATCCGGCTTCCCATCACCGGCCACGTTTCGAGAAAGCGTGTCCAGGTATGGATCATTAAGCGGGTGGGGGATGTTCAGTGGATTGTAATCGTTGATGTCGCGGTAAATGTGGTCCTGAAGGTTGTTGAATATGTGGTCCTGCAGCGAATAGGACGGCTCCATGACATAAGTGTTCAAATCCAGCCACCAAAACCTGCAGAGTAGTTTGTTAGCACAGCTCCAATTCAGCTAATAGAGACGAGACGCACCATTCGGCATTGGGATATTTGCGCAACGCTTGTCGGATGAAATCGACCTTCTCCCAGCTCTCGCGCCATTCGTGCGCATAGCGCTTCTTCGTGCTCATGTCCACGATTTCTAGATCGTAGCCCCAACGTGCGGCGTATCGCTTCTTGTTTCGCGTGCTATCCCTCTCGATCGCCCATTCTCTTGCACCTTTCCATTCCATGACGCCACCTCCAACGTTTGCCGCCAAAATGATGACAAATTTCTCGCCGCCTCCTAGCCATGATGTTCTCCGCCAGTAATACAGAAGAGCTGTTACTCAAAGGTCAGTATTTAGTGATTTTTCCCAGTAGAAGCAGTAGCAAAATAGGTGATAAAGGGGTGCTCACGGGTGTGGAAAAATACGTAGGCGCATATTAATAGCAAAGAGGCCATTAAGACGCGAATCTTTAGTTTTCTTCCCATGCGTGCAAATAGGAGTCGGAAGCGCCCACCCCACGATGCATTCGTCCCTTCCGCAAAGTGGTGGCCATGCTTTTCCTTGTCGGCATGCCTGGTGTTGTTGTGGAAGCGAGGCAGGCTGCTCGATAACTGGCGCATATGTCGGGTAAAAAAGCCCTGGTTTTGCGTTGAGAAAGAAGGGTATTTGCTTGTCCCAGCATTGCGAGAGCGTGTCGACTCCCAAGCACCAGATGCGGCCCCGTTGGAGTCCGCGCCGAAGCCTCGAGATGGACTAGACCGGCCACTGCCGTGGATGTTCAGACCGGGACTCGACCACCCGCCGCCAGGACTTGGTGATGGGCTTCGTGAGAGAGGCATGACGATGTTCGGGGTGCCTAAATTGGAGATAAAAGACATGTGTCAACAAAAGTCTGCTGAAAACAAAAAGCCAGCAAGGGGTGTTGGGAGTCAGGCAATATTTGCTCCGTTTATTTTCGTTATCTGGACATGGGACGAATGCGCGTTTGCGGGTGCATACCAGGTATTGGTGACAGGGGACCCTGCCGGGCGCTCACCCCCAGGAACTGAGAGCCAGAAGAGTCGTTCAGCGGTAATGATTGGGGCGGACCAATGCTAGAAGAACGGCGACGATGCGACCGCGAAGGTCTGTCGCTAAAGGACGAAGAAGACGCGGTGGAGAGCGTAGAAGCCAGTGCTGTGGTAGTTGTATCCGCGCCACCAGATGGCACTCTACGGGCCAAGCTGGTCACGGACAAAGAATTGGGTGATATGGATAGAGGGGGTGATGAGAATAGGAGGATGAAAGAAAAGTGTGCAGAACAGGACGAGTCTCCTGGAGAAATGGAAGAAACAAAGACCAAGATCTTGAAAAACAAACGCTAGAATCGTCACGAAATAGTAGTCTCCAGTTTTTTCGCCCTTCTTTTCTCAACCAGGTTTGGTTTTCGAAGCCTTTCTTCTTCGGTTATCCTTGCTGATTGCCCAGTCCGTTCGGGGCCACGCGCCGTTCGTTGCAGGCGCCTTTTCGGGTGTTGGGTGTTTGGACGAACGTGGCCGCAAATGTGCAGATGCAGCAATCGGGCGATGTGGCGGTTTCTCAGGTGAACGAGTGACTAAAAAAGGGTGTGTGGGTTTTGGTTGGCCTAACTGGAATTTTAAGGACACTTGGAAGATATGCCGAATAGTGATTAAAGGGGGAAACTCAAGGCAATGCAAAACACCGGTAGCCGAGAGCTGTCGAACAAGAAAAAGAAAAAGAGAAAGAAAAAGTCGAAGAGGTAGAGAATTGGGTCGCACGCCTTTCGGAAAACACAAATTGTGTTCTTCTTGGGTTACGCATAGGTATCCAATGTGGCGGGTCGCATCTAATGCGTCGTAGTCTGACGAGTGCTGATGTCGAGCGTTATGAATTACTGCCACCGATACGAATGTCTCGCCGTGAAGATGACCAAAGGAGGAGAATAAAGAGCAGATTTTAGTGTTCTCTTTCTCTTTTGTCGCTGATTCTTCTTCTTCGATTTTATGGGGCATGCGAACAATCGAGCTCGTCATAAAGGGGTCGTGAAGTCGTTCTTTCCTTAAAGCGTTATCTGGCAATTGGCCGCCAAATTTTTCGGCCCGCCTTGCCTTGCAGATTCTGAGCTCTCGTTGGCTCGATTAGCATTGTGATAATGCTGGCAACACTTGGCTTTTACTTATTTCGCAAGCGAATTACGACTTGATCACCCCTATCCCCTACCTTATTGACTTCTCACCCTGATTTGGGGCACTAGTTAGCGTCGCGTCAATCGGTGGCATTAGACGATTTCTTCAAGCCCCTGAGAGATGCGCCTCTAAAATTAGGGAGATGCACGAGAGGGATGCTCAGACTGGATTAAAGCTACGAGGATATCAATGGCTAATGCCAGTAGAAGATAAGTGCTGTGTGATTTTCAATGCTTTCCGCAGAGGCTGTTGGTTGCTGACATTGTACTATGTATCGCGAAGTGATTTCGCAATTGTTCATCGTAGGTGTGAGGGACGGCATCATCATTTCGCCAATTCACGGTGCAGCACAACGGCCGTTGCTAACATCCATACAGCAGGGCAAAATACGCGTACTATCTCACATATACCAACTATCTTACTCCGTACATAGTACTATGTATCTTATTTTAAATTTCTCTCTAACGAGTATCTTACTGACTCCCGATATCGACATTAATGGAAACGCCTATTGCTGTCTCCACAGGGAGAATGGGAAATTGGATAAGACATCTACGACGTATAAAAATGTATCAGGCGTGTGGAAGTTTTGTCGAGTGCATATATAATAGCAAGTAAAAAACCGTGACCTACGAAAAGGCTTGTCTACGCATTAGCAATACGATACGGGTAAGCATGGCCACGTTCCAATTCGTATAAGGATCTCAGCAAGTAAAAAATCAGCAAGATACGAGCAAGACACCCCATATACTTCACAGGATTCGGAGGCAGGGATCCTGTTCCTACATACAATGTATGTTACAAACACTGAGGCGTACGTGAAATACATAGTAAGATACGAGCATGGAAAGCTACAGTACATATGGAGTACGGAGTACATAGCTACTTAATAGACACCATTTGCAGGGGTCAAATTACCATGCGTGGCCTGAGGGATGAAGAGCAAATGCGGTTAGAAACATGTGTATCGGCGGGATGACAGCGGCAACCCCTTTTGCTTGGCCCCTTTTGCTGGACCGCCTACATAGTATTTCAAGAATCTTACTACGACATAAGATACAATGTACTTAGTACTTCGTACGGAGTACCTGCGGCCACATACGAGCAAGTCTCACGTATTTAAACTCTTGAGGGTCGGAAGCCAGAAGAATAAAAGTCCGTCTTGCTCCCCTCTTTCGCCAAAATTATTTTTTACATAGTTTTTCTCATACCAAATCATCGTTTTCTAACGTATCTTCCCATATTAGGCACAAACTTGCATAATTCGCGCGCTGCATCGCCAGAACCAACCTTACTACTTACGGAACCATTGGCGATTTAGTGGGTACAAAGCATGATTGCTGGAAGCTAAGTGGATCGGTGCCGATTATTGGTAAAGTCACGTGCTTATTTTGCAAGTATTTTGTGTCCCTTATTTAGGTCAAGATAAGGTAAGATAAGAGACGACATGTAATACACCGTACGCCGTTCTCACATAAGATACTTTTAAGATGGCGCAGTCGTCGCCAACGAACTCCTCACTGTTATCCGGCGACCGTTGTATACGGAATACAGAGTATTACGGAGTAAGATACAACGTTTTGTAAGGCACAGTGCCAGACTCTTTACAAAATATCTTATTTCGCGGTGCTCCGTAAGATAAGATACATATATCATTGCAAATATGTTCTTATTCGTATTAAGAACGTATGCAAACAGCAAAACTGCGAAATTTGAGATTTGTAGGCAACGTTACCGACAGCATTAGCAGCAGTATAAAGCAGCACGTCGCCAGTCCAGCTAAGATGTATTCCCCGTATCACGAGTTCGATCTATACGGAATACGGCAAGGTTCTGGACATGGTGCCTCAAAGGCCAGCACCAAATGCTGCGTATGTGACTAAGCGGCCAGGTCGTTTTCTTCAGCAACCAGTACGAATATATTACGCCAGCTGTGGCTGAATTGATGGCTCCATCGTGGCTGTACTTGGTCTCCGATACGAGTTTCTTAATACGAGACACTTCTCCTTGCACTACTATGTACTCCGTAATGCGCGCGCAGAAGATCAGCTCTCTGAGTCCATACTACTATGTAAGATACGACGTATCTTAAGCAACACGCCTGATCCTTGTTCTAGTTATGAAGTGTCGTCCTTCGTATGGAGACCTCAACATCCCTTGTCCATTGGTTGCCACGCATGGTCCCGGCTCACTTCATCACATATGATGTAAGAGAACTCCGTCTGCTGCGTTGTTATCCGTACACGCCAGAAGTGGAACTGAGTGAAACGGACGGGGAGCGAAGACAACGTATCTTACTATGTACTCCGTAGACTTGAAACGGCACGGCCATGGAACCAGGGAAAGTGGGCTGGGAAGTCTACGGAGTATGTGTTCACTCGCACCTTCCCAATTGTCTCCAGTCCGGTGGTCCTTGCTGTATCGTAGACGTCGTCACAGGTCGAAAAACGCCGGGAGGGAGCCAACGGGCAAACACGCACTTGGACGTATTGACCGTGCGCCTCAGCTATGCCTTCCTTCTTTGGGCCCCTCTTTCCCAAGCAGGGGTCGTTCCTGCCCTACGACGTACTTCGTACGCGCGCTCCTGACGAGTCGCGGGCTGCGACTCAGCACATTCATGCCGATTCGCAAACCCGCCCCCCTTTAAAACGTACGTGTACCAGTAGAAAAATCTGGTGGCGGTGTTGCTCCGTAACGCTGTCGTCCGGGGTAAATAAGTATTAAGGTCACGGTCCTCGTCACTCTGACCGCTTGTCTTGCTTTCTTTCTATCCTCTTCCTTATAAAACCATACCGCCACTTTCTCACAAGCAAAGCACCAATTCACAACTCTTCGCATTTTAATGACCTTTGTCTTCACGAGCTAATTCATTCGCCCTCATAACCCAATTCAAAATGGACGCCCCCGCACCGCCGCCGCCTATGTCTGCTGACAACGGTGCCGTTGTCATGGAGCAGCCGGTATGTGCTTCTGTTTCTCTGTCAATTTACTCTAAGAAGTTGTGTCTAATCCTTTACTCTTTTATAGCCCATGCAGGCGCAGCCGGAGATGGAGCCCGCAGGTTCCATGCGCGGTGGTTTCTTTGAGGAGTGCGGCTGCTGTGGCTGCGAGGAGAGCTGCGGATGCTGCTAAATGCCGCACTACAACCAGCACGGTCGCCCAATGAATGAAGAATGAACATGGGCTAGGAAGACAATGATAGAATCCCACAGCACGATGGTGCCGGAGGAGGCGTCTGCATTTTTCGTCAGAGACATAGCCTCCCCAGTCGAATGAAATATTTCCCGTTACATTAAATTTTTTATCTCATTTTCTGCTTGGTTGATAGACAGTCATCGCAAAGCAAAAATCCGCCATTTTGCCATCAATGCGTCCTGAGAAGGTTCATCCTTCCCGCCCATCGAGCAAGTGAGGTTCAAAAGCTCGTATGGTACTTGTCTTGGCATCTGGGCGCTATGGCCTTTAGTGTGAACGGTCTGGCTGTTACTCCGTAATACAGGGTTTGCAACTTGCTTTTTACTTGGCTTTATTTTGCACCAAGAAGTGGATATACGTGACAACATGTACGGAGCACTACAAGCCCGATAGGGATGGACAATCTAGCAAATTGCATCATCACCGGCGAGGAATTTACTCCGTAGAGCGGGAACAGACGGCTTCGAGACACTTGTTGAAATTCACATGAGCAGCAGAGAGAGATTGTGCAGAATGCAAAACAGAACATGAACGAGACGTGAGATTACTGTAGCGACAGCGACTGCAAGAGGGAAGGATGGACCGGGCCAAAGCAGGCAACCACCCGCGATTGGCCCAGCCACAGTGAGAGTCAGTAGATACCCACATGTGCACCATCTAGTTGGCCGCCTGCAGGCAGTCCTTGACTACGACGTATAGCTTCGCGTACATAGTAAGATACGGAGTAGGAATCTGAAAATAAATAATGAGTCGACAGCATCGGCGCTCCGATCGACATTTTTCATTGGTGGCCAAGCTACCCCGGTCAACGCCCAGCCCAGCACGGCGCTTCCGCGACAGCCAATAATTACGGGGCATGCGCACAGCTCTGCGGCGCTTAATTCAATCGGCGGATCTGCGCAGTCGCCTTGCTTTGTATTGGTCCTTTCTAGGACTGCTTGGCGAAAATGCAGAACGTCCAGCATCAAGCTTTGCAGGAGCTCGTTCTAGGACACGCGTCTGCGAGAACTCATTCGCAAGAGTTGGGGTATTGTTATATTTAGTAATTACGTCCAGGGCAGATGAACGACAGCGGGGCCATCAGACAGACAGGCGAGAAGGCTCGACTGTTGGCCCTGATCTCCCGCCTTTCTGCTGCATCGTCTCCCTAGCACAACAGGCTCGAGTGGGCCCTGGGCATGCGGGAAGCCTTCTGGCTGGTCAGAAGAAATACTAAGCGGACGGCAGACGAGCGGGTGGTGACACGGGAGGCGGCCGGTCCATGAGTCTTAGACCAAGATAGCCAGGATGCTGTCTCGCCATAGTATTTCATAACGAGTGGCGGCCAGCTCCTGGGCCTCTTCTCTAACAAGATTATCTTCCCATCCTCTGTTTCTTTTTCGTTCCCGGGTTCTTTCTTCTTGTCCGCGCGTCTTCCCCCCCTCATTCATTGTTCTCGTTCTAGCAAATGGAACTTGAGACTGTCGGTCCTTTCTTTGTATCTTTCTTGAAGACTCATTGATGTTCTGTTCCATTTGTCAATTTTTCTTTGACCCTCTCGCTTCGACAATCACTCTCGTGGCCTAACTTAGTCCGTTGTTCAGTGACAACGGCGCACTTTGGACATTCGTTACTCGTTTGCCCACCTTCGACTGTTATTCATATGCTTGCCATTTTCGGAGCCTTGGGGAAAAGCAGCAGCATAACATACCTCCTACACAAAATTTGTTCCTATCTTTTCTGTGCACCTACAATTTTGAATCTATAATTATCCAATATTTGCCACGATAGCTTCTATCTGCTTGGCAGGCCAAGCGACGACCTATCTAAACTCTCATTCCGTCAATATCACAAACATGAACGACCAAACAAACCGACAAAACGACCCTTTCGAGACACCTTTCGATGGTCCTGACGATAAGCCGACCGAGCAAGAAGACTGGGAGCAGTGGGAGAGCGACTGCGATGAGGAAAAGCGTGTTGAGCACAATGACAACGGCGAAGACATTTCTCCATTGGCCTCATCAAAGGCTGTAACGTCGCCGAAAACCCAAGATCAAGTGCTGCCATCAATATCTTACTCGCGTCAATCCCACCCCCTTCAAGCCGGGCCGAGTACAACAACTGCTCCGTTCTTTACACAGGCGTCGACAAAAAACCCGGTCCAGAACCCACTGCGACTGATATCCCGTGCTCGCCAAAAGGATCAGAACAACAAGGAAGGTATCCGACTGGTCACAGACATGTCAAAGTTCCGCAAGCAGCAGCAGGCTGAGCAGAGACGACAGCCAGGAGTCGGTGGCAGGGTGGGGAAGTTTGTGGATGCCGCTGCCCTGAGGGCTTTGGAGGGCAAGCCGTCTGATACGTCTATTGGCAACTGGAACTGGCTGCGACGCATGACCAACGGCAATATTGCCATGTCCCCGCAGAAGCATCACGGAGGCAACAGCAAGAACAAGGCGGATAACACTCCAATCACCACCACTGCCCAGGGCTTATCTCCCAATGACGGGCCCATTGTCATTGGCATAAGTCTTCCTGAAGATGATCTCGCAGGAAAGACTCTCACACCACAAACAACGACGATGGAAACCCCTTTCGATGCTTCCCAGTATCTTGACAGGAGCGGTGCCATCCAACCTCGACAGGGAGGTACCACTCAGCAGCATCGACTGCAGCCAGGGCAGGCTCCTACCCAGGGACAAGTACCATCGAGGGCCCCGCAACTGCAGTCGGTTTGGTCTCCCGACACTGAGGACGGTTCACCTCTCAGTTCTGGTAGTTCAGTGGCTCAGACAGCTTCGAGCATCTACTCGATGCCAAACCACAACATCGAGCAGGAAGGGCTGCCCCCCGTTCCGACAGTACCGCCAAGCTACCACGGAACAAGCATGGAAGAGCCAAGGCTGCCGTTTTTAGCCAACAAGAGCAGCCACACGACGACCAGAGCCAGCATCATTCTCCGCGATGAGATCGATGACGATGACGACTATGGCACGCCGATCACCTTGTTTGAAGAAGACGGCAGCCCACGGTCGTACCGGCGACTATCCCACGTCAGAAGTTATGTGCGCTCTATGGCCGCCACCGTGGGCACGACGCACTCGGGCTGGTGGGATCATGTGCGAACGCCTTTTGCGGAACATCCGGCTAGTCCGTTCTCTGGCAAGACAGCATCTCCCACGACACCGGCGTCCACACCAGCAACAGAGCCCGTGCCTGCAGTGCCTGTGGTGGCCGAAGAGTTTACCGTGCCGGTTCTGCCAGCCATTACGATGACACCTGCTGTTTCAGCTGCGTCTGACGAATGGTGGAGGCATAACGATGGTGAACAGCCGTCGCCTGCTGCTGTGGAGATGGCCACAGGGCGAAATAAAACAGGTCTGGGCATCTCAACGGCCTTGGCCAATGCCGGTCGTGTACAAGTCAGCAACGATCGCTCGCCGACGGTGGTGTCGTCTTCCCGCTTCTTGGCGCCGATCCAGCCTGCTGGCGAAACAAGCGAGAAGACAGTGGAGGTGCAAGTGCAGGGTCGAGAGCGCAGCACTGACACTCCGTCCGATGCGCCACCACCATACGAGACGCCATCTAGACCGGAGATGGCCGTGCGATACCGGGCGGTGCTTCCGCCGGGCCATTTGGCGCGAGCTGACTTCCCCCTTTCTCCAGGGCCGATTTCCCCGGGCCTGCTCCAGGCTATGACATCTCAGGGAGCGATTCACATGGCGGAAGTACCGCTGACGCCTCCGGGAATTCGAAGCGCGGCGGCGGCGAGTGGAACACCCCTACCCAACCAACCCCGGGGCGCGTTTCTCTTTCGCGGGGCAGCACCGTCACCAGCTGCGGCCAAGGTCGAGCGGACGCGCCAGCGGCATGAAAAAGAGGACGTGGCCGTGCAGCAGGCAGGGTCGTTCTGGCGTGGGCGCGGGTGCCTGCCGCAGAACGGCTGCTTTGGACGACGCCGAGGCCGTGAAGCCCGCAAGCGACGCCGTGCGATCCTCGGGGTGGCGGGCGGAGTGATCTCGGCGATCACGTTGGCAGTGGTGCTGGCAGTAGTGCTGGCACGGCGGCACACAGCAGTCTCGACAGCTTATTCGTTCTGGCTGAACACGACGGACTTCCCGCCAATTCCCACAGGCGTCACCACGGTGGTCGGGGCCGAGAACACGATTACTGCGGACGGCTGCGTCAGTCCGTCGACCATGTGGAGCTGTTCGCTGCCCAAAGAGCAGCAGAATGCCAACCTGCCGTTCTCGGCGGACGCGCTGATGTTTGTGCTGGACATACAATTCGACAACAGCTCGCAGAAGCTATGGAACGTAGCAGACGGAGCGGTACCGGTGCCGACGACAACGACGGCGCTATCCGGCACGACGACGAGCTTCACGGCCAAAACTACAGGCACGGCGGCTGCAACGACTATGGCCACGTCAACGAGCCAGAGGTTCGACGCCGGTTTCACGCCGCAGCCGTCGCCGCCAGCATTCGAGGAAATGTGGTTCCTGGGCAACACGACGGACGACATTGTGGCAGACCGCAAGGCAGGCGAACCAACGCCGTTCTACATCAGCTTTTTGGCGTCGGTCAACAGCAGCACGGCAGGGCCGAACGAGGTGGTGAGACGGCGCAATAGAATGCGGGAGAGGGCGACCGGCAGCAGCAGCTCATTCCATTTTCCGGCGGCGGCCACGAATGCCGACGGCACCGGTGCGGCAGCGGTTCTACGACCATTTCCGAAGCAGCAGCCAGTGCGGCTGTACGACCGCGGACTGCCGACAGAGCACTACGGCTTCTACAGCTACTTTGACAAGACGATCTACGTCAAGTCGACGGCACCAGATGGCAGCGATGCGGACGACAAGGCTGGCGGGTCGTTGGAGACGGAGGCAGCATACATGGTCACCTTTCTACAGACACGGTTTCTGGTGGAGATCTGGACGCGGATGGGCAACAGCACGCGGATGCTGGGTGACAGCACGGTCCGGACGGCGAACACGACGCAGCCCGGCACGTTTCCCTATCCCATCACGATCACAGAAGACCTGCACGGCGGCGACTTTAACAGCAAGGGTGCGTTTGCACGAGCAGTGGACAGCGAGCAGCACATCCTGGCAGCCAATACCAGTCTCATTGTGGCGAACTTGCAGTTTGGCGGAACGCTGATCAACCACAGCGACAACCTCAGTTTTGGCGGCTCGGACGGCGGCTCAGGCGGATGCAAGTGTGCATGGGCGAATTTTCTCGGAGAAAACGGCAACACGTCAACGTGAGGGTGCATACGTGGGCGTTTCTGGGCTTGGGCTATGGGTATGATTGGTTTACTGCTACATACACATATATGTATAAACTGCAAAAGACAGATGTATAATACGATGTACGGGGCTGCGAGTACTTACACGGAAGTCACGTGCTCTCGCGAGTGTGAAAAGTTGTGTTCTTCGACGGCGGACTTTTGGCTTTGCTCCACGAGCGAACGCACCATCTAGGCACGGCATACGCGGTTTTTGTGCATACATTTGTCCCAAAAGGCCGGTGAAGTGAGATGGGAGGGTTTGAGTGTGCATTCCATCTAGTTTGCAAGGTCCGGATGCTCTGAAAGCTCTGGATGTGCGGGTCTGCCTTGTCTCGATGAGAGCTGTGAGCATATGGACGCGACAGCGGCGGCGACCGGGAGGGCTGCAGAGGCTGTCAGGGATGGCACAGGGAGCCGAGGCACGAGAGCGGTGGCCGGACAGCCTGGTGACGCTGGCGATCGAGACGTCCTGCGACGACACCTGTGTGGCCGTCTTGGAGAAGGAGCGAGAGCAGAAGACGGGCGAGGAAAAAACGAGAAGAAGGCGAGCCCGACTGCTGTTTGAGGAGCGGATCACGGCGGACAACCGGGCATTTGGGGGAATCCACCCGCTGACAGCGACGGAATCACACATGGCCGCATTGGGGCCATTGATACAGCAGGCGAAAGCACATCTGCCGGCGAACCGATCAGGCCAGCAACGTCCAGACTTTGTGTCGGTGACGCGAGGTCCCGGAATGGCGTCCTCGCTGGCGACGGGGCTATCTGTAGCCAAGGGTCTGGCCGTGGCCTGGGACGTGCCGCTGATGGGCGTGCATCACATGCAGGCGCACGCCTTGACGCCACGGCTGGTGTCGGCGATCGACGACAAGGAAGCGCCCTTTGCGTCCTTTCCGTACCTCTCGCTCCTCGTCTCGGGCGGCCACACGCTGTTGCTGCACTCGCGCGGCCTCGCCGACCACCGCATCCTCGCGGCCGCAGCCAACATCGCCATCGGCGACCTGCTCGACAAGAGCGCCCGGGCCATCTTGCCGCGTGGCTACATTGCCGCGGCCGAGACGGCAGCCGGACGCAGCCTGCCGTACGGAGAGCTGCTGGAGGGATTTGCGGGCCAGAGCGAAAGCAAAAGCGAAAGCGAAACCGCCCAGACCAGATACAGCTATCCGGCGACTCGCCGTGACGAGATGGCCCCCTTTGAGTCGGGTCGCGGATGGCGGCTGGAGGCACCGCTGGCTAATGGCATCCTCCGACGGGCGCTACGCTTCGACTTCTCCGGCCTGAACGGCGCCGTCATCCGGCTGGCAAAGGGCGATGGCCGCGGCGGAGAAGACGAACCGCCCAAAGAGCCGTCTGGGGCCGGCATTCCCGATGAAGACCGCCCAGTGCTGGCCCGCGGAACCATGCAGCTGGCGTTTGAGCACCTGGCCAGCCGGCTGGTGCTGGCGCTAGAGAGCGGTGCTGTCGAGGGAGTGGCTGCAACTGCGAACAGGCGCAGAGCCAAAGTGGAAGCTGAAGCTGAGGCTGCAGCCAAGACAGACCAAGGAGACCCTCCGAGCCCCCCTTCCTGTCTCGTCGTCGCTGGCGGTGTCGCCAGCAACCGCTTCCTGCGCCAGATCCTCCGCTCTGCACTGGACGTGCGTGGCTTCGGCTACCTGCCGCTCGTGGCACCACCGCCGGCTCTCTGCACCGACAACGCGGCCATGATCGCCTGGGCCGGCATGGAGCTGTTCGAGGCCGGCTGGCGCACCGATCTGCGCGTGCTGCCACGACGACGCTGGGCCATGGACTCCACTGCTGACGATGGGGGCATCCTCGGCATGGATGGCTGGCTGCGAGAGGACTGAGCTTGGGAGGATTGAAGCTCTACATAAAGCTTTACAGTATATCACGTGACCACGGGTTTATCGACAATGCTCGATAATCTGTATGTTATACCATTTCATGTAGTCCATCTGTCTCGTCCTCATTCTTCCCTTGTCTTCCCTGACGCTCCTAGTCCAGTGCACTGGTCACGTTGGAGAACTCGCCCTTCTCCAACTTCGTCTTCCAGAAGATGGGGTTCGTGTCGCTAAAGCCGTGCTTGACCCAGCCGTCCTCCTTGACGTGGTAAAGGTTGATGAAGCCGCCGGAAAAGGCGTCTCGGTGCGTAGCCGCCAGGATACTGCGTCGGCCCAGCTCCAGCGCGTCGTCGGCCGCCAGGTCGTAGCTGTACTCGGCGTCCAGCACGCCGTACGCAAACGTCTGGCCCGACCCGACGCAGAAGAGGTTGCCCGCCAACCGGGTGCCGTCCGAGTCGATGTAGTACAGCGCCGGGCCCTCCTCGGGCGTCACGCCAGCACACATCGTGCCCATCGACAGCCCCATGCCCTTGTAGCTGTACACCAGGTTGGCCAGGATCTTGGATGCTGCCGCCACTGAGATCCGCCGTTTGTGCCGCAGCTCGTGCAGCCGGCACTCGCGTCCCAGCCACGCCAGCCAGTACTGGCAGTCCGCTGCACCGCCAGCCATCGTCCCCAGCAGACAGCTGTTGATCTCAATCACCTTCTTGACCGTCTGCGATGCGATCCAGTTGCCCGCCGTCGCCCGCGAGTCCGTCGCCACAATGATGCCGCCCTGGAACCGGAACGCCAGCGTCGTCGTGCCGTGCGCAATCTTGATCGGGCACGTCGGGTTGGACCGGTCGTCCGTAGCCGCACGCAACCAGGCCGACGGCTGCAACGTCAGCAACGTCGAGACAAAGGCACAAATGCATCCACTTCACTTCACCAACAGTTGAAACCCACCTGTGCTACCGGAGGCATGGCAAACTTGAACGACAGACCCGGCATCGTGTCATTGTAGTCCATCTCGTCCACATCTTCCACATCCTCGCATTGCCGGAATGCCGGACGGCTATACCGAGTAACAAGAGCGTCCATCGTGGGGCGGTAAAGTGTGTGAGATCGAGTGTCAGCAAGGAGACAGAATGCTGTTTTTTTGCAGCAGCTGAAATGGGAGTGAGAGATTCAGGTCTAACACCGGAACGTAATAGACAAGGCTGCCCCGGATTCGCGGCTGCTGGGCGATGGGGCGAAGTGGTAATGGTTGGAAGACTGACGAAGCTCAAGGCAGCTTTCTTGCGACGCGTGCAACAGCTGTTTGCTGCAGCCACTCACAACGTGGCTGCCTTATCGCCGAATTTGGCTGTGGCTGTGCTTGTGCCTCAGGCAGGTACTAGCAACAGCGTATGAACTACTCCGTACTTGTAATATTTTTGTCCTAACAGATATCTCGGCAGTGTCCATCCGCCTCGAGACTTCGCAGCTCTGTATCTTCTTCCTGCCTTTGGGTCCGAGCATGCAACACCAGTGCTTGTAGCTGTGCGCGCAGCCTCACCCATAGCACAACGCCCAAATATGTCAGCAACAAGACTGTCGTGGCAACAGCCAAAATTGTCGCTCCGTGGTGGCCAGAGACCGAGTGGTCGATGCGCGCAACCGACCACGGATAGCACTGCGACTTGACGATGATGTAGGTGCCAATGCCGGTGTAGAGTAGCGGCACCAGGACGCGTGAGTACTTCCGGGCCAGGCGCAGGACATGCTGCTGCCGCATGGCCAAAAAGGCAGCCGCACACCACAGCCCGAGCATGAGGTAGTACATGGCCGCGTACACGACAATCTCGGCCCCCCTGGCCTGCGAAAACAGCGGGATGTATGTCCCCACGTTGTCCCCGCCGTTCATCATGGTCACGGCCGCCACCTTGAGCACGCTTCTGACGCCGGCTGTCCTAGACGTCTTTCCTTGTCGCACGTTCGGCTGTTCTCGCGGCTCTTCCTCGTCGGCATTCCCGCCTGCCGGGGCAATAGCGCCAGCCAACTTCCAGATGCCCAGCAGCAATGGGACCAGGCCGAGAAAGCCGATCGGCTCGGCTGGCACGACGAGCGACACGCCAAAGCCAGCCAGGCTGACGATGATGATGCCGGTGAAGCCAAAGTACTGGCCCAGCGTGATCTTGAGCGGTGTCAGGCCGCTGCGGCCGGCTGTCGCCTCGGCGAAAAAGGTCGCTAGCACAAACAAGTCGTCAACGTTGGTGACTGCAAATGAGCCGCAGGCTGTCGCGACAGCCTTGTCGAACCGCATCGTCTGTGCAGTGGGGCCGCCTGTCTTGACCCATTGCCAGCCATCTCGGAAAACAGTCTACATATTACTCCGTACACACGGTGGATTACAAAGGCAATGGCGAGTGTTCTCTCATCCAACGGGCAACCACGACTCACCATCGGCCATGCCTTCCAAGAGTGGAGATCAGCTTGACGGCATTTCGCCCAGAACCCACACCAATTTATACTATCTTGCTACTCCGTAAGATACAGCAAGCTTGTTGCGATCGCCCCTCCGCCCCAGAAGGCGGTGAAAGCCATTGCCAAAATAGGGGGCATCAAAGCTGCCCTAAGGGGAAAAAGGGCGTACCTGAAGCGGAGGAAAACAGGGAAGGTAGCGCGAATTGCGTGTTTTCTCGCCATGTCGCTGTACTCCGTCGAAGCACGAATTGCATGCCACACAATACAGTGTTTCGCCGTGCTCGTACTCCGTATTGCCTGTCCTGGCCAACCTGCTGATCGCGTAAAGCGGTCGTCTTACAGCGTGTCGCGATTCACGTGATCCCAGCGGCACTGCTCTTTAACTTACCGTGTCCTGATCCACTGCCACTGACTGCTAAATTATAGCACTGGAAATCCCAAGTTCCCTACTGGCAGGCTAAACCCCTTCCGATAGTGCCTGCCAGACATTATGCCAATTCAAATTGTCAACTCTCAATCTCTTCGTCGTTTCTCTCCCTCTTCCGCCGCAACCCTTTTTTCCTTCCCCCTCTCTTCTGCTACTCTCCCCTCCTCTAGGCATCACGGCGACGTCTGTCCGGATCACCACGCGAACCTATTGACGCCGTGCTCACGATAGCCCAGCCGTTACGCTTATTTTTTACTTCATCCCCTGGGAGGTGTCTTCTCGCTATCTTTTACTCCCTCCCCTTTTTCTTGCCATTCGTTCCTTTCTCTTCTCTCCCTCTACATATATCCAGTTAGACAAGCCTCTCTGTTGTCCCTGCACGTCCAATCCACCGTTTTTTCGCGGAGGACATGCCTATGACACGGTAGCCTGTGGAAGGATATCGCCAACGAACACGAACACGAACACGAACACGACCTCACATCCAGCCTTCAAACGAACGCCTCGGTCACCACATCCTCCCCCCTTCCGCCTTCCCAATCTCTACCACGACACACAGACAGCCATGGCGCGAGCACTGGGCCCGGTTCGTCTAAAGAAGACGAACCCCATAACACTGCTGATTGGCGGCGTGCTCTGCATCGTCATCATCTACTTCCTGGTGGCATCGGGCGGCGCTTCGACCGTGTCGGCGGCACGAAACGCCAATGCGGCGTCCCACCCGCTATCTCCGCCGACGTCTCCCTTCCGCAAGACGCCCAACCATGCTAACGGCAAGCCGGCACCGCCGCCACCAGTGACGCGGTACATTATGAACAACATCACGGCCACGGCCCATCCGGTCGAGAACGGCGAGCACGTGCTGGTGCTCTCGCCCATGGTCCGCTTCTATCCGGACTACTGGCAGAACCTGCTGCGACTGACGTACCCGCACGAGCTCATGACGCTGGCCTTTATCCTGCCTAAGAACAAGGAGGGCAACGCGGCGACGGCAGCCCTGCAGGAGCAGATCACCAAGACGCAGAAGTTTGGCAACGACAAGGAGCGCTTCAAGAGCATCATCATTCTGCGCCAGGACTTTGAGCCGCCGCTAGCGTCGCAGGACGAGGGCGAGCGCCACAAGCTGGAGAACCAGAAGCAGCGCCGCGCCTCCATGGCCAAGGCCCGCAACTCGCTGCTCTTCACCACGCTCGGTCCGTCGACGTCGTGGGTGCTCTGGCTAGACTCGGACATTGTCGAGACGCCGCCGACGCTGATCCAGGACCTGGCCCAGCACGATAAGGCCATCGTCGCGCCCAATTGCTTCCAGCGCTTCATCAATCCCGACACCAACAAGCTGGACGAGCGGCCGTACGACTACAACAACTGGCAGGACAGCGCAACTGCCCAGGAGATGGCACAGAAAATGGGTCCCGACGACGTCCTCTTTGAGGGCTATGCCGAAATGGCCACGTACCGCTCGCTGATGGCCTTTATGGGCACCGCTGGCGACAGCATGCACCAAGAGGTCTCGCTCGACGGCGTGGGCGGCTCGGCGCTGCTGGTCAAGGCCGAAGTGCACCGCGACGGCGCCATGTTCCCACCCTTTCCCTTCTACCACTTGATTGAGACTGAGGGCTTTGCTCGGATGGCCAGGCGTCTGGGCTGGGCTGCGACCGGTCTTCCAAACTACCGGGGAAGCTTGCACGCGCAGAATCCATCCTCTGACCACTGAACCAGCTGACTAATCCGGATTAGGTATACCACTACAACGAATGAGCCTCGACGACGAAACGACCAGCACAGACAAGGCATCGTTGGGTTGGAAGGAACGGAAACAAGGAAGCGCCCGGTGATCTAATTAGACAGCCGTTACAGGCTCCATTGCATCTGCCATTTGTCCTTTTTTCTTTCGCCTGGGTTCGGCAGGGGTAGGCGTCTTCTGTATATTACAACATTCTTCTCGACACTTTCTCTTTTCACATCTCCCCCGTTCATTGTCACCCCCTTGATTCACGTCGCCTTTCATTTGCGTGCCTTTACTAGAGCAACCTTCCCGGGCGGTGTCCTTTTTATCAGGTATATATCAAGGGCCGGACGGGGAGGAGAAGGAGGAAGGGAATATCCAAACAAGCTTTGATTACTGTCTATGCGGCGTCTAGCAGTCGCTTTTGATGCTAGGAACAAGTGAAGAGGAAAGAGAAATGGGGGAAATGGAAAAAGAAAAAGAAAAAAGAAAGGGGGAAAAAGGAGAGCATTATCGTACACTGATATACACCTTTGCGCGTCGCCTGTCATGTATCCTCATGATCGATGTTCCGTAACCCGACAGCCCTATCCGTATGCGACGACCCACGACGCAGGGCCCAGGACCCAGGACCCAGGACCCACGTTTCTGCATCGGGCGCCCCGATCGGCGCCGTATTGGTTGAGTCTCTCTGTTCGCTGTTGGGATGCGCCCTCGTACCGCTGTTCGACGCACCAGAGCCGGACGAGCCGGGCGGCCGCGTCGGTGTCGCCGGCACGCAGCAGTGCGGCCAAGTCGATGTTGAGCGGGCTGTCGGCGCCAGGCGCGCCCAGCAGGAGGCGAACGGCGCGCACGCAGGCAGCGACGCCCATGGCCGGTGTCCAGGCCGATGCCTGCAGCAGATCGAGGCAGACCGCGCCCGTGGTCGGATGCACGTTAGCGTGGAGGATGGGTGTCATAAACCGGACAGCCGGTGGCTGCAGCGGATACGTGGCCGGGACGTCGATCTGGAGAAGCCAGCGGCCGTCTGACCGGTCAGCCAGGCATCAAACAGCCGAAAAGGAACCAAGACTCACCATCGTAACCCCCTCCAACACCCTTGCCGTTCACCACGGCCTCCCAGCGGAACAGGTCGTCGCCTTCGCCAGCCGGCCCCAGACGCTCGATGCCGCGGTTCGGACTGTTGTCGTCGTCCGGGGAGTCGGCCAGCTGCTCCTTGCGCCACCCGTCAAGCTCGCGCAGGAGCCGTCGGGAGGCGCTGCGCGTGTTGGCCATGGCAAGGAGGGATCGAGTAGATGCGGATTGCGAATTGCGAATTGCGAATTGCGAATTGCGAATTGCGAAATGCGAAATGCGAAATGCGAAATGCGAAATGCGCGTGGCAATGATGCGATGATGCGTGACGACAGACAACGGACAATGGCTCAGATAGAACGCGCGCGAAGATCACTGCTGGTGTTGCCGATGGCGTCTCTGTACTCGTGTTGGTCCCAGCCTCGGTCGCTCAGTGTTTACGGTCGTGTTCGTTTGTTGTGCATTCGTTGCCACGTGAATTTGGCCGCGCTTTACGGCACTATTTAGCCTGTGGAGACTACCCCAACTACAGCTGTACGACGTACTCCGTAAGATACTCCATAATGCGCCGTATTTTAATGCGCTTCGTCTCCTTTAATAGACATGCAATGCCACTTTAATCACACGCTCGTTTCTTTTGCCTGTCTCGGTTCAAAAACTCTGTCAGGATTCCCTCTCGCCACTGCTCTTCTGCCCTGCCGAAACTCATATACAAATACAAAGGCCCGCCTCCTGCCTACTGCTCGCAACTTACAATCATAAGATAAAACAAGAGATAGAAGAGAATGGATAAATTGGCCAATACAAAATACATGAAAATGAAAAGGCTTTCGTGAAATCTTGCAGCCGCCTGCCTTGCCACGCACGGCACTTGTCTGCTTCCTGCTTATGTATGACTGCTGTGCACCGGCCGGCCTTCCCAGCTTGGCCTGTGTCCACGCATTCAACTCCGTCTGGCTTCCTCCCCCGATGCGACTCTCAGTTCTTTCGTTTTTTTTTTGTTCTTTTCATAACGCACCATGTGCTTCGTATGGTCATAAATAGCGCCAAAACCCAGATCGTCGGGAGACACACACACAATATACATATACGTATACTATATATATATTGCACGTGCTGCATCCTGCCTGCCGTCAGAACATGCTCAGGACTCCGCCTCGCCTTTCGATCGCCAGAATTGCATCATCCGACTTAGCCGCTTGCTGCGGCTGGATTTTGGCCTTTTCTTTTCTGCGTCCTCAGCAGTTTCAGGCATGCTGCTGCTGTCCAGCGGCACCTCCATCGACAGCTTGCTCCGCTCGCCATGGGACGTGTTGATGAGCCGGTGCAGACTCGCCAGACTCGACCGCCGCCGTCCAAAGGCCGTATATGTGAAGGACGCCGGCCGTTCCGCTTCCCGAGACGGTAGAAACGGTCGTGTCTGAGGTCCCTGCGCCGTGTGCAGAGATGGCGGAACTCCACTCTCCCGCGTTGTCGTCGAAGTGCTGCTCGCCAGAGACGGCGTCAGAGACGGGATGTCGAGCGACCGCCGGAGCTCGGGCCCAGGCGCACCCATCAAAAGCGACTGGAAGTTGTCCTCTGTGACAGACGACGGTGCCGTCGACACGCGGTTTGCCTCAAGCGACATCGGCGACCGTGGCGACGGGTGAGTCGAAGTTGTTGGCATCGAGAACGGGCTGACAGGAGCCAGCGACATAGGCGGAAGGTGGAGCGGGCTCACGATCATCACAACCACGGGCGCCAGGTCCTTGCCCTTCCTCACACGACCAATCGAGTGGACGGTCGAGTCCGACGCCGACTCCACCGTAACGTCGCATCCGCTGTCGGGAACATCAAAAGGGGGGCCACGTAACCCTTCCTCCATTTTCGCACCTTCATGAAGAGAGCTTGCTGAGTACTCAGACTTCAGGCCAGTGCTGAGCTGGGTCTTGTCGTCGTCACTCATCACGCTCAGCCCACTGCCACGCCTGCTCAGCGCAGCGGAGGATATGGCATCTTCGCTGGGCGCCGTCGACATATCCACCCCTTTGTCCGCAGCAGCACGGCCGTCAGTAGACGTCACGCGAATGTCGATGCTCGACGTTCGCTCGGTCACCCGTGTAGGACGCCACGGCGGAGTGCTTCCGCCTACCGAAGCGGAATAGACCACAGAGCCAGCATCAGAACTGTCGGCTGTCATAAGCATCTGGCGCCGCTTCCCTTTGCCCTCGTCGTCGTCGTCCTCTTCATCCTCTTCAAAGACGTCTGCCATTGCACCTGAGCTGCTAAATCTCGGGAGGCCGGCTCTATTGAATGGTGGCATCTCAGGAGCACTCTCCGCGCGTCTGTGGGAATAGTGCATGCCGGGTCCAGAGAAGCGGGTCATGCCAACGGCACTGTGCAGCTGCCGCTTCGTCATTCCGCCGGCTCTCTGTGCCGCCTCCCACTCGGCATTTTGTGGCAGAGGCGTATTAAAGGGACCAAGCGCCGCGTCGAGGTCGATCATGGCGAAAGAAGCATCGTCATCCGGCATGCTGTATGAAGGCGACGGAGGCAGTCGCCACGCCTCTGCTGTGCTGTCTGAATCGGTCGGTGAATAAGACGGAGTGACAAACACTGTCGGAGGTGCGAGGACTTCGGTAGTCTCATCGATTGTACCCCCCGAAAAAGTCTGCTCCTCAAAAGATTCCTCGTCATCGCTAAAGGCAGTCTGCGAGATCGGTGGAGGCGTTGGCGTTCTTCTAGTCTTTCGCCGCGCCTTCGACTTCCTTGTTAAGATTCCCCAGCTCTTTGCCTTCTTCTTCTTCTTGCTCGATTTCCGCGACACTGTTCTCACAGAGGCCGGTCTGGACGTAATCACAGCATCCCTGTCAAGGGATCGGCTTCGGGCCGTCGCAAGTGCCACAGGGCCAGTAAAAGACGCGTCTGCAGCATCTGCAATCGCAGACCCGTCTACGGCCTCCGCCGCTCCTGCCCGTGGTCGTGTTGGTGAGCTGTTGCCAATGGTGATGAAAGGATCCAGGCCGAAAAAGGACCATCGTTTGTTGGGCGTCTTGATAGGACTAGGGAGACGTGGCGCAACGCCTTTCGTGGCAGCATCTGCCGATAGCTCCGAATCTGTCGGAATAGACGAAAGCAGAGGAATTGAGTTGCGTCTTCGGGGCAATGAGCTGTCAGGATCGTCGGCCGTGATACTTTGAGAACGCTCCAGCACAGCACCAGCTGTACTGGGCCGAGACTCCGGCACAGTTCCACTTGAAGTGCTTCGGACTATAGGTGTGAGGCCTGCCGAATTCAGTGATATAACCGACGAGATGCTCTCAGAGACGGAGTGGCCAGAGGTGCCACTACTTCCAGCCATGGGCCGTGCGGTGATTGTGCTGGCTGTGTCATTGGAGACAAGGGACAGAGGCCGAGGGATGAACTCAAGAGTGTCGGAAAATCCAACCCTAGCACGATTAGAGGCTCTGAAGTCGGCAGATTGTTGATCGGGCTCATCCGGGAAAACAAATGTGGGTGTCAAGGAGGCCGGTGGTACATCGTTGGGTTTCACGACTTCGACGGGGGGCAAAGGACCCGGTTTGAGCTTGTCGTCGGATTTTGTTGCCATCGGAAAGGCGAAGGCCTTCAGCCCGGGGCCGAACTCCAACGGACTGGATGGGGCGCTATTGCCACGGGTCTGGTGGGTTGGCGTTGTCGGAATCAGCATATCCGATAGGTCGTGGATCGAAATAGCTGCCGATCGTCTGTGGGCATGGCCACGCCGACCGGGTGGGGGGCCATTGGGGGGGGGGCCGCGAGAGCTGGGCACAGGTGCAAGGGACGGCGACGTGAGGCTGCTCTCAGACTTTGTCGGGCTAGTACTGATAAGAGCAAACGCATCTCCAGAACGAGCGTTGCCACCAACGAACTCACTTCCTCCCCGGCGATGGCCAGCTCCAGCCGGGCGGATAGGAAGAGCACCAAAGGGCTGAGGCGAGAGTGGAGGACTGAGAAATGAATGGTCAGGCGTGGGCGGGAAAACGGCGCCTGGATTGAAGGAAAAAAAGGGTAATGCAAGGGGCCTCGGTGACCGGTTGTCAAGGCTTCTAGCGCCTCCGGCCGCGAAGGTGCTCCCCTCGTGCAGGTCTGCAACCGACTTTGGCCGTCTTCCGGTTGCACGTGAATAAGACGAAGGGGCTGATGTCGACGGTTTGGCTGGAAACACGAAAGGCGGCATCGGTAACGGCGAATTCTGTTGTGTATGTCGAGAGATCTGGGAGGTAGACGAATAGATTGGGACGCACAGATTGTCGTTTGACTGCGGGGGGATCGTGACAGGCGGTGGGATATTACGCGGCGACGAGCGCTCTGCAAAGTCGTCTTCAGCGACCGCCATGTTGACGGGCGCTACCTCGGCAAGAGGTGAGCTATCATGGCTGAGAAAGGCCGCCATGTTTCGACCCCGGAGAGAGAGCAATGGACAGCCTAGTCGAGCCGCGGTGGCATTGAGACGGGAGTAAAGCAATGGAGAGGGACCCGGACCCGACGTCGGTTTGAAGGGCGGTTGGCACACGCAAAGGAACGTAGATCTATCAAATATCTAGACATCATCAGTAAGCAGGCCAACGCTAGGCAAGCGACGACGGCCGCCAGGGCGCTCTGTGCATTAAGCAGGTACAGGAAGACAATTGCGCCCAGTAGGTTTAAACCGTTAGAGGGGGGAGACATAAATGCATAAGCAGCACAACGTATTGGCTGACATACCTCTTGTTGCTCGTCACGATCTCGCAAACATAGTTCGGGGGGTTGACGTGCCGAGCGAAAGAAAGCAGGGCAGCAGTGCCGCAATTAGAACCTAAGGAATGAATTCGAAAAAGTATGTATGTTGTTTGAGACCCGGCAGACGCAAAACGGTTATAAAAATAGAATAAAAAGAAGCCGGAGACTGCACAGGACGTGTTGGATAAGGAGCGGACGGGCAAACCCAGCGAGGCGCAAAATCTGAGGATCCTGTGTTGCTGGAGTCGACCCAGAAGTCGTCGGCGCGAAGCCTAATAAGACGGAATGACGAGACGCAGAAGCAGAAGCAACGGCAGGCGAGGTGCGCGTGCTTCGCCAAAGATGCGAAAGACGACAAGTTCGTCGGTGAGAGGAATTTGGGGGGGGATCGAAATCGATGAAATGAGAGGAGCCCGGAATTGGGGTACGTAAATCTAAAAAGTCAAGCCGAAAAAGAAAGGAGAAACGCGGGCGAGCAGGCGAGCAGGCGAGCAGGCGAGCAGGTACGGAGCAGAGAGGACAAAGGAAGCGGGAAAGAGCGAGGACAGCGTGAGCAGCTGGCGCAATAGACGGTGGGGGGTGCCGCCAGCGCCGGAAGGTAATATTACTAGGCACGAGAACAAGGCAGGCGCTGCGTCTAGTGGGGTTTGGCGCTGTACGAAGCCAATATAGCGAGAAACAGTCTGGCGGGCTCGGTGTGCTGTACCGACTGGGCCAGTATTGAGCGGAAGGAATTCCGTTGGTGGCGGCAGACGTGTGGAGCCCCGAGGCAGGAGCAGGTCTCAGAAGGCAAGCCAGTAGGAAGAGAGCCAGCGCATGGAGGGCAGCGCACGGCGGACAGCGGAAGGACGGCGAGCAAGCCGCGGATTGGACAGTCAGCAGCAGCAGTAGCAGCAGTAGCAGCAGTAGCAGCAGCAGCAGCATGCAAGCAGAAAGGCAAGCAGAGAGAAGACAGGCCCCCACGGTCGGATCGATCGGCGCCAAAGGAAAAAAAAAGAAAACAAGAGCGACCAGAATACGAGCCAAGTGTAGGTGCGTTTTGGATGCTGCTTTTCGCGGCTTTGTCTCCTTCCCTCCTTCCCCTCGTCCATGGGCCCCTGCCGGTTGGGTGGGCACCGCAATGTGAGTGCAGCCACTGGGATGCGACGACCAGGGCAGACAAGTCTTGGTCGACAGCACTAAGGCAGTAGCGCAGTAGCGCAGGACGGGTCTGGGCACTTGTTACATAGTATCCGTATCCTACATATACGAGTACGTATGTAAGATACGAGCAGTACGGAGTATCTTACTACACATCATACACCGCCCGCTACACTCCCCTCCCTTACAGCAGACACCCGATACCACTGCCCACCCTGGTATTAATATCAATACCTGGTCCCCCCGGCCCTCGCTCTGACCAAGATGGGATCGGCTGAGCCGCCTGCCCACGACTACGACACTCGTATGTAGGATCATACTGAGGGGATGAACAGCGAGCAGGATGCATGTACGAGTAGACGATGCGTTGCCTTGGGTGCTATGGGAGAGGGCATCCAAATTTTCACCCGTTTGCTCCATACTACAATGCATCTTACGAGTCGGTTGCATACGACAAGCGCCCTCGAATTACCAGCAGCAGCCGAGCAGGCCGATTGAGCCGGAGATTGTGCTCAACAAGACTGCGAGGTGTCTGTAGGCAGCCTCCCTCTGAGATGAGATGACACCCTTCCACCCATCCACTCTGGCCTTCTTGCTGTCGCTGTCGTGCCCCGGAATCACAAGCTGCCTGCGAGGCACGCAAGACCGTTCTGTTAGACGCTGTGCTGCTTCTGACCAGAGCAAGATGCGATGGTCCCTCTCTCCCGTCGTTGGCTGCACATCCACAAACCCACAAGCCCGTGAACCGGCGAATCCACGCACCCGTGTCCACAAGCCCACGGACCCACTAGTTCACAGCCCACAAGCGAGTGACGTATCAAGCGACACCCCCGGCTGTTCAGGTACGATACTACGACGTACTCGTATGTACGATTCCGGCTGCTGCGGCCGTGACTGGTTGGATTCTTGTTCCTGAACAGACGCAGCGTTGCTGTCGCGATGAGATGCATGCATAGTACGGACTACTGTCATTGCACGCGCTCTTTTTCTTCTATTTTCCTTCTTTCACCCACCTCTGCCGTGTCTTCCTTGTCTGTCTTGTTTACTCCATCTTGCTAACTATTGGCAGGGGGATCCTAACGGTCTAGCTGGCTAGTTTCGGCTTGCTACAAAGTGTGTTGCTCCTCCCACTCGCACGAATTGTCCGCCATTTTGTAAACTTCGTATCTGACTATGTACAAGTTCAGACTGCGCGACTCCCACTTCGGCTGCCATCATGAGAAGTGAAATACGACGCCGTGGGGTAGGAATTGTAACCGTGTTTGGTGTTCCGAGCGTCCCAGCCTATTTCGGGATTAGGGAGGCAACGATCTGCTAGAGCTCCATCGTCATGAGAGCAAAATGGAGAAGGCGCGTTTGAAACAAAAGCCCTCAGGTGTGATTCATTGATGCGTGTGCTTCCCATCTGGCAAGCTTTGGTTGCAGCCACCCCTGCCAATGTCATGGAAACAGACGAAAGCCCAGAAACAGTTGGCCGCAAAGAGGCAAGACCGCTCCGTAATGGGCATCCGCTTCACGCGGTTCTATTTTAGAGCACGATTCGGCACTAGGGACCAAGGCAGCACAGGTACATACGACGTACGACGTACGTCCTACTCCGTAGTATGGTCTTTCTGCTCTGCGACTCCACCAGATAGTCCCTCACCCTGAAGTCTGCAGCCTGCGGCTTCTGTCTTTCAGCAGGCGGTGGACCAATGACTGTGGACAGATGGCCTTGCCCGGATCTTACGAGTCACCAGATTTGGACCACCAGGGGCCACTCAGCCTATGACGGGCGATTCACACCTTCTTTTTTCGCCAGCCCCCGGATGCTGTCGTCGTAATCCTGCGCTCTTTGTAAGATACGACTACACCCTAAGCCCCCTCACTAACCCGTTTTGAATGGGTAAGTCCGAAATCTTTAGTATCAGATAACGCATCCGGTGTGCATTGCGCCCTGCAACCTGCATGCAGTGTCTTGCCTTGCTGATGTCGTATCGTGCTGTCCAGAATTACCGGTATGCCCAAAACAGGACTCGCGCACTATCATGGCCAAAAAGAAGCAACAAAAAGAAATGAATCAATGTTTCCTCTTATAGAAGCTGCTATCATAGCAATAGCTATTATAACAATACTACAGCATGTGGGCAACTTTGCCAATAGGCAGTCTGTCGAATAAAAAACTACACCAGCATCTTGCATACTCCGGTACGTCGTAGTAATATAGCGGTACCGAAGTCATCTCCTCCCTGTCCGGCTAAACTGTGCTGCTCAATTTCCTCCATTTCGATACCCTTTTCCACCGTAACGTGCACCGTTCCAGTGGCTACACAGCCTCTCCGCCTAGGATCTGCGCTGCAATCTCCGTGGAATAGGCAGACACAATTCCACTTTTAGGCCACCGGTTGCCGCTTTTCTCTTGTCTTTGTTCTAATAATATTCATCGTCAAACTCTTTTTGCCTTACCGCCAGCGTTTCCAACTCTTCGCCGTGCCCGGTACACGCCACGCTTGAAAGGAGAATGAACTACGAAGTGGGCCGAGCCTAAAGCGAGGGCTAAGTCTTGCGCCCGGAACGGCGCACTCGACGTGGCTAACACGCGCTGCGCGACTCGTAGTAAGATACGATTACCGTAAGTGGAAAATTGCGTGAAATATGCGAATCAACGATTTAGTCAGCGCTTAATGGGATGTTGTGCGACGAGTCAGATCGGAGAAAATTAGCAGTCCAGAGCCAAGAGGACTGCTAGACACCGGATGACGACATGTGTGCTATTGCGTCTCGACCCAAGGAGTGTGATATAGAATACGTAAGTTAGTATGGCATTTGATCCAGCCATGTCCATTTGCGCATTGCTTCCGTCCAATTTCATATTTGACCGGTGCAAAATTTCGCGATTCACGGAGGATTATTAGCGTTTCTCCACAGTGGATTTGAGCGTGGCACCGGACACACACAATAGTGTCCGCCTGGGTTTGGCGGTGAGCTTTGGCAATTCATTCTGCCAGAGCGGTGGCCGCTAGCAGGCAGAATGAGAAAAAATTGGCGATGCAAAGGAACGGAGGGGAGGAAGCATGCTACAGGGCCCTTCTCTGTCGGCAACTATACCAACAGTATCCTGATTCGCACCACGGCATACTTCCCTTTCCGAAAAATATACGGGTGCAGTTATGTCGAGCGAAGAAGCAGTCAGCGCGGTCGCATCGGCGCCCAAATCTCTGGGCCTTCGCAGGAACGGTTCGTACAGCGCGGATATCCACGTCTGCCCCTCGTCTCTGCCTCTAACCTATGTCTGCAGGAAAGCAATGGCATGAGCCCAAGAAGGCGTTTCGGCCTGCGTCTGGCCTCACCTCGTTCGCTCAGCGATCCAAGGAGCGCATTGCCAGAGCAACGATGAAGGCAAAGGAGAAGGAGTTGAAGGACGAAAAGGAGGCAGAGAGACAGGTGAGGCAGCCTCTGAAGAGTATGCCGCGTATCGCTTGTGGCTAATCCGAGTCAGGTGCGCATAAAAGCCATTCGCGATAAGAAGGCCGCCAAGGAGGAGAAGGAGCGGTACGAGAAGCTGGCCGAGAAGATGCACAAGAAGCGGGTCGAGCGCCTGAAGCGCAAAGAGAAGCGCAACAAGCTTCTGCACACTTGAGAACGGCTACGGAGCGGCCAATGGCCATGTGGGCAGGTCCACGAGGCTGTGGCGCCAACGGTTGATGGCGACCTGAAAGCAGCCAGTGCCACCCAGCAGAAGTATGGCTATCAACAACCAGAAAGGGCAGTGCCAAAACGTGGCCCCTCCATGGTTACGCAACAAATGTAGCCGTCTGCGACACAGCATCACCCCCTCGCCTTCTGGGACGGCCATGCACAGAGAAGGAGGATTAGGGAGGATGATACCCACCCCCTTGCGGATGTGGGAGAGATGGAACCGAACTGGTGCCCGGTGTCTTGCAGCGAACCGTTCCCCAGCATACCGAGAACCCGACGGCCGTGTTTGAAGAGGACCCTTGTGCTTTTTGTATGCATAGTGCACTTGTGCTGAGCAGAGTCGGGCATATAGCTATTAGCGGGCATTGAAGCATAAAGAAGTGAAACAGATGCATTTCAGTGGCAAGGGAACTGATATGGGATGTGTGAAGGCGTGACGCGTCGTCTGTTTTAGAAGGAGCGAAGTGCGAAGTACGAAGTACGGAGTACTTGCTTTTGATATGGGTGGGGCCCCCCTCACCCATTTGTGCATGTGACATAATTCACAGTCGCCGCAGAATTGCAGCTCCAACTCCCTGCATCTATACACTATCACCTCCTTTGACGGCACAACTATATATGCCAATCCTCCATAAGTAACGAGGGGCCGGAATTATCTATCCAGTGCTGTTTCCGGGCTCCTTGGGCTGCAGAGCCTGGCTTGCCCATCATGCTAGAAAACAAGGCAGCCTCGACAGCTCTGTCGACGACGACAACAGCTTCGGACGGTTCCTCGCAGGCTGCAGTTCAGCGTCCACGACATCAGTTCACCCGGTCACTCTCGGAGCTTTCGTCGCCCGTGCTCCTGCATCGAAACCACGACAAACGCCATCGCCACGACAGCCAGGAGCACAGCGGCGAGGCCTTGTCGGCTTCGACCCCCTACAGTCCTCTACCGAGAAAGACGCCAACAGCGACTGCATCTGGCCTTCCGCGGAACAGCCGTGCATCTCTGGAGTTAGGCCGGCCCGACGGCAGCATTCCGCCGGCTGTGTCCTCCATGGAAAGCCCCAGCTCGAGCCGTCGGCCAAGCGTACGCATCAGTCGAGAGAAGCATCGCGAGGAAGCGCGCACGACAACTTCGGCTCATCAGCAGCCACACCACCACCATCACCACCGTCACCACGGCGGTCACCGCCATCGCAGCAGCGGTGGCGGAAGCAGCAGTAGCGGCACCCACCAGAACATCGCCGGTTTTGCCGCCCTGGCAGCTGCAGCCACAGCAGCGGCAGCCGGCTCGCCCACGCCGCTGCAGATCCCCACTCTGACCATTCCGCGCAGAGCGTCTGATAGCGGCGGCAGCATTGGCGGAAGCGGCACCAGCGGCACCATAGCAGAGACTGCCAGAGCACCGCTCCCGGGGACCTTTGTCCCTCCGCCCGACACCGATCCCGTTCTCGTGACCGCCATGCGCCGCCTCCAGCATGACCAAGACCGTGCTGCTGCCCGGCTGCTGCAGGCCACCCTGGCCGACCTTGACGGCCTGTCCACGTCGACGGGACAGCGACTCGACGCCGTCTACGGGTCGGTGCTGTCCCGCCTCAGCATCCTGCAGGGCACCGTGCAGGCGCTACGATCGCTAGCAATTTCGGCACGTACCACAAACATCCACTTCAGAGCCGAGGCCCGGTCCCTTGCAGACGAGGTTGAGCAGCAGCTTGCCCACTTTGAAGGCAGCGGTGGCGGCGCAGGAGAGGGCTCCGCCGGCAGTGCTGCTGCGGCCACCACCGGCACTACCCCGGCCACTTCTGGTCCTCTCCCCTCCGACCAGCAGCGCCGCCTGGAGCAGCTGCACGCCCGCGTGCTTGCCGGCCGTAAGGCCGTCGAGGTGCTTGGTGGCCGCGTCGATGTCATCCGGGAACGCGTCGAGCGCTGGGAACGCGCAGATCTGGCCTGGCAGGAACGCACACGAACACGACTCAAGGTGCTGTGGGCCATCGTGTCCGGCGTCGTGCTGGCGCTGGTCGTGCTTCTGGTTGTCATGGCACGGTCCAACAAAGCCAACCGGACGACACTGACCGTGCCAGACGACGTGGGCCGGCTCGTTGAAAATGCCTACTCTACCCTGGCGGCTACGACATCCAAACACGAACGACATCTTTCATTACTACACAACAGCTCAGACAGAGATGGTGCAGCTGCCGTCTCGAAAGCAGACTCTCTAGTCCGCTTGTTTGACGAGCTATAATCCAGGTGGCCGCCTTGGCTTTTATTCTTGGGGGGGGCTTGCTTTCTTGCCGTGATCGGCCCGTGTATCTTACCATCTGCATAAGCGAGCATGGGATTTTTTGTTCTGCATTCATTCAGTCCAAACATTGACTATTCGAGCTGCCAACAGGACGCAGCCTAGATGTATACGCAATCATCAAGGGGCGGAGCGGACAAAGCAGCCGCCCCATCGATAATCTTACCTCGGCTAGAGGGTTCTGCTGGCAGACGCACTTGCAACTCTAAACAGAAATGGGAAGGAGATTAGCGAATATGTTCGATACGTAATGGAGAAGATTCGTCACTCTGCGCCCCCTTTGTTTGTGATAGCCATGCCTACAACACAGCCACCATTTGATTTCGTTTTCGTGCGCAGCAACTCATTAGCCTTGCCAAGCTGTCGTAGTCAGCAATTCTCTGGTACTTTTAGCTTCCATGGACCTCAAATGCGGATATAAAGTGAAAGTGTAGTTGCCCTATGTACCATCGGTTTCTGGTGTCTCTCCGTATCTTATCGCGTCGAGGTGACTGGGCGTACAGTAACAAAATACTTAGATACAACAAGACTCAGGGACACAAACGGCGTAAAAGGCAATTGTTGTTCTTGTAGCTCCCCTGTTCGCACCTTCCCAGTTACCCCTGCAAACCTGTCTGAAGTTTCTCTACCTGTTCTGCCTGCATTCTCTTCCTCGTCATCATTTCTTGTTCTGCGCATTCAAGGAAATCATCGCCACTTTGCGCCTCGATAACATTATTCGCCAATTTCCACCCCTCACCTGTTTCGCACGGTCTCCACTATTTGTGAGCTACGAGTCCCGTTGCTAGTGATACGCACTTAATTCCTCAACTCCTACGTCCGCACTTCTTACCTCTTGGTGTCTCCTTTCGCAAACACAGAAATGAGCGGCATCCCAGAACCTTTGGGCGGCGCAGGTACCGCGAGCAGACCCCCTGCTGGCAGCGATAGCATGGCCGCGACTCTACCAGACCCCGCCGCTCCCGGTCTCAACGACGTCACCATAAATGCTATCACGGCCGCAGACGAGCTTCCGCCTCCTGGACAGACCTTGACTGGCAAACAAGAACACTGTTAGTTTGGATTCGGGGTCCTTGTCCCATTGTGTCTCCGACTGCTCCGGATCTATAGCTGAACACAATATAGACCTCAAACGTGAACTTCTTGGAGAGCAAGCTAAATGGGAGATTTCGGAGCTCAATTCGCCTACGGCTCTGCGCCGCTTCGGTGCTCCCTTCAAGTCGGAGGTTGGCGAGGTCTCCCCTGTTGACTCCGAACTCCCCATCCTGCGCTATATCTTTGTCCACCATGTCCGGGAGTTTCCCTTCCTCGACAAGGCCCGCGAGAAGGAGTTCTGGCAGGACAAGCTGCAAGTGGTGAGTGCCCTTCTCGAAACGGGCGAGACTGGATCCCCTCAGAAGTAGCTTCCTGGCCTTCTGACCTTGCAGTTCCTCGAATCCTTTTCTAGCAAACACATCTCGTCGTCCGAGGACCGCCTCGAAGAGAAAAAGCGGCGCAAGTTGGCCATCAAGGCCCAAAAGCTCGTTGAGCTGATGATGGTCTCGGGCATTCGCACGTCGTCTGGCTTTGAAGAGCGCATTCGCTTCACAGAACTCGAGATCGTCGACCGTAACGCTATAGACAGTGGTGTTTTGGGCTCTCTCCCTGAAGGCAACTTTATCAATGGCTGGGACGCCAACGTTGCCGGCGTGCGCATCCAGTCGATCAAACGCAATATACGGAACCACAAACATGCTGTATGCTAGTATTTGCCTGTCCCATCTCCCGCGCAACTGCTGACGGTAACAAGCAATTCATCCTACGGATAAAAAAAAAGGGCGAGCTTGAATACTTTATCGGCCGACGGTACGGCGAGTTTGCTCGCCTGCAGAAAGCGTTGCATACTGAGCTTCCTGGGCGCGTGCTTCCGCAATTGCCCAAAAAGAACAAGTCGAGCAGCACGTCGTCTTACCTCCTCGGTTCCATGGTCAGCAGCAATGACTCAGACGGTTCATCCGTCTCGTCTGTCTCGACCCAGATGACCCTTTTTTCAAGCACAGGAGGTAGCTTGGGCGAGTCGCTCAAGAATTTGTCAATCCGAGGTGCGTGACCTTGTCGCTTCGCCAGTCTGAGCAGGCAGAAAGATTCCCCCCTTTCTTCCCAGTGCTCTAGTTGACATTATTTAGATAAAAGGAAATCCGGGTCTTCTTTCAGATCATCACCACGGCCTTCGATGGATGCGCCGTTGAGTCCGAGGGCACCACTGACCCCTACGAGTCCGGTGCCAGGCGTAAGTGAAAGAAACAGACGACGACACATTTCACGGTTAAAGGCACGTCGGTGATCAACAGCTAACGTCATGGAGTAGTCTGCCGTTCTCTGGCGGGAAACCCAGCGCATCTCTCTGAGGGCGTATCTTCGAGCGCTCCTCGGCAACGAGCAGATTGCCCAGTCGAACGCCATTCAGGATTTCCTGACTAAGGACCGGATAACGCCAAGAGATGAAGATGTTGACGATATCACGCGGAGAAAGGCTGTGGACGAGATGCGTGTCGAAGAGCAAAAGAGGTTCTACGAGATCGCTCGACGCCGAGCAGCTGACCTTGATGTCTACATGGAACAGTATGTTCTGTTCCCCGCTTTCAGAGCAATTGCACATCCTAACGAGTTGCAGGTTCCGTCAGGATATCGTAGAGCGGAACGGCCTCACGATGCTCTTCAAAGAGATAAAGGAAAAGAACACCATCCAGGACTTGAGTATACAGTACCAGAAGTTTGCTGAGTGGTTGCGCATCGAGGTGGCGGCAACCATCTACCATCTGTTTCTGGCGGAAGACAACTCGCCCGAGTTGTTTGCACAGGCGAAGCGCATTCATTCGTTGATACCATATACGGTAATGAAGAATGTCACACGCACCGCCAACCCGGCCGCCGTACTGGTAGGAATCCTGGACATCTTTCTGGCCCAGCCCTTTGGAGCGCGATCGCTGATGCAACGCATCTTCTCTCTAACGCTCCACGATGGCATCCGCAACTTTCAGAAGACTATCGACGCCCTCTCGGCGAAGATCGACGACTCCGTACTTGTCGATAAGCTGAAGGCATTCGTCTATGCCGACGAGCCGATCAAGATGGAGATCCGGGGAGAAGCGGAAGCCGATGATGTCGACCTGATCGTGGGCGTGCTACGCTCGGAGCTTATTGAGCCATCACTCGCGCCAGAACAGATTGGACGGCTGTACAACGCTTATGTGGCGTTCACCTCGGCCATAGAGAATGTGGATGAGGAACTCAAGCAGGGAGCACAGTTCTTCTCGTACCTCAAGCAGCTCTTGAAGCAGTTCACTCGGCAGCGCGATAAGGCGATGATGCTGAGTCTGATTGAAGAGCCGGTGACACTCTCTCTATTCCGCGATCTGTTCACGATATTCTACGAACCGCTCGTCCGCGTGTACAAGTCGGCCAACGTGTACAGCAGCATCACGGACTTTGCAACGTTTATCGACGACCTGATCAAAGTGGTGGAGAGCTGCCGAGAGCAGGAAGCGTCGGCCGATCCGAACCAGACGGTGCAAGCCTTTATCGACCTTTGCCAGCGACACGAACACAACTTTTACAAGTTCATGCACGAGGTGCACACGCACGACAACGGACTTTTCACCCAACTCATGGAGTGGATTGAGGGTATCCTGGAGTTTCTGCGGAAGGGTCCCGTGAACGGCACGCTCGACGTGAACGCACTCTTCAAGGGTGCAGTTGAACTCGGGGTTCTAGATAAGGACAAGGCAATTGCCGAGATCAACAGCCTGATAGCCTGGCAGGAGGCGCGGAAAAAGTGGCATCAAGACAAGACACGGCAGAAGATGGCAGCGGAAGGCGGCAGCACCGATGGCTTTGGCCTGGGAATAGGAGGCAACTCGACGCTTGCAGTGCCCATTGGCTTCAGTGCAGGAGATTTCGGCCTGGACGATGCAGACCTTGCGGACATGGCGTACGATAACAGCAATGACTCGGACGACGAGGCGGCCCAGGAGGCTGAGGACGAGCTGGGCCCAATCGATGCTGAACGGAAACAGCGGGCGAAGCGACAAGACCGATTACGACGAAGTGCAGGAGAGCCAGCAAAACCAGCTATCGCAGAGGTTTACAAGCTCAACGAGAACTTCCTGGCGATGCTGCGGTATGTGTTGGCCGAGTGACGGCAGCGGCATATTCCCATTGGATAATTAGACTTTTTGCATTTCTCGGTTTCCATATAACCATTTATTTTTGCAATTTGTTGAGTGATGCTGCGAGCGAGGTGGCAAGTCAGTGCCGTGGACATGTCACATGCCACCGTAAAGACGGATGAGCAGCCGAGCTTTGCTATCGACGGCCGGCTAGAAGCAGCAGCCGGTGGGATGGTGTAATCGTGGGAAGACACAATGAAAGTCCGATTACCGTCGAGGCCAAGACTCTTGTATATACTTTGACTTTGTAGTAGGATCCTGCCGCTTCTGCTCTCTGTTCTAGCTTTCCTTTGCGTGGTGAAGTTTGCTGACACAGCACGTCGACGCACGGACCAACATCGCTCGGCAGGTCCTCGGCTAAGAACGAAGCTCACAGTGGGCGAGAGAGGCGCTAGCAGTCGCGGGGAGTAATAATGTGAAATTGGCAGAAGCAGATTGGCCGGCTACAGGCTCGCAGGCCGACCGGCTAGCACTGGGCTTTGGGGCGTTTGGGGGTTCCGGGGAGAGCGGTTCGGAATTGTGCGGTTTCCTCTTTTTTTCGTCATTGGCTCCTCTTCTACTGGTCCTGCGGTTTTCCCATCCTCCTCCTTCCCACGCATCATCTTTTCCCAATTGCCTCTCTCCACTCCCCTCTCTAATTCTTCTTCTTCTCCCTCCTACCACCGCCACCCTCTCTTCCCTCGCACGCAACATCCGTCAGCTGGTAGTGCGGAGCCGCCGATTGTCGAGGAGCATCCCCCTCTCCCCAAAATCGCCGAGAGTCGCATCACAGCAAGACACACGAGCAGCGTGACCAGAAGCTCTAGACGAGATGTCGTCTGCTCGAGTTTGGAAGCGGTTGGCGTCAGTCGCCCGGCCAGCGGTGCGTGACGGATCCTTGTTGTTTTTCTCGCGTTGCCTCAACATACAGACATGCTGACTGCTGGCTCTTGTCTCGTTTCAGTCCACAAGAAACTTTTCTAGCACGCGGCCAGCCGGTAAGCCTTTTGTCTGGGTAGAGGAGGGACTGAACGTCAGAGCACTCGACCGCTAACACTTACACTGTCTACAGCTCGCATCATCTCAAATGGACACCTCCGGGCCAAGGAGGCATCGCCCTTCCTGAGCAACAAGTACCCGGTCATTGTACGTGGCAGCCTCTCCATTTCCGCAGCTCTTTGCCCTGCTGACCAAGACAGGACCATGAGTACGACGCTCTCGTTGTCGGTGCCGGTGGTTCGGGCCTGCGTGCTGCCTTCGGTCTGGCCGAGGCCGGTTTCAACACGGCCTGCATATCCAAGCTCTTTCCCACGCGAAGCCACACAGTGGCAGCCCAGGGCGGCATCAACGCGGCACTCGGCAACATGCACGAGGACGACTGGCGCTGGCACATGTACGACACCGTCAAGGGTTCCGACTGGCTGGGCGACCAGGACGCCATCCACTACATGACGCGCGAGGCGCCGGCTTCTATCATCGAGCTGGAGAACTATGGCTGCCCCTTCTCGCGTACCGACGAGGGCAAGATGTAAGCTTGTGGCGCGAAGCCGACGGGACGGCAGACAGACCGTGAGCGAGGCTAACGAGACAGCTACCAACGTGCCTTTGGCGGTCAGTCGCGCAACTTCGGCAAGGGTGGCCAGGCTTATCGGTGCTGTGCTGCCGCTGATCGGACCGGTCACGCGCTCCTGCACACGCTCTACGGCCAGTCGCTAGCCCACAACACCAACTTCTTCATCGAGTTCTTTGCCATTGACCTGATCATGGAGGATGGCGAGTGCCGCGGCGTCCTGGCCTACAACCAGGAGGACGGCACGCTGCACCGCTTCCTGGCCAACAGCACCGTCCTGGCCACAGGCGGATACGGACGGGCCTACTTCAGCTGCACATCGGCACACACCTGCACAGGTGACGGCATGGCCATGGTGGCGCGTGCCGGTCTGCCCAACCAGGATCTGGAATTTGTGCAGTTTCACCCGACCGGCATCTACGGCGCCGGCTGCCTGATCACCGAGGGTGCTCGTGGCGAGGGCGGCTACCTGCTGAACAGCGAGGGCAAGCGTTTCATGGAGCGCTACGCGCCCAGGCCAAAGGATCTAGCCAGTGGTGATGTCGTGTCGCGGTCGATCACGGTCGAGATCCGTGAGGGCCGCGGTGTCGGTCCCGAGAAGGATCATATGTACCTGCAGCTGAGCCATCTGCCGGCCGAGGTGCTTGCCGAGCGTCTGCCCGGCATCTCCGAGACGGCCAGCATCTTCTCGGGCGTCGACGTGCGCAAGCAGCCGATCCCCATCCTGCCGACTGTGCACTACAACATGGGCGGCATTCCGACCAACTACACCGGCCAGGTGCTGACCGTCGATGAGGCCGGCAAGGACAAGCCTGTTCAGGGCCTGTTTGCCTGTGGCGAGGCTGCCTGCGTGTCGGTGCACGGCGCCAACCGTCTGGGCGCCAACTCGTTGCTGGATCTCGTCGTCTTTGGCCGTGCCGTGTCGCACACCATCCGCGACCAGTCGACGCCGGGCCAGAAGCTCAAGCCGCTGCGTGCCGACGCCGGTGCCGACGCCATCGAGGTCCTGGACGAACTCCGCAACGCCGACGGCCCCAAGTCGACGGCCGAAATCCGTCTGGCGATGCAGAAGACTATGCAGAAGGATGTCAGCGTGTTCCGCCAGCAGGATTCCCTGGACGAGGGCGTCGTCAACATCAGCAAGGTCGACCAGACCTTTAAAGATGTGGGCATCAAGGACCGCAGCATGATCTGGAACTCGGATCTTGTCGAGACCCTGGAGCTTCGGAACCTGTTGACCTGCGCGTAAGTCATCATTCCTACTTTTGCTTCGCTTCTGCTTACTAACAAATTAGCGTGCAAACGGCTGTGTCTGCCTCTAACCGCAAGGAGTCACGTGGCGCACACGCCCGCGAAGACTACCCCGACCGTGACGACAAGAACTGGATGAAGCACACGCTGAGCTTCCAGAAGAAGCCACACGGCCCGGTAGACCTCAAGTACCGTGCTGTAATCAGCACCACGCTGGACGAGAACGAGTGCAAGCCCGTGCCTCCGTTCAAGCGTGTTTACTAGACGACAGACCGGCAGAAAAAAAAAACAGGATGAAGGAGATGGGTGGCGCTTGCATCCGCCGGGAACTGCGTATCTTACAGCTAGGGCAGAGTCGGGCAGGCAGGTGCGCGACGACGGCGAGTACTTGCTTCGTCGGGGGCTGAACCTGTCCTCTGCTGCCGCGTGGTGTTGTTGTTGCTGCTGCTGCTGCTGCATGTAGCATAACTATTAATTACGAGTTCAAAAGGCCTGGCCTGGCAGCTGTGTATATTGACCATATAAACCTAGACAGCTTATTTTGGCCCGAGGAGAAGTAGCAACTCTTGTTTTGATGGATAACAATAGACAAAAAAAAACAGTAAAGTCAAATCTGGGCTGCAACCACATAAAGCTATGGGCTGTGTTATGCACAGAAAACGATAAGGGGATATCATAATGATAATGCGCGCAAAGAAAGAGAACAATATAATAGGAATAGGCACTACAGAACGCAGGCCATCCGTCACGTGAAACCAGGCGTATCCATGGCTGTGTTCACGGCCTCATCGATGGCCTGATTGACATCCGCAGCTGTTTGTGCTACGGTGCCCTGGCCAAGAAACAAGGCCACCTCGTTGGAGCCAGCCACAGGCGCCTCGCTAGACACGGCCACCTCGCCGGGAGCGACTTCCTATGGGTGCGTATCCGCCGGAGCTATGAGTGGCGGCGGTGTTGCTGTAGGTGCTATTGTAGGTGCTGCTGTAGGCGTTAATATAGGTTCTGCTGCTGCTAGATCTGCATCCATGAGTGGGAAAGGGAAGGCAGCTGGCTCTGCTGCTTGAGGCAGATTCTCGGTAGCAGCCGCGGCCGGTTCCAGAGGATCGTCCAAACGTGGGCGGTTCTGCAACCACCGGAAGAACAGCGGGACGTCCTTTGAGATCTCTCCCGGGATAGCTAATTCTTGGACCATGGACGGCAGTGCGCCACGGGCATTAGACGTCGTGGCCATGACCCATTCGACGAGTCCGGTGCCGCGGTTATCACCCGCGCCTGTGGGAAGCAGCCGGACGCGCTCGACGCTTGCATAGAAGCCCAAGACAACGCCCGGCTGGCTGCTCAGCCGCAAAGCAACATCGGTGGCATCCTCTCCAGGCATGGGCGCCGTGGCAAAGTTGTTCACGGTAACGCTGACGACGAGAAACTCGGGGACCAGTAGTTCGTCGTTGCCGTTCTGGATCTGGTCCTCACCTTCGCTGCCACTGCCACCACTGACGGCCGCACACGTCATCTGCAGCACGGGAAAGACGCGGGTGTGCAAGGGTTTGCTCAGCTTATGCCGGATCTCGTACACTCCCAGCGGGAAGTTAGACCAGCGGCGGCCGCCCTCCTCGGCGCCCTGCAGGGCGAGGCCGGCGGCAGGCCAGACGAGCGCCTCACGTGCACCCGTGATGTTGTCCGTCATGTCATCCTCCGAGGCAGCGTGGTTGTCCTTGAGATAAGTGCGAAACTCGGTCCACGAGGCCGTGCCGGCCATAGCAGCATTGGGGTGGCGCGAGCGGCGACAGAACCAGGTCTCCGAGGATGGGCTGAACTCTAGCTTCTTGTTCTTGCCTGGCAGAATTGTTTGGACCGCGTTGGCTGCCAGCACGCCGCCCAGGGCCGCTGTTCGTGTGGCTGCCACCATCTTGAGTCTATCCGCAGATACGCGACGACGCAGTATGTTGACCTGTACTTTGTCCTTTTTGCCAGCACCGCCGGCTTCCTTCCCACGGAATATCTTGCTGTGTGTTGGCTTCCACAATGCCGTTGGCATCCTGTCGTCGACCGTGTCGACAAAAGCCACGGCCTCCTGCAGCAGCGCCAGCAGGAATGGCGCAATGTCATCAGCGCTGGCCTCCAAGGGCGGCAGCTGGCTGACCGAGATGCCCCAGAGCCGTAGCAATGGTCCCAGATGATTGTCGGCCATGGCGGCAAATGTAGTGGGTGGTGTACGATTCCATTTTTTTGAGACTGGTCGCTGTGTGTTGCTTGCTGAGCCTGTACTTCGTATTCCTCGTTCTCTGTATTCTGGTTTGGCCGTGTTTTAATCCATACGTCGTCGTATGCGATCGGACAGAGCTGCTGCTGGCCGTCACCGCGGCTCCCCTTTTGTTTCAAGCTTTTAAACGGCTGTGTCATCGAGGGGAACCGGCCTTTTCCTTGTTTTGGGTTTTGGAGGACGGAGACTCGGGGCGGAGCTTTGGCCTCGCCAATTGGCCCACTGCGCTTTCCATTTTGCCTCTATCCGCGCCTGCTGGTATTAGCAGCTGCTCTCCCCGCGACAGAAAGAGCAAATGAGCACTCCACTTTTCACACAAACACACCTGCTCCGTATGGCATTTTTTTGTATGTCAATATTAAAAGGCTTGTACGGAGTACATATATAAACAGAAGGAGCAGCCGTGATTACAGTGGTGGCTGAAGTCCAGGCCGCAGTCTCGCAATTCTCGCAGTCTTCTCTGTTCTAGCAGGCGCAGCCGTTGGCCTCTGTCCGCCGCTCCTTCCCTGCAGCTTACTGCGCGACCTGCTCGCGACGCTCCCAGTGGATCACAGCAGGCTCCAGCGGCCGCGAAAAGAGCGAGGCATAATCAGTGCCAATGACACTGTTGCTGCCATCGACATTACGGAACTTGAACATCCGCACAGTCTCGGCGATGATGGTCTGCAGCTGCACGTTGGCAAACTGCTCGCCAATGCACCGATGACGGCCGGCACCAAATGGCAGATACGGCGACGCGGAGCCCTTGCTGACCAAACCGTAGCCATAGTCGATCTTCTCGTCGTCCTCCTCCTCGGGGCGGCCAAGATTCGGCGCATTGGGCGAGTCCTTCGTCCACCGGTACGGGTCCCACAGGTCCGGGTTGGGGAAGTAGACCGGGTCGCTTTGCTTGAGACACCAGGCGCCGCCATGAGCACGTGGCTGGTAGGCACGACATACTTGGTTCCAGGCACCGCCATCGGCTGCTTGACCTTGCGCATGATCGAGTGGATGGGGGCGTACAGCCGGAGGGTCTCCTTGACGATGGCGCCGTGCAGCGGCAGCTTAGCCAGATGCTCGTACTGCAGCGGCGGCAAGTCTGCGCCGAGAGCCTGCACCTGCTCCTTGTACAGGTCCTCCATGACGTCGGGCCGCGATGCTAGCAGAACCATGATCCAAGAGCTGGTCGACGACGATGAGTGCTGGCCTGCCATCAGCAGCGCGATCATCATGTGCGCAATTTCGTGGTCCGGAACCGGAGTGCCGTTCTTGTACGTGGAGTTCATCAGGTGGAACATGATATCTTGCGCGCTCGTCTCGCCCCTTGCCCGCCGACTCTTGATCGTGTCCGTGTAGATCTTGGCCACCGTGCGCTGCGCATGGTCGCGCCGGTTGTTCCAAGGCAGCGGTGCCCAGTGAAGCATGAAGTTGATCGGGCTGAAGCCCATGTCCAGGTCGTGATACAGGTCTGCCAGCGACTCGTCAAACTGGTTGCGGACCTCTTTGCCTTGCAGTGCGTGCGATGCCGTGAAGATGGTGATCTGCGCCATCTTGGGCGGGATGTTGACCCCGCCCGACTGCCCCTTGAAGTCCGCAGTGCGCTTGTAGTAGCTCTTGACCTCTTCCCAGATGATGGGCACGTAGGAGCGGAATGCCTCAGTCGTCAGGGCGAACTTCATGAACTGTCGACACGATTGGGTCAGAATGAGACAACCACAGACAGCAGACAGTCATCGGCAGCGCATACCTTCTTCTGCTCCATGAGCTTGGAGTTGGGGCAGTCGTACACCACGTCGCGGCCGAACACGGGCGTCGTGAGCACGGTGTAGATCTCCTCAGCGCTCACATCGCGGATCTTCCCGTTGAGAATAAAATCGTTGCCAGTCGGCCCAACGAACACCGTGGTCTTGCGGCCGAGCAGGACGAAAGTGTACACATCACCATGCTGCAGGAAACAAAGAGCAAACCGTTAGCCAATGCTTCAAACGCGGCCAGAATGCAAAGAGCGTCCACATACCTTGGCCCGGTTCTCCTTGAAGAAGCGCGGAGGATCCATGCCGTATGTGATCGTGCTACCGATGATTGGGAACAGGTGGAAGACCATTGGTGGCTCATGGGGATTCTTGAACAGAATCTGCTGAACGACGTTCAGAAACACAATCACGGTGAGCGCTGCCACGACGCCAACACCAATCTGCGTGGCCATGCCCAGCTGCGAGTACTGCTCGAGCAGCGGCCCCGCCGCATCCTGAAAGACACCCATCTGGGTCGTGTGGAAGAGGACAGCTTCCTGCTAACGCGTCTGCTAACAAGTAGAGATAGGAGGCCAGAAGGCCGAAGAAGGGAAGATGAGGGAAGACAGGTTGCAAGAGAGTTCGGAGCAAGCTCTATGCGCAAGAAACGCGGCCCGGTTCCTGTGATTGCGGCGGCCAAGAGTCTGTCCACGCGGCTAGAGACTTGTCAGTGTAGGCCGTTGGATTGAGAAGGGGAGAGATGGAATTGGCTCACAATCGAAGCGGCAGGACCGTTCAGTTATATTTTATCCGACGACGCCAAAAATGCCCGTCGCAAAGCGGTCAACCCCCCCCTTCCTAAGCTCGCAAATTGTTGAATGATGCCTAGCCAATCAGATGCCCCGTTCGTATTCGTATCCGCATTCACAATTCGCCAAATGCAGGTACCACCTTGGCGGCTTTAGCATGGAGAGATACTTGCCTTCGTCGTCGCAGTGCCTTCTGTCTGCCTATCGTCCGATCAGCAAAGCTCCTGAGGCTATATTGTGCTGCAGGCCCGCTTGGATCAGCTGTTTTTCTGTATGATCTTTTTGTTGTCCTATTTTTTGTGTATTTTGTTCAATTGACTTCTGCCTTCCGACCGTTTAGACCATACTCGACGGCCTGTTCCGCGAATACGACCCCCCTTTTCGGAGAAACTGCCGCATCCTCATTCGTCAATGCCTTTGGCTGCATGTGGTAGAGTAACGTACGAGTACGGAGTAGTTTATATGTTGCCTCAGGCTTGGGATCGCAGTTGGCCTTTTCTCAGGTGGCGTGGCATCTGCATTCGTTTCACCCGAGCGTTTGTTCCTTTTCTTTTGTAATTATTTTATTGGGGGGGCCTGAAGCCTGACTTTTGACCAAACATTCCGTGTTTATCTCCAAAAGACTTTTGAACAATTATGATATGATGTGAGATGCGAGCCTTAACCAAACCCTGTTCGCCGTAGATGCTGCCGATTTGCTCCTTGCCTCGCTATGACTCGTTTCGTAGGTGCACGCCCCGGGGTATAGCCCCAATGCTGATGGCTGATGACAAAAGAAATCGAAAGGAAGGCGGTTGATGCACCAAAGCAAAAACACCAAAAACAAGAACGCCCAGAAAATCACGCTTCAAAAATCCGCAGCCCACCAGCCATAGTTGCCGTCTATGTTAATCCACTGGCCCCGCGACTGGGCTGCATCGCGGCCCATCATAACAGCCAGCAGTCTGCACCCGGTGGCGCTGGCAGCACACACAATGGTATCGCTAGCCCCGGCGAGCACGACCAGGTCCATCATGTAGGCACGGCCAATCAAGCTGCGCACTCCGAGCGTCTCGGGGGATGGAGGCTCCTGAACGGCCGTCTCTCCCGCTGACGAGCTGCTCTTGGCCGAGATGGCCGGACGTCCCAGGCTCCAGAACATGGCCGAGAAGAAGCCGCCCTCCCAGCCCAAGGTTTCGTCCACGAACTTGTGCATGTAGCTGGCATCGCGATTCTTTTCCTGGTTCACTGTTGCTGCCTTGCCTGCCAGCTTGATGAAGTCTTGAGCGCGTGTGGCGCCGGCAAACTCGCTCGCATCATACACCATCGGATCATCTGATGCCACCACCATCAGGGAGTGGCTGCGGGCCAGCTGCCCTGCTGCTGTGCGCTTGTTGTTCCGTGTTTCGAGCACCTCGTGGGCTCGCTCGGCGTACAGGTTGAGCGGCATATACGACTCGCGATACTGAAATTCCAGCGGGTGCCGATCGCCTCGTCGAACATGTATGCCGACAATGGTGCCTCTGTTCGCTGCCCCCGTCCCTGCAGCCTCTGCCTGTTTGTTGACCGTCTTGTCCTTGAACTGCTTCACCCTCTCGACGACATGCTTGCTATCGTCGGTATTCAGCTTGCAAAGAGCCTCGTAGCCGACGCGGGCGAGATCGAAGAAATGCGCCGTCTTTGCGGCGCTTTGTGTGTCGTCGTCCTCGATAGCAAAGACGTCGCTTGCTGTCTCGGCAGTCACAATAAGGTGGCGGGCCTGGCGCGGACATGGCAGCATCTCATGGCGCAGAGGGGGACGGCAGTCTGGAATTGGCGGTGGCTGGAAGATGTTGGTGTAATCCCCATAGGCCCAGCGGGTGTCGTCGATAAAAAACGGGCGGTCCTCGTTCTGAGCCAATGCAAAAGACATCCACAAAAACATCAACGACTGTCCGAGGCCTGCATCCGAGGAGCTGAGCACAAACGTCAAGCTGCGTGCGCACACAGGCCTGTCTAGCATCCCCCCCTTTGGCTGGCCAACGAGATCGTTTCCCTCGTCTTGCTGGTTCATCAGGGTGGCAATGGAAACACTGCCGGCCAGATAGCCCGCCAGCTCAGCCTCGTGAACGTCAACAAAATGCTTCGCGGATAACGACTTCTGCTTTCCGGTTTTACTGCTGCCGCCAAGACCAGGGATGCTGCTGAAGCCGCCGAAGCTGCCGAAGCTGCCGATGCCGAGTCCCTTGCGGCGCAGCTCGTCGACTCGGCTAGCCACCTCGCGACATTTGGCACAGATATCGACGTATTCTTCAGTAGCGAGAGGAAAATGAGAGTTTGGCGGGATAGACACGGTCCATATGGCATTGCCGTGTCTGTTCACTATTGCCGGCGTGGAAAAGTGAGGCAGCCTGTCCTGGCTGACCATCTCATACTTCCTTTTGTTGCCCTGGACGGCGGTCGGCCAAGCAAAAGCACTGGTGTCGATGATGTGTGGCCCAGGATCGAGCCAGAAGAACGATACGGCTATATACAGAAAACAGACAATGCCAGAGCATATTAACAGTGCGCGGACGAGCCTGCTTGGTCGAGCAATAGTGGCGGATCTGCGAGGCCGTGGGAGCAACTGCGGCAGGCCAGGAGATGGTGGAGGAGACGTGAAGAGGAGATGGTTGAAGCTGAAGCGTGACGAAGTCGATGAGAGCGGACCTCTATCATGTGTATAAGACGTAGCTCGCCGCAAGTTGATGCGTGGCGTAGACATTTTGGTATGTGACGTTCGTCCGAGGTCGAGTGTTGGGGGCATGGCGATGGGACCGATCTGTCAAGGAGAAGTGCCAGAGAGCATAAGCCCAACAGAGGTGGCTGCTTCGGAAGACGAAAATCGATGAGATGAGACGAAACAAACCGAAACGCAACAAGACGAGATGAGACGGGACGGGATGGAGGAAGTAGAGAAGAGATGTCGTTTAGGTACAAGGATTAAGGGAAACCAGACTTTCTCTGGACTCGCCAGGTAGAGAACGATTGGGAATGATAAAGTAGGGTTAAGGAAACGCTCGTGACCAGCCGGGCATGGGCTGAAAGAAATCGGCCAGCGGAAAGGAACGACTGGGTAGAAGATGGGGATCTCGTTTGCTCCTTCCTTAGCCTCCGCCCATCACAATATGCCGAGAGCGGATGTCGAGAGTTCTTAAGACAAGCAAGTGCCAGGGAGAAAAAAGGTTAGTTCCCGGGGTTGCCTGGCGATGGGTGCTCCAGTGGGACGGGAGGAACGTCATAAGTTCCCAAAACAACTAAGATGTGCTCAGCAGGTGACAACCCCCCTTTTGCTTGCGGTGGACTGTCAAAGCCCCTAGTAAGAGACAGGCGACCATAGGTACATTCTGTTGAGAATGGCAGCAGTGGTGAGAAAGAAGCCAACAAGGCCAAGCCTCTGCCAGCTGTATATGGAGCGATATACTTTTGTGAAAGCCGAAGAAGAAAAGGAAACTCGGAAGAAGGAAAAAAAGGAAAAAGAACGGAAAGTGGCAGAAATGCGGGGAACGTTCTCCGGCGCTTTCTTGCCATTTGCTTGAAAGTGGCCTCCCGGAAAGGTAGGAGGAAAGGAAGGCCCCTGCTAAGTAAGTGAGGATCGTGGGAAGCTTGGCTGCAGGGTTGTACAGTTCCATCCACTCGCTTCCAGAGGAGAGCTGCTCATTATTACGAGTAGGCCACTGAACACGGTGCCCGCTTTTTGCGTGGGAAACGGACAACAGCGACCCAGCTGCAGCTGAGGGGCACCGGGGGTCACAGTGGACAGTGATATAAAACATAAATCAGCCAACGAGAAGGTGAGGCTGTTTGGGATATATCGTGTGCGCCTGCACACAGAACACGGCGCAGGTCCCGATTATGTCACATACGCGTCTACGTAAGACAGCCCGCCAGTCGAAACAAGGCCGTCGTATGAAGGTAATTGGCAAGCAAGAAGGAACGTTGCACATTGGAATACGGCGAAGCAGGAAGGCGCCATGGGGTGTCGACAGATGCTTTAATAAAAGAAATAAGGAAATAAGGCAACGGAGACAAAATGAACATCCTGTGGACACACGGCAGTGCTCGCAGAGATGATCTGCTGTGCGCCCACACCTCGTTCATTTGCCGTGATTTGCAATTATGTGGCGATCTTCCTAGGTTTCCGTTTCTTTTTTGGTTGTCTTTACCCCGGCCCCGGCAAATGTGGCCTTTGTCGGTGCGAGGTTATTGCTTCTCGCCTCACGCGTTTAGCTCGCATAACTACTCCGTACGGGCATTTTAACAAATCCGCGATCTCCTGCTAAACTATGAATTTTTTTTCCCTTGCTGCCCAACTGCGCAGCGTGCGCTCGTCAATCGACCTCGAAGCCGCTCTCTTTACAGATAGCACCGCCTCAGCGGAGTCCAGAAGAAAGGCGGTCTGAACTACGAGCCAAAAGAACGAAAAAGAAAAAGGGAAAGCAAGCCGGACCCTCCGAGAACCACCGCTTAGACAGCCTTTTAAGAGAAGCTTCTTCGGCCTCTACTTACAATCCATCTTGCCCTCTTCTCACGGCATGTCATTCTGCTTTGCAGCTAAAAGCGTATGATATCCTGTTTTACAAGGGCACTTCCCTGATTTGGGTTTGCGCTGTTTGGAAAGTGAAGTTGATCCTTTCTCCTTAATGGCCGACCTTGTCGCATTCTGAAACACGTTAAAAACGACGGTGGGGCGTTCCACATTTTGAGCCTTAGCGCAAGCCTCCCTTGCAAGTCATTAGCACAACGCTCTTCCGTTTAGTGTTCCCGTCTTGTCCTACCGCCCAGAGCTCTTGACAAGGATGCTCCAAGCTTGTGTCTGACGTTAGCTCCTCTTCAACATACGACGTACAAAATATGCTTCAGCTTGCAGTCAGCTGGTGTCAATGATGACGTAGCAGAAGCTGTCTCAATCCAGCCCTCTGCATCCACGTTTCAAATAAAGCCACAATTCACCGTAGTCACAAAAAAAGCGTGTGCCATGAGGGAAAGATCAGTGTCTTTCTCTTTGAAAACTGCTTGTATCTTACAGAACAAAGAAGACCACAACTGTCTGTCACAATAGGCGGGCAAGATACCAAAACAAACATCCAAATCAAGCACCAGTGCGAGACACAGCCCGTCTTCTCTTCCTTGAGAAATGGATATCTTGCCGTCTTGCCTTCCACAGCATCAGAGGGTACAAGCACAGCCTCATCTCATTAAATATACACTTCGGACCATTGCCGTCGCTCTATTACCAATTGGTTCCGCCACATCCGAGCCAGAACAGATGCCAGCCATCGTGGCAACAAAAGGTGAAAACATAAACAAGAAAATGCGGGCTACCAAGAAGCGAAAGCCGATGATAGTATCTTATCGTACACACGAAACTCCCGGGTATAGGACAGCGAACAGAGCCACAACAAACGAAGCGTAGCTATCATCCAAAATTTCAAAAAAAAAAGTAAACATAAACAATAATAGGGCCGGTGGGTGACTGCCCTTCCCAAACGCCATTAGATCCTGGCTGCATAAAAGAAAAGAAGAAAGCCCGAGTCGCTTCCTGTCGACTCACGCCTCCAAAATCATGGGTGTTGCCTCTGGAACCAATGGCGGGCTCTGTCGCAACGGCTCCAAAGACATTGCTGACTCTGCCAGCGCATTGGCCTTCTTTTCAGCCGGTACACGGACGCTGCCGCGTACACCGCGGACCAGGTGGCCACTTTCAACGCGGTCCTGGATCATCTCGTCTAGCATCCGGCTGACCTCGTCGACACTCTTCTTCCGGGCTCGCGGGAACATGGCCGCGCTCATCCTCTTCGAAGGTGGCGCCATCTTCATGTCTGACATCGACCCATGAGGTTGGGGTGTGGGTGGCAGCGCCATAACTGGTGGGCTGCTAGGCGGTTCAAGCATTTGCGACGTTCGAACATCAGCCCGCATATCTAGTCGCGAATCGTGTCGTGAATCTAGTCGTGAGTCTAGCCGGTGTTCCAGTCTTGAATCTAGACGCGATTCTATCCGCGAATCCATGCGAGACTCTACCCGGTCGGCATTGTCACGGTTTCTTGCCGCACTGCGCAACGCGGCTAGCATGCGGTCCTTATCGTCCAGGCGGGCACGAAGCTCTGAAATTTCCGCGTCCTTTTCGCGGATCACCGCCGACACACTGTGGTCTTCTCCGACCATGATTCCCTTGTTCGACGAGCCCAGGCCAACAGATGCTCTCGATGAGCTGGCACGTCTTGCCTGCAGTAATCGTTTCTCCAACATCGCAATATAACGGTTCTTATCCGCAAGATCCGCCTGAAGTGCCTGGTTTTGTGATGACAGGGAGGCTATACCATCGCCAAATTCACCGGCGATGTCGTCATCTTCTGCCGGTGCAGAATCGGTGCGGCCACCGGATGTTGGAGGCTCACTGACTCTTCGGCCAATTGTGGACGATGAGGATGTTGTCGACACAGTCCGCTCTAGAAGCGATCTGTTCCCACTCGCCATAGTCCCTGCGTTGGTTGTCGCAATAGAACGCACAGATATTATGGAGGACCGTATACCCAAAGCGCTGTAAGTGCCACCGGTGTTCACGCCGGTAGACTTCGAGCTGAGAATTAGCCTGTTCAGGTGATCGATGCGCTCCTTGAGTGCCGTTCGCGCGAGTTGCATCTCGAGAATTTGCTCCTCATGCCGATTCTCTGCCTCTCGCTCACGAGCGCGCTCTTCCTCGACATCTCGCACTCGGTCCTCGTCGTCTTTACCGCTACCGCTACCCTTGTCGCTGTCCTTGTCTTTTGCCTGGCTCTCGAGTTGTGCACGTAACTCAAGAATTTCCATACGGTATCGCTCCAGTAGAACTCGAGCGCCGCCATCGCCGCCAGCTCCAAGGGCCTCTTCAGCTCGCTTGGCATGACTGGTGAGATTGTTCTTCGCTCGCGACGCAAATTTCAGCGTGTTGATCGTTTCGGTAGTGTGACTGTTCGATGCTGCAGCACTGCCGGCAGAGCCAATTTGAATGGTACACAAGATGCTGACAAGTGAATTGCCTGACAATGCACCCTGCAATAGCCGTGTCAACTTGCTGTCTCGATACGGCAGATGCTTCCCGTCCTTATCAGCTTGCTTGCCATCTTTGTCTTTGTGTTCGGACAGTTTTGAAATGACAGTTCCCAGCGTGAGCAAGCTTTTATTGATATGGGAACCTTCTGTGCGCCGCTCTTTGGACTCGGCCGCCTTCTCAGAGCCGGCAAGATCGATCAGACTCAACGTCGACACACGAACGCCACCTGGCAGAAGACCGCCACGCTTGTTGTCGCTCCCGGTAGCATTAGCCGGGCTGCGTTCGCGGCTCTCCACCACGATCTGAACGACTGCGTGGCTGCGAGAGCTGCGAGAGTTAAACTGTGTACTGGCTGTTCGACGAGCCTGGTCGCCACGAGCAATCACGCGTAGAAGCTGTGTTGGGCTCTGCACGATTTCTTCCTTCAGCGGACTTGCATATACACCTCGCTTGCTGTCCTCTCGTAGCTTGATTTCATCCTGTGTTGTTGGCCCGATGCCGCCAGTTGTCGACATGCTGAGGAGATCGTGGATTCTTTCGTTGTAGATTTCGAGGTAGCTAACGCGCAGCAAGAATTCGCGAGACGGTGTTTCCCGAATGTAGGAGAAGATATCGGTAATGGCCAGTGGAATAACGCCTGGAGACGAAGCCGTACCTTGCATGGAAAAGGTTTTGCCAGTGCCGGTCATGCCATAGGCAAACACAGTACCATGATAGCCTTCCATGACACGGCGAACTAGCCTCTTTGCGATATGGTCGTAGACTTTTGAGTTGTTGTCGTGTGTAGAAAAGACGTTGTCTGCAAAGCAAATGTATCAGCAACAGAGCCTTTGGCTTGAATTTGTCTGGCTGTGCGCAACGAGAAACTCACCGTAATAATAATCACCACCCTCCTTGCCTCCATAGGCCACCAGGGCTTTGCGCCCATCTACCATCCACTCGCCGTCACTTTTGTTGTCACGGCCGCCGGCGTCCGGCCGGACTCGAACGCTGACAATGATGTTGCCTTTGCCATCGCCCTTTGACTGGTGATTGTTGCTGCTTTCATCTGTAGGTGGTACAGTAGTGCCATTTCTGGGCCCTGCCGAGCTATCTCCAATGTCGTCGTACTGAGTTGCCGAGGTAGAGTAGGAGTCTTGTGCGGATGAACTTCGACTTTGAGGTAATGAAGCTACACTGATGACGCCATCAGAGCTTCGATGGCCAGGGCGTGCAACGGACCTGCCATCGCCAGTTCCGTTCAAGAGACTCGGTGTTGAATTACTCGAAGTGTAGTTCGGTGTCGTTGGTGTCTTCGGTTTTCGGCTTGTTGGTGCACCAGCTGACAAGGGACTCGGAGGCAAACTTGTGATACGGTTGTCTGACCTTGGAGGTTGAGGAAAAGAGTTTATGCTGACCGTCTTCCGTAACGTCTTCCCAGCAGCGTTGGCTCCAGAGGAGGAACGAGGTAGGCCTGGTACCAGACTTTGCGGAAAATTGCCGGGTAAAGCGGACGTGGACGGCGCACGTAGGCCGCTGCGCGGTGTGGTAGGAGCTGCCCTGCTAGTCCTTGGGGTAGGAGGGGGATTGGCACCTATGCTCTTCCGAGTTTTTCCCACTGGAAGTGCAGGAAGTGCCGCTGATGGCGGGCCGTTGAAAGACCTTGGCAAGGCCGCGGCCATGTCTGCTGTTCTAGACGCCTCTTTGGTTTCGTAGACAGCAAATCGGGGCCCTGTGGCAAAGGGCGGTAGCGACTGTTAGTTGTGAAAATGGATAGTTTATATTTTGCTAAAAATGGTGCCGGCCATGAATTCGCCAATGCCGCTCGGATTCGGACGCGGTATCGTTTTCGCTTGTCGTGCGACGGTGACGATCGAAAAAAGCGTCAAGCACAAGCGTTGCCGGTCATTCAAGGGCGCATAAAACGTCGTTATGCAGAGCGATAATGGGCTGCTCTGCTATCCGGGGTGGCTGAAAAAGGATAAAGGTCAGTGCGATGTCAAGGTGCATGTTTTTTTTTTCTCAGGCCGAGAGCATGATAGGGGGGAAGACAAGGTTTTCGCCGGACCCCCTAACCAGAGGGATGCAAGTAAACCTTCTTGGGGCGGGGGGAGGACATCGGGAGTGCGGAGGTCATACCGAGCCACAATTAAGGTTTCGTTTTGCATATATATCCGGACGCATGCAAGCCGCAGACGTTTCTGTGCGAGGTCCGGCTCAGTTGGATTAATTGTGGTTGAAGATCAAGCGTGGTGCAGTCTGATATGTATTGTTATTCAGCGCTTTGCGGGGATTCATCCGACGAGTACGAGTTGTTTTGCTGGACAACGAAAGGTATCGATCTACCAGGCGGGGGGCTTTCGAGTGGCAAGAGGGCGGGCTCTTCTAGCTATGGTCAGAGTTGGTTTGGTGAGTCGCTAGGGAAGGTGGAACCATGAGAGCAGGTCTTTCGGGGAGCGAGTCCTCAACAGCCAGTGACAACAAACAGAAGGAGGCTGTGAGGGCGACGGTGGAGAAGGCGAGACAGGAGGCAAGAAGGCCGATCTGGGGGCTGTCTCAGATGACGGACAGCAAATATGAAGAGCAAAGACAGCGCAAATGAAAGTGAAGAAGCGAGCGGGTGTCGTCGAGACGCTGCAGGAAGGCTTGAAAGGGACAAAGGAGCGCGGAGCGAAAGGAAAGAGTGCAGTCGTAGTGCAAAGAGCGAGAGAAGTACTATGTAAATTGGAGATGGAAGAAAGATAAAATAAAATAAAAGCCCGTAGGCAAAAGTGGTGTCTCTACCAGTCCCCACGAAGAATGGAAACCACAACCCACACGGGCGATGCAAGGAGCTGATAGCCAAGCCGGGCCGCGTCTTGCACACGGTTTGGCTGAAAGACAGGTAGTGTGTTGGACGGGAATCAGAGATGGGCGCATGCGGCTTCACAACATGAAGGAGAGAGGATCGAAGACGAAAAGGAAGGTAACGGGGAAAGGGAGAAAGGGAGATACCAGAGATAGTCAACAGTCACCAGCTAAGCCTATCGAGAACGGGCGAGGTGCAAGGAAGTTACGAGTAACTGGCCGTTGGGCTCAGGGAGCGGGAAGGCGCTGCCCGCACTAGCGCAAGTTTGGGTGTGTTCGAGGAAAGCGCGCTAGGTACTTTCTGCGGCAACGCGCTAGACAAAATACTCGTAAGATACGAGTGCCCGTACATCTACGGAGTACTCTTGTCTGTGACGGCAAATACAAACATACCCCCGTCTGTAGATTTAGGACAAGAGAGATATGATGCAGAATGAGGAAGGGGGGAGGAAGAGAGGACGGTCATTGGCTGTGGACTGGTATCGTACATGGAAGTGGGTTGTGGCTGGTCAGCCGCAGAAACGGCCGGCGCAGGCTGGTAAGATACTTGTAACAGGAGTGGGAGGAATTACTCGTAGGGGGGGGAAAGGTCGCTGTGGCTTCCCGGCTGTCATTCGTGTCTCCTATTGTCGGTGCAATTTGACGGATCCACGGCAGTCCTCATCTACTCCGTACTCCGTAGCCAGCTTGTCCCCTGTCTGCCTTTTCCCCTTTGCTTTTAGCATAAGCAAGGATCCCCGGAAGCGCAGCCATGAGCAGGGGTGAGAGGCTGTTGGAGGGTGTCAGTGGCAATAGGGGCAGTCGTCAAGCTTACCACGCGCAACGACGGCAGCTTTCACGAGCCTCAAGGCCATCCTTGGCCGGCAGTGTCTCGAGTGGCGAGTGCTGGGCTGGAACCCCGCTATAACGGTAGGGGACTAGTGCCTGCTCAAGGTTTCCCCACAGGCCGGGCACACCACAATCCTTCAGGAGGACCACCACGAAAGCATAGCAGAAAAAGCAAAAGAAGAGGGGCCGCGAAAAGAGGCGCGAGTGATTAATGGTCAGACGTCGTTGCATTAGACACAAATACTCGCAGTCTGGTAAATACGTGTACGGCATAGTGCGTGCGCTACTCGGTTCCCATGCACGCCGCGACGCGAGGACACAAGAAGGCTTCCTTGGTCTGCAGCTCTGGCCTTACCGGTTCGGTCAGTGCGGATAGACTGCTCCGGCCAAAGAGCGTCATGCTTGCGCGAGATGCTCATGAGCTCCTCTGGCCGCCCGTTGCCCTCAGCGCTCCAAGCACGGGTACGGAGAGCACAATACGAATCCGTACGCGTTTGAGTACAAGATATGGCCAGCCCTGCTGTCGAGAGCATCTGAGCATCCTGTGGCCTGCTCGCCAGGCCTGTTTTCCAGGCAAAAATAAAAAAGACCCGGGACCCATGCGACAGAAAAAGGGGGGACGCCCAAAACCGGAAAGGTGACAGGGGAGAATAATAAATCTGACTCGTATCTTACTAAAGTAGCAAGCAGCGCTTAAGCTATGGCTACAATGCCGTTTTGGATTGGAGACGATAGTGTATTACCGGTTCTGAAAGGGGAAAGAAACGATGCTGCCGAGAGGGAAATTGCAAATTGGCTACGAGGTGAGGTAACCACACTCTCTTTCTGCTTTCCTACTAATACTCCGTACGTCGTAGTCCATTTCCCTAGTCAACCACGCCGTCCAATCCATCTGTCCATTTGGCCTTCCTCCGTGACCAAGCCAAGGTCCGTGCATGCGTTGGACAGGGGATTGGGACCAGGGGCCGGGACATTTATCCACTGGCTGCTCGAGTAGTCGTACTTGGACGCGTCGTTGAGTACTCCGTACATGCAAAGTATCTTACTGTGTACGGCGTAGTATCTGGGCTCGTGGATACGAGCACATGTGGCTGTCCGTACCTGCATGAGCGTTATCTCGCGAAAACCCCAAAGCGTCTGTCGGGATGCAACTGACGAGTCCGAGTACGTCGCATCCGGGCCTCATGCACATGCTCGCACGCCTTTCTGGCGCTCCCGGGTCCTCCTCGCCTACGCAGGCCGGCAGCACTTGCATTTGCGCGGTCTGTTCGCCCACAGGCGGCTACCCACGTTGCTAATATACATAGTAGGGAGGTGTGATAGCACTCGGCTGGCCCTGTCACATCTGCTCGTACTCGTACTCCGTACATGCTGAAGAAGCTTCCGTGTCCTTCAAAGTGGGCCAGTGCAGCAGTGTGCTCTTTCGGGCTGGACGCGACTGGATATGCTGGCATGATGTGAAATCGGCTGTTGTTTGGCAGCCTGACGTGGCAGCCATTCGGCACGTACTCATTGCGAGTCGAAATACTATGCAGCAGCCTCGGTGACCAGATGGCGTATAATACTATGTAGCAACAAGACGGACAAGACAGGCTAAGATTGGCGAGGACCTTTGCGTTAGATCGCGTTCAACAATGCGACGGCAGTCTCGATTAAGAACAATGCCGCCGGCATGTACGTCGTAGACACGGCTGGACCTGACAAGAATGACGGCCTTGCATGTGTTTGCATGTTAGTCATTTGCCGTGCATCACCGAGCGCTGCATTGTGTTCATCTGCTGCATGTTGTCTCACAAGTAGCGTGGAGATGCTATGCATATGGTTTCTTACTATGTATGTACGGAGTACACAGAATCGACGATCCGTTGTATGCCTTGCTTCGTCCTTTTGCATCCTGGAGATTAGCACCCCGTCCGTGTTCATTTCGTTCTCGGGCAGTACGACGTAGTGAGATGTCTGAACAGCATGTCGCGACGTTAGATGGAGGAAACTGTCTTAGACATCCCTTCTTTGCCAGAGGACGGTGAAGCTGCTGTATCTGCTCTCCCGTGGTGTATTCTGTAATGAGCACCAGCCCGTCCTGTGCCTTGTACATCCGTGATTGGAGAAATTGTCGATGCTGCGAGGTTCGCAGGCCGATCCAACTTCAGTCTGTGTTCCCGCGTGCAAATCCTGATCGCCAGAGCACGTCGTAAGGACCATGGCGTGAGCATTGCTACTCCCGTGTCCAACACCACAGGCTGCTCATCTCGTAAAGGTATGTCACCGGATTTCCCACAGCCACAAAGTCAATCTCGTTCCTACCTGTCTATGCCGGCAGCCGTATTCCGCGCCCTACACTGCCGGTCTCGAACACCTCGACCAGGCCGGCGCCCACGGCCTCTGCCAGCACCCAGTTAAAGCTCAGACCATACAGGTCCTTCCATTTTCTGGTGCGGCTCAGCGTCACTCGCCGGTAGCTTCCATGACCGCCAGAGTTGCTGCCGGCAGCGTTCCATCGTTCCTGCAGCATCGTTTCGGGTGCCTCACGGAATGGTGTGCGGGCCAGCAGGCTGACGAGATGGGCCAGCGCCGCCGACACGAGCTTGACAAAGGCGCCGTGGCCGGGGACGGCCAGCAGGAGATCTTCCGTAGATGCAGCAGCATTCTGTTGACACCCGGTCTGCAACGGCAGAGCCGAACGTGCACCACCACCGCCGGCCGTATAGACGGCACCGATGCCACCGACGGCGCCAAAGGAGCCAGACGCGGCCTTCGCCACGGTTTCGAGGCTAAGCAGCGACGTACGGTCTTCGGGCCGCGCAAACACGTCGCCGTGGCCACTCCTCTCGCTGCTGTTGTTGCTCTGGCCGCTGCCACCACTGCGATGATCCACCACTCGTCTTGCTCCGTGACCGACCAGGAAGCCGGCACGCACCAGCTCGTCGGCCATGCGACCGTCTAGCCGTGGTGCCGTCTGACCGTGGATCGTGATCGCTCTGGGGCTGCTGTGGTCTCGTCCTCCATGCTCTTCGCCCCCTTCACCACGCAACCAGGCAACAAAGGCTGCCTGTGTGTCGTCGCTCAGACCATCACCCTCACTCGACGCCGGTCCATCTCTCACGAGCTGCTCCAGCGTGGCTGTCTCCACGAGGACTTCGCCCAACGGCTCGCCGGCTCGCCGCCACTGCGGCTGCACAACCTTGCGCAATATACCCGCTCGCATCAGGGATACCGTTTCCCGCTCCGTCGCTGTTGCATTCGGCAGCAGTGCCGCCACGTGCGCCGTCGTTGCCAGTGCCGGTAGCCGCCGCCTTGTATTGAGCAGCTCGGCCACGCGGGTACTGTTTCCCACAAAGCCGTTGCCGCCGCCCTCTTGGTGCCCAGGAATCGGATCAAACATGTTGGCCCGCGCATATCGCAGGGCCTGTACAACGTCGCGCAGCGATAGGTCGTCCGCCAGCGACGCAACAAGCCCACTGTCGTCCAGCTGCCGATCGAGCTCGTCGTCGTTGAACAAATAACCCGGCCCCCTGCTGTACTCTCGTATTCGTCCTCGTCCTCATACAATCCCGAGCGTAATCGCTTCGCCACGTCTCGGCCGCTGCCTGGTTTCGTCTGTCGCAATCCTGTCGGCCATGGCGCTGCCGGTCGCGACAATGCGCCGTGCTGGACACTGCCACTCCTCTTTGCTGCTACTGCTGCTGCTCCGCTGCTGCTCTTCTTCTTCTTCTTCACGCGCGACCCGCTGAGAATGGCTCGTAAACTCATCGCCAGTTTGCAGACACTGCGATCACACGTCTATCACAGTGCTGCCTTCCCTTTCGGGAGCCGTTTGTGTCAGATTTTAGCCGCTTGCGTAAGCAACGCCACGCCCTTAGACCGGCTGCAGAACACGCTGTCCCATTATGCGCTGATTCTATACTTGATTGTGGTAATACAACGAATGTTTAGTATTAAGATCCGACCGTCTCCTCTCGCCTCTCAACCGCCTTTTATGCTTTCTGCTCCTAGGCCTTCACTGCCTTGGCCGCGTCCTGGGCCATGAACCAGGCCACACCGCGCTTGATGCCCTCCTCCAGCGAGACGATCGGCTTGTAGCCGAGCAGCCGCTTGGCCTTGCTAATGTCGTAGTAACGCGTCATGCACGTGTACACAATGCGCTGCCGGTTGAAGGTCGGCGGCTTGCGCAGGATGGAGAAGACAATCTCGCTAGCCAGGCCGAGCACCAGCCCGGTGCCGCGCGACAGCACCCACACCTTGTCGAGGCTGTCCTGGTTGCCCGCGTACTTCCACACAGTGTGGCCAAAAATCCCAAAAGTACATGGGACTGTCGTTGGGGATTGAAAGAAGGCTTCGCCGTCGACACGCTCGTGGTCCAACGGCGCCGTCGCCGCCGTCACCGTCGCTCGCAGCGCCTGGGCCGCCAGCAGGTGCGCGTGTGCAATGTTGAGCACGTACGTAAAGTCAAACAGGTTGTTGTTGTCGCCGATCTGTACATTGTGGCGCCGCTGGCGGTACACGCCTACCATGTGGTAGAGCAGCATCGTGTCGCCCTCGCCCATGATGCCCGACGGCCGGATGGCGCACGTCAGCAGTCCGCCCGCCGTCGTCCGGTCGTTGGCTGCCAGCACGAGCTCTTCTGCTGCCGCCTTGGTCTCTGAGTAGTACTCGGTCTGATCTTTGCCCCGGATCACCGGCCAGCGCTCGTCTGCATTGATCAGGTCCGACTTGTTGTCCGACACCACGCTCGCCGAGCTCGTGTACACCAGGCACCGCACGCCCGCCTTCTTGCTTGCATCAATCACCCCGCGCGTGCCCTCCACGTTGACCTTGTAGAACAGCGCGTCCGACACATTGGACGACGCCTGTGGTGCTGGGCTGGCCGTGTGCACAACCACATCCGGTCGCACCTCCTCAAAGATCTCCACCAGTCGCTCCGAGTTCGTAATGTCTGCCTCAAAGTACCGCACCCCGTCCGCGTCCGGGCGCCGGTTGCGGTCACAGCGCAGGTCCACCACCGAGATCGCTGTCACCGACTTGGACGGCACGTAGTCCTGCAGCAGCAAATTCACCACATGGTGGCCGAGAAATCCGCACCCACCAATCACGAGCACGCTGCCAAGCTTCGGTCCGGATGCCATTTCTGCGTATTGAGGGGTCGGAAGTGAGTGAATGTCGGTGTCTGCTGTGGACCTTTTTGTCGTACGTCTTCCCGTTCTGATGCCCCTATTTGGTGCTGCAAGCTGCTGGTGATTAGAACGGCAGAATAGCTTCCCTAGCAAAAGGCGGTGAGAGTGTTGCTGGTTGGCGCACTTCGACCACTAAAGCCGTGATAGGAGAGCTACCGCCTCACTGTTGCAGTTGCCTGTACTTCTGCATACGAGCAACTAATCAAGGAGTTCCCTTTACGGCTAATCATCTTTCTGGAGTTTCGTTGATTCCTTTTGGATACGCTATCTTGAACTAGTTGCTCTAACACAATATTTATTCGAAAGTGCTTTGTTTTTTAAACCTATAATATATTTACTTCACGCGAGTATCAGACCATACGGCTCTTTGATTTCCCGTTCTATGACCTGGCCAGAGACCGAGGTCTTGGTGCACATCTCGGCACCCAGCAAGGCATCCGACGATGTGAGATATCACTGCTTAGCCCAGGCGTATCTGGACTTTGGCGCCGCCAGACGTCTTGATAACATCGTTGCTCCACAGCATAAGCGTATCAACGGTAGGTGGCAACAGACAGATGACGAGCCTGCAGCTGCACCGTCGTTTGATCATCTCACCCTATCGTTCCGGAGTGTATGGTAAAATGTCAGCTCTCCAGCTCCGGTGCAGGCTGTAAGCCTAGGAGATACACCTGGCCTGCGAGACCAGTTTCGGCCTCGGACGTCCTATGTCTCGCCGAATGTTGTCATACCAGACTCCCAGCCGGATGCGTTGAAGAAGACACCCGCTTCAAGGATTAGTCTAAACAACTCTTTCGGCAGCCTGCACGACACCTTCATATCTGACTCGCAAGATGGCAGCATACATGGGAAAGACACATCGCCTACAGAAGAGCATAGTCCAGATCTTAGCTTGATACGAAAGGCACCAAACAAACGAAAATCAAGCCTGTCTCGGTCGTTCACGCACCAGCTGACCTTTGCAAAACGCGTTGCAAATGCGAGGCGAGGAGCCCCCGGGACACACTATGCTTTCGAACCTCAGAATGAGACACAGTCCTCAGGATGGGAAGACAATCCCTCGTCTGCTATTGTCGACTTTAGCAGTGCGCTTGAGCTGACCTCCTCACTGACGGAAAATATACCCTCGTCGCTGCCAGATGAGTGTGGCCAAAATGGTTCAAGGAACGGCAGCACCCATGACAAGAACTGCGATACCGGGGCTGTTTCGAGGAACATCGGCCCCTCCAGGAATAAAACGATATCGAAAACCCGAAAAGATGGGAAGCTCGCCTCCAATCGTCTCTCGTAGTTCTACTGACGCTCGCTCATGGCCCAAAAGACCCAGATTGGAGCGGATACCGGCGACCTCTTCCCCGATAGTGTATGGCAGAGCACACAGAAGTGACGCGGACGAAACTGCTGCGAGTGCTGCCAAAGACACGTCTGCCCGGAAAAGCATGCAGTCTGTGCTCTTGATGTCATCCTCGCAACCCGTCAGAGAATCATACCATACAAGCCTGCGTATTCTGCCGCCCGAGCCGGCGTTATCTTGCGCCCACCTGGATGTGGCGGCGCTTGTTACCGACGAGTTGGCTAAGCTTGCCCACGACCTGGACTTGGCCCGTCGCTACCGGCCGTCGGAGCCGGCTGTCCGCGTCCTTCGACCCTTTGAGCGCGGCTTCTGGAAGGTCAACACCTCGTCCTGGACGGCAAAAAGTCGGCACGAGACATGGGAATTTCTGGCAAAGTATGTCGGACAAGGAAGCGCTGGATGGGGTGTGTGGTGCTCGCGCGACGAGGAGCCGCACGCGTGGCTGCGCCTGCACTGCTTTGCTGCCGTTGCTGGCCACACATATCTCCTTCTGTATGCGGCGAGCAAGCAAGTTCAGGACATGGAGGTTGCCTGGCTGGACGCATTAGGCACGCCGGTCATTGTGGTGAGCCCGAAGAAACGGCGCCGCACAGCTTCTGGGATCTAGCAGAATTGGGGATTTTTTATCTTAAGTGTACTGTTGGCCTAACGATATCGAACCGAGCGGGATGCAGAGAAAGACAAAGCACCTTCAAAGCGAGCACGAAACAGTAAAGCACCTTTCCTCCACTATCATACAACGACCGCACAACGTCGGGCTGATGGCATCTCGCGGCAGACCGTCGGCAAGCCGCGAGCAAGGCCAGCAAGCAAATTATAAAAGACGCGAAACAGTGGAGGCAAATATAAGAATACGGAGGCGGAAGGCTAAGATGCTGCCGAGAATCTTAGCGGGCCATATTTAGCATGGCCGTTTCGCGGCTGGACGAGACGGTGGCTACCAGAAACAAGTCTTCCGTTAAGGCGAGGACGGAGGAGAGCTCTTGAGGACAACCCGGTCTAGGACGGACTTGACCTCCTTCTCGTAACGCTCAAAGTCGGTCTTGGCTTCTTCTTCGAACGGCTGTGAGGTTCATGGGTCAGTTATACGCGTTGCAGGAGCTGCACGGGTTGGAACAACGTACCTGGCGCTCCGACTCGGGCAGGGCCTTCCACTCGGCCGCGATAGCCTTGGCCGCAATCAGCGAGGGGCCCGCCGTGGAACTTGCCCCTTTGCCAGCACGACTTGGTGAAAAGAGCATATGCCGACAGCATTCTCTTTTGGCTGGAGGGAATCCTGGATGCTGCGCCGAGTCAGGCCAACGAGCCGTTTGAGCTGCGCGCGCGCGCGATTGGCCTCGGCCACTTCCTTTGGCGAATGGCTCTCGACCCAAGCCTTGTAGGCCACGGCATTGGTCTCGATGTTTTTGGTGGCGCTATCACGGAGCCGCTACAGGAAGAGGTCAGAACGTGGCTACGAGGAGGAGGGACCGAAAAGAGAAGCAGCGCTCACCTGAAGCTCGATTTCCGACAGATCCTTGTAGTCCTTGCTGAGACTCGGCATGGTCGAGACCATGGAGTGTTTGTCGCCATTCAACTTCTGACCCTTGATCCTCTCCGACACGTACATGACCCAGGACCGTTCCGGCAGTCTGGTGGGCTCATCGAGCAGCGCCAGCTTCTTGAGCTCCCGCACCTTCAACTGCTTCTTCTCTTCATCCGTCTTTACCTTGCGGGGCTTCTTTTCAGCCGGCTTCTTGGCTGCCACCTTCTTCTTGGCTGCCGTCGTTTTCTTTGCTGGCTTCTTCGCAGCCGGCTTTTTTGCCGCTACCTTTGTCTTTGCTGCCGGTTTCTTTGCCGGCGCCTTCTTTGCCTTTGTCGTTGCTGCCGTATCCTTAGTCACGGCCGCCGTGGCCGTGCCAGCGAAGCCACGGGTCTGAGTGCTCTCTGTGCACTGGATCAGAGGCACGCAGAGAGTCCCTCTTGGCCGTGGAGGGGCGCGGGCTGCGGATGCGGTAGCAATGCGACGAGCTGCGGGGGTGAAGACCTTGCTCTCCACCGCAGGGCTGAACAGGCCTCGGCCTATGGTCGTGCGGACGGCTGACCACATTTTGTTGCTGGTGACGGTGTTTTTGCGTAGCTTTTAATTGCTCTTTGGGGCTGCGTTGCCTTTGTGGGCTGAGATGCTCGTGTGTCAGTGGATAAGCAGTTTGAAGCAAATTGGGACGGGCCAGACGACGGATTTTCATACCGCTCGATCGCGTGTGGGTTTGTTTGGATGGAGTCTCCCGAATTTTGCTCGTCAGTGGATTGATAGCTACCAGCCCCTCCTGTTTTACATGGGCACTTGCATCGACGCGAACAGCAAAAGTACTACTAGATGTATGCAGTACCTGAAATGCTTGCACATCCTTTCATGAAGGCATGTACCGGTACGATCAGCGTAGAATTCCTAGGAAATTGCCCCACCAAGCGCGATCCGGCACACATCACGTGATATTTCCGTGGTATTATCACGTGATCGACTGGCCTCCCGCTTGCGATGTGATGGAACATTTTTGAGTTTCGCCGGGACTTTTCCGTCCAGTCTTGCGGCAACAAGGTTCCAGGCTGCATCATTCTTTCATCCATGCAACTTGCCGGCGTGCCCTCTTGGCGTCAGGAATGAAAAAGTAGTTCTCACCCGTCACCACAACTAACCTGCTGCGCCGCACGAGCAAAAGAGAGAAAAAGAGAGACAGAAGAGGCTTAAAGAACCATGGCTCGCCCCAGGAACTCGCGCTCACCATCTCCTGCAGGTCCACATGACGCCAAGCGTGCCCGCAAAGATGACGACAGGCGTGATCGAGGCCGGAATGACGATGCACGCGGCAACGCGCGCGATAGCCGGCGGCGGTCACGCAGCCCAGCCGATGTGAGAGGAAGCAACAGTCAAGGGTATCGTGATGAAGTGGACTCGTCTGACAGACGCGGTGGACAGCGCCGTTACCGAGATAGAGACCGGGGCCGAGACCGGAATAGGGTCCGTGATAGGGACCGCGGCGACCTAGAACGCGATTGGGACAGAGATCGAGACCGAGACCGTGATCGTGACCGAGACCGAGACCGAGATCGAGACCGTGATCGCGATCGCGACCGCAACTACGACGGGTGGCGACGACGCTCTCGCTCACGGTCGCTGAACCGGCGTCGAAACCGCAGCCGGGATGACCGAGGACACAGAGAGAATGGCGCTAGTGGCAGACGCGACGGGTCCGCTGACAGACTGCAAGGCCGCCGCGAACGGGCAGGGGACCCGCCGTCCCGTAGTGAAGCGGGAACAGGCGTGGGTGCGGTTGGCGCGGTTGCGGCAGGCTCGGGCTCCAGATCGACACCCGCTGCTCCTGAGAAATTGGAGGCGGACAAGAAGGCTGAGCGCCTTGCAAAGCTGGAGGCTTGGAAGAAGAGGCACGAGCAGAAGCTCCGCATGGAGACGGACGGGGCAGGCAACAAGACGCCCACGACGGAAGAGAAGCCTTTCGGTAGCGCCTCGCCTGTCATTGCCCCATCAGCTACACCGGAGGCGAAGCCTGAGATTACGGCTGCGGCTGCGGCTGCATACACTGGCAAGTTCGATCCAAAGGCCATTGCTAAGAAGTCTGCTGCCCGACATCCATCCCCAGAACCGCTCCGGCCAGTTCTCAGGCCGGCGACAGGAAATGAGAAGGTGGTACCTCCAGCGGCAGCCTCAACGGCGCCTGCTAGGCGTCTTGCGGCGACTGGTAAGACCCAACAATGCCCTGATGCTTACGCAACCTTTCTTACTAACGGCGCCTCATTAGCCAACAAGTTATCCGCGGGTACGCCGTTTAGCGGCTTCGGATTCGGCAAAGGTGCAGCCGACGGAGCATCGTCGAAACGAAAGCTAAATCTGGACGACGAGGAGACGTCAAAGAGAAAGCTAGCTAAGCTCCCCGACGTGTCGCTGGAAGATGCTGACGATACCCCCTACAACAACCAAGACGAAGAGGATGATGAGGAGGACGATGGCAGATTTGCTGGCACAGAGGAAGAGCTCGCTGCTGCGGCCCGTGCGGCACGCGCCCGACGCGACGAGCGACTTCAACAGCAGCAGAAGCAAAGCTCGGCCATGGAGACAGACGAGCCAGAAGATTCTGAAGCGACTGGTGAGGCAGCAGCAGAAGGCATGGAGACGGTCGAGACCAAGGCCGACACTATGCCAGTGGAAGTGGAAATGGAAGCTGAAACTGCAATCGATGCAGAGAAGGCACAGCCTGTCGAAGCTCAAGCGTCCCCGCCCGCGGAAGCCATGCAATTGGACGAGCCGCCGGTCCGCAGGAGGGCGAACGGTCACGTCGAACGCAGAGTTGCACCTACGGTCGAGATCAGCATGAGTACGGATGACAACGTTGATCCGCTAGATGCGTTCATGGCAGACTTGAGTCATGCGCCCGACCCGTCGACGAGGCGGAAGGTGAAGAAGCCGGCGGCAGAACCGGAGGCATACTTTAGCGACGACGACGACTACTTTTCCAAGGCGCAGAACGGCATCGACACAAAGTCGATTCTCGCAATGGCGACGAAGCGGAAGAAGAAGGATATCCCGACGATCGACTACAGCAAGATGGAGCTGACGCCGATCCGCAAAAACTTCTGGGTGGAACCGCACGAGCTGAGCGAGCTGACAGAGGCGGAGGTAGCAGAGCTGCGGCTAGATCTGGACGGAATCAAGGTGTCGGGCAAGGACGTGCCGAAGCCGGTGCAGAAATGGTCGCACTGCGGGCTGACGCGGCCGATGTTGGAGGTGATCGAGCAGCTGGGGTACGACAAGCCGACGGCGATCCAGATGCAGGCGTTGCCGGTGATCATGTCTGGACGCGACGTGATCGGAGTGGCGAAGACGGGGTCAGGCAAGACGATGGCGTTCCTGGTGCCGATGTTCCGGCACATTATGGACCAGGAGCGGGTGCGAGACGACGGACCGATCGGGCTGATCCTGACGCCGACGCGCGAGTTGGCAGTGCAGATTCACCGGGACTGCAAGCCGTTTGCGAAGAAGCTGGGGCTGCGGGCAGTGTGCGCATACGGCGGCCCGCCGATCAAGGACCAGATCGCGGAGCTGAAGCGCGGGGCGGAGATCGTGGTAGCGACGACAGGACGGATGATCGACCTGCTGGCGGCGAACCAGGGACGGGTAGTGAGCCTGCGGCGGACGACATACATTGTTCTGGACGAGGCGGACCGGATGTTTGACATGGGGTTCGAGCCGCAAGTAATGAAGATCTTTGCCAACATCCGGCCCGACCGGCAGACGCTGCTGTTCTCAGCGACGATGCCACGGATCATCGACGCGTTGGTGAAGAAGGTGCTGCATAGCCCGGTAGAAATCACGGTGGGCGGCAAAAGTGTGGTGGCGCCAGAGATCACGCAGATGGTGGAGGTGCGGGACGAAAAGGACAAATTTCTGCGACTGCTGGAGCTGCTGGGCGAGCTGTACATGGACGACGACGACGTGCGGGCACTGATTTTTGTGGAGCGGCAAGAGAAGGCAGACGAGCTGCTGCGGGAGCTGTTGCGCAAGGGCTATGCGTGCATGTCGTTGCACGGCGGCAAGGACCAGTCGGACCGGGATTCGACCATCTCAGACTTCAAAAAGGGCGTGTGTCCGGTGCTGGTAGCAACATCGGTGGCGGCACGGGGGCTGGACGTGAAGCAGCTGAAGCTGGTGGTCAACTACGATGCGCCGAACCATCTGGAGGACTACGTGCATCGGGCAGGTCGGACAGGACGGGCCGGCAACACGGGGACGGCGGTGACGTTTGTGACGGAGGAGCAGGAGAACTGTGCACCAGGCATTGCGAAGGCGCTGGAGCAGAGCGGCCAGCCCGTGCCGGAGCGGCTGCTAGAGATGCGCAAGGCATGGCGAGAGAAGGTGAAAACGGGCAAGGCCAAGGACCAGTCAGGCTTTGGCGGCAAGGGCCTGGAGAAGCTGGACAAGGACCGCGAGGCTGCACGGCTGCGCGAACGGAAGACGCACAAGGCCGAGGGTGAGGACGACGACTTTGACAAGGAGACGGCAGCCGAGGACGAAAAGAAGGCCAAGGCCGCGTCTTCACAGGCGCAACTGGCAGCGTCGATGATTGTGTCACGTGATGCAGCCAAGGCCGAGGGTGTCGGTGGAGGCGAAAACGACAAGGGAGCGGCCACAGGCGACGACAAGAGAGGACCAGCAGGAGCGACGGCCGCAGCAGCCGGAGCGACGGGTGGAGCGCTGGAGAAGGCAGCCTCGGCGATCAGCGACATCAACGCACGACTGGCCCGAGCCGGACAGCTGCGACCGGGTCAGCCGGTAGACAACAAGGGTCCGGATGCCGGAGCATTCCATGCGACGCTTGAGATCAATGACTTCCCGCAAAAAGGGCGCTGGGCTGTGACAAACCGCACAAACGTGGCTAAGATCCTCGACTCGACCGGCGTCTCCATCACCACCAAGGGCACCTTTTACGGCCCTGGCAAGGAGCCCGGTCCCGGCGCCGAGGCGAAGCTGTACCTGCTGATCGAGGGCGATACCGAGCTGTCGGTGGGCAACGCCTTGACCGAGCTGACCCGGCTGTTGCGTGAGGGCACTGTGGCCGCTGCCGATGCCGAGAGCCGGGCACCGGCTAGCGGACGGTACACAGTCACTTAGGAGGAAAAGAGGGAAAAAACAGCAGATACATAGCTCGCTGATTACGTAATAAACGAACGGCCAAATGGCCGCAGAATTAGAATGCACAATGCCTCTGGCCGATCAATTGTGGCTTGTTGCCTGGGCGGCCGCATCCATCTCGCGTCGTCGCACTTCATCCGCGCTGGCTTTCTTCAGCGTGTCCATCCGGCTTTCCTTGCGCTGAGCATCGAGCTTGCTGCCGAGCTTGCCGGTGCTTTTGGGTGCATTTCGGGCCTGCCGTGTTAGAGGGAGAGATAGTGGGGGAGTATGAGAGAGCCCACCTCAGCTGCTTCTGCTGCCTTCCTGCGCACGTCATCTGCTGCACCGGAGCTGCCTTCGCCCCCCAGCGTCCGTGGTGGACCGCCGACGCGGTTCAAAGTAGCCTGCGGTGGAACGGCGGCAGTGCGCGGCTGTCCGGGGATCAGCACCGCGTCTGCGCTTCCGAGAACGCGCCCGGGCTGTTCAAAGGCGTCCGAGTCGACCTTGCCGCAGAGGTTGCCCATATCGACGAGACGGTGCAAGCTTCGGGGGTTAGAGGCGATGACGAGTGCGCGCTGGCACGAGAGACGTTTCGTTCTTAGATTGTGGTGGAGCTGCCAAGAGGATGGAAAGAAGATGGAAAGACAACAACAGGTCGTGCATCACTTAAGAGTCGACTGCAGGCATCGCCTGGTCGGGGCGAGGAGAAGATAAGGACAAACGAGGAAGAAGGCTGCGCAATCAGGCGAGTTACCCCATACAAACTGGGGCCGAGTCACTACTTGCGCAAGCTGATTACTAATATTAGTCCCAAGTACTCCGTACTCCGTATCTTACCCACCAGTTTCTGGGTTCTGCCGCCAATATACTGACCGCCTTTATGACAGAACGGTGCTACTAACAGAGAGATCTCGTCATGCTCATCAGCGTCTGCTATTCTATCTTTCTAGAGCGCATGCCGTAATACAGCCTAGTATTCATCTACTAAGAAGCGAGATGAAATGCCACAGACAGACAATCAACTTTGCGAGCATGTAAGACGGGATGTCTTTGACCTTTTCCTTTTTCTCCCATCCGTTCTCTTTCCATCTTCCTTCTTCTTTTTCTCGGACGATTTGCGTGCCTGTGGGTCGAACAGTTTTCTATGGTCCATCAAGGTTCTCAGTCAGCATTTGCAGCACCACCTTTTTTCCTCGCTCTCACTGAGCCTCGCCTTCATGCCTGTGCCGTAGCCAATCAGGTCGCCACTCCAGAACCAACCACAACCCACTAATGCAGGCGGCCGCCGGTTGTGGGTGGGGAGGGTTCGGCGCCCAGTCCGCTGTAAATTCGCGAATGCACCGTTTTATGGTTTGTTGCCCGCTGGCGCTGCACCAGGCTCTTGCACAGTTTTTACTTGCCTGTCCCGTTCTTCACCATCAGCTTCACCACCCCTCCCCTTTTGTCCTCCCTCTACCCTCTCCTCTGATTTTTCACGTCCTCGTCGTGATTTTCCTGACTATTCCCTATCTGAGTCTGTGTTCCTTATCCACGGGCATGGATCACAAGCACGTTGTCAATCTCCTCGTCCTCCGGAGCATCTAGATTTTGTCGGGAACGTCCATTCCCCGTCTCGCTTTTGCCGCCTCCTTGCCGCTATCATACCCCCGCTTGTATCTCTTTCTGTCCTTTGCAGTCTCTCGGACGTGTTCTTGTCCTGTCGTCATCATGGACGACGAAAACGCCCGCGGCCAGCGCAACTCGCCCAGCTATCCCTACCTCAACCAGTTTACCGATACCTTGATGCTCAACGGCCAAGCGGCCCTCGACGCCGACTTGGACGCGGTCTGGAAGTCGTTTGAGCTGCAGATCCCGCAGTGCATCGGCCCAGAAAACACGTTGGATTGCTTTCGCACCTCACACGACGACCTCTGTGCCTATCCGCCCAAATGTCCAACGACAAACCTTCTTGGCTCCACCACCAGTGCCCCGTCCCATATGCTCTTCCACACGCGCCACTACCCTCCACACGCCGCTGGCTTGCGTCAGATAGTCAGCCCACACGCCGCTGCTGGTCTCGACTTCTTCCAGGGCGCCCCCAGCGCTGATGCCCATTCTGTTTTCACCACCGCCGCCACCAGCACCCCGTTTGGCCACGCTGTATCCGGCTCGCCAGCCACGTCTGGAGGTGGCTACACTTGTTTCGACCAAGACGACTTTGTCGACCAGCTCTCCGCACTGTCTTCCCCTCCACACAACCCCGTCCCGGATGTTGAGTGCGACAACCAGTCCGTTTGTGACAGTGACTGTGGTGACGGCGAGATATGCCATGAATCCATCTGCTCAGAAGATCCGTCTGCCTGCTGCGAGGATGAGACCTGTCTGCAAAGCGTCCCCCCGGCCGCTGCTGCGGAAACTTCTCTCACGTCGGAAGACGCCATCGCTGCCGCTGCCCTTGCCTCCTTCGTTGGCCAGGGCATACAGTTGCAGCAGCAACCGCAGCAACCGCAGCACCAGCATGCTCTCCAACAGCCCTTCATAGCCACCCCTGGCCCGGGGCTTGTCATGGGCCCAGGCTCGTGCATAAGTCCTCAGTTTCTGATGAACTACCAGCATCTCCGCGACGCCCATAACCCACTGCAGCCGACGTCTTGTAGAGCCCCCTTCTGCCCGATCGAAGATCCCAGCTTTTACGCTGAGTGTCACATCAAGCACGTCATACCGCAAGGCCAAGCAAGCTATTTTGACAACATCGATCTCAACATGATGCTAGCCGGCGACAACAGTCTGGATGCCTCTCATGAATGTGGCGCCAAGTTTCCAAATGTCGAAGCCATGGTCCAGCATTTCTGGACTGAGCACCGCGTCTACCAGTCCGACCAACTGCAACAACTGCCGGCCAATAGCATGCACAGTCACGTGCCCGATCTGGCATCGTCGACAGCCTCGACTGTGTCCTTGTCGTCGCAAGATACGATGCATACACCATCGTTGGCCCTGCCCGAGAGCTCGCCGCCGCTGGATCCGAAATTCAATTTTGCCTCCATTATTCCCAAAAACGAGTACCGACCGGATTCAGAGTGCTCGTTGCTACTGCTGCCTGGCCGGGAAGCCAAGGACACCCAGCACATGCTGCAGCGCCACGAGTGCTTCTGGTGTGACGCGATCGGTACCAGCCCGTGTGGCCAGGTATTTGACTCGGCCAGTGACCTTCACAGGCACACCATTGAGGCCCACACCCATCAGCTGAAGCGCGATGTCGGTGGTACCTACTCTTGCGGCTGGCTTGGATGCAACCGCCGTGACTGCGAGGATAAGGGCGGCTTTGCACAGAAGAGCAAGATCGACCGCCACATGCAGGTGCACACTGGTAGTAAGAATATCCTAACCTTTCTCTTTGGCCTACCTTGTACTGACAACGACCGTTCAGACAAGCCTTTCCTCTGCGGCATCTGTGGGCAGTCCTTCTCGGCCAACCAGGCGCTTGTCCAGCACAAACTCATCCATGCTGACATCAAACCGTTGTCCTGCGAAATATGTGGGAAAACATTCCGTCAGCATAGTGCACTAAGTAAGCCGATATTGGCCTCTTTTTAAACCGCGTTTCCGCACTGACACGCCTGCAGCCATGCATATCAGGACACATACCAAGGTGCGGCCGCTGAAATGCCCATACTGCAGTAAGGAGTTCAGCGAGTCATCCAACCTGTCCAAGCACAAGCGCATCCACACAGGCGATGGCTTGTACATCTGCCAATTTCCCGGCTGTGGGAAGCATTTCCACCGCAAGGACCAACTACGCCGCCACGGCACACAGCATAGAAAGAGCCGCGCAGACATACAGTCTCCAGCAGCGCTTGTGGCCGCATTGGTAGACATAGCATGATAGTTTCACATTGCATAGCTTGGAAGGGTTTTGTTCGACATCAAACGGCGCTGTGAGGAAGACCGCGGCGATACAATATGGATGGGCGGCAGGGTTTGGCTTGTTTGCATCTGCGCTACGCAAAAAATAGTCGGTGCCTTTGGGCGGTGTTTCGAGGTATAGATGAAGACATGCATATTGCCATGATGAGGGCCTCTGGTAGACAATTGTCCGGCGGGAGGTTTAGCGACGAATAGTCACAGAGAAGACAAAGCTCACACGTAGGAAGTCGGAAAAATGACTTTTACTCTTTTTTTGTTTCATGATGCTTGATGCTCTCCAAAAATAGAGATCTAGAGATCTGGGAGGGAAGAGGACATACTCTCCACCTCCGCCTTGCCGTTCCTAACTCTCCAGCTTGGTGGTCTCGCTTCCTTCACTCTTTTTTTTCTCTCTCTTTGTGTTGTCCGTCTTCGTGACAACATGAATTAAAGAAAAGAGAGGGAACACAAAGCAGGGAAAGACAGGAATGGGGTCTGTCCGCCCCCTCTCTCCCTTGGCTGTTTTTTTATTTATTTCCTTATCCTCCCCCATCACCCATTGACGCTAAGGAAAAGAACGAAGCAGAATCCCAAATGAACGCAGTGCCCGACTTTTCTCTTTATGCCTTGACAGCAAAGCTGCGTTGGGGAAAGTGCGACAACCGCTTCTTGGTCTTCTCTAGCTTGCGCGAGGAGTCCTCCTTGGACAGCCGCCGGCGGATGGCACGGGTCTGCTTCGCTCTCAGGTCCAGCGGCAGGTACTTCTTGTTCTTGTAGAAGAGACGCAGCTGAGCCCGCTGCTTGGCGTTGATGATGGTCAGGACGCGGGCGATCGACTTGCGGACATCGTGGCTAGACATCAGGTCAGCATCCGTCTGTATTCCCTTTCCCCCATCTGGCCTCCACGACAGAAATCAAGACTCACATGCGGTTCAGCTTCGAGCCAGACGAGGTGATCTTCTGGATGCGCAGCTGGCCAAGCTCCGTCTTGAGCTCAGTGAGCTGCTTCAGGAGCTCATCCTTGTTCTTCGGCCACAGCTGGCCGGCCTTAACCTTGCTGACAGACTGCATGATCACACAAAATACATGTTAGCGCCCTGCTTCATTCTCTCTCCATAGTGCCGACGCAAATAAAGAGTCCCGGGCCGTGCGTCCCATCCTGGCTGTCCTCTCTGAGAATTTCTTTGCTTCGATGTCCGGTCTGCCGTGTACCCCGGGCCCGTCTCGAAAGTGGTAGCGAAGGTCGTCTTCGTCGGTATCAGAGCCGGCGCTGCAAGTTTCCGTACTCTCTGGTCATCGGGATGCTGTTGTATCGTGGGGTGATTCGAGTGTGTCGGCAGCGTACAGGCGAAAGATACTGACTCGCGAAGCGCTTCTCGACAACCAGTCCCATCTCCCCCAGCCTAAATCTATGCGCGAAAGTTGCAAAAGACAGCAGCCACGTACCATTTTGTATGAGGAATGTCGGGTTGATGGACTCGCGACGTGATGTTTTTTTCTTTGGGCGATGGGCGGGTTGTGTCGTCGGTTCAGAGCGAGTAGTCAAGAAAAGTTCCGTTCCTATTTTTTTTTTCTATGGCCCCTCTAGGAAGGGAAAAAATTAGGGTCGAGTAGCCCTATCGAAACTAAGTCTAGCTAATGTCAGCGGCGATCACGTGCAAGGGAGGGGGACGGAATAGCTAAACTCCGAAACAAGACGGGCTGCACCGCCACATGGATATCTCGAAGCTTGATTGAGTACGGAGTACTAACAAAATACAATCCTACTTCTGTGGCGTCAGGAGACGTCACATTCTAAAACAGCTGCGACAACTCCGTATCCAAGCTTCTATTTGAAGACATCCTCGCCAGCGCATCGACTGTCCGCTTTCCTGCTCAACACTCAGCTACGGCTCTCCACCAGATCTTATACCAGTGACCAGGAGCGCCGAATCCATTCTGCACCACTCACACAGCGACCGCACCTGAGCCCCTCATCATCCGACAGCTAACCGAACGCCCTACAGCTATGGCGGCCGGCGCTGGAAACTCGGGCTGGACCCAGCTACGGCAACAAGTGCGATCTCTGGAGAGCCAGGTCTGTCCATGGTGATTCCCGTTCTTGTAAACATGCATTTCACAACCGGCTCGCCATCAATGACTAACGTTCCTCTTCTTCACAGACCGAGAGTCTCCTCCAGACATACTCGCAACTGTCGACGGCATCGTCCAGGCCGGCCAAGCCGGCAGAGCAAGAGCGGCAAACAGAGGCAAAGCTGCAGGAGATTCTAGAAAAGGTGTGCATGGGCGCTGCCCTTTCGGTTTCCTCGTGGGCGTCTGGTCATTAACCTTTCTCCAGAGAGACGGCCTGATCCAGAAGCTCACCCGCCTGCTCGAGTCCGACCCAACCCTCACGTCCTCTGCCGTCAAGCAGAACAACCTGACGCTGCTACGGGAGAAGCTGGCTGAGCACCGCAAGGACTTGGCGCGGCTGAAGGGCCAACTTGCCGAGGCCCGCGACCGCGCGAATTTGCTGGCACATGTGCGCGACGACATCGATGCCTACCGCGCCGGCAGCAGCCGTGCAGGAGACCGCAACGACATGGGCGAGGCCAGCGAGGCCGAGTACATGCTGGGCGAACGTGGCCGCATCGACCGCAGCCACGACATGGTGGACAGCGTGCTGAGCCAGGCGTACGCGGTCAATGAGAATTTTGGCATCCAGCGTGAGACACTCGCCAATATCAACCGGCGCATAACGCTGGCAGCCAGCCAGGTGCCCGGGATCAACACACTGATAGGTCGCATCTCGACCAAGAAGCGCCGCGATGGCATAATCATGGGCTCGTTTGTCGCCCTGTGCTTCGTGGTGTTCTGGTTCTTTCTGTGAAGGACCACGGACTTTTCTCTCGATCTGCATACTGCATATCTTGCCAATGACGTTTAATAATCATCTTGCACCCAGACGGATGGGTGGCAAGACTCGCTTCTGGCGTTCCATGGTTGGGGAAAGAAAGCGCATGCGATCCTTTATGCGGGGATTTCGTCCCGTCGCTTTTATTCTAATTTATTGTACAATACATGATCCCGGTTACATATTTTGCTCAAACCTAGACGACACCCGTAAGGAGAAGAGTGGCATAAATTAGACAACCGGCACGAGCACTACCGATGCATTCAAGCTGCAGCGCAGCGAGCTAGCTGCCCCTGCGATTCGCTAGGGACTGGCTTTTGTCTCTGCTGCTGTAGAAGCTGATCTTCGTTCTTGGCTTCGGCCAATAGCCAGCGGATGCCACGAACCAGGCTCTGACACTCATCCGGCTGGCTGCCACCACTGCCAGCCCATCGGATACGGCAATGTCGGTCGACGAGGTAGACATAGCCGACCTTGCTGTTAAGCAGGCCAATGCTCTCGCGGATCTCATCCGAGATGCCGCGCGTCACCAGCAGGTACTTTTCCCAGTCGCGCGGCTCGATGCGCCGACGCTGCGATCCGCTGAATCGCCGTACTCGCCATGCGCGCATAGCGTTCTCCTCGACGTTGAGTCGCACTAGCTGCAACGGTTGGCACTTCCGCCTCCCGCCGCATTTTTGGGGTGTGTGTTGATCAGCTCCGCCAATGCTGGATTGGCCTCGGGCGATACGAAGCTGCGGACCTGGTTCTCGGCCCATAGGCTGCTGAACATGGCCACCACGGATGCAGCGCTCTGCTGCAGTATAGGAGTCGTGTCCGCTAGCTCTGAGGTGACCGACTTGTCGGCAGAAAGCAGGCGCTCGCCCATGATGTTGGGGAAGTAGAGCGAGAGATCGGCACGGAAGAGACGCGGTGGCGCGATGAACGTCTTGCCTTTGTGGAATTGGAGATTGGTCCAGTCGCGGAAGTAGGGCTTGATGATTTTATTTTTCCTAGCGGAGAAGCAGGACAGCGGTCAGTCGAGAGAGTTGCACGAACAATGAGAGGCTGGCTTCCTCTGGGAGTCAGGGCACGCACAACTCCTGTCTTCGCACTAGATGCTTCTCGTAGTCGACAAAGTCGTCACGGCGTTGGCGCAGAGTCCGAAAGTCAATTCCGCTGTTTTCACCGGCCAGCGGCGGCAGAGGCATACCGATGGGTCGGGAGAGCGGCGTCGGCGTGAATTCTTTAGGACGCTCGCCGTAGGAGCGAGGGACATTTACCAGCGGACTTGGCGAGGAAGCAGAGGCAAGCTCCAGAGCCGGGGCCTTCGGCTCTGACTGGCTTGTGGGCGTTGCCTTTGTGTCTCTGCGCGACTGCGATACGCTCAGTGCTCGCCACTGGCACCGAAGACATGGAACGGCGGCAAAAGAGTCCTGCCGCAAGGACCGGATGGATGAAGAAGATGGCGGGGCGCCGAGGCCGACAGCCTTTCCAGCCGAAAGAGCCGCATTGGTGAATGTTCGCGCCACCATTATGCTCTGCAGCCGCTGGAAACAGCTATGTGACCGAACTGGAATAGCCGATGTAGTCGAGATGGGGCGGCGTGGTCGCTGAGTCAAGTTCTCCGGATTCCGTAGCTGTCAATCGACGGAAGCTGGAAGTAGGCATAAAAAATAAAATTCTGGATCCCCTCTTGGCTCGTGCGTCTTCGGAGCCGCAGCACGGTTTCCCCTGGTGTGGCCCACTACTGATAAGGCCGTCGGCTACCCGCGGCGCAGACTTCCCCAGGCTTTCTTTAGCTCGGCCCAAGCAGCCGCATTTCCCCAGAAAGAGAAGGAAGGAAAGACGAGAGACATGGGAGAGTTTTCTTCGTTACTTCTCACAAACGTCCCGCGGGGTGATCAGAACAGCTCGAAGATCGACTTGTGCCAGATTTAACAAGGACTCTGAAGCAACAGCGCTCGTTACTACTTGCCACAGCCATGTTCCGTCAAAGAAGCTGTTGGGCTTTAACCCCGGCGATACGCGTTGTAGTGGGCGGCTACAGGATATCGGCCACCACGGCATTGGCAGCGTCGCCAAAATTTGAGAGTCGTCTTCTGGGCTCTTGTCTTCCTACATCTCCTCGTGCTAGATACTTGCACACGTCCAGCCGGCTGCTGGCTGTTAAGCCCCTTCTACTCGCAGATATTGGCGAAGGTAGGTCAAGCAGAGCGACGGGGTACAACAAACAGATTCTTACGTCTAGAACTACAGGAATAGTAGAGTGCGAGATCATACAGTGGTTTGTCGAGCCTGGAGCTACGGTGGAAGAGTTCTCTCCTCTCTGCGAAGTACAGAGCGATAAAGCGTCGGTCGAGATAACCAGCCGCTTTGCCGGCGTAGTGAAAAAGCTGCACTACGAGGCCGGGGATATGGCCAAGGTTGGAAAGGCGTTTGTGGATATCGACATCGCTGAGGAGGCTGTGCAAAATCCGGACGAAACAGCGGTTGAGACGGCCACTGTTCCGGGTGCAGACATAACATCGGCAGAGTTGACAGCTCCAGAAAAGGAAGTAACAACGCCTACTTCGGCACAGCAGTCTCTGCAAGAACAGCCGCAAAACCTGACCAGACTTGCTTCGCCTACTGGAGGTAAGAAGAAGTTTTCCGGATCCTCTCTCGCGACACCGGCCGTGCGGCATCTGTGCAAGGAGCTGGCCGTGAACATCACTCAGGTGGACGGCACGGGAAAAGATGGTAGGGTGCTCAAGGAAGACCTGTACCGCTTTGTCGAGGAGAGGAAGGTAGCAGCCCCATCCCCAGCTTCGGCCTCAACTACACAGCCGGCCCTGGCGGCGGCTCTTGATACCAAAGACGCACCGCAGCAGGAGACGGCAGTCCCATTGACCGGCATGCCGCTGCAGATGTTTAGGACTATGACCAAGTCTCTGGCCATCCCGCACTTCCTGTATGCAGACGAAGTGGATTTTACGCAGCTGTTCCGGCTGCGGCAGCGGGCGAACGTCGCGCTGGCACGAACTGCTGGCCAGGCGACAGGAGAAGGCGACGTCAACAAAATTTCCTACCTACCATTTGTTATCAAAGCTCTTTCGCTAGCGCTGAACAGGTATCCGGTCTTGAACGCACGCGTGGAGGTGCCTTCCGACAGTGCGGAGAAGCCGCGCCTCGTCTACCGCAGCCAGCACAATATCGGAGTGGCGATGGACACGCCTGTCGGGCTTGTGGTGCCGGTGGTGCGCAACGTAAACGGACGCAGTGTGCTGTCGATTGCGGGCGAGCTGGTGCGTCTGCAGCAGATTGCTCAGGTGGGAAAGCTCGCGCCGGCCGACCTGCAGGGAGGCACCATCACCGTGTCCAACATTGGCAATATTGGGGGCACGTATTTGAGCCCCGTGGTAGTCGAACGGGAGGTGGCTATCCTCGGCATCGGTCGACTGCGCACTGTGCCGGCTTTTGCAGACGATTCTGACGAGGGCGAAGGTGCTGCGGGCCAGCGCATCATAAAGCGGCACGTGTGTCACTTCAGCTTCAGCGCAGACCATCGGGTGGTAGACGGGGCTACGGTGGCACGGGCAGCTGAGGTCGTACGGGAATTGGTGGAACAGCCAGACACGATGATCATGCAACTGAGATAGAAGAGCGGTGTTATGGTAGACAATGCGTATGGAGCAGGTTTGTGTGCACATGCATGTCAAGCCTATTGTGGCTGTGTGCCTGCCTGAATAGGCTGAACGAAGTACTGTCCCCCATGTCTACTGGTCTCAGGCATGGCACATCGCTCTGTGTATATGACTGTAATACGTACCAGGTAAACCTGTAAGACGGAGCTCTAATACATGGAGCTCTAGAGTATCATTTAGGAGCATGATCCAAAAACAAACGCAACCAAAGCCAATTTCCCTTCTATATGTAAACATGGCAACAATATAAACAGAGGTGTACCATTCAAGATCATAGCTTGGATGAGTTCCGAATACCTTTTCTCAAATGTGTGCAAAGACCAATAACAACACCAACCAAACAGACCAGACAGAGGCAAATCAAAAGGTAGCGAAGGAAGAGGGACCGGCTGGACACGACCTAAGCATTTCCATTGGTCCCCATAACGCGCTGCATTATATCGGCCTCGATCTCCTCCAACGGGCGCCCCACGTCTACGTACATGACGTCCGTCTCGTCCTCCTTGGGCGGCTCCAGGATGTCCAGCTGGCTCTGCACCATGCCGGGGCCCATGTAGTGACCCTTGCGGCCGGAGACGCGCTGCAGCAGGATATCCTCGCTGGCGTGCAGGAAGATGAAATGAACGTGGACGCTGGAGTTGAAGTAGGGGGCCACGCGGATGACGTCGCGGTACTTGCGCTTGAGGGCGGAGCAGGTCAGCACGACGGAGCTGCTGCCCCCCTCAGTTATGCGGCGAACCGATTCTTCGCGCAGGGCTGTCAGCCAGTCCCAACGGTCCGAGTCGGTGAGCGGGATGCCATCGCGCATCTTCTCAATGTTGGCTGGGGGGTGAAACTAGAGGGGATGTCAACTACAGAGTCGGCCAAGCAGCCAAGCAGGTCTCGAGCCACTCACCTCATCGCCCTCGATGTACGGCACATCCAGCTTCGAGGCCAGGAAGGTGGCCAGCGTCGTCTTTCCGGTGCCAGCCGGCCCTGTCACCAGCCAGATATGGTGGTCGCCTGAAGTGGGGACCGTGCCGTTGCTTTTGGAGACAGTCATTGGCGACCTTGACACTGAAAACATCATCTTCGACTAGTTGCCTCGCGAAGTTGCCCGTTTCTCCCGTATTGCTCTACTGCTGAGAACACCGAGGGATTTGCTCTAGTTCCCCCCAGGTGCTGACAGAATCGTACACATACCGTGTAGTAAAAGGCGGCGTGTAAGTCGGCCACGACAGCGGCAACGCGGTTAAAAAGAACGAGACTAAATATGGTCACGAAAATCAAGTCGAATTAGGCCCTTGTGCGATGGCGGCGGCGGAGGATAAATAGCGAGAAACCCGGTGAGAGACAAGGAAGACGGCGTCAGGGCTGATCGGTGAGACTAGCAAGGGAGCTTTTGTACACTGGCCCCCAAAACTAGCGGCGGATGCATGTCTTCTGACCTGGACTGTACCACGCCGCTGGTGTAGGAAAGATTTGCATTTATCACATATGCGCTGGCTAGCTACTGAGAGCGGTGCTTTCTCGTCACTCGCGCCTGCCGTGTGGGCGAATGCGACATTTGCTGCTGGCGACAACATATGCATAGCTCAAGGCCAATGGCAGCAGGAGCGACATAGAGGAAAGCACCACCCGGAGGGTTGCTGCCTGGGTCTAGCTCGCGACACGGGATGTGGCAAGATACCCTGCGTGGGATACGGATGCACAGAAGGATGGAAGGCGCAAACGGCACGAGACTGGTCCCTGCTTTCGATAGCTGCAAATCCAAGTCCCCGAGACTTTGGCGCAGATGCGCTTCAGCCCAGAGAACAGTGCCAGCTCTCCAGCTATCTGTTTGGTGGAAAAGTTTTGGCGTTCAATAGGGGCGCGGCAGAAAAACTACGGCGCTGGCAATTACTAGGCGATGTGGGGTCGCAGCTTCCAGCAGTAAAATCCCCCCCCCCCTTCGGCCTCTTTTACCACATTTCCCTAGATTAAGAAGGTGCACGCTCAGCTTGCTTAGCCAGCTTACTGCTGGTGCAAATAGGGTGCGTTTCGGCGAAGATGGCCCTGTTCGCACTGACCGTCACAGTGCCGTGGATTGCTGTTGCATGCAGCCCAAGTGCCCATGCGAGTGTGGGGGCTGGCACTTGTTGGGCTTGGAGAGCAGCTGCGAGACCCCAGGTGAGTGCCGACCGACGAGCAGAGTTTGTCGGTGTAGTATTTTTCGAGATTCTGATCGCACCTTTAAGGGGGTCAACCGAAGCCGAAGCGAAGCCAGGGAACGTCTTGTATCTTACTCGTACACGTATCTTACTTGTAGACCGTGAACGGGGTCACGAGGCTGCACGAGCTGGACTCTCGTAGACGTAGACCGTCTTATGACAGGGGCAGTGACCACATAAATCAATTCGGCAGCGCGGGCCGACTTCACCGCCACGACAAAGTCTGGACGGTAACGCGTGAGCATTTCTCGTCCGCCGGCTGCAAGCCGACATCGCTTGGCTCCGGCCTCTCCTGCCGCTACAGCTCTAAAACCCCGCCGTTCGTGCCTCCTTGGCCGTCCTGGTGTGGCGTCCTGCACCGCCACTTCATTGGCTGCTGCTGGCATCGGCTTGTTCCCAAAAACGGCAGGTACGCAGCCAGTCAGCCAACCACAGGCGCACACGACCGTGTGAGCCTCGCCCAGCTTCCCCTCCATCTCTTTGTAAGAATCTTAAATTGCTCTCTTCTGTCAGATGAACTTTACTCCTCGCTTCGGCCGTGTTCACCACGCTCCCCTGCTTCACACCCTACATAGCGGTTTGCATCTTGCCAGTCCCTTGAGGCTTTTCTCCGCTTGGCCCCCCCCTACTCACTTCGCCTCCGGCCACCATCCCAGACTTCCCCGCCTCATCTCCCGCAGATCCTGCTCTAGCACCACAATGGCCCTAACTGCCCACGAGCTCAGCCATTATTTGGCCGACGCACCGCCCAGTGTGGTGCGGCTGGAGATCTCCAAGCACTTTGACCCTCTCTCCGACAGCCAAAAGCGCTATGCCCACTTCATCAGCAGGGCTGCCTTTGCCGGCCAGCGGATAGTTCTCCGGCAGGTATCCCCCGAAGCGGAAGCCATCTACGATTTCATCCTGGCCCTCAATGAGACTGCCAATGGTGACTGGAAGGCTTTGGCCCAGAAGGCCGGGATCGAAGAGCCTCACCTGGCAGCTTTTCTCGAGTATGCGGCCCAGTTTCTTGGAAACGGTGGCAACTACAAGAGCTTTGGTGACTCCAAGTTTATCCCTCGAGCCCCGGAGTCTGCCTTTGCCGCTCTAGCAGAGACGTCGCCCTCCGCCGCGAAGCACTACGCCGCAACGAAGGGAGGCATATTCTCTGCCGGCTCGGCTGGACTCCTGCACCTGGGCTACACCGACGAGGGCCACCTGACGACGTACTACCCCGACTCGCCCGACATCACCCAGGCAGAGATCTCGGCTGTGGCCAAGTGGACCGAGAAGATGAGCCTTCTGCCTGAAAATACTCGCTTGCGCAAGCAGAAGGGCAGTAACGTCTACGAGCTGCTTATCGCCTCTGCCGTGACGGCGCCTCCCGCTGATGGCGGCGACCTGAAGAGCACCCAGACAGAATTCGCCATCGACGATGCTGATGGCCCATTGAAAGGCGCCACTATCCGTCTCGTGTACGGGGACTACGCGACCGAGATGGCCGCCATCTCTAGATACATTGCCAAGGCTGCCGAAAACGCCGACAACGAGACGCAGAAGAAAATGCATCTGGCCTATGCACACTCCTTCCACGACGGCTCGCTGCTCGCCTTCAAAGACAGCCAGCGCTTCTGGATTCGCGACAAGGGCCCAATGGTCGAGTGCAACATCGGTTTCATCGAGACCTACCGCGATCCGGCCGGCACCCGTGGCGAGTGGGAGGGCTTTGCTGCCGTTGTCAACCTCGAGCGCACACGCGCCTTTGGCGGTCTCGTAAAGGCCGCCCCGACGCTGATACCGCTGCTGCCGTGGACTGCAGACTTCGAGAAGGACGTGTTCCTATCGCCCGACTTCACGTCGCTTGAGGTGCTCACCTTTTGCAGCTCCGGAATCCCGGCCGGTATTAATATTCCCAACTACGACGACATCCGCCAGACCGAGGGCTTCAAGAATGTTTCACTAGGCAACGTCTTGAGTGCCAAGGCCGCCAACGAGAAGATTCCCTTCATCCGTGACGAAGACCTCGAGCTTTACCAAAAGTATCGCGACGGTGCCTTCGAGGTCCAAGTCGGCCTACACGAGCTCACCGGCCACGGCTGTGGCAAGCTACTCCAAGAGACGAGTACAGGTGTCTTCAACTTCGACCATGACCACCCGCCGGTGAGCCCGCTTACGGGCAAACCGGTCACGTCTTGGTACAAGCCCGGCCAGACCTGGGGATCCGTTTTCGGTGGCCTTGCTGGTGCATACGAAGAGTGCCGCGCCGAGCTGGTCGCCATGTTCCTCAGCTGCGAGTTCCCCGTGCTCAAGATTTTTGGCTTTGGCAACGGCACTGTCGACATCAATGGCGAGGCAGGTGACGTTTTGTATGCATCCTATCTCTCCATGGCCAGAGCCGGCCTCACTTCGGTGGAGTTTTGGGACCCAAAGGGTCTAAAATGGGGACAGCCGCACTGTCAAGCACGTTTCTCTATTCTTCGTGTACGTTCTCTCCCCTTCCTCGTGTTTGAATTCTCTGCTAATCCAGTGTTCGGCACAGTGCTTCCTGGAAGCGGGCGACGACTTCTGCAAGCTCTCATATGAGAAGGATGATTTGTCGGACCTGACTATTCACCTGGACCGGTCCAAGATTTTGACGACTGGACGAAAGGGCAAGTTTACATTTCAACTCCTTTGGTCATGCGTATTTCTAACACCTGGACAGCTGTGAGCGATTACCTCCAAAAGTTGCACATCTACAAGGCAACTGCCGATGTCACCAACGGCACCGACTTCTTTGCCGGCAAGATGTCCAGCGTCGGACTAGAGTACTGGGGCACCAAGGTTCGCGACGTTGTACTAAAGAACAAGCAGCCGCGCAAAGTCTTTGTGCAAGCCAACACATATCTGGACGAGGCTACTGGCAAGGTCACACTGAAGGAATACGACCCAACCCCAGAGGGCCTGATCCAAAGCTGGGCCGATCGGGGATAAGCATATTATGCAGACAAAGTAACTGAGGCGTCCTCTGGCAAGGTTTGATATATCCCCCTTAAAAAGCGCATCTAGACATAAGATCTCAAAAATATACATCTCATGTTCACGTCTCGACATACACGGAATTTTCAATATTTTTTTGTGTTCTGATGTCATAGGTCTTTTTTAAGTTTTTTCCCTTGTGGCCCTTTTAAAAGTAGAATTTTTCCCCACACAAAAGGCCATTGTCGTCCCATACGTGTGTGCAAGAAAATTAACAAGAAAACATCAACGCACACACATGCAGCCCAGGTCGACACCGTCCACGGTAACCGTCCAAGGCAAGAGAGATTTTCCGGTCATGCCACCTCTCCGCCCCCCGCAAACATCGTTCTCCCACGCTCAATACCCCACCCATTCATCTGGCTTCTCCGTCGATCCTCTTACACAACAGCCCAGTTGGGTTGAGATTAATCACGTCGGAGAGAAACAAGACGAAGACGTAACAAAGCAGCTGAACAAGGCCGGAGGCGCGGTATATGGTGGATACCACGCCATCACCTGTTGTCGAGCTTCGTTTACCACTTCATCTCGTGGGGCTTGTCACCCTTGCGCAGGCTGAATGATGTGGCGAGGTAGCTGCTGAGCAGGTCGACCTTCTTGATGTTTGCGATGATGGCCTTGTCGATGGCCTTCTGGTCTTCTGCGCGCGTCGCCTGGACGACCTTCTTCTGCAAAGGGGGGTTAGCCGTCCTGTCCTGTCCTGTATTCTCGTTCGTCGATGTTCTGCGATGTGTCCCGTGAAAAAAGCTTACCTGGGGCTTCTCTCCCTGCTTGAAGAATGCCTCCTCGCTGGCCTTCTCCTTCGCCTTCTCCGCGGTGAAGTAGTTCGGTGCGGCGATCTCCTCGATCTTCTTGGCGTCCACGCCGGACAGGTCGACCTTCTCGGATGTCGCGATGACGTACTTGGCGTTCACTCTCCGCAGCGGCACACCGTTGACCTTGAAGGGGCCGGTGACCAGGAGCAGGCCCTGGTCGAGCGTCTTAAGGAGAACGACACGCTTGCCGCGGAAGCGGCCAGCAACGAGGATGAGGATCGTGCCGGGCTGAAGGGACTTGCGTGGAGCCCAGGGGCGAAGGGCCTTGCGGACCTGTTCAGGAGAATATACGTTAGCGATGCGCCTCTCAAATACTCGGTTCCCGTTCCGTTCATTCCATGCCCGGTGCCCCTGTCTAGGCAGTCTCGATCCTGTCGGACCTCAACTGCCGCCGCCTGGCCCCATCTCCTTCTTCCACTGCACTGATAGCCAATGACATGTGCTTCCATCTGCTCTCTGTTCGTATTCCTCATCATCTCATTCCCGGCACTACTGACCTTCTTCGGCTGTGAGTCCTCTTCTGCGGCGTACCACTTCTGGGCCCGCTGGCTGGGGTGAGGCACCGTCCGGGTGGACTTGCCAAACTTCTTCGTCGTGGGTGCCGCCGACATGTTGAGATTTTCGAGGGTATAAAGAGGTTGACAGAAGGAAGAAGAAACCAAACCCAACTCCTTTACTTGTTGTCGATTCGCGAGTGCGGCGATGCGATTCTTGAGTTGCGGGATTGGAAGGAGGAGTAGGAAAAAACCACACCACAGAATAATATTAAAAAAAACTGCTAGCCACACTTCGGGCGACCACAAACCCTACAGGCCAGCCTCCATGTGCCAATTTTTTTTGCCAAAATGTGCGGCCGTCCAGTCTAGCCAATAACGGCAGGCCACAAGCCCTTTTGGAGCCTATACAGATTAGGCTAGCGCCCTGTTCCAGTCACGTGGTTATGTGGGTTCGACCTACGGGTCCCAGGCTTGACGCCTGGCGGCCAGCTGCCAGTATGGGGAAGTAAAACGTCACGAAACTGGCAGCCTTCCGCAATTTTGGTGACGGTTGGCGTGGTGGAGAGAGCTCCGAAAGCTACTGAGTACATCATCATCAACAAGCCAAACGACGTCAGCCCGTTCTGACTCCAGCTGTCTCTCCATCCGTCTTTGCCGAACATAATCTCACCTCTTTCAGTTTGGGTCCTAAGATCCTAGGCTTACAAAATGTCAATTGTTCCGATCATTACATTCAAGGCTGGGCTCTGTGAAGTGGATGTAAGTTGCCCTTGTCCCCTCGCATGCTTCTAGACCTCTATGAAAAACTGCAGTGACGGCAAAAGAAGACTGGAGCATTGACAATTTGTCAACCTAGACGTCCACCCGACCTCAGAAGGTCAAGGCTCTTGTCGAACCTGGCTACATTTATCTTTACTCCGAAGAAGGTACGAAATGCGACTTGTCTCCCGACTCTTGATGCCGCCACTGCTGAAGTGGGAGTCTCGTGTTTTAACATCCGACGTAGATCTCATTCGGTTTTGCTGGCGGCCTCGGAATGTGCCAATTGATGTTCCGACACTGAATCTTGTCATGGTGCCAACCGACGGCCACTTTGTCCCCTACGATGGTGCGGCCTCTGGCCACGCTTCAGCCAAGACGAACGGTCGCATTTTTGTCCTCAAGTTTGAATCGTCCTCTCAACGATACCTCTTTTGGCTGCAGTCAAAGCCACAGGCTGCGAGTGGCGACCCTTCCTGGATGAGCCCCCGGGACCGAAAGATTGGAGACATCGTCGACCGGCTGCTGCAGGGTGAGGAGCTTGACGTGAACCACGAGTTGGCTCAGGTGAAGAACAACACAGACGACAGCCGGAGAGACGGCGATGATGATGATGAGACCATGGAGGACGTCGAGGGTCACGGCGGCTCGAATTTGCCCCAATCTAGCAGCGGCGGCCCAGGTGCTACGGGTGGCGATGCCCGGAGCGAGGGAGAGGATTCACGTGAAGGCGGAGCTGACGGAGCGAGAGCGTAGGTGTTCGATCTCCCCTTTAGATGTCGTTGAAAAGACAATGCGAAAAAGCATGAAGAGAAAGAAGACAAGAAGGCCCCCCAAACCCGAAACTCCCTGAACCAAAAGTCAGATCAAAAACAGTATGCACATTCATCACGTTTATTTAGCCAAGGGAGTTTGGCAACAGACGGTGTTTCATTGAGCATCTTAGATTTTTTTTTATCTTTTTCGAAACATTACAAGGACAGTTCATTGGACTGAGTCTTTTTGGAACCCCTCCCCCCTTCCGGAAATAGGAGTAGGAACAGGGGATAGGAAAGCTGTGCCACCAAAGAACAGACTTGGCCACGGAACTGCTCATCCATGTACATTAGACAAAAGGGTTTCTGTCTTCGCCTTCATATGCAGAAAGATGCTACCTTCATCATTGCTTTCAAATTTGAATCGACAAGGCTTTCGCTAACTCTTGTCTTTGCAGTGCTTCATCGGCAGCCCCTGCGGATGCTGCAGCTATGGTACGCAACCTACTTGCCTCTCTATCTGGCCAGCAAGGTATTCCGAGCCAAGAGCGGCGAGAGAAGCTCTACCCGTTGCTGAATGATCTTCTCGAACCGTCTGTGACGATCCCCATGATTAAGAGTGCGAGTGAAGAGTATATTGACGGTCTGCTGAGCTTCCTGCCGCCAACGGTACTCATTCTTAGCCAGCAAGATGCAATCGAGGATGGCGACATTGTCGAGCCGACAGCAGAAGCAGCGGCCGCTGCAAAAGTAGCTATGAGTATCGCGGAGAAAAAGGGTCTTTTGGAAAAAGTGCTACGCACTCCGCAGTTTCATCAGAGCCTGGCGAGTCTGACCATGGCTATCCGTGATGGAGGTCTACCCAGCATAGCTGATGCTCTCGCCATTCCCGTCAAGAACCACGGATTTCTGCCCGGTGGTGCCATGCCCTTAGGCGGCGGCGAGGCTGTAGAGGCATTTGTTGAAGGTGTCAAATCTACAGTTCAGGAGAAGCTAGAGAAACAAAAGCAGTAGCGGAACGAGAGCTCGTACGGAATATTTACGACTGAAACTTACATGCAGAGATAAAACAAGCTCAGTTGAGGGGCAGGCTAAATGGCTCAAGGCCCAAGTGCAACAGAAGTACAAGCAAGGGTGTATTCGTAGTAAAGTTCTGCTATGTACGGAGTACTCCGTCCCACTCCGAATATACGTAGATCACTGATTTGGCTTGTGCAGAGAAAGTGGATGAGATCTTGCATACCCCGTACTCGTACATCGTATGCATCTAGCACGACCACAGTGTCTTAAACAGTATGCATTTCCATATATACAGTACCCACTATTCTCCCTAGCCAGTAGCAGAGCTCTTCACACTGGAAGCTCACTTTAGGAGCAGATGCACTTTCTTCTTAGCAGCAGACATTGCAAAGACGTTCAACGAAAGCGCGTCCCTTGTAAGAATTCAGTAAGATACCGAGCCAATACGCCAATAGACCGATTTACACCGGTCAGCCATGGAAGAAGATACGATGGCCGAAGTGTGGTCATTTCCCACCGACGTTTCCAAGTTTAATGAGGACGAGCGCATCTCCTTTTCGAAGCTCGACGGCAAATACATTGCAGTTCAAGAAGACGGGAACGAATTCGAGTTTGATCAGGCGCTGAAGAGATGGATTCCGCACGCGGATGACGACGAGAACGACATGGCCGTGGCCGCACAACTGGCCGCGTACGGCGATAGAGATACAATGGAGGATGGCCGCGATCCTAAAAAGAATGGCGTTGCGAGGCAGGGTCAGAAGCGAAAGCAAGACCAAGCGTACGGCCACGAGGTAAGCTGCACTCGACGTTTACCTGCAGTTGTCTCTCCATCACCAGCACTGCCCTGTTTCTTACTCAGCCCACCCTTCTCTGTCCGAGGCATCCGTCTGGATGAAACCAACTGTGCTTTTGATTTTTTCTTTCCTTTATGTCCTTTCTTTCTTACGAAGAAAAGAACCGGGAGCTCGTGACAAACTGACCCATACTCCACCTCTCCTCACCTCTTGGTGCCTCTTCCTCTGTTCTTCTCTCCAAATTTAGCCATCAGACACAAGTGGAAAGCGACGAAATGACGCAAGCAGCAGCGGCGGCGCCCTGGGCATCAGTAAGAGGGCTCGGGCAGCACAGACGGCCCCAAAGCCGAGGCAGAACACGGCTGTCTACGTCACGGGCCTCCCATCAGACGCGACGGTCGACGAGGTGGCAGAGCTATTCTCACGCAAATGCGGGGTGATCGCAGAGGAGATCGACTCGGGACGTCCGCGCATAAAGCTATACACAGACGCCGACGGCCAGTTCAAGGGAGACGCGCTCGTTGTCTTTTTCAAGCCGCAGAGTGTGGACATGGCCATCATGCTACTGGACGACACAGAGTTCCGGTTCTCGCCGACTGCAGCAGACGCCCCGCGCATGCGCGTGCAGGCAGCTGACGCAAGCTACAAGAAGACAAGTTACGGCGAGGCAGGCGCCCCGGGGGGCAATTCGTGCTCTGGACTGGCAGCTGCAGGAACAGCAAGTGGCGGGCAACGGACCTCGACTGCGGGAGAGGGTCAAACAAAAGCAGGAGCAAGAGGCAACCAGGACAAGCAGAAGATCATCAAGAAGACGCAAAAGCTTGATGCCAAGCTGGCAGACTGGAGCAGTGACGAAGAGCGGCCTTTCGGAGATGGTGGCGGTGGCGGTGGCAGCGGCGGCATCCGCAGTTCTAAGTGGGACAAAGTAGTGGTGCTGAAGCACATGTTTACTCTGGAAGAGCTTGAAGAGGATGCGGCAGCTCTGCTGGACATCAAGGAAGACATCCGGGAGGAATGTGCCAAGCTGGGCGAGGTGACCAATGTGGTGCTATTCGACCAGGAGGCAGCAGGCGTGGTTAGCGTAAAGTTCCGGACAACGGCGGCAGCAGCAGCATGCGTGCGGCTGATGGATGGGCGAGCGTTTGCCGGTCAAGTGGTCGAGGCGAGCATTGCAACAGGACGGGAAAAGTACAAGAAAGCAAAGAGTGGCGATGGGGAGGACGAATCCGAAGAGGACTGAATACAGGAGGAGCCTATTTCTCGCACAGGCGCGACTGCTTATCATCGCTTTTCCAGGCAAGTAGTTTGGACATCTAGAAAAGATATTCCAGCGTAAGCTGTCAGTTTATAGCATAATACATAGTTTTGTTTTGCTTTGTAGAAAACCTGGTTAACTGCGAGCTTGTATTTTATTTAAATTCCTTTTAGTCTACTAAAGCTGAACGTCCTCTACGCCAGTCCCACACCCACGGGGTCTGCGCCTATGCCATTGTGCTGTGAAGCTCAGTATAGTAGACCTGTGAAAATCAAATAATGCGGAAGAACCGGGCCGGCGAGGCTCCTGCAGCGCTCTCTGGAAAGCAAAGGAGAAACGTACGGGTGAAACGCAGCGGTATTGTAACCTAAATCAGCCTTGTCTCGCAGGGGGCGCTCTCGGGAGCAGAAGCCATCAAGCAGACTCTTGAGAGCTCAAAGGTGGAATCTCCAGCCTGACCTCCTTGGCTATAGTGTACCAAATGGCAGCCTCAACGATCTTGGCGATAATTTTTAGATCACTCTCATCTAGGATAGTCAGTCAGCAGACTCAGTTTTGAAATAGTTTACAGACGCCAATATACGTACCTCGCGGAGCATAGATCATGACGAAAGTAATGGGAAGCGGTGCTTTAACCCAGCCCTTGAAGGCCAGTGGATGCCGCTGGCCCCAGCCCTTCTCGAGAACCTCCTTGATGTCGTCCGGGTGTAGGCTCATGTGCATAGACTTCTCCGAGTCGTGAATATGGAAAACCTCACCCTGACCCCAAACATTGACGGGGTGGCGCGCAAACAGGCCGAAACCGTGTTTCTCGATGCATGATGTAGCTGTACAGAGGCTGTCGGGGTACTGCCGGGTTAGGTCCTCGACGGCAGAGCGCAGGGCGACGTTGCATTTGCCCGAGGCTGGCTGGTTCAGTTGGCGCTGTGGTGCCAGGCCGGCCACGATGGGACGCGGGCCAGGGCGATATGGTAATTCTTTCAGTATGCCGGCGGCGGGCGCAAGAACCGTATCTGAGGGTGGCTGACTGTGGTAAACATCCCGCAGGGCGAAGAGGCGAAACCAGAGCAGGCGTAGATAACCAGAAAAGGTAGGTGGTGTGCCGCCTGGGCCGAGAAGCAGGAAGTTAATGTAATCATTGCGGACAAGTAAGACCAGAGGCACTGCGATTATGATGACTTCGAGCAGGCTAGGCTGCAGAACGTGCATCCCAGTGACGAGTAGGAGAGCAGCCACCAGCATAGCAAGAGCGTCCAGAGTGATGGAGAAAGGGTTCTGGCGGATGACCATATTCAGCATGATATCGTTGGCAATGGCTGTGCGGTCCGAAACAGATGGTAACGCCTTCAGTGGGGAATGGTCTGGCTTCGGGGGCGCCGTAAAGGAGGAGCAAGACGCATCCGATGATGCCATTGTGAGCGTTGGCATGGTCACGCTGATAAAAGGGAATGGGAGAGGACAAGAGGTATAAGAGGGGGTGAGGGACGGATACTATAGAGCCCTATAGTCAAGATGTGACAGTGAACCTGCTGTGATGAGGTAGCCCGAAGAAGCAGATCAGGGCAACGGAAAGGAATAGGTATGGGAATGAAAGGAAGGTGGAAAAGAAGAGATAGAGATCAGGAAGAACGGCCTGGATTATAAGCTCCTCGTCGAGCTCTCACATGAACGACAACTATGGGACGCTCAGCGGGGCAGAGTCTCTGGTGCAGCAAATTGTGGCAACGGTGATAACAATGCAATGCCTAATGCCCAATGGTCGAATAATATATGGATGCAGCTGAGCAGGCGAGGGTGTTCTGGCCTGAAGCGAGTGGAGAAAGCAGCAGCAATTTTTTGAGAATAGAACGAGTCCCACGAAGCCGAGCAGTGCGAGGCAAGAACAGCACAGAGTAGGGGGAAAGACAAAAGCTGATACAGGACTACTGCAGGACGGGCTGTCCGTAGTCGGAGGCGCCAGCCACTCAACTGGTAACCCGAGAGCGTCGGGCCAGCAGAGTGTGAGGTGTAATCGGGTTTGGTGCAGATGCTGGCGGGTCGCTGCATGAAGTGTGGTTGAGTTGCGAGGAGTAAGGAGGAGGTGGATAGAAGTGAGAGCGAAGAGAGCAGCGAATGTATAGGGAGGAGGTCGGCCAGGGTCTCGACGAGGAAAGAGCGATGTGGGCTCGTGACAGCCACATGACGAGGTTCAAGACACGGTCAGCAGATTGGACATTGGCTGCGAGCACAGTGGGGGGCGGAATGGTATCCGGCTGGCTGAGCTGAGAGAAAACTGCCATGTACTCGTACAAGGACTGTTCCTATCTACGGGCACGGGTTTACCCCGCTTGGCGATCAGTCAATAAAAAGCAGAGAGCGAATGAATGCCGTGAGGGACGTTGATTCGTCAAAGTACCTGACGAGAAAGAGAGGCAGGCAGACAGATAAGGAGACACGAATAGCGAAACGGGAAAGAAACAGGAGCACACCTGTCGAGACCGGGTTATCACAGCCTCGTTGGGGCAGGCACGGCCAAGGCTTTTTATGGCCGGCAGGTGTCCGCCAAGATGTGCCGCACGAGATCGGCGTCCGGGGAAGTAAACTCTTCGATGGCCATGCACGTGCTGCATACTGTGTACAAATTCAGGCATTGCATTGGTATCATAACCTTGCCCTGGCAGCAAAGACTATATCTTACGTGTGGCAAGTGCACTACTACAAAGGAGAGTGCGGCGACCGGAGCAGAACTAGACTTGAGCACTGAATAGTCAGGTCTTAGCTTGCCAGATTGGGAAGTAATAACAGCAGCTAAACCCATCTTGCGCTTGGCGGCTCAAAAGTCAAATGCGAATAAAGCGTGGAAGTCACCCCTGGGTGAGAAAACCCCACTGTCGCTTGTGCAGTGTGGTTGCTCAAGCAACTACTCCGTACTCCGTAATGTATGTAGAATGGGAAGAAGGAGCGCCCCTCCAATAGCCAATGACATCACTTATAGCCCTACAAGGGGTGCAAACAACAAGGGACTAATGGGAGAAACTAGTGCTCTCCTGCTACGATGTACGTCGTACGGAGTATTCTCCTAATGTTGGCTGGGAGATGGCCCTTCCTTTATCTCTTAGTCACTCGGCTCTTTTCCCGTTGACAGCAATTTCCTGCCGTCATTATGATTCTCTCGCTCCAAACATTGCACCCTCTCTCCCGATCGTCCTGATCTCGCGAATGCTCCGTGTCTTTGCCTGTGTGCCGACATTGTCCGCCCTCTTCTCCTGAACCCTGAAGGGTATTTTTTTTTTTTTCGTCGCAGCATTCCAGTCGTACTGCTCAGAGCCCAGTGCATTCTTCCTCGCCAGCATGGGACTTCTGCCCACGGGCCTACTTCGGCCACGGGACGCCCGCCAGCGGCTGCCCATATACGAGCAGCCGAGTCCGACGACACTAACTAAGGAGCGGTACTCAGACTCGGAAGCCTCGTCCGACGACGACGACGATGACGATGACGACGACGAGGTTGAGGAGGGCGACAGCATCTACGCGGCCTCCGTGGCATCAGCTCGTGCGACCAGCGGTCCGAGCTCTCGCCAATCCTCGGGATCTGCAACGGCAAGCTCGCTGATGTTGCCTAAACGGCCTGCTACAGCCTCCAGCAAACTTTCTCGTCTGCCACGGCACCGGCGGCGGTTGGGTGGTATCGGGGCTCGGCTGTATCGCCTACCAAACAAGGTGACCCGTTATCTCTGTGCGGCCATGATCTTCACCATTCTTCTCTTCATCTTCAGTCTCGTCCGCGCCAGCCAGCTGGAGAACCGTCGGATCTCCAGCGGCCAGTTCGACCGTCCGGCTGCTCCGCCTCCCGCCTGGGAGTCATTTGACTTTTTGACCCGCTACTACGGCGGCGTGCGCAACCTGGTCGCCTTAAAGGATAATGTGCCGCAGTACCCGCGCGCTGAAGATGAGCAGCCCTACAACGTCACCGCCACTCCTGGCGATGCGACGGCCGAAGACGTGCCTACACCGCCCAGGGTTCACCTGCACGCTGCTTCTGGCTTTGCTGTCAACAACAACAAGGGTCCGCTGCCACCAAGCTTCCCGTTCGACCAGCACAAGAGCTCTGTCCTGGCCGACGGGGCCGCAGCGGCCGGCGGTGGTGATGCTCCTCCGGTGGCTTGCTTCATCGATAGCCAGAAAACCGTCCGCGTCCCGTCTCTGCGCTACTTTGAAGGCCGTCCCAACGGCTTCCCCCGCAACATCCTCGGCTCGTACGAACTGTTGTCGCTACCCGAAGATATCTGCTTCGAGCGCTACGGACGATTTGGACCCTACGGCTACGGCTACTCTGTCCGCTCGGGCGGTCTCGGCACCGGCGAGTACGGCGAGAAGGCTGGTTCCGACGCCATCTGGGAGTCGACCAAGCGCATTGACTACTCCACTGTCGACTGGGCTGATGTCCAGAGGCGTTGTTACAATGCCAATGCCCACCGGTTTCGGTCCACATCCGCGCGAGCTCCACCACCCAACGGTTTCTATATCGGTGACGACGCTGCAGGTGTCCACATTGTTGCGCGTGACGAAGCCAGAGGGAACAGTGCTGCTCCTGCTGCTCCTGCTGCTCCTACTGTTCCTGCTGTTCCTGCTGTTCCTGCTGTTCCTGCTCCTGCGGCTCCTGTCAGTCCGGCCGTCCCGGCTGCCCCGGCTCCTGCTTCTGCCGATAAGGGCCCCGCGGCAGTACACCCTCCCAGCAATGCACCGCGTACTGCTGTTGTCGTTCGGTGTTGGGATGAATTCGTGTGGCGCGAGGATGACATCATGAACCTGCGGGCACTGATTTCGGAACTCTCGCTGGCATCAGGCTCGCGCTATGACGTCCATCTTCTGGTCCAGGTTAAGGACGACGCCAAGAACCCCATCTGGGCTGACGACGAGATTTACCAGCAGCGGATCGTGGACACCGTGCCGGCCGAATTCCGCGGGATTGTCACGCTGTGGACCGAGACGCAAATGCTGGCACTGTACCAGGGTATCCACGACCACTTCACCCGGGGCCCGGATCTGCCCGTACACGGTGTGTACCGCGGCCTGCAGATGGCGATGCAGCACTTTGCGCAGCTCCACCCCGAGTACGAGTATTTCTGGCAGTGGGAGATGGATATCCGGTACACAGGCCACAACTTGGATCTTTTCACCAAGATGGAGAAGTGGGCTGCCAAGCAGCCGCGCAAGGGCCTGTGGGAGCGAAACGCCCGTTTCTACATGCCGGATGTGCATGGCAGCTGGGACGACTTCCGCCAGATGGCGCGCGTGCAGACCGAGGTCGCTGCGGCCGGCGCGGGCAAGGCGTGGAACCCTGCTCTGGGCAAGGACAAGGACGCAAAGGACAGCGACAAGACGGTATGGGGTCCCGTGCGGCCAGCCGACCCGAACGACTGGTTTGAGGCGGCCGCCGACCCGGTGCCGCCGACAACATACGAGAAGGACCGCTACGTATGGGGCGTGGATGAGGAGGCGGATCTGATCACGCTGAACCCGCTCTTCGACCCGGCAGGCACAACCTGGCTACTGGCCGACGATATTACAGGCTACAACGAGACAACTCAAGGCGGTAAACCGCCGCGCCGCGCTCAGATCATCACGGCTTCTCGCATGTCGCGTCGGCTCCTGCGCACAATGCACCGCGAGACCGCCTTTATGAAGCACCACGCCTTTTCGGAGATGTGGCCGGCAACGGCGGCACTGCAGCACGGCTACAAGGCCGTGTATGTGCCGCACCCCGTGTATGTGGATCGCGAATGGCCTACGGAGTACATGGCTCATACCTTCAACGGCGGCCTGAACGGCGCCTCTGGCGGCTCGCGCACTTCGGTCTTCGGCCAGCGCGAGCACAACTTCCTTGGCCTGACCTGGTATTACAACGCTGGCTTCTCGCGCAACCTGTATCGCCGCTGGCTCGGCCTCAAGGTCAACAACGATGGCGGGCAGGCGTTTGAAGAGGAGACCGACGCCAACCTGAACGACACGACGGTGGATACGATGCGCGGCGGCGAGGGCCGCATGTGCTTGCCGCCCATGCTACTGCACCCCATCAAGGAGGTGGAACTGCCGGTTGAGAGCAATGTGGGCGACGAGTACAACAAGAAGCCGTCCACGGAGACGGACCCATCGTCGTGACTGCCATGATGCATGCCCTGACGAAGCGGTGTTTTGCTTCCTTTTATTCGCGGGTTTCGTGCTGGCCGAACAGCCTGCACTCTGTTTTGCATACTCTCTCGGCGTTGGTACGGCGTTGGAACGGTCGGCCAACATACGCTGGCTCTTTATTTGGAACATCGTTTTGGTGCTTGGGTTTCTTGGTGGTGGAATCTTGTCACGACCTGTTTTACACTGGACGCCCGTCCTATTATGCATAGTACCTGTTGGATCATATATGTTTGGTTAGGTTATGTGCCAGAGATTTGACGAGATCGAATGTGACGAGAACGGACGAGACACTGCTTTTATAATCCGTACGAAGCGAATACGACGACCCGCAGACGTAGGAACGATCTGAAATCCTTGTGCAATGCTAACGTATCTTATATTGATAGTACAGAAAGAGAGTCGTGTTCGGCAGAACGAGGTTTGTCACCGGACGGTCTCAGCGACCGCTCAGCTCAGCTTGGCTCCTTCAGATGACACGCTTCACCTCGAAGAAGCGCCGCAGCCACCAGACCTGGAAGACCGACTCGCCGATGACGACGCCGATGACGAACAGGTTCCACCACTTGACCCGGCTGTTGGTGCTCTCGGCCGTGTTGCGATGCGTGCGCTCTCGCACGACAATGTATGACTGCTCGTCCTTGACCTGGGCCAACAGGTCTGACAGGCGGCGAGCCTCGGCCTCGAGCGGATCCTTGGGGCTGTCGGCTTCGGACACGTACACGATGCCGTGCACGTTAAAGGAGACCTCCTTGCTGGACGCGCCCCAGTGCTCGTTGCTGAAGCAGTATTGATACTTGCCGTCCAAATGGGCGCTAAAGGTGAAGTCGCCGTTTGAGGTCGTCTTCTGGAAGGTCTCATACTGGCCGTTGGGGGTCGTGATCTGCACAAGACGAGCCTCAGTCAGCACGGAAGGGGGGGGGGGGGGGTTGGAGGGCAAAGAGGGAAGCCTACCCAGAAATCAATGTCCAGGTTGCCGGCGCCGCCAAACTCGCGGTCGCCCACCTGGAAGGTCACCGTCATCGTATCGTCGCGATGGAGCTCCTCAAAGAAGCATTCGCGGCCATGCGCAGGCAGCTGGATGTTGTGGGCGGCGACCGACGGCAGCAGAGCGGCAGCAGCGGCCAACAGGCCGAAGAAGAGACGTGCCATTGCAGAAGAAGGGTTGCGGTGATGCTGTGGTGCAGTGATGCTGCGGTGCGGTGCAATGGCAGCAGAAGCGGGAACAGGCAGCTGCAGCGGCGCGCTCTCAAAACAGTCGGATAGCAATCGTTCGTGATCGTTGCTCGCGTGCCCAAGGACCCACCGCTTTTTTCTGTCGTGTCCTTTTTTCTCACCACTCTCGAAGGAAGACAGCTTGCAGTTCGCGATTGGCGCTAGCAGCCACAGTCCAGTGGCGAAACGTGCTGGGGTCAGTGGTCCGCTGTGGAACCTGCTTATCACTGAGATACAATGTGGGCCCGTGCTCTCGCCCCCTGGCTATCTTCTTCGCAGGGCACTTTACGACGTACTCCGTAGGCCATCATTCGCCGTAATCCAGCGAAAACAAAAAGGGGCTGCGGTCGGGCCGATAATGTTCCGACCGGAGGGAAGTACCCCGCCACCACAGTGCTGGGAACAACCAGCCAGAGCTCAGCCACCTGCTGAAGAAGCGCTATCACTCGTATGTGCATATGCATTCCGCACGGCCCCTGCTCCTATCTCCAGGCAGCTGGCGGTCGGCGCTGTCCACTGAACGGCCTGCTCCAATCCTTCCCTGACTCGCGCGTTGGTCCGCTGTCCCAATTATTATTATTTTTCCCTCGCACTCTATTTCTCTCCCTCCCTTCCTCTCCCTCCCACCAAAATCACACTACACCGACAAATCCCACTTCTGGCCACATCGCGACAAATCGCCCGCCTGTCCTCTTCCCCATCGTCCGCCCCTCGTCGTGTGTCCCGAAAGACAACAGCGATTTCTGAATCCAGGCCGAACCGAACGAATTTTCGAGGTGAGCTCCCATAAAGAAGATTCAAGTGGCCACAATAGATCAGATGTGAAGCATCTGGCTGCCTCTTTGATGCCTGATCCCTAGCCATTTCACTTCATCTTGTTCCTTTCTTTCCTGCCTTTCTACCTCATCATGTGTTTGCCTCCCCGGACCGCATTCTCGCCGTCCATCCTCCCACACCCTCCTCTCACACCAGCTGCCGCTGGCTGTGTCGCAAGGCTATACCGCCGTTGGGTCACCCTATATGATGGCACCCTCCTATTCGCCCTCCTCCCTGCCAGAAAGAAGCTCTATGCTTTTCTTCAAGACCGGGGACCGCGTCAAGGCGCCAGCCATAGCCTCACGGCTTGCTGTATTCAACCCTCGCACTCCACTAGCACCACCCATCGCGCCCTACCGCCTCTCATGTGACAGCTTAGAGAGGATATATCTGTTGGCTTCGAAATTGACTCCCGAGCTCGTGATGGATGCTGAGGAGGGACTGGTGGCCGCAGCCTGAGGCATTCCACCTCCACGGCCGTCCTTCCTCTAAGCCTCTCCATATCTCACCATACCGGCATGCATTTTTTGCGTCACAAACAGCTGTTCTTTTACCGCACCTGGCCGTGCGACGTTGGCGCCTATAAGATAGGAGACCAGCCAGCAGAATACGGACGACTCCCTTTTCTCTTGTCATTCACATACACTTTCTCCTTTTGCACCGTTACCTACTCACTGGCACGCGAACCAATAGAAAATCGAGCCCTGGCTGAGCTAACCACTATCTTGCACAGCCTGATCTATACTCAGCCGATCTTGCACTTTGTGCCTCTCCCTTTCTAAACCACATCAGCTCAACAGCCGCCAAAAACCGTCACTATGGGTCTGAGCATCAGCAAGCTGTTCAGCGCTTTCCTGGGCAAGAAGGAAATGCGCATCCTGATGGTTGGTCTTGACGCTGCTGGAAAGACTACTATTTTGTACAAGTTGAAGCTGGGCGAAATTGTCACCACCATTCCTACCATTGGTATGCTGCCATGCGCAGACTTTCTTCGCGTCTCCACAATCGCTGTGCACCCACTAACCGATTGCCTATTTAGGTTTCAACGTCGAGACTGTGGAGTACAAGAACATCCAGTTTACCGTGTGGGATGTCGGTGGTCAGGACAAGATCCGGCCCCTGTGGAGACATTACTTCCAAAACACCCAGGGCATCATCTTCGTCGTTGATTCCAACGATCGTGATCGTATCGGCGAGGCTCGCGAGGAGCTGCAGCGTATGCTGAACGAGGATGAGCTCCGCGACGCCATCCTCCTGGTCTTCGCGAACAAGCAGGATCTGCCTGTATGTGCCCTGTCCACCTTTACCTAGATCCAATTCGACTCCGTGCTGACCTAATCCCTACCAGAACGCCATGAACGCCGCTGAGATTACAGACAAGCTGGGTCTGCACAGCCTGCGGTCACGCGGATGGGTAAGTTGACCCACCCAATCGACATAAAACCACAGATGCCTCCCGGGAGACTACCATGCTGACTGACGGCTCTTTTCCCTGAATAGTACATCCAGTCGACATGCGCCACCTCTGGTGACGGTCTGTACGAGGGTCTCGACTGGCTCGCCACCACTCTGCGGAAGACGAACAACTAAATATCGACTTATTACGAGTGCCCAGCTGAAGCGTATATTCTGAAAGAATGAGAGAGTCAGCCGCGTAATTGTGACTGGCCATGCGCTATCTTTGTTCTGGGCTCCTCGGCAGCTTTGCGCTCGATATATACACTTAACCGTCTCGGGTCCTGGTTCCTGCAATAAAACAACCACCGCGCCTGTTTTTCTCTTTTCACTATCTCTTCCTCCTCCGGCTAGCTTGCACATTCTGATGTCGTCGGCTGGCGTTGTTTCGGGCTGTTGTTGCTTGCTTCAGTCCTTCTCCCTATATGTCTCTTGTGTATCTTCGTACAGTATTGCCTCCCATGAGAAATCGAATTCTAAATTCTACATGCCTCGCGTGGTGGTCATTGTGTTAATTTATGCTTGGTTCCCCCTAATACTCTTCTCACATTGCGTGGACAGGTACTTGAATCGGCAAGGCGAGAAAGTTTGAAATGTATTGTTGATATTGCTGGCACGGCTGCACTGCGTGAAAACTGAAATATAAAATGCCTTCTTATTTTCCTACTACTCCAAACTGCTGGCAACAGCCTTATTTTCGGAGCAATACGTCGATGTGATAAAGTTATGTGATAACTTAATGTACATTATTCAAATACAGTGGGATTCTTATGTATCGTGAGAAGGCTTTCTGCTCCATCCCGTCACAAAACGCCATATAACGCCAGAAGCACCCCCCGCCCCTACTTTAATGTCACATTTCTTTCCCCGCCCTCTGAGCTCTCACGCACTTGTCTTATCTGATACAGGTGCCGGCGACTCAGCATGCACGTCCAGCCCAGAGCCATCTTCTTTGATCTGGACGTGGGCAATGTCGCCCATGCGCACGTGACCGCGGATGATCTTGTCGGCCAGCCCGTTTCCGATCTCAGTCGTGATCAACCTGTTAAGCGGGCGCGCACCAAACTTGGGGTCATAGCCGCGCTCTGCCAGCCAGCCGCGAACGCTGTCTGGCACGTCCAGCACAATGCGCCTGTCTGTCAGGCGCTCCTGTAGCTCCTTCAACCGTATGTCGACAATGTCGCGCAGGGCCGACTTTGCGAGGCGCTTGAACACGATGAATGAATCAATACGGTTCAGAAACTCGGGCGGATAGCTGGCAGCCACGACGTCCAGCACTGCCTTGCGCACACTCGGATCAACGTCGCCATCGTCCGTCTCTCGATATGGATGCAGAGGGTCAGCACCGACAAGGATGTCTGCGCCCAGATTTGAGGTCAGCACAATGATGGTGTTGCGGAAATCCACCCGGTCCCCCTGTGCATCCGTCAGATAGCCTTCGTCCAGTACCTGCAGCAGCAGGGCCGAGATGTCACGGTGGGCCTTCTCGAACTCGTCAAATAGCAGCACCGCGTACGGCTTGCGCCGCACGGCCTCCGTCAGCTGGCCGGCATCGTCGTAGCCGACGTAGCCTGACGGAGCACCAATCAGGCGCGAGATTGTGTGCTTCTCCTGGAACTCGCTCATGTCGAAGCGCACCACCGCAGACTCGGTCGAGAAGAGAAAAGCGGCCAGCTTCTTGCACAGCTCCGTCTTGCCGACGCCTGTCGGCCCTAGGAAGAAGAATGAGGCAAGCGGCCGGTTGTCCCCTGACAGGCCGGCGCGCTGCATCCGCACGGCATCGGCCACGGCCTTGAGCGCCTCGTCCTGGCCACGCACCGACTCTCGCAGCATGTCCTCCATGTGCACGAGCTTCTCAATGTGGCCCGATGTCAGCTTGGACACGGGGATGCCGGTGATGCGGGATACCACAGTCGCAATGTCGTCGGCCGTGACCGAATCGTGGAGGAGCGGCGCGCTAGCCTCGTCTTCTGCGCTGCTGGTTTTGGCCTTTGCCTCTTCGTCACTGTTTCGCACCTTCTCCTCAAGGGAGGGAATAACTCCGAACCGCAGCTCGGACGCGCGTGCAAAGTTGCCCTCGCGTTGCGCCCGCTCGAGATCAACTCGTGCGCGATCTAGCTCGCCCTGCGCCTTCTTGATACCATCGATCTCCTCGCGCTCCTTCTGCCAGCGCTCAGTAAGCGCCTTGGCCTCTTCCTGGTATTTATTAAGGTCATCTTCCAGCTTCTGACGGCGCTCGCGACTGGCAATGTCTGTCTCCTTGCGTAGGCTCTCAAGCTCGATCTGGATAGTCATGATTTTTTGGTCAAGACGCATGATATCTTCGGGCTTGCTCTCTTGTTGCAGCCGCAGTGAGCTGGCAGCCTCATCCATCAAGTCAATAGCCTTGTCGGGGAGGAACCGGTCCGTGATGTACCGATTGGAAAACGTCGCAGCAGCAACAAGGGCGCTGTCGGTGATGCGCACACCATGGTGCACTTCGTATTTCTCCTTTATGCCGCGCAAAATGCTGATCGTGTCTTCGACTGAAGGCTCATTGACGACAATCGGCTGGAACCGCCGAGCCAGTGCAACATCCTTTTCGATTAGACGGTATTCGTTGAGCGTCGTAGCACCGCAGCACTGGAGCTCGCCGCGGGAAAGTGCCGGTTTCAGCAAGTTCGATGCATCTATCGATCCCTCAGCCTTGCCGAGACCAAGGAGGGTATGCAATTCATCTATGAAGAGGATTACCTCGCCATTGGCCTGCTCCACCTCGCCAAGCACCTTCTTGAGCCGCTCCTCAAAGTCGCCACGGAACTTGGCACCTGCAATGAGCGAACCTAGATCGAGGCTGATAACTCGCTTGTTCTTGATACTCTCAGGGACCTCGCCCTGCACGATTCGCAGGGCTAGGCCTTCCAGAATGGCTGTTTTACCCGTTCCAGCATTGCCGATCAGGACCGGATTATTCTTCGTGCGGCGAGAAAGCACCTGGATGGTACGTTGGATCTCGGCGTCACGTCCAATCACCGGATCCAACTTTCCGTCCTTGGCCTTCGCCGTGAGGTCAACACCGAACTGCTCTAGGGCCGGCTTCTCTGCCTCCCCACCACCCATATCCATACGGTGTGTGCCGCCTGGAGGATGAGGTCTGCCATTGGAATAGAAACGAGAAGTATCGAGTGGAAATAAGCGAGCTGGGTTGCGTGTGACAGCTATATGTCTAGGCGATATGGATAATCGATAAGGAGTGGTTCGGAGTAGAGGGGTGGCCACCTTCGAGGATGTGTTGAGTAGTCGTCCTCGTGTCGTAGCGGCGAGAAGCTGTTTTCTGACAAACATTGTTGCCATGTATTAAGTTTGCGAATCTTGGAGACTTGAACAAAAAGCTATGTCTTTAGGGAGAGGGAAGAATCATTACTATAGCGCCCCAGCAGAAGCTCATGGCCCTTCTTTATGTACCCTGTGGTGGCGTGGTGATGCTGTCGAGTACCTTCGAGCAGCTTCCCAACTTTTCGACTCTGTCTTATCTTATCGTACGATACCATAATATGCATATATGCATATATGAGGGATTGTAGCCGCAAAACTACGTTATGCAATTTTTTGCTGCCGTAGAAACAAATTACGTTCTATGCAATAATAGGTTCCTACCCTATCCTACACTATCACAACATAATACTATAATGAGATTCACGACACGCGGTATTGATAGACTACTAAGCAATTGCCTAATGTTTCGCAGTATTCACAGCCAGATATACGGAGTACGGAATACACCTCTACTGTGTAAAATACTATTGGCCATTGGCCGGTGGGAAATGTGGGGCAATTGAAGCGCCAGAAGAAATTTGGAGGGGGAAAAACATTTCTTTCATAAGTCCCACCATTTATTACCCCCACCACTTACTTTCCATCTCATCACCAGCCTCCTCAAATTTTTTTTTTCGCAATTTCCCTCTTTTCCAAGTACAAATACCCTGGCTATTTTCCCTCTCTTTCAAAATGGGTTTTCCCGATGTTACCACTGACGCCGGTGTTGCTGGTATGTTCCATACCGTCTTTTTTTCTGAAGACGAACAAGTAGCTTGCCGTCTGAAGGGCTTCACCTTCGTCTGGGCAACAGCGCAAGATGAGCAGTCAATCTGACCAATGCGTGCAGTGCTCAACAGCTGGCTGGCCACTCGCTCGTACATTTCTGGGTACGTTTTTTCCTTTTTGTCTAGATTTAGCTGCGTTTCTTGAAGCCCTGTCAATTTCCTGTCAGCACATTGGTTCAAGATACATTTCCGTGATGAGAACATATTGGTCCGTGTTTCTGAGTAGACTCAAGACCTACACATGACGACCCCAATAGCAACACAGTTGCACCTCTGATCTTCTTGATACCAATTTCATATACGACCTTCAAATTTGGCGCTCGCGATTCGTTTTAATGGCTAACCGGGTCTTTGCTTTGAAAATATAGCTATGCCACTAGCCAGGCTGACGTCGCCGTTTTCAAGGCACTGAAGTCCTCTCCAGAGACAGCCAAATACCCGCACGCTGCGCGGTGGTACAAGCATATTGCCTCGTACGAGGAGGAGTTCGCTACGCTGTCCGGCGATGCTTCCAAGCCTTACACTACGTACGGCCCCGAGGAGTCGACGGTGACCGTGAACACGGCTAAGGCCCCGGCTGCTGAGGAGGAGGATGACGACGTCGATCTGTTTGGCAGCGACGACGAGGAGGAGGATGCTGAGGCCGCACGCGTGCGGGAGGAGCGTCTGGCAGAGTACCGCAAGAAGAAGGAGGGAAAGACCAAGCCGGCCGCTAAGTCCGTCGTGACGCTAGATGTCAAGCCCTGGGGTAAGGAACCGTCCCTTATTTCTGTCTTGCTGGAGTGCCGTACATGCCAGCGTTGCCATACTGGATCAAAGCTAACTGTTGCAGACGATGAGACCGACATGAAGGCTCTGGAGGAGTCGGTCCGCGGTATCGAAAAGGACGGTCTGCTGTGGGGTGCTTCCAAGCTTGTTGCTGTTGGCTTCGGCATCAAGAAGCTGCAAATCAACCTGGTTGTCGAGGACGAGAAGATCTCTCTGGATGACCTCCAGGATGAGATTGCCGGTTTCGAAGATTACGTTCAGTCCAGCGATATTGTAAGCTCTGTTCTGTCATATCTCTGCCTCCAAGCCATGACTGTTAATACTAACGACTTTTTTCCTCGTGCACAGGTCGCCATGCAGAAGCGTGTAAAGGGGCGAATTGCCCCGTTTGCGACGAGTTCTCACCAGAAGATTGCTTTTCGTAGCTAAAAAAAGCTTAATAAAGACAGATCAAGGATTGAATCCTTCACAAAATAAAAACGAAACATGACACAGCAAGAAATTTTTTTGCGTAAAAAAAAAAAAGTCCCGCACCCGTGTGCTTTTCGGCGACACTGGGGAGTACGCAGGTAAAATACTAGGCTGAAATTGTTGATGCTAGAATGAGCCGCCTGGGATTTGTGGAGAGGAGCTATGTTATCAATTAGGCTTTACTCCGTATGGAGTACTATGTATGAGAATAGTGGAAGCCCAAAGAGGCAACCCTAAATGCATTCGGATTGGCTGAAGACGCGGGCTCTTCCCAACTTTTTTTCACTACTTTTCTCGTCCCACAGTATACTGTACATATATCGACGACGGTTGCTAAAGCACCTTGCGTACTAACCCCCCAATTGAGCATTGTACTGTGTCGGCCAACCTGCACATTCTCCCCAGATGTATGGCGATCTTGGCAACAAACTGGTGCGTATCTCTGGTGACGCGTTCATTGTCTCGCATCGCGTGCAGCCTTTGCAGAATTTAAGCTTACGCCCATCTGTTTGTCAGGTCCAACATGCCAAACGGACGCAGAACTTGGCACACTTGCCACCCTACCAGACCGAAATTGTGCGAGCAGTGACGCGCGAAGTGCGCGACCTCGATAAGGACGTGGCCCAGCTGCTCGAACCTTTCCAAGGATCTTTTGATCCCACAACCGAACCGGCAAAAGCATGTGCGCTTCTCGTTGATCATCTCGCTATGCGTCGCAATAAAAGGTGCCTATTGGCATACCACCGCACGCGGACAGACAAGCTGGAGGAGCTGGTGTGGAATGGATCGGACGTGGTGGACCTTTCAGAACAACAGATACGCGACGGCCCGTCTGGGGCCCGTGGCAGTGGAGGAAGGGCCGGCAGCGGTGGAGGCGCCATCGGTGGCGGCGAGACTGGCACCGGAGACGGATACAGCGCCGGTGTCAGCAGCAGCAACGGCAGCAGCAGTCTCAGCCCCCAGGAGGAAGACTACGTCCGGCAGTATTCGAACCTACTGGCTGCCTATAAAGGCCAGTGGACGGACATCGACCTGACCGGCAGCCTGGAGCCTCCCCGCGACCTGTTTATTGACGTCCGCGTTTTGAAGGACGCTGGAGAAATTCAGACGGAATATGGGTAAGTACAGCTAAGTAAAAGAACTTTGAAACAAAGAGTGGTGCACTGTGTGATGCATTGTCCCTGACGTTTCTTGGCCAACCCAGATCTATCACACTGAGTCGCAACAGCCAGTTTTACGTCCGACAAGGCGATGTCGAGAGGCTGATTGCACAAGGATACCTCCAAAAGCTGAGCTGAGAAGGTGCTAGTCTTGAAAGCCCGGGCGGGCTCTACAACTTATACGATGCCGGCATTATGTCCCTATCCAGCTCCCATTTCCAAGCCTGACTTTCAATCTGATTTCCGAGGGAAGAAGAAAAAGGAAGGGAACAGAGTGGAGATGCAGCGGCCTTACTGGCTCCATGAGGTTCCGGGCAGTGTTATGCACATATTTTCCTGCGTTACATGCACGGGACCTACGAATACTTGCCGACGCGTCACTTCCTGCACCGCCATGCTATACTTGAAGAAGCGAAAGGGTTTGTAGCACAAATTTTATCGTTGGTGCGAACCAAGCCGTCTGTGTGGTCCCCCATTAACTGCACTGAAGGTGTGAAAATCGGTTGAGTGTGGTATTTTCGTACAACCTGATGCACAGGTGTTTCCCAGCCAGCTGCATTTGCTCACCGGTCAGTATATCACGAAATGTGGCATACATTGCACATGCACAGTTAGTATCGTTTGTGGCAAACAGGTGCTTGCATTTGTAACAGTTGCAGTAAATGAGAACATCCACACACATCAAGCACGCCGTATAATACGCAATGTGACAATAAGATATGGAGGCGTGCGAAGTAGAGGACATCCACTCGAATGGGCACATGCCACATACGGGTGCCTTATTCTCTGCATGCACTTTTTCGAGCTTATCCTCGGAAGACAAGGGTCTGCATGCAGTTGTAGCTATGTTGCAGGCAGACTGGTTAGTAAACTATTAATGTAGTTTTCATTGCTCACATGGTCACTTTTTTTCCCGCCGATAGTCCAGCCTTATTTTGCACAGTTTGAACGCTCTAATGCACAGTGCTAAACTCGCCCCAAGTCGTTGACGTCAACGCAGGCAATATTATATCAGCAGGTACGCAGTACTCCGTAGTACATAGTAATACGAAGTTGATGTGCAATTTCGCCAGTGTGTGTCTGGCTGGCGCAAATGGACACGCCATTGTTTGCTCTCCTGTCATTTGATAACTTGCGCGGTGTCATGGCAAACCAGCATACTCGACGTAATATATCGAATCACCATATGCACCGTATGCATACGATACATCCTGATTTACTAGTCAGTATCCGTAATAATAATAATTGTTTTTTGCCAAACAAGGCTTGCTGAAAGCGTGACAAGCATTCATCTTCGGCCGTTCTTTCGCTAAACGGGAAAAAATGATTGTACAGTACTCCGTATTTCTACGGGATTGCGCACACGCTAGTACGAGTAAGTCTGGCCTAAAAAAAATGGAGCCTTCTAGACATGTCGTGGTGGATCTTCGATCCATCCTTGCTTGGAGCTATCTTACCATAGCTGGCAAAGTAAGTACGGAGTACACGCCCCTCCTCTTTTTTTTTCTCAGACTTCTCATTGTTGTTTCAACTCACGAAGTGCGACCTACCTTTCCCTGTATTAGTGAAGCCTGTTGCTCCCACGCAAGCTCACGCCTTCCATCTTTGTCGCCAGATTATCCAACAGCTCTCCTTCTTTTCGCCTGTCTTACGGTCTCTCTTGAGTTTTCCTGTGTGCCTCTTGGGTCAGCGTGGGATTCAAATAAGCACAGTGCCTAAAAGCACGATTTGTCACTTTTTGGGAAGCCTGCCTATACTGCTCAATATTCGTTGCGCCTGTATTGTCGTCTTGTGCTCTCATCACAAGCCGGCCGTCTTGAACGGCTATGCCCCTTGTATAGGCGACTGGCGCTCATAATTGGTCAGGACAGAGGGAAGAAAAAACGTAGAGCAACAAACCGGAAGCTTGCTCAGCGTGGTTTCTTAAGTGACTGTTCGACTTTCTAGCGATGTCATCTACGCCTGTGACTTTCGCCATACCGCCATGGGCTAGACGGAGAGCCGAGTCTATCGGCTCACTGCAAAGTAATCCGGCAGCGAGCACTCGAAGGCGCCGATCTCGCAGTTCTTCTCGCATACCACAGGGCCAGTCAAGCCAGCAACAGCCATCACATGGCGGGGACTCCAAGCTTTCTTCCTCTATCACGTCAGGGGGACACAGAGAACCGACACGGTCTTTTATCAACCCTGCCCACCGAGACAATTTAGGTAGGAGCCTTTTTATATAGTTGCTCCGAGCACCTCGCCAGCTAATCAAATCGGATCCAGCTCTCGTTAGCACGGCTCAATATGCTAGGTCTGTACGGGAAGAGACAGCTGAGCTGGCGACCTACCAGCTAGCGGACAAAAGCGATACACGCAATCCTTCATTTCTCGATCGAAATCGCTCGCTGTCCTTTCACACAACATTATCGTCTGATGTTGACACCGAAGACACCGAGTTCCGACCAGCAACAATTGCAGGCGGTGCAGTCGGAGGAACGGGACGTATTATCGAAGCAGCCCAACCCGAGCGCGGCTACCAGAATGATGAGAATCATACATGGAGAGATGAGGCGGATTTGTCTGCTGATGAAGGGCCATCTTTACTCACTCGCGCCTTGAAGAGGTCACCTCCTCAACATGTTCGATTGTCTGAAGAGGAGAATATTCTTCGAGACAACGACAACGTGTTTTCTGATGAGGAAGACGGCGATGAAGCGCTAGAAGATATTTCACATCCGACAATAGTGGAAGATTGTCATATCGGTACAGCCGATGACTTCGGAGACAGCTCTTTGTCCGACCGTCTAGCGACTGAAACGACACCTCTTTTAGAAGAACCGAGCGAGTTGGCAAACAGTCGTCCGAGGCTAAGCTATGATCCCGAAAGCCAGAAGAACCACAGGCGGCATGGATTTCTACGCATCTTTGACTGGATGCTGAAACAGCCAAGTGAAACTGACGAATCTGGTGGAAGACGAACAGGAAGAGTCTACCGCGCAATTACGAATTTGAAGTGCTGCGATCGCAAAACTTTTTGGGAAAATGCGGTTGTCGCCCCTGTCGCCTGCTTACCTGCTGTCATTGTGGGCCTGCTGTTGAACATCCTAGATGCTCTTTCTTATGGTACGTTCATGTTTTAAACTGGCCCCAATATCTTGTTCTATCTTGTTTCTTTGTGTATTTACACTGCGTGCCTTTCAACTACTAGGAATGATCCTTTTCCCCTTGGGAAGCCCGGTTTTTGCCCATCTAGGCTCCGCTGGAATCTCTATCTTCTATGTCAGCACCATTGTATCACAGCTTGTCTTTTCCTCTGGAAGTATATTCAAGGGCGGAATTGGATCCGAGTTGGTAGGTTTTGTCCCCATTGGAGTTGATTTAGAGCATACACTCACGGCGCTACAGATTGAAGTAGTTCCCTTTTTTCACAATATGGCTTTGACAATTACCGACATTGTTGGGGAAGACAGGCCTGATGCAGTTATTGCTACAACGATCACATCTTATGCGCTGAGTTCGGTGGTGACGGGTTTAGTCTTCTACTGCATGGGCCGATTCAGGTTTGGCTACATTGTCGGCTTCATTCCCCGGCACATCCTCATTGGCTGTATTGGTGGTGTTGGCTGGTTTCTTGTGGCTACTGGCTTCGAGGTTACAGCACGCATAGAAGGCAGCCTCAATTACGATATCGACACTCTGCACAAGCTGGTCCAGCGAGACACCATTCCACTCTGGGGCACACCACTTGCTCTCTCCATTGTTCTCTTCTGGAGCCAGAAGCGTATTTCGAACAAGTACTTCTTGCCGCTGTTCATCATCGCTATTCCTTTTCTCTTTTACTTCATTGTTGCAGTAGCCGGCTCTTTCAACCAGAGCTGGCTGCGTAGCCATGGTTGGGTATTTGAAGGACCTCCGGCTGGCGAGCCATGGTGGTTTTTTTACACACTTTATAGTAAGGAACTGCTGTACCGCTTTTGTCCCCCGGTGTTTCTTGTTTCAGAAAGCTAACTACAGCTCGTGGCAGAGTTTGATCAGGTGCACTGGGGAGCCATTGCCCGATGTGTTCCTGCAATGTTTGCACTGACATTTTTTGGAATTCTTCACGTCCCTATCAACGTCCCAGCGTTGGCACTCAACATCGGTGAAGATCATGCCGATCTGAACCACGAGCTCAAGCTGCACGGATTTTCCAATATGTTGCCTGGCGCCCTCGGGAGCATACAAAACTACCTTGTCTACGCCAACACGCTGTTTTTCATGCGGTCGGGCGGCGACAGCCGTCTTGCTGGTTTTGAATTAGCAGCCTTTACGTTTTGTGTTATGCTGGTCGGGCCCAAGACTTTTGGATTCATACCGATCATGATGGTCGGATGTTTGATATTTGACCTCGGCTTTGAGCTACTTGTTGAGGCTGTATGGCAGCCTCGTAAAAAACTCAAGCGTGCCGAATACGTGACGGTTCGTTTAACTTGCATTCTCAATCCATGTCGAATCAACATCAGCTGATTTGCAAAGGTCATTGCTATCGTTCTCATCATGGGAACTTACGATTTTGTTGTCGGCATTGGAGTCGGCATTCTCCTGGCCTTTGTGTCGTTGATAATTCAGACCTCCCAGGTGTCTGCCATTCGCGCAGCATACAGTGGCGACATTGTCAACTCGACAGTCCGGAGAAATCCATCTCAGCAAAACTATCTTCGTATAGTTGGCTGTCAGATTTGCATCATCAAACTGGAAGGTTACCTTTTCTTTGGTACCATCGTGGGGGTGGAGGACAAAATACGGGAGCTCATCTCGGACGATTCTTTCCATCGTCAGCCTATCCGCTACCTGATTCTCGATTTGCGCCATGTGACGGGGCTAGATTACTCTGCTGGGGAGGCCTTTAACACGATCAGCCGGCTACTGGATGGAAAGGGCATCCAGCTTGTGGTGAGCGGTGTGGATGCCGAAAGCGAGCTGGGTCATGACCTGCGCGCAGTCGGGCTGGGCGAAGATGACATAGAGGTGGTCTTCTTACCGGAGATCAACACCGCGCTGGAGCTTTGCGAAAACGAGCTGCTAAAGACGTTGTATGCAAGCCAAGAGGCGCATTTGGGCGAGGGCATGAAGGCTGGTACGACCTCCGGGGCCAATGGCGCGATCGCTACCACTGGCTCATCGTCCCGTCGACACCTGCTCATCGACGAGGCTGGTGCTGGCCCCTCACTCGACATGCTGGCAAGCTCGCCACGCCGAAACCACCTGCAGGCTGCAGCACGGGAGCTGCTGGACAATACGGAGGATCGCCGGCGCTCCAGATGGCAGAATTTCAGCGACCCTCTGCGGCTGATGCTGCAGATCTTCCAGGATGTCAGCGACAAGGACGTGGACTTCTGGTTCAGGGCAGGTCGCTACTTTCAGCGGCTTGAGTACGTGGCCGGGGACATGCTATTCTCAGCCGGTGCTGTAGCAGAGGGCTTTTTCCTGTTGGAGAAGGGGATCGTTCGGGCCGAGTACAGTCTCGCACACGGGCAGTGCTACCACGAAAACATTGTGGCAGGGACTACGTGCGGTGAGCTGCCATTCTTTTCAGAGACGGCCAGAACTGCAACTGCGTATGCCGACATGGACTGTACCGTGTGGGTCCTCACCCGTGAGGCGTGGCAGAGGCTCCAAAAGGAGCATCCGGATGTGGCGAGCGAGCTGCTGCGCGTATCTTTGAAGCTCACGGCTGAGCGTATGTCCACCGTGCCGTCATCGACTATGCTGATGGCCGATTAGGGGGCGGGATGAAGCTGTGGATGACGGCAGGCAACAGGGCTAAACAAATTTGGGAGACAAGAGACTGGTGGGTGCGATCTTGTCAGGATGCTTGGCTATCTGGTTACATATTTGGGTCTTTATGACTATTCATTGATACTATACGGTTGGAAGCCATGTGCAGTTGCCGAGACTGGCGGCAAGTAGGAGGAAGATCCGTGACAGACGCCGTGCCCATGTATACTTTGCGAAAGAAGGAAGACAAAACGATCCGAACCTTTTGGAAGAATAAAATGCAGAAAGATATCTTCGCCACGCGTGAAAGGCCTTCATCCAAGCTATGTAGAGAAAGAGGCATGAAATAACAGAACCAAGACAGGTGAGGGCCATTCGCTAATTCGCTCGCCGCAGAGAGCGATATGAGAAAAGAAAACCCCCCGTACAAAGCAAGCCTCTGAGACTGGGAAGTCGGGATACGACGAGGAAACAAGACGGAAAGGAAGAGCAACAGGACATGAGGACCCAATTACCGACGTCTAAAATAACGAAGGAGAAGATGTGATGGAGGTGACGGCTAAATACAGGGCCGCCCGGCAACAAAAACAGCAGAGAAAGAAAACAAGAGCACCTGGCTTGCATCCACGTAAGCGTGCAAGGAAGCCCCACGAGCAGCTATTGTCCACGAGCGCCTTGCTGCTCTTTCGAGCAGTATACTGTTCATTCCTTCTTTCCTTTTTTTCCAGTGGTCCATGACTGTCATGACAGGGTTTGTTTCGTCGAGAGGGGCGAGAAGATTCGGTGGAAACAGACAAGACAGGAGGGCGCAGCAGAAAGGAGGAAAGTGAAAACGCCAGTGCGATGCCTGTAGTGGTGTGTCGTCCCACTCTTTTCAACCACAGGGTTAAATTTGGTGGAAGCTTTTGAGGCTTTTGAGGCTCGAGAGCAACGCACCAGCTCCCAGCTCCCTTAAAAAAACACCGGCTAGCCATGGCCAGCAACACCAACAGAGCCATTGCTTGGGGGACCATTGTTTCCTCGCACCCAGCCAGAGTTCCGCCATTCTCGCTTAGTCGTGCGGTCTGGACCCTGTAGCTGGCCGTCCGGATCCGCAAGCTCGTGCTGCGCCTGGAAGGGCGGAGTGACGCCTTTCGGCTCGTCCTGGCCCTGCCACCTGGTCGGCGAGCTCTGGTTCGGACCGCTGCTGTATGGCGGGAAGTTACTGTTGTTGCCGTTTGGTACGTCCTGCACCGGACGCACACTGGTCTCTTCCTTCCAGACCGAAGGATCCGTCTCGACGCGCCTCGCAAGCGGCCGTGTCGTCGAGTCGTGTCGGTTCATAACCTCGCCCACCTGGCCGTATGGTCGGCCACCTGCACTGTTGCCTGTCCGGTCGCCGAAGCGCTTTAGGATTTCCTTTGTCGTGATCTCGCCGTTGTTGCTGAACAGCATCGGGTCGTTGAGGACGTCGACTAGGTCGTCCGGAACCTGACGCAGTTAGAATGTGAAGGAGCTAGAAAGATATAAAAGAAACACGCCAAACTAACCAAGCACATCTCCTCAATATTGTTGATCAGTACGTAGACGGCCTCGATAGCGAATATCGGGTCGCTGTCAAGAGCGGGCACCTTTGAGCTGAGAAAAAGGATGTTCGGAGTGATGACGGTGGCCAGATTCCGGATATCCATCTTGGAGCCGCTCTCGTCATCCACCTGGTGGAAGGAGCCGGCCCATTTGAGGAAGCAGAACAGGATCTCCAGGCAGTCGCGGTGACACTTGGGCAGCAAGCAGCAGGTCAGGTGGAGACACTGGCGTCGCCGGTCCTCGTCCGAGATCTTGGCCGCGGCCAGCCAGAGGCGATACAGCTTGTGCGTCATCAATGGGTCGGGAAGGTCCCGCAGGTATCGCTTCAAGAGAGCCGCCACCTGCACCACGTTCTGGCCGCCCAAGTTGACGTTGTCACAGCCGTCCCGATCGATCTTCTCGCACAGTTCACTCAGCTTCTTGATGTTGCCGTTCTTGCGGAAGACGCCCTCGACGGACAGGTCCATCTTCCGCATCGTCGACACAATGTCGTCCACGATGGCCGGGATACGCAGGGTACCAGGCCCGACGCCGTCCGTGGAGTCGGCCCCGTCGCGCTCGATGATGATCTCGAGTGGAACGCCAAAGATGCCCTTCTTCTTGACATTCTTCTTGTTGTCGTTCTTGAACGCCTTGCCGAACTTGTTCCAGAATGTCGCCGGTTTCCTAGACTCGATGAAGTCCAACAGTTCTTCCAGCGAGAACTCGCTCTCGATCATCGGCTGCATAGTCATCACCGCCAGATGCCGCACAATGAAATACTCAAGGCCCGACAGCTCAGAGAAATACTTCCGCCCCCCAAGCTTGTGTGGAGAGATCATCGTAGGACCGGCCGCAGTAGGTTTGCCCTGCCGTTCATCGGCGGCATATTGGTCGTTGGAGTATGCCGTCAGCTGACCACCCCTGGCCATGACCGAGTCTCGGTTGTTGAGTCCGCCAGGTCGCTGCTCGCGAGCCTGCTCCGCCGCTACGATGCGAGGTATGTCGTCTAGAGTGAGGTAGTCTTGATGGCCAAGCATTGTGTCCGCAGCAGCCTCGTCCACACGGTCCTCCACAATCTGCATTCCGGGACGGGCGCTGCTTGCCGGTCCGTTTTCTGCGCCGGAAGAGCCAGGCCGCGCAGCCGAGCCCTCTGGCCCGTCCATCACGCGGGATGTCCGTGTTTTTTTGAAACTCGACGACAGGTGTTTGTCTAAACGGGTGCTCCGCAGCCTTCGAACGTCGTTGAGCGTGTTCTCGTAAGCAGACGGCTCTCTCGGCCGATTAGGGTCGCCACTTGTCGAGGTCTGTACGTCTCTTCGCGACTGCACATCAGAGGACGGCGTGGACTCGTCTCTCGCTGCTGCAGCCGCCGCATCCGAAGACTGCAAGAGCGCCCCGCTTGAATACAGAATGTCCAGCAGTCTGGCCAAAGCCACCCGTAGAAGAAAAACATACTGCTGCAGCTTGGTGACCCGATCTAAGGGTATGGCTTTCTCTGAATCGGATGGCTCGCAACTGTTGCAATGTATGGAGCCGTCATATCTAGCCCGGGCATCTCCCAGCTTGGCGCCCAATGGAGTCGCGCACTGAACACAAGCCACACAGGCAAGATGCCAGCGGCTATCGCCGTTCCTAGCGCATTCATCCTCAATGGACTTTTGGCAGGTCGCGCAGTGGTCTGAGTTGTTCGCCGCGAGAGGCCCCATTTTGGCAGTCATCTGCTGTATCCCCTCCTCTGGTTCATTCTTCATAGCCTCCAGGGCGCTGACATCGTCGAGAAACCCAAGAAGGCTTTCTGACGTGTTCCGTTCCTTTTCAATGCGAAGAGCCCCTTGGAGGCAGATGCGGATCAAGAGTTTGAGATAGTGGGCCAGGCTGGTAACCAGAGATAGCAGCTCCTGCGTCACGCCAACCTTCGTAGTCGTAGCATCTTGCGACTTGGAAAGTAGCGAGAAGAAGGCCACAATCTTCTTACAGAGCAACTTTGCTTCACGCCCGTAAGACAAACCTAAGCATGATAGTCAGCAAGACATGTACCCATAGGGGACCGAAAATCTCAGGGCTGCACGTACTTTTTAAATCAAACTTCGTTATAGCCGTTTCGAGGTTGTCGGCAGAGCGGAACAGAATTTCGACGTGTCCGATAAACCGCCTGGCCACCAACACGCCGTCCACGTAGGCACCGTTGCTGACGTGCAGCAACATGTCGGATATACAGGCAGCGGACGATTCTTCAAAAGTAGACAGAACGCTCCATATACGATACACCTTATCTTCCATCCTTTCCTCTTCTTCACGCACAAGAGTGCGTTTAGCTGTCTCGTCGACTTCTGCTACGGGAGGCTGTCCATCTTCGTCGTGAGGCGCAGTTAGCCGGACATTCCAGAATTTGTGTATCATATAGCATTCTGGATGCCAGTGTTGGTTCTGGCCGTTTCGAAAGATCTCGACAAATTGCTTCAAGATAGCAGTGTGGCACCCATTACACCGCTGAGCAAACTGCGTCGAGTAGTGGTAATGACAGTAAACTTGACCGTCGTGCTCGTAGTAGCTGTCTTGCGCCCCGAAGACTGTCGAGCAGAGCGAGCATGTGAAGTGGTCAACATGATATTTCCGGTCCAGGGCGGTGATGTAGGACCCTCTGAGTGCCCCGCCGCAGTGATAGCAGAGCAAGCCAAGTCGTCGGAAGTAGTCTGTTTCGCAGAGTGGATACTGAGGGCCATCATTTGTGTCGCTCGCCGGGAAGAATTTTGACGCTACAATTTGGCCGCAGTCCTGTGATTGATATATGAGTAGCTGGTAACACCACCTCCGACCTAACCACCACAGGAGCCTCGCAGATAGTGACTCACCTGACACCGAAAGCAGTCCAAGTGAAATGTTCCATCTAGGGCACGAACAAACTGCCCCGTAAGCGGCTCGCCGCATTTGTTACAGGTCCGTGGCAGCCCGCTTGCCGTCCTTGAGCTGCCCTGTTGGGAATGTTTTCGATCACTACTTGGTCTTGGCTCCAATTCTCGGTCTCGTCCCCGGTCCATGTTCCGACCTCGATCGCCTTGAGAAGGAGACACCGGCGGACGACCGGGTACAGGCCCGTAGCCTCCGCTATTTTGCCACGACTGGCCTTGGCTCACGTTGCTATGCTGCCTCTCCATAGGATATTCTCCTGCATTATTCGGTGGTAATTGGGGATGGCCATATGTGCGGTCGCTGGCTGGACCGCCCTCGTATTCTGGGTCCATCTCAGGGACTGGGCGAGAACAACGCTTGTTAAGCAATGTGCGCAGTTACTGAAGTAGGCCACCGCCGGGATGACTCAGTGGAACAATAGTAAGCGAGCTGTTTGGTGTCTCTTGGTCGACTACTCCCGTTCCGTCTGAAGGTGCGGCAAAGATCGGAAACTGAACTGATGCGATACCACGGCCAATTCGATCATAGCAACCACCAGATTTTGGTCGGGCCGGAGATATAAAAGCTGCGCGCAGGGGGAGAGGTTCGATGAAGAGTGCCAGACGCGTATGTGACGTCTATTGATGTCGAGGTCGAACTTGAGTCGCGGGTACAGGTCCAGAGGAGAGCGGAGAGAAGCAGAGGGTCAGGTACGACAAGCCGACCCGACCTACAATAAGAGGTTTTCCAGTCTCACAGCTGCCGCCCTCCTCGACGCAGGGAGCCAGGCCCAAATGTCGAGGCTGAGTTGACTTTCTCGATGCTGCAACGGCAAACGTGAAGCCAAGCCGGTCGCATGCACAATTGTGGTTGGCAAAACAATAGTAGCCAGCTGCACCGACGGGTCTCTTTCGTGCAGGAGCGGCACTCCGGTAGTTGAGTTTTCGTTTTAAAAACTGGCTCGCTAGGTAAACAAGCACCAAAGCAACGGGGATGAGATGTTGGGACGATGACCAACGCGCAGTAAGTAAAGTCGAGGGGCGGAGTGCCCTTCACAGCTTTGGGAGAAATGGGGGGAGATGAGAAAAAGGGAAGCGACACATATCGGGGCTAATCCAAAAGACGCCTAGTGCCCCGTTACCTGGCCCGTGCGCGGACCTTGGACGCTCCTGCCTTTCCCCTTCTTTTTCTGTTGCTCCATGGTTGTTGCTGAGCAGCCAGTATGCCCTCATATTACCTTGTTAATATTAATAAAAAGGATTAAGAACCCGGAAGCTTTACAATAAAATAGAATAATTACAATAACCACACAATGTGACATTTGACCTACGACATAAGCATTCCTTTCTCCCCCCATCTCTTCCCCTCACCCCTGTCTAGAGGATCCTCCTTTATGCCGCCCCTCTTCTGTTATTTAAGTCCTCAAGCAACTGCAAAGATTCACCGTTTTTGATACTCCGTACTCCGTACTCCGTACCGGTCCTTGTTTTTCCCCTCCCCCCACTGTCCCCGTTTCCTGTCTCCCTGACGAATTGCAAATGGATGTACGGAGTGGTGCCAGGTCCGAGGCTGACAGGCGCAACAAAAGGCTTTCTTTTTTAGCGCCTAGAAGACTGCGCAACTGTCACTTTCTTCTTCCTTTCCCGAGTCCACCGCGTTCTCTCTCACTGGCCATCCACAATGGGCTTGGGTAGTTGATGCACCATCTTCTTGAGGCGCTTTTCGATTGCAGCACGACCTTCGAGTGTGTTCCACACTTGATGTGGTGCCTTGTCTATAACGTCCCATGCCAAAAGATTGTGTGTGAGATGGGTAAGGTCGCGTTGCTTGCTCTCCCAAACGTCATCCCGACGGATTTGCTCCCCTGACGAGATCACTGCCAGCAGCGTGTCCTGGTATTGAATGACACGACTAGTCGCAACATCGCGCCTGGTTAGCGAGCTTGCCACAAGACTTTCTTGCAGCTTAGCATATATGGCCTTGCTGCTCTGGTATGCCGCCCGGCCCCAAACCCGGTCTTCTTTGTTGCGTCCCTTGAAAAGGGCGCCGGGAATGCGATCCAAACCGAGAGGTGAGAGAATCCCTCGAAGCCAGAGGAAAAAGCCCTGGCTAGATGCGCCGAGCCGATCGAGGAGGTCTTCATGCAGTGGGTCGATGAGCAGCATCCCTTCGATTTCGGCACCGTGGCGCGAAGAAAACACACGCGAGTAGATGGATCCCACGCCGGCACTTACCAGCACCCAAGGACCCACCTCTCCGGCATTTGCGAGGGCTTCGCTCAGGGCTTCCGTTGCCATTCCGGCAGAAAATGGTGAGGGTGCCGCATCACTCTTCCTCAAATTAGCTTTTCGTCCTGTACCGATTGGCTAGGAGGAAGGGGGGGGAAGGTGGCTTACCCAGGCAAGTCCCGGCCGATCAGAAAAGCAATACCGGTTTATCGATCCGTTTTTCACCGCGTTTTCAGCGAACTGCCACAAGCCGTTTTCGACCGGATCATCACCACCTTCAAACAGAACCGTAGGCAGTTGCTCCTTGGATTTGCTGCCGTGACAATATACATGAATTTCGTATTTTTCACCATCCACAAAAAACCGTTTGCCGGGAGGAGCCAATCCGGAGTCGAGTGCACGCAAAATCACTGTGCAAGTCAGGAGGATAGAGGCGACGAGAAGAGCAAATAGAGTGATGCTTGAGATGGACACCTGGATCCACTCGAGAAACGTTCTCCTCGATTCTGGCCGTCCTGTCAGCCGTTCTTCTTCCTCTCTCTTACCCCATTGTACAGTGCGATCTGCAATGATCGTCCATATGGTGATCAGAAGCGCCCCTATTATATCAAGGTCAGTTAGCGTACCTCCTTTTTTAATCATGTTAGGACGATACACATACAGATCACGCTCGATATTCCGACCCAACCTTCCTCAATCCGTGTCCGAGTAACTGCTGTTATAAGGACTGTGTTGATGAGAAGGAGGAAGGCTATACCTGCAGTAATAACTCGCACCAGTTTCGAAGGAGCTGCAAAAAAAAGCAAGCTCACGACGAGATTCGTCAATGAGATTATAGTATACCCGAAGGAGTAAAACGGAGACCCGCGTGTTTGAAACCCTGGAGGAGTAACGAAGTGCGAAATAAGTACCAGTATCCACCAAATTCCAGTAACTAGTAACAAGAAAATGGTGAGATAGCGAGTGGCTCGAACAGAGAAAAGGTTGTATGGTGATACAGCTGGGTCGTCGGGGCTGAGGTAGCCGTGGTTTGGTCCGTTGCTAACACCGTGACCGTCAATACGGTTAGGCAGTAGGCGTGTAGTTTCGTCTGGTGTCTGCTCTATGCTAACACGAGACGCTGAGACGGGTGTAGCATTGCGGTCATCATCATGGTCGCTCCTGGCGGAGGATCCAAAAAAATTGTTCATTATGGCCGTCGTAGAGAGGCAAATTGTTGTTATCTTGAGTTATCGAGCAGGCCTGTAATTGTTACCGAATATGTGAAAAGGAAGGATATTTGAGATACAAGTAGTTACCAAGAGATAAACCAAGGGCATCGTATTATCAGCAAGAGTTATCTCAGTAAAAAGGACCATGACGTATTGCCGCCGGTCGCGACCAGTCGATGTCCCAAACGGCGTCGTCGATTGGCTACTAAAGATGGGGCTGATGCAGCAAGTTTTGCGGCTTGCGACTGCGTATCTTTCTGCCCTTGCCGGAAACAAAGACACTACGGAGTACATAGTGCAGTACGGAATAGTTGTAAGATACAAAATATCGCATTTCGAACTCCATCCACGTGATGATTTATCTGTTAATATGCTATGCTAATTGTGAGATAATATCGTTACGTACTCCATCCTGGTTTGGCAGTGAAGCTCACACATACAGAGCACTGTATATGTTGGAAATCTTCAACAGCGGCATACCAGACCAACAGTATGAATGTCGCTTTTAGTACAAAAAAAAGCTGCTCCTATTGTGTTGTTCAATCAGGCTCCCCGAGCCTCCGTAGCCTTTTATTTCTTTGAATGAGCCTGCATCCCTGTATCCTGTGTTATAAATCGTGTCCCTGGGTATCAACCTTATGCGGGCCACTGGCAAATTGTTTCGTGCTATATTCAATCCGTCTTGTAGCCACCTTGGTCATTTTCACGTCTGTCGAGCTGCGAGCAAGGTCATCCAGACGCAAAGAGTGAGTCCTCGTCTCGAAGATATTCACCACAATCCGCCTGGCGAAAACAGACAATCGCTGTGGGGTCCAGTCGCCGCGCCTCAGAAGTGCTGCGTGCTGTGACGCCAAACCCAATCGGAATGTCGTCCATAGTGCAAACCACTATACCCTGGTGCTCTGGGCAGTCTTCCGAGTAACGGCCGACATGAGCCTTGAGAATGTTTCCCCCATACAGAAATGGCATGACGCCATTGGGTCGGACCCAAATCTTGTATCGTGCATGGGCAGCCAAAACTGGCAATGCGGTGATATGGAGCCGGAACTTGCCCGACTTGGTGAATTTGCCTGCAAACAAGAAAGTCAGCGACACGTGCCACGACCCAGACGGGTAGTCACAGCCAGTAAACTAGATTCAAGTACCTAAGCAGGTCCCTAGGGACAGTAGCTTGTCTCTCGCTACAGACGTCGCCAAGTTGGCTAACGACAGCAAAACATAATACACACGACCTTGAGATAGCCGAAACACATGCCGGTCGGCGTCGGGAGAGTCGTCTAACGGAGCAATCAAATTCTTGAGCGAAGCACCTGTGTAGTCGGCAAGCTTCTTAAAGACGGTTTGCGTCTCTGCTTCTGTAAGTGGCCGCATTATTGCAGGTTTGAGTGTGATTATCTTAGTTGTAAGAACGCAAGAAACAAGAAAATTTCCAGCATTAGATTTTCTTTATCTTATGTTTTGTCTTATCAGCCTAGCTTGTACGGAGTACCTGTAGTTTGACGGATAAGTACACGTGATTGTCTAGGAGCTAGTCAAAATATGGAAGTACTCCGTATAACAGACAGCCAAAATTATTTCAGGCACTTCTTGGCCTGCTTGTGTATTACGGAGTATCTGCACCGTAATCCACTAATAAGAGAAATGGTACTCCGTACATAGTAAGATACGTTAAAAAAGTGCACTAGTCTACATACAGCTTACGCTGTATTTTCTGCCAGGCCCAAGCTGTCGAAGGTACGTTTAAGAAGCATCTTTATATTACAGTTACTCCTACTAAAGCCGGGATGGAACAATATCTTAAGCATTGAAATGCTAGTATAGTGCTCTAGATTATATGAGATTAAGTGTAGTATTTTGGCAGTAAGTTCAGTGCTATACTTCGTAATAATAGCTACGGAGTACGGAGTATAGCTGTTAAGAATAGGCTACAAGCTAAAGGTGCGGGCTAATTGGCTAATCTGTAAATTATTATATGGGCCTCTTGCAGTAATCCGTACTCCGTACGGTACGGATAGCCAAAATTTTACGGTACAAATATAAATTTTCAAAATTATGGTGCATTTAGCACTTTTCTTCAGATAAGCAAGTTGAAGCCTTATTATGCAGCTAAACTCTTTCCCTTTCTTTTTCTCTGATGCATGTATAAATATGTACGGAACATCGAAATTACCATATTACCTTCTTTTCCGCTGCCATTTGTTTACGTTTTCTGTACTTCGTACGGAGTGTTGCCACTAATATCTTTACACTAATCGCGGGTATTACCGTAAGGATATCTGCGGTAAGCGCGTTTTTACTTCAAATCTTTGTGAAAAAGAACAAAGTTACGGCGTACTGCAAATCATGTCGTATAGATAGTGATTTTGTTTAACAGGCACCCGAAAGCAGGGCGTTCAACGCTATATAGTAGGCTGGTGATACAGCAAAGCGAAATTAGATGCCATAATACTTCATACATGTAAACGACAACTATATCATAGTCATCCATAAGGGACGAACCAGCATTAAAGTATACCAGCCTCAAGCCCACTTGCCCAACAAAGCCATGATGCCTGTACCTAAAAATAGGCAAACGAGCATAAATGTAACGCGAGCGCTATCGCGTGTCCGTTCAGGGTTGAAAAGAAAATCACGAGCAAGTAGCTCCACGAGACCGGTGTAGATAAGAATGCCAGCCGAGATACTGTCTAGGACACCTGATATAACGTTTGCTGTAAATGAGCCACTGTTATACGTGTTCCGTACTCCCAGTCCAATCGCAATAGCTATAGGAGTAGTCAGGCCATATGCTATACAGAGAAGCCATGGCATAATTGCCACAAATTTGCTTGAATTTGGTGGGAACGGGATAGCACTGAGACGGGCACCGATGCCTAGGCCCTCAAATGCTTGGTGGAAGACGATAACTGGGTAGAGTGTATCAAATTCGTCACCCACAACACCCAAATTGAGACCAATAATGACAGAATGGAATATAACACCGAATTCGAGAACTAAGAATGCAGCCATTTGCTCACGGAAAGCAATGTCATCTTGTGCAACAGCAGCTCCGAAATTTTCGACGTCAACTTTCGCATCAACGCCATGCTCGTTGCTGTAGCCAGATTTTGCTGGTGTGTTGTCTTGGTCGGATGAATGGAGGTGCTGGTGGGACTGTGAAATTCGGGGTTCAGGTGCGCTAGCGGTGGTGATAGTGCTTTCGACGATATCCTCGTTGCCATGTTTGAGCCTGAATCGCTTTTCAACAAACCACTCAGCGAGGAAGTCCAGTAAGAATGTGAGCATGACAGAGACCATAGCTAAGCAGGGCGGCCATGAGTATACGGCCCAACCACCAGTCATTCCGACGCACGAGGCGGGCCCAATTTCAGTGTATGCGGGATCCAGAAGATGGATGAAGGCAGTGGCAATGATTACACCAGCTCCAAAGTATCGGGCAAATAGGTAAATATAGAGTGGGACACGGAACCAGCGAACACGTGTAGCTGCGACAGGGAAAGTTGTGGTACATGATGAGACGACAAGGATGACAAAAAGTGCCGAAATCCTGGCTCCGAGACGGCCATCATAGTCATTTTCTCCGGACTTGAGAAAACATACAATTTCCATCGGGTCAGCCGTGTTGAGGTCGACATTAGACGGGTTGAAGAGAGTCGAGTTATCGGCCATTGTGTGCAATCTAAAGCATGCGGTTGCCTTCTCGGCAATCGATTCTTCAGTATAAAATTGTAATTTTAGTCAATCCTATACCAGGCTGTTGTCAGAAACTGCACTAAAAATGCGCCTTGAGTCGGATGCAATCCATCTAGACGAAGAGATACTAGGCTTTCGCAAACAGCTGCCGTGAAAAATAGGACATCCCGAAAATACACGCTGAGGGAACCGGATGTGACAAAAGAGCAAAAAGATTGAAGGGGAGCCTCTCACAAGTTTAATAAAATAGAACTGTCGATACGTACAATTTGGTACGGTACGCACGAGGCTTCGATGAAAAATGACAAAAGTTGATAGAGAGGGTACGAGCAGAGTAGGTGTATCTCTGGCACGATGTGTATGATGCATGCAAAGATGTATAGAATATATCAACCGTACCCAAACTATAGATACCCAACCTATATATACATATATAAAAATACGAAGAAAGATACGAACGAAAACGAAAGTCATTCTCTTTCAGACTAAGCGCTGAACCTTGTTGGCCTCGAGCCATGGTCTATAGCGCAGACCTAGCTTGTTTTCCCAGATTGAGCATTGGCATTGAGCATGAGTGGTCCAGCTTACTTTTCAGCAAATTGTTGCCTCTTCAATATTTTGCATACGGTAAGAAATTACCATGTATAGCCTATAATGCAATATAGTTATACTTAGACTTGGGGCCAGTGGAGGGTACACATATTCACCACTTCTTGTTGCTCCCAACCGCTTTTCCAAAGTACTCCGTAGCTTTTCCCATATCGCAATATTTGCCCCGCTTTCCTGCAAGAAGGATGAGAACCTTGATGGGTATCGTACTGATCGTACTCCGTACTGTGGCCTCAACTTTGCAACGTATCTTACCATTAGAAACCAGCGCAGTAATTGGTACCTCTGCGCCCTCTTCGACCTCTTCGAGTAAGATCTGTACGGAACACCCTTCAGAGTCTACTGATTGTTTTAGTAGGTCAAATGGCACTGGATGGCTTACTGTGTTGTAATCCTGCGTTGTGCTCTGTACTTAAGGCGCTGTCTTATTACTAGGGAATGTTTTACGGATGTTAGGTGACTGCTACCCGAATCCGAACCTCCAGTTGATACAAACAATGTTGGGAGAGGCAAAGTTACTAAACGACAAATCTTCTCGAGGCAAACAGTAATCATAATTGGAAGCTGACTTGACCTTTTTTTTTGAGAGTAAAAAAGAAGCGTTCTTCAAGGCACTAACGCTTCGAGGCATAGTCCCCAGGTATAGAGTATTGTTTTCAAGATCTCCGGCATTGAAACCGATCTCTCTTCTCACAGCACCTCAATTTTCAAGATTCTTCGCCCATTTAAATACGCCGCAGCAAGACATGTAGATACAGCCGCTTGAGCCAGTCAGAAAGGACTAGCCAAACTTGAAGAGACACTTGAAAAGAACATGAAGGAAAGTCTGTTAAAAATAAGATATTTCCCTATTTTAAGTATCTCCGTCCGCAAAACTCAGCGGCTTCGGTGCATATTACCATGTAAGATATTGTTCATCACCACTACTTACCACCGCTTTGGAAAACCTCTTTGGTTAGTTCACGGAGGGTTCCTTCGAGATAAATCAATCTGACCAAGGTTAGACTTAATTTGATGGCGTGAATCTACGAATTTCTGACCAACGAGGCCCACCCTTGACGAATACCAGTTACCATATCTTTTCATCGGTTTCGCCTCTTGAACAGTAAGATCCGACTGATGCAGGCATTAAACCTAAAAGAGGACGGCATGGCCCCGAACAGCTCGGCCATACCTATCACGCTAAATAAAGAGGGGTACACTACGGAGTATAGGTAGGACGTATCTTACGGAGTACTTTGTAGAAACTATAATTCTGTCAAAAGCTCACTCCACTGAGATTGCGACTTCATAGACTGTTTTACTCCGTAATATCTTCTCATAAGCTACATACGTAGTACGAAGTACATAGTAGAACTGCGGATTCTGTACCTTACAATTGAACATGACCTCGTCGATCTCACCGCCGCTCAATTCTACTCTTCCCACTAGCGCGCCGCGGAAGGGCGAAACCCTCCCCCGGTCGTGGTTATTGGGTAGCTTTTTAAGATGCTCGGCCACATATTCTAAAGCCTTCCTAGTCGTTGTAAGTACGTGGTGCTTTTCTTCGTTCTCTCGCTCGGATCAAAAACAAAAGGATTACCTTACAAGGCCACAGGAAGTTGCACTTTTGCCAAAGAAAATGTCGTGGCAGATGTGCTCATCAGCCGTAATGTTATAGGCATTTGACCGAACCATAGATAAATGAAATGTGCCTGCTCCTATGCTGGCCATCCTTTCCGCTCAATCCATATAATTTGCGCTACAGCTTGAACTGGGCCATCAAGGTTCTCATATGTCGAAAGTACCAGCGAAGCGGTGCTGGCTAGCAAGCAATATAAATTAAAGTGAGGAAGAAACGTGCAAAATCTGCAAACCTATCTAGCTTTGCCATTTTTGCGTCGTCTTTTCTTGGTGTGACTGCAGAAGTCCCCCTCTCAACGCCTATCTTCTTTTCTCTGTGTTGTTTTCTTTATCAGTTGATCGTTGGAGTCAAGCACCCAGCTTTCAATTAATTTGACTAAAGTTCTGTTATTTCGAAACATTCTGGTGTCTTTTTCACTGTTTCTGCTCTGGAATTATGTTGGTATATCCAATCACTTCCATAGGGCTTCTCCATAATCGTCGTCCATTATTAGCGTCACCCAGTCCTTTATCGCCTTTCGACCGATGCGTTACTGAATCTACAATTCTGGCTGTTTTTATTTCACACACTTCGCTCAATCCTTTCCCATATTCCCAATTCATACAATTATCGTACCAAGCTGTGCCCCCCACACAATTGGTTTTTTGCCTCGGTCTTCCTTTTTCTATCCCTCAGACGTCCCTGCAGGTTTCCCGCCGCATTTCATGTCCTAATTACGCTTCTAGTGAAGGATAGTGAAAGGAACAGGGAGTAGAGTATACCAGCTAGAAGTTATTTAGGCATCAAAAGCAGTTTTCCTGCTAAAAGCGGCAATCAATTATAGTCACTCCTTTATTTCTATCAGATCAGGTGCCACGTCTGAGGAAGTGTCGATATCACTATTGCCCTTGCAAGTATTTCTCCTAGCATATACTGTCTCTCACACGGCGAATCTCAAACATGACTTTACGTTATGGGTTCTCTTTTTCGTTGTGCTATCCCGTGCTGTTTCCCAAGCTGCCCTCCCACGCTCTCACCCTCTCACTTCACTAGGAGTTTTGGTTACATCTAAGTAATACCAGCTTTGGATTAGCCAAAGATGCAACGTTTCTTCAGGCAACCGCGCTTGGCGCTCACAACGCCGACACTGTCGGCCAACAAAGCAAGTATGCAGCTGCCGTGAGTGCGGAATCATAAACAATCTGCCGCCAGTGCCGCAACATGGTCATGTTTATCAACCAATGATATCATTGAGGTCCGGTTATAGCAACCCTACCTTCACATGCTGTGATGTAGTTCATGCAGTGCACGTCCATATTCCTTCGGTAAGTGCCCTATCCTTCTTATTTCACTCATGATGTAATTGTTCTCAAATCAATAGTGGTAAAAAAATCTTTGAGCTTTCGAAACTTTGCCTTCGTGGGATTACAATCTGGTCGACTGATGATTTACGTGGCCTGACTATCTAATCCATAGGCTTCACGTCACAGGTTGCTTTCGAAATCATAGAACCAAATATACCCCCCTTCCTTTATTTCAATGACCGCTTGACGAACATGAAGGCTCCTCGTACCAACAGGTCAGTAGCTCAAATAATATTGCACCCACTAACGCTAACAGTCACACGCCGATGCCCAACTTGTCGCCGAGAACAAAGCCCCACGCTCGCTTCCGTGTCTTACTTATCACGTCTTATGTCGTATGACCGGCTTTTGCTCCCATGTACGTAGTAAAGGTGTGGTACCACCTCTGACTGTCTACGGGTACTCTCCCAGAGCCCCATAGTGTATATAATACCGACTCCGCAGCTCGTATGGAGTAGTTTTGAGGTATTTCATATCTTTTCCTTCACCATTATAATCTCCAGACAATTAATTCTTAGCCAAAGCACCCTGACGACTACAGAAGCTTGCAGTTTCGCTCCTCTTCAACTATATTTTTTGAAATGTCTCCTTGGTAAGTGGCTTTACGAATCATTATCTGAGGTATTATAATACTAACTCTCCAGCTCCTGCTCTTCGTGCGCCTCTAGCTGCTCCGGCTCTTGCGAAGCCTGTTCTTGCAGCTCCTGCTCGGTGAGTTTAGCAATTTATTCATGAGTGCCCTCAGAGATTCACAACACTCACGAACGTTCTTGACAACAGCACTAAGAATATACTGTCTATTTGGGAAGCTTTCTCTACATCTGTATCGTCCTGTCCTTTCTTGTCGCAGGGCTTCTTATTGATAGTTCAGGCGTTCCTGCAGCGCAGAATGGGGAGTAGCTTACAAGGAATTGGCATAAGTTGAGGTTTTTGTGTACTGGTAGTCACATACTTCTTTTTTTGAAGAAATATTGGGAGCTGTCACCCGGCTCTGGCACTAGGCCGGAAGTGTTCACAATCTGAAGGATGGTCAATATTTCAGAAAACCGGACCATCAAATCATGACACTTGTCTTTCCTATTGTTTTCCTCTAAGTACAAGGTGCCGTTTGGTTGGCACATCTCCGCACCATTGCTGTACTATTGTAAACTCTGTTCAGGTTAACTACCCGTCCAAACATATGTATTATAAGGTCTACAAACTTTAAGTGAGACACTAACGGTTCATACTGAGTGCTGCACACGAAGCGTCTGGATCGTATTCATTTTACTACAGAGGATACCGTTATTGTGAGATCTTATAGCGGCAGGATGCTCAAGCCTACATTTTTAGATGGAAGCAGATAAATGGGTTACTGCGGATTATCACACGTTATTCTTATGAGTTATTTTCGAGCATGAATCACAACTTTGTCATTGAAAAACCTGACTCAATACGATATCAATATCTTATGTGATGTCTTCAAGGAGGCAAACACAGAACTCGGCACTCGCCCAACTATTTTCCATCAGGCTTTGGAGGAGGGACAGGACCAGCTGGCCTGGGATGGTCGTAGCCGTCCTTGCGTGACATTTTGATTGTAAAATTGTATTGGAACGTGTTTGTTGAACTCTGCTCAAAACCGGCGGGGTTGTAATTACGGACAGCGTAAGAAACACTACACTATATACTGCTACGAGCTATGGAAACCCTCTGGGCCTTTATATACATTTCTATGTGGGGATAAATGCATGACACTGGGAGTGGCAAATGCATTCACTGGCTTGAACTAGCAATCTGAGAGGCTACATCAGTAAGTCATATATTTGTCTTGCTGTACTCTGTAAACGTCCTGTGCCTGTCAGAGAAAAACGTTAAGGTAGCTGTTTGGAACTCACAATTTAGCAAATGTATCATTTTCATAACATGCGGGAGCAGGTGCATGCGTAAGTCAATCAAACTCTCGTCCGAGTGACGTAGCAATTACTGACATGATTGGAAGTTCTTTTTCCTTGATAACATGCAAATGTATGTAATCAGGAACTGATCGCCCATTTCAACTAAGTCATAAGAGTTGTATTGGGACAAATTTGATATGTAGCAATATCAACTCGGTATCCACCTATTTAAATGTCTGTGTCTATACCAACTGTCTATTTTCCCAGCTTCTCTTCTTTGTGAATCTCAATGCTTGGCGGTGCGCCCACCAGCGCCTTGCATTGTGCATAAATGACAAACTGTCCCGCCACCAGGCCGCACGTCATAAAGACACGCGGCCCTAGCCCAGTGAGCAATAGGCGCTTGGGTCCAAATTCACCGGCAAGAGTGAACATGCGGCTGAGAACACCTTGTTTGGGATCGCCAGCACCCTTGTTCATGGCGGAAAGGAGAGTATCAGCTGGATGTGACAGTACCGCTGCAGCCACACCGGCAATGACACCAGACGTCAACTCGACACCAGTGGACTGCAAATGAGTTAACCGGGCCTTGCGCTCCGCTCCCATTGCACGATAGATGCCCTCATTGGCGGCTTCGTGCACAGAGAACTGGCCGATGGCGTACGGAACCTGCTTGAACAGTAGCGGAACGAAGCCGGAATAGAAGCCACGTAGACCCTCTTCGCGAGCGAGGCGAATGAAGCCTGAGGCAAGGCCGGTGGCAAAGCCACGTTGCGACACGAGGCGAATGCGTGTTGCTTCGAGGGGACACAGAGCAATATCGGCGAAGAATTCTGCACTGGCACTGGAGCCCAGGTAGATGGCCGTGCGGTGGTTGGTAGCATGGTCAAGCCCACCGGCGAGATCGATGTAACGCTTCTTGAAATACTCATATCCGAAGAACTTTCCTCCACCCTGGATCAGGTAGCCAACAGCAGTGGGACCAAATCCCGTCAGCAGAGCAGCTGCACCCTCGCCAGCTGCAATGCGGCGGGCGGCCTGGACCATGTTGAGACCCTTCATGGCATCGTCAACTTGTATGCGGGTCTTGACGACATCGATAGGTGTTGCCGCCTATGTATATTGAGTTAGGAAGCGAGCAGAGTGGGTCAAGCAAGGGCAGGGGTTTCGGCCATTTCATACACCATGTGTCAGCGTCGCGGCGAGGGCACCCGCTCCAAAGAACTTGACATAGTCGCTCGTCGTGAAATCAGGTGTTTTGTTTGAAAGAGCCGCCATGGTCCAGCCAATTGTCGCCAATGGCTTCGTATGGGAGAGAAACTGCTCTTAAAGCGCGCGCTTGGGCTTTGTTGCGAAGGTTGCAACGATTATCGCTGTAAACAGTATCAGAGTAAAGCAACGCTGAGTCAGCTTGAAATGCATACAATGACGGGAATGAGCGAATTGACAAGCTTGACTAGAAAGGTGGTAAGCTCACGAGGGAAAAGGGCTCGCCAGCAGATCTTGGGTAGAAAAATCGAGAAACAAAAAAAAGTGATCAAGGAAGAGAAGATAAAGAATGAAAGTTCAGGGCGGCGTATATACGTATGCCGTCATCGACTTTTCGGGAGGTCCGCTATTCGGCCTAGCTTGTCGCGGTCGGCAACGTCGGGAACGCCAACCAAAAAATGTAAGATATGAGTAACTCCTCGCCTGACGCCCAACTGTCTACCACCCACCAAACAATGGTAATAACATTCAAAACGTCTAGCAAATCTGGATATGTTATACACAAGATATATACTGATTATATTAACTACCGAGAATGGACGCATCTTAGACACGAGAGAGCCTTTGGACAAGGAAGCCATTGAACCAATTGCAAACCCAACCCTTGAACATATATCTGTTAATGATACGTTACCATCTATTTCACGAACACAGACAGAAAGAGTGTCGGAAGTGCCACTCAGTACTCCGTATCAGAGCGCGATTACGGTGCAGTTTATCTACGGAGTAGCTGTGGCGACTTGCGCGCCTCCCATTCGGCAACTGCTTCACACTTTTTTCCCTCCCTTTTTCTTCTTTCCCATATTGTCTCAGCCCTCTTGTGGGGAGAATACTTAAGTAATAGATAAGATAAGCCATTTCATTTACGGAGTGGTTGCTATCTCATATCTTGCTGTTTACTCTGTACGGTTGGTACATATGTAAGATATGTATTCGTGGCTACAGGTCAGCAGTATGTGCTCCTTAGCGCTACGTTATTGCACAGGCATACTCCGTAATCAAGAGGAATCCCCCTCTACTCAGCCTTACGGCAGCGTTACCTATGTTTTGTCCGTATATCTGCAAAGCACTAGTAATGTAAGCGTGACACTGATTCTGGGGATACTCCAAAGAACATTCGGGCAATGCCACTAGATTTTCAGATTCTTTATTTGTCTTCTAAGCAACAGCACAACATGAAACCATGCAGTCATATACTACTTTCTGCTGGATCAAGTAAATCAGCTTGGTTGCAGTAGTCCTGGAAAAGTTTATATCTGGACTCCGTACGGAGTACACCTCGTAGCTTATCCGGCTGCCTCGTCCTTTTGGCTGATTGAAATATGTAGCTAGACTGATGCCACGAGAGCTGTCAAAGACCCTAATGCATTTGTTATTCTGGACGCCAACTTAAGATTGTACAGCTAGCATTGACTGGCTTGTTCTCGGGGTTATGCGGACGGCAAATGAGAGCAGAAAACCATACCGGATTGCTTGCCAAACCCGGTTCCTTGCTGCGATTTGCATTGGCTGTATTATGGGGTGTGCTTCGTGCAATTATGTATCTTACTCCGTACTCCGTTAGTATCTTACGGAGTGCTGTGAATGTAATATTACCTTGTAAGATACGAATGAGAATATGGCATTGATTTCATGGACCCACTGGCTATTAATCCGTTTCCAACTCCGTGCTCGTATCCCACTTGAACCCTATTCTGTTTTTGGGAAGGTTTCTGTACGGAGTAGGCCCCCAGCTATAATTTAGTGGATTTACGTCGTAGTGGCTATTGCTCCCCATGATTAAGGGCTCTGGCTGTCGCAATGCCTGCTACCTGATCTTTGCGACTTACTCCGTACGGAGTACGTCGTACTATCACACGTAAGATACGTCCCCTAAATTCGATTCAAAAATAGTGGTAAGATAAGAAATGCAACGCTCGACCTATCCGTAAACGGTATGTACGGAGTACGAGTACGTAAAGCAACGCTAAGACGTGGCGTGCGAAAACCATTCGTACGTAAGAAACCTTGTACTATGTAAGTATCTTACATGGTAGTAAAAATGTCGCGTAGCGTATGTTTCTAACCGGTCCCACACGTTATATTGGCACACTGGTATACGAGTACTCCGTACGATTACAGCAGCGCATCGCTTGTATGCGCACTATGCATCAATTAGGTGCTCACATGTTCCATACGGAGTATAGTACACATCGTATCTTAAGCCTGACAGTTTACGTCGTAGCGGCTCTCCGGGGTGGCTTGCAGACTGCCAGGGGCCAAGCTTTTGTGGGTCCTCCGGATGCCACCCACGCAACAAATCATCAGCAAAGCATTTATGGCCGTACCCCGTAGAGATTACCTTTCTGTCCCCCATGTCCCGTATTGATGAGTCCCCTTTTTATACTGGGTCGCGTGGCCGAGATGGGTCACGGGAAGGAAGCTGATGCTATGTCGGTGGAGAATGCCCACATGAGGAGAGAATATTCGAATAGAATATTAGCGAGTCGCTGTTCTCATTCTTGCATGTAACGCAGAAAAGTATCTTCCCCTCTCTCATTTCTGTCCTCTCTTGTCGTGCCGATTTGGTTTGCGTCTCCGGCTGTGGAGAGCACGTGTCTCGGATATTTCTTGCTTCGCCTGCTGGGCTTTACGACCGGCCGTCTCTCCACCTCCAGTCTCTCCTCCGCCTCGTCTATCGTGTGCCCAATTTCTTTTTAATTACATTTCAAGACCCCTTCCAGCCCCTACTAACCGACACACCGCATCGCTAAAATATTGTGCTGCGAGTACTCCGTACTCGTATGAGCACGTCCTCGTAAGATACGTTCTCGGCAATCGCATAGTGTCCGTGTCTTTCTGCCCACGACGCACTTCTCTTACAACGATGCGCAACCAAAACCAGCTCTGACCCGTCAAGCCTGAGACGACATGGAAATCTGACCGGGCCTCACATTGCCAATCGTGTTTGTAGCGCTACCGCATAGTTACCGGTCGACCAGAAACTTGAGCTTCGCAGCCTGACCATCATCTGCCCGGCCTCTGTGATCTGTGGGTGGCCAAGACAAACATTGATCGGCTAATCGCCATTTTTCGTGGCTTTGATAACGGCATACGGACTGGTCGCCTGATATATTTTACGAGCTCTTAGGACCCTTCCGTCGACGCCTTTAGTGAGAGGAAACGGCAAAGGGGCTGTAGGCCTTTCCCGCCTTCTTGTATATTTTCAGAGCCATGCCTCGGTTTAGTTTCCCTGTACCGAGGCGGAGGCAGAAACAAGCGGCAGCTTCAGTCATTTCGCCTCCGCTGAACAAGGTCCAGAAATTTCTGGGAACAGCTGAGATAAACGTTGATGCCTATGCAAGCCAAGAAGCTGATGCTGCGAGAAATTGGGACGCCAGGTCGGATTCCTGTATCAGTATATCCCTCTCTGAGAGCAGTGTCGACCAAGACGACAGTGTCCTCGACAGAGCCTTGTCAAGCTTGGTCGAAAATAGGGTTGTCAACAGCACGACGTACTGTCAGCCTTTATTTGATGAGGAGTCTGGTGTTTTGCCAAGAAATAAAAAAGATCCTTGGTTTGGCGACATCGCCAGAAATACACCTGATGAGCGGTCTACTACAGATGCTTCCAGTCTTCGTCGGCAACAGTCGAGCTCCACCATCACCTCCTATTATGACAAGTCCAAAGTCCCTCTGATCATTTCACAGCAGACATCGAGCTCTGCTATGGCAAAGGGGCTACCGCAAAAGGCTAGTGATCTTCTCGATATTAGTGGCACTATTGCCAACGACGACAAGCAAAAGTCAAGGCCGCCTAAGCTCGACCTGTCGAACCTTTTTCCGCGCCAGAAGCCATCGAATCCGGTATTAGCTGTATCGTCATCCGAGCGGGGGTTCGTGTTGGGGCCCGATGTGGTGACCCGATCCCCTTCATTTCTATCTAGCTCTCGTCTGGAGTACGCGCCTAGACACATTGATGACTATCGCAACGAGAAGAAGCTACAGAAACGGCCCAGCAAAGGCTTAGTACGCCGCGATCCCACCAATCACCTAGGTTTCAAGTGCGGGCAACCGAAACACCAGGGCATGTCTGAACAGGAGGCCGGCGGGCTGCAAAACCTCTACGAACATTACGAGCAGATGTCTATCCGGGATACTATTGCACAGGAGCACATCTCCGTTTCGGATATGCCGGAAATCATGCCTGAAGAACGGCCCTTGGAAAAGGACTGGCTCAGAAAAGCGGCTATATCCCAAATTGACTATGCTTTCCAACTTCCAAAAAAAATCAGTTTCACGTCTTCTGCCAGGGACATGGCAATGCCAAATCTTGTATCGATACCAAGAACAGATAAGGATGGCGTACCGGGTCTCTACTCGCCGGTTGATTGTTCAGAAAGTGTCTCGAGCCGCCAGACCCGGACTTCAAAAGCTTCTAGGCAGACGTCGCGGAGTCTGTTAGATGCCGACCTTCAACAAACCAGTGTCCTTTCTCTTTCATCTGATTCAGAGGATGGCTTTCTAAGTAAAAAAAAGGTCTTCGTTCCCGCTATCAGAAAGTCGCTGCCAACAAAAAAGGACACTCAGGCTTCGGACGATCACCAATCTCTGAATTCTCGCAGCGCATCTTTCGCGAAGAAATGGAGGAGCCGACCTAGAAGCACAGAGCCTGTATCGTGTGGTCAAAACAGCCATATGTCATTTCTCTCAGTAAAATCATCTCCGTCTGCGGATAGACAGCCACGGGCCGCCAAGCCACCATGCCCAAGTGCTGCTTCGGTCTCTACAGCCCACACTGCGAAACATACTGCCGTTTCCCTTCGTTCCTCTTCGCACACATCCAGGGCCTCGGCTTCGTCTAGCAACACCACCAGCTCCCTGGTCCCGCCCAGCTACACCGTCCAAGAGGCTCGGGCTATCACTTTGGTTCCCGCACAGGGTGCTTCTTGCACACCGCCTTCAACACAAGATGGCAACTTGCCATCTGACCAGATGACACCGCCTCTTTCACCAACGAGTGTTGAGTTTTGCCTGCGACCAGACTTTGATCAAGGTTCTGTGTATTCGGGCCACAGTTTTGGCACTGTTGGCTCTAGCCGAAGTGGCAGTAGCACTTATCGTCACGTCATGACTGTGACTCGACAAGAGGAACTTCTCCTGGAAGCGCTGCGACGGAAGAAAATGACGATGCGGGAAGCTATCATATCCCAGTATGAAAAAAGTCAGGAGCAGGAACTGGCCGTACCGCGGCCACCTCGCCGCTGCAGTAGCAACTCGACATTTGAGCTACAAGCAGTGCGGCTAAAATCAGCAGATCGAAGTTCCGCTAGTTCCAGGGACCTCCCCTTGCACTTTGAAGGTGGCAGTACCGTCGGGGGCCAGTCTGTTCACATCTTTGACGGCGAACAAAGCTCTATGAACTATTCGATGGAGCTTGATGATGGGTGTAGCGGAAGCGTTGAGAGCTCTGATTCGTATCTGTTTTATACACCAGCTGACCCGTCGCCAATTGGTCCACCTGCTACCGATCATCACGAGAACCGAGCCCTGCGCGCATCCATGGCTGGTGGTCGGCATGGCACCAAGCCTCATCGGCAGGTTTTCGATGATATGCAATTTCACGGCCCCTTACACTCCTTGGATGACAGCATTGATGTCCACATTTTGGATGAACGCGGCGAAATTCTTCTTGATCGAAGCAGCGGCACAGATGAGGGTCTGCCTGGAATTCCTCGTCCGGACTCTCCACTCGAAGCACAGTTACCTCTCCCACGAAAAAAAAGACTTCGTATCAGTGCTGTAGGCCGACCTGGGATGGGACCGAGATGGTAGCGGTCATTTGCTTGTATTAACTGAATAGTATGAACCAGGCGTTACGCACATAATGACTGTACTGGAAGTATTTCTTACCTCAGGAGTGTACTCCGTACGGAACACTCGTTACTGCTATCCATCATATATTGCTCGCTATTTCGTATTGCCAGTGTGGCACCATTTACTGGAGAGCATACGAGATCCTTGATATGCCCTTGCTCCGCGAGACCTTGGTGACTGTAGTGGTGCCACACAAGTCTGCTGTCTCAACGTGTCTTCCACCACACGGTAGACCTCGGCACCAAAATCTTGACCAAACGTAGCTTTCCGCCCGGCGCTGACCCAGACGGGGGCTTGTTTGGGACGAACCGCTCAAAACCATTGCGCCAAAAGTTCTCGTTAGCATCGTCCCATCATTCGATTTCGACAGGCATCGCGCGGGCGATGTAGTCGTCCTCAACTTCTTTGGTTAGGCTTTTGCCAGCGGCCCCCAGTGCGCGCCCAAAAATCACATGCTGCAGAATCTAGGTAATGCGACACCTTCAACTCGCCGAAGCCATCCACTCTGGCTGCAGGCAAGTATCGCACTGCGGCACCCAGCACAAGGCCAGCAGTGTGCAGTCTTGAATACAGCAGGCGTTTATCAGTGTCAACATGCTCTTCGGCCCGACCGACCTCAAATTAGGCGAGACCCACGTCGGCATCGATGCGGCCAAAGTGAAGGATTCGGCCTGGGTCAATATTGTCTACGCGGGCATATTACACATGGAAGATGATGGCACCGGCCGGCATCGTGTGCTGACCACCGCCCAGTAGGTAAAATATAAGATGGTTTCGCGCGTATCCACTGCTTTGCTTACTGACGTTTCGTGCTTGAAGAGCGCCTAGCTGACAAAAGTGAGATCAGTAAAAAAGCAAAGACCGCCTCAACCGTGATGAGTAGCTGGAACAAATTTGCGTCACGCTGGTAGCCATGGCTTAATAAGCCGCTTCTGTGAGCTTAGGAGCCGTCAAAACAGATTCAGGGTTTCACCAGCCAGGGTGATACAAGCGATTTGGAGTAAATAATTTTGGAGAAAATATTTGATATCATGTTGAGAATTTGGATTCAGACATCTAAGCTACTCCACAAAAACGTTTGCCTGACAAATGTGTCAGGAGGGAGCAGAGGGTATATGCTACAGTATCGCCACCGTAACGAAGGCGGGTTGATGTCGCCCTAGCGCCTTATGCTATCTCTGCCCCGCCTGGGACGTTGTTACGTCAGTGGCTATGAATACCCCTCATCGGTTAAAATATCACCAGTACAAAAAGAGTTAACAATGTGAAGGAAAAAATCTCTTCAGTTTCGTGTTAGCCATCCGACGTCTGAAAGCCGGTCTACTATACCAGGTGCTGTTTGGGACCTCCAACTTCTCGGTTAATCAGATCGCAGCTTCGACAATAAAAAAGGAATAGCAATGGCGGGCCAACAACGCATAGCCATTCTTTCTGTCTATGACAAGACAGGTCTTTTGGACCTGGCCAAGGGGCTAATTAAGAACAATGTCCGCATCCTGGCATCTGGAGGAACATCAAAGATGATTCGTGAGTCAGGGTTTCCGGTTGAGTATGTCCCCTTTCCTGATTAGACATCCCCTGCAAGCCTGCTAATTTTGGGGTGCTCCTTTTACAGGGACATCTCTGCCATCACTAAAGCTCCTGAGATGCTGGCTGGCCGCGTCAAGACGCTGCATCCTGCCGTACATGCAGGCATCCTAGCACGCGACCTTGCTTCTGACGAAAAGGATCTTGCCGAGCAGAACATCGAGAAAGTTGACTATGTAATCTGCAACCTCTATCCCTTCAAGGACACTGTCTCAAAAATCAACGTGACGGTTCCCGAGGCTGTGGAGGAAATCGACATCGGTGGTGTCACCCTTATTCGCGCTGCTGCCAAGAACCACACCAGAGTGACAATCCTCAGTGACCCAGCTGACTACGCCGAGTTTATCAACGAGCTTGAGGCCGGCGAGATCAAAGAATCTAGCCGCAAGCTATACGCCCTAAAGGCTTTCGAGCACACTGCTGACTACGATGCTGCAATCTCCGATTTTTTCCGCAAGCAGTATGCTGGTGATGGCTCTCGATACCTCTCGTTACGGTATGGTGCCAACCCACACCAGAAGCCTGCCGCCGCCTACGTCAAGGAGGGGCGCCTGCCTTTCACTGTGCTTAGCGGGTCACCCGGCTACATCAATTTGCTCGATGCCCTCAATGCTTGGCCGCTGGTGAAGGAGCTCAAGGCTGCGCTTGGCCTTCCTGCCGCAGCCTCCTTCAAGCACGTCTCGCCAGCAGGTGCTGCCATCGGTACCCCGCTTTCTGCCGACGAGAGGAAAGTCTACATGGTTGATGATATTCTGGGCATCGAGACATCTGCTCTTGCCCAGGCTTATGCACGCGCTCGCGGTGCCGACCGCATGAGCAGTTTTGGTGACCTGATCGCCCTTAGTGATGTTGTTGATGTTCCTACAGCCACCATTATTGGCAAGGAGGTATCGGACGGTGTCATCGCCCCCGGTTACGAACCAGACGCTCTGGCCATCCTCAAAAAGAAAAAAGGTGGTCGTTACCTGGTCTTGCAAATCGACCCAGAGTACGTGCCCACCGGCCGCGAAACGCGCACAGTCTTCGGTGTAACTTTGGCTCAACACCGCAACGACATCCTTGTCTCGCCCAAGTCCTTTAACACCATCATCACACCAAAGGATGCGGCCGGCCCGCTGTCTGATGCAGCCCTACGCGACCTCACGATAGCCACAATTGCCTTAAAGTACACCCAGAGCAACTCAGTCTGCTATGCAGCTCGGGGACAGGTGATTGGTTTGGGTGCAGGCCAACAGTCTCGGATCCACTGCACGCGATTGGCAGGTGACAAGGCCGACAACTGGTGGTTGCGGTTTCATCCACGCGTGCTTGGCATTCGGTGGAAGAAAGGCACAAAGCGCCCTGCGAAGAGCAACGCTATTGATCTCCTTGTTGGCGGTCAGCTACCTAAAGATGGCCCTGAACGTGAGGCATTCGAAGAGGTTTTTGAGGTAGTTCCGGAGGCTTTTTCGACCAAGGAGCGCGAGGGCTGGCTGGCAACGCTTACAGATGTGGCTGTGTCTAGCGACGCTTTTGTGAGTTTTCTTCGAATCTGCCATACTAGGTCCAGTCTAACTAATATGCTGCGAAAGTTTCCCTTCACGGACAATGTTTATCGGGCGGCTCGGTCAGGGGCTAAGTACATCGCGGCCCCCGGCGGTAGTCAAAATGATATACCAGTATTTGAAACTGCTGAAAAGTTAGGCATCACATTTGTTGAGCAAAACATTCGGCTTTTTCACCACTGAAAAGTTGGCCAGTTTGAGGGGAAGAGAAAGAATAAGAGACACATTATCAGGAGAGGTACAATTTACATCACATTGGAGTTCACCTTCGAGTCGCTACCCCCGGAATGAGACAAACTCACGGGACGCATGTGCAACAACGCTCGCCGTGGATTTGGCATGTGAGGTGCAGACCGCAAGACTCTCGGCGTCCATATATTGGTATATTGGGTTAAATTGCCGTCAAAGTGCTTACATGGTGAAATGTGCAAGTTTTGCCTGTCACAAAGTTTTTAGACCTTATCCTGGTGCCGACTGATATTTGTCCATGTGATACGAACAAGCCAGTTAATGCTATCTACGACGTAAACTAAGGCTGGCGGGTACATACCCCAGAAGCAGCATCCCGAGCTGTGCTCATTTATTAGTCATGAGATTGCGCCAAGTGGTCTCACCAGCGTTGATCATGACCCGGAGTACGCCGTCTCTGGCTGGATCACACGAGCATCAATCCTTGATTACAGTGTACGGGCAATAAGCCAGCCTCAACGAGAAATGCCAGCTCTCTATATACGTCAGTATCTGGGATATTCCTGCGACTAAAAATTCTAACGACTTTTTACTTCACCTTCAGGCGGACAGAAAAAGAGGATGGAAACCAATAATCAAAGTTCTACCTTAAAAACGAGCATATACGTTGACTCTTCTAGGCTCGGTACACACGGTCTCGAACGCCTAGGGCATCGACCCAGATGAAAAGAAACAAAAATCAGAGTCTGATAATCCCACCACAGCAGTATGCATTGGTCAAATATTCAATTTAGGCCCATCATCGGTCCGGGGCTGAAATATATATTGCTGAAAGCCATTGCTAACTGCGCCCGGAGCAAAATGGTCTTCGTGCTGCGACAACCCGTGCTGAACTTCTTCATATGTTGGTGGGTCATCTTGAACATTTGGAGAAGACAAATGACTATTCTTTGGGCCGCCAACAGCTTCGGCCCTTTGCATCTCGGAATGCAGTACAAGTAACTGTGGCTGTGGTGGCGACAGCACTTCCTCATCGTTGTCTACTTCCGCGAGTTTTTCGTCTTGGATCATCTGCCGCCGACGTTGTCCATGTCTTCGCAAACATAGAATCAGAGCAAGCGAAACTATGGCAGCAATAGCAAGGACAGAGCCGATTGCAATTCCAGCTATCTCCCCGGAACTTAAATGCGCTCCCTTCGGTTGATCGGTAGAAAGCGCAAGCGTACTTGAGGGGTTGCCGGTTGGTGTAGAAATGCTCGTCGTGAAAGGATTGTCGGTAGTGAAAGGGTTGCCGGCGGTGAAAGGGTTACCGGTGGTGATAGGATTCTCGGTATCGAGTGGCCAGAAACCTCGAGATTCGGTATGCACGCCGGTGAATTCATATGCCCCATAAGTTTCAGTGCTTGGGGCCGGTGGAAGGCTGGTCGGGGCCGCCCTGAACCGTGACCTCAAAGTCTTCAGTGGCAAGCCTATCATATTTCTAGCGTCTCAAGCAGGCGAAGGGGGCAATGCTGAAAATAAAACTAAAGACAAGATGGAGAGAGGAGATTGAGAGCAGGAACTAAAGCTGTCGGGTCAGCTAAAGGGATTCGTGCCTTATCTATTAATCAATGGCTCCGGACTACAACATGCAGCTCTAGATTCAGCAAATCGGGTCCATCTATCAACTGTTTCAATATGCAGTGTGAAGTGGCTGAGTCCGTATTACGTCGTTGCAACGGAAGCGTAGTCCACAGTAAATTGCGATACTTGCTGCGCGAGGGCTGGGACATTGAAGGATGCGCATATTGGTAGCTCATTAGATGTACTCGCTGCGTAGCTTACTTGCAATATCAATGCGAAAACGTGCCGAAACATGCATATGGAGCCAGTAAATTCTTTTCTAGCTCTCGGCCAGCCCCAGTCTGGCCTCCGGGGGGGGTCGTTAGCCGAATCAGCCGCAAAATGCTGATGAAGTATCCGTATGTTCTTGATTTACTATATATTTCCCTAAAGCTGTTGGTAGGATGTATACTCCGTACGGAGTAGATGGCCGTTATTTCACTAGTGCTTATTTTTGGAAAGCTTGGTGACAGTCCACGTGATATTTTCTGATTGGTCAGACAGGCTGCACCAAGACCTTCCTATCTCACGGCCCATTTTACAAGCCACACTTTAACAGCCACGGAATTACCCCGCTATACGAATTGACGGTCAATGCACTGCAGTTTGGCGTTTTAGATTTTGAGATATCTTATCGACGCCGCCTTTTTTTTTTTTTTTTTTTTTTTTTAAGGTGAATTTTTTTCTAGTGTTTTTTTTTCATCCCAATTTTTCTTCAGCGTGCCACATACACCTCCCAGCGCCTGACACGATACCCAGACTTTTTGCTTGTCTGCTTACCTTTCTTGCTTGTTTTGTTCATTTCGGGTGTTTAAGTATGGACGGGCAGAAGCTTGCTAGCCTGCTCCAAGAGAGCCAAATACGTGCGTGTTTCATATCTGTGGCTGATTGACTTCTCCCTCGATTTTTCACCTGCAAAAATATTTATTCCCATTTCTGACCTTACAACTCTTTTATTCTAGCGGACACAACAAGACTCAAGGCGATTACCGCCGAGCTTCAAAAGAGCTATTATGCGCACCCAGAGTCTTTGTTGCTGCTCATTGAAATTGTCTGCACGAACAGCGATGTTGGCGTCAGGCAGCAGGCGGCCGTTCAGGCCTCTAGACTGGTGCCAAAGCACTGGCCTTCTGCTTCGGCAGACCAGAAAAAGGCAGTTCGCGAGCACCTGATGGACGCCACTTTAAAGGAGCAAAATGCCAAGTGCCGCCACTCGGACGCGCATCTTGTTGCTGCCATTGCGACACATGATTTTGACGACGGTGAATGGCCTGAGTTGCTCCCTGCACTCTTCACGCTTGCTACAAGCAGCGATGTCTCACAGCGCGAGATCGGTTCCTACATTATGTACAGCACTGTGGAGGCGAACCCTGTGATCTACAAGGACCACGTCAAAAAGCTTCTTCAGCTCTTTGGTCAGCTTATCAAGGACCCCAGCAGTGCAGATGTCCAAATCAATGCAGTCATGTCCATTGGCGCTTTGCTTGTTCTTATTGAGGGCGACGAAGAGGAAGATGAGGAGGCCGTTGGCGGTGTTCGGGACTTGGTTCCGCTCATGGGCATTGTGCTCAAAAACTCCGTTGACGCTGGTGACGACGAAAAGATTCAGCAAGTCTTCGATGTCCTCCAGCAGTTCCTAGTTTTCAGTCCCGCTTTTATCGGCAATCATCTCAAGAGCCTTCTTCAGTTTATGATCGACCTCGCCGCAAATACAGAAGCTGATGAGGACGTTCGTGTTCAGGCTCTTTCTTTCCTGACCCAGACTGTTCACTACCGTCGCCTAAAGATTCAGGCCATGCGCGATATGGCTGCGCAGCTCGTTGTCAAGGGAATGCAGATCTTGACAGAGATCGGTGACGATGAATCGCTCGATGACGAAACACCGGGTCATGTTGCTCTGAGCCTTCTTGATGCTCTAGCTAGCGAGCTCCCCCCTCGCCAGGTGCTTGTTCCCCTACTCGACGAGTTTCCCAAGTACGCTTCGTCGGCAGATCCGGCCTTGCGCAAAGCTGGCATACTGGCCCTGGGCAATTGCGCCGAGGGCGCCCCGGACTTCGTCAACACCCAGCTGAAGACGATCCTTCCTATCGTCATTCAGCTCTTGAACGACCCAGACGGCACTGTGCGCCATGCCTCTTTGGTCGGCCTCACGGGTTTGGCCGAAGAAATGCCCGATGACATTGCTATTGAGCACAAAGAAATCATGGCTGCCCTTTCCAGAAATCTACAGGCTGCCATGATTCCGACCCAGGATGAGCAAGTTGCCAAAAAGAATGGCCAGGTTATTCGTGCCGTCTGCTCTGCATTTGACTCTGTGTCTAATGGCCTCAAGTCCGATGTGATGAAGGAGTATGCGCTCCTGATGATCGAACCTATCGGGCAACTCTTCAGCCACCCAGATACGCGTGTGAAGATCGCGGCAGCCGGCGCATTTGGAGCGATTGCAGAATCACTCGAGAAAGAGTTCGTGCCATACTTTGAAAAGAGCATGCAGGCCCTTGGCTCCTTTGTCACTGTGACGGGTGAGGATATGGAGCTACAACTTCGCAGTGCCGTTCTCGACTCCATTGGTCGCATCGCTGTTGCTGTCGGCGCACAACCGTTTCAGCCGTACGTGGTGGACCTCATGCGGGCCAGCGAGGAGAATCTCAGTCTGGATGATGATCGGTTGAAGGAGAGTAGCTTCATCTTCTGGTCGTCTCTGGCTAAGGTGTATGGGCGTGAATTCAAACCTTTCCTTCCAGGTGTCTTCAAGGCCCTGCTCGACGCGTTGGATGGTGATGATGAAGAAGATGTTGTCCTTCAGCTCACGGAAGAGGAGAAAGCCATCATTGCTTCTGGGGGCTCCACCAGTGGCAAGAAGCTGAACATCGACGATCTCGACATCGACGATCTGGAAGATCTGATGGACGACGAAGACGACGACGATGATTGGGCTGGTATGGACAGCGAAGCCGAGGAAAAGGAAGTCGCAGTTGAGGTGCTTGGTGACGTCATCACCAACGCGTGTGGCGAAGAGGAAATGCAGGAATACCTCGAGAAGGCAGTTAGCATTGCCAAGGACCTTATGGAGCACCACCACAGCGGTGTTCGTAAGGCTGCTATGGGCATGCTTTGGCGATCGTATGCCCGGGTCTGGCAGCTGACTGCGGAATCGACCGGTTTGAAATGGCAACCCGGCTTCCCGCCTGCACAGACTCCAACGCCGCTACTTTCCAAGTTGGCGGATTTGGTTACGAAGCCGACCCTTGAGCTTTGGCAGGATGAAATTGAACGGTAAGCCCCTCCTTGATGATCCATCCTTGACTTTATGCGCCCATCAAGCACGAATCTGTCGAACCTTCATGATGAACACCTTACGGTATACCCAGCTCACTCTGACGCACTTGTGCGAATGCTGCGAACCCGTTTTAATCTACTTCTGATCTCTGGCTCACTACTACCCTTATGTACTCACATGGAATTTGCCGAAATGATTTATTCGTTCTGAACACTGACTGGTTTCCGTATTTCAGGGACGTGGTAACGGATATCAACCGCAATGTTGCTGCGACTCTGGAAACATGCGGTCCTGCTATTATTGCCCAGGAAAACGCAATACAGGAAATTGTCACCGTTTTGGGACAAATTATCACTCGGGCGCACCCGTGCCAACAAGATGTGGGTGACGAGGAAGATGCGCAGAACGCCGAGGAGAGTTCAGAGTACGACTGGCTCGTCGTCGAAACGGCTCTTGACGTTGTGATGGCGTTAGCGACTGCCATCGGACCGACGTTTGGTGAGCTGTGGAAAATCTTTGAGAAGCCTATCATGAAAATTGCCAGCTCAAATGAGTCCTATGAGCGATCCTCAGCTGTCGGCACTATCGGCGGCTGCACCGAGAGCATGGGTTCCACTGTTACACCGTACACCAGCACACTGCTGAAACTCATTGTGCATCGGCTGAACGACGAAGACCTCGAGACGAAGAGCAATGCCGCTTATGCAATCGGTCAACTCATCAGCAACTCGACGGATAGCAAAACATATCTTTCCAGCTTTCCCATTGTTTTGGAAAAGCTGGAACAGCTGCTTGCTCTTGATGACACTGGCCACCGAATTCACGACAACGCAGCGGCGGCTGTATGCCGGCTGATCACAGCTCACCCTGACGTTGTTCCCATTGCCGAGTACCTGCCCTCTGTTGTCCAGCGTCTTCCTCTCACGGAGGATTACGAAGAAAACAAGCCCATCTACACGTGCATCTATCATCTGTGTATGTCCCATCCCAGTCGCTGGGCCCTAACATCTTGATCTTACGGAAGCTGACAATTTTCGCTTGAAGATGATCATAATGAGCCGACTGTTCAACAGCTCACACCACAGCTGATTCCAGTTTTTGAACAAGTTCTCTCTCCCCCGGAGGACCAGCTAGAGAAGGAAACCCGAGAGCTGGTTCAGCGAACCGTGCAGGCTTTGCACAAAGCAAGGCCTGAGCTCTTTCAAGGCCGCGAAAGTCTGCTGAAGCTATCAGGTGCAGCTTGATCATAGAAGGCACAAATGCAAGCGACGATGTTACGAAGACTTGAGAAAAAAGATGTATGACTCGAGATGGATACCGCCGCAGTTCTGTGACTACAGCTGCCTATTTTCTTTGAACCCGAATTAGCTTGACTTACATGGAGCTGTCAAACCCGGTATCTTTTGTGTGCGTTCAGGTAGCTCCTTCCCCAGGTGCTCATTATCCGGGTTCTGTCATGTCCAAACAATGCCGCAGGGAGTTGCGACGGAGACCCTGATATTGTGAGCGAACACTCGCTGTTTTCTAGACATAAGCAACACAGCATTGAACGCGTTTCTTTAGATACTTTGATATCCAATTCTGACCTATCTCCTAAGCATCTCATAATATTTTACCGTTCCGCACCTTATACCAACCATTCTTGTGAATCTATGTCCGCTTCGCACTTCTGTGGAATTGTCCCTCCCCATCTTCTTCAAGGAATCACCTCTAGCTGTCAAAACAGCGAGAGTTGCCGGAAAGCAGCCTCGGAAAGCCTTGCATACCACCGGGGCCTAATCCATCGCGCTCTGCGGTCTGCAGTCAGCTATCAGCGGGCGTGCCTCAGTGCCACCACAACCTTCCCCCCTCCAGAAGCTGGTGATGCGCCGCCGCTCTCAAACATTGAAGAGACAAGCGAAACTCGATTCAATAATCAGATTTCTCGATTTTCGACGGACACTGGATGTCACATAAATAGAACGACTTATCACGGCCGTGACAGCTGTATGCCATCAATGGGTGGGTGGCCTTCAAAAAACCGCAGCATATTTTCAGCCGAGAACATCGCCGACGTAAATTCTCTCCCTGGACGTTTACTAAGACGTGAGCTCCAAGCACCTACCAGCGACCACCAGGTGAATTATGCTTATGACAACTGTGGCAAAGTGCTCGACTTCTACAGGACTGTATTCAATTGGAACTCGATTGACAATGCCGGCATGCATGCTATCAGTAGTGTGCATTTTGGAACGAACTTCGACAACGCTTTGTGGGACTCAAACAAACTCCAAATGGTGTATGGTGATGGTGGGGAGCTTCTGTGCAATTTTGCTCAATGTTTAGATGTTGTCGGCCATGAAATGACGCATGGCGTGACCGTGTTTACCAGTCCCCTGGAATACGAGGACCAACCCGGGGCCCTCAATGAACACATCTCGGATTGTTTTGGGAGCATGACAAAGCAATGGGCAGACTATGAGACGGCTACACTTGCTAATTGGCTTATTGGCGAAGGCTGTTTTCTGCCAGGTGAGAGAGGTGTAGCTCTTCGAAGCATGAGGGCGCCTGGAGCAGCTTACGACGATCCTCGCTTCGTAAGCCGCCATCTCTCTTCTTCTACAATCTTGTTTCTATTATTCTCCGTTTTGAAGCCTGGGATCCTGGCTGACTGATCCAGGGCAAAGATCCCCAGCCCGACAGGATGTCTAAGTACAAAACAATATCCGACGACTTTGGGGGGGCGCATGTCAATTCCGGTATTCCGAACAAGGCCTTTTACCTGACAGCTTCGGCCTTTGGGGGCTACAGTTGGGAGAAGCCAGGGAATATTTGGTGGAAGACAATGAACAGTCGTTTGATCCCCCGCCAATGCACGTTTATTCAGTTTGCCAAAGCAACTGTCAATGTAGCAGAAGCGGCATATGGCAATGACGCCGCCAGGATAGTTCGACATTCCTAGGAAGAAGTCGAAGTTCTACAGAGATGTTAATATTAAAGTAGCATTATCATACCGTCTTCGTGCTTTTCCCTCTTAAACTGTAATTAAGCTGCCGTCACGTGTGTCACGTGTAGCATACAGCATGGCAGCTGCGATCATGTGCGGCACAATAGGTCCTAGCATCTTTCTCAAATAGATGTAGAACTTCCAGCTAGCTTGTTAACCGCGGTTCCTAGTAGACCATGTGGCAGCTTATTCGTCCTTTCGGCCATTGTTTGAAAGACCTCTCGGCTTCAGATCAGCCTAACCCTTCGGCCCATCCGCCCCAAGCTGCCAAAGACACTATCCAGAGTTTTCAATGCCATTTCAGACCCGGCAACATATATGTGTACGGGTTTCCCCCGAGCCCTAGGCCGCTAGCTACCTAATGGCGTTGTCTACTTCGTACTCCGTACACATGTGGTAATAGGCGGTTGACTGTGGAGGCTTAAAAAACGGGTAAATTAACTGGCGCAGTACTCCGTACTAAAAAACCAAGTTGAGCCTTCACGGAGTAGGTTGAAGTCCAACCAGGTGCACGTCAAGATAGACTGCGAATTGCCAGTGAAATGAACGACTGACGGCTTGCTCGTATACTTCAGACTCCCATAAGCTTGCGAGCAGGCCCGTCTTGGAAAAGAAATGTCTTGCAGCCGAGCCAGCAAGTGTGGACGTTTCAATTCGTATTGAATATTGTCACTCCTACTTTTCGCCAAGTCAAACGGCGCGGGCCGGCGGTTACCGGGTGACACAAATACTCCGTACCGTGATGATATCTTGGCCGAGCACGAGCAGCTGAACTTTTGTGCTCACCATATTCGTGTGATGGCACGCGTCGGTCCTCTTTTACAAAACAGAGATGACGTCAGATATTGCTAAGTACTCCGTAGCCTAAAGGGCTTTGCATTTAATTTCTTTTTTTTCTTGCGATTTATTAGATGGGACATGCTTGTTAGTCCTCCCGTCGGATGGAACTTTTGTGAAACGACTACGGGAGGTTCTGACCCTGCTCGGCTGACTTTTCTGTGAGAAACGCGGCAATCCCCGCTCTGCCATCCGCGTCAATGGGCTATATACGTCATAGTTTACCCGGCTATGGTATGGCTTAAGTGGTGCCGGTCAGATCGTATCGCAAGCTGAAAGGACTGTCAACGTCTACTATGTAAGTGTTAGATGGCGGCCCGGATGCAATGCGACAAAGGGCGATGTCGCGTGATAAGAGAATTCCTTTATATGATGCCTTCATAGTATCCAAGCACCTCCACAATCTTCAAGCATGTGAAGTACACTGAATTGGCGATATGCCATTGTGCAAATCATGAGACCAGGAGTGAGGTCTAGCCCGGCTTACATATATATATGGCGTATGTACATATATTGCACTAAAACCCAGATTAAGATATGGCGGAGCGAGCCTCTTTCTCGATTTGAAGGGGCCTTTTGCATGGGTGCCGAGAAAGTGGGACCGGCATGCATCAGTCCTGCATTTTTCAGCTTGGCCTGCACCGCTAAAGGGCGCTAGTGGGGACAGCTTCAGCTGGCTTGGACGCCAAGAAACAGTCGACATGGTGCATGATTGGCCAGCGGGGCCAGCGTAAAATTTGGCTGGTTGCGCCAGGCGGCAGACGAAAGAAAATCGTGGAGCCGGCAGCAGGTTTGTTCATCTTGTCTGGAAGGTCGATCGATCTCTGCATTCCTGCAATCTACGTGTACGGAGTACGGTGGCTCATTTTGTGCCGGCCTAGCAGGCAGCAGGTCCTCCCCAGCCATCCTTCCATCCCAGCATGTCCAGCTACCCCACCAGCCTGCCAACATGCAATACGGTACGATTTCTCAGGCAAGACGCAGCTGCAAGCACGGAGTAGTGCATGACTTAGCCAGCCAGCCGGGCCTAGGCTTTCTTTTGCAGCCTGGGTGTTTAGGCAGAATGGCATCACCCGTTTGGCTTTTCGGCGTGGCTGCCAGCATCGCTGGCAGGAAATTTTTGCTTCGTTTTTTTTCTCAGTTTCAATTCTTGCGCTCCCCTTCGAAATTTCTCTTTTTATCTTCGTCCTCCCCACGAGAGCAATCCCTGGTCAAGCCACTCACGATCGCCAACACCCGTTCACACTAACGCCAGATCCTGCAGGGATCCGGGGACGTCGACGGCTCTCTACAAAGACGAGAGCCCGCATGCTTGCATGGAACAACGTGGACCCAGCTATCTCGCGGGAGCGACTTACTTCAGCTCGGCTGTACTTGCGAGCCTCCTAGCACCGAGGGTATGCGCTGACTGCGTCTACGAATACGCTTGGTGATCTTCTTGCTCCATGTCGAATGACGGCTCTTTGCCTCGCCCACATCCTGCCGCCGACCTTCGGACAGTTCCCCTCCCCTGCACGCTGCAAGCCCACTGGGTGAAGCCCGTTTGATATTCCACGCCTCCCCAGCTGTAGCCTCCGGGACCAGTCTGTGCATATTGCTAGGAGCCCCATCCTTCTTCCTGAACACAGCTCATCTGGCCTCACGAACCCCACCCCCCGGATTCAGGCCGCACCTGTCTTGGTTGTTTTATTTTTACTTTTAAAACACTAGCCTGTCCATTACAAGAACGATCCCCTGTTCGATATCCCTGCCCGTCAGCTCGGTCGTCTTTTGCTCAACCTTAATATTGCCACTTGTCCCCCCTCTCCTGAAGACGGGAATCAAAAGGACTGAAAGACGCTGAGAAAACAAAGCGAGAGCAATATGAAAACAGAGGAGATCTCAGTCGAAGCTGAGCTGGTTGTTGTCACCGAGTCTTCAGTGCCTGCCTTGATAAGAACTACGAAAGACAACATCAAGCCTAGCCCAACGTCCGATGACGCTCACCCCACAAACTGCAACCGATCTCGCTCTGCTCGACACTCACAACCACGTCAGCCACGACAAGGCCGCCGCACAAAGAAGTTATCTACCGAAGAGAAGGCCAAAGTTCTGGAGGTGCGAAGACAGCGTGCATGTCTGCGGTGTAAAATGTTGAAAATACAAGTAGGCACCATCACCAACACCATGCCATGCATTTGCAGTAACCCTAACTCTTTATGTTCCTTCCAACAACAGTGCTCCAAGGAAAACCCGTGCAAGCCATGCTTGTCTTCTGCCGTGCGAGGGTATGAACGGAAGGTTTTGTCCTTCTGTTATTGCGTGCGAACGCGCTTCGTGGATGTCGATATCTTCCAGAGCTGTTTGTACCTCTAACACTTCGTTATGCTGTTACATCACTTTTGATACTCAGCTAACCGTCGTGCGTCTTGTGTATAGCCGGACCTGGACCTACGCCAGAGGTCCCGATGTCGGTCCGCACCCTGATAGACCAGATCAGGCCTCACCACTCGCAGTCCCTGGGGGATGACATCTTTGAAGACACACTGATCCGCTGGCTGACAAACCCGGACTATTCGCCTCCCGACGGCAGCATCGTTGCTTTACTCTGCGACAAAGTGGGAAACTCTGAGAGTCTTCGCCGTGCCGTGGATGCCGACCTGACAACCGACTTTCGTATATTCCTCTTTACCACCTCTCTCGCCCATACCGGTTGGAACGGCCACGTTGCCCACCGAGATCTCTGCGTTGCCGGACACTTATGCGGGTCGCGAATTGTGCGCCGCCTTGACCGTATTTTGACTCCTCAGTTCCTGTCCAAATGCGACAGAGAGACGCACCGAGCCCTCCTCCTCCTCGTCTTTGGCCTCATTCTCGGTGTTGGCTACTCCACCCGAGTTACCACGTCACCATCCTTCCCACATGCCTTGCTAGGAGCTGAAATGCGTCACAGTCCAACGTTGTGGTTAGCAATGAAGGAGCACCTCGCCCAGATGTTGGCCCATCACCTCATCTTCCTTGGCTCGATACTTGGCATAAAGCTGGATACCGCCTCCGAAAAGACCATCATCGACACGGCTGTGAACCGTTGGAACAAGCCGGAGCAAAACGTGTGGGCTGGGTTTGTGGGAGACTCGCTGCCTTCAAAGATCAGCCCATCCAAGCCTGCCGCCGCGCTGGATGATTTCAACAACCTTGAGGATGTTGGTCAAAAGCAGCAGCCGCCGGTCTCATCGGCTCCACTTCAGACTCCGACCCCACAGACGACGCCCATCGTGGCATTACCTTGTCCAGATCTCGTGGACCTGCAGACCATGCCTCACCTTTCCGAAAACCCGGCGTCGTATCTATCCATGACGGACGAGGACTTCGACGGATTGGCACCACCTATCGTAGACTTAGGAGAGCCACGTCCGCCTCCTGGCCTGAAAGGTATGACCCGCAAGGCTGCCCTTGCAATCTAATTTTGCATAGACCGGACTCTGACTGGTGCCCTATAATAGATTTGGAAGGTGGCCGCACACATATCACCAAAAGACGATCAGTGTGGATTGTGCAACCTTTTGACGATAACGGCACGCAAGAGGCTGTTAATGTTTTCGCGCGGTTTCGACTGCAGCGAGGCCAGAATGTCGGGCTTTTTGTCTGACTTCTCCTCAATCTCATCAACTTTTTGGCATTCCATTTTCTCGTACATGTTTTAATGCATTAGGACTTCACGATGACGGGCGGTAATGGGCTATCACGGGGTATTTAGACAGGATAAACGTCGTTAGACTTACGATGATATGACATACCTTTCTGGAATACAATTCAGATACAAATCGAAGACATAAAACTGGCTTGTGAAAGCTTGCAGTCGCATCTCACAAAGTCGTGAATTCTTGGAGTAAAGCGATTTTCTGGTCCAAGATCGTGAGAATAGGTTGCGTGTCGCTGTGCGAAGTTGCGCTGGCAGCGGCGTTCCTCAGCGTCGTCGCAGCTGTGAGGTACGTCTGTTTTCGCTCATTTTCTCTCATGCCACCGCCCACCTCGCTGCCGCTATGCGTCCGTGATGCAGACCGCAGCCAAGGCAAATTTGGGGCGTCATGACGTTGCATGTCCAGTATCATTTTGCCACGGTTGCAGGCCCATATACACGCACCAGAACAGCAGTCACGTATAATGGAGGGAGCCAAATCTGCCAGCGAAAAAGGCAAGTCGCTACAGCTCTTCCCTTGCTCTTTTTCCCGTGCCTGGTATTCCAGAAGAGACCTGGCCACTTCGACCGCATCACGAACAGAACCGACACTCTCAGACTCCACGCGTAACGCCAGCATCTCACTGGAAAGACTATCCACGCTGTCCTGAATGCCGTACCTGGAGACGCAATCCTCAATCTGCATGTAACAGTTTATTTCCAAGAGCCATATGACAGCCCTATGGAGTTGGACGTGTTCGAGTGACTGGATATGGCCATGCAAGGAGGGAGGGGACGACAATGGCAACGGTGAGGATGTGAAATGAGCAAGTCCGATCGACAGCTTCAAGCGTCCTGAGCTGTCTCGCTGCCTCTGAAGGTGCGGTGGGCAGTCTATAAGACGCCACTGCTCCAATCGCCGATACAATGATGTGACGTTGTCGATCTTCACACCCGTATGCCTCGCTGTGATGTTGCATAGCAGATTCAGAGACTCGCGCGCTATGATAGACAGGTCTAGGATGGCGTCGAGATAGCCGCGGGAGTTGTTCTTGGGCAGCTGCTTTGTAAGAACAGATGCGTCACTTTCAGGGATCCTGCTCGCGATCTTCTTGTCCAGACAACGGAAAGCATCAAGCCCGTATACATGCCAGTAAAGCAGTGTGCGGCGGTCCGTCTCTAGTACGCCGTTTAAAGACTGGCCGCCAATCGTTGTTTCAGATCTGGGTGTTTCGCTGGTGCATAATCGTATCGTCATAAGTACTAGGGACTCGTGTGTCAGGAAGAGGCTTGCTAAATGGTTCTGTACTTGAGACGAGCGGGAACATTTCTTATCGTACTGGAAATGTACCATAAGCGTAAGAGCCTCTAAATCGTCCAGGCAAACCTCTTCCGAGCCGGTAGCTTTCAACTGCGCCTGCAGGAACTCATCTTGGAACCGGCATGCTACTCGCTGTTGAATATCCAACTTGCCGTCTGTGGCGACAAAGGCCAGGCTGCGGCATACCACGGCATATATAAGGCTGAGGCTACACCGGCCAGCATTATAGTTATTCCAGAATGTATCTTCCACCAGCACAGGAAGATATAGGGCGGCAAACGTGAAATATGCATGGAGGGCGTCAAAAAAGACAGCCTCATCCATGTGGCAGCGACGCCACGGAGGTGGATCGAATCCGCCATCTGTGTGGGCAGGACTTCCCTGTGTCTCACTGATTTGGTGGGTCCACGATGAGTCGTGTTCGCCCATGAAGATGCTGTCCAAAAAGAATATGCTGTCTGGGCTGAGCTGGAAGGGGTCGTCCAGTAAGCTGAAGTCGTAATTTGTTGTTAAACAGGAAGGAACCGACAGTACGGAAGCGGCTTCTGGCGAGGGGGGGAGTAGGCTCGATGCGAATGATATCGAGGGTGCTGTAGCAGCTATCGTATGAGTCGTGTCCAGAGAACGGCTCTCATTATTCGGATTAGGACCGTGGATGATGGGCACAGGAGCAACCTGGACACTGTCTTGCTGGCGCCTGCGAAGTCGAATATCATCCGAATCGTCTATGCAGCAATGGATTTGCCTCAAGGAGCACTGCGAGCACGATTTATGACCGAGATTTCCGCGGATTAGTCGGTCACATTTGATTCTTCGTCGATGGCAAAAGTCGCAAGACTCGCGCACCATTCCTCGCCGAAGCCGCATAATTGTTCAAGATCAGGGCGCTTTGATTACAGAAATATGCCTCAGTGTAAAGGTAAAAGAAGCAGTGTTCGCCCGCGGCATAAAGGAGACAGAAAAGAGGACTGCGGGCAGATGTACAAGACGGCACATTAACGGAAGTATGTCGGTATTTTGACGGAGATATCTACAGAGTTGTGTGGGCCCTTAACTGAGCACAATTGAGTGTGATTGGTGTGTTCTGGGACTTTACATCACCAACAGCAATCGCCATATTCACGGAGACTATAAGGAGAAATGGCGGATGTTACGTGCAAGACGCGCTCAGAGTAATCGTTTTGTCTCATTTCATATAAAATAAAAGTCATACCCCTAATGCAATGCAGTTTTTTTTCCTCTCGTAAAACTCAGCTATGCTGTCTGAACTTGAAGTGCAAGCCGGCAACATTTTACCCACCATGGTCCCGTTGGATAACGCAACGTTAAGCAGCAACAATGTCCCCTCTATACCCCCAAACGGCATTGGGGCCCTTCGGTTTGCACCCATCCTTGCCCCAAATGTGTTTTTTGCCGTACTGTTTGGCGCTATGCTGCTTGTGCAAGTCTTCCTTTCTTGTCGATTTTGGCGGTTCTACGGCCACGCAATTGGTATGCTATGCGGACTACTGCTAGAGTGTCTCGGGCTAGTGGCCAAGGTTCAACTGGCACACAACAGACATAACAAAAACGGTTACATAATGTTTGTTTGATCGTGCCTGGAAAGACGCCAATGTTCAATTGTTCGGTCGAGGCTGACAGAATCCTGAGCCAGGTACATCATAGGCCTCACCTTAGGTCCTACCTTTCTCTCGTCAGCTCTATACCTCAGCATCAGTACTTTAATGCGTGAAAATTTGGCTGCCCGACTTGGACGTCTAGGCCCCGGCCTCTTTTTCACCATGTTCATACTGGGCGATTTTATCTGCCTCTGTTTTATCGGTTGTGGAGGCTCTCTGGCAGCAATATATGCGTGGAGTCCTACCGGAGTTGCTCTTATGGTTGCGGGCCTGGGCACTCAGATTTTATTTACTTTTGTTTTCTGTGTTCTTTTGGCCGTTGTATTCCGGAAGATGCAGCATACTAGCACGCGAACTATGCACTATGTGATCTTGCTTGGTGAGACACCTAATAGCAGTTGCAGAGAAACGCAATGTGATAGAAATGCTGACTTTACTTGTTTATGCAGGAGTGGCGGGCCTTTGCTTGTTTATCCGTTCCTGCTGGCGAGCTGCTGAGCTGAGCGAAGGGTTTAATGGACACCTAGCATCAAAAGAGGGTGTCTTTATCGCGTTAGACACACTTCCGATGATTGCAATGTCGATTCTGCTTAACATAGCACATCCAGGATTCTGGTTTAAGAGCAATGGTCGAAAGTAGAAGGCACAGGCGAAGAAGTCAGTACATATGGCTAAAGGCATGCTAAATTTCGCGCAGTAAATAGACAAGGGATGACAAAAACATATATCTTATATATCTGGTATTGTGTTGGCATGGGGCCTGGCCTTTCTAAGAGGATTTAACTACTATTTACCGATGTCTATTGTTTACTTGTAATCGATTTAATTGAATATCTTTGTTTCTTCTTATAACCCCCCCCTCCTAATCCGCCGCCCGCTCGTGAGCACTCGCTCGGCCTGCAGTTAGGTTCTATCTTAGGCACGGCCAGAGTGTCTGTCAGCTGCAATGAATTTTTAATTGTATACGGAGTAATCCGTGGACTACATATCAGCTATCAAATTCCCCGTCTCAGACATACATTAAGAAGAAGCGAGGAAGCGAGTACGCGAGGAGGGCTGTCAGGGCCAGTCACAGATAATGCTTTAGGGCCCACCGGAGCCACGTTTCTGCGACGAGCAAATCAAATTGCTCTTACGTCGTATGTCGTAGTCAGCCTGTCCCTCCGGGTGGCATACGTACTTCTACTCGTATGCACGGGTAGTCGTAGGATCATGTCCACAAGGACAAGCCGTCACCGGAAAGCCGTCGGGGCGTTTGTGGTGCAAAGGGTTGCGCTGGCACTCTCCGACAGAGAGACATCACTGGCTAGGACCTCGGCTGTCGTAGTACTGGACGTGCAGAACTGCAGAACTTACTGGGGTATAAAAGGACAGAGGCCAATAAGAGAAGAGAAGATAACGGGAAGTAATTGACAACATACTATGTATAAATTGGGAGGAGGGGCTTCGTTTGGCACCCCTGCTTCCTGTAGCTGATGATGCATGGCAATAATGCTGGAATTCCTAATGTAGAAGACTAATACTGGCCGGAGGCGAGCTGAAAGTGAGGTATTGGAAACAACTCGAAATTTTCTGCTTTTCCCCACCCCACGATTAGGGCGGGCAGCATCGCTCAGGGGCGGGCCAAGACTGCCCGTCGGGCGAATCGCAGAGGCGATGCGACGCTGGGCAGCGATGTTATGTTATTGGCGGTCGGCGCGTCGATCATGAGGTACGGAGAAAAAGTGCGGAGGGAATGGAGTAGGAACGCCGCCCAAGCACTGCGAGTGTTACCGTGCCGTTCTGGCGACCAGCTATGTTCTATTGCCTACAGAGCAAACGTGCTGAAGTAACTGCCGTGTAAGCTAGCTAGGCCACAATAGTTTATACGCCAGAGAGCCTTGAGATAAAATTAGACTTTTAACTAGAATCCTCCAGTTTCTGCTCCGTACCATCGGCCTATCAGCACAGCCTAGCAGACGGCCCTTTGCCTCTTTAGTCTTTTGCTTCTTTTAATTGTCTTCCTTGCTGCGCTCATGAGTGCTGATCGACTTACAGGGCCCCACTACGTGCAATGCACAGTTCTACTCCGTACTGCTCTACTCCAAATTGGCAGGCCTGCGACCCGACAAGGGGTAAGATAAAGTAACATACAGATTCTGTGATAGCCATACGGAGTACTTACACAGCGTACGGACTGCTCATGCTCGCAGTTCACCCGAAACTGAGACTCACATTGGTAGCTTACATAGTAGGCTTACTGGGCAGGTGTCTTGGAAGCACTTCTCCACCCCCTCTTTGCCGGGATCAAATCGCTCTTTCGGAGGACCAAAGCCGACGATGTTGTTCTCCACGCTGTCCAACGCTGCACAATGTCACACGGCAGACTGAAAATTTACAAGAGGAGAGAGGAGGCGAGAGACCGAATAGAGCAAACATGTAGCGACAGGGAAGCAAGCAGGCAAACACGCAGACAAAACAAACAGTGAACATATCTGTCAGCCGTCTGTCAGCCTCCCTTGTCGCTCTGGAACGCGACCCTTGCGTCCAAGCACATGGCCCTTTCTGCAGCTGTCTGTTTGATGTGGGCGGACGGGAAGGTATGAGGGGGGGGGGGGAGGGGAATCAAACTCTGCCCAAAGTTCGGGTGCAGGACCCCCCCTAACAAAGTACACTCCCCGTGGTCTCGCCGGCTTTCGCTGTTTGTGCAGACATATTCAAAAGGCCCAGTGCACTTTTTTTTCTTATTCGTCGTCTAGCCGTCTGCGACTGTGTTTGATCGCTTCGTCCTCTTCTGCAGCCATTCTGAACACTTCTCTCCTGGTCCATATTCCCCGTCACCACGTGGAGAAGAAATCCCAACCACGCTCTCCGCAATAATGAGGTTTCCATCATGGCTAAGCTGGTATAAGAAGCTAGAGTACCGCGACATCAAAGAGTACTCCAACGCCGTCGTATCTGGAAAACGAGACCTGAGTCCTGATGGCCGCGGCAAAACCGCCGTACCGGCACGTCTGAGGCTCGAGAGGGTATTGCAGAACAAGACATGTAAGCTGCGTCTCAGCGTTGTGATGGTTTCGACTGGACGCCTATTCTCTGATTTCTTCCCGTTGTATAGGCAGCCCCATGTCACTTTACGACTTTTACATGTATCTAAAATACATCGAGTTCTCGCCCGAGAACCTGGAGTTCTACATATGGTATGGTTGCCTATTTCTGCTGCACGCGGAGAAGTTCCCGTCTCTAACCCTGAATCCTGCCAGGTACAAGAGCTATGAGGAGGGTTGGAAGAAGAACCTCTGTGGCGACTTCGACGCGGCCTCGTTGAGCAGCTCTGTGACGAGCACAGCGTCCCTAAGGAAGGCGACCGAAAACCCGTCAGAAGTGTTCTCGACAGATCCCGAAATCGGCAAGTCTTCTGTGCCCAGCCCCGCTATCTGCCTGCAACTGCTGACTGTTCAGCCGAGACTCTTGCGTGCATCACGGGTCTGATCAGCGTTCATGCCAACTGTGCCACAGACGGCTGCTCACCCGCTTTTCAATTGCCCAAGCCGCCATCCTCATCGTCCAGACAGGCCAAGACGGGTGCCACACTCAACGTCGTGGATGCCAGCGCCGGCCGTCGTGCCGAACTGGGCGCCGTCATCAAGATTTTCCTTAGGCCCGGCGCCGAGAAGGAGCTCAATATCCCGCCTGCCATGCGTGACCACGCCCTCGCTGAACTGCAAAGCTCAGCTGACCCGACCCACTTGAAGGCCGTTGCCGATCACGTCTACCTGCTGCTGCGCAACTGCTCCCATCGCAACTTTGTCCGTCTCGGCGTCTCTAACGGCACAATCGAGACCATCTGCGTCGCCACTGGTCTCGGCATTGCCCTCACCATCGCCGGCGTCCTCTGCGTCCTGCTGCGCGCCCTAACCCCCCACGTTGGTGTCCACTCGCGCTTCGACGTCTTCGCCGCGTGGCCCATGTGGTGGCTTGGCCTCAGCCTCATCCTCTCTGGACTGCGCGGCAGCTGCTTCTTCCTCCTTCTTTTCACCCATCGCCAGCCCCTGCCTTGGGAGCGCTTCGACGATAGCGCCAGCATGCTTTCCCATCGTTCCGGTTTTATGAAGAGGATTTCCCGTCTCATGATATTCGACCGGAAGCTGCGCGTCGCCGACACGCATCTGCGTCGCCTCCAGCATCGCATCGTCGTCCAGAGTCTGCTCTTTGGCGCATTCTTTGCCTTCATAGGCGTGCTGATCTTTATCTTCCTGCCCATCTGGTCTGAGACTGTCTAGCACGAAGCGGCCTCTTGTTATGTTGTCCATGCTGCTGTTAGTCATACCTTCATTCTGGATGGTTCTCCCCTATTGTTCTTTGTTTTCGGTGGAATATTTCGGATTGTATGGCTGTTGCTGCTATTGGGGTAGCCTGGATTATGACTACGTCTGTGTGCTGATGCATGTAGATTGGCAGAAATACAGTTTCTGTGGCGTGCACTCTTTCCGGGCTGTTTACTCCTCAACTTCTCGCCAGCTCGTGTTAGTAAAGAGTTAGAGGAACGTAACCGTTGGTTTATACTTTTTTAATGTCAGCTTAGGCCAAAGCATGCATTTGCATGCAACACATGGTATGAGTGTATATATAACATGATATCAAAATCGACTCTACTCATGTTTGTCCGCCATACTCCGTAGCCGTAGCTGCCAGGGCTGCCGAGGCCGGCTTGTCCGCCCCTGGAGCTGTCCTCTTCGGCATTATCGCTTTCTTGAACTGACCTACGAGCTTGGCGAGTAGCGATTGCAGGCTGACGTTTGGACCTTCGTCAGCTGCGACAAACCTACGGACGAGAATGTTGAACATGCCACCAAAGGCCAGAGCAATGGCCGTCGACGTAAAGATAATAACGTTGTACGGCATGCTGAAGTCGGGAGTTGGCAGGCTCAGCAGCATCGTGGTTGTCCGGAGGTTCGACGTCGCGAACCTGCTGGCTGTCCCGCTAGGCCGTGGCTGCAAAATCGTTATGGCCGCAGCAGCCACGTCAAACCCGCGATTAGCGTCAGGCGGGTATTCCGTATACCGCAGGATGGACTTTTCAAAGTCATACGTCAAGAAAACCGTTGCGTTGGGGGGAACCCGCATCTTCACCTCAAGCTGGGTGCCACGAGCCCGGTCCAGGGCTGGACGGTAAAATATCTCCTGGATGATTTCGTCCTTGCTACCAGGAGGGCTTCCGTCAATACGCGCCTCCAGGGTGTGCAGGTAAATGCGCATGAACCACGGGAGCGACTCCATGTACACAAAGTCGACCTCTGCATTTGTGCTCGGGTTGGTTAAAATGGTTTGTACCCCGCCTCTGTCGGCCCCGTGTCCGGTCAAGCTGCGCTCGGCATATAGCAGTGGCGTCTCTGGCGTCAGGATGATGTCTATGCCCTGTCGGATTTTATCTTCGTCGTCGGGAAGCGCAATTTCGAATTCAGTCGCCGGTTTGATGTGGTAGCATCGTAATTGGCTGTCGGCGTTCCTGCTCTCTGATACGCCTTCAGACAAGAACACACTCCTGGAACCGGGAACGGCAATGCAGACGGGCGGCGTGTCGATATCGGCTAGGGGACAGGTGCCCTTCATCGACTTGCCAAAGATCTGTGAGAGCGACCAGCCTTGGTTGGCGTCGAAGCTGGTGGGGAAGCAGGTACCATCCCGGTGGTATGGCTTGGAGGCGTCGCACTTCAGCTCGTTTGCCGGCACTGGCCTAGGAATCGGATTGTCTACCACCGAGATCAGCCAGCAGCCTTGCGCAGGTTTGGCAGAAACCTACCTCGGGGTCGCTTCGACCGTTCGATGTCCAACACCATGTCAATGGTCTGCTCAATCTGCAGCACGCAGTTGCCCCCTTCGGACTCTAGGCATATCGGCCGAACATCTATGGCCATGCTTTGCCACGATGCATCGAACAGCTTGTGCCCGTCCAGCAGCGATGCAATCCCAGCTTTTCCTTTGCAAGGCAGCAGCTTCAAAAACGGTGTGAGATTCTCTGTGCAGACAACCTCTCGCGGCAGCGTACCATATAGTAGCTGCATGTTCGAAATCGTTCCGTCCGGATGGTCACCCTCTGGCCGAAAGGACATGACCGGTCGCGTCGTCCGAGTTCCGTCGATAAAGTTGAGCGAGGCGCAGAAGAGGCCGGAAAGAGCGTTTGTCAGCGTAAGCCACTTTGTATCCGCTCTGCAACAAAAGATGGATGTTAGTAGCTTGACGACTGACCCGGCCACACGACTTACTGCTCGTCCGTCTCGGCATCAAGCCAAGCCCAGAGCTCGACCCCCGTGCCTCCTTCTCTGGTTCCGGCCCACGGCCGGGCGCCCCAATTTTCGGCATCCCAGCGCCCGAGGCTGAAGCGCAGGTGGAGTTCCCTTGTGCCCGCGAACTGGAGAATCTGGCCCAGGGAGCGAGGAAAAAATTGAAAGTTGTGTGCTTCGAATTCGGAGACAGATATATTGGACCGGAAGTTAAAGCTCGCTAAGAGCGCCGATAGAGGTAGCGGTTGAAGCAAAAGCTGTTCATGGTAGTCTGTGGCAGAGGCAAGCACGGAAAAACATGTGAAGCCAGCCAGAATCCCAAGAAAAAGCCGCATTTTAGAGTTTGCGCTCCATGGAGGACGCTGGGAGTAGATTGCTTTGTCGCGCGTGATGGAAGTAGAGGTGTTATTTTCATGGGTCGGGTCGTGGAGCCAGCATGGACCCGCTGGACGCCACACCACCTCTGATTGGCTGCGTGACTCATGCGCTCATCGGCCTTACTGCTATTACGGCTGGAGGACGGGGACATTGTCCTGAGGCACAGCGCGCTATCACAGTTTCAAAATTTCGCCGCGTCTTTTCACTGGTGGACACAACAAATCTCACAATCGCACGTCCCAACGGTGCACATCCTCAATCTTCTCCACAAACTCTTGTTTTGAAGAGAAGCGCCTGCAAGAAGACACTCTTCCCAGACACCACTGCGAAATCATGGCGGCCGAGCAGCGAAAGCTCTTGGGTAGGTGACCTCTCTTTGCCTCCCGCATACATCGGCATGTCTGCTAAACGTCTCCAGAGCAACTTATGGGCGGCGGCATAAGCTCTCGCAGCACACAGCTCTCCCTGAATGACCCAAAGGTATGCCGGTCCCACATCGCCGGCACGTGTCCCCACGACCTGTTCACAAACACCAAACAAGACCTCGGACTGTGCCCAAAGGTACATTCAGACGCGCTGAAAGAGGAGTACGAGGCGCTGTCGCCGAGCGAGCGGGCTAAGCACGGCTTCGACTACGACTACATGCGCGACCTACAAAAGTACATTGAAGATTGCAACCGGCGCATAGAGGCGGCGCAGCGCCGGCTGGAGAAGACGCCGGACGAGATTCGCCAGACGAATCAGCTGCTGAAGACGATCAGCGATCTGAAGAGCACCATCGCCAACGGTCTCGTCGAGGTGGAGGTGCTCGGTGAGGCCGGTCTCATCGGTCCCGGTATGGACGAGTTCTTCCGCGTCAAGCAAGCGACGCAAGCCAAGGCAGAGCGAGAGAAGGAGCTCAAGGCCCTGAGCGACACTAGCGGCCCGTCGGGCCACCAGAAACTGCAGGTGTGCGACGTGTGCGGTGCATACTTGAGTCGGCTGGACAATGACCGCCGGCTGGCGGACCACTTTTACGGAAAGATGCATCTGGGGTATGCGCAAATGCGCAAGACGTACGATGCCCTCTCCAAAGAGCTGCGCTTCAAGGGCCGTCCACCCGTAGGTGCCGACGGTGATGACGGGGGCGCGCCGCCAGGACCCGGGAGCGGCTATGGAGACGGTGCTTGGGGGCGGTCACGAGGTCCACGGGGTGGTGGCGGAAGGACCAGGAACAGGCCCCGGTGGTGAGGTGGTGCTATTTCATACCGCCTGCACCCCCTATACTTTTCGTCATTTCTATGCAATATTGACCGCGTTTGGCATCGAACGGAGTTTTGGCGGCTAGGGGAATACGGATGTTGTATCTTTGCAGTTTTATTTCTGGGTATACGATATTACCAAAGTTGTGACTCGAAAATCTGTAACCAGGACCGGGAGAACCAACCGGTTCTACAATCTGCTCGCGCTACTGGCCGTTTTTTGCGGCAGCGGCCAGTTCTGCATCGATGGCGGCGACTTCTTCATCCCACGTCCCCAAGGCCGGCTCGAGCGGCGGAATGATGGAGGTAGCGGCAAGGGCGGCAATGGTAGCAACAGGCGCAGCTGGCTCCTTGGTACCCTCGGCATTGCTGCCTGGTAGAGCAGGAAATTCCTCGACGGACAGCTCGGGCGCAGAGGACCCGGGGGGGGCCATGACGGACGGGTCAGGCTGTCCCTGCACCCACTCTGCCACACCGGCACCGTTGCCGTACACGTCGTCAAACGCCACCCGTCCGCCACCTCCGCGACCGCCGCTGTTGCGGCCTATGCCACGTCCCCGTGCTCGACCTCGGCCCCGGCCACGGAATTCTCCCGGCTGGAGCACCCTGGGCTCAGCTGCTGAGGCGGCGGCGCTGTCGCCCAGGGCGTTGATGTTGGCAACGGGAGGTATTCCACCCGCATGTCTGGATCCGCGCATGCCACCGTGTGCGCCACGGAAACCGTTGCCCCGATGCCGCTGGTCATCGTCAACATGCGCCTCCTTGCCCTCGTCCCAGCTGCTCTCCTTCATTCCCATCGCCTTGAGCTTCCGGTCGCGGTTGCGTTCACGCTCCTCATCCATGCGGCGCCGGTCCTCTTCGTTGCGGCGCCGCTTATCCTCCTCGACAGCCTTGCGGCGGCGTGCCTCCTCCATGCCCCGTGTAAACGCGATCTCGTGGGCGCGCTCGTCACGCTGCGCCTGCTCAAACCGCCGCGCCTTCTCCGCTGACGCGATGCGCATAGCCTCCATTTTCGCGTTGAGCTCGGCGTCCGTCAGCTTTGCACGCGGGTTTGCGCCTGACTGTAGTCGCATGTTGCCCTCCCCGGGCTTTCCCGTCGGCTTCGGTGCCGCTGCCGGCTTTGATTCATTCTGCTTTGCGCCGTTTGGCGTGTTTCCATTGACTCTGCCGTCAATCTCTATGCTCGCTTCGGCTTTGGTGTCATCGTTGGCGTCGTCCTCGTCCTTTTTCTTTTCGCCCTTATCGTCCTTCGTGTCCTTCCTGCCCTTCTCGCCTTTCTCTGCTATCCCTGTCTTTTCGCTCTTTCGGGCCTTTTCGGATTTGCCATTCGGGGTCTTTCCACCCGGGCGGCCGATGGCGCTCGGCCGAGGCGAGCTGACAGGGTTGTTGTTATGCCGTGATTGGGCGAGTGAGGGTGGGGGAGCGACTCCCTGCTGCTCTGAGATTGGCAAAGACGGCTGCTTCGCATCTGTCCCCACAAAAGCATGCGATGCAGGCAGGTTCTTCGTCTTCGCGAGCACGTTGCGTTTGGAAGGGGCAGCCTTCGCCTGAGCTGTCTTTGCTGGGCTGGACTTCGCCGGCGCAGCCTTGCTGGGCACAGCCTTGCTGGGTGCCGCTTTGGTGTTAGCTGCCTTGATCGGCACAACCTTGGCAGTCACAGCCTTCAGGTCCGGTTTGGCGTCCAGGGCAAGAGGCGTGGTCGGCTTCGGGGTGGCGTCTGGCTTGACAGTCTTGGCTAAAGAACTGGCTCTAGTTACTGCTGTCTCGACAGGCTCAAAATCGTCGGCAAACAAAGCGTCATCGGTTCGGCCTCCAAACTGGTCGTCCATATTGCACGTAGCCACGACGAGTTTTCCAAAATAAGTGTCCAAAATGGCGGCCTGTAAGCAAGCGCAAAGAACAAGTTGTTGTAGGTGATGAAAATCAAGAGATGCGATGTTGACAGGTGGGGTTTCTTTACGGAGTAGTTCTAATAGCCGCCTGGGCTGGGCAGCACGGAGTACTCCGTACGGAGTACGTAATTAAGATATTACGCCATCGATTGGGTGGGAGCACTCCGTACAGTATTTGGGCCCACCCTTTAGAACCTTCTTGTTTCCTACTATGTATCTTACTGCGTAATACTCCGTACGAAGTGGAGTACGGAGTATCTTACAATTATCTTACAAGCTGCTCCGTATATTACCATCTACGAGATCAGAGTACTGTGCATCTTCAAAGTTCTGGTAGTACTCGTACCCGTATTTCGTGCTAGTGACGTTTTCATATATGACGTAGCTAGGCGGACAATATATCTTGCGATAGCCTGGTACGTAGTGTATAGCTTAGCAAGTAGCCTATTGGAAACCGAGTTCCCACTCGCACAACGCAAAAAAAGGTCTGTCTTTTATGTCCGCCGGCCGAACCAGGCGATGACGATTACTAGACACCTTGACGGCCTCCACAACAACTTGACACTAGCCTTCCAGGCCTTGTGCAGGGCCAAACCTGTTCATCTCTGCGGGCTCGAAGAGCTTGGCGGGGTGCATATTTTAAGGCTGCTGATGTTGTAAAGCAGTCAAATTTCGCGCGTGCTATCGCCGTGGTGGCAGGCTCCAGACGGTTCTGAAACAAGGCTTCGAGCTCGCCATCATCAAAAAACAAATATACGAACACAACCTAACATCTCTAGACCGCACGATGCACAACAGCCACGGCGACCCTACACCGGACTGTCATATTCATATGTGGCTTCAGTGAGATATCGCCCTTCCTCCGGCTGCCACCCGAAGTCCGCTACCGCATGTGTTCTCGTCATCACTGTTGGCCAGATACAATTACGATATCGTGTGTGGTACTACCGCAAGCGTATCAGAAAAAATATTACACGGAGACCATGCAGGGCGGCCACTACGCAGTACTTCTGGTAGCCGGCCAGGTACCTTGGGATTTCGTGTCCCAGATTCCTCCGTCTGTATGTGAAAAGGCGCCAGATTCATAACATAGACTTGATGCAAATCAGCGGCGGCCTATACCTGTGCAAAGACATTACGCTGCTTTCGCTGGTATGTCGGTAACTACACCATGCTTCTGCTTTCTTGCCTTTCATTCTCAACGTCTGGACGTTCGAGAACACACGCATTGTGGAGGGCTCAATTCTGTGCAAATAACAGTATACTTGTGTTGCAGCAGTGTGCCATTCGCATTGTGGTTGTAAACGAGTTGCACATCTCGGTGGTCTGCGCGCCATTATTTGGAACTAGGGAAAAATTTTAGCACCAGGAGCTAGACGGCGCTGGTAGCTATCCCGATATTGGCGGCTCTGAAAAGTATTGCTCATAGCCCACGATCTGCGAGCTTGCATGGTACCTGTATACCTGGTACAGATTCCCTGGATTGCCTTGTCACATACCTCTTACAGCTGCCTCTTACGACGTGCTCTTTTTGCAGGGTGAAGCGAAACCTCCAAAAAGCCTACGCTAAAATAATGCAGGAGGGGAACCAGATGTGGCCACATCTAGGCCCCCAGTCAAGAGACGAGCCGTTAATAAAATTCAGAGCTATAGAAAGAAACGAGCCACGCAAGAGAAATCCAGCGGCATTTGCCAGCCAGAATTTGTACGATCGGAGGCATTGTGAAGGAAGCTCGCCACCCGACATCATATGCAGCAACCAGCCCTTTAAATAGCACAAGAAAGTTCAGTCTGTTTTTCAAAGCAGTACGGCCTAGACTGAAGCAGACACGGGTTGCGACGAGTTAAGGCTTACATTGTATTCCCATATGTACCCAAGTGAAAGCGAAACAACTTATTTTCCTGTGTCTTGAGACCCAGGTTTGACGGTCCAAACGACTGCTGCAAGTAGCTGGGAGATGCCGCAGGTGGTGAGGCCACTGGTAAGATACGCGCCTTGGCCTACCCAGGTAACGATCGGGTTGAGGGCAATAGCCAAGACACCGACGGCAGTGAGATTGCAGGAACTCTACATCGGTTTATCAATTTTGGCCACTTTGAAAAAGCATATTCCGTAGGCTCTCCATCACGATGTCCATCAGAGGTCGAGCAAGAAGTACGAAGTGATTGATCTGAGGAAAGACTCACCTATCAAACACCCCGATTAAATATGAGTTATTATACTTAGAAAGGTGTGATCTTCACATGGCACTCAACCCTCCTTATGTACTCAAGACTGCAATTGCGAGCAGAGTGCGACGTAGACTAATGAGGTCTCTAACTCAATAACCCGGCACCCTGGTTCAGGGCCATTTCCAGTTGTTAGGCTTTCGAATCTCGTTGGCCTCTTGGTCGACTTTAAAATTGGAATATGGGCGGTGCCAAAGCAAAAACTTCCGGGCCTGTTCAACTTTCCCGTGTTGTATCAGCCAGCGCGGCGAATCAGTTTTCAAATAAAACTCAAAGAAGAGGGAGCACAGGCATGACATAGATAACACTCAGAGGTATGAGGTACGATTTCCACTCCTGCAGAGGAGTTAATGTACTTATTGGCAATAGTACCGATAAGAGTGCCGATTGATGTCGATATTTCAAACGCAGAGATCATGAGGCCTCGGTTTAGGGCCAGGGAGCACTACGGCAGCAACTTTTAGAGGATGAAGTTTGTATTTAACTGCGTAGGACAGTCTGGCCTAAATGTGCAGTTGAGAGACGTCATGAGCATGTTGTTGGCAAGTCCGATCAGAAGACGTCTAGCATGCAGCCCGCCAATGTTAGCCGTCGCCATCATGATGATGTGGACGACACAGCAAGGAACAGTTACTGCCCAGATAGAAGCACGACGGCTGAGGTATGCGGCAATCTGTCCAGCGGCATAGGAGCTGAGAAAGCACCCAGCGTCATCGACGATGAGCTTAGCTGCTGGCGCTCTGTCGGGATGTTCTAAAGCTGATGGTACCGAAGGGTCCTTATAACCAAACACTCAAATGATGAGAAGGTGACAACCGCTATTGAGCGGAACTTTATAAGAAAGGGCCAAACTCACCTCGAGGAAGCCGTCCATGGCCTAAAGACCGGCAATCAGACCAAAGTCAATACCATACTGAAACGGACACATGAAAACTAGTGTGCAAGCGGCTAGAAATTTCCAGTGGTTCTAAATGAAGATCCAATCTTTCTTCATCAGATAAGTTTTCTGGCGGCCTCTTTCCGCGACAGAAAGGGGTTTTGACCTCAAGTCTGCTACTGGAAAGGGTAGGCTCAAAAACGGATGTGGACATGAATGATCTTAGCTGTATTCCTTTGGGTATAGTAGTGTATGTATATATAATATTTCAAGCAATCTCGGAAGCATGATATACAGACACAAGAAGGTGAGCCCTGAAGGGAGGAAATGAAAGAGGAAAGGAGGCCGGGACATAGATCCTCTGGCCCATTCTCTTACAGTAGCTCCACCTTCGAGGAAGCTGAGGAAGGGAGAAGAGGGGTGCATCTGCCAAGCATTCAGTTGTCTGATATCAAAACTACGGCCGAGGAGTATCTCGTACACCTGAAAACGGGTGCCTACCTTATTTTGTACGAGCAGGTTCTCGAGACGCTTACCACCCGAAATACCTTGATATTAGGCGATAAATACCAAGCTGAGCCCCTGAAGTATAGGGCGACGGAATCAAGGAGATTGCCGTAAAACCAGTTCTCTGGCACTGCTTGTTCGTAAACACGCACATACTATTATAGGTGGGTCCGGTGGGACAGAAAGCTTGAAAATGAGGCTGCCTTTCTACGACGTATGATGGGCCCATACAGAGAACTGACAGGTCACTACACGTGGACACATGAAGGTGGAGCAAATGGAGGGTTTCTTTTATCGTGCGGAGTACGGAGTACGGCGGGCGTAACTGCCAATACATGAGACCAGTTGCTGCAGCATTTCATCTCCGCATTTTGGGTGGAGCGGGATCGACGCCTTGTCTGGGGAAAAGCTAATAGTTGTTGTGCGGGGTTGCTGGGTCTTCAATTTGACAAACCCACAGGCAGGCTGAATAGCATGGCCCGCTAGTGTCAAGACGAGTCTAACGAACTCGCGGAAGCTTGTGGGAGATCTAGAGTTCTCGGTACCTTTATGCTGAGTAGATTCTATCCCAGCCATTTAGAGTTACGCTTGCACTGCTGCTTCTGTGGACAGAGAAGGGGTAAAATCGAGGAACCCGTCAGGGAAGATACCAAGAGAGACACTGGCAATGCTAACCTGGGAAAGAGCTAACTAGATGGCAGCACGGCAACAAAATGCAAATCTGGCATTAAAAATTAGGTTGCTAGGACCGAAGACTCGCTTCAGGAAGTTGGAGTATGGAGTGCAGTGCCAAACATCAGACACCCAACTAGACAAACAAACACAGAAAATCACAGCCAAAGACCGGTAGCCATGTTTGCAGACTGTGTGGTTGACCAGTTGGGCTGGGTGAAGTTGCAGCAGGCGCTCATCGAGTTTGGCGCCAGAGAGTTTGAAGCCAGAAACGTGCTGCTGGCACTGCTTGCGGCTGCACTCAAGGCCCTGGCTATCAACTATGGCGCATGCTAAACCTGCGGTGGCGCATGCTAAACCTGCGGTGGCGCATGCCACTGGGCCCATTTCCGTGGCCTGTGGTGGGCAACGTTTTCACTACCGGCGAACAAGCCGTGGATCTTCTTCGAGTCGTTATCGAGACGGTAAGATGCGCCGCTGATCACGTTTTGGATTGGGCGCAACCCGACGGTCTAGATCAACGATGCCTGGTGTGCGCATGAGATACTAGAAAAGAAGGCACAGGTGTATGCGTCACGCCCGCGTATGGTGGTCTTTGGCGAGCTCGGTACCGGTCAGACGAACCTGGTGACGATGCGGGTGCGCTCAGCTGCCGAACGAGACCATTGGCGCATCCACCGCAAACTGATGCACCTCGGTGTAGGCGTGCAGGCCGTCCGCCGCTACCGTAACGTACAGAACAACGTAAGCAAGGCTGTGGCACTCGAATTCCTCTGCGAGCCAGCCGCATTTGTTCGCCACCTGGAGCGTCATGCCACCAGCGTTGTGTCTGTGCTCGTCTTTGGTCGTCGTGTGCCCGCTTTGACGATCCCATCACCGAGGTCATTTGCCCTGATGCAGCTCGCCGCCGACCTCAACGTGCCCGGAAGATCTGTCTCCATGCCCATGGAGACCTTTCCCATCCTGGCCCGCTTCCAGCGCTGGGTCCCGTGGATGCGTGGCATCAGGAATCGCAACCAGAAGGGAGGCCATTACTTCTTCCACTTGCTCGCCCAGGAGGCCGTCGAGCAGCAGTCAGCCGAACCGACCGAGGACAAGGTCGGCATCCCGCGCCCCTTTGCAGATGCCCTCTTCACCGAGGCCCTCAAATACGACTTGGCGACAGAGGAGCTCTCTAGTTTGACGGGAAGTCTCTTCGGCACTTGCTCTGACACCACCTCGAGCACGCTTGTCACCTTTGTCCTAGCCTGCTGCGCCTTTCCCGAGCCCATGAGGCGGGCACAGGCCGAGCTGGACCGTGTTTTTGGCAGCAGCCGCTCTCCTGATTGGGATGACTCCGACAAACTGCCGTACGTGGGCGCTTTTCTCAAGGAAGTCTTCTGATGGCGTTCCGTTGCCATCATCGGCGGCCAGCCGCACTCACCAACCCAGGATGACCATCACCACGGCTGATTGATTTCCGAAGGCGCATGGGTCCCGGGAAATATCAGGGCCATCCATCACCACGAACGGGAATATCCCGAGCCTGACCGCTTCCTTCCTGACCGCTTCTTTCCCGAGAACGAGCACCACCGTCCCTTTCCTAACGATCGCGACTACATGACCTTTGGCTGGGGCCGCCTTGTCTGAAGCGGTCAGGCCCTCGCAGAGCAAGGCGTCTGGATCGCCGTCGCCCGTCTGCTATGGGCCTTTACCATCCAAAAAGCCCGCGATCCCAACAGTGACCTTGATATCGATGTCGACATCTTCGCCTTTACCAACGGCCTGAACATGCGCCCACAGCCCTTCCGCTGCGATACTCAGCCGCGGACGCTTGAGATCGGTGCGACGATCGAGCGCGAAGGCAGGGAAGCTTTGCTTGCCTTGAAGCCACTGGATGGTGAGAGCAGATACCGCATGAGCACCTTCTACCAGGCGCAGAAGCGGAAATTGGCCAAAAATCCCATCATCGATGAGGTTGAACAAGTGCGGTCTTGAGAGTGAGGCTATAGTGATCTGTCAAACACGGCGAGGGGAAAGAGAAAAGAGGCCCCTTCAGATTATAGCATGTAGACGCAGATAGAGAAAAAAGTCGAACAATGCAAAAGTCGCTCACTTATCTCCCATAGACTCTTAGTAGCCATGGCCTGGGAAGCATCTTAAATCGCATAAAAAGGCGTGTTTCAGCTGCGTGAAACCGATAAACGATTATACCACAATAATTAACTGAGGCGGCCGAATTGCCAGACAGCTCGGAAGAGAAGCGGGTAGTGGTGTTCAATCAAACAATTATGTACTTTGTGCTAACAGACTTAACAGACTTGATACGTTGGCAGACTGCCTACATTCATAGTCGACAATCTATGCAAGCCGAGAGGATATACTTCTGTCAAGACATGGGGTATTCTGGGAGACACTCAACCGGATATTGAAGAGCAAACGTTACGGTAATATAATAGGCTAAACTTGACCTTCACAAAGCTTCGGCATCTTCAGGCCGGTTGATCTGGTAATCCTTGAACTGCCACGCTGGAACACGGCGATCAAAGAGAATGTCCAACTCCTCATAGGTTCGACCGGCAGTTTCAGGTACGCGAAAATAGGTCCAAATCAGACAGAGGAAGGCCAGGCCACCAAAGAAGAAGCCGAGTTTTCCCTGCATGTTAGCCTCGTCTGGGTTGATCATGTAGGGGATGGCCACAGTCATCACAATACCCAGGACTGCTTGGGCGGCAGTACAGACAGAGATGCTTTTGGAACGGACACGGGTGGCCGAGCACTCGGATATAATGACGAAACACACCGGACCAATAGTTAGGTCATAGGCAAAATTCCATATCAGCATGAGAGAGGACTCGGCCCAGGCGACGCCGTGAGGCCGACCAGGAACGCAATCAAGGATTCCGATGACCAGCATAAGCACGGCCAGGGCAATCAAGCCACCAAGGAAGATCGTGCGGCGACCCCAGTGAGCAAGAAGAAACCAAGAAAGAATGGTGGACACAAAGCCGACCGCTGTCGGCCGTCAGCTCAAGCGACGGATAACAAACACTTTGGGGGAGAGAAGAAGGCTGATTTAACGACAACTGGCAGGACTTACCTAGGAATCCTATGCCCATGTCAAAGGCACGGTTGGTCGGCAGGCCCGCCAGAGTGAAGAAGTACGTTCCGTAGTTGACAAGGTAAGTCCCACTGAGGACCTGGGCGCAGTAGACGCCGACGGCAATCTCGGTACGACGCAAATTAGCGCCGCGGAAGCAGTCGTAGTAGGTGCTACCAGCCTCTAGCTCCTGCTCAAGACGGTCGGTCTCGGCAATGGCAGCCAGGGCAGCTGCAACGTCAACATCGTTGGTGTGACGTCTAGACGAAGACGACGAGAGAGAGGTTAGCTGGCGCAAGGCACACTCGGCATCGGCCATGCGGCCGCAGCGAACAAGCCACCAAGGACTTTCGGGAATGAAGATTATGCCCGGCAGGATGATGAGCACCCAGAACCACTGCAGTGCAAAGGGGATAGAGTAGGCCCAGTGGTTATCCAGCTGGCTAGTGCTGGTGGTGATGCCGTTGGCAAGAAGCTGGCCAATGACGAAGCAAAGGTTAACGAAGGAAGTGAGATGGCCGCGCAGGGCCATTGGACAGACCTCCGAGGCGTACGCTGGGGCTATGACAACGTAACAGCCGAGGACGAGACCGCTGAGAAGTTCCCCCACCAGGAGCGCCGTCAACGAACGGGCGAAGAACTGGATAAAGACAAGCCCTGCGGTCAGCAGTACGCAAGCACCAAAAGTTCTTCTAGGACCGAACTTGTCCATGGGATAGCCGGCAACCAGAGGGCCGATGACTTGGCCGATAGGATTGCCCATCGAGAGGCCACTTTGCCATGCAGCACCTACCAGGGAAAACGCGTCAGAGAAGGAATCCGTAAGCGACAGAAATAGGGAAGTCAACTGACTGATGATGTACTGAACCAGGAGATACACAATGCTTGATCAGTCCGTGCTTTAAAAATGTAGCCAAAAGCAGTCGTAATAAAGAGCGCCAAACGGGTAAGCTAACTTCACCATTGTACAGATAGCCGAAAGCTTTTTGAAATTGCGGCATCGCAAAAAAGTTGCCTAGAAGCTGTGGATCAAACGCCAGCATCACCACGCCAATGGATACGAACATTGACCAAACTACAGCGGCCGGATACAATTTGACAGCATCGACGAAACCCAAATCGCGCTCGCGGTGCACAATTTCGTCCAGCGTTATAGCAACATTGGTGTCGCTCTTCCTCTGCGGGCTATCGTCGTGCTGGAAGCTAGCCATGGTGGATAGATGGCTGGGCTTGTGTCAAAAAGGGTGTGATCGCAAAGCGAAGAAGAACAAAGCGAGCCCAGAGTATGAAAGATTTAGGTTGAAAAGCGTAGCATCTGCAGTCCTGCTCTTGCTACTCGACGAGTCTTCCATCTTCTTGCCTCCTCTTGCGGAAAGCCCCGAAAGTGTTATCTCTTGGCAGAAATTGCACGAGATTAACATTCTGGAAGGACTAGCCTGGACGGTGTAAATGCGCTGTCACCTTTGCTTGGCGTGTATCGTTTCTGTCACATTTGCGTCATCGATATATCGTCTTATTGGGGAGAGATGAAATAGCATCCGTCGACTGAGCTATACAGCGAAAAGTTCCATACATGGCAGAACATAGGGCACCGGATGATTAATGAATCTTGTCTGCTGTGCAAAGCATTGTAAGTTATCATCCTGTTGAGCTACTTACATCCTACAAACGAGATAATGATTTTTAACAACCAATCTTGAAGATGCACAGTCCTTGCCCCTCCGACAATTTTCTCGTCCTTCAGCTAATGATGAAGCTATTTTAGAAAGCGCTTTGCTAAACGTCGCTCCAATTTGTAGTCAAGGCCAACAGAACGTTGACCGCAGATAAATGGAAGCACGGGCAGCGCTGCCGCGCCAGCAGCCAGTGCACTAATCAAGTGACTGTTTTTGGCATCGGGAGCCTGTCCAAATCATCAAAAGTTGCGGTGACGGATTCGACTTAGCAACTCATTGAAGGAAAAAATAAGGAATGCTGCGAACAGAGCGAGCAGGTTCAATACTAGAAAATGCGTACTTTGTACTTTGTACGGAGTAAGTGGGACCATGGGGATTTGGGCCACCCCCCCATTTGGGCCACCCAAAAATCGTGATAATTTAATAGCATAAAAAAAAATACAAAAACAAAAACAATTATAGCAATTGAAATACCTAACCAAATCATGCAAATTATATATCATCTGAAAGTTCTCCTTCAGAGCTATCGCCCACTTCAATTACTTCTCTTCCTATGGCGGCCTAGCTATTCTGTATGTCCTTGATTGTAGCGAATTTTAAATTTAGGCTTATAGCCACAGCCTTCCTTTTCTAAGGCTGTAGGCTTTTAATTGTTGCCTTTAATACTTTTATTTTTTGCTTAAGTCCGCCACCCCCCCTTTCGACCAATAATTGCTCAATCCACGCACATCTTTTATTCAGTCTTCCTGGACTTCTTCACCAGTTACATAATGAAAAACGTGCATGAATCTGTTCATAGACTCCGCCTGCATCTCCCTAGCCGTGTTTTCCGGTTGAATCTCCCTTGCAACGCGCTCTCTAACCGCCACAACCTCTCGAATTGGTACAAACCGCTTATTCGGCGCAAGCTTTACTTTACGGCGCTTACTAACCTTTTGCGCCGATTGTAATGCCTTTAGCTCGTTAATTCGCTGCTTCTGAAAGGCTATTGTAGCTGTTTTTGAATTAATTGCGTGGCTGGCTTTGTGAAGGAGGCGCTGCGTAGACTTATTTAAATTACTCTTTTCCTTTATTAACGCAATCCGCTATAGCATCTCCTAACTAGTAGATGGCGTATTAAAAACGATATCGCTAGATTAAGTATAGCGTAGAGGAGTTGTATAAAGTGCATTAGGAGCCTTTAGCGTGGCTAGAGTGCATGGCGCTTATGGTAAAACGAACGGATTTAAAAGCACTTAGTGTAAAGATATTAGCTATAGTCTTATAGCTTTCTAACCGCTTTTAATATTTGTTTTTGTTAAGGCGTCTTGTTTAGCCTTTAAGTAATAATAGATAGAGTTTTACTTGTAAGTAGCGCTTAAATTATTAAGGTTAAAGAGGTTAAAGAGGTAAAATTAGTATTATAACTTAAGTAGCGAAAAGCAGCTTATATTAAGAGGCTAGGTAATGTAGAAAGAGTAAGTAAGGAGTATAATAAGCTAAACCTTATTGTTTATATACTTAATTATAAAATTATTAGTAATATAGCTTTTATATTTGTTAAGAACTAGTAGCTACTACTAGTTTATATTGTTTAGCTTAGTAAAAGGTAAAAAGATAGATATAAGCTAGTTAACTATAAGTTTGTTATTAGTCTAGCCTAAGTTAGTTACTATAAAGAACTAATTATTATTATTTTTTTAAAAGAAGTAAGAAAGTACTATTGCTAAACTAACTTGCTAGTAAATATAATATAAGAAAGAAGAGCTTTGCTAATAGCTAAAATGCACTTAAATATTATTACTTAAATTTAACTTTTTACTGCTTTTATAATCTTTAAGCTCTTTTTAGCCCTACTAATAACTAAGCTATTTGCTCTAAGGACTTTAGCAAGCCTAGTCTTATTTATATTATACTAGTATTTAAGAGAAAGGTTATAAATAGTTAAGTATTAAAGGGTAGTAAAAAGCGTGCGTATATTTAACTTAGAAGCACTATTAGCATAAAGATTTTTAATAAAGGTCTTACGTAAGGTCTTAATCTTTAGATGCTTTATAAAAAACCTAGTTTTCTATAACTTTCTAAGCTATTAAGGGCGTCCTTCTATAGCTAGTAAAAGCTACGTAATACTAAGCATTTAGCTATAAGTAGAAGCAAGCCTTAGCTATGCCTAGATATTTATCTAGTGCACTAAGGTATTTTCTAAGCGCAGTAAAAGAACCTACTGCCTTTCTGCGCTCTTTTAGCGCGTCTACGTGCCTGCTAGACGGTACTAAAGGGTAGTATAAGGTATATAGTAAAGGGCGGCTACTTTTTGTATACTAAGGCCGTTTTCGACGCTTTCTTTTGCGTTATTTAGGTTGTTTTCCGTATAAACAGGCATTATAAAGACGATGCATAAAAAATTAGCTAACTAGAGCTGTTTTTAGCGCTGCGGCAGGTGCGTTACATTTTAATTGGCAGGGTAATAAAGAGGGTGAAATTAATCTAATTATTAGTTAAAAGAAGGGGGTAGTCGAAAGAGAGGGTGGCGGACTTAGATAGAGTGCTTTTAACTACCTTTTTGTTAAATGCTTTATAGAGCTTTTAGAATAAAAGATGCCTTAAAGATAATATAGAATATAATTGCTAATATTTAGCTAGTTAGCTAGTATAACGCCGCCCCAGGAAGGGGACCGACGCAGGCTACGCGCAAGCCGTACGCAGTATGCGCACAGCGTATTAGATGCACATCGTGAACTAGAAGCGGTGCTGGTGGCGCAGGCTGCGTGGCGCAGTCTGCGCACAGGCCACAGCACGTGCTAGCGCACGGGCCAAGTAGAAACGGGGTCGCGCCTGTCCTGCGCACTTGGTGCGCTAGAGGTGCGCTTACGATAAAGAGCGCCTCCCGCACTCCCTTAGAGTGTAGAAGGCAAGAATTAGCTATTGATTATACGGCTGCTTTCTTCTATTAAGAAGATACCTCCTTGCCTGCCTAACTTACCTAGCCTACCTAAGTATACCTTTAATAGATCCGATTTCTTCTTCTATTATGCTACCCGAGCTAAGTGGTACAAGGATAATTGGAACCTTGAATGACTTCTATATTATCGTCTAACGCTCGTAAGGCGCAAGATTACAGCAGATCAAGGGTGATAGGCTAGATCCCCCTTTACCTTACTACTTATGAAGTAGAAAATGACTACTTTATACTCTACTACAATGATTAGCCTTTTCTAGATAACAACGATGCTGTTGAAGGCCTTTTAATGATAACTAATACGATTACTCTAGACTATTATGACTTTAACCTTAGTGCTATCTATAATAACTTGCGAAAAGCGAAGCGTTTAAAGCGGCGAATAGCTTACTTATATTAATATTTCTAATAATTAGGATCAATCTAGGCTTACGGACTATGTACTTATATAAGGATATTTAACTAAGATAGTTATTCTTGATAAGATCCTATCTTGATAAGAAGCATATATCTAGTCTTAATACACTCTCTAACTCTTATTTATAGCGCAGCTACCTATTCTATAGGATGATTAAGGAACATTTAATATCTAGCCAGTAATACTTTTATAAGCGCTTGCTACTAAACTAATTATTAGCTTAATATATTAAGAGTAAAGTGCTACTCAATATAGAAAACGTCGACGGTCGAGCATAATAAAGATTTTAGTAGGCTATGGCCTTGGTGATTAAGATAGATTTTATGATAAGGCCATAACCATTATTGCTAGTGCTTAATATTACGCCTTTTATTATGACTTTAAGAATAGGGGTGGCTTCAAAAGCCTCCGCCATACCTTCTATCACTCCCATTTCTACCTTGCCGCCTTTAATAACTAAGGGGGTAATAAAATTAGACAAGGAAAAACGATTATTCCATTCCTCAAGATAGGCCTAAAAGTACGGGTTCCTTCCTTTAAAAAAAATAAACTTTCCCCCACCCAAAACCAAAATTTGCCTCGGGTCTTACCTTTTAAACCTTAAGAAGGCCAGACCTTTAATTCACACTTAAACATTATACCCTGGGCCGTCCAAGGGGGGGAAAAAGTCCCCCCAGAAAAAAAAGGGCCCCCCCTCTTTTATTTTTTGTGTAGAAAATAAATCCGGGGTTAATTTTTTTTTTATTTGGGGTAAAAGGGTAAAGGGGGTAAAGGGAAACACAGAAAAGAGTTAAACACAAAGTTTTTCTTTTCTTCTTCACGTAGGGGGGCGTCTCTCTTTAATAAAACAAAATCTCTCTCCCTTCC